AGAGAGAGAGAGAGGAAGAGCAGGGAGTCATGGGCAAAGTAGAGCGAGTCATGATCGGGGTAGAGTGGAGAAAAGAGTCATGGGCAAGAGCATGACATGCGCAGCGTGCAAAGGCTTGGCAGAGAGAGCACCAGAGAGAGCACGTGGCACAGCGCTTGCCCACAGCGCTTGCCATCAGCTCTAGTCATTTCTGCTCACCATCAGCTCTAGCCATTCCCGCTCACCGTAGCATAGCACTCCATGGCTCGTCTCCGTTCGACCAGCGCCGGCCTCCTTTCTTTTTCCGGGCCCTTTGACAAAGCTTCTTGGCTCCTGCAGAAGGCTGCAGGCCCACGCAGGTCCATGCAGAAGACTCCGGGAAAAAGAAAAAGAAAGAAGGAAAGAAGTGCTTTCCTTTTCTGCTTTCTTTTTGTGTGTCACCCCGCACGGCGCGCGCGCGCGCGCGCGAGGGAGCCGCAAGCGAACGCACAGCTACTGCTACAACCGCTCGTGCGCGGTGACGCTCTATCTTCTCTTGCGCAGCCGCAGCGCTGACGTAACCAGCCTGTTCAAGGCTCCATTCACATCATCCACCACATCTTTTTCCTCGTCCATTATCCACACTGACCTGAGCCATCGCTGTTGCAGTTGTTGTCGGTTCTGATGTGTGTCTCCATCAGGTGCCTCTGTGTGTTTAGCCGTTCACGGTGCAAAAGAAAATTTCCCATGGATTTGTGGGTCCCTGGGCCCATGGGCGCGCCGTTTTGCAGGTGTGTGTAGGTTTAAAAGCGTGTGGTAGTGTGAAGTTGAAGGCTCGGGACTTGTACATGGGCACCAGCATCTTTGTTGTTACAACTTGGTTTTCGACTGTTTTCGCTGCTAGAGTTGCTTACTGCTGGAGTTTTGACCTAGCGCTCACTACTGCTAGTTCCCACTACTGCTAGCGCTCCCTACTGCTAGTTCCCACTGCTGCTAGCCCCCAACTACTGACCGCCGCCCGCCATGGTGGAAAAAGTATGGACGAACGAGTCCGACGACGGCGTGCTCTCCGGCGCCAAGAACGGGTCCGAACGACTGGAGATGTTCGTGGTGTCCAACGACGAGGACAACGAGCTCAACTACAACCGCACCCGCAACTTCACAGACATAGACCACGACAGCGTCCAGAACTCCGAGTTCCAGGGCGACGTCCACGAGGGCAAGGTCAAGCGTGCCCTCAAGCCCCGCCACATCTCCATGATCGCCCTGGGAGGCACCATCGGAACCGGTCTTTTCGTCGGTATAGCCTCGCCGCTGTCATACGCCGGCCCCGTCGGCGCCCTCATCGCCTACATTTTCATGGGCAGCATCGTGTATTTCGTCACCCAGTCTCTGGGCGAGATGGCCACCTTCATTCCCGTCACCTCCTCCATCACCGTTTTTTCCAACCGCTTTTTGTCGCCTGCCTTTGGTGTAGCCAACGGCTACATGTACTGGTTCAACTGGGCCATCACCTACGCCGTCGAGCTTTCCGTCATCGGCCAAATCATCCAGTACTGGACCGACGCCGTTCCCGTCGCCGCTTGGATCGCTATCTTTTGGGTTTTCATCACTCTCGCCAACTTCTTCCCCGTCCGCTTTTACGGTGAAGTCGAATTTTGGGTCGCCTCTCTCAAAGTTGTCGCCATTGTCGGCTACTTGCTCTACGCTCTAATCATAGTGTGCGGTGGCTCCAAACAGGGCCCCATTGGCTTCCGCTACTGGCGCAATCCGGGCCCCTGGGGTAACGGTATTCTCAACTCGGATGGCACGCCCGTTTACAAAAACGTCGGCAAATCTCGTTTCCTCGGTTGGGTCGCATCCTTAATCAATGCGTCTTTCACCTACCAAGGTACCGAGCTTGTTGGTATCACCGCTGGTGAGGCTGCCAACCCCAGAAAAACTGTCCCCAGAGCCATCAATAAGGTGTTTTTCCGTATTCTCTTCTTTTACATCCTTTCTTTGTTTTTCGTGGGTTTACTGGTACCTTACAATGACGAAAGTCTCAACAAGACCAACACCGTCATTGCATCGTCACCTTTCGTCATCTCCATTCAACACGCAGGGACCAAGGCCCTGCCGGATATTTTCAACGCTGTTGTGCTCGTTACCATTATTTCCGCTGCTAACTCCAACGTCTACGTCGGTTCTCGTGTATTATTCTCTCTCGCTCACACGGGCATCGCTCCAAGACGCTTTGGCTACGTTACCAGATACGGCGTGCCATACTTGGGAGTTCTTACCACTGCTATGTTGGGTCTGCTAGCATTTTTGGTAGTTAACGCAAACGCCAACAACGCCTTTAACTGGCTGATCAACATCTCGACTTTGGCTGGCCTCTGTGCTTGGCTCTTCATTTCTTTGTCCCACATTAGATTCATGCAGTGTCTCAAGCAACGCGGTATTTCCCGCAATGACCTGCCGTTCAAGTCCAAACTAATGCCCTGGGGCGCATATTATGCTGCCTTCTGGGTCTTTGTAATTATTTTTGTTCAAGGTTTCCAGGCCTTCACACCCACCTTCGATGTCGCAGCTTTTTTCACCAACTACATTTCCTTGATGTTGTTGGCAGTGGTTTTCATCGGAGCTCAGATTTTTTACAGATGCAGGTTTATCAATCGCCTCGAAGATATTGATATTGATTCTGATAGAAGAGAGATCGACGCTCTCATATGGGAAGACGACGAACCAACCACACTATGGGGCAAATTTTGGACCGCTGTTGCCTGAATTTCTAATAAAACGCTCTGCGATCCCGGCATATTCTAAGAACATATTACAACGAACATTGAATTCATATAAAGTCATTTAATCTGGTTACTACATAATAAGTATACTTGCATAAACTATTTCATTAGAAAAATGTCTCGACGCACAGGTAGCGTCATCGAGGGAAAATGATTTTAAGTGCAATAAATTCAAGCAAACTATGAAACACCATACCTCGCTCAATGCCTTCAGAATCGCCTTCCAGAACTACCTGTTCGCGGTTGGACACCTGTACTTTTCTAATGAACCGTGGGTGCCTTCCGCGTAATTTGTGATCACATGAAAGTTAGGCAAGGGAGGAAAAATCACATTTGATGCGTGTACATACACATCTGTCCTATACAACAAAGTGCCTAAATCATAGACAAAGAGGACCTCATACCTATTGAGCAAAGCGCTTACGCTTATAATTTCGCATAAGCAAATCTGCCCATTTTTGTACGTTTTTGAGGCTGCTGACGATACTAGCAGTATTGATCAGAACTAAAAGTCCTGAGCATTTGACCTCACATCTCCCCAACGTTCTACTTTAGCTACATGAGTCATGACTGCGGAACCAGTCGGTACCGAAGATGTTGAAATGAATTCTGCGGGCGTTCCAGGCAGCAATCAACTACTACTAAAATTCATCAACTCCGCACATTTCTCGCTCTATAACAACATTGAGTATCTGACTCGATACTCACAAAACATTGGGATTCATTTCTATTTGTGTCAGAAGCTCTTGACCTTCCCACACAACGAGTTACAATTTTACATACCGCAACTGGTTCAGGTTCTTCTGACCGTCGAAACTGAATCAGTTGCCCTGGAAGAACTGCTTCTTAAGCTCAGCTCTGAGAACCCACATTTCGCCCTTTTAACCTTCTGGCAATTACAGGCGTTACTAGCAGATCTTTCCCTCGACCCTTCAAGTTATGGCTTTCAGGTTGCTCGCAGGGTTATCAACAACTTACAAAATGTTCTTTTCAACCCCTCTAAGACTACGTTGGACAATGAAAAAATCAATGAAAATGTTGCGCCCGCACTGATACTATGCTCGATGATCATGGGTTCGCTCGCCCTTCCTAAGCTTGGCGAAACAACCAAACCTTTGGTTCAGTCGCAGGGGAAACGACAAAAGAGCTACGTTTTCAAACTAGCCAAGAACGCAATGGGAAATTTGACTAAAAACCTAACTCTGAAGAATACAATCATGAATCAGAAGCGAGGCTCCTCGAATGGTAGTGGTGCTTATGAGCCAAATTCACCGGTTGAGCTGATTGACAGCGTAACTACAAGAGAGGATACACTATTCAAGAAGCCACGAGAGAAACCTTTGACCTCGCTGAACTTCGATATTATTGATGACGTGGGTGAAAAAATGTTTCAAGAGAGAATTTCAAACTCCATCAAACAGCCTAAGCGGAAATCAAGAATCGTGGATAAATCGTACGTGCATAGAATTTATCAGCAATCCACACCATCAGGTGCATCCGATTCTTTTTACGAAGAAGATTACACCAATTCTCTTCCTGATTTGCATAAGGACCATGGAAGAAACAATTCCACAAGTTCACTAAATTCTTCCAAATCTCAAAATGGGTTTTATCAAGATAACGACATCGAAAAAGTTAATTCGGATCCTTTAGCCGTTGACACTCCTGATGATAACATTAATGGGACACCACCGAGAAGATGGTCACAAAATTTACCTAGTGGAGTGAAACTGGACCAAGTCTCAACCCCCAAGAAAATTAGACTACTGAAATCGAATTACTTCAGATGTGAAACACAACTAGCAATCGCCTTGGAGTCCATTTCTCAGAGATTAGTTCAGGTACCCACAGAGGCACGTTTGAGTGCGCTTCGAGCTGAACTTTTACTTCTGAATAGGGACCTGCCCGCCGAAGTAGACATTCCAACACTGCTGCCACCAAACAAGAAAGGTAAGCTTCACAAGCTGGTAAACATTACAGCTAACGAAGCCCAAGTGTTGAACTCGGCTGAAAAAGTACCATTTTTGCTTCTAATTGAGTATTTGAGAGATGAAATGGATTTTGACCCCACTACTGATGACAACGAAAAGGTCTTGAAAAAAAACCAAGGAGAAAATGGCTTTATCTTTGATCTAGCATATATCGCAAATGATATCAATTCTAACCATGTTGTGATGGATACGACTGGCGAAATAAGCAAAATCACGGCTTCGCAATCTTTTGCTGCAGAAGATGATTCAACATTGAAGGCTAACAGGGAAGTGGACTTAGGTGACATGTCTGTTGTAAAGCTGACAAATCGCAGTGAGGTTGAGACCTACAGAAGAGAATTAATAGTCCAATCGGCCACTAAAGTACCTGTAATACCTGACGACTCAACCAACAGAAATCCTGAACTGCAGTTCATCAACAATTTGGATGATATAAGTGCTGGTCTTGAAGGAACTGAGCTAGATGGGCTTAATTCGTCGTCGGCTGAAGATCTTGCAACCCAGATGCGTATTTCAGCGGTGATGCTGTCACAGTTAGATAAGTCTCCACATCAACTCCATGGTGCAACTAACCAAATTCGAGCTAAAATCATTGCATCCATGCAAGAAGTTCAAGATAGATTCGGATTTCGCGATTTGGAATCAATACATGGGATGGCTGGTGAAAGGAAACTTGAGAATGACATGAAAACTGGCGGTCTACAAGGAACGAAGAAAGATACATCTTATTTGGGAGAGGATTGGAACGCAAAGAAAGAAAGAATAAGGGCCACATCTGAGTTTGGTAATCTAGAAAACTGGGATTTATGCTCTGTCATTGCCAAATCGGGGGACGATTTGAGACAGGAAGCATTTGCATGTCAATTGATACAGGCCATGGCCAACCTCTGGGCTCGGGAGAATGTTGACGTTTGGGTCAAAAAAATGAAAATTCTAATAACCAGTGCAAATACTGGATTGGTCGAAACAATCACCAATGCCTTATCCGTACACAGTATAAAAAAATCTTTGACAAGCAAAATGGTGGAAGATGGGGAACTCAACGAAAAGGGTCAAATTGCCAGTTTGAAAGACCACTTTATTCGTGCGTATGGCGATTCAACGGGGTTCCGTTACAAGAGAGCCAGAGACAATTTTTGCTCCAGTTTGGCTGCATATTCCATCATATGTTACCTTTTACAAGTAAAGGATCGTCACAACGGTAATATTATGGTGGATAACGAGGGCCATCTTGTGCACATTGACTTTGGTTTCATGCTGTCAAATTCTCCCGGCTCTGTAGGATTTGAGGCTGCTCCCTTCAAACTCACCTACGAATATGTGGACTTGTTAGACGGTATACATTCCGAAGCCTACAAAAAGTTTGTCAGGTTGACCAAAGATGCTTTCCGCGCTTTGCGAAAATATGGTGACCAAATAGTTTCGATGTGTGAGATTATGCAAAAGGAGAACATGCAACCTTGTTTCAACGCTAGGGAACAGACGAGTGCACAATTAAGACAACGATTTCAACTTGAACTATCGGATTCTGAATGCGATGACTTTGTTGAAAATGTTCTGGTTGGCAAGTCGCTCGGCAGCATATACACAAGACTGTACGATCAATTTCAACTCGTATCCCAGGGTATTTACTCTTAAGAATAGACCTGCGAAACTGTTGATACAACACTCAACTTTCATCCAAAGGTGTCACCCAATTCCGCGTTTTTGAAGGTAGGTATAAAATATATGTATATACGGCAGAAAGAAGTATAAACAATGTCAAATAGCACCTATATCAGAAAACCCTCAGATACGATGAGCTCGCTTGCTAAGACCTGAAGAGTTACGAAAAACCGACTACAAATCTTCGACAAATTGTTTGCTGGTGACTACTACATCTACACGTGACTGGGTCTTGGCACGAGAGGAAGTTTGAACCTTTACGTAAACATTCTAAACATTTAGTCGTAACTTAAATAGAACAAGCTTCCAAGCATCAAGGACCCCAATTTTGCTCAGAGTTCAACCATCGAGCGCCTTAAATAGCTGCGATATTCTAAAGCCAAGTTCTGGAGCATAGCCTGCTTACTACACAAGTCTTATTGGCTAACTACGAAGAATTTCTGAACTTCTTTTTTACTAAATACTACAATATTGTGGAGGTGAACCTTGCAGAATTCGCAACAAGCTTGCGCTTTGAAGTATCTTCATAGAGATAACAACTATTTCGCAAAATGCAGAGATTCCACAAATTAAGTGCGGAAAGAACCAGTCGCTGCGTGGGGGCCTTAAAAGCCTTCAGACGACTCCAATCTTCATACTCCACGCGAAATGGCCGCGATAATTTATTAGAGCCCATCGTCCACGGTCCGATCATGGCTTCTGGCATTGAACTGACGCATGACTTCTCCAAAGACGAGCTACTTTTGCTGGATCAAGGTATTCAAAAAACCAACGATTTTGCCTCTAAATTTACCAACTATCGCTACAAGTTCAAAAAGCTTCCATTAGACTATGGATCCAATCAGCTAATAAGCATCGAACCCGAGCTACAACAAAAGCTGGAAAGCGTAGTTTCAGATTTCAAGTCCCCTATAAAGTATGCATTTGGCTATGGATCAGGAGTCTTTAAACAAAATGGCTACTCCAAGAACCAGGAAGTGCCTCAAATTGATATGATACTGGGTGTTGTGCATCCCGAACATTTCCACTCGTTGAATATGAGACAGAACCCCCATCACTACTCGTCTCTACGTTATTTTGGTTCTAAGTTCGTGTCCCAATTTCAGGAAATTGGTGCTGGCATTTATTTTAACCCGTTTGTTGACATCAACGGCCAGACTGTCAAATATGGCATAGTATCTATGGAAAACCTTTTGAAAGATTTGGCAACCTGGAACTCATTTTATTTAGCGGGAAGACTACAAAAACCTGTCAAAATTTTAAAGAATGATCTGTCAGTTCAGTATTGGAATCAACTGAACCTGAAGGCTGCTGCAACGTTGGCCAAGCATCTCATACGGAAAGATTCTAGTAAACCACTGGATGAATTTGAGTTCTATAAGCAAATAACCGCTTTGAGCTATGCGGGCGACATAAGGTATAAACTTGGTGGCGAAAACCCTGACAAGGTGAGAAATATTGTGGAAAAGAATTTCTCTCAATTCCAAGAGTACTACAAACCCATCTTCAAAGACGTTATAGTAAACAATTCTCATTACCTTCCCCAAGGTTTCACACCTGAGAACTCAATTAAGCTACTTGAAAGGAGAATATTTAGAACGAGTACACTACAGACCGTTAAAGGCGTTTTTACTGCTGGAATTGCAAAATCCATACGTTATGCATGGGCGAAAAAGCTCAAAGCCATGAAGCAGGCTAAGTGATCTGAAGTTTCAAGTACAACGTGCATTATAGTCTATATCTCTAAGAGAATTTTTGTACCATGAGATGGCCGTCTGGAGACCAGATGATAGAAATTATTAGTCTACCTTCGCAAGGCTGCAAACCTCTTCTTCAGTTCGTCAAGATCTGTATCATTACCATTTTCTTTTGCAGGCTTTACCCGAATGTCCTTCTTGATGTCTTGTGGGACTTTGAGACCTACTCCCATATTGTCACTGTTTTTTCGAGGCTTTTTAACAGTTATTGGATGCTTTGAGTCATCTAAAAAACCACTTTCGACGGCCACTATTGGTTTGCCGTCATCAGAACCTGATTCAATGGGTGATGAAACTTTTTCGTCCTCTGAATTATCGTCTTCGAGTGTGTCTAGTGCCTTGCTATAGGGAACTTCGTAAGCTAAGGCAATTTCCCTGAGATATAAAGTGACCAAATCCTCAGTCGGCAAATTAGGGCTGCACTTCTTGAGGACTTTGTCCGGAACGCCAATTCTGTCGTCGAGTATCGCTCGAAGAAAATCCAGACCGAACTTGAAGGCTAGCAATTCCTTCACCTGCTGGAGTTCCTTAATTTCTGAGGCATGTAGTACCGCATAAATGACAGCTCTCACCGCTTCATTTATTCCGTCATCAACGTGGTTCTCTATTAGGTCCGCTTCGTCCGCCACATTATTCAATAAAGCAATCCTAGCATGTAGCAGCTCGCAGTAAAGTTCCAATATTTCCAAAAGCTCTTCATGTACGTCGTCGTTGATCAGACTTTCAATCCTGTAATGAGCTTTTTGTTCCTTTCCCTCAGCCAACAATTGAGCTACGTCTCTTCGAGATTTCTTTGCCAGAGACTGCTGTTTTTCTTGTGCGTACCGCAGCCTTTGAATGCACATCTTAAGAGCGGTTTTAAGCTTAATCTGACATGATATGGCATCTAATCTAACTCTGCTGATAACACGCCTCCAACTTTGAGTGTATCGGCAGAGACCTAGAACAGTGATGCCACGAAGTTAGCATTAGATAATGAAATAAAAGAGCATTTTGAATGGAACTTACAGCATATGGAATTGGACTATTCATCTTTAATCCTTGGCATATCTTTCATCTGAATAATTAAAGGGACACGATGAACTAAAGCTTTTGGGATATTTTTTGAACAGATGACAGATCCAAAAAAAAGGTATTTATCACTTATCACACTTGCTCAACTCAAAGCAGCTGATCTACCGACTACTCTATATTGATAAATACTTTTCCATTAAGCTGTTAGCCAGTTCAGTGTTACCGCTCTCATTGAAGATTAGAATACAGTTGTACGCAGCGTGCTTCTTAAGTTTCTCGTCCTCGTAGTTGTCCAAGACCTGTTGATAGTATCGCACAGCAGTGGAGAACAAACCTAGCAAGTGGAAAGCCCGACCGATATTGTAGTCGGCTTCCTGTTTCTCGAGAATAGTGTATTTCGTAGACCGTATATCATGGTATTGATAAAGGAAACGGAGACCGTGTAGAACTTGTAAGTGCCTGGAAGCAGTTAGTCTTTGCATGGACCGGTGCAAATGAGCCAGACCCATCATAAAATTTATCATAGGATCTTGTGGCAGTTCGGGCTGCAATCTGCTGAGGTATTGGAGGGCCAAAAGAAACCCTTTGCTTGAGTACAGTAACATTGCATAAATGTAATGCAAGTACGGAGACTTCAGTTTATCAGGATTGTCAACCTTCTTGTTCGTAACAGAAGCCTGACCTGCAACGTGTTGGTTGTAGCGTATACTGTCATATGCCTTTAGCTGACGTAGGAAGAACTTTTGTTGCACCGTGGAGCTCAAAATGTCCGAGGCCATTTGTCCTCGTACCACACAGAACATGAAATTTTGAAGGACTTTTCTGTTAAACTGGAATTGGTTGAGAACACCACGCAAGCTTTCCACAAGTTCTTCTTCATCTTCCATTTGCAATACTATAGCCAGCTTAATAAATTTCATCATTTTGACCCTTTGCGGGTCTTGAATAAAGACATTCACTTCTTGAGCTGTCTCAATAATACTCAGACCATCCTCCACGCTTTGCAGCTTTGTTATAACAAGTGATAGCTCCATGAATAGCTCAAACCATTGTTCATAAGTAAGACCACGTAGTTCCGTGGCCGATGTCAGGAATACCCGCTCCTCCAACAACGGCAGCCCGTCTAAAAGGTTATCACCTTCAGAAAGTTTTGACAATCTCTTGATCTTATAATCAATGATTTTGTTGAATTTTCGGGTTCTTTTGATAATTCCGACGAATTTCTTCGATCGACTCTTGACAAAGAAATTCTTAACACTGGAAAACACGTCTATCAAATCAGACGCGGTATCAATCCACAACGTGGTCTGATATTCTTGGCCGTTTTCCATCCCTTCATTGTATATTTTCAATTTGTTATATTTGTCCAAAACTTTTGAAGTAATTCTTTTCTCGCGATCTCTCCTTTCTCTTTCCGCGTCTTGAGGCGTGCGTTTCCTCTTGACAGACGCTTTCTTTATATGAATATCTTCTAGTAGAGGTTTCCCGAAGTCTGTTGCAACCGAGTCAACTGCCTCCTCAAATGGTTTGTCGTCCACCGAAGAAAGTATCTTCTGAGCATCAGCATCCTGTTGCTTTCTGGCTTCAAGAACTTCTAGCAAAAGAGCATTGAATGTTTCCTGATCATCCAAATGGTAATGTATCTCAGCGAGTGTTAACTTTGTTTCTAGATCGTCGGGCTTGAGCTCTACTAATTTTTCAAATACAATCTTGGCGTTTGGATAATCTTCAACCTCCTTGTAGCATCTGCTGAGCGGCTTATAGAATTCCAACGTAGAAAAATCACTGAGTTGCAATAATGGTGTAAAAAATTCAATTGCTTCAGAGTACTTCTCAGCTTTCGCCAGCGCACAAGCTACCTCAAAGAACAAATCCGTAATGTCTGCAAAACTTTCATCGTAAAGCGCTTGGAAATGATTCATTGCCTCCAAGACTTGTTTGTTATTAAGCCTCAAAAGGCCCAACCTTACTCTAATGTCAATCGGAAGAATATACGATTTGTTTTTTTCATCCTGCGTCAGAGATTCATACCTACTGTTCTTTAATCTTCTCTCATCAAATTCAGAGTCGTCACTAATATTTTCCCAGAACGTTTGATTCTCCCTTCTTTGAATCCACCTTGCACATTTTTTAATTGTTTTGATACCGGCATTCTCTCCGGACTGCTTGAGAAATAGTTCAGCCAAAATATTCAGAGAAGACCAATCGAAGGTTAAGCAGCGATATTTTTTATTGATTTTCTTCCATTTGATATTGGGGTACTTTCTAAAGTCCTCGCTTTCTTCATCGGCCTCGTAATTGACGTTATCAGTTAGGTTTTCGTCGCTGTCCTCAGATGATTCAACAGCATCTTCTGATGCGCAAATAATAGCTTTCCGCTTTTCAACGTTGGCATCAAAAATCTTCATGTATAATCCTATAGCCTCATTAATTCGGTTGTAGTCCACGTAAAGAACTGCGAGCTCTCGAAGTAGGTTACCATCCGTGGGTGTGTTGTTGTAAAGTCTCTGAAAACCTTCCAAAGCCCGGCCAAGTTGACCTGTTTTCTTGTAAAGAACTGCTCTTCCATAGACACAATCCCATTCTTCATTGTTCATACGCAGTGCTCTGGTATAGCAATAGATTGCTTGTCGAACATGGCCCAGATCCGATGATAAGGTGGCCACTACTTTCCAAAATTCCCAGTCCGAAGGGTTCAAATGTGCAGCAAGAAACCAGGAATTACAACAATCGTTGAAGCGGCCTTGAAGTTGGTATATATCGCCTAAAGTTTTGTACGCAGCAAAGTTTTTGACGTCTTTTCTGATAACTTCGTTGTAAAGTTGTTCTGCGACTTGTGTATCGTTACGCACAAAGGCCTCATTGGCCTCAGATAAAAGCTGTGCCACTTCAGGGTCCAGACTTCTTTCTTTGCGCGGCCTGCCTTGAGTCGAAGCACCGTTGTTCTTACGCTTAGCCTTGTTTTTCCGTTTGACCTTGAAATTGTTGGCTTCTCTGATTGCGTCCATGAAGTCTTGCTCGTCGTATTCGTCATCAGAAAACTCTCCATAATCTGAAAACTCTGCTAGTAAATTATCGTCGACGCGGTAGTCCTTGTCGCCGACTTCCGAGCTGTAGTCTTGAGTATCCCCAAGGTTAGCTAGCTCGTCATCAATTACATCCTGTTCGTCGCTTGCTCCTTGGTCTGAAGAGCTGATGGGCGCATCGTTGTTGTCATTAGGATCCTCAATTAAGTCTCGCAATTCATCCAAATTGTCGTAAAATTGCTCTTCATCAAGGTTTTGTTGCTCAGGTACGTTCTTGCGGCTCATTTTTCATCACTGGTAGTTTCAAAGGGTATGGAGATTGTCTCAATACGTTTGATACTAAACAACTTGTTTGAATGAGAAAATTATTTCTAACGTAACTTGAACGCTATAACTTCACAAGACCGCAACTAGGAGGTGCACGTAAAATATAAGTTGCCCAGGCAGTTTGTTATTGATGGAGTTAGTTCAATGCGTCTAAGGCATCCTCAAACCATTGGAAATAGAGGTAAACATTATAAATAGGCCGTAGATAGTGCTATCAACAAAAACGTGATCTATGATATGTAGCGGACGTTTGTAAGGCGAGTTAATTTAGTCATTCAACTTAACTATCTTATTTATAGTAAGGTAATCAAACAGGTCTAGAGCTTACGTGAATCTTGGCACAGTTTGAGCAAAGCCCAAGTAATTACTGCACACCACAGGCATTTGTTAGTACCTTCTCACTCTTTACAAACACCAGGAATACGGTATGTTTTCGGGATTTGGAGGGTTTGGTGAATTTCAGTCCGGCTTCGTGAACGTTCCTCAGAAGTTTGAAGATTACTTCCGATGTTATCCCATAGCAATGATGAATGACCGTATACGCAAAGATGACGCAAACTTCGGCGGGAAGATATTTCTGCCGCCAAGCGCGCTGAATAAATTGACTATGCTGAGTGTCAGATATCCTATGCTTTTCCAATTGACCGTTCCGGAAACTTCAAAAGTCACTCATGGTGGTGTATTGGAGTTTACCGCCGAGGAGGGGCGCGTTTACCTGCCACAGTGGATGATGGAAACGCTAGGAGTCAATCCTGGGTCATTGCTGCAGATCGCATCGACGGACATTCCACTGGGGCGTTATGTGAAAATAGAACCTCAATCTGTAGAATTTCTCGACATATCTGACCCCAAGGCAGTACTGGAGAATGTTTTTCGTAGGTTCTCAACCTTGAGTGTGGATGACATTATCGAGATCAACTATAACAATAAAATTTACCGAATCAAGGTGCTTCAAGTTAAACCAGAATCTGAAGCCAACAGTATTTGTGTGATAGAAACAGACTTGGCTACCGATTTTGCTCCACCGGTTGGATATGTGGAACCTGACTATAAAGCCTTAAAGCAAAAAAAAAGCCAACAGGCAAAATTTGATCCTTCGGTGAAAGGCCTGGGGCCGATGTCACGGCGAATAGATTATGCGGCAAGTGTCAATGCAGGCGCAGAAAACAAGAAGGCTTTCGAAGGAGAAGGACAGAGTTTAACTGGCAAAATAAGCAGCAACACGCAAGACAAACCCGAAGAAATAGATTTACAAGAATTGAAGCTAGATTTGGATGGTCAGCCAGCTCCCTTAAATTTACCAGACGGTACCCTATTTTTTGGTTTTCCCCTGGTAGTTCCCAAGAAAGACGACGAACAGCCAGATCAAGTTCAATCTAGTGTTCACTTTAAAGGTGCAGGTCAAAGCCTAAGACAAAGCAATAACAAAAGGCGTGCTAAAAAGGATCACATCAGCCCTAAAGCAAAAGCCCCCAGAAGTCCGGAAGTGATTGAAATAGATTAAATACATTTTTGCATGTACGAATTACTTAATTACGAGGTGCCGAGAGCAGAATAATTCGGGTTCTCTATGCGTCATTAAAATTTTTACAAGTGCCCACTTGTTCTCACTTAAAAATCATCTTTTTCAACGCCAGTGGTAATTCTTCATCAGTATCTGAATCGGAATGTTCATCTGGTATAAGTTCTCCACTGCCTAAAGTCTTTAATTTTGACAAAGATGTGTGTGTACCCTGTGCATCGCCTTTTGAACCAATCGAAAAAGCCCTCTTACGGAGCTTTTTAGGCAAAGAAGCCACCTCACTTTTGCGCGAAGCTATACGTGCCAAATCCAGGGTGCGGGACTCCTCAGTATCAGAAGATGACAAGGCATCAAGTGCTACTGGACCGTTCTCCTCAATGCTTAAGTCGTCTTGCAAATCTTCCTCGGATATCGTTGGTGTTGATGGGAGACCATTTGAACGTTTTGAGTATCCCGCTCTGCTATTAGTCTTTGCTTTGAGAGGGATATGGGGTTTTTTAACAAAGTCATCGAATCTGACAGCGGCCTCTGCCGCCCAGTCCGCATAAAGAGGCCGTGATAAGAATCCGTACTTGAACTCGTTTACACCAACGAGGATTTTGGATAATTGTACTAATTCTTCCACATATTCAATAATTTCTTCGGCTGCTGCACTCGAAGCATTCCAGCTTAAAAATTTCTCCTTCATGATATACTCATGAGGCGGTAAAGTACTTCTCGCTTGATGCTGGTTCTCAATTGTCAACCCCTCGTCATCGTCTGAACTATCGTCTTTATTTCCGAACAGATCAACCATGACTCTTGGTCTCAAGCTCTTCATTTTGGAGGCATACTTTATTTTCAGAATACTTTGGACTTTATTCACCAGTCTTCTGTGCGCAATTCTTGCACTCGGCAAAAACTGTGGCAATGGCGTTTTATTACGAATAGCTTCCTGAACAGCCCTCATCAAACTAGTAATTGAGGCGACGTACTGTCTTCTATAACCGTAAACCATGTAGTTTAGCTCTTCGATAATTGCGCTACCGTACTGTTTTCTCAAAAGAATCATATTATCCATGCGATCAAGAATTTGTCTTTGAATATATATCATTTGCGTGAAGACTTTCTCAAGCTCAGTGTACTCCCCTTTGAGCCTCGGTTCTTGTCGCGTCAATCCCTTATACGCAGAAGCTCTAGACAAAGCAGATTTTGCGCTCGCGGATATCTTTGCGAATCGCTGATATCTTTCATCCGTTACGCTCGAGTTCAATGATTCTCCTTCAAGGCCTGCTGCCAACAACATTTGCATTTCTGATATACACCCAGCCACGAATGATATTTCTCCATTCAATTGATCTCTCGCAGTAACAGGGAACATAGTAACCTGCACCAAAACAGCTATACCACCACCGTAGCCTACAGCTAGACATCTTTTAGCAAAATTCGACAATATAGAGCCCTGGTTATCAGAAGGTAGAATGGCAGCTAGCATTACCACATAAATGCTGATGATTTGAATTATTGCCGCCTTCACATAAGGAGTGCCTAGGAGGTAATAAAAGCCTGGAACAGCACCAAAAATTGTTACCACAACTTCGAGGTAAGGGTTTGTTTGGTTACAGCCAGCTAGATATGAGACATAAGCCCAAGCAGCACCTAGGATAACACCAACACCTCTCAAGAAGAAAACCCAAAAAGTGCCTCCAACAGACGGTTCTAATGCTAAAATGCAAACGAAACCTATCCAGGTGCCACGAATTTTGATGTACCAATCTCTGGCTTTGGGAATAAACATCGGGAACGAAGCGAGCATCAATGCTATAGTAACTTGTAGCCCAAATCTAAAATGCTCTCTGTGCTTGTGGTAAAAGTCATGACTAAAAACCAATGATTTAGAAAAAATCGATTTAACAATAACATTGCTTGAATCTGATATAACGCTCGTGTGACTGGTATTAGATTTTTTGCCTGTAGAGCTATCACTTGCATTTGTTGTAGGTAAAAGTTTGCTTGTCTTCATAAAAGTCACTACATCAGATCGTCTTTGCGATAAGATTTCACGTTCCTCTTCTTGCGGCCTTTTGACACCCATATCAGCCGGTGGCCGGTAATTATCACCAATTGTGCCTCCATTCAAACTTTGACTTTCTGTAATTCTTGCCTTTGAGGCTCCTGTAATCCAGGTTTTGAATGTGTTGTAGTTGCTCAAAAAATTGACCCACAGAGTTTTTCCTCTCAGGCTACCCTTGAGTTCTTGGCGTTTCCTGTATTGATAAATTTTGCGAGTCTCTTTCATGATATTGACCACAGAGTTTGTAGTTTCTTTGAAATTGAGCAAAAAGGAAGAAAAAAGAAACATTTCATCATTAGGTTGGAGAAGATTCTCATCCAAGTGAATGAGTTCCTCTCTAGCTCTGAGGTCAAAGTCGATCACACCATTTACCAAATTATCTATAATTTTATCAAACTCTAAGTCCTTGAAGGGGTCTTTCGAAGATTGAAATTTGGTTGCGTTTTCGCGGAACAATATCGAATGCTGGACCTTATCTAATTTCACGTCATATACATACGCAAGAGCTGCTTTGATCATGAACAAAGATTCACTTAAGGTCTTGTGAAGGTTGAAAATAGGATCCCGCATGAGTCCAAGCACCTTTAATAGCTTTCTTGCGTCCGCGTGCCGTATTTCTTTCTCTGTCTCTATGTTCATCAGATCGTTGTCCAAAGTGTATTTGTCTTGCCTTCCAATCAACAAAAATTCCAGCTGGCATGCATTGACAAGAGCATTAATATACATCGACAAGTGGTTGAAAGATTGTATAACACTTTTCAAATCTGAAGGAGAAACAAACGAATAGGATATTTCATACATGCACTCCTCCAAAACTAAATTACAACTGGAAACTTTACCTTCGATTGTGTTTTTCGTTTTTAGTAACCTTGCCAGTGACACTGGTTCTTGAGTGTACAGAGATGTCGTAGGATCTTTTACATCAATGGATATGAAAAAGTTAATTGCAGAGTCAATAGCGTTGTGAATCTCGTTTAACGCGTCAACTGTGCTATTACCCAAGTAGGTGCTCCCAAATTCCGGGAAAAGTACCAAATTCCAAAATATCGACATAGCAATCCCCAAATAAAAGGGCACACTAAACGCTTTGGCGATTGTTCCGGCATCTTGAGTGAGAGGGGCCATAAAAGCAAAATGCACAACGAGAAACAGTGGAAACACAATATGAAAATAATGGTGTGAGACAGACCGCATCCATCCATGTACAAACAACATGATTGTCTCAAATACTGCTAGTATAGCCAAGGCTGACTCGTATCTGGTGTAATTCTCTGCATACTGTTGTAATTCACCGACAACATGCCATGTGTGACCCAGGCATCGTTGCGCAATGAATCGACCAAGGAGAGAATAGGCTAGACCGAAAAGAAGCCCAGTGATACAATATATAGCTCCTTGAATGGTAGCGCTGACTCGGCGACCTGGATGAACCATTACTGCAATTAGAGGCAGCATCGAGGGCTGATTGCCCAATCGGTCCCGAACTTTAGGTATTAAGCAAAAGATAAGCGCTACTGTAGCATGGACCGTTGACTTGAATATTCTTTGGGCTAGGATTCTGCTGCAGGGAAATTGTTGCTTAAGGAACTTGCATATTCTCTTCTTTTTTGAAGATAGTTCGCCCATTAGTGGTTTATCCAAAGCATATGATCGTACTATACTCTATCGTCGCAGATAAATTATTAATCACAATAGACCAGTTGATCTGAAAGTCGCGCAGTTCAAGATTAGCTTTCGCTCTTTATATGAGCTAAGCTCTAAATTTCGAACTGACTTTTCAACGATCTCATCAGGTGAATCACCCTACTTTTTTTCTTAAAGGCCCGTTAAATCAGTTTCTGAGTCTAAATTGCAAGGTTGGCTTTGATTCGAATCTCGAGGGTAGCGATCTTTGTCAGTAAAACTGAGCTCGCCCTTTAAATCGAATTCGCTCAAAGCCACAGAGCCACCAAGCTCCAAGAACCTTTCACGCATGTGATTTTTGCGCTCTGCAATACATTGAGACAGGTCCGACAAGTATATGTTGTTATCGTAAGCAAAATTCAATCTGCCGCTGTGAATAAGCTCTAGTTGAGAGTTCTCCACATAGTTCTCGAAGGCCTCATCGTAAACTATCTTAGATCGCGTGCTTGGATCGATAAAAGGGTGGAAAAGCTTGAGAAAATTCCAGCCATACCACGGAATGTTTGTCAACACTGCGCGACCAAGTGATTCTGGGTAATGTTGCTGCACTAAGTGTAGAACTTGTTTGCTGACAGAGATTGCTGGCAGACGGGCAAGCGGTGTCGCTAGATTGTTGTAGTTTTTGAAATCAATCAGCAGCGTCAAATGTTCGACGCCCTGCGGCATTAAGGCTTCTGCGCTCTCGATCATATATGCCAATAGTTGTATCTGCGCAAAACTAGTAGGGGTGGTTTGACGTCCAGTTTTGATGTGCAGCAAGGGTCTCCGTTGGCGATCGTAGCCAAGCAAGTACATTTTTCCCGTCTCATTCTCTGTTGCAACAATATCAGCAAAGTTTGAGCAGCCGCCGTTGTCATCTTCGCATAAGCCGAATTCACGTCTCCAAATAATCGTAGCTTTCAAACGCGCAATCGCCTCATCAATGTCCCAATTTGTCGATCGCAGGAACCTTAGAAGTCGCTCTTTGGAAAGCCATAGTCTTTCACATACAGACAGAGGCTGTTCGTTTAACTCAACTTCATAGCCCGAGGTTTCTAATTTTTGGGATTTAGTAGGTATAAGTATATCTTGTTGCTCGAAAAATGCAATTAGTTGTTTCAAATGATCGAATTCGTTTTTGGACAATGGTTCTGGCCGAGACGGCTTTCCATACTTGTTCGGAGGGTCTTTGATGACAGTATTACAATCAATTGGCGGGGTCCTGATAGAATCTTTCTTATTTTCAGTGCCCTTTTTTGAAAAGAGTCTCATTTTGAGTGTTCACGGAAAGAATGACTAGTGTACTAGCAGTTGTAGGCCATACAGTATCACCCAGTGGTCTGAACTTCAAAAGTGTTACGCTTGTTTATAAACAATAGCCAATTTATTGATTTAGTTACGTTCGGCATGACACAAGACTTCCAGCGTGCTTGCATGATATACTTACAATATTAACGATCCAAATTAGCCTATTAACCACCCCTCAATCAATGATTATGGGCTCATTGGCAAGCATTTCTCGTATTCGAGGTGAAAGTGTGTCACAACCATCGAACTTAAATGCTGAAGGAGGGACCTTAGACGAGACATCTTCTAGGTAAGACCATAAGGTTTTTGAGCTCTGCTTATGGTTTGCTTTACTTTCCCACTGACTCAAGACACGAAGAGTATCATCAATAGTGGCCAATGTTGCATAAGCAACAATGGAATGGTCGTGGACGTAATTATTCCTGGAAGAAAATGAGAGTTCTATGATTTTGACCTCGAAGGTGCGACTCAACATTTCTTCCAGACGACCTTTGTCTTGTAAAACTTTGTTGTTGGACAGTTCGAATCTTAGGCTACAAGAATCCTGAAATTTGTGCCCGAACGTCTTCGGATACTTGTCAAAATTTTTCCAATCGCCGTAGGGTATCTTGAAATGTTTGAGCTTACGCAAAAAATGACCATACTCTTCAAAATCTGTGGTGTCATGAACTTTTGTGACTGGCGAAATGGATGCCTTCTCTCGTAGCACTAACTTCAGCCTTTGCTGCTCTCTGTTGCTCTCCAAGTTTTTTTGTTTCAAAAACGTTTGTATATACCACTGGTCGTAAGACCGCCTAGATTCTGGATCACTCAGAAGCTTTACCGCCACATCCATGAGGTAAAATCTTGATACCGCATCGGAGTTGTCAGGATTCTTGTCAGGATGGTACTTCAAAGCCTGTTGTCGGAAGTTTCGTTTGATCTGTGTTACGCTAACCTTAGAGAGCTCTTCTGAGGTGCGAACTATGATATTGAGTGCCTCATATAGGTCAATGCGATCTCTGAGAGCTGTGCTAATATCCATGCTATAATCGTCTGTGAACTTAATTTTCGGATCAATTCATAGTGACATTTGATCAACAAGTCAATTGAAAAATAAAGCGACAACGCAAGAAATTTAAAAAATAAATGTAAGTTGTTAAGTTTTCTTGTTGTTATTTAGGTATGTATGTGGATACTGAATATGATCACTGAGGCCACTTCTTTCCACCAACATTATTTGAGTTAATATTCGTACGTAGCACGATCTCATCCCATCAACCACATCAACACACTTTGCCACACGAACCCATACATGAACAAGAAGTAATTGCATTTTTTTACAACGCTTTTTTTGACTGTGTGAACATCGTTGCCGCTGTCGAGAAACAGATTAAACTTGACCGATCTTAGTAAAAATACACCGAAAGCTATCAGGAGGTATACTTTGCCTACCACGGACACAAAGTATGGAGTTGAAGGCAAAATCAAAGCCAGAGTCAAAGGGATAAACTTGTAACCGACATAGCATGCCAGCTCGATGATGCTTGTAGTAGGAGATTTAGCTGAAACCAGCAAGAAAAGGCCCATCTTAAGAATAAATAAATCCATTAGAACGGAAGCCAGGGTAGTAGAGAGTCTCTGGTATAAGTTCCCAGGGTCAAATGACCCCCGAAGCCCTTGTTGGAAGTTCCAGCATAGGATATATGTGACAAGGCCCATTACTGGGATATACATGTCAGGCGAGTTGACGTCAACACGAGGAACTTGAAAACTGGGTCCTCCGTTTGTCCCGTTTTGTGGGTTGGGAAGTCTTTGCCAGCTGCGATGAAGAAAGGGCAGTAGGATGATTTTTAGTTTGCGGAACACGTAGCTGTTGGAGACTTGAAAATAGTGCGACACAGCAGAGGAATCCCCCGTAGCCTTGGTTAAGTTCTCTTGAAACTGATTGAAGTTGTCTTGGCCAATGAAGTTTGAGAATGCAGATTGTCCCAACTGATATGCCATAGACGAACTTGGGCCCTGAAACGGGAATCCATTACTTTGAGCGTTGGGAGCAGGCTGGTTAGGAACATGGGAACCAAAAGACGGTTGGTGATGTGTCGCCTGTGGTGCCGGTTGAGATCTTTCGTTCAAATTCATATTGCCACCATTTTCGGCGGCGTATGCGTATGGATTGTAAGACATCGAGGCTTATTTTAGTTAAAAGTTGAACCTTTGAAAAATCGCTAAGCTTTTCTAGAACCGTGTAGTACCTCTAAAGCAGATACTGAGCTTTGAATCGCTTTCCTACGGATCTTTTTCTTTCAAAGAGCGAACCTTTTTGCAATCTAAACACTGAATCTTAATTTCAATTTTGGCGTATAAAATTTATCATCAAGAGGCGCGTAAGAATTAAAAGATTGACGCTGGAAAAGTGTATGCGCAAGAGCCTCTAAATAGCTAAAAGTGTTTGAATACTATGGCAAGTAGATTCAAAGGCTCAAACACCGCAAAGTTTGTCAAGAACTCCGGAAATGCGCGCTCCAGCAACAGTCAGCATGCTACCATCAATTCCACAGCTCAGCAAGTAATAGAATCTCTGAAAAAGGATGAGTTAGACACAATGATGGGATTCGATAGGTATACCGCCCCGCAATTTAGTGGAAATATGACAAGCTTACGAGAAACACCAGGTCGTATCGGCTGGCTTGTCAATATGCATCCTACAATGGTATCTGAGGATTCTGTCACCTCTGGTGACTCTACCTTGACAGGATCTGGTGTTTCAGGAGTCGATTTCTATTTCTTGGATGAAGAAGGTGGCGGATTCAAAAGCACAATTACTTTTGATCCCTACTTCTTAGTAGCGTGTCGAGACGAATCCAGGCTTCATGACGTCGAAGAGTTTCTGAAAAAGCATTTGGAACAGTGCTTAAAGAAGGTCGAAGTGGTGATAAAAAACGATTTAGCCATGGGCAGTCCACTCAGCGGGCTCGATAAATCTATGCTGAAGCTAACATTTTCCAATACCAGTAACCTGTTTGAGGCACGCAGAGTTTTAAGACCAATTATTATGGACAATAAGAATAATCAATTACAGAGGTCTATGTACCACTCCAGTAATGGCGTTTTAGAGGATACAAAGATGCTAATATCAGATATACGGGAGTATGATGTGCCATTCCACGTAAGAGTCGCAATAGATAATGACGTTCGAGTCGGTAAATGGTATAAGATAACATCCCGGGGTTTTCTAGAGATAACTGAGAAAGTCGCTTTCGCAGATCCAGTGGTATTGGCGTTTGACATCGAAACTACAAAAGCACCTCTCAAATTTCCTATTGCCACCGTTGATCAGATCATGATGATTTCTTATATGATTGACGGAGAAGGCTTTCTTATTACCAACCGAGAAATTATTTCGGAGGATATTGAAGATTTCGAATATTCACCAAAGCCAGAATACCCCGGATTCTTTACAATCTTTAATGAGGCAGATGAACTCTCACTACTTGAGAGGTTTTTTGAGCATATCAGAGATGTGAGACCCACTGTGATCTCCACGTTCAATGGTGACTTTTTTGATTGGCCATTTGTGGAGACTAGGGCTAAGATCAATGGTTTAGACATGTTTGAAGAAATTGGTTTTGCTGTTGACTCTGAAGGTGAATACAAATCAACATATTGTGCTCATATGGACTGTTTTAGATGGGTTAAGCGTGACTCTTACCTACCTCAGGGTTCTCAAGGCCTGAAAGCCGTGACACAGGCCAAGCTAGGGTATAATCCTATCGAGCTGGACCCAGAACTGATGACTCCTTACGCTTACGAAAAACCACAGCTTTTGTCAGAATACTCTGTTTCAGATGCTGTTGCAACCTACTATTTATACATGAAATACGTGCATCCCTTCATTTTTTCGCTTTGCACTATTATTCCTCTGAATCCAGATGAAGTTCTTCGCAAAGGTACTGGTACTCTTTGTGAGATGCTTTTGACAGTCCAAGCGTACAAAGGTGATATTCTGCTGCCGAACAAGCATACCGACCCCATCGAAAGGTTTTATGATGGTCACCTGCTTGAATCTGAAACGTACGTGGGAGGCCACGTCGAATCCTTAGAAGCTGGTGTTTTTCGAAGCGACATCAAAAACGATTTCAAAATTGATCCCACTGTCATAAACGACCTATTAGATGAATTACCGCATGCATTAAAGTTCTGCATTGAGGTTGAAAATAACTGCAAAGTTGAAGACGTTTCGAATCTTGATGAAGTTAAACATGAGATTGAAAATCGCTTGAAAGAACTTAGAACCAACACCAAAAGGAACGAACTGCCGTTAATCTATCATGTCGACGTCGCATCTATGTACCCGAACATCATGATCACAAATCGTTTACAGCCTGATAGTGTTAAGAGCGATCGTGATTGTGCTAGCTGTGATTTCAACAGACCCGATAAAAGCTGTGATAGAAGACTACAATGGTCATGGAGGGGTGAATTTTTTCCATCAAAGATGGATGAGTATAATATGGTTAAAAGGGCTTTACAAAACGAAGTGTTTCCAAATAAAAACAAGAATTCTTTCAAGAAATTCCTATCGTTTGATGAACTTAGTTACACCGATCAGGTAATCCACATCAAAAAGAGATTGACTGAATACTCTAGAAAGGTATATCATAAGGTAAAAACTTCGGAAGTTGTCGAAAGAACGGCCATTATTTGTCAACGTGAAAACCCATTTTATGTGAACACGGTCAGATCTTTCAGGGACAGAAGATACGAGTTTAAAGGATTAGCAAAAACGTGGAAACAAAAGCATTCTGGGATAGATCCTGATGATAGACATGCTAGAGATGAGGCCAAAAAAATGACCATCTTGTATGACTCTCTGCAACTTGCGCACAAAGTCATTTTAAACTCCTTCTACGGATATGTAATGAGAAAGGGTTCAAGATGGTATTCAATGGAAATGGCTGGCATCACTTGCTTGACTGGTGCCACAATCATTCAAATGGCAAGATCCGTAGTTGAGCGTATTGGTCGACCTTTGGAACTGGATACTGACGGTATATGGTGTATCATTCCAAGTTCGTTTCCAGATAACTTCCAATTTACGTTAAAGAATGGAAAGAAGTTGTTTTTGTCATATCCGTGCTCCATGTTGAACTACAAAGTCCACTTACGATTCACGAACCATCAATATCAAACTTTAGTTGATCCTGTGAGGCACCGATACGAAACCCAGAGCGATAACTCCATCTTTTTCGAGGTCGACGGACCCTATAAAGCAATGGTGCTGCCAACATCCAAAGAAGAAGGTAAAGGAATCAAGAAGCGGTACGCCGTATTCAATCATGATGGTTCTTTGGCCGAACTAAAAGGTTTTGAATTGAAAAGAAGAGGAGAACTGCAATTAATCAAAAACTTCCAAAGCGACATCTTCAAAGTGTTCTTAGATGGCGACTCACTAGAGGGCTGCTATGCTTCAGTTGCTACTGTTGCCAACAGATGGCTTGACGTCTTGGATTCCAAAGGTGTCATGCTAGAGGATGAAGACTTAATCGAGCTCATTTGCGAGAACAGAAGCATGTCGAAAACCTTGAAAGAATACGAGGGACAAAAATCTACGTCCATTACCACCGCTAAGAGACTGGGTGAATTTCTTGGCGAAGAAATGGTTAAAGACAAAGGTTTACAATGTAAATACATCATCAGCTCTCGCCCCGCCAATACTCCAGTTACCGAACGTGCGATTCCTGTTGCGATATTTTCCGCTGATTTCAATGTGAAGCGGTCGTTTTTGAGAAGGTGGCTTGTGGACTCATCACTAGAGACTTTTGATCCCAGGGTAATTATAGACTGGGCCTACTATAGAGAAAGATTAGCCTCAGTAATCCAGAAAATTATCACTATCCCTGCAGCATTACAGAATATAAAAAACCCAGTTCCAAGAGTTGAGCATCCTGACTGGCTTAAAAAAAAGATCGCAGTCAGTGAGGACAAGTTTAAACAAACTTCATTAAACACTTTCTTTAAAAAAGCCAAAGCCAAACCTCTGGTGGCAGATATAGAAGATACGTTTCATGATGGATCAGCTGCAGCATTAAGCAATAAAATTGCTAGAGTGACATCGAAGCGGAATTCAAAACGAAAAAAGGCTGCCGCAGAAGAAGAGGAAATGTCACTAGTACTTCCTTCGGTGATACCCGCCATGGAAGAAGATTACGTCGCATGGCTTTGCTATCAGAAGATAAAATGGAGAATTCAAGCACGCGACAGGCAGCGAAGAACCCAGTTGTTCGGCAGTCGTACAAGCACCAATCAAAGATCTGCTTTGGGAAACATCATGAGGAAACACGCTGAGTCTTATGCAAATTCTACCTGGGATGTTTTGGAATACAAAGAGACATCGGAACCAGGAACGCTGGATGTTTGTGTCCTTTTGAATGGTAAAGTTCACCGGCTAAAATTCAAAATACCGAAAAGCTTGTACTTGAACTTTAAGTCGAAGACTGTGCCTGCTCGGGGAATTGAAAACTGTATAGTGGAAAAGTCTACAGCCATCTTGCCAAATCTAGGTATGGCAAGAAGCGAAGACTCTAGCCCCTTGTTGAAACTGACCCTTTCCGAGGACACGTACCTTGAGGAAATACAGAAAACAAATAGTATTTTGAATGATGATCAAGTTTTGGGTATCTATGAAGCGTCTATAACGTCTACCGAACGAGCTATCATGGACCTGGGATCAGCAGTAGAATTCAACTCAAGCACTATTGGCGCTTTAGGCAAAGGCCTGCAAAAAGGATTTGAGCTCAAAAATCTCCATGCGGCGTCTCCTGAACGTTACTTGGATAGATTCTCGCTGGATGTGGGTTACTTACTGCATTTATCAACTAATCTTGGGTACGAATACTTTGTGCTTTATAAAGCATGGAATTTTGATATCGATGTTTTTGTCTTGAAGCCATCCGCTAGTGCACAAGAAATTAGTCTCCACGCTCTCCAGGGTATTTTTAGAGAATCGCGGTTACAAAAATCTAAGAAACTAGACCAGTTCTATGATCTTATCAAGTTTTCTGAAGAAATTGAGGCAAGGATGGAATCATTCATAGACTTAAAAGCGCTTTACAGAAAGTTATCTACAAGCATCAATCGGCTCAACGAAGAAAAAGGCTCTCAAGTCTTGATGCTTCTCCAATCACCCTATACTCAAAAACTTAAACAGGCTATCAAACCTCTGCGTCAAGTTCCTGTAGTTGAAATTTCTTCTGCGGAGGTTAACCTTCCACAATTGAATTGGCAAAATGCAATAATGAAAAAGATAGTAAACCACATCTTGTCTCTCGGATCGTGGCTTAAGAATCTGATATCTTTATCGCGCTACAGTAATATACCGATTTGCAACATTAAACTCGAGAAGATGGCATTCGTTGTTGACATACTTTACGCTAGAAAGTTGAGAAAGAATAACATAGTGCTATGGTGGAACGATGCTAATCCATTACCTGACCATGGTGGTATTGAAAAAGATTTCAATCCACTCGTGGCATCCTTGATGACCGATTTAGACCTATCGATTAGCAATACACCAGCTATATATGATGCTGTCACTTTGGAAATAGAAATGAGCAACCTTACTGTTAACACTGTTCTGACTTCTGCTGTTATCAACGAAGCTGAGGGGAGCGATCTCATGGAAATTGACTTTTCGAGTGCCGACGATGGGAATGGCGCATCTAATAAAGCTTTTGTAGAGGACAGTTTCTCGAGCGTGTCATTGTCCGTATTACGAGCGGTCCTCAAATCATTTTGGGACGATGCTTTAAATGAAAATGTAACCGCAGACTCACTTGTACACACTTTCATCCACTGGGTGCAATCTCCAGACTCGAAGCTTTTTGATTATGCTTTGAAGTATCATGTCCACAACTTGACTAAAAAGGCTATCCTACAACTCATCAATGTTTGCAAGAATATGGGGTCCGAAGTGGTTTATGCAGACCGCGGAAAGCTGCTTTTGAAAACTAAGAAAAATTCCGTCGAGAGTTGTTATGCATACAGCCAGTACTTGATCAAAGCTATCAGAACATCGCCTTTGTTCGGTTTCTTAGATCTGTCTATTCGCAGATACTGGGATCTGCTGTTGTGGATGGACTCCTTCAATTTTGGAGGTAGAGCTTGCACCCAAATTATCGACCATGATCACCAGGACCTGCAAGCTTACTCCCAGTGGCACATAAAAGCTTTTTTACCCAGAATTTATCAACAAGAATTTGACGATTGGATGATTATCATTTTGGATAGTATGATCAAGGCCAAAGACGATTACCTCGAAAGTAATAAAGAATCGCAAAGATTGACCCAGTTGACCACTAAGAAGCACGAAACAGGTGATAGCAGTGAGCCAACTGGGGCACTAACCGGTTTTACAGATCGTTTTGGCGCAGCACTTATCAAACGAATTCAGAAGCTTTTACAAACCCAGCGGGAGTATATTTTGGATCCCAGCTTCAGCTCAGATTATGCTTCGCCAGAACTCCCCGGATCCCACTTAAAGGTTCGCAATCCATTACTTGAGCTCGTCAAAAGTTTGTGCCACATCATGTTGTTATCCAAGGAACAGACCCTCGAGGTTCGTGCCCTCAGAAAAGACTTATTGAAGATATTTGAAGTACGCGAGTTTGATTGGGAGTCAGAGTTCAAAAATCCTAGCTCTTCGCTCAAAGTGAGCAACCTAGCCTGCGAACACTGCGCCTTTGTCACCGATATTGATTTTTGCAAAATCGACGACGCTATCCTCCTAATGTGCGAGCATTGTAAAAAACCTTTTAACCACCTTTTACTGCAAGAATACTTAATTCAGACCTTGCAAATAGAGCTTCAGAATTACTTCGTTCAAGATCTCAACTGTGCCAAATGTGGTAAAGTGAAAGATGATCTGATGTCTTCCCACTGCCCCTGTTCTGGAAGTTGGAAAAACTCAATCTCAGAAGAGGTGTTAAGCAAAAAAATTACGGTGTACCAAAAAGTAGCTGGATTCTTCAAGTTTGATCTACTAGAATCAATGGTTAATGAACTGATAAGCACTTAAACCGGAACATTTAACAGGCCATCGATTTTTTGTCACCAGTTACGATTGTTTTGTAATTTCCAGCTGTTTGTAGATCATCAACAGCTTTGCATGAATCTCGCTAGCATTAAGCGGTATCAAAAGACAGAGCGGTTTTGACAACTTATGCTTTCTGCTGTACCATCTGTCGAATTTAGGGAGTATCAAGCAACTTCGTTAGCCTGTTTTGTGAGCGATGATCCCTCAATCTCGCCGCCGAATGTGATTATTCAAGGGCATCAAAGTTCTGGAAAAACGCTGACCCTGCAGAAATTCTTTGAACAGAATCCACAGATCCATAACTGTTGGCTTAACCCGGTTGAATTAGTAACTTGGAAGCCACTCCTGCAGCATGTTGCGAGATCGGTCTCGAATAAGCTAACAAATGTGTTCCCGCATTTCCACTATGACAATCAAGATGCGCTTGAGGCAGAGGACTTTTACTTTCTTATCCGGGTCTTGGACGGTATTCTAAGCTGCTACCAGGAGTTGGAGGAACGAATTAACTTGTATGTGGTTCTCGATGGATTTGATCAATTGAAAGAGTTGGATTTGGAACTTCTTCCAAAGTTTCTTAAGCTGCATGAACAACTGTCGACCGACTACAAGGTGCAGCTCAAGTTCATATATATTGTACGAGATGTTGCATTCCTCAGCAAATATAGTACTTACAATGTCCCCACTATAATATTCCCGCGCTATAAGCATGAACAGGTGGCAGAGATTCTACTCCAAAATAAAACTAGCAAGTATGCCGAGAGTGGATTACTTGTACGAAAAATCATGCGTCTTGAACTAGATCCAGAAGACTCGATCTTTGAGCAAATATCAGAAAACTACATCAAGCTCATAATTCAAGCATTTCACTCATACACAGGGAATGACATCGTAGCGTTAACCGACATCATGGACTCCAAATGGGAGGGCTACGTTGAGTCAATAACGGCAGGAAATATTTACGAACCGTTATCGTTGTATCGTTCGAACATTGAGCTCTACACCAAAACTGGTGACACATTTACCACCCAAGACGAGCCGGACGTCTCCGGTCCAAACAAAGAAAAAGCTACTGCCTATGAACTATCATCTATCTCGAAGTATTTGTTGGTTGCTGCATATCTGTGTTCGTATCTGGAGCCCCGTTACGACAGCAAAATTTTCTCTAAAAAGTCCCACTTGCGTGCTGGTAGATCATCGTATGGGCGTCGAAGCAAGATGGAAACCAACCCGCGCTACCTACAGCCTTCGCTTTTCCAACTGGAACGGCTTTTCTCCATATTTCAAGCCATTTTTCCACTGGGTGAGGAGCCCCAAGGAAAATCCAGCATATTTCATCAAGCTGAACTAATGAAGGCCAACGTCGAAGTGTATGAGAATCTTGCCGAGCTAAACAGTCTAAAGCTGATTACCACTGCAACTCCTAAAAACGTGGACTACTTGAGCTACAAACTAAAGTGGAAAATCAACGTTCCTTGGGAAATCATAACTGAAATTAGCTCGAGCCTCAAATTTGACATCGCCGAGTACTTCTCAGGATTGCATAATTAGTTATCTATTCATTATAATTGAAGCTATCGTCATCATATACGCGGAATGCGTTTTACTGTCAAATCGAGTATGAATAATGAATTTTGAGATAACTTTAGTCAGTCTAAAAATATGATACCGTGTTGTATGGAGATGGAGAAACTTATAGTTAACGCTAAGGGCTTACCAAATGCAAGAAAAGAGGTTGGATTAGCATTTGAAAGCTCTGATGATGAAATTTTAAACGAGGAAGGTTTTACGAAGAAGAGAAGAAAGAAAGATCAATTGACAGAAGACTTCTCTAGTAGCTCTTCTAATTGTGACAACGAAGATTTGGAACAAGATGAGGAATCGAGAGTCACCGATAGCGATAGTGAAATAGAAGAGCCTGTGGTCAAAGAAGATGATATGTTTGCCTCCGATGATGAGGCCGAGCCTGTTACAAAGCAGCGCACATCGGATCACGAATCGGTCGGAGACTTCGCACTGGAAGCCTTCAATATGGATGAGGAATCCAAAACCGGTGTCTTTGATAAGTATGGAAACTATAGCGAAACTAAGAAAGACGTTGAGGACGAAGTACAAGAGCAGGATCGATGGATAGATGATTATAATGATGGCGCACAAGTAGAGCAAGCCTTGCTAGCTAAGAAGGCGAGGCTCACACAAGAGGATTCTCTTAGGGTCAAAGCCTCAAAGAATAAATGGCTTTTAACTCTTGACGAAGCCTTGAAGAGGTTAATGTATTTTCTATGCGAGGATGAAACATTGCTTGATGCGCTAGGAAGGCTTAACAAGTACCGAACGCAATACGGAAAGAAGTCTAAGCTTCATAAGGCTGTCCTCAAGCAACAAAATTATGAATCGGAAACTTTTGACAAGCTGCGATTTGAGCACACCAAGACTGCTATCAATCTGATTACCGATCTCATGGAAATCATCGAAAAAAAAGGTATCACAGATGTGCAAGAACTTACCAGAGCAAAATTAGAAGAATTGATAGAAGAGGAGTCGCTGGACGACCAAAGAACTGATCATTACCAGACAAAGCTGTGGAACTTCAAATGGATTAACGATTTAAGTACTCTCAACGAGTCATATACCAATTACGAAATGCAATCTTGGAAGCAAACGTATTTCCAAGATAATGTGATCGTTAGACACGTAGACGACAGAGATGAGCCAAAGAACTGGATCCATATCAAATGTTTGCAGTTTATGTAAAATATAAGATTGAAAAAGAACAAATCGATTAAGGAATTTGAACACTGCCCCGTCTACCAAGTGTCTGGTTGGGTTCTAGCTGACGAGTCTGTACCGTCGTCGTCTTCTACATAGCTGTTCAGCTCGCCTGCCACAATTTTTGTAATTTTCTCAAGCTGTTCATAGGTTAATTTGGCGGAAGAATATGGAGCCAAGTCCTTCCAGTGTTTGCTAAGCACCATCAGCAGTAACCTGAATTTGTTTTTTAATTTCACCATATTTCTCTCGTATATCTCAACACTGGCGTTTTCGTTGCCCATTGGAATTTCATCTATGAGTTCCAGCATAAGGTTGACATTTTTCTCGATAGATGGGCTTAGTTTAAGTGCTTTAAGACTATTGCAAACACCCTGGACAAGTCCTAGGAAGAGAAACCTCTGAAACCCAACTTGCAAACCGTATTGCTTGCCTTCTATTAAATTATGTTCAAGGTTTTCCCTCCTACCTTCTTCAAAACCAACCTGGTAGAATTGCTCTTCTAGATTCACCGTTTCGTCATAATCCATACTGATGGAAAGGGCTTGGAGATTGTGTTTCTCGAACTCATCGCCGATACAGAGGTGCTAGAAGGATAGTTTACTCCGATGTGCGTAATATTTACGTGAATAGTGATGCTTTCCGAGTTTCCGAGTAAATATGTACTCGTATATCTAAATTGAGTGCTGAGTCCCCCGCACACTTTCATCAACTTCGACACAACTGCTAGTTGTTCTTTCACGATGCATACATTTCATTAGATATACTCTGTATTTATACGAATCTACTATTCCTGTTCTTGCGGCAAATATCAAAGCCTCTCGGCTTTCCTAACTTCTTTGCCTGTTTTCTTAATCTTTTCCAAAACTGTGTCCAAAGGGAGAACGCTTTCGACATCGACAGTTTGTTTTTCAAGCGATATCTCTATATTTGACACATCAGGTTCCATTCTGGTCAAAACACGGCTTATGGCGTTGGAGCATCCTACACAAGTCATAACGACTTCAAAATGATAGCGATTAGCTGCTGACATTTGAAATGGATTCGTTAGGTGCTGGTTCGGTATCAACTGACCTTTAGTCTAAGTCACTATATGAAATAATTGCATTTTAGCCTATGTAGATGGGCATGTTAATGCTTACTTGATGAGATATCTTTGACGACCAGCTAAATTAACGCACCCAGTACTCCGGGTAATTTAATGGCGTACACCGGAACTCTGGTCACACACGAAAGATTGACAAGCTACATAGCGAACAGTACTTATTATCACCAATTGCCGATACTTTATTCCATCCGTTTTCTTTTTTTCTTTGTTCCTTCAACCGCTCCTTTCCTCTCGAATTGTTCTTATTTCGTCAATGCACTCTCTCCTCAAGCCAGTGTCTGCGAAAAGCATCACGATCCACTGAACAATCTCGTCTGTTGAAAAAAGATAAAAATCCCCATTCGAGAACATGTCCATAATGTGGGTCAAATGAGCCGTCAATATTTCACCGACAATTGCCAATTTTTCGCGAGAATGCTTACAATTGGCGTCAGACTCCAGTTGCGGATGATTGGTACTGGTCAGGAGCAGTTTTATCAACTCTGCCAGATTCTCCGAGTTTCTCTCGGAGATCAGGCGCCAGGACATAACCGTATCGACAAAACAGTCCACGTAGATGTAATTGACGAACTCGCTCAAAATTCGGGGGTTGTGGAGCTTGAATATGGCTGGGAGAGCTACGCCCTCAACGTAGGGCAGAAGGGACTCGATCGTAACAGTCCAGTTGGGGTTTTTATCGTGTTCTAAGAAACTTTTGAATTGACGATTCATCAACGTCTTCATTGTTTTCTTCAGGTTCTCCACATGTGCCCTAACAAAGTGTGAGTTCAGTTCTTGGAGCCGGAAGACCTTCCGTTTATTCGGATATTCTGCAACGATATACTCCACGTCATGATAAAGCTGCCACCAGTCTTTGTACTTGCACATGCACATGGCCATAAAAGATGTAAGTAAAAGGTTCAGCTTGTAGTCTAAAATGGACTCAATCTTTGCTCTGCCTATCTCGTCACATCCAAGCTCGAAGTCCGACAACATCTGGAGACATAGAGCCGGTATTTGTGTTATTGTTACTTTTGCATTAGAATCTTCACTAACGCTGATGGATTCATCCCAGGCATGTTGCCAATCGTCACTGCCCTCGACTTGAGTGGCTAGCTTGGATTTTGCGGGTGTCTGCTCCGCCGCATTGGTCTCTAATGCTAGCTCAATTTCGTCATCCCATCCGTTATTTTCTTCTTCATCATGGTGGTCTATTGTTGCGTCGTCGTGGCCCCAACCCCATTCATCCTCCAAATTTTGATTTTCTTCTACCTCCTTTGGCATTTCCGGCTGAGCAGAATTTGCGGACACTTTATCTTGCAAAAAGTTCGTGATAACTTTGGTGGTTTGCCAATCTGCGCTTTTGAAAGCCTCTCTTATTCTAGTGTTCTGCACCTGCAATATTTTATCCAGTTTAAGATTGTTGATCACAGAGTCGTCATTCAATAGTGTGTCAAATTCCCTACCATAGTATAGCCATTTATCGCCTACTTTTTCGGACAGCAGTTTCAGCTTCTCATTTAACACTAACAGTTCATCCTTATGCTGGCTTTCAGCTGCTAGTAATTGGTTAGAGTTTTGCTTGAAAAACTTGATTATCTCTACAACAATAGTATTCCCTAAGCGAGACAATATAATGCCCGCGTCAGCGGTAGTAACAGTTTCAGAAAGAAATTCTACAACTGCTCCAAAGCTATTGATGATTTCATGCAGATTACAACGCTCAGATATAGTTTCCAGCGTATCGTTGTCTTTTATTTTTAGACAGACATTAGACGAGAACAAAAATGACTTCAACTTTCCCTGTACCACTTGTAGCTCGCAATAGTCATTATGAATTTTTGAAAGCTGCTTAATAAGAGTTTCTTTAACATCGCTCATGTTGAGCGACGAGATAAACCAAATGTTCGGTTCAAAGCGGCCCTCCGAGAAAAAACAGGCTTTCAAAAACTGTTTGAACTGGGTATATTCCAGCTCAAGCTGCTCTTCTCCTACTGTGATAGTGCGGTTGAAAGATATGAATCCAGCACCTATTTTCCAAAACTGACGCATGGCGGAATCGCAATGAGAAACCAGATTGAGATGAAACTCGTCGATATGTAGCTTCAGTGATTCCTGAAATTGCATCGGGAGTTTAGAAAGGTCCACTTGGTCCAACTTTTTGCGAATGTTTTGCAAAGAGTAAAAACAGTTTTCGAGTTCCCAAAGTTGGAAGTTCAACTTTACTTCTTCCAGTAGTTCCGAGATCAAGTCTAGTTCACGATAAATCAGGAGCTGTTTGCTCAGTTGTGCTTCTCGCGCCAGAAGTGCCTGCACGTCACCCGATTCAGGGCTACTCACTTCACTGGGAAACGTGAGTTTTGGATCATTTTCGATGCTCGCCAAAATCGTATCTGGATCGGACAATATACCGTCCAGCTGCTCGGTTATATTCCGAAGCTCATATCCTGCTTCTGAGTCCAATTGAGCCATTTGATTGGAAATGGTCGTTGGATCACTTAACTTTATTAAGGATGTATTCAATGTGAGTACGATTCGAATTAAGAAGTTCTTGTTAGTACAAAGTGATAATTACAGACTGCTCTGACAACATTAACAGTTGACTACTGTTGGATACTATACCTCAAGACGGATTAATCTAAATAGAGTGAGCATTAATTGCGTTTCTGTATCTTAGGTCAGTTTTGATGAATGTTGGATAGGAAATGTTATCTATCATAATTGATCTGAGTGAGCTGAGTTGTATCATCATGTAAAATACAGAAAAATCAAGAAATTCACATTTTACGAGTTATTAATACGCACAACTGAGAAATCTCTAAAAGCGAGTATTCTTACTGGCTTGAGTTTTCACAATTGTGGTAGTTATTACAAGGCTGAGGACGCTTATGCTTCAGGTTACTGTCCTCTTATTAAGAGAGATGAAGTTGATGTTAACAGTTGCAAAAGTATTTGGCTTTATATACTCAGAAAACTGATAGCTTTGTTCCGGGTAACGGATAAAGTCTAATAGTAAGGGCTTCAATTCATCAGCTGTCGGTTTGAGGAAGAGCTTACTAGAGCAGCTCTTGGACACTCTTGTATTCTACTTGGCACTTTTCGCAGTGCATCTGGAGCTGAGTATCGTTGATCCATGTGTCAGGCATGTCTTGCTCCACTGTCCGGCAGTTGTGAATTTCGTCTGACAAAAACGCTAAGTAATCACCATGCACTAGTTCTTTGTCCATTGTGTTCAGAATCTTGAGTTCTACGAGTAGCTCATTGCGCTTGAGCGCAATTTCGTGGCGCGTTGCACGATATTTACTTTCAACCTCACGGTCTGATGACATGAATTTTTCAAAGCAGTCGCCATTCCCGCTGATGAGGACGTCTGTCAGCAAATTGAGGTCTTCAATGTAAAGAGCTCGTTGCATTGGTTGGCGACCACCATCCAAATAGCTCTTAAATAGGTTTTCTGCACTTTTTACGGACCAATACGACCAAGACGACTTGCCCAGCATGAACATATTAATGAATATCGACAACACCAAGCCCAGCAACACGAAACGATTCAGAGCAATAACATTCGTTAATATTGTGTGTGTTAATTGAAAGGACATTCTTATCACTGTGAAGATAAAGTTGACAATATAAAACAAAACGTACTTCATTGAGAAGCGCATAAGCGATACTCGCGAGTAGCTAGCAGCTTCATTATTACTGACGTCCAAAATGTCATCTGTGCCCTCAATTAAAGCTAATTGTCCACAAAGTCTAACTGCCTTAAGAACTTGCCCATGTTTTCCAATCCTGTCCAAGTATTTCTGAATCACGTTACGGAGTAGAATAGATTCGTAACGCATGAAATGCATAACCAGTCTTTTGGCAAGCCGCTCAAAAATATGCATGCTTTTCGCTGGTTTACCGTCATTGTCGTCAAAAAATGTAACATCATAATGTAGATATAGAGAACATGTTCCTCCCACTCTTCCGCTATAATGCGACTTGCTACTTTTAGCGTCTGACCTTGTAATAATGATTATTTTGGAACGGACGCTAAACGATTTGGCAAAGGGAACCTTAATCTTTCCTGTTTCTTGATCAACCTCGTAATAAACATTTTCCTTTGCGACTTTTATGCGTTGTGCAACACTCAAAAAGGTAGATTCTTTCTTTTCGCCCCACCCGTTACCATCAGCCGAAAAGAAGTGTTGTGTAGGATCGATCTTGAACGTGATAGTACGAGCTGCTTCTGTCAATTGTCCCACTTTTTCGGCGTACCAGCAAGACACAGTACTGTCAACCCCTTGACGATGGGCAAGAAGATAAGCCCGCTGAAAGGCGCTTGACTTGTTTCCAAATAGTACATGCATCAGGCCTCTGGGTGGAATGTTGAAGTCCATTTTAAATACCGACGCATATTGTGTTTGGAAGTTTTGTTGGCGTCTTATGAGATCATAAAACGACTGGTCCACACCCCAAAACATATTTTCGCGATGGTTAGTTTTTACCAATTCTTTCCCTCTATTACTAGATTCTGCTCGATTCTGTTCAGAAAACTCTTTGTCTATATTCGAGAGCAACGCTAGAATTTCCCGTTCGCTTTTCGCATGTTCGGTAGCGCCATTCTCGAGTAAAAGACGAATCTTGGCTGCCGTAACTTCTGGATCGTCAAAGAATACAGTACAGGTCATAGAAAGCTCGTCTATGTCGTACAGCTTCATGACAGCAAAACTTTTGTCGTCTGCTTTTTTGACCACTTCGGCAGATACCAGATGCTCTAAGCTTCTGTTCAACAAGCAGATGAACCCCATGGAATTCATATAAAAGTATACGTTCCTTGACGTGACGTAACACATGCCTGAGAATCCTTGTTTTGTGTTAGGAGACCATGAACAAGGAAACGACAGTAGTAGAAGCTCATTGAATTTGCTCTTCATCCGCTGGGAAGCGCTCGAGAAAAACAGGCTTTTAAACTGAATGTCTCGATTGCGCATATCCCTTGGATAAAAATCAGGGTACTCTATTGGGCTCCAGATCGGGGAAGTTGCGTCTTTTTCTGGACAAAGATTCACCAAGCCAAAATCTGGTAAGTCCGAGCCACTTGAATTGACATTGTAGCAAAACTCACTCCAATTGACGCTACCCCAGTAATTGGCCATAATTGCATTAGGCACTCCATCACTCGCCAAGAAAAAGCTAGATATGATGCTCAGTTTTGTAAGCTTTGTCATAATGGGCGTTTTGAGCAGCGGAGTTTGGAACGGTGAGTCATGAGGGAAGATGATATTTCCCGTTTCCGAAAACGCAGCTTGCATCAATTGTAGTATTGACTTACCATAATGCCCGTCGGTGTCAAATGATGTCATTCGTTGATCTGTTTCGCTCGTTGAGCTACATGCAAACTCGTAGAATAGCGGCGAAATTCTTGAGAAAGAGAGCTCGTACTCCGGATCACCTTTTTCTAGTAGGAGAACGCGTTTCTTGGCCTCTTCAAATGCGCCTAGCCATAATCTGAGGTCAGCAAGCGTTTCAGTTTGGAAAACAAGGGACATGCGCTCTGCTGTATTGCTTCGGCCCCCTCCTGATCCGGGCTCTGCACCCGCGATTTGAGCTTCAAAGCAAAAGTGCCTCTCTTCGTTGGGATCGTAACGAACATTCATAAGAAGAACGCCGAACTTGTCAGTCTCTTCAATTGCTGTGAGTGCTGGTGAAAGAAGGAAAACACCGAAAACTGATTTTTTCAAGAAACACCACCGTCTTACCCAAACGGTTCGGGCAGGTTTGCCTGTCATTGTCTTCATGAATAGCCAGCCTGAATTTTCAGTGGCTGGCTTTTCTCCCGGTTGAATCTGCTGACGCAATGTCGCCTGGTTGATACTTTTGACGTTGTAATCATTCAGGTCGCGAGAAGGCTGTAGTTGTTTTATTGTAAAAGCCTGAACTTGTTGCTTGGCTTTTTTCATGTCCTCTAATAAAGAAAAGTTGTTTTTATTTACTTCCTTGTGCCAATTCTGATGCTTCTTAAAGAGTTCTAACGTTTCTCCTCCTTCTTGGCCACTCATGATTGCGTTCTGTAGAGGACCTCTTCTTATAAGAGTGCCTACTACCGAGTTCATAGCTTCATCCAATGCTTCCTGCATCTGAGAGATTTCCCAGGCAATGTCAAGGGAGGACTCTAGATAGCCTTTGCGTACTTCAAATAACTGAAATGCATCTTCACGCATGCTTGATGGCTCGACGTTTGGTCCTTGCACTTTGATGCTTTGGTATTTCGCCAAAAGTGTGTCATGTTTCGATTGGAAGTAATCAAAGTTCTTACGCTTTTCCTTGTAAGGCTCTATTACCTCGGTTAGGATCCTCGAGAGAGCAGACAAAAAAGACTCTGGATCACCTCGCAATAGCAATAGAAGGCGGCTGGAAAGATTGCAGAGATCGCTGTGAAATTCTTCCAGTATAGCTGGAGTGTAGAGCTGGTTCTCAACAATACCGTTGTATAAGTAATCTGAAGGCGGAAGTGATTGGGCAAAAAATGTGTCACTCAGCTGCTTAAAGTCATCGAGTGACGGTAGAAACTTGTGTTTGTAAAATCTGGCCACGTTATCAATCCAGCTTTCCAAAGATTCGACTTGCACATGATAGAAGTTGGCGCTCGCCCTAAATGACGGAGAGTCCATGGACGCCTCTTTGAATGATACCGACATTAATTTAAGCAGCCTATTGGCACCTTTCCCAGGTTTATTATCAGCCATTTTGGCTTACTGACCGGCTTTTGCAAGTTCTAACCACTATCGTTTCTACCAAAATGCTCTAAGAGGTCTAGTAACACATGTAGCTCCTTTGATGAGTCAATTGTGAAGTCGGCTTTCTTTCCATACGCTAGTAAACTGAGGTAGGAAATTGCAGGCCCCTATGAGAAAGTGATTTATTATCATCACATGATCAAAGTTGTCCGAGCTTTTCGTTTGTTGGTATTATCAAAATCCTCTGCGTGCCAAGTTGTCAGCCACGCCAAGGTAGAAATCCAACATGTCGACGTCGGGCTGCATTTGTCTTTTAACAGAGTTCGAAGGGCCAAAAACTAGCGAAACAACTTCTTTTTGTAGCCTATTTTTCCAATTTATAATATCAAGGTGGTCTGCGTTCTGAATGGTACCCATATATTCACCCCACCTACTGCTTTTAACACTGACTAGCCCGTCATTGGGCTCTCCTTTAGAGAGATCGAAGACGATGTGCCACGAAGTGTAAAATAAGTTGTACCATTTAGGTTTCATGGAAGCGCCGTAACTCAAGTAAGCTACGTTTGGGTCATCTGGTGTCGCTTTGTTAAATGCTTCCATGCTTTTAGTGGTCAATTCGTAGAATGCAGGGGGCAGGATCTTCATTGGCAATTCCTTCGGAATCCCCTTTTGTACGTCGCTCGAGAACCCAACGACAAAATCAGCCATCTCGGAACCATGATGCGGTGTTGACACGGTCGTTAAACTGACAACATCAAAATTCCTGTTCTTTATGTTGGAGATGAGATATCGACAATCTAGTCCCCCCATAGAATGGGCTATAAGGTTGACCTTAATGGGTTTCTGTTTTCCGTTCTCTTTTTTGTTATTTTGTTCTTCCTGCTTAGAATTGTAAACTTCGTTAGGATCTTTAGACAATCGTAGATATCTCGTTTCCCGCTCAATGCATTCATTGAGAGTACGAGCTCTCTCCTCAATGCTGGAAAATCCTGGAACTTTAGCAGAGATTACTGTACATCCTTTAGCTTCGAGAGCCTGCTTAACGCCGAACCAGTACTCAACCTCAAGTAAACCCTTAATCCTGGAGTTTTCTGCATCTTGTTCAAGGAGCTGGTCGGCGTTGTTTGAACTCGAAACATTGTAAAGGAGCTTGGTCAGTTGTCCGATTGATGGTAACAAAATCAATCGATCAAAACCGGAAAGGCCATGACACAGAACGATGGGATTTTTTGGGGCCTGAAAGTTAGAACGCTTCGGTACCGTAGTAATTTCACGCGTGTGACCAGCTTCCTTGTTGGCAAGCTCAAGATATGCCTTGTTGAAGAGTTGTAAGTGCTGATCAGCGTATTTCGCTGCTACGGATCTGAGTGAGCACTTTTTTGTTGATTTTCTCCATCTGAAGAGCTTCTGATTGAACCAAGACCAGTTCAGGCCGATTAAAGGTATCGAAAGAGTTTGTTCAGGCATGCGATTTGGGGATCTTGATGATATTTTACCGCTTTGCTCAAGCAATCTACCGATCTGAAATCTGGGAATATTGTGCATCTTCGACGACCCCAACATTATTTACATGTCAATTATAAGTGTACGAGCTTCTTACATTGTTCTGCTTAGAAGGTGGCTAGTGTTTACTTACCACTTGTCAAGTTTCTTAGAACTCTGGCAGAAATCTACGTGTATTCTACGATCGTCAATTAGCACACCATCCATCTTTGAATAAGCCTTTTCGCAAGAAATCTTATCGGCAAATTCTATGAATCCATAGCATAAGGAAGTGCCTAGCTCTTTGTCATAAACAATCTCTATGGTATCTATTTCACCAAACCTGTGGAAAATTACTGCCAAATCTTTAGCTCGCGTCAAAGAATTCAGCTTACAGATAAAAAGAACTCTGTCAGATGGTTTGATCCCCACATGCGGGATATCTCCCAGGATTTCGAGCGTAAGCTCTTTGCTGCGTATATCTCTCTCTAGTCGATGTTCTTTATGTTCTTGGATCGCAGCTGCTATGACGCTGGGCGGTAGTCGTACATCCGTCTTCGGTGGATCAAACTCAAAAATGTTGAAACCATCTGGATCTGGATACGGGTCGTGTAGAACATGAGCTTTCTTGATTCGTATGTCAACTTCAGGCCTTTTTTCGTTATCAACGGTCTGGGCGTTCCAATCTCGAAGTGTATCCAATCCATCTAGTGTGACTTTTCCAAAGACTACAACGTCAGTGTAGGATTCCGCAGATTCTGCTAATGAAATCATAAACCTCGAACCTACCAAAGGCGTTGTGTCGTCTAACAAAGACGTGAGAAACGCAACGTCTCCAACCTGTGCCTCTCTAGATTTTCGATGCACCTGCGATGATTTAACTAACCTACCAGACACTTGATCCTTGGGACCCACAAGGCCTTGGATTGAGGTATTATGGAATCTTAACGTTTCTCGATATCTGTTTCCAACTACCGCATCGCCACATTCGATAGAGTAGTCTTTGTTTAGGTTGTAGAAACATTGATATTGGTAGAAATCACTCTTACAAAGCTTTAAAAAATTGAATGTTTCAACGGGATAGGTCTCACAATCAAGGTCCAGAACCAAATCTCCTCTAGTAGTTTCCAGAAGTACACTCATGTCGACGTAAGTGATCAAGAACGTTTTAAAAATTTGGGAAGTAGCTAATAGTTTTACATTAAGGTTCGTTATACGTACAGCGTCACATGATGGCAGAGCACTGTATTATTGAGAAGGTCCACTTACTCTGGCCATCATGAAGTCCTTGATAGGCCCTAGCGCCTGTAGGGCCTTAAGACCCATGCTTCTGACCGCAACAACAGGTCCAAAGTCCGTTGAATATAACTTATGCAGCTTGTCAACAACACCAAGAAGCATATTGTTGTAGGGATAGCGGTCAGCCCAGTAGGGTTCCAAGGTTAATAAGGACCCCAGATCGAGACCTCTTTTTGACGCACTTTCCAAAGCTTTGACAAGCGATTCAACATCGCCTTGTCCCATATTTAGGCCCTGGCCGGCTAAAGGGTGCGTAGTGTGAGCAGCGTCGCCAACAAGTGCGATTCGATCGGCAACGTAAGAGTCTGCATGGGACAGCTTCAAGGGAAATCTACCTCTAGACGTGCCATCAATACTACTAACAAGGGGAGGATATATCTCGTCAATGAGGGACTCATTTCCAAGTTTCCCGTAGATGAGGTCAGTCCGGTGATTGATGTCTAGTTCCAATTCTTGAGTTGTAATCGTACCTTGCTCCAATTGTTTGTAATAGTATTGCATGTCTACGTCCTCAAGCACAAACGCGGCGTTGACAAGCAACGCCAACTGTTCTGGGTCGATTGACACTAAGAGACGCGACAGTGGTTCTGTAGTGCTCCAAACTAACGTGGCGTTGTCACCAGGCAATGGTAGATGAGCAATTGGGCCTGTGGGTAGAAATCTTTGCCAACCTCTTGTCTTGAAAGGTAAGAAGTCTAGTTTCATAGTTGCAACAACACCAAATCTGTTATAAAACCATCCGCGAGACTCGATCTTGGAGAATTTCCTCACTGGAGAGTTGAACCCGTCGCAGCCCACCAGGAGGCGGGTCTCGAACACATCGCCGTTGCTCAGAGTCACTAGCAGCCATGACTGTGGGTCTTTTGGGTCCTTGTGCTCGATGTTGACCACTTTAGTCTGATCAACGAGGTTCAAATTTGATGCTTTCAGTTGCGAAAGCCTGTGTAGGAGAGAGCTCTGGATGTTTAAAATCTCAATCATATGGCCCATTGAGTCACGCTCCATTTCCATCCCAGCGTCAGAGCAGCCGTCAGATACGTAGAGCCCATCAAACGCTTGCAGACGGTCCTGCATCAGCTCAACGCCTACCCGGTCCTCCAGAAACTTTCGAGACTGTGATGTCAAGCTGATGACTCTGTTGGTAAATTTCTCTGGCGGTTCATGATAGAACTGTGCTGTTTTGCCCTTGAGATCGCCAGCGTCTACTAATGTGGTGGTCAGCGTTGATAAATACGGCGAGGTCTTAATTGCAGCTGCAAGCGTCAAACCTGCAGGCCCGCCGCCTACGATGAAAATATCAGTTTTTTTTGGCTTCGCAGCACTGGCCAGCGTTCTGGCAAGCGTCCAGTGCGGTTTCCAAAGTCTGAAAGCCCGCATTATTGTGTGATTTACGATTATTCAGGTAGAAGTATCCTTTTCAAATTATAATAAAGGAACTGAATGAAAGCCAATATTCGACGCCTCGAACACGCCTTAGCGAGTACTATTGTACTCCTACAACGTAGTGCAAGATGCGAGCTATTTAGCTCCTCGCCGAAGCCTCCAGAGCCTCCCCAACGACGCAAAAACGCACCTAAACTAGAAGAATGGCTTTTCGTGTCCATTTGCAGCGTAATGTTTGAGCCAATGCCCATTTTCTAATTACAATCTTAAACTGAAAAGGAGATCTAACCTGACATAATCGTAGATGCTTGCCGGCCTCAAGTATCGAATTCGCAGACAGGTTGTGGAGAATCTATTTCAAATCTACCTCTTCCTTGAAGCGCTCCTACCATGATTTCTCAGTTTCTACATTTCAACATGTGAACGGACTTTTTTGAATATAGTTCAAAGTGAAAAATTGCACAGTGTGGCATCACCAGTGATCGGGGGCCGTTCGTGGATAATTTCAGCGGTAATCGAATCGTTCTTGTTTATGATTGGTATTTAGTGTGTTTGTGATAGTTTTAGGCAAATTGTGGTTATATAGCAGAGCTTTACCAGTTGCTTCCAGTGCTGTGTGCAAGTTCAGTCGTTCAATGATGAGCTTCGGCAAAAACAAGATCAGCAGAGACAAGGTCCATATAGAGAAACAGGCGCTGCATGCAATCATAGGACCGGATTGCTGGAAGCGTACAGTTCCGCAAGATTGTCAAGTTTCACTAGAAATGACGACGGACTTTGCTAAGGCTGCCCAGTCCGATGAGCTTCGATATTCGCTGAACTACGCGGTGATCTCTAAAGACATTGCGCAATTCGTGGACCCTGCCAAAAACTTCAAGTCCCTCGGCAAGCTGGCAGAACAGTTGCTACTTCACGTGAAGGGCCGGCACCCGGGAATCGAACATCTGGCGCTGAAAGCGGAGGCTAAGGACGTCCACATTAGATCGGAAAACGTCGGAGTGGTAGTTCACACGCCGCAATTGGCGCACAAACCAGACGAGCTTGTTGTTTCAGGCCTGAAATTGTTGACTTTGATTGGCGTTTTCACCTTCGAGCGCTTGCAGAAACAGTATGTTACTGTCGATATCCATATGCCTTGGAGTATAGCATCGAATTCGAACATCAACCATCAGGAACTCATCGATGACGTCGTTGAGTTTGTCGAGTCTTCCAACTTCAAGACTGTCGAAGCCCTAGTAGAGTGCGTGGCTCAAATCACGCTTCAAAATGTCTACTTCTCGCAGAATGCGGAAGCGCCTGTGACTGTCAAAGTCATCAAATTGAATGCTATTACTGCCACCCAGGGCGTTGGCGTTAGTTGCACTCGTTTCCGGCGAGACTTCGCGGGAAAAGCTTCTTTAAAGCCCATCTCTCAATTGAACGCCTCTACAGTTTTTGATTTGCCAGCCTCACAATCCATACGCGTTCTGACAAAGAAGTCAAGTACAGCTTTCGTGGCGTTTGGTTCTAACGTTGGCGATCGCATTGCCAACATACAATGCGCTATCGACCTTCTGAACTCCCACGCCAAAGTTCGTGTCCAGAATATTTCTTCTATCTTCGAGAGTGAGCCCATGTATTTCCAAAACCAACGCTTATTTCTGAATGGGTGTATTGAGGTTAAAACTGAACTTTCGCCAGATCAGCTTTTGGAGCTGTGTAAACAGATTGAGTATGAGGAGCTCAAGCGGGTTAAAGAATTTGAAAATGGTCCTAGAAGCATTGATCTCGACATTATTCTTTACAAAAATGGCGACGGCGAAAGTGTAACTATTACTTCTGACAAACTGGTAGTCCCGCACCCCCGTCTGATTGAAAGAACCTTCGTGATGGAACCTTTATGCGAGTTAATCAGCCCTGATGAAATACATCCGGTTACAGCAGAGCCAATTTATGTTCATTTGAATCAACTTTACGAACAGGGACGCGCCGAAGATATATTATGGAAGGTGATTCCGCTGCCTCGCATGAACGATGAAGACAGATTTCTCAAGTTCAAAAATAAGTCAAAGAGGGACCCATTTAATGGTCGTGTCATCAATGCGACGGTGTCGCCAACTATAACAATGGGCATTCTCAATACAACCCCAGACTCCTTTTCCGATGGTGGGAAATTTGATAAGGGTCTTGACTTGTCTCTTTCTAGGGCTGAAAGTATGGTAAAGGAGGTGTTGAAACTGAATAACCAAGTGATAATTGACATTGGCGGTTGCTCTACCCGCCCCAATTCCGAACAAGCAACTCTGGACCAAGAAATTGAACGGACTATTCCGCTGATACGAGCAATCAGAGCATCGAAATCGATCCCACAAACAAGAGTCATCCTGTCGATCGATACTTACCGTTCACAAGTTGCACAGTCTGCTATTGAAGCAGGGGTGGATTTGATAAACGATATTTCGGGAGGGACATTTGACCCTCAGATGTTTTCCGTATTGGCTAAAAATCCAACCACAGCATATGCAATGTCACACATCAGAGGTGACATTCAAAACATGAACAAGCTGGCAGTATACAGTGAAGAAATGGATAACGAGGATGCTCTGGACTTCATTGGTGATCAAGAGTTGAAAGGCAAACAATTGTTTTTGATTCGACACATCGCAAGAGAGCTCGCACAACAATACATAAAAGCCGTTGATGTGGGTGTTCGCCGCTGGCAGATTATACTCGATCCTGGCATTGGATTTGCAAAACAAGCAAACCAAAATTTAGAGATCATCAGAAATTTGAACTTGCTCAAGAATTATAGTTTACTTGAAGGCGCCAATTTTGTTAATTTCAAGAACTTGCCGGTGTTGGTAGGCCCATCCCGCAAGAAGTTCATCGAGCATATAACAGGAGAAACGAACGCCGCCAAGAGAGATTTCACTACCGGGTCCGTGGCCACCGCGTGTGTCAGCTACGGTGCTGACATCATACGAGTTCACGATACCGCAAACTGCGTCAAGAGCATAAAGATGGCAGATGCTATGTACAGGCCATCAGAGTAGTGATTATACTAGTCATTAAATTCAAATCGAAAAACCACTGTAAATTACCACCGATCAAGTACGTGAGCCTAAAACTAAACCATAAACGTAAATACAACTCAAATCAAGACTTAAATATATTCAGGAGTTTATTGAGCACGGTGCAGTCCTCGTAAGGCATGCAACGCAGTCCTTCCGGGCCACGCTAAGCACCGTTGCTTAAGCCACAGGACAATCTCTGGAGATGTGGCCTGCATCGTTGCAGTTGTAACAGGTCTTGGCAGAAGATCCACCGGCACAGTCTCTGGAGATGTGGCCGGTTTTTCCGCATGCGTAGCACTTAGCCTCCGACTGCAAGCAGTCCTTGGCCATGTGGTTGGGCCCGCCGCATCTGTAGCACGACACCTTGGTGCCTCTAGGGGCAGGAGCACCGGTGGTGCTGGCAGTCGCATTTGCGCTACCACTGCCACTCAATCTGGGCTTTCTTGGGTCCGGACACTCTCTGGAGATGTGACCGGTTTGGTTGCAGTTGTAGCATCTAGGGGTGCTGCACTCGGACTTGACGTGTCCGGTTTCACCGCAGTTGTAGCATTGTTTGAATTCCACAGTCTTAGCCATGGTACACTCGGATTGGACATGACCCGGCTGGTTACAGTTGTAGCATAATCTCTCAGACTCACACTCTTCGGCCAAATGACCAATCTTTCCACACACGTAACAGGCTTTTTGCGACGACATCTTACTTAATTTTGTTTCAATCTTCAACTCCTAAAGTCTCACCGAATAGCTCCAAACACAATGTCTTTCCCACTCGATTTGTTAAAACGGTTTTTCACTTCTGGCGAGATGAGATGAGATTTCTTTGCGTTACCTCTGAAAAATTTTTCAGCCCTCACTAAGTACTGGACGATGAGCTCTGAGAAATGGAGGGCAAGTGATTGAGAAACGGAACACAATACGGCACCGGGTAAGCTTGGCGCGGAAAGTAGCGACAGAATCAAGTTGAAGTGACCTAGAAGACTTCATTGACTTGGCTGAAAGTAGCCCAATAGTAGTTTGATAGTGTCTTAATTTTATCTTAGATCTGTCTGCCGATTTTTCGTCTCATCTGCTTACCTCTGGCCAATTGATATCACAACGATTTATACTAGTCCTCGTCGTCGCTATTGCTCTCCTGCTCCAGCCATTCTCGTCTATATGTCATGCTGTAATACTCCTTTCCGAGGCCCAGCCTCTGCAGCTTGTCATTTTCCGCAGGCACGTCCCACTGGTCCAAGGGATCCTCGTCTGCGACTACGTGGCCAAACTCGGTGGTGTTTTCCATAATATCATACGCATCTTCGATGCTCTGGAGTTGCATCTCCTCGCGGCACAGCGCACATAACACCTCTGGCGCCAGAACGTACTGAGCAAAATCTCGCGGCCCCCACCACTTCAGTACCTCGCCATTTTTCCTCTCAAGTAGGCGCTTGTTGCGGTGCAATATCTCGATCGCGACCCGCATTTGCCTTTTAATGCCGTAGTATCCTGCTGTGAAGTGATTCAGGTCGAGTTTTCGAAATTCGCTGACACTCAAAACCGCTTTTTGAGACCCTTTATAAGCTTTGCGTGCGTTATCGTAAAATAAGGAACCTTGCTTGCCGCCTAAGACCTGTTCCACTACGGAAAGGTGTTTTTCTATCTTTTGCATTAGTTCATCAGCAAACAACACCGGCGGCACCTTGTAATTTCGCATAAATCGAAGCCGCACACTCAAAATATGATCAAACTTTTCTCGTTCAGCGACCAAAGCGCTACTTTTTCTGAGTTTCCGTGTTGACTTTCCGGGACTTTCGTAAGTCGGTGTGCCGTCGTCGAGGTCGAACATCTTAGCATCCAGTAAGCTTTCCCCCGAATTGCGCATTTGACGTGTGGCTTGTAAATCGTTTTCGTCTACCTCTTGTTCGACCAGCTGTATGCCTCCGTCATTGTTCAAGGAAGAGTGTCTCCTTTTTCCGTAGTTTGAAGGTCGAGTTTCCACACTACTTTCTTGAGAAATAAGGTCTTTAAGCTTAGATTCATCCAAAATTTTAGGATCAATTGGTGTACGCTGTGGAGAACCCGAAAATCTGGACGATGCTTTCGCAGAGGTCGATTTTTCATCTTCAGTTTCACTTTGGCTTTGTCTCACAGGCGAGCTACTGAACCGCTCTGAGTTTCGGGATCCTCTCGACATTTTGTTCTGGGATCCTTTCACAGTCCGTACATTGAGCCGTTGCAATGTCGGATTCATGGCCACACTGGAGTCTGTTGGCGTCCGATCCGGTCCATTAAAGTCCTTAGTTTGAATTCTAATGTCGATATTACGCGAAGAAATCCTTAAAACATGTAGAAGAGAAAAGATAAGATAATGTGAGTAAAGAGTTGAACATTGGCAATTCGTCTCACTGTGAAGTCTAACTCTAACAGCAAGCGTAGGTATACATGGGCAGATAACAGGCTAGATATCAAGTTGTCCAATCTCATCATTACTGTAATTCTCTACAAAAGCTCGATACCGCAAAATTGAAAGCCAGCATAACCTTGGTGAGCACATATGATGAAAGGTTCACAATTTAAGAGTCCATGGAAAACTGTTGAACCAGCGTATCTGGTTCTGGTCGGTTTCCCCTGCAACTATTTCTCGAAGGTTGAAACCAGTTGACAAAAGACAAGCACTACAGCAAAACCTGCCAAAATTTTAGGAAAACAGACAGTAGAACAGAGCTAACCGCACTCAACTTCAGTCGTACCCTCCTTATCCATGCTCTTTGAATTCGCCCAAAGTCGCGATACACGAATACCACTAACGAAAGCTATCACACTTCAAGATGAACTTCCTTCCATTTTGACAAGGCTCAGTCGAAGAAACGATCTGTTTTCGATGCGTTCAACAGATCTCGAAGAAGCTTCCGCCAATTACTCGAAGTTTTTTGCAAAATGTCAAAAAGAAGAACTACAGGATGAGAACTGGACCCGATCTGGTTTGAAAACCTCTTCGAGGTTCACGGAATACTCCGGCAAAAAAAACCCTGTTATCTCACTAGAATTCAATCAATTAGGATCTTACCTGGCTTACAGTCGAAGTGATGAGTCGCTCAATATCTGGAAGTTGAAAGCGGATCGGTCTGAAACATACACATTGGTTCGCGACATACCAGGGCTGCAAAAAAGGCAAATATGTGACATGTCGTGGCACCCAATGACGGGATTTTTGCTGTCCACGGTAGGTGGTACGAATTGCATCATTGTATATGATGTATCCACGGGCGCTTTGGCCAAAAGAATCGACGTAGAGGCTAACTTTAGATTCTACAAGTGTGAATACAATCCCAGTGGCAGGTGGCTCGCTGTGTTTTCCGAAGACGGCAGGTTTTGCCTGTTTGATGCAGACCAAAATTATGAATTGCTCTTCACCTCGCAGCTCTACGAGCAACATTCGGAGAACACTCCAGATTTGAGAGCTACATCGGTCATTTGGTCGCATAGCGGTGACAGCATATACGCAGCTTTCAACTCTGGCGAAATCAGATCATTCCATGTCCAGGATACTGGTTTACGTGAAATAATGCGGGTTTCAGGGCATACTGGTCCCGTGAATTGCTTGAAGTTGGATCCCGCAGGGTCGATCCTGTTGGCTGGGGGACAGGACACTACGTGTTCTATATGGGAGTTGACAAGTATGTGCTGCACGGGTGTGATCAATGATTTTTCCGACTCTATCAGGGATATGGACTTGTGTCACAACGGTCTTGCCTTAGCTTTAAGCTCACCAACGCAGTGTAAGATATATGCTCTCGATACAAGAGAATCATTATACCAATTGAGTTTTACAAGTGAAATTGAAAGTCCGAAGTTTCGATATTTTCCAGGAAAGATGGCATTCGTGACTATCACCGAGAATGAGAATCTAGCCAAATATAATGTACCGGATCCTGTCCATATTTCAAATCAACGAATTCCTTGCGAAGTTGAGAAACGGAAACGAGGAGAACAGAAGACGGGAGTTTTGGGTGTTAGTCGTCGCGAAGAAGAGCCAGCGCGTAGAGGTAGATTTTCGAAGAGACCGCCGAGACGGTAGCTTGTTGTGAAAATGACTTTGTGCATTTATATGTACAGGACTATATAACAGATTTTCTAGTGGAAAGGTGATTTTTTAGCCACACCTCTTTCAGTCGTCTGCCAGTAGGCATGAAAGCGCCTGATAATATTCATTATCTACACGTTGTTGAATTTCATTTTTAGTCAACCAAGCAAACTCGTCATATTGAGATTTCGATTGAAGTTCAAATCTTCCAGAGATAATATGGGACTTAATCAGGAATTCTGCTGCTTGAGAATCACCTAAAACGCCGGCAGGAGTGCTTGAGACTGACCAAGTGTTAATGTTTGGACCACCTAATACTCTTAAGCCTAATTCGGCTGTGACATGCAAAGGTTGTTTGGGTGCAGACTCGGTAGCTATAGGGAAACTTGGGAAAGCCCATTTTCCGGCACCGCTTTTCACCAACAGGTATAACGTGGAGCTCAATTTACGTTCTAAACTTTGAACATCGTTAGACTCGTCAGCATGAGTAAGTCTTGAGTTTGGCACAACAGGCCTGGAAATATCATCCTTCTTACTCACTCCTTCGTTGCTTTCAGAGCTCGAGCTTTGTGGAAGGCTTACCTCTTGCTTCAGGCTTCTTTCTCTGTTGTGTTTGATATCCGGGACTCCTTTAGGAAACCACACGCCCGGCTGTTTACTCACTGGACCTTTTTGAGCCGCTAAAAATCGTTTCTCAGCCAGCGTGCCTTTCCTAAAGTAAAAATACTGTGGGAATGTCCACATAAGCCTTCTCTCCAGCTCACTTTGATACTCATAATATTGTCTTTCCAGCGTCGTCAAATCTGGCGTCACGATTGGGATCCTTGAGAGAATCAAGCCGGCTTTAATTTTTGCAGGCTTTGAAGCAGAAGCCACACCTCTTGACGCCAATAGCTGAAACCTCATAATCCGCAAGAGATGAAGACGATGCGATTTTAGTTCAGTTTCTTGCAATTATCATTTCAAGCTTCAAGTCTCATCTCGTACCGTATTATAGATAATTGAAAATTTTCCACTATGGAGACCGTCAGAGGTTACTTGAAATCGGGGGCGGCTAAGAGAGAGCTTAAAATATTCATTATGGCCAGTTCAAGTTAGCAGAAGAGCCAAAAGATACGCTTGTAATTTCCTTGGCTGTCAGGTTCTAGCGCTACCCAACAGCGAAATTCCGAAACCACATATTAATTTATGAAAACTAATTAGTAGAATATAATTGTTGTGAAATGTATTAGTCGAGAAAGGAGCTAGATGTCTCAACTAATTGTTTGTGGCTAACAATTTTGATTCAAAAACCGGGACACTGTGTGACAATAAAGACTTTGTTATTAAGATTTTGTTAGCGACATATATGTATAAAGTGATCTTCTGAATCATGGCACATTATGCAATCAAGATCACGAAAGGTCTATCCACTGTGGCATGCCATCAAGATTGAGAAAATGTAGGATTCTCTCAGGTAACCATTTTCTCGATTCCTGTATATGAAGCCGTCATGTGTCTATGCTGAAGCACATTTTGGCGCTTTTACACGATTGAAAGAAACCCGAGGTAAGACCGCATAGGCATGCGGTGGAGCAGTCTAATCAGAGTAATACTTATCTGGTGGCCTCTAAATGCCTTACCCATCATTTATAGACATGTATAAGTCAGCGATATATCCCCGTTCCGTTAGTGTTGTTCTGGTACCAATCAAACTCAACCAATTTTTTTGACTACAATGACTAATTATACATAACAGTAAGATATTTTGTGTTTCATTCAACGTATTCGCCCATATATATAATTGCCGGTGCAGCACTGCTTGAGAGCTCTGAATGTTTTCCTCAGGCAAAAGAGACAAAATTATCGGAATGCATCAACATTCACTTTGGACACGGCTCGCATTGTGACCATATACGATGCTTGGGTAAGATTAGATCAAAAGGTTGGCCTACCACAGCGTATCTAGAGTGCTATTTTCAATTCCCAACCTTTTCGTAAGAGAGCTCAGCGAGCTCTAATAAAGTTTATAATGGTGTCACTATGGTACAAAGTGATAGAGGAGCCTTCACTTGAAAGTATGCACGTTTGCAATCTAGTAATACAAGGCTGTCGCTATACGTATCCCGTAATCTTTTAGTATACTTCCAACATGTTACGCTGGCTTATATAAGAAGCCTGATAGTCGAGATCCCTCAGACATCATGAAATTTCCCAATCACGAAGAATCACTGTTAATACCGACAACATTACTTCTTAACGAGAAAGACAAAAGAAAACTTGCAAGAAAAGCAGTATTAAGACAAGGAGTTCTTCATATGACAAATGTGCTGCTTCACACGTCCCTTGAAAGATGTTGGCCACACTATATTAACCTTAAACTGACCGGCGCTGGGTTAATCTTAAGTACTTTTTACCCACCTTATGTAAATTAAAGCTTTTGTCTTAAACAATGATTTTGATCATTAAAATATGTAGTGTACAATCTAGTGAAGCCGTGTGATTCCTGGGCTTCTCCCAATCACGATATTGATACAATCCGGCTCCTTCCCTAAAAGAATTACATGCCACTTAACAGTCCTCTTCATGCTTTTCTAGTTGACAGGCTCATTTTTGTTGATTCAACATACTCATCAATGAATTAAGTTGAGCAGTGGGATCAAATTGGGGTTGCTGGGCTGGTGGTGCCTGTTGCCCTCCGTACATGGCGGGTGTGGGCTGTGGTGGCATGTTAGGTGGCATGCCATAAGCATGCATTGGCGGACTAGCACCATAACCGGCAGGCGGGTATTGTGCTTGGACTGGCATTTGATTCTGTACTGGTGCCGATGACATTTGGCCATAGAATTGACTTTGAGCTGGAGAAGTTCTATAGGCAGGTCCCTTTACCGGCTTCCCAGACTTAGGACCATTTCTTCCACTGTCTGTGGGCATCTTCTGAGAAATAGCTTTTGAGGAAACACCTTCCCCAACCACAATGTCAGGCTCTTCGAAAGCCATCCCCTGCTGTAAAGGTTGGCCACCGGTACCACCCCATTCCGCATTTGTCGTCCATTTTTTGTCTGCATCCGTTAACCTGTGAAGGGGGATCACACTATAACCATGCTGATAATCACAACAATCTCTGGGACCGAAACCAACACCCCAGCGGGTCCTCAGTGGCGAAGAGCCATCTTTATTGAAGGTGTTGAGCACATTTTCAGCTTCACGCCTGGAATAAACTTTGACAAAAGCATGCTTTCTTGAGCTGTTCAAAATCACACTTTGCACTTCACCATATGGCCTCAATACATGTGCAATATCATACTCTTTCATAGAAGGTGGAACACCTCCGACAAATAGTGTACGACTAAACACTTTAATGCTATCAGGAGGAACCGTGTGATCTACAGAGACGGGCTTGGGTCTGAAATGAGAGCTACTAGGTACATTTTCTTCACCAGGGTAAAGATGGTGGTTATTAGAGGCGTTGGGGCCCTCGGAACTCCTGTAGTTTTCCCTTCTGGGGGGACTACGAGACCTAGTTCTTCTAGCTGAGTTATTGTAACGGTCACGTCTATCCTCTCTCGTGCTTTGCTCTTGCTGACTATGATTAACGGTAGGAACGTTTTGACGAGCAACCGGTAAAGGAGCAGACACAGGTATAGCCACAGGGGATATGCTCTGAGATTGCTGTAGATCGACCAAGAAATGAAACAAAGCTGCCTGTTGTGAAGCCTTGTCTGCAGATTGCAAATCGGCGGGTACTGTAACCAGCGGAAGGTTGGCCATCGGTTGCAGACTGTTCAAGATGTCAATACATCTTCTAGCTGGATCTTGTGTCAAGACAAAAGAACTATTGGTGTTAGTGAAGGCTGCAGCCGAAGAAGTGGAAGAATTGTTAATGGGTGAAAACCATTTGGCTCTTACGGCGTTTAAATAACCTTTTTGGAAAAGGCCACTTCTGTCCCAGATATCGATCAACGTACGTATTTTGTCCTTGTGATCTTCGTTACTCTTGCTTACGGCGTTTCCCAGCAAGTCCTGGATAGCCTCACCCAGAACGTAAACCCCATGGGCACAAGAACCTTCCTTGGCGGTTGGTTTAATGTAATCGTCACGCGCACGGGCTTGCTCGAGATATGCTCTACCGATCGAATCTATGATGTACAAGGATCCCAACTTGTGGGTCTCTGGAGTGGTTTTGGAATAATCTATGACCATCTGCATGAGCTGAGGTTCTTGGTCCACATGATCAAGCGCATACGATGTCAGTTTCTTGATACGGGACCCTGAAATGCCGGATTTCAATTCTTTGAACGACTGCAACGTTGCTACAAATTCGTCTTGTTCGTTCTGCATTATTTCGACGTGTGAAATGGAATTAACAACAACAAAATAAACTGGGCAGAACAACAACCTTCTTGCGTGTGTACCTATGACTCAAATCAAATTTACGAAAAAAATTATTCGAGCGACGTATCTCTTTCAAAGTTAAGCTACCACTTGTTTTTGACTACTCTTACAGCTAGCGTTTGGCCTATAAAATTCGAACCTTTCTTGCGTTCGCTCTCTTTGTTACTGTGTTTCCCGAAGAAAAATAAAAAGCTCTTCGATTACAGCTCACTATCCTCTAAAAAACAACCGGATTTGAACAGATTGATTGCCCTATACTGCCTAATGTTACAAGCAAACATGAGGTGACGAAGAAGAAAGCGATTTTCGTCAATTTTCTTCTTTTTATAGATTTTTTTCCGTCCCTTTAAAAAATTAAATTAACAATCCGGGTAATCCAGTTGGGAATTCAGATCATTTCTAGCGTTTCAAGAGACATCGCTCGAATGTCCGCAAGCATAACGAATGTTTCTTGCGAATTGAATGGTCTTTATCATTGCTACCAGATTTTAGCGCATTTGGTCTGCAATTGGAATATCGATGTCTGCGATATATAAGCTTTCGATACAGGGAATTCGGTCGTTTGACTCAAATGAACGCGAAACGATCGAGTTTGGCAAACCTTTAACGCTCATCGTAGGAACCAATGGTTCAGGTAAAACCACAATTATCGAGTGTCTGAAGTATGCGACAACGGGGGATCTGCCACCAAACAGCAAAGGTGGTGCCTTCGTACACGATCCGAAAATTACTGGCGAAAAAGACGTGAGAGCTCAAGTAAAACTAGCCTTTACCAGCGCCAACGACGTGAATATGATAGTTACTAGAAATATTCAGTTGTTAGTGAAAAAAACCACCAACACCTTCAAGACGCTCGAAGGCCAGCTCGTGGCTGTCAACAAAGGCGAACGCACTACACTAAGCAGCAGGGCTGCAGAACTTGATAGTCAGGTGCCGTTGTATATGGGTGTTCCAAAAGCTATTTTGGATTACGTTGTATTCTGCCATCAGGAAGACAGTTTATGGCCTCTCAGCGAACCATCGACCCTAAAGAAAAGATTTGACGAGATATTTCAGGCCATGAAATTCACCAAAGCGCTAGACAATTTGAAGGTGATTAAGAAGGACATGTCTATCGATATTAAGCTTCTCAAACAGTCCGTGGAGCACCTGAAAGTCGATCGAGACCGAAGTCGCTCGTCTAAAATAAACATATCTACTTTAGAGAAGAGAATTGAGGAATATACGGCACAAGTGCGACATGTTGACCAGGAACTCAACGAAATAACTCAACAATCCGATAAACTGTTCAAATCTAATCAAGAATTTCAACAAGTTTTGAGCATGATGGATGGTCTCAAACATAACAGAAACTCACTAGCAGAACAGATTGGGCGAATTGAAAGCACTACGGAACCACTGGACCTGCCGCGAGGAAAACTTGAGAGTTTGGTTGCAAACTTTTCATCTGCGTTAGAAGAAAAGCAAATTCATGTCCAACATCTTCAAGATCAAATTCAGCAAAGTGGGGAGAAGTTGGACGATGCTCGCAAAACATACAATGCTCTCATATCAAGGCAAGGCGGCCTGAAGGCCCGTGAAGAAACATGCGGTATTCACAAAAACGAATTTACATCACTTACTGAAAAGCTGCGTAGGGAGTACGCTATCCAAGGTGAAAATGTAGCATCTCGGCTTGGTACTCATTTGGAAACCTGCACAGACAAACTGAATGCCCTATGTCTACAAAATAGGAAAGAGCAAGATGGTATAAGGAAGGCGTTTTCAGAACTGGAAAACTCACGCATTAAGCAAGAGCAGCATTTGATTTATTCTAAAAACGACAAAGAAAAACTATTGGGAGAGCTGGATTCGTTAAGATTGAAATTAGGTGAAATGTCTGACGCCGAGGAAGAACTGAAAAAAGAGAAAGAGACTATAAAGGGCTACGAAGCACGGCTGAGCGGCCACGATGGTGAGAGCGAAATAAGCGCAATTACATCTCAAATAAAAGAAAAAAATGCCAAAGTCTTAATTTTGGAAGATGATCTGGAGAAAAATCATCGAGAATTGCTCAAAGTCAATGAACAAGCAGACTTAAATGCCAAGTATACTTTGCTCAGAAAAACGCTAGACAAAAAAACAGGCGAACTAGAAAAGTCTTACTCATACCTGTCTAACGATGAAAAAGCCAAGCTTTGGAAACTAATTGCAAACTCGGATCTCGAGTTAGAATTCAAAAGGCTGTACGTAAACTTGCAAAAAGAATTAGCAGGTATAACTAGAGAGCACAATAACATCTCAAAGAGCATGGCCGAGAAGGTGTTCATACAAGAAAAGTCAAATGCTGAACTTGAACAAAATGAAAAGAAGCTGATTAGTCTTCAATCAAAAATCAAGAATGGGCTGCCGGAGGACAGCTCAGTGGATGATTATGCTGAACTTCTGCAGGAGGCTGAGGAATCTTACAGAGTGGCTGTCGAGAACTTGAAGATGTACAAAACAACTCTAGAATTTAACCTCAAGGCACTTGAAGTGGCGAAGAGCAACAACTGCTGCTATTTGTGCCAAAGAAAGTTTCATGATGGAGAAGAACAAAGCTACTTGCTAGAAGAACTACAGTCTAGGACTAATACGCAGTATGAAGAAACTTTGAAAGACGTTTTGCAGGAAGAAAAAGAGTACTTAGGCTCTCTGCGTAAACTTGAAAGTGATTTTATAATGATGAAGTCATTAGCTGATTCAAAGCAGGTTCTGGAGAGGCAAATTAACGACGTCTTCATCAACATTAATACGGAGACCGTAACAATGAAAGCTAGCGAAGTTCGCCTGGAAACGGTAAAGGCTGAACTTGATCATGTTGAAAACGTCATCCGCCCACTTGTGGAAGGTATATGTCGACTCAGAAAGGAAGTTAAATCACTTGATAAAGAGTTTCAAGATGTATCAGATGAGATTAGTGTGACAAATGGTTTGGGCGATAGTTTCAAAACTGCAGAAGAGCTACAAACAATTCAAAAGCAGCTGAGCAATTCACTCAGAGAATGGAGACGGGAACTTGGGGAACTGCAAGAAAAGAAAGAAACAAAGTCAAAAGAACTCACCAACTTGTTGGGCCTTATACGAGAGAAAAAATACAAGATTTACGAATTTGAAAAGCAGTTGAATGAAAAAGAGCACGTAGCCTCTTCTATCCGTGAGCATGAAGATTCAATCGATCAAGTTGAGTCGATTATTGCCTCTGTATCGTTCTCTTTAGAAAAGCTTTCAAACGAGATTGACGCTTTGAAAAGAGATTTATCCTCCAGAGAGGACCAGGCTACGTCGCTTGAAATGTCAGAAAAGAGGAAGTTAGATGCGTTAAGAGATAAGCGCGAGTCACTTATGAGACTGTTAACAGATATTCAAGAGTTTGAAACGATATACGCCTCTCAGTTGAAGGACTCTGAAAAGGACATCAGTTTGTGTAATGAGCAAATCACCATTCTTGTTGAAGAAACGGCTTCACTCAATAAGGACTTAATTCTTCAAAAGCAAAAGATCAATGATTCTTCTAACGAACTAAAGAATCTTAAGCTTAACATTGACATGATAGACTTGAGGTCAGAACTCGAAAAGGTTGAAACAGAATTAAAAATTCTCAATATTCAGAATGCTGAGGCTCAAAGAGATAAATATCAGCAAGAATCTGCTCGTCTCAGAAGTCTTTTTGAAAAGTTATCATCCGATAATGCAGGGAGGATGGGTGAAATTAAACAGCTTCAAAATCAAGTTCAGTCACTAGTCGCGCAGCTCAAGAGTGACTACGACGATGTGGACAATATCTACCAAAAGGAATGGGTCAAACTGCAGACTAAGACGATTGTTACCGATGATATTGAAATATACTCTAAAGCTCTTGACAGCGCTATCATGAAGTATCACTCTCTCAAAATGCAAGATATCAATAGAATCATTGACGAGCTCTGGAAACGGACGTATAGCGGAACTGACGTGGATACCATAAAGATTAAGTCTGACGAAGTAAGTACTACAACAAGGGGAAAGTCTTACAACTACAGAGTAGTCATGTATAAACAGGATGCAGAGTTGGATATGCGTGGAAGATGTTCAGCTGGCCAGAAAGTTTTGGCTTCAATCATGATAAGGCTTGCTCTTTCAGAGACGTTTGGAGTCAATTGCGGTGTTATTGCGCTAGACGAGCCAACAACGAATTTGGATGAAGAAAACATTGAAAGCTTAGCAAGATCCCTCAACAATATTATAGAGTTCCGGAGGCATCAGAAGAACTTTCAATTGATCGTTATTACCCATGACGAAAAGTTTCTACGGTATATGAATGCTGCTGAGTTTGCAGATCATTTTTACAAGGTCAAAAGGGATGATCGGCAAAAATCTCAAATTGAATGGGTAAATATAAATAAGGTGATTAGTTAATTGAAGTTCTGTTTCAAGCAAAACATGAATCAACCATGGATCGATATTTACGCTGCGTTTCAGCCATGTCTAAGTAAATGTCGTATTTAATCTGCAGGAGTTTTTTCAGATGTTGATTATTTTTGAGAGAGCCCAGTATGTTTATTTCATACGCGGTCGGGCTTTTGCTGTTATTCTCGGCTATGATATCGACAACATTGACATCTAGATGCTTCGCTTTGCCCATCAAGTAGGCACCCTTCACCCCCATTAAATCAGCTCTGTGGGCTGGAATCTTTACAGGTAAATCATTGACCAAAGAAATTAGGGATAACAGTCTTGTGTTTCTAGCTTGACTTCCTGAAATTCTAATGTCGCTGACATTTGCCTTGAAACAATCTTTGATGTGTCTTGTCTGGAACGCTAAGAATTCTAGTACAGACACGTATTTGAAAACTAAGTCTCGAAACGAAGTATCTGCATTTTCTCCAATAAACATACCTGACATGTGTGGATCACAGAAAGGAGTTCTATTACCTTGCAGTTCCCCGTAGGTGAACATATGCTTTGTTTCCAAGTGAACTGACTGGCCGCACTGCGCTTCAATGATCTCTATTGCGTCTTCAATATCGGCGAACAACAAGCCTCTATCTTTTGAGTAAGTCCTTGCAGCTGGGTGAGTGTCAAAAAGGTGTTCGAGGAGTTTCCCCGTTGTAGATTGGCCAGCCTCGTAAACGGACCATTTAGGCTTCTCTCCACCATCTAAAATATTGGTGAAAGGTCCCCAAACACCTGGGATACATCCTTGATCTTTGGTGTTAGCATAAATGTAGCACGTTGAAGTGCCAGCTGCCATGAATAAGGACTCGTCTGATTTTGCACTACACATAGCAACCCAGCTCGAATAACAATCAATACAACTCACAACCCGTACCAGACTGAATATTTTCTTAATGCGAGTGGGTCCTATCTTAAAATCTCCAAGTGGTTTTAGAGTCCTCGAGTAGAAGTCATTATTCCAGCCCTTGACTTCGCCGTCGTGGCCGATTCCATTCCAGTTGGGCTTGTTTATTAGCAAACTTGGGTCCCAGTGATATCTTTCTGCCATTTCGTATGCAATGTATGTATGTAGGTCAAAGACCTCTAAGCTTAAAGGATTGTCTACATCTTTTAAGCCCTTTAAAACGGAGGCCAATTTTGGTATCCCCATCTCCGGTATAAAACTACCGCCCATGTATTCCAATTCGATACCTCCTGAGTTATTTATTTCAGCGCATTGTTTGGTAGATGAGCCATCCATCCAAAACACAACATTCTGATGAACATCTTTGTCTAGTCCATAGAGTCTGTAAGGTTTTAGTCCCTGTGTCATGTCCTGATAGAAAACAGCTAGGGAGCAAGTGGCTGCAACACCACAAGATCGTACATTTAGAACATCAATGGGAAGCTTTCCCACACATTCGATTACGGCAGCTATGATCTCAATCGAGCTTTGTGTGAATCTTCGATCGCCATGGTCATAATAAGTAACTCGCTTCGATGCAATGGATATTAGTTCATTTGTCTCTAGATTGTAGGCTCCAATCCTGACCTCTGTAGACCCAAGGTCAACCCCCAAGCCCACTAGCTGGTTGCTCATTGAGTTTTGCTGTTTAAAGATTTTTTACTTCAGCTCTTTATTGTAGTTTTCACCTACGCTGAGATAAAGAGCCAGTGCGCTGTCGAAACTTTATTTCTTCGTATTCATTTCAATGAATGTAAATGACTAATATACTTCTGCTATTTATTCTCAGCGTCTTCCGGCTCTAATTCTTCTACCCATTTCTGGAATCTTAAAAGGAACTCTCATCGTAGCGACCTTGTACGTTGATGCTGCACTCTTTGGTACGCCGAAGGCTTCTGCTTGAGCGACAGTAGAACCTTTGACGATTGCACCAAGGTTTTTGAATAGATTTACTATTTTGGAAGGTTTAAGACCTAATTCTTGAGCCAAAGGCGAAATTTCCACAATGAAATTATCCAAATGCAAAATGATGGCTAAAATATAACACAGAAGTTTATCTTCTCTTTGCGGGTCAATAAAGAAGCCACGTTCCTTAGAACGACCATATTGGCCTGGCCTTCCGATGGTGAATCTGTCTAGAATGCCATCAACTAGTGCGTCGGGAGGAGCGTTCAGGTTTTCGAGTAACTTGGCCTTGTCGCTAATTCTTTTGTTTTCAAAAACACCGAGTAGGAGCGACAGGTAGTATAAAAGTTGTAGTTTGGTCATTTGTTCAGTCTGTGATAGCGTGGCTAGCTTCTTTGAGACGTAAGGAGACTTGGTATAAGGAAAAAGCTCAAGTCTGGCAGCCTCATCTGTTTCTTTAAGCACGGCGCCCACACGAATGTATTGCATTTCCTTCTTCGGTATTATATTGTGAATAGGGTAGATTTGTTCCACGTCGGTAGCATTGACGTTGGCTTGAGGCGTAGTTCTATCCTGTGACGAGACTTGTTGAAGCTCTTCTCTCGAAGGTAAAGCCTTAGACGCTGTTTTCACAGAATCCATAATATCGATTGCCGAGTCCACCAACTTGTCAGAGTCTATTCTATTGCGCTCAATGTCGGCAATGGCCTTTTTAGCCTTCTTAGTACCAAATGCCTCACCCAATGCGTTTCTCAAAGCAGCGGACCGACGTTCAGTTTGTTTGATTTCAGGCCCCGACAGATCCTTAGTTGCTTTAGAAGCTACTTTTGTTGCCAAGACGGGTGCTTTATACAGCTGTATGTTGCGCTTGGCAGGATCGTATATGCCAACTAAGTATTGACTACTTTCACTAGAGTCCTCATCGGTACTTCCAGAGTACTCAATCCGATCGTTTTCTCCATGAACTAAAAACTTATCAGGAGTGGATTTCGACCTGTAAAGCTCGAATTTGGTCTTCTTGGGGACTTGAATACCTTTGAAGAAGGACCCCACCGCAATTGATGGTTCCGATTCGAACTTTTCCACTTCGATTTTACTGAAGACACGTTTTTGAGCCATTTTCAGTGTTACTCAATCAATGAAGCTCGATTGTAGTTCAAATAACCTGGTATCCACACCGCTTTCCAGCTGCTAGGAATTCTCGTCTCTTGTTCTCATCTCATCTCATCATAAGATTCATTTTACATATTGAAAATTTTTTATTATGGCGATGAGCTTAACAAAAGAAAAAGTTTTAGGCGGTTAAGATAATAGAAAATTTAAGTGTCGATGAGTTTGTAAAACAGGCCAAGAATAAAAGGTCTTGGTCGCTTTTGAAATCTGCCAGTGAACCCTTTGGTGATACAAGCTTCTCAAGGTAAGCACTACGGGTTTTTCAAACCTAAATTTGTGTTTTTTGAAGGCGGTTCTTTCACGTAAAACTTCAACCCAAGGTTTGGAGTTTTAGGGTTTCGCTTCTGTCTAATGCCCTCCCAAGCTTCTCACTACGCGATCCTGGGACTGGAGTCCGATTGTGAGCTGCTGCAGGTGAAAAAGGCATATCGGGAAAGACTATTGAGTACACATCCGGATAAAACCCGTTCTGGAAGCGGTACCAGCACCGGACCTCTTTCAATTGAGGAAATTAAAGAAGCTTACCGCATTTTGAGTGACCCTAAGACGCGCTCACAATACGACGCTTTACTGGCCGAGAGTTGCAAGAAAAGTGGCTTTAACAATACAGGGGAGGGTTTGGAATCGTTTTCGCTAGACAAGTTCGATTACGATTCTGGAACTTCGACGTTCAGTATGAACTGTCCTCGCTGTCATGTGACCGCTGGCTTTGAGCTCACAGAAGATATGCTAGACAATCACGGTGCTGAGCTGCCGGACGGAAGCTACTTCGTCGTAGTACAGTGCAGTGCATGTAGTCTGTGGTTAAACGTAACATTTGATATTGTTGATGAGTGACCAAAAAGCACGTCATGGGATCTTAGCGACGCCATTTCTGATACCTAGAGATGGATGCCATTTCATTTCTACTTACTCGCTATCTACAAGGGAGATGAAAGCTTTGGCCATAGCCTCGAAGTCGGTCATCAAACTTACGTGTGCACACTCAGACGCGATTTTGGCTACAACCGGGAAGCCACGCGTCTCGGGCAAAAGCCACTTGTGGTGAACCACACCGTCACCAGGGCCATAGTAGAATTCGTCATATGCACCAATCTTGATTTGTTCTCTATTGGCGACTTTGGCACCGCGAACCGTCGGAATTCGATTTCCGTAGACAATGGCCAAAGGCGGATATTGCTTATTGGGCGCATACTCCAGATCTTCTAAGAATTTACGGGTCTCTTTTAAAGTTCTTTTGAGATACTCTCGGCACTTATTGTAGGGTGTAGTAAAAGTGATCGGCTCATTGTTGCTGCTCAAAGATCTCATCATATCCACATGCGGAATCAAACTAAATTTCTCTCTATCTGGAGATGCGACTTTCACAACGTCCTCATCGTTTAGACGCTCTTTATCAACCAAAGGTGACAGGTTGTATTCGCCCCACACGTCGGGGTCAAAGAAGTCTAGGTCGTAACGTTCTAATGTGTCTTTGTTTGCAAAACATCTTCCATCGAAGGGTAGAAAGTAGAAGCTACTTCTCATGAAGAAAGTTGTCTCGGCACTCAAGATAGATTTGTTGAGAATCACTTCGTCGCCTAGCCGAAGTGGTCCAAGAATGTTGGGACATTGGCTAGGTGATCCCACATATATAATTCCGCGTACCAAGTGTGTATGATCTTGAAGAACTTTATGTGCTACTAAGCCACCCATAGAGTGTGCTATAAGGTATGTTCCCTTTTTCGTTTTCTGTTTATCATATATTCGTTGCAGTTTGGAGGCCAACTGATCTGCTGGAATTTGCAATGAAAGTCTCCAGTCATAACCAAAGTCATCGATATTGACATTGGAATTACTGTCCAATTTTTTGATAAGTTTCTTACAAACATCAACAGGTCCGAAATGCGTCAGCATGCTGTCCGAATAAATCTTTCTCTGCGCTTCGGCCTCCGAATCCGGCTCAGGACCAATAAGCAAATTGACTTTACGAATGTTGAACCCTGCGCGAATGGGCAACCAAACTCTACGCTTAGTTTCACAATCGCGTAAAATACTTCCTCTGTAACCACCCAAGATGACCATATCGCCTTCAAGTTCGTTCCAGATAGACTCCAAACGGTCGATCGAATATCCATCGAGAGTTGTAGTTTGCGGGTCTGTGGAAAAAGATCTGATAGTTTGAAAGAGCGATCCAGGTTTTAGCGCTCGTTTCACGGCACGCGCTCTAACATTATCGATGCCTTTTTGATTCTGGAAAAGCTCCCGCTCCTCGATCGAAGATATCGTTTCCTGTCTTTGCAGCTTGAGTTTGATCTTGCGTCTGGTCTTGGTTCGAGCCTTATCGTCGGTGAAACCGGGCAAGAAAGTTCTCCGTAGGCTACTTAGCGGGGAAGCCGGGATAAGAGACTTGCCACCAAAAGGCAGATTAAACGTGAAGATTGAGTTGTTGTGCTTATCTACGTTCGATCCGTCCATGTCTTCTGGCGGAGGCTTGTTATTCGAACCATTGTCTCCATTGGCATCATTTCGGTCTTCTTTTCCGTCATAATCGGTGATAACTTTACCACTGTACACATTTGGGCAGGCATATTCATAATCCACCGATGATCCTATGCCCGCTGAAGGCGTTTCACCATCATCTTCAAAGTCGAAATCGGAAGTGCTTGTAAAACTTACACTGGAACTTAACGGTTCGCTACTCACACTAGCATCTTCCGTTGTTTTCGAATGCATTCTACCAAAACTCTAAAAGCTTGTGAAGTGCTCGAGCTGATGGATCGACTCCTGTAACATATGAGGAATTTCTTGGCACATTTTTTTTTCCAAAATAAGATATGCTACAATGAGACGAATGCCAAACTCAAATGGTAAAGACCGGGAAGAGCAAATGTACAAAGCTCTCACAGCATATGCAAGCGCAATCCACCACAGTGCGGATACCGGTCGACTTGATCATACCCGATGGTGTTTAGATTCGGTTCCTTCGTTTTATAGCTTTGTTGACAAGATCACTTTTTACTTAATGTGACGCAAGTGTTAAAAAAATTTTAGAGGAATATCATGAATCATAATTTCTTGAATCTCATGTCAAGATATTTTTGGGCCACTAGCAGGTTTCTAAGGTGAAATAGTGTTTGGAATTGTAATTATTTTCACATAGTCCTTCGTTTGGCCGGTAGTTGAAGTGCTTCTTTTTTGCACAAGGACCTTTTGAACAGTTTATGCCCAGCGGCTATTGCAATATCAAACGTTTTATTTGGCAAGTAGGAAAGAGAAGATTCTGTGGAATGTCTGACAACTCGGGCGCTAAAGTCAGTCAGCCACCATGGCAAAAACCCATGAAGCAGGGTAAAGAGGCTGTGCTTAAACTCTACAATAGCATGACACGAAGCAAAGAAGAGTTTGTGCCCATTTCTGGTGGGAGACTTGTTTCATGGTATTCGTGCGGACCCACGGTTTACGATGCGTCGCACATGGGCCATGCCAGAAATTACGTTTCCATAGACATCAATCGCCGTATTCTGCAGGACTACTTCGGATACAATGTTCAATTTGTGCAAAACGTCACGGATATCGACGATAAAATCATCATTCGTGCTCGTCAGTCGTATTTGTTCGAGAAGTTTGTAAAGGAAAACCCTACGGTAACTCCAGATATCCGCGAAAGATGCAACTCGGCTGTCTTTGATTACATTCGTACGAATATGAAACAAGATTTTTCTTCATTTGAACAATATGAGTCTTGGATCAAATCGCTAGACCTGACGAAAGAAAAACAATTGAATCCAAAATTTGGCATGCACAGTGCCTCTGTACAAAAGGCCATAGATACTTTGAAGACGCAGGAGCCCGCAGAGAGCTTTTATGAAAAGATTCAAGACATTTTTATTCCAACGCTTGACGCAGAGTCCGGAGATCTCGTTAATGATCCTGAAACTTTTCGCAAACTACCTGCCTTTTGGGAGAAAGAATTTGACAAAGACATGGCCGCGCTAAACGTATTGCCATCGTCTGTAACTACCAGGGTTTCTGAGTACGTTCCAGAGATTGTTGAGTTCGTGCAAAAGATTATAAACAACGGGTACGCTTACGCTGCTTCTGATGGGTCTGTATATTTTGACACCATCAAGTTCGATAGATCTGATAAGCACGAATACGCAAAGTGCCAACCTTGGAACAAAGGTCAACTGGATTTGATTTACGATGCTGAGGGGTCTTTAAGCGATTTCTCTTCCTCGAATGGGAAACGCTCTCCTAACGATTTTGCGCTTTGGAAGGCTTCTAAACCCGGTGAGCCTCAGTGGGAGTCTCCTTGGGGTAAAGGTAGACCTGGATGGCATATTGAATGTTCGGTGATGGCCAGTGACATTCTAGGACCTAACATCGATATTCACACAGGAGGTATTGATTTGGCTTTTCCTCATCATGATAATGAGCTTGCTCAATCGGAGGCTTGTTTTGACAATTACCAATGGGTTAACTATTTCTTGCACACTGGTCATTTGCACATTGAAGGACAAAAAATGTCTAAAAGTTTGAAAAACTTCATCACCATCAGCGAAGCTTTAGAGAAATATTCTTCACGCCAACTGAGACTAACATTTTGCTCTGCCCAATGGAATAATCAATTAGACTTTAAGGAAACGCTACTTGTCGAAGTGAAATCGTTGGAGCAGTCGCTAAACAACTTTTTCAGAAATGTTCGTGCTATGCGCAGAGACATAGTTCACAGAGAGGAGTCTGGAGAATATGTTTCCAAGAAATTAGGCGACAAGGAAAAGCAGCTACTACTAGACTTAGCCCACTACGAAAATAGTATTCATGAAGCGTTTTGTGACAACTTATCCACGCCGGCTGCCTTGAAGAATCTGGGTGAGTTAGTGAGTAAATCCAATCTTTATATCGCATCGATTGGTTCGGGGCTTAAAATCGAGCCACTGGTTGATGTTGTAAATTATGTTACCAAAATTTTGCAAATTCTTGGATTTCCTGCTAGACAAGACGGATTGGGTTGGTTGGACGAAGGTAGCAACTCCAATACCGGCGTTGCTAACCGAGAAGAACTATTGATGCCTTACGTCAAGTGTTTATCTAATTTCAGAGATGATGTTCGCCGTTTAGCCATCGGTAAAGCTTCCAACTCGGAGTTTTTAAAACTTACGGATAAGGTCAGAGATCAAGATATTCTAGATTTGAATATATCAATCGATGACAGAAATGAACAGGCTTCTCTTGTCAAATTTCTCACCGAAGAGGAAAAGCAAGAATACAAGAAATTGATTGTAGAAAGAGATCAGCGCCAGCAAGAGAAGGAAGCAAAGAAACTTGAACAAACTCGATTGAGAGATGCTAAAGAGGCTGAGAAACGCAAAAAGGCAGAAATGTCTCCAAACGACATGTTTCGTAACACTGAATTGTATCTAGAGTGGGATCAAGAGGGCCTCCCTCTTAAAAATAAAGATGGTTCTGACGTCACGAAGTCTATGATGAAAAAGCTAAAAAAGCAGTGGGATCAACAAAAAAAGCTGCATTCCGAATATTTTGAATAAATGTACTTGCAGTTAAGAAGTCTTCAATGACGGATTTCTTTTAGAAAGCGGGAATAAAAGGAGAACGTATAGAGTCAGTTATATGGTATCATGTCGTTAGTTTCCATCGTAATTCGAAGGCAATATTTAATGTAGTATATTGAGAGAATACTGACATCCTTAAAAATAACAATGTACATGATCTTCATTTGTTTAGTTTCAGTCGTAGCATTCATAGCCATAGAGCTATGCACCTATTACATGTTGTTCGTATTTAATGAGTTGGTGTATTGCGTGCAATATGTTCTTGAACTAAGTAAGAATCGAAAACTCAAGAATTTTGGTAAAGCGATTACGTTGAACATAAATGGTGGAAGAAGAGAAATTGTATGATAACTGTTGCGATGTTACCAAGCGAAGAATTTTTACTAACGGTTTTTTAATAGAAGCAAGTCTTTAGAGGCTCTTGCCAAGGTTGAAGATGACGTTGAGGTGGTCGAGAAAGAAATCGAATTACTTAGGGCATCGAAGCTTGCCCCGATCTACGAATCTCGTAAGAAAGCTATATCAGGAATAAATGGTTTTTGGAAGGTGGTTTTATCGCAACATTCGGATTTTGCAAATTATGTGCGCGCTGGGGACCTGAAGTATATCGATTGTATCAAATCGCTTGATGTTAAATGGCTATGTGTTGAAAGGAAAGATGCGGATCATCGTGATTTTAGCGCGACTTTTGAGTTCGAAGGAATTGAGGGGGATTTTGAAGCACAAAGCATCACTAAAATATTCAAGATCGAACACGATACTTCGAAGTTTAGGTACAGAGGTAAACGAACAGAGGAAGATGATTTCAGAGATGAAGAACTAGGTTTTTTAAGCAGTGAACCATGTGAGATTAAATGGCCTAAATCATTGGATCGTGTAAACCCTTCTCTTCTTGTTGATAAGTCTAGTATCGAAGGAAAGAAGAACTATCGTACCGGTATGAAATCCTTCTTCTCGTGGTTCAAATGGACTGGGCTGAAAATTGGCAAAGAGTTTCCAAACGGCGATGGCTTGGCTAGCCTATTATGTGACGATATTTTCCCTAACTGTACAAAATACTATACCGAGGCACAAGTGGATTTAGAGGACGAGAATCTTGAAGATGAAGATTTGAGTGATGAGCCGTTACAATTGGACCTAAGTGGAAGTGAAAGTGATTCTGAACAACGAGAAAGTGACACCAAACGCCAGAAGCTTTAATTATAAACTGATAAAACGTAGATAAAGCTGTTAGGAGTCTAGTAATCCATGTCGTAGCTTGTGTTGCCTTTTTCTAGAGAATGGGATTTCATTGCCTGTGACTGTGCCTTACCTGCTGATTGTTTTTTCGGTAGCGGCTTCTTCACTTTAGCTGCTTTATGTTGCTTTCGCATAACTTGTGCCTTTTGGAAAGCGGCTAAGGGGTCATCTCTTGAGAAGCTTCCTGCCGTCGGAGATTTTGCTTGTTTTGTTATTGAATCGACGCCCTTGTTGTCGTTGTGGAACCGCCTGCGGTTTCCGGACGCTTTTTCTGTTGTTTTCTCCGGGGCGGTTAATGTATTGTGGTCGATACGTTTCTTGCCTAATAAAAAATCGCTATTTTGGTAGTCCGTCGAAGCTGCATCGTTGTACATCCAATCCAAAGTGGATTTCTTTTTTCGTACGTTACCGTCCCTTGTCAGCGATGTGAGCTCTTCTTGTTCTCGTTCATTTTCTATCTCTTGTTGCCTCTCCTTGAACTTTTTGTTTTCGTCTAGTAGCTGTTGTTCTGTTTCCCAAACTTTCTTCTTGTTCTTCAGTAAATGTGGGTTCCACGACTTGAGAAGGTTCAAATCTCCTGTTCCCATTATAGTGAGGAATATGAGGTGATTGTTTAGAAATGTAAAAGCATGGAATAGTAAGAACTCTGTTTTTGAATGGGATGAATGTGATGGGTTTTTGGTTGTGCTATTTAACATGAAAGAATAATTATATTCGTGTTAGAAGATGAAGATATTCACCATTGTTAAAGATCGGATACGAAAGTTAGGTGTTTGGAGTATGGCTGGCATGTTTTTACAGTTTTCAGTCAATTAATATTTTGTTATGCTCTCCTTGTGGTACATTTATTCATACACATAGGTCAAACTTATACAATTTTAAATTGGCACGGCTAGCCGTCGCAGTGCTATCGCATGCCTGATAAAAAGACTGGAACTTTATGTGGAATTCGTGTTCCGACTCCCCACAGTAAGTTGCGGTAGCATACTAAAAACCGTGGATCTTAATGTTCTTCTTTTTCATGCCTAGTTGAGTGACCATGAATTCGCAAACTTTGGCTCTTTGGTCACCCTGCATTTGGATAATCTCACCCATTTCATCGTCCTTGACAATGTTACCGTTGCAAGCAAAGTCCTTCTTAAGGACCTTCAAGATTCTTTTCAAATCATATTCAGCAGGTAATCCTTGTACAGTGGTCAACGTCTTTCTTCCGTTTCTCTGTTGGATACGGATGTGGATATAGTTGGCGGTGTCTGTTTCGTTATCACCAGTGTCTGCGAAAGGATCGAAAGACTTGAGGTTTTCAATAGACATATATATTTAAAGACGTGTTTTGACTGATTAAATGGTAGTTAGTTGGAACGCTAGGGAGAAACACATAATTTTTTGTAGCTTTATTGAAAATTTTACACTGAGAAAAAGTTAAGATCTGTTCGTTCTTTGTGACGGAAGTGAAGTAGACTTATGCCAATGGTTACGTTGTCTAGACGTAGCGTCGTGGCTGAGGCTTTAGTCTAGTTGAACGTATAGCATCAAAGTTATTCGTGGTAATTTAATAAATTAATGCTTTGATCGTAAAAGAAAAATTTGATATCATGATAAATCTTATATATTGGAATCTTTAATATGTCAATGAGTGAAGATTTTTATAAATATATAGCCGCTTTTACTTAGTGTTCTTATTTGACGTTGTTATGGTCTGCTTTGAAAATCAATTTATCCAGTATTTTGCTTGATTGAGATGTATTGTTTTGTTGTATGTCAGTGGTGTAAGTAGTTAAGTATGACACACTGAACCGATGTAACTTGATAAATCTACATTCGTGGTGCTTTGAACATCATGTTTGTGGATTTTAACTTCTTTGTATTGTTTGATGAACAGAGGATTCTTATAAAGGTCTTTTGAGAACATTAAAAATTCACGGGCAATTTCGCAGTGCTTCAAACATCACAGATCTATTGAAACTCAATAAAATACTTAGTGAGCTTGTGAAACAAGTCTTGTGGTTTCCTGATCTAACCTTATATTAAAATGCTGTGTGTCAAATTTAGCGCAAGGAAATTAGTCCTTGGTTTATGTTGCAATGTGTAAGAAATCAAAAACATCATAGTAAGAAAAATAAATTTTAATGCCGGTATGTGTTTGAGGATTTTCTGTTCTTATATGATATCTGGTATCATTTGTTTACATACACTGAATAAGACATAAGAATGAATTATTTGTCGTTATTATGCAAATAATTGTTTGAGGGTTTCTCATGTTATAAACAGAAGATTGTATTAGAATACAGCAGTTTTGGTATGACATAAAAGAGTGTTCGATGTTTTTAAGAAGCTAGATTTTTTATAATTTATGTTAGGCAAGTTATAATATTGTTTAAATGTATAAATCAAATCTTGAGCTGATATCATTAAATATTTCAAATTATCGAATATTGAGGAAGACTGGTGGTAGTGAATCTCTTGATGCTGGTGGTTTTACCAAAGAAGTGTACGCTTATTTATGTAGAGATGTATACACTTTTAAAAAAAAAGAATCGTAAATTTCACACTTTCAATAAATTTTAAGAACTGGTATCGTTGGCAATATTACAGTAGTAATATTTAGCCTGCATAAAGCTTCAAAATTACTCAGGTTCTGAGACCAGAATTGTTGTGACTTTGGTATACAAGATGACTTGCAATTTTGATATTTAGGAATACAACAATTTCAACATATTTGTATTCGTCTAAAATATGTTTTAGAGACGTGTGACTGTTATGGTTTGTCTGAATTGGTCACTTAGCAATGCAAAGATTTAGGAACAAGAAGTACGAGAGGTCTCTTTATTAATTTAAAGAAGTAGGTTACAATGAGTAGAGAAAAAGCAAACAAATGACTGTAAGTCGTTAACAACACCAAAGATTATTTTGATAATGGGAACTCAAATATAGTATTACAATGGTTGTTTATGCGGAAATAATAAGCAAAATTTAGGTATCTACAGTAATTCAAGAGTGTATCACAATAAACGAAAACGATATTTTGATAGGGGTTTTGAAGTTCGATTCATTCTGTAGATTCTAAAATGTCAAATAATTCGCAAGCCTAGACAGAATAGAAAGTCTCTTCAAGTTAAAGGTCTTAATATGTCTAGGTTTGATTTGGATGTTGAAAGAGCTGTCAGAAAGGCATGTTCCTACGAAGAAACAGCTCCCAAGCGTAAGCATGTCCGTGGGTGTATCGTGTATACGTGGGATCATAAATCATCAAGAGCGATTTTTAATGCTTTCAAAATGCAACCTTTAGGTCAGGATGAAGTCTCATTGTTCAAAGCTTTGATAACAATTCATAAAGTTATTCAGGAAGGTCATCCGTCCGCTATAATTGAAGCCATCAAGAATAGAGAATGGATAGAAAGTCTTGGGCGGATATATCAGGGAAGTGGTGACAATGGTTACGGCCGTGTCATCGAAGAATATGTGTTTTTCCTCTTACAAAAGTTAAACTTCCATAGGACACACTCTGGGTTCAATGGAACGTTCGAATATGAAGAGTACGTTTCTCTTGTCACCACCTCGAACCCAGATGTTGGGTATGAGACTATTTTGGATTTAATGGATCTTCAAGACACCTCTGATAGATTCTCACGTATTCTATTCGCTAGCATATCCAGTGGACGACGTAACGAATGTAAGATTTCTGCACTTGTTCCCTTGGTGAGCGAGTCGTATGGAATTTATAAATTTGTGATGTCTATGATTCGGGCTATGCATAAGCAGACGGGGGAAGATGGAGCTCTCGAACCATTGTATTCCAGATTTTGTGAACAACACTCTCGTTTATTTGAGTTCTATGCTGATTGCTCAGCAATCAAATATCTAACAGGGCTAATTCGTATCCCTAAGCTGCCTACTGAGCCACCTTCACTATCAGTAGAAAATGAAACTCCAAAGATTAGTAGGCCACCTACTCGCAATTCAAACTTTGCCAGTGTTCATGAGAGCAGGACAGGAAGCGAGAGTTCAAAACTGGAAGAAAGGAGTCAAAATCAAAATCAAAATCCAAGCTACACTGGGCTTGGTTTAAATGCCTACCAGATGACGAATGGCACGGGCAACGGCTTAGGATTTTATGGTGTAAATCATCCATTTGAAGAATCGGTCAACAGTCAACTGTTGCTTGAACGACAAAAGTTGGAGGAATTGCGGAAGCAGGAGCAGATGATAGCTCAGCAGCAACAGGTGCGCGAGCAAGAAGCTCAACAATATGCTGTAGAGCAAGAAAGGCAACGGCAAATGGCGTTTCAACAACAACAGCTAGAGGTGGAGAGACAGAATCAATTAGCGGTACAGCAACGAGAGCAAGCACTGTTTGAACAGCAACAAGCTCAGTATGATCATTTAGCTCAGAACAACCAGTTTCAAAATGATCTTAACGTCATGAGAGAACAACATGAGAGAGATCAATTGATGGTTCAGCAATACGACAATAGAGTGGCTCAATTGGAGAAAGAACTTGAGAATTTGAATTTGAATGTTAATAATCAATTGAAAAATCGTGAAGACCAAGTTAAAAGCCTTGAACAATGGAGTGACAAGTACGACGGACTTGCTAAGCTTTATTCACAGTTGAGACAAGAACATCTAGCGGTTTTGAAGAAATTGAAGAAGTCTCAGCAAGTTGAAAGTAGTGCTAAGGAAGCTATGGCCAAATTAGATGAAATTGAAGATAGACAAAGCGAAAAAGCTGTAGAGGTTAAACGTCTAATGAAGGAAGTTGATAGGCTGAAAGCTGAACTGGTTGAAGAGCGTAGCAAGGGAACAATATATGAAGAAAAAAGTAAGATGGAAGTAGTAAGAATGCTTCTGGGAGTAAATGGTGATGCGCTACTGGAGAAAATACCAGCGACTGAATGTGCCACTAATCTAGCGAATGCATTTAACGATCTGGTGGTTGATGGTTTAAATGGAAGCATTATGCCAGTAGCTGGAAGCATTGCTCAGTTTAGTGTAGCTCTAGCAGGACGCCTAGAGGGACAAGAGTTTCTTTACACTTTGAAAGAAGTTAGTGGAAGCCCCGAAGAGATAACAGACAAAGTAATAGATCTGAACATTGGATTGCAAACCAAGCTGTCGCCCATTCAAAAATTAATCAACTTGCCTCAGAATGACGCAGTCAAAGCCATTATCAACCTCATAAAAGCTTCAACAGCATGCCAAGCTGAAATCGCCACCACTCAACACCCCGACCCATACAAAAAGCAAAACAGATGGAGACGGGGTCTAGTTTCTGCTGCGGAGGAAGTAGCAAAAGCGACATCATCAATGGTTTCCGCCACCACGTACGAGACATTCACCGTGGCTTCTAATCAGGTATTGGCTTCCACCGCTCAATTGGTGGCTGCATGCAGGGTAAAGAATCCGCCATCCCAACCACGCTTGGAGCAGTACAGTCGTATTGTGTCGGCGGCGGTGAAAGCTATGAGGCAAGAGCCTCCAGAGGAAACTATCCCGACTTCAGAGCTAGACCTGCAGGCGCATATTGTGCATTTGGAAAACGCTTTGGAACAATCACGCAAAAAGCTGTCTACAATTAGATCTAGCGCCTACGCTTATTCGTAAACCAAACCCTAACTTGAACAGGCGTTAAGCCGCATTTGTCTGCTATTGCCTTACGTTCTCTTGAATTAGGAGATCTCTTTTTCTCAAAAACCGATTCCAAAAAAAGTCTAGTGTCCTTCGATAAGAGAGTCCTTCTTTGCTCTTGGCGGCATAAAGCGCCACAGGCTTTTTTTATTGATTCCAAAGTGAGAAGTATGTCTTTCGTATCCATTTTCAATACTGGGTCTTTGCAATATCTCAACCACCGTTTTAAAAAATGATCATTATTAAATAACAAAGTCCTAATTGCCGTTCTTTCTGTAGTATAACAGACAGCCAAACAACTATGTAAGCTGAAACATCTACAAAGATTTATTTACGGCAGTTGAGGAAAGCATGCATGTCGAAAAAGAAGGGGTTAGTGAAAACAGAAGTTGAGACAATTTCAATACAGGCTTTGAGAAGGATTTGAGGCAACATCCCCATATAACAATAGGAAGGAGATTTGAGGAAATGAAAAGGAACTGGAAGAGAAAATGAACAATATAAATTGAACATGAAAATATTAAATCGGGAAAATTCGGAATATCCCAAACGCCAGACTGAGGTACGGGATTTGTTTTCAAGTTTTTAAATTGAATTCCGAATAAATGACGGAAGTTAAAATGACGAGAGGATTTATGGAGTGTGAGATACCAAAAAAGTACAGAAAAATTACAAACAAAAGACTGAACGACGTACGATTAGTTAGATCACAGTTCCCATGTTCAGGAACGCAGAAAAATGTATCAAAAACATGCCAGTTTATCACTGATAGCACTGAAAAGAAGATTGTCAAAATCTCTAGTAATCGCTCGAAGAACAAATTTATTCTCATGAGAAGCTTGTTACACAGCGTGGTTCAAAAAATCAGCAGCTGCTCTAGCAGTAATTCAAGAAATCAATCTAGTGTGGAAGAAGTATCTAAAATAGCTTCCTGGTTATGGAAAAAGAACCAAGGGGGATTCCAATCATATCATCAAGTTCTTGCTGTATTCGAGGAAAACAGAACTGTGAACAATCCCACCATTTCCCTTAAAAAACTGACCGAAGCCATTGGAAGAGAATGCATACCATCAACCTACAGTTACGAAACGCTGACCAATGCGGCAGACACTACAGCCATGGAGAGCAAGAAAACGTACAAGGCCTTCTGTGGCAGATTCTCTCTCAAGGAGGCTACACGTAGGGTCAGGAAGAAGAAACCTATACAAACCTTCGCCCTCCGCTCCGCCAACATTGAAGACGTCTTTCTCATATAAAATCCTTTTTCTTTAATTCCTCTATTTCCTATATACTACTCTCGTTACTAGTGATATAATATATATCTTTCCCGCCATAATGTGAAAATCCCCTTCGCTCTCTCTTTTTTTTCTCTCTCTCTCTCTCTCTCCTCTCTCTCTTTTTCACTTAGGCCTTGCATGGTTGATGTTTCAGTATTCTCCTTTTGAGGTTCATCCCCTCACTAAATCGTTCCTTTTCCCTGCTCCATTCGTCTCCTTTCTCTAGTCAACCTCAACATTATTCTATTCCTCAAAAACTTTCGCAACCATTCCATCCACCACAACACGTTGATACAAATCCGTAACCATTTTGCAGCTACAACTTTCTAGCATCCTACGCTGCCCGCTGACAGATAAGGCCTCAAAAACGATACTATATGCATCACTATCTTCATCTATCCTCACACACCTCTCAAACGCACGTCTATGTACAACGTTCAAACAAGATCTCTCATCAACCACGCAACCATCAAACCCATCTATAATGTTGTCATTACCCTTTTCAAGGCAAGTCTTTCTTCCTATCACATCAGCTTCGTATGATCCTCCCAATACATCCTTCCCATTGAAACCGGTATAACGTAGCTGTTTAATTTCTTCCCTCCCCTCATCGCTGTTATTCAGAACGACAAATAGATTCAAAGTGACAAACTGGGCAATGAACATTGTAAAAAACGCAATTCTTCTCTTCCCAACTTTAGTAAAACAGACCATGTCTTTGTAACATTCCAGACACGATTTGACGAATCCTTCTGAAACTCTACCTTCTTTGATTAACTTCGAATCATTTTCCATGACTTTTAAAAACGCACCACAGTCATCTTCGAAACGAACAGGTCGGTTCAGATTTTTAATCAGATCAAATATTTTAATATAAAAATTGACCCATTTGACTTCCCAATTCTTCTCAATGTTAACCTTTTTCCTAACGTTCTCCAACGTCTTGATGTATCTATCCATAAACCAATCCATGTAGTGGTCGAAACCATAAAGCACAATGTGATAAAATAAAAACAATGTCAGTTTTTTGATGAATATTTCCCCGTTAAAATGCGTCCCGCTTTCTTCCTTGGTTTCTCCAACAATATAGTTCGACAACGTACGACGGTCAAAGCATACCCCATCTTTGTCATCTTCAATTGCCATAACGCAATAATCGTCAACCAATTGGTCAAACAGATTTTCATATTTAAGACCACCAACATCAAAATAGAAGTTTACTAAACAGAGTAACAATGGAAGCTGGTCATTAAAAAAAAGATTTTCAACAGAATACCTGCTTGTCCTCTCGTCTATTACACTATCAGAGACACAGCTTTGATCAACTTCCCATTTGCTGTACAAATTTAGTAGACATCCCACTAAGTCCCTGAATTGACCCATTGCATCTTCCAGTTTTTTTAAATTAATAGTGCAGTTATTGATAATAAGCTCATCTTCAGCTAAGGTTATCAGGATAAAATCGTCATCTCCTATTTTGATTATTTTACTCACACGATTTCCAACCTGAATGTTTTTGGTATCCTCTTCCAAAAGCTTCTTAGACTGATTGCCCATAGTTTCGTACTTATCGGACCTCTCTTGTAGCTGCTTTTTCATTTCTTCAACACTTTTCACTATGGATAGAAGCTCTTGGGATCTCTGGTGGGGAACGACATAGTCAACGACGCATTCGACCCTCCTTTTTTCACACGCAGTACACGATTTGGGTCGCGCTGACTGAAGATCACACTTAATCTTATTTCGCCTACATCTCACACACGTTCGTAATGCTTTCTTTCTATCCTTCTTCTCAGCTGTAAGCATTGGTCAAAAACGCTAACCTAACTTAATGATTTATCCTCTGGCGGCTACGATCATAAATGATCGTAGACTTTCTCTTTAACCAATTTAGAACTTGGCACTTGTAACACTATACGACTATTCCTATAATGGCACATAACGATACACATTATAAGCTTTCAGAGAATTTAACAAATAATATGCTAGGCTTCTAAACACGCAGTGTTAGCCACGGATTAAAAGTACAAAAAATGCCTTTCGTTTCTTCAAACATTTTCCTACCATCTTCCTTGAAGTACGAAGAAAAGTCGAAAGTTACACTCCTAATACTAAAATTTAATTTACTCCAATTTAGAAATATTTTTTATTTAGAAAGTCAGAAGAACAACGATAGGTTCTGATACTAACTTTGCACAACCGAATATTAAACCAACAACCTGCTACATGATCTTACGTTCCGTTTCATATTCCTTTGAGCTTTTCCAATCACCTTTTACGGTCATAAATGTCATTCTCTAGTGTTAACAATCAGAAATCAAATAAAATAAGTATCATAGGGACATGCAAACACCGTTTTAGGAAAATATGTTAATAAATAGTTTTGACTCGCTATCGCTGGATAACGAGCTCAACAATCAACTATGGTCCACCTACCATCGTAACATACTTCCCCAAAGAAATCTACAAGCCACAAAATTCATACTGAAAGCACTAATATTCTTTGCTTCTACAAAGTCCGACCGCTCGTTCTCTTCAACATATGGATCTTCATTGACAGGAGTGGTTTTTACCACTACAAAATCGATTATGTTCACAACCAACGTCCTACTTCCCTTTATTTTGGACCAATTACAATCACGACCATACATCTACAATATAAAATCGTTTCGCTTGCTTACAAACTTAGCACAGGCCCTGTCATTTACAACTTTTCTACAATTCCTAAGCGGGAACTCAAAAGTTTACATTACACTCATTCATAAACTTTTTCGAATCACTGCAATGAGCACAAATAACAGTGCTTCTTACCGAAGTTCCGTCAACTCAAGCATTGAATTTCAAAACTCACAACTTCTTTACAACGCTGTGCTTCAACTTCTGGGAACACAAGTAGTAAAATCGGAATTCTTACACAAACTAATAAGACGCAAATACTCAACGTCACATCATTTATCAAATTCAAGTCATTGTCCCACCTGCAACAACCTTCCGACAAACCCTTATCTCTCAAATTGCTGCTCCAAACACTTTTGTTACCTTTGTGTATTGAAATGCATTGAGCGACAAAACTGCTCTTTTTGCGATTCAAAAATAAACGCGGCTGGACCCCTTTATTCATATTCTTTTATCAAAGGCTGATTTTTCTTCGATTACTGCATCAATACCAACTTCATCATTACATTGAAGCTTTATTTCGTTTTCTTAGATAAATTCTTAATTATTAGCTAAATATAATTATATGACAACTGAAAATTAAAGATAGAAAACAGCTAAATGAATTCATCTACAGGACTAAAAAGACGCACTTCTTTTTTATGAAATCACTGCCAAGGCAAGCATGGTTAGGAAAGTTTCCCGCCTCATCATGCACAAAACTTCGACGCACTTTTAGCGCCCGCAATATCAACGCTCGTAACGACAAGCAAACAGATACTAATCCGCCCATTCAAGTTTTCGAGAAAAACATAACAAAAGACGCTCTAGAAGGGCTTATACGAAATCATTGGAATCTCTATAAGACGAATAAAGTGCACTGCGCAACGAAAAACACAATTTCACCAATTAGTAAAATCATTACCGAAACAGCTCGAGCAGACACTTCAAAGCATTTTAAAACATCCCGCACTTATCGTTCATTTCTACGATGGGAACTGCTGCGAAACATTACGAATTCAACTAAGCTACCAGCACTACTGGCTTTGCTAAAGAAGTCGGATGACTTGCTTTTTGACCTTTATCATACCGACGACAAACCATATTTGATTGACAGTCTTATCACAAATTGTTTAAAATACAATGATATTGCTAACGCAGTGAACCTTTACATCTGGTATTACACGAACATTGCAAGCACCGTTCCTGACTTGAATATAGCGGCATCAATGATCAACGCAATTGCTTTCTCAAGTCCATATACAGACAGGGTGAGCCTTCAAAGCTTTTTGTTGATAATGAACTTCCTCTCTCAAAGAAAAGTTAATTTCCGACTTACAGAGCAGAATGCTACCCAAATATGCGGGAAGGCGATGTCCCAACTGAACAGTACGCTGAACAAAGATGTTCTGAACATTGTTTTAGATGTACCATTTGATGAAGATAATACAGTGAGAAATCTTCAAATAAGAACATCATATTCCCTAATAAAGGAGGATTTTAAGAGAAACAATCCTGCTGGAGTACTATACCAATGGAAATCGGTTCAGAACCACTACAAATCTATGACCAATCATGATTCCAGAATACTTTATCAAGTAATCAAGCTATTCACAAAACAAAGGTCATACCGCATCCATTGCCGCCAAATTATCAAAAAATTAGAACCCGAATATTATGTTAACAATGCTCTACTACTGCCTTCTCTTATCAACTTCGCAACAAAAACAAACAATTTACCTTTAGCAAGCAAAATAATGTCCGATATCACAAAATACTCAAACGCAAAAACTCAATCCTGCAATCTAACGTCAAGACTAACGTTGTCAACATTATTGAGATTACACCTACATTTTAAGGACTCATCAGGGGTTGAAAGAATACTCAAACAGATAAGGAGCACGAATAGCGACATTTCAGGAAGTGACTACCAGGCAATAGTTTTACATCTTCTTAAGACAGACACAGATGAGGACTTGCTTAAAGCAGTTGCTTTAGCAAAGAGTGTCAAAGGAAAACAATGTTTTCCTTCAATAGCAACGATAGTAAACAAGCTCGCTGGAACTTACAAACAAGCAAAGAATCCAAACAGCATAAGGGACAGGTCTATAATACAGAATCTTTTAAACACCGCAGATGTGATAGATCCTAGACATATGGACAAATTATGGGACATAGTAGCTTCCGTTTACACCAAGACCTTAACAACCTACAGGAAAAAAACTATAACGCAAATGCTTCAAAAGGGCAACAAAGTGGCTCATAAAACAGAATCATCTGCTGACCTTTTGAAGTACTTATTTATTAAATCCTGCAACAGACCTGCTTGCGAATCAACAGCAGATCCTTTCAACACACCAAACACTAATGATATAAACCTCAAGTTAACGAAAAACAATAAATTAGTAATTTTGAGGACAATTGCTAAGGAAGCCAGGTTCGTTAATAAACTGCACTTATTAAGGTGGTGTGTTACAGAAATGATAAAGGCTGGCATGCCATTATATGAAGTGGAACTAGAATGGAATGTTATGGAGAAACATCAAATGAGAAGGTGCAGCTTTACTGACAGGCATTCGATAACACATAATCTAAAGGAACATGGTATCAAAAACTTCAAAAGCGTAATTCAAACAAATTGAATATATTTAAGATAAATAAACAAAACCCCAATATCATTATAAAAAGAAAACAGATTGGTGAAGTTAAGAAGAAGGAGGGGGCAAAGAAGGGAATTTTTTAGGTTCAGGCAGCGCCTTTTTAAATTCCCGGACAGTTATGCGACAATCAACCTCTTTGCATAGTTCTTTTGTCTTGTTACTAGGCAGTTTATGCAGCAATTGAAGCCCACTTGATCTAGAGATGGCATCCACCGGAACTTCAAAGTCTATCAGTTTAGTATCATTAGATATCTTGCCATTGGGAAGAACAAAAGCCCCTACAGCGACCACATCACTATCGGGATTCATTTTTGAATTTTCCGCAACAATCAGTTTATAGAAGTGCGTAGGTACAGCAACAGTAGGTGGGTTTCCAATGACCTCATAAGTAACTTTCATTTTGCCATCTACAGGATCTCTTTTTGGCAAAAACAATGGTCCAGTAACAATTCTTATACTGTGATATTTCTCGGTCAATTGTCTACAAAAATATTCCAAATGAGCCCAATAATCCCTGTTGAACCCTTCGCCAACTTGCGGACAGATATTTGTAAGATAGAAAGTCTCATCCATTGCTTTCTGTGAGAATTTGGCATTTGCAGCGGGAGCCAGGTGGCCCCGATCATATCCGGATCTAAAGTAATCCTTCAGACGGGCCTTGAACATATCTGGGACTGTTTCATCTTCCTTGAAAAAGGAGTTTTTCCGATCACCACCTTTGTCTGCGAGCGATTCTGGGGTTATGTGCTCAACAACCCAGTACGGAATTCGAAGTTGTCGATCAAAACACGATACGAACTCTTCTCGACTCCGAAGATCATGAATAGGGCCAGGAAACCCGTACTTAAAAAACCCGCTAGGATTCACGTTAGAACCTTTCAAATCCAAAGATCCTCCAGATGCACGACTTCCAGAAGGAATACCAGATGTGTCATTTTCAGTGACAATACTACCGCTTCTGTCGTTGCTGCCGCCAAATGGCTTTCCCCAAAGACTAACTGCGACGCTGCTTCCAACTCCTAAACCTACGACCCCACTGGCCAGGTTTCTGAGGCTCATAATAAAAGTAATCAATAAAGGTGCTACCGACTTTGTTTTTTTTGTTCGAAACTCTATATCGATGAGATGTGATTTCGATTTGGTCAAAATAAAATACTTTTTTCTCATATATTGATTGAATGTACACTCCAAATATCTACTTCTAATTATTCATTGCCCACACTACCTTGAAAATAACAGACGGCTTTACGAAGGAGTTCACAACACTCTCCTTCTCGCACAATCTTATACCCCATTGTTTTAACTAGATAAATCTCTTCAATTCAATACCTCTTTCGGTTTCTGACGAAAGAATATTCGGTTTTCCGTTAGTAAGAGTGACTATTTCAGAAAACAACGCTTTTTGATTATCATTGAGGTAATCGCTGAATACCTTTTTAGACTTCTCAACGTCAGTTTGCAACAGTTTAGTAATCTCATCAGATATCACAGATATATCGATAACTTCCTTCTCATAGAGATTCAGTATAGCAGATAAACACAATGCAAGCGCAGGCTCCGTTGGACCAGATTGTTTCTCGATGCAGCTTTGTGTGAACAAAATTAATATTTCCATAATTACCTTATAGTCCCCAAATTGATCCAACAATTCGCGACTAGTTGTAGCAGAAACTAACTTCAGCACGATTCGGCGCACGACCTCCTTGTATGCGACGGATGATGAACCTTGTCCCAAGAAAGACTTGAATGCTACAATTGTTACTTCAGCGTCAACGTCTGCTTTTAGGCTTTCATAAAAAACTTGAGCAACCGAATCGATGTCAGCGTCAGAAAAACAGGTAGCAGTAAACTTACTCAAAATGAGAACAGTAGCGACAGCAAAGTCTTTGGGAAGCTTGTGGAAAATGAAATGTTTGTTTGCTTCGAAGAAAACAGTCACTAGTCCTATTTCCGCATCAGTGGGCTCTTTCACGCTGACTATTTCCTTCAGTAAAGGCAGTACTGAAGACACTAGAACTTCTCGCTGACTACATCTCATGATACGTCCAACAATGAAGAGCAAACATGCGTTCAAATCCATTCTAAAATCTGCAGGAAACCTGCAAACCAAATGAGCAACTGAGGAAAAACAGTTCTTTAACAACCTTTGGTCCACCGCGTCAAGAATTTGAGCGTCCAAAACATCATCTTTTTCAACTTGCAATTCGGTTTTGAGAAAAGGCAATTTGGATGTAATGATCATCATGAGTACCCTCAACAGAAGATAAACCTTTTCTGCTCCAGAAATGAACTGATCTTCTACACCATACGAATTCAAGTACTCCGACACGAGGCCTTCAATCACATAGACAAGGCAAGTTTTCTCTTGACATTTACCGGTTAAGACAATCCTCTCAAAAATTTCGACGGTCTCTTCGAGTATATCGTCACTAAAGAGGAGTTCACTCGGGACACCAATTGCTAGAAGACTATGGATAACATTCAGAGTCTTAGTCTTTGTACCCTTTTCTTCAAAGGTCAAAGTCAAATGCTGTAGACATTGTGCATAAATAACAAAAACAAAGTTTTGCAAGTCTCCAGCTTTCAAACAAAACGAAAGGATAGCAGAATCAAACGCATGAACGGAAGAAATTGCGTGTGCAATATTAAGCCATACATGTTCACAATTCTCGTAGTTTTTAGCCTCACCTAATAAGATATCTTGAGTACGAAGCCGGCCTGTGCTTGTCTTAGAGTTTTGAACACTGACAAACTCTCGTAGCATAATAACCCACAGAGGAGTTAACGTATTCAGATAGGTTTTAACGAAGTCGAGTAAAATAACATTTCGCTTCGTAATGGCCTCAATAGTCAAATGGGCCCAAGCATTGAGAACAGATATCTCTATCTCCGATTTACCTTTCTGAGTGCAAACACTAACTTCTCCAATAAGTAAAGTTTCTGGTTTTTCCACCAATTCAGCTAGAGACGTTATCAGAATATTTGTGATTCTTGTATTCCGCTGCAAACTTGTCGGGTTTGAACTCAAGTAGCGAGTGCAAACGGTAATAGCTGTCGGTAGGATAGAAGGGGTGCTACTTTTCCCGAACGCAGGCATCAGAGCGCTCACAATATGAGCTTCTTCATCTTCAAGAAGCTGATAACATGGATCATCACAAGAGGTAGGAAATGCCTCTATGACCAAACCTAATAACTCTATTCCCACTTTCTTAACCTCAGGAATGTTCATTGTGGACGCGCTAAAACAGATTTTTGTCATCTTTGATAATTTCTTCTGCAAACAGTCTTTGATATTCTTGGAGCTCGTGCTAAGCAGGAATAGTTCTCGTAGAAGGTTCAATATGAAGAGCCTCATCTTCCATGGTAGATGATCTACTTTGGTGGCAGACGTATGCCCTGCTGTGAAAGTTTTCTTCTCATTATCAATAATATCTACTTCTTTGGAATCACCTCCTTCATTGTTCTCAATAGAAGATGACTCAAAATAAGAAGAGCGACTTTTGTACTCTAATAGCGCTAGTTGCTGAGCTGAAATGAAAAAAATGTTGTACAGTCGATCGACCCAAGAAAGGTCTTCGGAGTAGGTGTGATCAAACCACTCTTTGACGAATGATTGTACAAACTTAGAATCGGGGAACACGGAGAAGTATGACCAAATAAGATTCTCTAATCCTTGGAACGACTGGTTGAGCATCTCTAACCGAGCAAGCTGATTAATTAGTTGAAAACTAACCCCAACAGCGCTGTCATTAAAAGGGCCAGCTGCCTCAACTTCGGTACTTGCAAAGATACCTCTGTATTCACTCTGTGCTAAATCAATAGAAAGTGCTTGTCTTATCAAAGTTGCTGCGGAGGTTGTAATAGCATTCAACCCAAAGTCTTGAATCAATTTAAATGCAGCTAAATTTGTTGTGGTTAAAATACCATAAGTATTTTCAATAACATCTTGTGCGCCTAACTGTGTAAATAACAAATTCTTGTATGCGGCAAAAGATCTTGATGACAAAAGTTTGATTTCGGGGCCTAAGAGCTGGGTAATACTCAAAATGATTTTACCGATTGTGCGATGTGAGTTGTAGCGGTGACTATAGTTGATAGACCAAACGTTAGACGAATTTTTCCCATAATTTCCATCATTCGCGATCGATTCGAGAAGATGCAAGAGTTTCGACGACGTCGCAATGTCCAATGAATGTACGCCTTCTATTAAAATGGAAAGAGCTTCTAACGACCAAGTATGAACAATAGGGTGAGGGTCCTTGATCAAGTTTTCCAATAACTCTAAGGCAGTGGAAAAGTGAAAATTCTGACGTTTGTATTTGAAGACACAGGATATGCTTAAAGCATTGAAAATCCTCGAAAAAGGATCATCATGAACAAATATGTCTTTCACAATGACCTCCGAGACACTATTCGCAAACTCCATTTCGTCTGTCAGACCATCTTCAACGATCCTTTCTGTAGTAGAAAGAATCAGGCCAACACATTCAGCCTTAAGTCTAACGGTGAACTCACTACTGTTGAAAGGAATTCCTTTTAAAATTTTTAATAGAAGATTTGCAACCGGCTCACGAAGTTTGATATTATTACGTTGTACAACGAGCAAAGCGCCATAAATGGCAACGCAACAATTAAGAGCAATGGCTATCGATCTCATTGAGATCGTGTTTTTGGAGAAAACGCAAGAGTTCATGCTCTCTAGAACAGAATATTGAATTTTGTCATTAAGGAAAGGAAATATAAGCGAAAAGACTTCGACTGAAGAATTAATAATTGAAGTCGTCACTCTGGGCGAGCACACCTCGTTCTTTGAATATCCCCCCGGTCCATAAAGCATTATGAGACAATCGTATGACAGCACTGATGTGATTGGCTTGAGAATCTCTGCTTCAAAGCAACTGAACCAATAGTCAGTCCGTCCTTTCCACGGCTCAAGTGATTTAATAATAATATCGCCCCCAGTTTTAATTTTCAGTTCATCAATATCGAAATCATGGATTTTACTCGAAAGACCGTATGCAAAGCCTGAGTCATCTGATAAAAGAGCCGCCAGGCTTAAATTATCGCAGGGTGATTTGTCTTCCTTTGAAGAAGCGTCTTGGTTTCCAGACATACGATTCAAAAGTGATTGGGGAGGTTCGCAGTAGAGATTTGGATCCGCAAAATTTTTGACAATTAATATGAGAATCGCACTGTTGAAGTCATACTTCACAAAATCATGTATTTTGAGGTAAACTTGCAATATTCTGTTTTCATTTTGTAGCAAGATGTTGTCAATTGTTTTGGTTTTCAATTGAATCGAGTTATTGTAGGCTGAGCATTTGGTTAAAAGAAAAGACACCTGCTTTGCGATGTCAGCGTCAATGCTAATTCTTTCGAGATATGACAGAAGGCAAGCAAGGGCATGGTTTCTTAGCTCAATATTTTTGTAAAGTTCATCTTCATCTTTATAATAATACGAGTGTGTCAATATGCTTTTCCAGAACAAAAATAATTGTGAAGACTGTATGCGAAGAAAGTCAACATCTTTGTAGTTCATTAACCCGCAAAGCAAAATCCAAGCAATAAGTTGCTTGTAGTAGGAACCTAGCCCATTGCTTGGTGGGTGGTCCTTCAAAATTGTTGTGGCGAAAATCATTTCTCTCATTATTAGTTCGCTAGGAACGTATTGCGGACTTGCCACTTCAACTAGGCTGGCAAGAATAAATGTGTAACTGTGGCACTTGGAAAACGAAAAAGATGCAGTAGCAAAAAGTTCTTTTGACAACTGTTCAAGGGATGAGCCAAGAACCTCTGGCAAAAAGTTTGGCACGCACGTCAAGAAAACTTGCAATGCTTTGCTTCCGTGTACTCTAATTTGGAAATTGTTACTGGTAGATAGTTCAAACAATTTGTTTTTGATGACGAGGGTATTCCGGTTGTTGGAGGTGAAAGTGGACGAAAGGTTTTCCATTAGGGCAGTGCCTAAGTGCAGAAAGACGATAGTCGAAAAAAGAACCTCACCCTCTTTGTCTTCAAGTAAACCCATAGTATTGTCTTTGTCACAGTCAAACAGAGAAAAAAGCATAAGCAACTGAGATGATTCAGTAACATAACGCAAAACTAAACGATGCAGCATGTCGAAGAACGCTATACATCTTGAAATATGATCTAGCTTCTGGTTTTTGATTTTTGGGCTTTCGAAAATGAAGAGAGCCAACTTTGAGATAACATCTAGGTATCTTCCACTGGCTAAAAGATTATTTTTAGATGTCATCGAGAGTCCCAAAAAATGAGCCAAGGTTTCGAAGGTAGCTGCCTTTGATGATCGGTTCTCCACGGTGACGAAAATATCACTTAAAAAAGACAATACATCATCTAAAGTAATGAGTTCTTTTTGTGTGGACCAATCGTGCATGACATCGGCGAGACAAACGCATGTTTCTAACCGCAGGTCATCATTTGAAATCCCGTATAAACCATAACCGTTGTGAAAAAACTTTGTCTTGAAGGATTCAAAGTGGTTGCTTGACGACTGGGATTCGAGGAATTGTAAATCTTTGTAAAACTGGCCATACGTCGTTATTACAGCGCCCACAAAAGGAGCAGGATATGCTTGTTTATCCAACTTAAGATGTTCTAGGATGACTTTGAAGGTTTTCACATACTTTGCAGTTACGGTCGAGTCAACTTTTGAGAGGTTTTTGTAAATGATGGCCACTAGCTGCATCAGTTTGGTTAAAAAAACTGCATGCATGTACTTGTCCTTTTCAATGGTTTTCTTTACGTTTTTCAGAATCTCAGGCAATAGCGGAGGTAAAAGAGATGTCAATTCCTGCGCGTAACAGCTGACTATCCGTTCAAGAGCAACGACACTGGCCAGCTTCGTTGGCGAATGAATATATGATCTGCTTTTATTCTTTTTCTTGGCTTTGGATTTCGTGATGTCGTCCTCACACAATAGGTTGCTTAAATATAGGGCCGTGTCATAAATTTGACTTCCTTTCACAGGCTTTAGAGTTTTGAAACAAGCCATATATAGACTGGAAATTTGTTCGCATAAAACCACTGCTAGCCCAACACATAGTTCCTGATCTTCAGCCATAGACTTCAGCAGTTCGTTTAGTTCATGGCAAATCGCCTCGGCAGTCTCAAGATTCGGAGAGTCTGCTTTGCTCAAGTGATCGGTAACCCACGACAAAAGTGCATGTTCTTTGTCATCTGAATTTCTTATCAGTTGAGTCAGTGAACTCTGAGGCAATTGAGTCATTATGGTCTAGGGTTCTTGTTCTAATATTGAAAAGGCCCGTAACCTGAATTTTGGAATAAAACATCATTTGTACATAGTGATAAATAGATAATGTTAGTTACTATTCTATGGCATAATAATGTCTTAAAGCCAACCAAACCATCAAGATGACGCATCTTGCACATTTTACGAAAAATTATGCAAAGAATAATGGAAAGTCAATGTCATTCAGAACACGGCTTTGGACTAAGAAGCGTGTCCCAATCATCTAGCATACCAGTTAGGTAAGAGTCTTCAAAAAAAGGAGCAAGTGGTAGAAATTGTGAGTCGCTTGCAATCTGTGTACTATGTATCTCACCTTCAAATAGGGGATTAGTAGCTGCTTGGATATTGTGAGAATTGTTGGCGTTATCACCAACAAAATTGTCTAAGTTTTGCATGTTCCATTTCAGCGTCGCCGAAGGTGGTTGAATATCAAGACTTTTCTCAAGGTTTTTCCCCAGTTGCGTGTGTTTAGTGATATGCAGTCTATGAAATTCATCAACAGAACTTTCCATCTTGCGATCATCAAACCTTTCAAACAACTTTGTTAGAACATTAAAAGTTCTTTCGCTCGTTACAGAGCATGTTTTGAGATCTAACAAAAGATTGATGCCTTTCTTCAAGTCTTTTTCAACATCCTGTAACATCTTTTCGCTTAAGGCACTTTGGCCGTTCAATCTTACCCGATGGACAGTGTACATGAGGCAAGTAACTCCCAAAAAAATAGTGTGCACAGAAAACCAATAGCTTCCACACAGAATCTTTTGCCGGCACATTTTTCCCGCAGCATAAATTATTTGCTGAGCTGTTTCTAAGCATTTGATCGCGGAGGCTAGCTCTTCAGTCTTATGCAATAATATATCTGGGTGTAGAACCACGCAGTCAATGAATGGTCGATATAACATAATAGTAGCATGAAGGTAATCAAAGTTCAAAAAATAGTTTGCCAGTCTGTAACGTTTAGTTTCGTCTTGATTGACGAATTCATAATGAGGTTTCAGTTGAAGTGGGAGAGACAGTACCCAATCATTTAATTCGCTCTGCAGTAGGTGAATTTGATCGTAACGTTGGTGAGAACTTAGTGGTTCCTTTTTCTTAAATGATCGGAACTCATCGTAGATACGTTTAGTGATTCGTATGAGTTTTGTGTGTTCATTGCTTAAAGCGCAACTGCTTATTTGAGGGCTCCAAGAATTAGTGTTGATACAAGCGTCCGTAATCTCTTCGTCGTTGAAATTGCCAGGAAGTTCTTGATCAATGTCGCCTTCCGAGATGGTGACTGGAAGACCCAGTATAATATTGACGTAAACATCCATCTTGTAGATAGTCCAAAATAATCTTTTCTTAACCTCTGCTTCTATGAGCGAGCAGCTAACGAGGCTTGATTTTTTGTGGATCCCAATTCGCAGAGCTGCTCTCATGGCTATCCCTACAAGTGAATAGCATGTACTCAACTTAGCGGAGCATTGCAGGAAAATTGTCATCATAAATATCGTCTGAATAGCTGAGATATCTGAGATATTCGTGATATCTATCAGTTTGCGAGCCGCTGTGAAGTACTTGTACCCCTCTTGATGAAAGAAATCTTGTATGTCTTTATCCTGGCCAAAGTCATCTTTCATGAAAAGGGCACCAACAGCGAGGATGGAATAGATAAGTGGTAGAGCTCTATTTTGATCATTAGTGTAGTCTTCGGGATTCGTTTCGTACAAGCTTTCAAGAGTTGATACTAGGCTGGGACGATGGTTGAAACGGAACAAAACGCACGCACACTTCCAAGTTTTGAAAACGAGAGTTTTAGCCATGTTCAACGGCGGTAAAACAATTTTCATTTCTACTGGCCTCAGAGCGAAAACATCTGGGGAAGCCATGACGCTTTCAGGATCTACATCAGACTCTGCGGGAGTTGTTTCTGCTTGTTGAGAAAGAAATTCGGATTCGATAGCTTCGACGTTTAACAAACCCTGGAACTTATTCCTTGCTATCAATTCGATTAGCCGATCAGCAACGCTGGCATTCATCTTCATTCCTAGCTTGGGAAACAACGCCTGTATCACACGGTTGTAGTGGTGCTCATCTCGGCAATTGCTATGTGGTGTTGTTGAGGGGTTCTTGGCACCAATTTTAGACGTGTGACCCTTACTGTTGGAAACATCTGAGGCAGTTCTTGATTTTTTGGAGGCTCGAGAGGCAGGGTTGTAAGTGCAGTTGTGTGAGTAAACGGTACAATGAATACACGGCTGGCGTCCATCGCACCTAATCTTTCTAGCACGGCAAACATCGCAAGCTCGTGAGACTCTTACTCGTTTCGGTTGTAGTTTATCGGTGAACTCATCAATGGACAAAACCAAAACGTTGGGCACCCCTTTAGACATCAGGTTAGGCTTACGAATGGTTTATTTGTACAATAACCAATTTTTGCAAATGAGCTTCCTCCGCAACAGCAGACAAAGTTAATTTACCACTTTATGATAAAAAAAGCTCACAGACTCAACTTGCAGCTGACAACTCATCTACTGACAGTCCCGTAAATATTTTGGGTTTTTAGTAGCTATAAATACTGATTCACCCAGACTTAAATTACAGATGTTTTAGATCTATATATGTCCCGATTGCTTTCCTGCACGAATTCTCTCAAATCTTTTACTGAGTAGCTGCTTCAAAGAGTGACCCTCTTCTCTCCCGGCTTTTCTTTCGTACGAGAAATAGCTCACTGTTCCCACGCAAATGGCGAATAAGGGATCCAGGTACCTAAGGTCGAAGGATGCGTTAGTATATTGAGCGTTGACCGCGTGAGATTGACTAGAATTATTAGAATATAAAGCTGCCATCAAATCAGATGCTTACCGACCTAGCAGATAAGGGTTAGGTTTGACCATTGATGGGGTTCTTTCCAATGAAGCTGGGGCTGATACTTTTCATTAGCTTTAATGCTATCGAGTAAATTTCACTCAAAAAATCTAATTAATATTAAACACTATTAACAGCTACTCGTAGACAAACTGGGGACAAACACCAAAGTAGAGCATTTTCTGCATCTGTCATGACAGTTGAAAATATTGTTTCACAGGATAAACGCCACGCTGGCTTAAAGAAGTGCTACGAACTGCACCTTGTTCCTTGCAAAATCGGCGTTACAGGCCCTACGAAACAGCTTGAGGAGCACTTTCAAGTAGATGCCGAGGAATCACATGAAGAGGAACTTAAAGTAGTAACCTATATCAGAGGCCGCAAAATTATTGGTAAACCTGTTCCCTTGCTCGATGACCACGAGCTCGTTGCGCTTGAACCACAAACATCTTTAAACGGAGAGAGGGAGCTCAAGGTGCTCGCTAAAGTGTCAAATATATACAATTACGAGCGTGAGGGGAACGAAAAAAGGCTGCAGGAAGAAATGCTAAAGTTCGAAGAGTTCCTTCAGTTGGCTGAATTGATTCATGGGCCTTAATCAAATAGCATTTGCGAAACCAATATGTGCTGTGGTTAGCAGCACACAAGGTTAAATTAAGCAATGCCAAATGTTATAGCCGCATTTTCATCACAGGTCAGGTAATTTCAGGCTTTATGAGACAAGAAAGGTTTCATGTTTCGAGAGAGTGCCGTTGTTGGTGAGCTGGGGGAGCCCACACTTTACACCCGCATAGATTGATAACGTCTTTAAGTTCGAGGATGGGAAGATTGCAGGTACAAACGCCAAGTTGAGCCCGATAATAACACACAAAGGCCCACGAAGGCCTACATAGGAATCCTCCAAATGTCAATGTTTGACAGAAAGCGAACTTATGACGGAACTCTGCCCAAAACCCCTGTTCTAAGTTTAGATGCTAGTAAAAGGTCTACGCGAAAGCTGCGATCAGAATTTCTCATGTTCATGGAGCACACCCCACATGAAATGCTCTTGCAGCTGATCGAACTGCTTGACAGAACAGACGTGATTTCTCTTGCCTCCACAAGCAAGCCCATAAGGAGGCGCCTTTTACCATATATTTTCGATCGAGTCAAATGTTCCTGGGATGACCTGTTGATCGAGTGGAAATCGTCATGTGGCGTGTGCGCTCCAATCTCAAACCCTGAGCTCATAGAAACTTTGCGCTTAACTTCTTCGTGTTCAAAAAATGAATGGGCGTTTCCTTTTCACGTTCTATTCGATCGAGATTCTCTAATGCTTAATTTGAAAAGCATTACGCTCCCTAGTTCAGGGTCTACTAATTTTTTCAAATATTGCGATGTAGCGCCGGGATTGCTGAAGTTACAAATAAACGCAGATAGAAGTGATTCGGCTTTCTGCTTAGAGCATGTCAGGAATTTCCCATATCTTAAAGAGCTGATTCTATCCAGCTTTCATATTGAAGAGCATGACGATGGCGCATCAGATATTTGCCCCAAGTTAAAGACTTTGAGATTGGAAAACTGCACATGGAACTATCCCTTCAACCTTGAAAATCTAGGAAAAAACAATATTAGCTCGCTTCATCTAGAATACTCGAGTAGCTTCATTATAAGTGAACGCTTCAAGCACTTCCTTTCATGCCCAAGTTTCACCAACCTCAAGGAATTGTCTATTGTCAACAACGAAAATAATTTAAGGCTAACAATTTCCGTGCAGATTATGACCCTGATACAAGCCATGCCAACACTTAAAATTTTGAAACTTAAAGGAAATATTTACAATGAAGCATTAATTCGAGCGAGCGAATCCACCGCTTCTAATCATACAAACGTTGTCGCGGTGCGAGATGTAAAAGTTTTATACTCCAGCTTTTTGCGGGACATTCGCTAGGGTTTTAAAATTCAATTAAACAATTTTGTTACATAAGGGTACAATCGCTAACACCTAAGCCGTACATCACCTTTTCAACATCCCTACGAACTTTGACCCAATCAGTTCTGCGCTGGACCAGCTCATATATCTCGTCTTGTGTGAAAACGCCTTGGAACCTGCCAAGGTCGCAAATCATCTTTCCAAGCTCCTTAGAGTCAGCACCCGAGACCAAATATAATTGCCCTACTGTTTTCAAGCCCGCAAACAAGGGCACTATGCTTTTCTGCTTCAGGGTGTTTGCAATGAAATCATAATAATAGTTCAGGTCACAAATCAAGAAAATAGCCCCATCACTTGAGATCAAATTTTTTTTGATGTTCTTGACGATCTCGTTAAAAAATCGCTCACCGATTTCCTGCTGAAATATATCAATCGTACCCTTGTCGGTAGCCCCTGTCAGCAAGAAACAGTGATTGAATAAAAGTTCGACATTTTTTATAGCCGCTCTAGACGGCTTTATTTCCTTAGCCATAATTGATTTTGGGTCTGGGTTGAAGTCGTCGGGAAATTGTAAGCTGCCAAAAACAAATAAAACCTCATCCATAAGCTTGTTAATACCAATATTTAGACCGTTTGCAACATAATCATCAATCATGGTTTCAAAGTTTTTTTTTACTTGTACAACATCGTTAAGAAAGTCCTGGTTCTTATCCATGATATTGATTTGAACGAGTTCATTTTTGTAAAAGATAGATATCATTTGCAAAACAATGTCCCCAGTGTTAATAAGTTCAGTAAATTTTATCAATGGCTCCACATGAGAATCCATGGTTTCGAGCTCTATTTGTAAGTTTTTCATTTGATTCGGGTCGTATTGGTCAAGCACTTCAATCGCCTTTTGGAAACCCGGTTTGAAATGGTCCCTAGACAAACTGGTAATTAATATTTTGAAAGCTTCTTGGCATTTGAGCTTCACCACTCCCTCTATGTTTTTGATTTTTAAGAACGTCCGCATGTTCTCAATACAAGTTTTACAATGTTGTACGACCTTATAACAAAGGTCTAGACTTACCAATATCTCAATATTGTGAAGATTGTTATTCATAACATTAAGGTTGTAAGCCATTTGCAGCTGCTCATCATCCTCGGCCTTGCTGTTGTTTGATATCTTGAAAATCTTGGTAAATGATGTCAGAAAATTATTTTTTTCGTCTATGAGCTGTTGCTTCGATGTTTTCGCTCTCAAGGATTCGTAGATCTGTTCATTTTGCTGTGTTTCTTTCAATGTTGTGTCATTATGGAACTTAGTAAACATCTCTTCTAAGTCGAGGCCAAATTTTTGGACACTGACATCAAGATAGTTCAAAATTTTTGGTTCCAAATAAAGGTTGAAGAACTCGACAAAAAGCTCTTTGAAACGAGAACCGGCATTTTGACTAGGCACCAAGTTTTCGATTAAGCTGAGGTTGATGGATTTGTAAAGGAAAGGCATAGATTCGATCCTTGTAACAGCAAGAGCGCTGTTAAAATTTGCAGTGAGCTGAGATTCAAAATACGCAGTTATGTTATTGGCTATAATGTTCTCAGTATAGGACAGAGTAACAGGATAACTATCACCAAATATCTTATCTGCTAGCTTGATTTTGGAGTTGAGGAAATTTCCTATTTTATCCAAAGCAGTTTGCAGCTGTTGGTCAATCAACTGGTTAGTTCCTGGATCAAATATATGCTCTGGTAATGTCACATCCGCGGCAAAGTCATTTTTAGATTTGAAAAAATCAGCGGCTGTATTATCTTCGTGGCATTCTGATAGGACTTCAACGAATTCAGCCGCTGAGTCATAGTCACGTCTTTCGTAGCTCAAATCCATTTCCTTGATTACAGTGTTGATGAAAAGTTCCCTAAGGATCCCCAAATTTTCTTGTAGTTTCCGGTATTGTGTGTAGTCCCTAATTTCCGCAGGAATGTATTTCGTCAAATTCATCAAGATGCGTGCGTGAATCAATGGTTCTGAATACTGAGGAGGGAAAAATGTTTTCAGTTCGTTGTGATACAGCTTGTCGACAAAGCACTGAAATTGCTTGTAAAACAAACCGTAAGTTGTTTTCGCAGAACCAGTGGTGAATGTTGTAACCTTGCTAAAAATGTTGGCAGCATCAAGATGTGCCTCATTGATTTCTTTATCATCATCTACTACCTGCAATCCCAGTAATCGCAGTCTTGAAGCCCATATCCTATCGTCATTAGTTCCGGAAAGATGGTCGTAGTAAACATTCTTATTAATCTGCCTAAAGCTCAGATAGTCTTTGGTGGCCAATTGGGATGCAATAGCAAAAACTATATCGGTTACCTTAAGTAGGTCGTCCATTGTTGTAGCCATTACGGAAAGCTCGGTACTTGGACTTGACGAAGCCCAGGTTTCATGGGTGAGATCTTACTTTTATAATAATGAAGACTAGATAAAATTTCACTTATTTAAGAGAAACACATTATCTTCTCCTGGGATAGAAATAAGTACGCACAATGGTGACCGAATCAGAGAGTGATACAACTCCCAACTTCAATGGGATCCTGATACCAGATGATCCTGAATGGAAAGAGGCTATTGAAAAAACTGCAAACTACGTGAAGCGTAACGGCAGAGAATTTGAGCAGAAGCTTGATGTAACTCAATTTCCGTTTCTGCAGGAGAAGGACCAACATAACGGCTATTACCAGCACCTACTAAAGCGAGAGGGAGCACAATATCCAATTCTCACCGACCATGTAGAACCAAAAATAAAAAAGGATGTATTGACCATTCCAGAGCCCTTCGTATTCGCTACGGTGGACAGAAACGTACCGAAGAAAGACTTGGAGATCGTGAAGATAACTGCACTGTTTTGTGTCCAGAATGAGAAAACAGATTATTTGAATACTCTGCGGCTCAAGTGTGCCGATAATCCCTTACTCGCATTTCTGAAACCGCAACATCCTCTAAATGAGACTTTCACCAACTTTATCAATCAGTACAAGCAAGTTGCTCGCCAAGATTTTGGTTTACGAGCTTCACTTGAAGGCGAAGGAAAGTTGACGATTCTCAGACGTTGTTTTGAGCGGGCCAAATATTGCGAGTATTCACAGAGTGTTGAGGTGGAACAGGTAAGAGCACAAGAACGACTGAAAGCCAAGTTCTTTGCATACGCTTGGGATATCTTCGAGAAAGTTGGAACAATAAATATTGAAGAGGGCCAAGAGTGTGCCGAGCCTTTACAATTTGATCTTTTACGTCAAAAAACACTTCAAAAGAACGCACAGGACAAGACTTTTACCGAATTTGTGGTATTGTCGTCGTTAAATCTCAAGACCGGTACTCGCGAAGAGGAGCAGAAACCCAAGAAGAAGGGAAAGATGAGAGTTCGGGCTGCTGGTGAGACGCGATTGAAACAAAAGAGCTTGCGCAGCGAGAGACAGGTTGAGTGCCCGATTACTCACAGGATGATAGCAGAGTCGAATTTCGACAAGCACATCCAAGTGCTTCTGAGCGATCCAAATTACACAAAGGAGCGACAAGAGTACGAAGCCAAGAACAATATAAGCAATCTCACATTAGAAAGCGTTCACCAAAACATCAAGCGCTTATCAAAAAATGAAAGTTCTCAAGTGCAAAAGAAGCAGAGGACGTGATTGAAACAGGCCAAGCGACGACCTTAGCTTGTATAAGATTCAAAGCTTGTATTTTTTGTCAAGCCGTGCGATAACTGTTGCCAACTACATCAAAGAGAAAGGTTGAAGGAACCGATCAAGCGCGGGCCGGTCCCATGTCTTAGCTAGACATAATTTACCAAATGCAGCGAGCCAAAGTCGCCCATGCGGATGACATCAAGATAAGTAGCTCAGTACGTACTGTCAAGAAGAGCTCCACAAGCGCGCAAAATATTACTATAGACTAGCCATTAAAGCCGAAGTGATGCCATTTATCATTAATGCATTCAGTACAGTGCCTAATTCATCACGCTACCATGTTAAGCAGGTATTACCTACTTGCAGCAGATTTTCCTCAGAGACTCGTCCTTGTTAGCTCAGTTGGTAGAGCGTTCGGCTTTTAAGCGTTGCTTGCAAGGAACCGAAATGTCAGGGGTTCGAGCCCCCTATGAGGAGTCTCTTACTTTTTATTTTTCCATACGTTCTCAACGTTGTTTACATTTTTTGATGAAGTGCTTTCTCTGCTTGATTCGATAGGAAGATTCAATCACGAATCTATCCTGCGAAATTCAATCCCCACAAATTTGTCCCGAAGAAAGCAGGTCGTCATTGAAACAGTTGGATTGTTAGCTTGTTTACGTTTATTCACTAAGTTTGCTTGCCTTCACACGTACTTCTAGGATAGAGTAAGACTGAGCATGGAATCCGTTGTTGAGGTCCGTTTAGACAACCTTTTCTTCAAGTCTTTCACTGCGGACTCAGACCGCGGATGTCCAATCTATGTTTTTGATTCGACTTACTTGCCGTCAGCCGATGAAGTAGAGAGCCGCGAGGTGTACGATTTGCTGATCGACGAAATGATGAACAAACTGGTGGCCAAGCTCCCGGACTCGGCGTTTTCGCTAGTAGTGTTCAGCTCAGGTTTTTCGCAAAACAACGTGAGCTGGATCTACGGTGTAAAAGTGTATTCCAAGATTCCCAAAACTACCCGAGCCAAACTACAGAACCTATACATTGTTCACGAGTCCTTTTTCGTACGCGCGGTGTATCTGGTTCTTACCAACGCACTCAACATCAATCCCTTTAAAAACAAACAGCTGTCTTCAGATGGTCTTCTAATGCATCATGTGTCGAGTTTGGCGGATCTCTCACGACTCGTTGACATTACGCGACTTCGTATATCACTCAATGTTTACCTCTACGAATACCAGCTTAATGAGACCTTCGCCATTCCAGACCCTCATTTAGAAATCAGGTCAGCGCTGGCTAATAGACAATACCGGCAACTTGTCTTTGATAAAATCTTTAAAAGACTTCGAATCGAAGCGCCAAGACATGAATTGATCTTTCAAAAACCTGGCTCCTATCAAAAAGTGAACATTTTACTTGGAATCATTGAAAGAAACAATTACGTGGATCTCTCTCAGTGGGACATTTACTCACTAGCCACACTTTTTCTTCATTTCATAAAAGGGAAAAGTAAGCCTATCCTCCCTATAGACCTGATACCGCTGCCGATAAATGAGTCATTTGATTACACATACAACACTTTCGTGAACATGATGATGAATAATGGATACTATGATCTCACTACCTTCGTATTCGAGTTATTTTTATCGATCCTGGATAGCTCAAAAACGACATTACATGATTACAGAAGCCTGAGCAAGTGCCTGACACCTACACTGTGCAAAGAAAAAGTTTCTATCAAAACCTCAGATAGGCTAGCAATTGGCTATCGATACACCACTAACATTCTTATACATTTCAGAGATCTAAAAACCAAGATCGCAAGCACAGGTGCGTTAACTGGTATTGCCGCTAAAAGCTTGGATGGGAGCTCTACACCACGTCTGATGAAGGACGGACCTAAGGTGCCTCCCCCCAGGAAAAGTAGCCCTACAAGGTCTGCACTTCCTAACTTAAACAGCCCTGCAAATAATAAAATATCACCAGCGAAACCACCCGCCTTGCCAAGACGAAAAGTTCAGGATAAGTTTACCAACTCACAACAGACACCGCCTATTTTACTCCCGCCAGGGCCTTCGTCATCAGCGGTATCCGTGGAAATTGGTAATATAATGCAATCGCCATATGCCAGATCCGATTCGAGTGGACAGTCTGAGGAATCCTTGTATACCGATAGCCCTGTACCTGAGCTACGAATTTCAAGCAACTCCTCTGTTGTGCTTGACAATCCAGCCAAAATAGATGAAACGCAATATATTTCAGACGACGCAGTGACGTTCAAGTCAAAACCCACGGACAATACATTCAAAATTGATGAGAGAATGACCAATCTACTCCTTGACAACAATCAAAAGATAAGAAAATTCGACAAAGAGCTTAAGAAGAAGAAGCTAGCAACGAACTCGGATTCCTCAAATTCGTCCAGTACCGGCTTCTCAGACATTAAAGCCGAGAACAAAGTTAGCCGGCTTGCGGCGCTTTATGAAGAAAGACTTATCGGAATACGAGTTATGGAAGATATGCGTAGAAACCAGTAATCAATGGCTACCTACTTGAGCAACTCATCTGAAACTATGCTATAAATCCGTGCCCTCGATGGTGCCGATGCGGCTTAGGTTCGTTTGTACGAATATATATGACGCCAAAATTACTAACATCTAACGGGAAGCACTTGGGAGATATAATAGAGATCCAAGTCCACTTAAACTGTATAAAAGACTTGTGAGACGTCTTCTGCAAGGATTGGTGAATCAATTTGGTGAGCATCTCTACTGCGCTACTGAAATAATTGATCTGAAACATTTTATTCTTGGCATCAGAACTTCTGGGCGTTCGAATGACTTTTCCTGGTACACCAAAGCTTATCACAAGGCAATCTCTATCGTCAGTAGTCTCGTCAGCTTGCGATGTTACACCTACAAAGCCATTAGATTTACGCGAAACGTATGCGAAGTCGCTGGAAAACAATGAGTCGATGAGGAGTTCTGAGTCTAGACTGGCCAATGGATCATACCTCAATAAGGCATTAAACCGCGAGCCAAATTCGACATACTCACCAAATTCACTGATAGCTTCGGCTTCTGAATTATCCTTCAAGACTGCAGATTCTTTTACGACGAAGCTTGACGAACAGGAATACAATGGCGAACTTGATCATGAGCGAACGATTAATTCGACCACCTCAAGTGGTGACCACACACCAATCGTCGCTCCGCATTCTGCATTTGACAACTCAACGCCTGTGATCGGAAATGACGAGCCTTATAAAGCTTCTGAGTATCATTCCACAGACAGTTTCAATTTCGTTGAACCAAGCTATGACCCTGTGACAAGTGGGTTGGGTATCTCATCTACAAATTTCACCGCTGGCGGTAACGATGAATACTCTGGTCTTCATACAGACTTTTCCAAACTCAATAGCGAAGATTATGTACAGTCACACAATTCACCATCCAAGATATCGCATTCTTCGCTGAACTCCCCAAAAAAGCTGGCAAGGAAAAGCATTCACGATGCTCATTTCAAGAACCCAGTTAATCTACCGACTCATGCTGAAGATATTTCTGTCAATACGAGTATGTCCATGCACTCAGCTATGGGCAGCGATACAAATGAAGATACCCTTTTATCTAATGAGGAATCCAGGGCCCTCAGCACAGAGCAGAGCGGACTTAAAGACCCTTGCATTGGCGTAGAAAGAAAACATACCTTCAAGAGAAGTTCAGAACTTGATCTTGATGAGTCGAATTTAGCATACCTTTTCATTGTTGCGGTTCACTCTTTCAATTCCCAGTCTCTAAAGAACGAAGAGGATATGGCAATTTGCTTGTCATTTGAAAAAAATGATGTGGCGTTTGTACATACGGTGGATGAGTCTGGTTGGGGTGAGGTAACTTTAATTAGAACTCAAAAGAGGGGATGGGTACCTTTCAACTATTTCTCGGATATGACAAAAACTACTTCAGATGAAGAGAAGGAACCGGGACTTGGTAATGATTCTCGAGGACCCTTAAAAAAGCTTTTATCCTCATCTGCTAAATTTCTACTACATCCTCAGGACTTTCAACTGCCAGATGGATTGAGTATGAGCTTCTCTCTAAAGTACATCAATGGAATCAGGGACGGTGTCAAATATCTGCTTGAGGCCACAGGCTGTGTTTCAAGATCTAATGAACTCGTAAAGACGAGGACTATTGTTAAGAAAGCGAGAAAGCTATTACTTGCAGATTGGTATAACCTCATGATTAAGGCGGATTCTTATAAAAACACAACTGAACAAAAAAAACTGACTACTTTGATAAATCTCACTTTCCAGGTTCTGAGACGGGGCTGCGCGTTCTACACAACTTGGAGTCTGGAAAGGCAGGCTTTTGATAAAGAAAAAGAACTTGGGCTCATCCAACCGCTAAACAAGGACCGGCCTGCTATAACGGCCAGTAGCATCTATGAGGGAACTGAACAGGTCAGGCCTTCTACAAACTTAATGGGTTTTAGAAGCTTGGGGGAACCACCTTTCGCTGTTCAGCGACTTAATGAAGTGCATGACATCCTGTTCTCTTACATCGGCTTAATATTGGGGCGGCTAGATATGATAGAACACAATCCTGTCGGATGTGAGGTTTTGGAATCTATCGTACATCAAATAATTGTTCTACTTCGAGAGTTGCTCTACATTAGCAAATGCTGTTCGTCAATTGTTCAGAATAAGTTCAAACATATACAGAGAGATGAAGTTGCCTTGGACCAAAGTCTTGATCCACTTCTGTCCTTGGTCTCAGAACTTGTTTCATGCATAAAAATATTTGTTACACAGACTATGAATGAAGATGGTGAGAAACATAGTAGTACTCACGGGGGAGCTTTTATTAAAGATGAAGCGTACTTTTACACCGATGAAGGCAAACGGCTCATGTCGATCATTGCAATGATGACTGGCCTTATTAGTGTTTCTATTCAAGGATGTCACCGCTATCTAAAAATAGTCGGGAACTTTCAGCTTGGGGGAGAACGGTCGTATCCTGACTTTGAATCACTCAAAATATCTTCAGATCAATTTATTAGAAGATGTTCTATTGGATTAGCTAAGAAGCTTTCTAAAGGATCAAAAGGGCGGCTCAGCGCACCTAAGGTGACAACTGCTGACGATAGCAAGCGACATCCTTACTCTAAGAAACTGTATCGATATTCAATGGTTAGGTCGGGCGGTAACGGAAATAGTCTCACTTCATCAGGCACGCAATTATTGCAAGATGTCATGCCAGAAAACATGTCCTTTTTTAGTGATGCATCTTTTGATAAATATAGACTTCGGGATGGGGATTTGAATGCCACGGCCGAAAAAGATGCAATTAACAACAGAGATAAAATGACTGAGGAAACCCTTCGCGACAAAGATGGCAAACTCGTCGGAGCCTCCCATCGTGCTCTTGTTTTTGAACTCACAGACGAGCTAGGTAATTCCAGCGAGTTTCTATTGTCTACGTTTTTGCTGAACTTCAGGTCATTTTCAAACGCTTTGGACTTGATTTCCGAGCTCATTGCCAGATTTGACATACCTGACAAATCCTCAATTTATGAAAGGAATACTAATAATGGACAGTACTCATCGAGGTCTTCAAGGATGAAAAATAGACGTCGAATGGTTTGCCGGGTGTTTCAGACATGGATGGAAAGCTATTGGGATTACCAAGGTGATTTCAACAATCTTGCTACAATCGTCAACTTCTTCAACGAAGGAATCTCCATTCATTTGCCCATTGAGGCTCGAAACTTAATTGAAATAGCAGCAAAACTTGTATTGAGCCTGACAGCATCCAAACGCCCGGAGAAATCGACCACTGTGCAAATTTCACCTCGTGATATCAATATTCCCAGCAGGAATTCAATCATATCCCTGGAGTCTTCTGCGTCAAGTAAAAGGTCAACGATAATCTCAGTCGACGAAAACATAATGGATGACTACGAGCTCACCAAATTACCATCCGCGCAAACGAGTACTATATCAATACCTCTTCCTCTTTTGAATGTAGGTACATCATCTCTTCTTAGTCGCAGACAACTAAGCGAAATGGAGCGCCTCACAAAAAATTACCACTCAATGCTGTATGTGAGGCAATACGATACAGGCAATGACGATAACAATTCAAAACTGAGCTTAGAAGGCATGATAGAAAGGTGGTCAGCCCTTATCAAAAAATCAAGCTCCCATGCTGTGCCTCCTAACCTTATACACAACGATTTGAACCTGGTTGAGTTAAATCCCTTGGAGGTGGCTAAACAGTTATCACTGATTGAGTCAAATTTGTTTCTAGCTGTGAGACCAGGGGAACTGCTCAATCAAAATTTCATACCTAGGAAGAAGCATCTGGCTGCATCCCCTGATATTGAAAAAATCATAGATTTTTCTAATCTCTTATCCAACTATGTCATTGAATCTATCGTTGCACCAAGAGTTTCATTAAAAATGCGTGCCAGCCGATTAACGACTTGGTTAAACATTGCGCTTTCCGCCCTTTACTTCAGAAACTTTAATTCTGTAGCTACGATCATGACGGCCCTTCAAAGTCACATATTGAGTAGGTTGTCGCCTGTGTGGGAAAATATCAGTGAGAAGTACGCCGAACTCTTTCATTATCTGTCCAAGATTATCCACCCTAACAAGAACTACAATGTTTATCGCACTAAGCTACACAAACTAGCAACAGGTTTCTCCCCTCCTGAAAATGTATCAGTAAAATCGCACGTTCCGGTAGTTCCATTTTTCGCGTTGTTTTTACAAGATCTCACTTTTCTCCATGAAGGCCTCAACGACTTTCGGGATCCAACCTCATTTCGACCAAATAAATTGGTGAACATTGATAAATATACCAGAATTACAAAAGTCATATCTCTCGTCCAGTTTTTCCAAGTGCCGTACGATACCGATGAGAGGCCAAACTTTTTAGGAAGTAAGAGAGATTCCTTTTTCAATCTTTCCGGAAATGCTGACATTGATACGACAAGAATAAAACCAGTGTCAGTATTGCAAGAATTTATGCTATATGAGTTTTGGCGAACTAATGTGCTTTATTCAAATGATAGCGACAGGGGTTATAAACTTAGTCTGGGGCTAATTCCTCGAAACGAGGTTTAAAGCCTGTTTAAACATCCAAACAAGCCATCAATACTGACATTTTATGAGTATCACCCTGTTCTAACTTGAAAAAATTCATTCAGTTCATTTAATAAATAGTAATTTACATTTATTGTGAGGATCATCTATTTTGCACAGCAATCCATTAGCTCTATAAGTAATTACGCGCGACTTGTTTCACCGATGTGATTAATTGCTGAACCAGCTTTAAAAAAGGCTATTTGGTCCTTCGACATCGTGTGCTTGGCTTTGATGGTAAATGATTCGCCAGATGGCTTGGTAATTTTTACGTCCAGCTCTCCGCCGTTTGCTCCATCCTTTGCAACCATATCGACAAGACTCAAAGTTTCTAATGCATCACCAGAGGATATACGATCATAGTCAGCTTCTTCGGCAAAAGTCAACGGTAACACACCTTGCTTTTTCAAATTTGTTTCGTGGATTCTCGCGAAAGATTTGACCAAAATTATTTGACCACCCAAGAACTTTGGGGACAAAGCAGCGTGTTCTCTAGCAGAACCTTCACCGTAATTATGTTCTGCTACCACAGTCCAAGGTATTTTGTCCTGCTTCCACTTCATCATCAATTCTGGGATGCCATAAGCGGTGCCATCAAAATCGTATGCTTTGTTCACCTCTCCTGTTTCTTTGTTTTGAGCTCCAATTAGAGTGTTATAAGAAATGTTTTCCAAATGTCCTTTATATTTCAGCCAAACACCAGCAGCGGAGATATGATCGGTAGTACATTTACCTTCAACTTTCATCAAGACGTTAGTTTTTAGTTCCTCACCACTCCAGGGCTTGAATGGTTCGAGCAATTGTAAACGGTCCGACGTTGGTGAAACCTTTATTTCAACAGATGAGTCCGGGGTAGGGTCTACTGGAGGGTAAAATTCTTTTCGACCTAACAGAAATCCGTCCTCTGGAAGTTCGAGACCTTGTGGAGGTACAAATTTAAAGTCAGAGCCGTCATCCAGCTTTATAGAGTCCGTGATAGGATTAAACTGGGCGTCACCCGAATAAATCATGGCAGTGACCATTTCCGGGGATGTCAAAAAATTCATGGTATTTCTATTGCCATCGTTTCTGGCTCTAAAGTTACGGTTGAAAGATGTGAAAATCGAATTGGTTTCTTTGGAGGTCTTTGGGACGTCTTGTCTATCCCACTGGCCAATACATGGACCACATGCATTAGCCAACACAGTTGCGCCATTATCTTTGAACGTTTTGATGATGCCATCTCTTTCGAGGGTAGCTCTAATTTGCTCAGAGCCAGGAGTAACAAAAAATGGGATGCGGGGTTTCAAACCAGCTTTAGAGGCTTGATTTACTAGGTGAACAGCACGACTCATATCTTGGTAAGAAGAGTTAGTGCAAGAACCGATTAAACCCGCGGAAATCTTTTGAGGCCAGTTTTCCTTCAAAGTTTTAGATCCAAACTCAGAGATAGGAGTGGACAAATCGGGAGTAAAGGGACCGTTAACATGAGGCTCCAGTTCGCTTAAATTAATTTCAACCACTTTGTCGTACTGAGCACCTTGATCAGCTTTCAAGAAGTTGTAATTATTCAAAGCTGCTTCAGCAGCATCTGCAAGAATGCCTCTGCCAGTAGCTTTCAAGTAACGACCGTGGGCCTCTTGGTATGGGAAGGTGGAAGTGGTGGCGCCGATTTCAGCACCCATGTTACAGATCGTGGCCATACCGGTGCAAGATAAAGATTCCACGCCTTCACCGAAGTACTCGACGATGTAACCGGTACCGCCTCTGACGGTAAGGACACCTGCAAGCTTCGTGATGACGTCTTTAGGAGAGGTCCAGTCGTGCAGCTTACCGGTGAGTTTGACACCTAAAATTTTTGGGGCCTTTAATTCCCACGGAGTACCAGTTAAGGCGTCAACAGCATCAGCACCACCTACACCGATGGCGATAGAACCAAGACCACCGGCGTTGGGAGTGTGAGAGTCAGTACCAAGCATCATGAGCCCTGGCAGGGAAAAGTTTTCTAAAACAATTTGATGAATGATACCAGACCCTGGGCCCCAGAATTGAATACCATACTTGTCCGCGCAACTTTGCAAGAAGTCGAATACTTCTTTATTGGTGGTAATAGAAGAAGGGAGATCCTTGGACTCACCGTCTTTCCCGACAATCAAATGGTCACAGTGAATCGAAGCAGGAACCGAGGTTTGCGGCAAGCCAGTCGTCATAAATTGAAGCATAGCCATTTGTGCCGAGGCATCTTGCATGGCCACACGATCAGGGTTCAGCTTCAAGTACTCCAAGCCGCGGATATCATGTAGGTTAGATGACGTTAAAGACTCCTCAGGGTCACACAAATGTGAGTATAGGATCTTCTCGGCCAATGTCAGTGGCGTGTTGTTGGTGATCGCCTTGACTTGTTCCAGCTTGCTGATAAGCTTGGCATATGGCACGGCACGTGACTGGAATTCTTTAGGTATCTGGACCAAATTCTTGGAGATTTGGGTAGCCAAGTGTCTCTTGATGACTGGTCTTCCGGACAGCATCTTAGATTCGAGCAGGCAATGGGAAGGTTATGGGAATGCCTACTTTCCGTGTCTTAGCTTTCTTGCAGAACAGATATTAAGTGAAGTGAATTTTTCACGGAAGGAAAGTTCTCGTTTTCGTCCAGGTTTTGGAATAGCTAGCTGATAATATATGGTACAACGCTTAGGGCCCACAATACCTGTGAGATGCACTGTGATGAATACAATGAACGATGGTGATTCAGTAGCGGCAGCAGAAAATTTTTCCGGTGCGAAAGAAGTAAGGAATTAAGGAATCTGTTGATGATCAAATTCCGGTGGGACTTGATCTGTACAATTTTTAACCCAAAAAAAAATGCTTCCAACCAGAGTTGAACTGATGATCTCCACATTACTAGTGTGGCGCCTTACCAACTTGGCCATAGAAGCTTGTTGTCAATCAAGTTAGCAAATACAGGTTTTATACCCAGAGGGCTTCATCTGACAAAATCAGCACTCGGTTTTCTCACACAGGCGGGCGGTGGCTCATGCATAGAATCGTGGTAATGTCGAACTTGCCGTTACGAATTCATGTGACAGCGCTCTGCATTCTCATAGGATGGCTTCTATAAGAGAATATCTGCCTCAGTAGTAGTTAGTCTGCTAAAATGGTCATTAAAGTTGTTTACGGCGTGACTGATTGTTCGTGCTATGAAATGTGATTTCTTCATTTATCCGCGATTCTCTCATAATTCTGGGTCCCGCAATGATTCTATTCTGACTGGTGCATTATGCAGTTGACGCTATCTAGCAGTAGCTTAGTGATCTTGACTTTCTTCGATTTTTGGTTCTGAACTTCGCACTAGACCAATGTCCTAATGTGTCATAAAGTATTTAAGTTTGACCTTCATCAACGAGAATCCCGTCTCCGAGAATTCGAGAGGAGGTCAGTGAGGCTAAGTGAGATTGAACAAAAGAAGATTGCTAATATCTTCGTTTACTCCTTCTGTTAGTGATTGAGCAATGCTAATTCGTGTGAACATCTCTCTGTGGTTTGTTCCGGTACAAAGTGACATTTACTTACAGAAAGCAATCAAAGGTATTTAGACTGAGACGTAAATAAGAAGTGAAATAAGACGTGAGTGAGGTGCTCGTGAGGTGCAAATTTATCACACATTTAGCGCTCGTCTTTCATATCACTTTATACTATTCTGGCATGGTGAAAGTCGGCGGCGTTTGCACTCATATCCCAACATACACAAATCGCTTGCCAGCTACCGCATTTCTAACCCGCGAAACCACTCGTATTCACCTACCTGTGAATACAAACAGGATGACTACCTTTGTCACATATAATCACGTGACTCAAACCACGCGTCAGTAGCGATACGCCGCTAATTCCCCATATTTATTTTCTCATTCTTCACCACCACTTTTTCTCCAGAAAGTAAACCTCACCACCGGAAAATGGCCCCTTGATAGATCCCATCTGTCCTCTGTGGTTATCCAATCGTCGCGCTGGAAGCTGGTACACCTACAATTCACCAAAAGCATGCGTTTTTCGGCCTAAATTGCGTTACCAGCGGGGGTAAACGGATCGTTGCTTACTATTCTCGCTGCTGTTGTCGCACTCCTGGTCCAAGAGTGCCACTGCTCCTAACTCGTTATTTGCCACGCAATAAGCTTCGAGCAAAGGTGCCATTTTCGACGATTGTAGTTTTAGCCGCCGAGACTTCTGTGCCACAAAAACCACAGATTTCTCGCCTTTAAACATTCGTTCCACATGATCGAAAAGTACTGGGCCGAAATTTCGGAGACACTGATAACCCCACTCGCCCGATACTTATCTACGAGCGAGGGAAGTATGGCTTCTGTGCGCCGCCCCACGTGGTGTAAAATGCGCCGGGTTTTTGTTCGCCAAACGCCACGCTCGTTACGCACAGCCCAGTCCCCTGTGAAAGCTTGGTTTCCCTTGACTCCCTTCCCAAACGGGTTTCCGCATTTACAGCCGGGGGGTGGCAGAAGTTCTCAGGACAAAAAAGCATTGTGAGAAATTATCAATATATTTATTGCCCACGTTCTTGTCGTACAAATTTGACAATTCCATTTGAAATTATATTGTAACGCCAAGCACTCTTCATTTGAAATCTACGTACACGCACATACAACGGTTTGTGAAGCAATTATTTTTCTGAGCGTTCTCAAGCCAATAATTGTGCAGGTGCGGGCATTATCGAACTTAGGATAGTTATAACCGTGCAGCCTCTTCTGTTCTACTATGAAGTTCTCGCATTCGTTGAAGTACAATGCGGTGCCAGAATGGCAGGAGCACTATTTGAACTACTCGCAGCTTAAACGTCTTATCTACTCACTGCAGGCGCAGGACTTGCATGTGGTGGACGAGGGTGGTCGTGTGGATACCGAGCGGCTAAGCGCGGTGAAGGGCTCCACTAAGGCACTTCAAAAATTCAAGGACAAATTACGGTCTAAGAATAAAAAACCCGGCCTGGGGGCCTCTGACGACGGGGATGGTGACGTGAACGTGGAAACTTTAGAACTGGACGACTTCAAAAGCAAGAAGAACGGTAAGCTCACCGAATTCGACCACAGGTCGTCGCTCTCCAGTGACAGAACGCTGTTCAGTCCACAGGACACATTCCTTTGCAAGCTGATTGATGAGCGTGCTAAAATTGACGATTTCTACAAGAAATTGGAGGCTCAGCTGTATGGTCGGTTCAACACACTCGTCGCAGACTTGCTGAAACTTAACGGAGGCGGCACGGGTCGTCGTCCAAGCCTGGCTTCTGATCAAGTTACCACCCGCGACGAAAACGAATCTTTCGAAATTGGAAGCAAAGCTAACCCGCGCAATCCGCACAGACGCGGGTCTGCTTTATCGAGGCGCAACACCCTAGCGTTGGAACCGGAAGACGAAGACGATGAAGAAGAATATGACGAGGAGTATGACGATGACCATGCGCGTGAAAACACAGCTCTACTTAACTACTCGGATTTCAACGTTAAAAGTCAAAAAAGAGCCATTCTTCGGAAAAACCTGATAGACTTGTACGTGGACCTTGTACAGCTGAAGTCTTTTATTGAACTCAACCGCATTGGATTCCTCAAAATTGCCAAGAAATTTGACAAGACTTTGAACTGCAATGTTAAGCATGAACTCATCGAATCTGGTGAATTTTTCAGAGATACGTATGTCTTCCAGACTCAAACTTTCGAGACCCTAGACGCAAAAATAAATCAAGTCATTGCGTCGTACGAGTCGTTGACCAATGGTGATTTAGCCACATGCAAAGAGGAGTTGAGATCGTATTTGCGTGATTTTATTGTTTGGGAGAGGAACACAGTATGGAAAGATATGTTGGGCCTCGAGTCTCACAGCAACACATTTGCTTCCGTGGGTAGGCCCGATGCCAATGGTGATATCGCTAACCTCGAAAATAATACACATTTGGAATATAAAATTTGGAAACTACCAAAGCCCGTAAAACTCGGTCCTTTGACATGGACGTCTGTTAAGATTCCGGAGCTTTTTTTCACATTAAAAGCATTGAAATTATACATCATTATTGCTGCTACGATTATTCTAATGGCAGTTCCAACGTTTAATGACCCTGTTCAGCATCGTTGCATGGCTCTTGTGGCTTGTGTTGCCTTTTTATGGGCCTCAGAAGCGTTGCCCTTGTTCGTCACTGCACTGTTGGTGCCATTACTCGTGGTACTTTTCAAAGTTCTTAAGACTAGTGAAGGTGGAGTAATGGATGCCTCTGATGCTTCGCAATGGATCTTAGCCAAGATGTGGTCTTCAACTATTATGGTTTTACTAGCGGGGTTTACGCTAGCAGCGGCTTTATCGAAGTATAATGTGGCAAAGGTTTTAGCTTCCTACCTCTTGACAGTTGCTGGGACGAAACCGAGAAATGTTCTTCTTATGGTAATGGGTGTATGTTTCTTTCTATCGATGTGGATTTCAAATGTGGCGGCGCCCGTTTTAACGTACTCGTTGATTCAGCCAGTTTTGAAAACCTTAGATTTCAAGGCTCCGTTTGCCAAGTCATTGGTTTTAGGAGTCGCACTTGCGGCTAACGTAGGTGGTATGGCTTCGCCTATTGCGTCTCCGCAAAACATTATCGCTATGGACTACCTGAAACCTTACAACGTTGGATGGGGTCAATTTTTCGCCATTGCTTTACCCTCAAGTTTGTTTGCAATGCTCACAATTTGGGGTCTTTTGGTTCTTACCTTCAAAACTGATAACGTTACGCTGAAAAAATACACGCCGATCAAGGAGAAGTTCACGCTGAAACAAATATACGTTATCGTTGTGTGTCTAGCAACCATCATTTTATGGTGTGTTCTAAGCAAAATGGAAAACGTCTTTGGATCTTCAGGACAGATTGCCGTGATTCCCTTGGTGCTCTTTTTTGGCACAGGTTTGCTGAGTACACAGGACATTAATAACTTTCCCTGGTCGATTGTCATTTTGGCTATGGGGGGTATAGCACTTGGTGGTGCTGTTCAATCGTCAGGGTTATTAGCTACGATTGCTGGAGCACTACAGCGTCGGGTAATGGACTTCCCACTTTACGCAGTATTGATCATTTTTGGTATTGTTATGCTTGTTGTAGGAACATTTGTGTCGCACACCGTATCCGCCATCATTATCATTCCGCTCATGCAAGAAGTTGGAGACAAATTGCCTGGAGCCAACTCTGCACCAATTCTCGTGTTTGGTTGTACCCTTCTGGCATCATGTGGTATGGGTTTGGCATCGTCGGGGTTTCCTAATGTGACTGCAATTTCGATGACAGATGAAGTCGGCAATCGATATTTGAGCGTGAATACCTTTATCACTAGAGGTGTCCCTGCCTCTTTCCTCGCATTTTTGTGTGTTATAACGCTAGGCTTTGGGATTATGAACTCAATGTTCAAAGCGTAAAAAGCAAGCTTATATATATATCAATGAGTATGAACAGAATTTGATTTTCCAGAACTTCTCATCTGTTCAAGGAAAGGTTGCCGGCATATAGTTAAATTCTACCTTTATAGACTAACGAAAGCGCATTGTGAACTTTGTTCATTCTAAGTATAATGATTGTGGCAATTTCATTACATCAAAAATACTAGAAAATTAGAAAAAAAAGTATTCAGAGCGCCAAGCACATCCAATACGAGGTGGTTAAATCATTGCTCCCCCGGCAACATTACTATCTGAACGATTTGCTGAGTGCTTGTAAGCGTTAGAATTTCGAAACTTAGGACTACGGATTTTTGTTTGCTCTGTACTACAAATTTAGAGGTCAACTTGTCACACCAGAAGGGCATTCTCGCAAATAACCGACATAAAGAAGACAAACGAGTCAATGGCTGATTCCGAACCTGATATCGAGAGCAAACACAGTGGCACACCTGCTAGTAATTACGATACAAATGAACTCTCCAGCTCTGACAGTGACAGAGCGCCCACTGACGGCGATCTGAGTTTAGCGAAACAAAGAGATATTTTGTCAAGGATATATGCGGAGTCTCAGTCTCAATGTCAGGAAGGAGATACAGTATTTGTGATTCCGTCGGCTTGGTTTGATTTACTTTGGAATCCGGATCTGTCTGACAAGGCAGAATTGGGCCCCATTGACACTTCATCTATATGTCGCGATTTCGAAAATTTCGTTTTGGTTCCCTATAACAAAGTTCCATATTTATCCGTGCCACAGACGGTCTACGAAAAGCTTATAGAATGGTACGGTCTCGCGCCAGGTTCTGAAGCAGTGAAGACTGTTCTTATCAAAGACGAAAATGATCAACTGATCACAGAATATGACCGCTACTACGTAAGAATTCATTTACTCCAAGATGCAAGCGACGACCAAGCACGTTATCCTTCAACAAACAGTAAACCTTTGTTTTTCACAATATCGAGGTTGGGAACCATTGAGATGGCCATGCAGAGATGTCTCGAACTCATCAGTGATTACGGATCTGGGCCCGATCTCAGAGTGCATAAGTTTCGGATTTGGAATGTTAAAAACTCTAGTGAATCTGAACAGAATTCTGTGCTGTCACAAAAGTATATTTTGGATCCTTTAGACTTCGCAGAAATTCCAATTAAAAACAGACTAATTCCAAAAATGTTTAAGCGCCTAGTGCGGGACCTTAACTCGTCAGTCCTGGATCTCGTTGTTGAATACAAGAATAATAATGAGGGTACGCACTGGCCATCAAGTTTCTATTACTACAACAAGCTGCGATCTCCTAAGGGAACCGTAGGCCTATCAAATTTGGGAAACACCTGTTACATGAACTCTGCCCTTCAGTGCCTCGTACACATTCCGGAACTTAGAGACTACTTTCTGTACGGCTCGTTTCAAAATGACATAAATACTAGCAATCCTCTGGGCTATGGCGGACAAATAGCAGAGAACTTCGCTGCTCTTATTAAATCGCTTTTTAATGACAGGGCGTCGAATATCAACTCATTCTCTCCAAGAAATTTTAAAACCTCCCTTGGTCATCATAATTCGATGTTTGCAGGATACTTGCAACAAGATTCTCAAGAATTCCTAGCATTTCTCCTAGACGGACTTCACGAAGATTTGAATAGAATAGTGAACAAACCCTTTGTCGAAAAACCTGAGCTTGCAGCTGAAGATGATGTTCGCGATCAGCAACTTATAAAGCAGCTGGCTGACGATACCTGGAACAAACACAAGCTGAGAAATGACTCGGTCATTAATGATCTGTTTGTTGGAATGTATAAGTCAACATTAACTTGCCCTGTTTGTGACAAGGTTTCGGTAACATTTGACCCATTTAGTGACTTAACTTTACCTTTGCCTGTGGAAAGCATTTGGACTTCAAAGGTTCGCATTTTTCCTCAAAATTCACCGCCTTGTATACTAGAGGTCGAACTTACGAAACGCGCGACGTATGAAGACTTGAAGCTTTACGTTGCAAATGCTGCTAATATGAAGCCTGATGACCTGATTGGAGCAGAGATCTTCAATCATGCATTTTATAACAATTACGAATCCCCAAACTCAGATTCCAAATACCTTCCAGTTAACGATCTTGTTTCTGAAAGCGACGTAATTGTTTTTTATGAAGTTCCTCGCTATGATGGCCACATAATAATTCCAGTATTAAATGTCAAAGTTGAGGAGGGATTTCGTAGTCCGCGAACTTTTGGGTATCCATTTTTTATCTCCTTAGATGAAAATGAACTTGACTGTTATGGTGCAATCAAACGACAATTGGAAAAACATTACGCAAATTTGAGCGGGAATTTTGACAGTTTTCCCTTAGTAGGTCGAAGTGGCGATGCCACGCTAGATTCTTTAAGCCTGCTGAAACAAAAATATCCAAATGTCGACCTCTCATTGTTTTCTAAGGATGTTGAAAACTGTACACCAGACTTTCCCTTAGATCATTTATTTTCTCTACAAATTCTTGACGGAAATAATGCGAACGATTCTTCGGCCAATCGTAAGGATGCTGGAAACGATATCTGGACCCCAGATCCTCGTTTCAATTGGGAGTCGGTTACAGATGTAACAACACTAATGAATAATGTTACGAGAGACATTTATGACTATCAAAATCTAATCACAAACCAGAAAGACGAAATAGAAGAATACGCTATGTTGACAGGTACTCAAAACATTCAAGATAAAGAACATAGCGAGAGAGAGGGAACCACTTCCGATATGGACGTTGACGTTGAAAATGAAACGGGGCTTGAAGCTCCTGTGAGGCCAACTAACTTGCCTGTGCCAAATGAATCTGAAAATCGAAACACATCTGAGCCAACTACATATCCGAGACAAAAACTGATCGGTCGCAATCAGGCTCTTATCTGCAAGTGGAGTGACGAAGTCGCATCTAGCGTTTTTTCTGATGAACCCGAATTCTCATGGGAAAAGCCGGCAGAACTGAAGAATCTCGAACACGATAAAATGAAAAGTAGACGCAATCATGAATCCAAAAAGCAAATTATGATCGAAGATTGCTTGGACTTGTTCTCTAAGCCAGAGGTTCTAGGCGCCACTGACTCTTGGTATTGTCCAAAATGCAAAGAACATAGACAGGCAACAAAACAGATTCAACTCTGGAAAATTCCCGAGATCTTGACTATCCATTTGAAGAGGTTTGAAAATCGCGAGTCCTTTAGTGATAAAATAACGGAGGTGGTACATTTCCCAATCTCAGGATTAGATATGTCAAGTCACTCGGCCTCTCAAGAGCATCAACTAATGAACACTTACGATCTAGTAGCTGTTGACAATCATTATGGTGGTCTTGGTGGTGGTCACTATACGGCGTATGCAAAGAATTTTGAAGACAGCAAGTGGTACTACTTTGATGACTCAAGAGTGAGCGAGACTGAGCCAGAGCGTTCAGTATCAGAAGCCGCGTATCTACTTTTTTACCGTCGTAGGGTTGAAGGTTCAGATGTTGGTCCATCAAATCTTCAAGAGCTGCTTGCTTCGTCACGTCATCAACACCAGCTGAAAATTGAAGAGTTCAATACAAATCAAGAAAAGTTGTACAATGATAATCAGTCCGACTCAGAGGAAGAGTATCAAGTGCAGGACAATCCAAAAAATGAAAAAGTAGACATTTCTGTGGATTCCCTTTACAACGTAGCGAGCCTTGAAGTTGGAAATTCGCCTCTGGATTCATCCCCCGAGGAAAACGATGGTAGGAGAAAACTGCGATTGCTACACAAAAATTACATTAGTGCTTTGCCCAGCTCCTATAATTTTAATTTCTCAGCGACCAGCTCCGACTCTTCAGATGGAAGCGAAAATACCACGCGAAAGGTTAATTACGCAGGACAGGGGCCTCCATCGCCCGTTTTATAACGTGAGATGTTTTTCGAGAAGCGGTGAACTGCATAGCGTTCTTCCCAATGACAAGAACATCAAATAAGACCTTGTACCTCGCTGTATGACGGAATACTTTCGGCAGCTCCACTTTTTTGAATGCTCAAGGAACTAGCTTTGGTGGCGAATTGAACAGCATTTTCCAAAGTATGGTTCGTACAAAGCTGAGAAATAACTCCTCCCAAAAACGTATCGCCTGCACCGGTAGTGTCTATAACTTTACTAACTTTATAGGCTCCGGCGTAATAAATCTCGGACGAAGCTTTGGAAGTAAAGACAGATCCCTTTGCACCCAATGTTATGATCACAGCCCCTAGCGACTTATTGTTGTTTATAATAGTTTTTAATTGGCCAGCAATCTGCTTGTAAGCTTCCACCACATCTTCGTTTATTTTTTTTTCATATGCTGCCAGTTGTCTTTGGTTGAGAGCCGATTGTAAAACTTGAAGTGCTTCAATTTCGTTGACAATCAGAACATCCACAAGAGCCCAGTCCGTTTTGGAAATCTCTCGGAAAGGAGACGGGTTATACGCAATTCTCAACCCGGGTCTGTTCTCCTTGATCCATTGCATAATTGGGATAGTTCCTGGAATCTCATTTTGAAACACTACGAAATCGCCCCCAGTAGATTCGGACTCTGAAGATCGTGGAAATAGTTCGTCAAGTTCAGGTTCTGAGAATTTCGTGAACCCGTTAGCGCCTTCCGATATCAATATACGATTTTGGCCAGATTCTTGTTCCACTAAAATGGTTGCTACTCCAGTATTGATACCATCTAACGTCTTCACCATGCTAGTATCCACGCCGCTGTCCTCTAGTATTTTTTTCAGTTCGACACCAAAAGAATCTCCCCCTACATGGCCTAACATCTTCACTTCTGTCGCTGTATTCTCGGGCAAAAGTCTACTGATCGCCACGCACTGATTCAACCCTTTTCCTCCTCCGTGAGTCTCGAAATTTCTCGCAGAAATGGTTTCTCCAGCATCAGGAACTCTCTTTGTGAAGGTCACCAAATCATAGTTCAATGATCCACAGACTAAAACGCTGGTCATTGAGATGTTGCTACGGTTTTTGATTTTTTTATTGATCTTTCTTAATTCATCAAATTATTCAGATCCAATTTTTCACTTGTAGTGATACAAGCTCATCGCATACTTTATAAAATAACTTAATTCATCTAAAGACAGGCTTCAGAGTACCTTTATCGAATCAAGAAGGGCCATTATTCAATGTCAAAAGCAGTGGAAGTACGTCCTATGACCTTCTATCCGGAAGTCCTGGCGCGGATAGCACCAGATCTGTCTATGCAGAGACATTTGTCGCTGGGATTGAGACCAAGCTTGAGAGCGTCAGAAGAATTCAGAAACGTGGAGATTAGCGACGGAAAGTTGTCCTGTGCATCCAAAGAAACTGTAAACCGCTCCGGAAACAACATTTTGGGTTCCAACGTGCTGAAATGTGGTAAAACTATGATTGTTACTTCGATAACTGGCGGTGTAGTCGAGGAAAACGTACCCGTTGAACAAGACGACGAAGAACCAGCACTTGAAAATAGTGATGCGGATCGCGCCTCACAATTTGGCTGTATTTATCCTGTTGTAGAAGTGGAATGCGGCAGAGCAGGAGCTCCAACAGACGAAGAAATGACTCTTTCACAAAGAATCTACAACTGCTTTCTACACTCTGGGCTGCTCTCAAAGGAAGCTTTGAAGGTTAGCGTAGGCGTTAAGTCTACCAACGCCGATGGGCAGGCGAGTATACAATATCCAGACGAAAAGGACTCTACCGATTTAGCGAAGAGTTTCAAACCTAGAAGAAAATGGACATATGTCTTGTATGCGAAAATTCAAGTTTTCAGCCGAGACGGTCCGCTATTTGAGCTCTGTTGGAATTCACTAATTTACGCATTGCAGACGACACAACTGCCTCGGGCATTTGTGGATGAGCGTACTACGGACCTCAAAATTCCGGTGAGTATGAGAGGGCGTAGTGCCGCTATCAGGGAGACTTTCGATATCCTATGTGACCCCGTCAAATTTCAGCCTTTGAAGCTTAATGCAGAGAACATATCGTTTGCATCAAACTTTGCAGTAATTGAATTAGATCCGGAAGCACAATTGCCCAAAGACGATGACGACATGCAAGTCGACTCCCCTACTTCTGTGCTTTTGGCCGACATACAAGGCGAAGCAGAGGAAGCTTCCGTTTCGTCTATTGTGTCTGTGGTCACAGGCACGGCTGGTAACATGAAGCATTTCAAGGCTATTGGAGGTGATTCTAAAATAACTCTAGACATGATTAAGAAGTCGATAAAATTGGCTAAACTTCGGTCATCCGATCTAGAAGGAAAGTCTTAAAGGTGTAGGTAAACAAAGAGACTAAAAAAGACTGCATTTTTTAACATGATAATAGTACATCTACAATTTGTAACAACCCTTTGATTATAAATTCATTGCTCCTGTGCAAAGATTAAATAGAAATTCGACAGATGAGGCCATCAATCAATCAAGGCCAAGCCTCTACTTCCTGGAAGGAGAGGGGGAGGGGGTTGAAGTATGAGCAACGTCAACGTTAACATACTCGTTGACTTTTGCAGCAACACCACCACGGACGCGCTTTACAATTCTGGATTTCTTAGTTCCTCTGCGTCTGTAAACTTCGATGTAGAAAGCGACGAACAAGAACAAGTAGGATGAAATAATAGCACAACCAGAAAAAGTTGCCGTAGTGGAACCAACACAGTCACCGCAATGAGGTAGCTCTGGGAAGAACAAATGCGCAGCCTTCTGATAGACGGCAAAATAGATGAATCCGATATCTAGGACAAATTGCATAATTTGAAATCTGGTAACCCATTCCTTCCACCAAACTCTAATGCCCCTGGCGGCCAAAAAATAATACCAGTACATGACGACGTGAACACCCAAATTAAGTGATATAACAACCCAAGAAATTGCAGTTGTACCAACAAGTTGAGTGTAGCACAGTAAAGCAGTAGCACCGTGGTGATAGGTGTGAAGAAATCTCAAATTTTTATGTTTCAACACCAAGAAAACGGTGTCAACAAACTCAATGAACTTTGTGATGTAATTCATGTAGTACAAGGTCACCATGGGCTGAGTCCAGGCCCCAATATTGCAAATAGCAAAGTACAATCCATTGTACGCGATCATAGGAATTAGTTGTTCGACCATCAAGACTAGAATAGACAATGACAAAGTCGTCAAGAACAAGTTGTGCAGTTGAAACCAAAAGTTGAGCTTGAACGGTTCCGAGTTCTTCAAAACTTGCCTACCACCAAAAATGACCACATAGTAAGTCGTAATTGCTGCCACAACCTGTGGCAGCTCACTCAAAGGTAGTTTTCCAGCGACGAATTCAAATTTGCTAGGAACAAAGTGACCATTGCTAACAAAAGTTGCCACACGGTCGAAATTATTCCATAATGAAATATTGAAAAATGGGCGTTCTAAACAGGGCTGGTAGTTAGCCAATAATGGGTGCTTCTGAAAAAGCGCAGTGGCTTGTTCTTGGATCACAGACTGCATATTGAAAGCCTTTGGATCTCCGGCAATGTGCTGTTTTTGTAATGCATTGTTTAAAAGGTTTGAGAAACGGATTTGATTATTTACTACCCTCAAAAAATTTTGAGATGGTGCAAAGTTTCGACATGTCGCTCTTTACGATTATTCAGATGTTTAGCTCAACCGTACCTCCAGATCAGACGTGATTTCAACAGTGACTCCATTCTCTTATCCACTTCTTTTTTGTAAGTCACATATTAACTTTAGCATACTATTAGTGGGTTTGCTTTGATATTTTACTGTTGCCTCGAGGACGAGTTGTGAAGTGCTCCACCGTCCGGCGGTACGAGAGAAGCCAACGCCTCAGGAGCAGAGGCCACGGCTGCCAGAGCCGCGAGGGGATCATTAGCAAAATTGAACTCTGGCGGCCTCGTAGGAACTGTGTGAGAGGAATTCGCGGAAATTGAAGCACGGGAGATATTAGAGTGAGCGCTCACTGGAGGTAAGATCGGTCTTTGAACAGAATGTAAGTCAGTCGAAGGTTCCGGAAACTTATTAATGGAAACCCTAGGAGGTCCTTGGGGGGCCTGAGATGCCGGAGATGTTGCCGCGTTAAGAATAGCAGACAAAAACCCAGGCTTCTTAGGAGCGGGTCTGGTCGATGAAGTGACGAAGGGTCCATCCGCTGGTGGTGATGTATATTGCAACGACTGGAGTTCCTGCACAATCACGTTAGCACCAGATATTTCATTTCGACTGTTTGAAGGCAATTCCTTGGCCTCGGGTTGCCGAATGGGTGGGTTATGAAACTCCGTGGGATCATTATTAAGTAGACTTTTGATAGATGACCTCCTGCTTCCGATTCCTGTCTGAGATGAGGTCGCTGACGATGGACCGGACGACTGATTGATACTATGAACTATCGAGGTAGCACTAACTTCCGGTGCGAAGTGCACTGAGGGACCTGATCCTTGGTCCGCCGTAGTTTCTTGCGTGACTACTGTTTGTTTTTCAGCACCAACACTGTCCGTGTGGAGTTGAATGGAGGGCAAGCGTGGCGGGGGTAACCCTTTCGGCGTTGATTGCTGAGAAAAGGATTCCGACGTTGTCTGTGTAGGCACTTGCGTTGGAGTTGTAGCGTCACGGTTTGACTGATTGAAAATGCTTACGGATGGGATCTGCTGCGAAGGCATTGATGGAATCTGCTGCAATGGCATTACATCGTGTTGAGCTTCTACCATAGTCGCGCTGGTCTCTTTTTCAAGATTTTTTTCAGTTGATTGACCGGCATTGAGACCCTCAACTAGCGATTGCCAACCCATTTGATCTGCGTTTCTTTGGAAATAGTTCCTCACCATAGTAGTAGACTTGGTTCCCAGCTTTTCAGATATTAATGCCCACTGGGTGCCAAACTCTTTAAGAAGCTCTGGAAACAAATTAGTCTCTTTGACGCTCCAATAGCTTGACTTGTGAAAGCCGTCATTGTGTTTTGACCTCTTTTTCGACTGTTGACCTTTTTCTATTTCTTCCGAGTTAAGGGAAGTCTGGGCATCCTCCATTCTCGAGTTCTCCTTTGCTTCGCTAACTAAAGCCGGAGCTATTGGTTGAAGATTTGGTAAATCGTTGGTAACTTCCTCCATTTCTTGAATTTTCCGTTTGTTGACCTTCACGTCTTGTTCTGGGTCAATAGGAGGAGTGTCGCCAGCAACGTCTGTTGCAGATTGAGCCACTGCTACTGCTAATTGTGCAGTGTCCACTCTAGTTTCAATCTCTGGCTCCGTCTCTTGCCCAGGCTGTGAATCATGCTCGATTAAATCAATTGCGGCTTTGCTGATCGAAGGTACTGTCTCTTCAAAATCAGATTTTACAGCATTTTCAGAAAATTGTACTTCAGCCCCTCTCGAATCAACGCTTTGATCACCCTCCTCGTATTCGGTCTCGTCAACAGGTTTTTCCGCCTCTGTCAAGTTAACCTCGTTCTTTTCTGCCATGACCTCAAGATCCTGAACATTGTTTTCAAGAGAAGCTTCCGGACTAAGTCTTTCTCTCTCCTTCTCCTTCCGTTTGCGACCAGTATTAATCTTGCGCTTCTTATTCTTGTCAATGAGCAGCTGTTTGTAGTTAGTCTCCTTCTTCGTTCTATAATAGTGTAAAACGCATTCTTCTGGCTTTCGAAGGCCGCCCATGTACTGCGAAATTCTTCCAAATTTTTTTGGGTAAAGTAGATAGGCCTCCACAAATGCTTCATGTTCCCCTGGAGTGAATGTGTCGATACCATCCTTTCGTACTCTTGTGGCCCAAGCGTCTTTATTGGTGACGAGATTATTTACATCCTTGAATTTAACTGCAAGCTTTTGGATGGGGTCAATAATCATAGCGGGGATTCGTGCGGCGAACTGATGATGCTTATAATCGGGATCGATCTGCAACAACACACTTTCTATTTCTGTGTCATCGACAAAGTCAGCTCTGTTTCGACGTCTACTGCCAGCGCGGTTGTGTTGATCTTGTTCCTCTTTTTCCCTTGACCTTTCAGATTCTGCCCTCTGTAGATCTGCGGATTTTTCAGCTACTTCTTCCTTTTTAACCTCCTTGCTGATCTCTTGTAGCCGCTGGCAACTATTAACCCATTTGTGATCGAGGTCAAGGAATTCTTTCTTCAGTTGTAATTTTCTAAGTCTTTCATAGTTTTTCAACTTCGATAATGATTTGAGAAGCACTGGCTTTATGGCTTGTTCATGTATCAGGATATTTTGAGACATGAACGGATACTCTTTGAAAGATATTATAGGGTTTTTCAAAAGGTATCTCTGGCATTTGATAATCTGATTTCTGTCACGATTCTTCAACTCCCAAAGCTTCATCTCTGGCTCGGTCATTGGAAATATGCAGCCACCAACATCTTCGAGAGGTTTACTATATCCTGTCATCGGTCTCTGTTTTTCTGGGAGAGGCAAGTGGTTCGAAGGTGTGATATTTTCCTTGGCATCCGATTCTGCTTTGATCGCAGGCGTTACCTTATCCTGATCCAAGAGAGGCTTTGTTAAAGGGGGCTGCTGTTGAATTTCATCTATTGTAGGTGGCTCCTCCAATTTATTTGAAACTGGACCTGCCTTGATCTTCGCGAAATCGCCAGGCGCGTCAGCACTATTATTATCGTCAATTTCGTTATCCGAAAGGCCAATTGACTCAACGGTTGGCATATCGTCCCTAGTATCGTCCCTCGTATTGTCTGTCGTTTCGTCATTCAAATTCTTTTCGTATTTCATCCTGTCCTCCGAGAGTTTCTGTTTTTTGAGATCTATTCTTTCGTGTTCTGAGGCAACTTTAGCTTCAATTTTGCGCGTAGTTTGCGGCACGGAATTTATGAGACTTGATCCCAACGAATGCTGGTTATCGGCGAACCTGGTATCGCTATTGTGGTATGCACTACTTGATTCGTTGTAGCTGCGTTCATCTTTATTATGACTATATCGACTGGAAAACGGTTGTGAATTATTGTGGTAGCGATTAATGTAAGCTGATGGTAGTGCCTTGCTGGAAGAGATATTTGTGGAGTTTCCAGACACACCAGCATTGTATCCTTCATAATCAAGCGAATTGGAGTTGGGAAACGATTCCCGCCATTTGCTTCTCGCAGAATAGCTATGTGGTCCCGATTCGTATCCATCAGAAACTGATGAAGGCCGACGCCGATTGTAAGGAGGGTTGTAGTAACCATGGTGGTTTGGCTTAGGATTTCCTGAACTATGTTGCAAGTTATAACGACTAGACGTTGCTGATGAATGGGGACCATTAGAAAAGCGCCTGGAATCGAGCATGCCAGTTCCACTACTCTGACCAGAGATTGTGAACCCAGGCTCTGGGTTGTATCGGCTTCCCGAGCGTGGTTTTACACTGAGCCCACCAACTGACGTGTACGGTCTCCCCGACGCGCTAGGGTTGTATCTTGACGGTCTGCCGCTTGTTCCCGACGATAGAGGAGGTTGTGAGCCTCCAGATAATGTGGGGCGGGTACTGACATTGGGACTGATGGCATTAACAGGCGGTCTGGAGTAGGGCGCGGTTTGTCTAGGATTTGAGCTGTTCTGATAATGGTAAGGGCTCTTGTCTCCCGGTCGTTGTGGTGCAGCCATCTTAGTAGTTGACTTGAGGGTACACGTTTAAACACGTCTTGCCTTTTAAATATTGGCTTCTCGAGTGTGCCCAGTTGTTGATATTGTCAGAAGAAGCTGTTGTGTGTGTGGCCTTTACAGAGAAGAACCCCGGTCTTTAGGTAAACAAAATGTCCACGAAGCCTGTTTCAAAATGATTCCAATACGATCCTTCCCAGCTTGGAATACGTTTTTAGCCGTCGCTCTTGCCGATCGATTTGTCAATTGTAGGTTTCTGTTACGCTTTGATATTTGAACTTTTGGGAAATGACATTAACGTTGAAGGTGATACAATGAAAGAAGAAGATCGGCCAGCGAGAGAAGGGCGGTAGAAAAGCATCTGGACGGCTAGCACTGCTTTTAGTGTTGTGGGGGAGAGTATTCAGAGTAGTTGCCGAATTTTTGGGTGAATTTTTGGGTGAACTTTTGCAAGTTTTAGCCTTTTTTTGTCAAGCATTTCGAACCGGAACCTGATGTGGTAATGCAAAAGAGGAACTAAAATATGAGAACTACCAGCTGGAGAGCGCGTGTGGCATCTGAGAGCGTGCGACTTGGTTCCAAACTTCCTCCGCTGTGCTCGCGAAATGAGAAAAACGACTATACCGGGGGTGTCGAGCGTTTGAATATATGAATAGCATATCCATGCTAGATGGATGCGAGGGTCGCTGCCATATTGCACATTTTCCTTGCTGAAACTATCGCCCCGTCGTTGCGAGTTTGGACAGCCAGGGTTTCGTAACTCTCTTTCATGATGAGACCCTGAAAGTGATGCACCAAAAAATGAAGACGCTCCTTCTCCCTTCTCCCTTCTCCCAGAGACTCTATCCGTATAAACTCGCCTCTTGCATGCGGTAGCTGATCTTCCCCGCCACCACTCTAACCCAGTCCATAGTACATCTGGTCTGTGTGCCTGTCCCTATCTTGTCACCCTAACTAACATTCACGTCTTCACTGCTTCCGCAATCCCCGTCGATCGCCACAGGCTTCACGTCCAGTTCCACGTATCTCTGCACCGTCGAATGATCCCAATCAGCCGTTTTCGTCGAATTCGTTGTCCTCTCTAAGAGGTGACCAAAAAACGCAATAACACTTCCAAAACCTCTCCCGTAACAACGTCAAAATCGCATCCGTACCACATCTTCGCAATATTTGACCAACGCGCTTTAGCTTCTTTAGGTATGGTAAGTGCTTTATTCGCGATGGCTGGGTATCAAAATTTTGAAATACGACGCGTGAAAAATTGAGAATGGTAAGAAAAAACGCGTAAAGTGCTACACCAAAACGCGTCAGCTCTTGACGTGAAACTTTTGAGATGCCATGCAGGTACGCGAGATCGATCTGAGTGTATATAACAGAAGGATATACCATTTATTTGATGGAAAGTCACAGTGAAAGAAACAAGTTCGTTCTCGCACTTCTCAAGGTAATAATAATAATCAAAATACAATAAGAAAACCGTATTCCTAGCTATGACTATTTCGTTGGACAATGGATTATTCGGCAGCAGAAAGAGACTGGCTTTTGAGATCTGTGAAGATCCTCAAACCGTGAAGCGCTTCCAAGGGCTGGTAACGCCACCTGGGTCACCTGAAAAATGCATGAAGGTGAAGAACGTCAAGGTGAGTGCTTCTCCCAAAAGGCTGAACTTTGGACCGGGATCGGCGTATTCCCGTACCAAGGCAGTGTTGCAAAGATGTTCAAAGGTCGATCTGGGACCGCAGCCGTGTCTTCCAACGAGAGACGCGCAATACAGCGAGATCATGAGTTTCCTTAAACAATCTATTCGTTCGGAACACGGTGACTCGCTCTACGTCACAGGGCCTCCAGGAACCGGTAAAACTGCACAATTGGACTTGATCATGCGTGAGAAGTTCCAAACATTGGTTCTGGAACAGCCGAATCTTCAACCCGACCAGGGCCTGCTCAATACCTCGTTTTTCAAAACCTCAAATACCACTTATCAATCGGTGGCTATGGTATCAATCAACTGTATTGCTATCAGCAATGCCGAGTCTATTTTTGCCAAAATACATTACTCGTTTGCGAAACAGCCTAGTCAATTCGCTCGCAACGCAGATGATCTACAAGAATTCATGAAACTTCATCCCAATACTACATTCGTGGTTATTTTAGATGAAATGGATAAATTGGTGACTTCAACTTTGCAAGACACTAATGCAACAAGACATATCTTTGATCTTTTCTTATTGGCCAAGATGCCTCATTTAAGATTCGTATTGATCGGGATCGCCAACAGTTTGGATATGAAGGACAGATTCTTATCTCGGTTGAATCTAAGACAGGAACTTGTGCCTCAAACCATATCTTTTGCACCTTATACCGCAGAGCAAATGTTTGAAATTGTCATGCAGAAGCTCAAAACTTTAGATATGGAACCAATAATCCAACCAATTGCAATCAAGTTTGCCGCAAAAAGGTGTTCCGGTAATACCGGCGACTTACGGAAATTATTCGACATACTGAGATCCAGTGTTGAGACTGTGGAATTAGAGAGTATGAAAAACAGAAGATTGGCCGGCGCATCGGTCAACAAAGTTACTTTAGCTCACGTCGCAAAAGTTTTCTCTACTTTACACAACAATTTCTCTACAAAATCACGGATTTCAAGACTGAATATGCAACAGCGATTGGTACTGTGTTCCTTGGTACATCGCGAGAGGTCCGAAATCTTTCAAACTCATACGTCTCTAGACGACGCATATGAATATTACACAAAACTGTTGCATCAAAAAGATACCATCTCACCGCTGGAACGGAATGAGTTTCTGGAGATATGCAATGCTTTAGAAACTTGTGGGGTGGTAAGCATCATTCAAGGCAAATCATCTGGTAAGACCAGACATGTTGTGAAATTCATAAAGGCTAACGTGGACGAAAAGGAATTCAGTGACGAAATTAGCAAATTAGCATCATTAAAAACCTACTTGTGAATCAGTAGCCGCATCAGCATAAATTGTAACTCAATCTCACCCCTAGCTTCCATCTCATAGACTAAATAATGCATAATTGAAGAATTACAATCTCATTCTTACGTACGCAGTTGACTTATATGTAAGGCTTGCAGTGACCAACTCCGCTAACAATGTTAGTTCCAAACGAAGAGAGTGCATTCATCATTTCGGGCTACAACTTCACAGTAAATATTTGTGGGTTCGTCCGCTCTGCATTCGAAGATGATTTGAATGGACTTGATAGGCGAAGTAGACCGTGAAACCAATGTTTTGATTTCTAGCATTTTCAATGGAGAAGTGGTGGTGCTCTGCACGAGGCTCAGAATTTTGATATCACCATTTTCGAGCCCTATCGCTAATAACTCTTTATCGGTCCAATAAGAGTGGGCACTAATGCTGCCCTCCTCAAAGTTTACAAAACTCAGACAAGAAATGGTTCTATCAAACTTTTGCTTCACATAAACTGATCCATTAAGATTGCATACAGAGACTTCGTTCTCCGTGTCAACAAAAGCAACGGCAGCCGTACTCTTGCTCAACGCCGAGTGAGTAGCGCTTGTGGAAAAGCTCTGCAAAACCTGCGAGCTAAGAATATCCCAAGAAAATAATTGGCCTGAACTATCTAAGGTCAGCAGAAGGTTGTACTCACATGAAGCGTTCATTTCTTGAACTGAGTACACATGTCCCTTCAATTGTGTGGCTTCAACTAATGGCCGCACATTGTCTGCACCCCTGTAATTCCAAAGCTTGACTAGGCCACATTCATCAGCCGTGAAAAACTGATTTGACTTGAAGCCTTCTATGCTTGTAATCTTACAATGATGAGCATGGGAAAAGCTTACTTCACCAATGTAAATTGAGGTTCTGCGTCTCACGTTCACATCCGTAGCGCCAGAAGCCGATCTTTTGAGTGTCTTGCGCCAGAAAGAAGAACCCCTGTAAAGGATAGAGTCGGCGCCTGCAAGTTGACGGGAAAGGCACAACGAAAAGTCTGCTTGTTCTTCAGCGTTTGAGAAAAAAGGTGCACTTGAGAGTTTCAACAAAATTTCACTCCGAGAAGATCCATATGGAAGATGCGATCTTCTCGGATGTGGTTGATCAAAGATGCGCAGTGGGGTCTGTCCAAAATTATGAATTATTCCCGTAACTGCCATCCTCTCATTTACATCGCCAATTTTGTCAAGGTTTACTGCACCTGGATAGCTTAGCCTATTGAAAACGTTAACTGCCTCTATAGCTGCATCTCCGGTTTGCTTGCAGCCGAAAATAAGATCAATCCACTCGTGTAGGCGTTCGGATACGAATGGGCACTCTAAAGCTTCTCGATTCTTCTCAACAAAAATTTTCGGGTCATTTTGAGCCCAGGGAGGCAGATTTACATTGTCAACTCGTTTCCCATTTTGCAAAGTTCCAAAATCATAGCAATTGGTGTTCATCAAAAATTCTGGCAAATAATAAAATTCAGGTATCAATTCTCTCACGTCAGTAGTATTCTCTCTCGCAGCTGAATCCCAGGTACGCTCGACGGAGTTAAACAATCTATCGGCATGGCCGAACTTACCGTCTTGTAGTAAAAGGTACGAATCAACAAAGGGCGCTAGACGCATCATGTATGAGGAAACAATCATTGCAGAGGAGTAATGGGTGCCGTAATGGAACGGTGGCTCTCCTTCATCGAGTTCTTTCAAAGCATCAAACCTCTCGATAAAATGTTTTTTCCTATGTTCAGTTTGCGCTCCCATAGGCTTCGACAGGTCTCGAAATGTCTTCGGATTATTGAGATCAAGTTCTGTACTATGATAGTCTGCAATCACCCAAGGAAAAACCGGATATTGAGTAATATCATTGAATGTTCTTCCAGCTAAAGTGTTCACAACAATGAGATAATAAAAGTTAGAAAGCTGACCTGATTGCCAAAGTTTGAGTGCTTTAAACGATAGAGCAGAGTCATTATTGTAAGAGAAAACATTAGCGACCTTATCAGAGAGTTTGTATTCAGAAAGACCGTTTTTCATGTTGATTTTTTCACTTTTCGATGCTGCTTCGCCTAGTGCATCTAATAGTAATGTGTTGATTTGTTGAGACTTTTCGCTTCTATCTAGTTGCCGGTATGCATCATCCCGCAAATTCTTGTTGTGAAATGTATAGAAGCAACTTTTTCCGCTATCAAATGAAATTTCGATTGCTGAGTCTCTCAACAAAAAGGGTCGTTTTATCACAAAGCAGATCTGAGTGATTTCCCACTTTTGTACATTGTGCTTCAAGTCCATATCCCTCCGCTTGTACTCAGAGCCCGATATCAACCGTATCGCTGGATCTCTGTCCATCGAAGGCGCATCCCAAAGTTCTACCACCTTGGAGTCTCGAGATGAAAAGAAAAACCCAGTCATGAAGTAGACGAATCTAGTACCTAGTATCAAAACACCCTCGTTGATATTAAGGCCTATAACATTACTACAGTTCCAAACACGTCGTATACTATCCCCTGGGTCGAGTAATTTGATAACCTTTCTATTTCTATCCAGGGCTTCAGAGGGCTCGATGCTCAGTGAGTCGAGCTCATTGACAAATTCAAATGACATTGTGCTGCTGGCTCTACGATCAGGATTATGTGAGTCAATGTGATCTGTAATTAGCACATTTGAGCGTTCTGTTGTCTCGACAATTGAGGCATTCAGTAATTTGTTGCTGTTATAATCCGGGATGAGACGCTTTCTCATCCTGTTAGCGTCTTCCATGGGGTCTAGGGTCCACTCAACAACAATTTTTTCTAGACCTTGGACTCTTAGATGATTCTGTGTCCTCACATTTAATTCGAAGTAGCGTTGATTAAAAATTATTAATTCATCCTCTTTGTCATTGAGATGGTAAACGAGTTTCCTATCTTCAGTACCAGCAATTCTTTCGCTCATTTTCATTCCATCGCGCAAAAAAGTTTTGTGAATATCATTCACTTCCAGATATCGTCCGTCGAGTGCAGATTTTCTCTGCTCTAGCAACCAAGAGCACCTTTCGGATATTGTGATTTGGTGTGTATGTGCCACCCTTGTTGAATCTTTTCCACACTGACTTTTAAATTGCTTTGCAATGTAATCGTGAAAGTTGGACTTAGCTTTATCGAGCGTAAAGTGTTTCAGAAGGTCTTCGTCGCTTGCTGACAAAGCAAATGTAAGAGTGTCAAACATATCAGACTTGCTACCGCGATCAATAAGACAAGCCAGGTACACGAGCTGGTCCTCATGATGCAAAACAATGATTCGCAGGCAATTGAGAATTGCAGATTGTGATTGTGATGATTGATGGATGTCCAGAGTACAAGATAAAGCAGCAATCAAAAAGGATACCGACTCCAATTCAAGAATTCTGTGATCACTATTTGGACCAAAAAGTACAGATTGTTGCATCAAAGTCACGTCGACGAACTTTTGAAGGTCTGCAGATGACGCGTAAAATCCATCAGTTTTGAAGACTTTGAAGAAACCTAGAATCGTCTTAGATTCCACCCTCGCTAAGGATGAACGAGAATTAACTGAATTTTGATCCCCTAACGAGATCGATTCCAGACATTCAGCGCACGAAGTTGCAATTTTGTGAGTTTTAAGGTAATGTTCCGCACTCAGTTCATAAAAATCTGAATTGCTGCTGAACGTCTCGAGGAGATGGATAAAATTAGTAAAGATGTAGTCACCATATTTCAGTAGTACTTCATAAGATGGGATGAAGCTCTCTAATCGAGAAAGAACATCCATAAATGGGAACAACCAAAAGTATTTTTCCAGGTAATGTTTATTGACTTTATTTCCCTTGCCTCTAGTCAGAAGATGCAAACATCGTGCAAAGTCTTTGGTACTCGAAAATGTGAGGGAGTGAAGTAAAGTGTTGGAGATAATTGCAGTCAATTGCTGTGAGGCGATAACATAAGCCTCTGAGTCTTGATATTTGTGCAAAGTCATTAGTAGCTTCATGGCCTTCTCTAGGAAGGAGCATTGTTCAGTATCGAAGAGGATAGAAGCTGGTGAGTTTTCTTGTAACTTTGTCATTTCCGAGAGGTATTGATAAAGGAGTTCCCCAGTCTTGGAACGAAGTGAGCCATTTACATCATGTAATACTGCCCATTCTAGCAAGTCGATGACAAGATTGTGATATTCAGGTATTTCAATGCTCTCCATTGACATTATGCCATCCTCAGGAGAATATGACAAGCCCGCGGCATCTCTTGCATGAATGTCCACCAACTTGGGGGCTAAAATGACAAATATTAGTTCCTCGTAGATTTCAATGCCGCTTTCTTTGATTGTGTTGAAAAGAATGCGAAATCCATTGTTTTTGATGAATCTTGAACGTGATGGGGGGCTGCAGCTCAAAAACTTGACCAAAATGCTTATGGTTGGCGCCATAACGTCTATCGAGTGGCCAGCGTCTAAAATCATGAGCAATATCTTTACAGGGACACGCTCGACGTAACAACGTAGATTATCGTCGTCTTCCGCTTTGAGCAATTCAACGAAAGCACTATTCAAAGAAAACAGCACTACAGCTGCACTACGTTCCAGCCCTTTTTTAACCTCATTATAGGCAAATGTAAATAAAGCCGATAGTTCTTCTTTGGAGATTAGCTTAATCAAGATCGTTAAGACCTCAATAAATTCATTCCGAACACGCTCAACATAATTTTCGGGCAGCTTTTTGGAATAAGCTAAGTGCAGCTGCATTGTTAGTTTTTCGACAACCTTAAGCTTGCTTAGTTGTTGAAAGTTGAAGTCGCGGTAGCTCGAAGTTTGCAGCAATTCCTGCAGCTGATAAAAGAGAAATCTTGTTATTTCAACCGCGGGCTCGAAACTCGTGGACAGTTTATTGGGAACCCATAAGTCGAAATTGGCAACCAAACATCCATATGCTGTTACGTTTCTGACGATGGATTCGGTTGGACTCGCTGAGGACCAACCGCAATACTCGAGAAATAAGTTCATGAACGGAAGCGACAGATTGGTGCCTAATTGTGGAAGTAGTTTTGTGCTCAAAAATAAACCAAGAAATTTGTACCCGATGTTATCTTCGAAGTAAATTCGAAGTTCTGGGCAACTCAACAATGTCACAAAATGCACCATATAATCGTACAATTTTGATAAATCACTGGAACCTTGTAGCAGGTTGATAATAATATCAGCGTAATTGACTGCTTCAAAACAGGAGAGCAGGTGTGAGTTTCTATAAAACAACATTTTTCCAGCGTGGCCTTGACTCTCTCTATTCAAATCTACTGCGAACGTATCGTCTCTCGTATCCCTAACATTATCGATCATTTCTTGTGGAATCAAGGAAGCCAATAGGTTTTTCGTATTCAGCTGAGTAACGTGGTGCATACAAATACCTAATGTCATGCCTGGAGTTTCGGTGGATTTTAGAATCTCACGCAACAAACTTGGATCTGGCAGATTTATTAGGTTCCTGTGCAAATTCACATCATCAGAAATATCGATATGCTGTAACGGCAGACGATTCGTTAATTTTACACTAGCCTCATAAAGTGGTTCAGACCATACCCAAAATTTTAGAACTTTGAAGGAACAAATCATGGAACCCAGCTCCAAAACATTTATCCGTGTGAGTGGTTTTTGTGGGAGAGAAAGCGACTCGACCAAATTTCCATCGACATATAAAGAAATTGTAGTATCTTCAACATTCAGTGTTATGTTGTAAAGAATATCAGTGGAGAATTCAAAATTTTCAAAGATGGCCAAAATGAACTCATCATCGGAAACACATAAGGTTGACTGCCGTATCTCAATAAAAAGATTATTGTTTAGACTTAATATTCGATTGGAGGTTACATTGTTGAAAATGGTCCATAATTGCACCGCAATTTTGAAGTTTACAGAATTGAGCTTAAACGACTTGTAAACATTTTCGAAATATAAGAAACTCTGCGAATACGGATCAGAAAGTGAGTTTGCCAACAAGTTCAGTATCTCAAGCGCGCTCACTGATTTCTCTTTCGCGCTGGTGTAAAGACCTATGAGATCCAAAGGATGGCAGTCAGTTGCCAGAATCTGGACATACAATTCACTAACAAGAGCAATGGATGATTTGAATAAAGATCGATGCTGATCTAGTATTCGCCATAAAAAACATTTCAGGCTCGGTATACGTCCCAACTTCTGCTTGTTGATTAACGAAATATATGAGAGATTTAAAAGGATCTGCGCAAAAAGTGCAAACTCAAATGCTATCTCTTCCATGTCTAGTTCAAAAAGTTTGCCCCAGCTTTCGACTAAGTCAGTGTTGAAGTTGTCTTCACCCTCGCCCACATCAATAAATTTGGACACCAACTGATCGTAAACATACTCTGACATAAGAGCACTATCGAAAGTCTCTTTTTTAGCTTGGTACCCATTTAATATCTCGAGAATAGATTGATTTAGGGGCGTTTGACTCGAGTCATCGTCTGGTGGATCGACAGGGCGTAGATTTAATACATCCGCCATTAACCTTGCCAGCATTCCAGAATCGACAAGCATTAAGTATGTTGAGGGCCTTTAATCCTAACTACCGGTGCGGTTTTGAACCTTTACTGAGTTAAGTGTGAGATTGTACTTTTTAAAAATCAATAGCCGTTGTAACTTGACTTCGCGATAACGTCTATAGTGATGCACATCCAAACTTGAGCTCTTGTCGAGTGCTGTCTACCTTCGGCAGGCTTCACTCACATTTTAGTGTAGAATTCGTGAGGCTTCGTAGTCTTAAAGCATTCAAGCCTTTTTTTGATATTTTTTAGTTCCTTCTGGACTTCTTTTTGGTCCGTTTGCTTTACGGTTTGTTGTTGAAGTATTTTGTCATCCTTGATTGCATTGGCTCCTTCAATGTCCAGCTTCCCGATAAACAGAGAGAACAAGAGAGTCATGACACCTGTGATGACTGCGGCAAGCTTATATTTGGAACTAAGAATGCTGGCAAGAGGGCCGCTTTCGAACATGCTGACACTTCTCTCCTGAATATAAGTCCGTAAAGGGGCCTTATTAACGAGAGTGATCGAGATGTAAGGCTTTGTGTCGATTTCCTCCAGTTCTTCCGGGTGTAGAATTTCAGGGGAGGGGAAGTTCTCCTTCCCAAAGACATTTTTGAATGCTCTCGTCACTATCCCGTTAGCATCTTGAGCGCCACGGTCGAGCCGGATCAGAATACGGTTTGGTTTCAGATTGTAATCTAATGAGGAAGATTGGAGTACGAAATAAACTGTGGAATTAGCATCCTGAGGCTCAGGCACATGCTGAAACTCGAAATTTCCGTCAAAATCACGAATTCTAGTATTACTGATGTACAATTGATCACCCAAGTCTCCGACTTGCAGAAGTTTAAAATTAGAGTTTATTGCATCTTTGCGCGAGACGTTAAAAGGTGAAAGATCCAGCTTGCCTTTGATTGTAGCGCCAAAACTGGTAGCGCACATGGCTAAGAACAAGCAAACGATTGAAACGAGCATTGTGTAAAATCGGCGCGTCTCCTGTAGTCGCTGCCCTTATGATTACGAAATTCCGTATCCAGTTCAGTAAGTAGAGTTTGTTCTAATATTTTTTTGCTGAATTTTCAAGTATAAAATGTATAGTGGGAAATTATGTTTACTCTCTGATGACTACTGCTTTCCAAAACCAATTTACATTTACATTCAGAACGGGTATTATTGTAGTGGATTTGTGACTTTTCTAGACAATATCTTCTCTACAACTCAGTTCGAGAGCAAAAACGATGTGCGAACTGCCATTGCAGACCGATCTGGATCAGTCTGTGGGTTTGCCATCAGACAAGAGAGCCGAGCGGCGCAACGGGCGAAAGTTGAGCACGACTTCTTGTGTCCCTTCGGCTCCCGCATAGCATTTAGCACTGGCAAGACAGTGGCGTAGCTTTACTCTAGTGTAGGATAGGCGAGAATAGATCTAGTTACAGACCATAGTTAGGATCCAATATGTGCGCTGTGGGCCGGAAAGACTTGTGGTCGACGTAGCTGCATGAACTTCGCACAGATATACTGCAGATAAATCAATATTGGCGGATGAGTAGTTAGTGATTTGCGAGATCATTTTTTCTAAGATAGATGTGTCCCTATAGAGTCAGAATTATGACATTGTAGCCAGGTTTGTTTCTTAGCTCACAAATGCCCCTAAGCACGAGACAGAAGCGCCGAATGGTTTGTTTCGCCAACCCCAGTAACTGTTATTCTCATCGCCCCCACCGAGCGTGAAAAGTATTCTCTTCCTAGTTCATGTGAGAGTTCTAGGTTGTGACTGTTCGTAACATTATCACCCATACATTTAATAAAAATAAAAACTAATTTAGAAAATAATTTTTATAAGAATCTTGAAAGTTTCAAATTTGAGTTAGGCGCTCGTTGGAAGGAGCCGTTTGAAAGGTTAGGCTCGCGCTAGGCAGGATGAGCTTGGGGATCTCTGCCTAGCTGTCGGAAGCTGTACTCTCACCATCCTTACTCCACTGTGAATAAAAGTTACAAGTTTCAGGAATCGAGTTTAAACATACCCTGTTCCTACAACGAATCAAGACACTAAGAATGGCTAAAGGTACGTAAAGGGGTGATCTCCTGTTTAAAACCGTTTAGTTGATTCTGAAAGCATTATGGTCTTTGTGAAGTTCACGGATTCCAAGCATTTGCAAAAGTACGACGATTTTCCAGCGGTTAAGTTGGTGAAAGCCAGCTCTTAGCTGCGGAATATAGACGTGTAGGGCCTGTCCAGTGAAATGGACAAGCCCAGGATGCTGTCACAAATACGAGAAACGCGTTTCGCTTTCTACAAGGGACATGAAGTCTTTTCGAACAACATCTGGATGGTTTTAAACTGCTGCATAACGCAATATTACTCCTACTTCTGGTACTAACAAAAGTCCCTTTTCTACAGATCTAGTTCAAGCTCGCGACTCCTCTTTGGTTTTCGGCGTTGCCAGAATCTATGCTTCTTTCAACGACACTTTCGTCCATGTGACTGATTTGTCCGGTAAGGAAACCATCTCCAGAGTTACTGGTGGTATGAAGGTCAAGGCCGACAGAGACGAGTCTTCTCCATACGCTGCCATGTTGGCTGCCCAAGACGTTGCTGTCAAGTGCAAAGAAGTCGGCATCACCGCTCTACACGTTAAGATCAGAGCTACCGGTGGTACCAAGACCAAGACTCCAGGTCCAGGTGGTCAAGCCGCTTTGAGAGCCTTGGCCAGATCCGGTATGAGAATCGGCCGTATCGAGGATGTTACTCCAGTTCCATCTGACTCCACCAGAAAGAAGGGTGGTAGAAGAGGTAGAAGATTATGATTTGTGCCACATTTGTTGGTACTCATTATAATCAATGTACTTTTAATACGTTTATAAGTAGTTAACACGTCAAGCTGATACTGCAATGGAAGGTTTAAATGTGCGTCGAGCTCGGAATTGGGCGCTTGTGCCACGAAGAGGGACGGAACTGTATATCAAAGAAACAGTCCATCATTTCCAAGCTCAACGCGCACAAACGTACGTACGCAAACAGCGTGCTAACGCCTTCTTTAGTAGTAACACGATATGCTTAAATTACACAGTTACAAACATCCGATGACTTGCGTCCCGCTTAGTACACGAAACCCAAGATCTTACCGGCGACGTGCTTTCTTCTGGCCTCTTCGTGGTCCATAATACCAGCGGAAGTGGTCAAGATAACGTAACCGAATTGTCTGGCAGGTAGCAAGTTTTCAGTCCATTTCTCGATGTCGTTGAACTTGATGTTGAATCTTGGCGAGATGACACCGCACTTGTTCAATCTACCGTTCAATTGCACAACAATCTTACCAGATCTGTGGTCATCGATGTATTCGAACTCACCGATGTAGCCGTGCTTTTGCATGACTTGCAAGAACTTGATGATGACCTTGGACGAAGGTCTGATCAAAACTTGACGCTTACCGGTCTTTTCGGCGTTGTTGATGGAGTTCAAGGCATCAGCTAGGACAGAGGCTCTGGTCATTTTGAATCGATACGGTGTGCTAAGGTTTACTATCCACAATCGACTCAACCATCTCGAGTATATACTGAAGTTAAAGACCAAACCTCGCAGCGTTTGCAGGATGGGGTTACAAACTGTGAAATTCTGAAAAATTTCACAGATACCGTGTGACTGCTAGTCATGACTGCGTATACGTGAGGTGTTGGGATGTTTTTCAACTTTATGACTTTTTTGTCAAATTAGTTTTGCGTGGGTAAAAAATAGTGAAAAATACATTTTAGGAATTGCGTGGTTGCTCAATCTTGGAATACTCGGCACGAAGACCAGGCGGAGGGAAGACAGAGAAGTCTCTGCCTAGCTGCATGACCGTCGTAGGAGGAGTATCCACCCATCTCCGTCTAGCGTCTTCCTGAAGCCTGTCTAGCTCCAGGCAGGCGCCGGCCTAGCGCCAGCCTAGCGCCAGCCTAGCGCCGCCTAGCATCTGCGTAGTTTCCATCTGGTCTCTGGGCGTGGCATCGCTCCACACCGTAGGATATACTTTTTGAATATCCAAATTTCAACAATACTTCTAGAAACCACTGTTATAAACCAACGACTGTAACGATGGCTGTATGTGTGCTAATAAGAGACAGACGACTACTACGGAGAATGTGGGAGAACGAGAGATGAGCTGAAAGGAGAGAAAACCACTGAAAACCGCTGGAAATACATTTGATAACTTTTAACACCGGGTATTGAATCCTGAGCTTCAAACACCGAGTTGTTGCAAGATCTCTGCCATTGGTTTCTGTATTTTGACTGTTGAGCTGCTTTGAATCCGCACTACTGCTCGAGTTTTGGTCTTTGATCTTAAACACTGAATTTTCACGCTTGGAACCAGAACACACGAGCAGAACTTGACAACGTGCCATATCGGAGTCGCGAAGTTCTCTGCCGATGACGAGAACCTGCTCGCTCACCTTTCTCTTCACAGATATCCCCGTTTTTTCTTCGACCATCTGATCTTATACTAACTTCCCCCTTCAGGCCCAAAAGTCCTTCAAAATCAAGCAAAAGCTGGCCAAGGCTAAGAACCAAAACAGACCATTGCCTCAATGGATCAGATTGAGAACTGACAACAAGATCCGTTACAACGCCAAGAGAAGACACTGGAGAAGAACGAAGATGGGTTTGTAATCGCGCTCAATACGCGGCTTTCCACCTCCATCTTTTTGTCCCTCACATTATCATATTCACCAGTTTGCAGCTGGCGAAGACTGTGTAATTCTCTATAGTATATTATCGCAATGTCAAACTTTTAGAAAAGCTGGGGGCGGAGCAGGTGGCACACTACACGTTCATTTGATAACTTTCTGCAGAAACTACGTAAGAAGCTTCAGTCCACTATCACTGACGCGTTCCTCCTCACTAAGGAGTTGGTTGTGATAATTCCTCAGTTTGCTACACGCTTTTTGCAAGCCAGATACATCAGGTTTTCTATTAACACTCCAATCATTAATAAATTTCAGATACTATCTAGCTTATTAAGTGTTTTGAAATTCATCATTGTATCTTGCAAGCAAATGCATAGTTGCGGTGCTCAGTGAACGTTCTCGTTCACAATTTAAGTCCCGGAATATATTGCACAGACGAGGGTCTGCTCGATCTCAAGAATAAGAGCGGCCACCACCTGTCGTGACAGCCTTCATCATAACCGAAGCGATAGGTGAGCGATGATCATTTATGGAGACAATGAAGTGGTCAACTCTGATCAAGTAAATTTGAATTTTAGTAAATATTCACAATCACTTGCCACGTATGCTTTCACTGCAAGGCGCCGGGGCTTGTAGAATTGAAAGTTAGCGTACAATTAGGATTTCGGATCCGCACGAATGTGCTCTTTCATTCGTGTAACTGTCATGTACTTCATCAGGTACCAATGGCACTAATGCAATATGAAAAGTATATCTAAAATCGGTAATGGATGAAAAGCTTAGCTGCTAAGACATTGCGTCGCAAGAATTATCTATCAGTTATCCGGTGAAGCGTATTTGTTTTTATGTATGGAGAGCACGTAACCTTTTCCACCAATCCATCCTTGCTTCAGGGTTCATTCTATGGACTATGAGCCGTCTGTATTCTTATTGTTCACATGAAAAACTCAGGTTTTGGTCCAAAATCATCTTCTTGAATTATAGCACCGGCTTTTCGCGTCATTTCCACGTACTCGCATTCTTCGGAGTGTAAAATCTCACTGGCAGTGGGCCTCTTTCTGTAGTCCGGTTCTATCATCCGCCGTACCATCTTTTCCAATGATACGCCATCTATTAAAAATTTTGGAACCCATGCAGGAATTCTACTGGAGTTGCCAATCAAGTAGTCCAGCTTGTTGGTCTCTATATTTGATGTCGCGTTCGTGATTTCGGTATTAGTATGAGTGCTTGAGAAAAGTGATTCCGAATGTATTTCGGTGGAACTAAGTTTACCAGCATCAGAAAGATCCCCAGATCGCAGTTTATGCCACGCATTCCCATTATCTGGTAGGACAACGTTAGCTGCTATTTCAACGATCATAAGCCCCAATGAAAATATGTCAGCTCTGAAATCGTACACGCAATCAGAGATGATTTCAGGAGCAATGTATTCTCTATCTCCTTCATTTTCAGATCCAGTATTGACAATCGGTAGCTTGGCAGCCATACCGAAATCTGCCAGTTTCAAGCTACCTTCGAAAGTTATAAGAACGTTCGCTGGCTTCATGTCGAGATGCGCGATTTGGCATGATGCGTGTATGAAATTAAGCGCCAGGCTCAACTCCACAATTATTTTCCATATTCGCCAGTCTTCAAGGCGTGCGTTCTTGCTTATGATTTGCTCTTTCAGAAATGAGTCCAGATCACCGTTCTCGCAATATTCTGTCATCACATAGAAATATCCCTGATATTTCCATGAGCTAATGAAGTTGAGCACATAGTCTTTCCCTTCTTCGTCCAGCGTCGAATCACTTATTTGCGATAAAATTTCGATCTCTTGCAAAATCCTGGCGGTTGAATTAAATTTGTTGGGCCGCATGCTCTTAACCGCATACTTGATGCCCGTTGGTTGGAAAGTCACTTGGTAGACAGAGGAAAATTGGCCACTACCAATAGACCCAACATTCATGAACTTTGTAGATAGATGAGAGTCGGGACTTGTGTGAGCTTGTTCGAGCGAAGGGGATGTAGATCTGCTAACTTTTGCATTGATCGACCTTTTGGGTTTTGAAGTGAGAAATGGTGACGGTTGTCTCACGACGTATGGCGACTTTGTAGGAGTGTTTGATAGACTGTTTGGATCTCCGGAGAATGTTATAGTTGGAGCCGTAGAAGGAATGCAATCTGACAAGAACGAGTCGTCATCATCATTACCGTAAAGATCGTCCGTAAATTGCTGTAATGTATTGGTAAGTACTGTGTTACTGAACATTTTTGAAGCCCTTGCGCGCTTGTCTTTGGCAAACGACAGTGAAGTATTAGTGACATTCGAAGAGTTGAATCGACTATGGGCAGCACTCAGTGGGGACTGGCTTAATGAGCCGTAAGGCGCGGTGATCGATGTGTAGGATTGTAGCATAGGAGAATCCATGATAGATGTGGTATTAGCGCTTTTGTTCAGCGGGGATTTTTTGACTGGCGTATCTGGAGTGCTGGCTGTCCTAGGCATAAGATGAGATTGGATCTTGGATTTGAGTCCCGAGGACGCAAATGCTGTTTGATCTGGCTTGGCGCTCGTGAATGCTTGATCGGGTTCAGTCTTGCGCTGCTTAGAATAAGGACTTTTCGACGGCGACTTTGCACTTCCCTTCGTCGTGGAGATGCTTGGGGGATCTTCCGTTCTCTTGTACATCCATTTGCGCAAAACCTCCGGATCGTTGACGAAAGGAGACAGTTCGCTCTTGCTCGCGGTTCTTTTGAGATTGGCAGGGGTTTCGGGCCGCTCTTCGAACGGACTCCAGTTGTCCATGTAATCATTTATCGCGGGAACCTGAACCAGATTCAAGGTCCGCGCACTTCTGGTAAGGCCCTGGGTTTGAGGCCGTACTGGGAATTGTTGGGACTGGCCATCATCGGTGCTATTGAAGAATTGCAGGTTGTTGCGCGGTTCGGTACTGTCCAGCAGCTCTGAGCTCTCATCCACCTGTTCCAATTGGCATTGTGTCTCGAACGACGTTTGTAACCGGTCGTGGTCTTGGTCACTGGCAAACGCCGCAGAGTCGCGCCGCCGCCGTCGTCCTGGAGAGCCCAGGCTCGAGATTCCCGAGCTTTTGTGAGACCGACTCCCGTATCCACCGTACATGTGAGGATCGTCTTGATGCGTCAAACGGGATATCAATCCTTCAAACTATGAAGATGGCTTGAAACTATTGACCAGATTCTTTGACTACTGGCAGGAGAAAACAATATCAATACTAAGACACGCGCATCAACGTAAGGTCACACTTCGACAGCGCTGTGGTCTTCAGGTTTTGTTTTTTTTGACAACTGTTTCGTTTCGTTTCGTTTCGCTTTTCAGAACACGAAAGCTTTAGCTCTCATTTGGACGATTTTTCGCGTCGCATCGCGAAATAACAAATAAAACACCATTCAAGTGAGTAAGTGTCGTACTCGGATGAAGAGCGAAGCACTGATTGAACGTTAATGGATGGATGGCCTGTAGTTCGACAAAACATTGACGTCTGGGAGGATTTTTTTTGAAGCCCTGGGACGTGTCGCACGATTTACCAAAAGACAATGCGAGAGCTCGACGCGCTGAGAGTGATGGGCTATTCGTAGCTGCTTGACCTTGAACGGCAATTGCCAACCGATGGTGTTAGCTTACCACGCCCAACGCGTATAATGTACGTACCTTAAGAAAAACGCTGAGAGAGAGCCCATGTCGACTAGCGTTTGAGCCTTTGAACTCCTGTTACCTACACAAATTACGTTGTTCAGACAGAACTAAAGTAGTCCCGGATTTGGTGCTAAACTTGTCCCAAGATGATCGTTTACATTTACCTAAGATCAATTGTGTCGTTTTCAAGCATGTATTGGCGTCCGGAATGTACAGTCTGTACCCGAAAACATAAACTCTGAGATCTTGGAAGAAGGTCCTATTAACTCATTGTCACGACCGGCGAGCACCTTTTGGTCGGCTTTTGTGAGTCTCACTGTTTTCAAATCAGCTTACGTGAACTTGTGATCGTTTCGATAACGGGAGCAACGGTTGATCTTCGGCTTGGCGCACGGTTCTAGAACCTCTGGTGTGAAGAATGTTTGCCATACGTTGCGGCTTTTCAAGCCTGTACTGACGTAAAAGGGTGCAGGTACTATTTATGAAGTAATACCTTACACAATTAGCGGACTGCGCTTGTGCGTGGCGCAGAAGATCACTATTTAAGTGATTAGCCCGTTGGACTACCAGAGCTAATTCCCCAAGTTCCTGGACAGCGACAAAGAGTCCGTTGGTCTCGAGCACAATGTAAAGCTACTTTCAACACCGCAGGCAAGCCCTTTGAAGGGAGCCTACAGGGCTTTTTCTTACAAGTCATCGTGCCCTAATCTGTGCCTCACGGCATTACTATAAGAGCACGTACGAAACCGCTGCAAGTTGGACAGTGTTCACAATTTTGGTCCGCAGTCATGTAAATAGCCTCTGGGATCCCTCAAGATAGCCTAAACAGCATACCTTCCGCTGTATGAACTATTCTTCCCGTCTACAATGCTTGTGCCCTTTTTCAGAAATGGTTGAAAAAAATCACTGCAAGATTGTTTTTATCTCAAATTACGCAAATCATTATCGGGAAGTGACACGAAGTGGAGCTGAAAAGCATTAAAGCACACAGGTTGAGTAATTGATGCTCTTGCTGAAAAGGAAGCTGCTACTAAGCTGCTTTGCGGTGCTTGGTGCGATTGTCGTGCTTTTCTCCGTGCGCAATCTCTTCAATCCGACTCCGACGATCAGAGAACGCGTATACACGGAGCTGTTCGAGAATATCGAAAAGTTCAGACCAATACGACCCCCAAAAGACAGGTATGCCAAGTTGAGACTACCATCCTGCGACATGTCCAACACGGGCATTAACACGGGCGATTCGGTAGAGCGCACGACATACGAAAACCTCGATCATTGCTACCATATTTCGAAAACCCAATTTGAGGGGCTCCAGGCTCCGCACACAGGGTTTCTGACTTCTCTCAAGACGGCTTTCAACTACGAAGAGGGCTCTTCCGTTCTCGATTATCTTTTCCCCGAGGAGAAGGGGTTTGTCACTGTGGGAGGAGGTCGGTTTTCGTTACTGTCCTATACCATGATCAAGACCCTGCGTGAACGCGGCTCCAAACTTCCAATCGAGGTTATAATTCCACCCCAGGATGAGAAGGGGGAAGCCCAATATTGTAACGAGATTTTACCGCAACTAAATGCCCGGTGCGTTTTTTTTAGCGACGTTTTGCCCTCATCATTGGTTGAAAACTGGACGTTTGAAAAATATCAAATCAAAGCCGTTGCTTTACTTATCTCGAGTTTCAAAAAAATCGTGTTTATCGACGCGGACGACTACCCATTGAAAAGTATCGACTCCATTTTCGAAAGTAAAGTGGTCCAAGAGCACGGCTTAGTATTATGGCCAGATCTGTGGAGACGTGCCACTGCCCCTGTGTTTTACAGACTCGCCAACATTGAAGTTAGCTTAATGCGCAGAGTTCGTAATCTCGGGGATGACGTAACCCCTGTTTCACACTACCAAAACACCGAAGAAGAATTAGACTTGAAGAAGATTCCATTTCACGATATGCAAGGAACGGTCCCCGACCCAACTACCGAATCTGGTCAGATGGTCATTGACAAAGTTCGTCATTTCCGTACGTTACTATTGGCGCTCTACTACAACGTTTATGGACCCCAATGGTACTACTCTTTGTTTTCTCAAGGAACAGCCGGTGAGGGAGACAAAGAAACGTTTGCAACAGCGGCACATGTTCTTGGACTACCCTACTATCAAGTCAAAACCAAGCTAGCTTTTGACGGTTACTACAATCCAGACCCTGAAGCTAAAAACGATTTCAGAGGTGTAGCTCTATATCAACACGATTGTACGCAAGATTTCGAACTTCATGAAAAGGCTCGTTTGCTTGTTCTTGACAAGATCGAAGAATACAAAAAGTTTAACAAGGATTACAATCCGGAAGAAAATTTCTACAAAGACCTAATGAAACCCGAGGACAAATCTGATATCGATGTGATGTTCGCCCATGCAAGTTTCCATAAGTTCGATCCATGGCAACTATATCACGAAAACGTTTATTTGAAGCCCGATGGATCTCAGTTGCGAACTTTCCGCAATCTCAAGAAGATCAATAATTTTGACATTGAATTGTTCAATTTCGAGGTTTTGCAGGCCGCCATGTGTTCTGAAAAACCGATCCAGTTTGCATATTTTCAAGATAAGTTGACCTCTCCAGAATGGCCTCAAGTATGTGAATATGTCGCCAACCGTGTCAAATTCTTAAAGGAAACACATGATGAAGCTACCGGCAAAGCATAAATTACAGCAAACCATTAATTAAAAGTACTGAAAATCAGAATAATTCGAGTTTGATATTTGAGTGCCTTAATTTCAGTGTACAAACTACCCTGTGGTCAGCTTGGAACTCAACTGCAATTTGCTTCCAGCATTATTGGCCGTAGTCTTCTTGAGTTTGCTGTATATGTATAGCGATAGCTTCGGCAAGTCCATATCAAAATTCCATATGGCCCAGCGAAGAATCCTAACCACGATGTATTATATATCATTTCGCAAGGCACGCTTCAATGGCGTGGGGTAGAGTGTAAACATTATATTAGAACGGGACACTAATTTGCTCAATGAGAGAGTAAGTTATTGTTCATGACTGTTACAGATGCTACCATCAATCATCGTAAATTTATGGCTCAAGAACAAAGGATGAACACAATTTTCGCAAAATCTTAGATTACTCGAGCTGCTCAACGATGAGACTCCGACGAGACTCTGACAAGGCTCGTTGTAGGAATATGTATTAGCACTAAAGTGCCTTAATCATAATTCACTCTCCGTGTCATAAGAGTACAAAGTGATAATACCGAAGAAGATAAATTATTCGAAACTCTCCTGTTTGGTCGAGAAATTGACGCTATAGTCTTTACTTGCGCATAGTTTTCCTGCCGAATAGCTCCCAAACCTTTAAGTGTGAAACCAGGCCGCTATTTTGGACACAACTACCTCATTCTGACCTGACTGCGAAAACAAAAAGAAACGAACAGAGCTTGAGTTGTTTGAACTAGAGTCTAGAGTCTTGTGGGTGTTCATAACACCCACAAATGGAAGGTCTTTGGCATGCCGAAACGTGGGAGACCGAAATATGTGTTTTCGTATATAGTGATGATCTTGCCTGGAAGGCCAAGAAATCAAGAACCGAAAATCCTATTAACAATGACTTCCGAGATAAGTCTACATCAATTCGCGGTCTTCCAACAAACCCAAAGCTCAAGCGGCAATGGCAGCGGAACGAACGAAATATGCTGATACAATTTTAATTGGTAAACAGCCATTGGAAGCGTCAGAAATTATCAGATTACGGCTATCTCAAGCAAAGCTCATTAACAAAGAATTCTACCTGTTGTTTCGCGAACTCTCGGACTTAAAACGTAACTACGCGCAACAATTGCGCAGCGTGATTGCTAAGAATGAGGACCTTGAGAAGTTGCTGATGCAAGACATGTTAGAGACAAGGGTTTTGACAATCGACGAACTGCGGGACTTCCGATTTGACTCTTTGGGAGAGCTGAAAGGACTATGGAACGGCCTTTTTAACGGATTGAGACTCGAGCTACAATCTAGTACTGACTTTTATCATTTGTTGGACCGTAGTTTGATCGCAGATCTCAAAGATTCAACTGAAAAAGACCCGCTATGGTCTCAGAGCAGAAAGTTGCACTCGGCCCTCTGTAAAACAGCGGCCGAACATGACCAGCTTATTAAAAACAGTGCCTCAGGGACGGTTACAGATGCTGCAAAGTTGCGGCAAGTAAGCGATCAATGGGACACACAAGCGGCTGATCTTTTTGAAATTTTTGAAAAAACTGACTATAGGCGGCTCTTAGGACTTAAAAATTGTCTCTTAAAGTATGAGAGTGGCTTGAGTGACACTTTGGACCACAAATTGCATTCGAGTGAAGAATCTATGGCTCGAATTTTGGAATTTGATCCAGAAGCCGAAATTGATCGCTTTGCTCAAGCGGCTGCAGCTTACGATTTTAAATTCAAAGTTCCAACCAATACCGACACCAATAATAAGGCTAACGGTGCTTCTGGAAGCTTTCAGCGTCTTCCGTCCTCATCTGAACCCCAGAACAAGAGTTCACAAGGTGCAAAAACTGGCCATGGAGCTCTGGGGGGACTAGCAAGCAGGCTTTCATCCACAGGCACTGTGATTAAACATGACTTGATGAAGACAGAGTTTTCAGACTCTACGAATAATAAATCTTTGGAGACAAAAAAGTCGTCGAATAAGCTGAGATCAAAGATGGGTTCGATATTCGGACGGAAAAAGTTAAAGAACAAGAAGTCTGGAATGCTCCAGGAGAACACCATCGCAGAAAATGAAACATCATCAGTCAGGACTGGTGAGTCAATCCTTAACGCTAACGGAAATTCGACATTAGGATCTGAGCCGCGTACCTACAAGCAAAGTGTAGCCGATTCAGATTCTGCCAATGTACAAGAGCCTTTAGCAGTGCCTCCAAAACCTACTTTTGCTGCAACGAGTTCCACCCTGTCTATAAACCAGCCATCCTTGAAACCTCAACCTAGAGATAGAACAAGCACATCAGAACCGCATAGTTCAAATATTGCGTCTCCTGCTGCCGACACTAGTACTTTGAGCACATCAGGTTCTTCGCCTATGGGGGCACCGGGAAGTACGGTGGCCACATCTAACGTTTCTCCAAGCGCCCCCAAAACAAGCCAGCCAATCCATATCCAGGCACCTCAAGTTCCGGCACCTCCTCCGTCCAGAAAAACTGTGCAGCCCGTTGCAACAAGCTTTTCGAGAGGATCTCATGGCTCCGTACCAGCTCCAGCCACATCCGAATTTACAAGAGAATCTCATGGCGCTCGTCCTCCTGCAGCCTCGACTACCAAGCGAGCCGATATCCAGTCGAAATTATTCACAGATCTCTCCCAAGCAGATATTGATGCCCAACAAAACAAGCGTCAATCTTCAATAAGCTCTCAAATGACGGGTGAGTTAAGAACTCTAAACCCGCAAACGACAGGCTCGTCTTTGTCAATGCCATTAACCACGGGGCAATCTATCTTCCACCACTCGGAATTAACGTCTTTTGGTCTCAACGCCAGCGTTGCAGAGGTCATCAGTGCTACATTCAAAGAGGGTGTGCTGAGCTCTTCTCAGCTTATAGGGGAAATAGCTTTGAACTTCGTAGCTGATAGTGACAAGCTACCTATTGAGATTAATTTGAGAATGAATAACTTTAAAAATTCTGAGAAAGTCATTGTTAATCAAGCTTTTATAGAGCAAGTTGGAACTGAGGTATACAAGATCAACCCCCTATTCATTCATTCCAAGACTTTAGGCGCTTTCAAGTATGCCCTTTCAAATCCGGTTGCCCCCATTGTTATTCACCCCGTATGGAGATTTGAAGACCATCAAGCTAGTGTCGCTCTAACCCTCGGTATAGCACCTACCGTTGATGAAGCTATTCAAGAACTATCCGTTGAAGAGCTCACCGTCTTTGTGTCTATTGAGGGCGCCACTCCAACCAGCGCACTTTCGAAACCTCAGGGATCGTTCAGTAAAGAGAAAAAGAGAATCACTTGGAGATTCAAGGATCCGCTTACTATCAAGAGAGGAGGTGATGAAAGATTGATCGCGAGATTCCTGACGGAAGGTAAGGCTCATGAATCTGCCAAAGGTGTTGGGGCCAAGTTTACGATCAAAAACTATCACTTAGGGAGCGCGCTCGAATTAGAGAGCCAAGAGGTTGACGTCAACGACCCGTTTTCTGCCACCGCTGAATGGAAGCCTGTTATCGCAAAACGGACTCTGGTGGCAGGAAATTATATGGGACTATCATGATGCTATGATCTAAACATTTTGAAGAATATATTAAAATGGCTTTGCGAGCGTTGTACGAGTATGTAATCAGTAACCTGAGATATGGTCTGTAGTGAACCGGGCCACAATGTTCCACCCATACCAGGACTGTAGTCCTGAAGTGGAATTGGACATTTGGTAACTGCCAGTTTCGCTTTGGGATCTGGATGTTCCCGCATCCGAATCTTGGCCTAGCGTTAGGCTGCTTATCATTTCTAATTGAAGTGAGCACTGAAGTTGCAATTCTCTATTGCTGAAAACAGAAGGAATATTCTTGAACTTAGGGGACGAAAACCGTGGGGTCAGTTGCCTTTTCAATAACGGCATCATGGACTCTGCGAGATTGCGAAGCCTTAGTCGCTGGGCGGGACTCATGAAGTCCAATATGTGTGCTGTGTAGTTGTCTAAATGGTTACTAGGCACTTTAAAGTCAGCGAATGGCGTGATAATGGCAACTGAAGGAGTATCATTTTCGACCCCCCAGGCTTCAACGATTTCCTGGATTCTTTTGTTAGTTGGGGTGCGAAGACTTGACACTTGGCGGTCATTTTGAACACACCAGTCGTCGATACGCTGGGCGTTCGAAATCGCTACCTGTTCGCTCCGAGCTGTTTTGCTGGGTGATTTTAGGGGAGCCTGCGATGGATCGGAGGGCACAGCGAACTTTCCGTCAAGCGATCCCAGTTCTCGGATTTCTTCTCTTTCACTCGATGTGGAGAGGATAGCAAACTCCTCAGACTTAACCTCGTTTGTATACAGCCTTGAATCCTCGCTTACTTCTTCGTTCTCGTAGCGGGTTGTAGGGTTGTTGAGCACATGTACATCGTCCAGGGCCGTGATATTGCGAAGACTAGACTCCTCACACTCATTAAAACTTTGATTTGCTAGTGTAGCTTGTGCCGCTGAGCGCGATCCTCTTCGCTGGTAGCTATTAAACGACATAGGTGACCGTTACTTTGATAATACTTTTTTGTTTTGATGCTTAGGCTCTTAATTTCCAGATATGAGATTTATTTCCTGTCACTAAGTTGTAAATGTCATTTATAAGGAAGAGACCGAAAAGAATTTAGTAACATAGCTCGAAAAGAGTTGCGAATGAGTTGCCGTTGTGATCAGTTAGTGACATAGGGAGCTCAGAAAATCGCGACGACCTTTTCAAGCATTCTTCAAAAGCCCTTTCTAACAAATCAATTACGCGACGATTAAAAGCGCACCGATACAACGAGTCCTCCACATATAGATCAAAAGTATGCCAATATCATGCCCCAGCAAACAAGTCAAGTCGTAAATGCGAGCCTGGTGGGCTTACGTGCTACTTTAAAATTTGAAGCTAGTATATGTCACATGACTTGGTAGTTTCATTTTGGCTCGTTATTTTCGGGTACACTTCAAACTTCGAAATGAATTCCAAGTTCGTTCCAGTGGTACAAGACCAATACTTCAGTCAATTCTCACCCCCACACGTTATTTCAATGCTTCGCCAACAAGTTCGCTCGCTTCACGCGACTGCGAGAAGATATGATTTCTCCAAGATGACCATTGTGGGCCGTATAGGCTCGGATTTCAGCGAGTACACATCTTCCAACAACAACAAGTACTTGAAGTATAGTCTAGCTTCTCAGCCAAGAAGAGACGGTCCCACCAACTGGTATAATATGACGGTGTTCAACGAGCATCAGATGAACTTTCTGACGCAATACGTCAGAAAAGGGTATGTTACGACAGCGAAGTTCCTTCCTGGGATGCAAAATAACTTGTGGCTTCCGTACTAACACCTTTTTTCAATTCAGCGCGCTGGTCTACGTTGAGGCTGATGCGGCCAACTACTCTTTCGAAAGAGAGGACGGTTCCAAGGGCACCACATTGAGTTTGGTCCAAAGTATGTTTTTACCCCCGCTGGGAAATTTAATGCGACTTCGATGTACAATACTAACACCCGACAACAGAAGAGATCAATTTGCTAAGGAACGGCAAATCTGAAGAATCCACCGAGGGCTCTGCTTAGAAGAAATGCGTGACATTGACGCGTTCGCCAATGCTCCTCCTGCTGTATCTATACAATATATGTGATCTTAAAACCAATATTAAGCTGCGAACCTGGTCCATCGACAGAGATAAGCTCAAGATATATCGTAATTTCTTGCTTGAAGGAGAATGCGCATGCGAAGGCATAGTCTTGAAGTAGTTTTTCAAAGGCCTTGAAGTTGAGCAACGAAATGCAATGGTCTTACAAAACATTTTAGTTTCGCTCTTCGTGACTTGTAAACTCCAAACCATAACTTTCCACCTTAATAACAACTGTTAAGTAGTGATTGTGAATCGGTTTGATCGGGCTCGCCTTCGTAGTTTAGGCATTTACTTTAAGGCGTTTATGCTTTCAATTTATATAAATCCAAATCCAAAACGATCAAGGTTGAAGCTGTTCAAGTTCAAACATACCCATCACCACTTTCCATAGGCTCGACGATATGTTTACTCTCTGTTTAACCTTTATTGAAATGTGGAGAGGTTTTTCGTTCTGGCCCAAAGTTCAATGAGGCCAAGGAAACTTTAAAGGTAACGTTGGGAAATAAGACAAATATAAAAAGAGTCAGCTAGCTCATCTGTGAATTCAAGCCCCTTTTAAACTATGAACAAGTACAGTGTTACCCATCTTTAGGCAACAGTGGGTCATCAAAAGATATGCACGAAGAACAGAAGGGTCGACTGGCATGTGGTGTCACTATAGTATAAAGTGACTAAAACAAAATTGCAACAAGAATAAGCGCAATGACGCTCCAAAAATTGAATATCAAGGCGTTTGACTCATCAACTATCCATAATAATGCAGAAGAGCTGTACGTGCTGTTTGAGAGTACTGTCCTGTTTTAAATTTCAATAGTAATTTTGTATGTAGAGTTTTACTACTCAAATCTCATTTATAATCATTTGCTCAATGAGATTATCGAAGACACTGCTAATAAAGCTGGGGTCCCGAAAATTAAAAACCTGTAATCCCAGAGACTTGAAATACGGAGACTAATCACGATAGAAACACTAAATTGAACAGACGATTAAACGATTGAAAATATAAGAAAATAGCACTGAAAATCAATAAAACAGGTTACGGACAAATATGAAACTAAGTATAACGGCCGCGATCGATTTTCCCCACAGACAGAAAACACAAATTGACTTAAATGTACAAAGTGACTTATTTGTTCAAGCTCGTCCTAAACGAAACGAAGTAGTACTATGCTGTGATCAAGCCTGAATGAGACATGAATAATTAACACGGTCAAGGGAACAAGTACAATTGAATAATATAGTCGATCGACCCACGGCTTTTTTTCAATGAGTCTGCCTCTTGCTGTTTATAAATCTCCCAATGTGGAAGAGCATCGGTTTCAAGTAGACCCCTCGCAAGACCGTTACAACACTACCAACGGCACAACTACAGGACCAAGTGCATATGTGCTGGAAGCTGGGCAAATCGACAAGGACAAGCCATCAGAACCCAAGCGTAACGAGAAAGGCGACTTCACATACCTCAGCAAGCTGCGAATGCAATTGACCGGTCTGCAAGACGACATGAATGAGTATCTGACCCATCAGATGGAATTGGCCAAGAATAAAAAGCTGAAACAAGCCGATGAACAGCGTATTCGTGGTGAGATAGACAAACTGTTGGACGGTGGCGATGGGGATGATGAGAGCGAAGAGGAGGCTAAGAAGGACACGTAGTAAGAAGCTCAGGTTTGTTACCGTAATTGTGTGAGGATTGGTAGGACGGACAAATGTATAGTAGCTGCTGTTATTGAGTCAAGGTATCATGCTGGCGCAGTACATTAATTTAGGAAGGGACACTAGAGCTCTCGCTGATGAAAAATGCTATGGAGAAAAAGTTCAGCCCCGAAACAATTGAGCTATGGGCCTAACATCAGTATGCAGTATTTAAGTACTGTTTAACATGACTCTAAAGAATAAAGCGAGATGCGTATCATTTGAGAGTACAAATGACAACCGTATACGAATCACTAGCATGGAAATTTCATTGGCCATCGTTAGAGGGCGAAGCCTCAACTTGACTCGATACAACTACCAAAATTGTTGTGGATTAGAATTTTCCTGAGGCTTGAGATGACAGTGCCTCTTCTTATTTTCATTGACCATTGGCCTCAAATGTTAGAATAGCCGCCCATGAGATGATCATCCGCGTGCTTCCTACAGTACGGAATTAACCGCTTCGGAAGACTATATCATGAAGGCTTTAAAATAGACAATTCTCAATTGTCGAAGCATATAGTAGCAGTGCTGATGTATGAGTGCTGGAGTATTACAGCTGTTCAAACTGCGCTTTCGTGTTAAGCGATATAAGAATGTATACTGCAATCTCATCTCATCTCATCTCATCTCATCTGCATTTCGTTCAATCTGTTGAAGGCTAAAAATCCTTCAAAGAAGCTTGAATTCCTCAATAGGTGAATCTCAATTGAGGATGGCTAGCCATTCTGATAAAGAGCAAGAGTTGCATGTCGATACGGAGCCACGGTCCGAATTCGAACCCATTAACGAGAAACGTCTATTGTTCAAAATTGATATATTTGTTCTGTCGTTTGTATGTTTGCAATACTGGATCAATTATGTCGATAGAGTCGGGTTTGCCAATGCATATGTTTCTGGAATGAAAGAAGATCTTGGTCTCAAGGGGGACGAGTTTAATCTGATCAATACATGCTTTACAGTGGGTTACGTTTTAGGCATGATTCCCAACAATTTGATCCTTCTGGTGGTCCAGCCGCGCATTTGGTTGAGTTTTTGCACCTTCGCTTGGGGTGTATTGACATTGTCGATGTACAAAGTCACCAACTTCCGGCAATGCTGTGCCATTCGTTTTTTCCAAGCCGTTTTCGAGAGCTGCACTTTCTCGGGCACACATCTTATTCTCGGGTCATGGTACCGCGAAAATGAACTCACTATCAGATCGGCTATTTTTACTAGTAGCGGACTTGTTGGATCGATCTTCAGCGGCTTTATGCAGGTTGGAATTCACCATTCTCTAGACGGTCACAGAGGATTGCCAGGTTGGAGATGGTTATTCATCGTGGACTTCTTAATTACTATTCCAGTGGCCATTTACGGGTTTGTATTCTTTCCCACGACTCCCGACCATATGACCACGACGTCAAATGGTCCACGTCGATTGTTTTCTGTGCAGGAATTGGAGTTCGCAAAGAGGAGATTGCCGGTGCGCGATGAACGTGCTAAGCTCGATTGGTCTGTTGTGAGACGTGTGCTGGGGAGGTGGCATTGGTGGCTATTCTGCCTTCTGTGGGTTCTCGGAGGTGAGAACATCTCATTGGCATCCAACTCGACATTTGCGCTATGGTTACAGTCGCAAGGATACTCGCTGGCGCAGAAAAACCAATATCCGATGGGGATATTTGCGGTAGGAATTGCTGCTACTTGTGGCGCTGCTGTATATATGGACAAGTTCCGCCGTGCACAACATTGGCACGTTGCCGTCTTTATTGGGGTTGTGATGTGCGTAGTTGCGGTAATGATCCGCGCACAGCCCTCAAATCCTGCCGTGCTTTTTGCTGCTCAATATGTGGGTGGTGTGTGCTATGCAGCCCAAGCTATCTTCTTCAGTTGGGCTAATGTGGTGTGTCAAAGCGACTTACAAGAACGCGCTATCGTTTTGGCTTCGATGAACATGTTTTCTGGCGCTGTCAATGCATGGTGGTCACTAATATTCTACTCAGCAACAATGGCACCTCGTTACGAGCGTGGATGCTACGCTTTGATCGCCACTGCGGTTGCTAGTGGGTTTGTTGCAGGAATTATCCGGTGGTTCCAGCGTCGTGACATGCAGCGCAAATCAGAAGCACTTTGCGAGAACATGAACTATACTGCAGCATTTTCGGAGCCTAAAATGACATCGAGATGATAGAGGTTACCGTGCAATTCGCCGTTATGGGTAATCAAAATGCTTGCTTGGAATAGCGCTGCGATTTGGTCACTTTGTACTAATGGTTTTTTTCTATAGATCTTCAACACACATTGAAATTTAGAAAGCCTAAAACTTATCTTCAAGTGAGCCATCAAGCAGTTATAAGTGTCTTTCCTCGCAGTGTTAAGGCGCTACTTCACCTGATAAGGCCTTGTTAACCAGCAAAATTCGGCGTTCTGCTGCTGCTAGCATTGTGCATAGGGCTGTTGAGAATGGCGTTGAGACCGAAACGGAAAACTGGTGGTGGGTCCCAAAGCTTTGTGGAACGCGGAACTAAGGGTGTAAAAACGCTCTTGGTAGATTCAAAGCGGAAAAGAACACAGGCATTTACTTTTGGATGTATTGCGGCTGTATTGACTGTAGTATGGATGCTACAAGGTTATTTTACACAGAAGACGTACCAGGACCGGTTTTTCCCTGCAATACACGGTCATTATGTGACAGAGATTAGTACGACGCAGCCGCTGATCTTCCCGGCCATCGAAAATGCACCAATGCTCAAGGAATTGAATCTTAGAAACCTTCACACCTTGCGAATCGATGTGGAGGGCAACAAGAAATTCGTTCTTAAGGAAAGCGATAAGCCCGCGACGGAGAAAGAATTGAAAGAGATGACGGACAAGTACGAAATTGTGAAACACAATTATCTGGACCATGGCAAACTCGTGTACCGCAAGGGCTCAGACTCACCAGAAGTTGTGGTCGTCACACTCGTGGACTTCGACAACTACGAGGTTGAAACTCTGCTCCATGTGGTCCAAAACAGAGTCGACTACGCTCAAAGACACCGCTACGGGGTCTACACTCGGTGGGCCCAGGAATTCATTCCAACAATTAACAATCAGGACTTGAAAGAATCCTACGAATTCCTGAAGCCGTTGATGATACGGGCTGCCATGCATGCATTCCCCAGGGCCAAATATTTCTGGTTTTTAGACCAAGACGCGTTGATTATGCGCATGGATCGTTCCTTACAAACGCAACTGCTTGACCAGAAAATTTTGGATCTAGCACTTTTGAAAAACGTTCCTGTTGTCAAGGATTCCAATATCAAGACTTACAACCACTTTGTTACTGAACGTGCTGAGGTGATTATCCCTCAAACCAACGAGGGCCGTTTGGACTCTTCATCGTTCATTTTCAAGTCTGGTATCTACAGTAAAGCACTTCTGGACTACCTGGGTGATCCTTTGGTGCGTGGATACAGTTGGTCAAGTTTTTCCGATAGTATCGCACACGCGTTACAATGGCATCCTAGTTTCTTGGCCAAGACTGCACTAGTCGTACCAAAGACTATTGCCAGTGTCTACGACCCTACCAAGTCGACAACAGAAAAAGCCGGTATCGACGACTTCCACTACATCAAGGGTGATTTCGTAGCCTCGTTCGAGGGTTGCAAGGCCAGAGATTCTTGTGCTCAAGACGTGGAACTCTTTTACCCTCTCGTACAAAAATGATTATCTCCTCTGCATTTACTATAGAAGCTTGACCTTCCCCCGAACAAGGCGAAGACAGGTTAGGCTAAACGTGTCAGATAAATATCGTAAAGTCATAGAGACTGCACGGTTTAGTCATTTTTCAAAAAAGAAGTGTATAAAGCACCAGAATTACGTATTGTACAAGATACAACAAATTTAACTCAATACTAGTTAGTTAGAACATCGACTCGATAATTCGACTGGTCCCAACTCGCATTCTTCGTCTCCTAGTGTTTATTGGGGCAACGCGAAATTCATCTTTCGAAGTTTACGCGACTGGACTTTTTTATAATATTTCCAAACTTGGATGCGTAATTGAGATTCACGAAAACTCACGGAAACGAAATGCGCAGCGGATGAGAAAGCGTGTAAGTCTCACTCGTTACCAAATTGACGTGTTGGACTAGCTTTCTTTGCTAGACTTTAATCTTGTAGTTAGCACTTTATAAAGTTTTCTACCAAGAACACACCTACGGGCATAGTAACGCTTAGGAAACCGGAGCCTAGATGAGTTCGGGTTTGGATGAGTTGAAAGGCTCTGAATGTTCATTCTTAGCGACGCTGCAGCAAATACAGCGGTTGTTGGAACCCAGGCAAGTCAACGTAAGGTCGAGTTGCGACCCGTTGAGCGGGCTAGTTCAGCAAACACAGGCCTTGGCCTCTACTACAATGTCTTTAGTTCAAAAGCATGCTTTACTTGCCCATCAATGGCAAGCTCCTGGCTCTACACACCAAAAGGCGCTAAGCATCTGGCTGGAAGACCATATTTTGCAGAGTCTATACAAGTCTCTCTTAGATGGCGCATTGAGACTGATTTTTGGCACCAGCGCGCTTCTGCGACAGTTCTCCCCAATCTCTGAGTTTGCTCAGCTCACAATGGCTGTGGCTCAAAGATTACAACAGATGGCGCTGTTGTGTAGTCCCCAAAACGTTTCGGTTTTGTCATTTTGCAAATCTTTTGAGAATAGCTTCCTAGCGCAATGGAACAAAGCAGATTCTCAGGACTACCAATATGATAATGTTAGGGACATATTGTCACACGAGCATGCACTAGTAAGCCCGTCGTTGATAGACACTACAAAGTTTGTTAAGCGAGACTATTTCAGACTCACGTTGCCAAAATTCGGGTATCATGACATACTGGTAGAGCTACTTCAACTTTCTAGCGGGGAATTGGCTATTTTCAAAGTCAAAAGCTGTCGGTTGCCGGTCGAGTCTGTTGAGCAGATGTCGCAGCTTTTCGCTATTAGTCAAACTTTCAAGTCTTTGGGCCTTGGTAGGTCCTTGCTATTCCCTTCAATGCGTAAAGACGACTTCTGCATTGTTTCCCGTGCTCATTCTTATATCAAACTGAGCAGTAAAACAGGAAATAATGTGATGGTTTCTTTAACAGCTGTTGATGCATCGCATTGGAAAGCTCATTGGGAGGCCTATTTTGCCCAAATGTTCTCTGGCGTCTCACTCAATGCCAAAGAATTAACCTCCACCACTACGCATGTAACGAAATCTGCTCACCCATTGCAGAATTTCAGAATTAAGCACGATAAGTTGGCTACTCTAAGGCCAGAAAATAATGCAGGGCTTGGTGTTAGCGTGGCTCACAACGTCGCAGTGCCAACATTCGCCACTGAACGCCGCACTAAAACTTTACTTCACAAGTCAAAACCGCTGGACACTTCGCTTTCCTCTCAAATGCCAGCGTTGGATACCTTGGCAGATCTAGAGAATCTGGATTGCGAGTCCTTGCTGCGACTGGACCAAAATATCAGTATTAGTGCGTCTCCGGGTTCGAAATATGTGTCAGATCTCGATGAAGGAAATTTCAAACGAGTCGATTCCGCCACGTCAGTGTCACGAAACGAAGTCTCATCTGGTGAATACATCGAGGACTGCGAGAGTTTCTTGTCATCTCAGGAAGACGAAGAAAAACAGGAAGAACCGTTCGATTTAAGTTCTGAGTTTTACAGGCCACAACTGACGAGGCGAAAATCATCCTCATTGTTAAGCCTTTTCAGTTCCAACAAATCCAAAACGTCGCTCAAGAATTCAAAAAACTTGACACTAGATTTACCCGCCGGCAATTCCACAACAAGCTTACTGGTTCTTCCTACACCAGCTTCTCCCAATTCTATACCTTTGGCATCACCACAACGCGATGAGTTTTGCACCATCCCAGAGGGGATCAATTTGCGAGAAGGATTCCGTATTTGCGACCACAACGTTAAAGTTTCATACTGGCATGTGAACAGCTGGAGAGCCGTATCCAAGGATTACTTGTCCATTAAGCTTCACGAAACTAATGACGGCAAAGTTCTGTGTCTTTTGTCAGGAATGAAAGAACCTCAGAATCTTCATTTATGCGCATTTGTTACGCCCGATTGGAAGGTAACGAGACCTGCTGCACAAGATGTTCAGCTTAGAATACCCAACAAAAGCTTTGCAGCGACCGCACTACCAGCAGGTACATCTGTGATCAGTTTGAGATGTCCTCAGATTGAGAAGCTGCTTAACACATTACTTCACTGCATAAGACAAAATTTGCCATCCCAGATAAAGGCTTCGACCACATGCGGAACAATGTCCGCATCGTCATCCACATTCAGTAGCCTTGACATGCATGTGTCCCGCTCGGACACGACATCGACTGGTCTTTCCTCGATTGCCCAAGATAATTTCAGTCGCAGCAAAGAGCAAACGGTATCGCTCTTACTATTATCTAATGTAAAAGTCAGACTGCATCAGCGGGATATCAAGGAAGGCTGGGTTCTCAAGAGCAAGGGATTGCTGGACGTATATTCAAAGGAAACACAAGGCCATGTCACGGCTTTACGATTCGATATAATTCTGGACCGGACACAGAAGGCTGAGTTCAACAGCAAGCTCAACAACATAAAAAGGATAGGAAGAACTGGAGTATCTCTGATTCATGACTCTGAAGACTATCTCATTGAATTCAAGAATCAAATTGTAGCAAATGAAGTTTACAAGTTAATAACCTGCTTAATATAAGGCCTCATAACCCTTAAACTATGTACAAATACCCCATTATAATGACTATCTATTCTTTGTATGCAACGATAGCTGCAGCATTAGTCTTTCGTCTAACGTCTCTGTAGTCTACGTCGTGAGTATCCTCAACTTCACCCCATCTTTCAACCTGATAGATCGTCTCTAAAGTAGCACACTGCGCAAGTTGCTCCATCGTTTTAGAAAGATCCGAATGAGGAGTTAGCGCCTTGTTTGCAAGAAGCAAAAGGCCACACATGAATGATTTCGTGGTTAGAACGGTATTCTCAAATACGGCTAGGTCCCATAGCGAAAGCGAACCCAAATACTTCAATGCCGCTGCCTTCGTAGCTTCAGATTGGATATTTCCTCTGAGACCGTGGAGATCGGCGTCAAGGATGGCAATCGAAACAGGTTCATTAGAAAATTTGGATAGAAACGTCTCTGCGGCATTGATTATTGGAAGATATAGTTTGTTCTGAGCAGCTCTAAGTGCGCCCTCAAATTCAGCACTAGGGGAAAGGCATAGCAGAGTGTCTGTATCTAGGTAGCGAAGTAAAGTGTCTGATATCTTGGCACGATCTCCGCCAATCTTAGCAACGAGATCAGCATCTGAATCTGGCCTCGATGCGTATTCCAGATCTATGCAACGAGAAACAATCGAGGTAACGGGTAAAGAGTGTGGTTTGATTGACAAGCTGGCCAAATTAGCCCATTCGTTTTCTAGAACTAAAGCCAATAATCTCCGATCTTTCGAGACGGTCAATGCGTTACCCAAAGGCGTTCTGACTGGTTTGCTGTCCAGTGTTATCGTGATGCCACGTTCAGACTCTTGACTAGATACAACGTTCCAGAATTTTTGCAAAGTCTTAGAAACTCTATTGGTTTCTGTTTGCAGATTATTCTCAACACTAGAATCAATACCCAAAGAAGCACTTTTGGCGTAGGAGCGTAGATTCCATAGTTTAATGTCTCGTAGTGCCGGCCTCAAAGTATGACGGAGCATTTTTACAACCTTTCAAAAGGCTATTTGATCAGTTAGTTCGATCAGGTTGGGGCGATGTGATTTACAAATATAATTTATTTTGATATTGAAACTCAAATGCTTCAAAACTTCATCATATCAGAGACGAATCTCACAAGAAGACACTAACTAACTAACAAACCGACATGGCTCAAAATATTGTGCAAGAAATGGCTGCTTCATTGCGGTCGAGCAAAGCGCAGTTGGAAGTTGTAAACGCTCAATTGCTCCAGTTAGACAGACAAAAAAAACTGGCTCAAGTGACAGCCAAAGAATTGGATTCCTATCCTGTGGAACAAGTATGGAGGTCTTGTGGCAAAGCGTTTGTATTGCAAGACAGATCCAAATACACAGAGGACCTTGGTAGCGACGAGAAACTTGTGGAAGAGCAACTCAAAAGTATGAAGATCAAGCAAAACTATTTGCAGACCACCGTGGACAATACCGTGGAGAGCATTAGACGAGTTATAGAACAAAACTAATTGCGTAGCACCACGGTGAGTAGCCCACGATTTTGACTTTATTTATTGGGGGGGCATTCTACACTATTAGAAGGCTTGGCCGACATATCATTACACAGCACTGTAGCCGCCCCTCTGGGACGAAGATGAACGGCCAACGACCTTGTTGAAGATCTCCTTAGTGAACTGTGGTAACGATGAGGCTAAGCTTGTTGACCGGTCAACGAACTCTTCGCGGAACTCACGGAAGTTCCCACCTCTAGTGCTCATATAGGATGTAGCGAGTAGATATATCAATGCAAATAACAGGGCGTAGGTCACAAGCCATAGAAACCATGATCCAATACTGGAGCCTCTCTTTTTGTCGGGCTTACCGTGTTTGTCGCCGTCGTTGTCGCCGTTATTGCCACCTCCATTACTATCGCCCCCGTCTTCTTTGTCGTCTCTCTTTTTCAGGCAACCTGCCTTTCCTTTAACAAGCATTTGAACTTTACGACCTTCCCATGTCAACGACGTCACCTCGTTTGAATCCGCCTCAGGAACACAGATAAACGTCAGAGCAGCATCAACAGAGTTTGACCCCCATTTTGCATCCTTCAGTTCCACAACAAGCTCTTGTTTATCATTTTCACTGACCGCTGATGAAACAGACTCTGGGAAGTCAATCAGCTGCGTGAGTATTGTTTTCTCGTCGTCATTATCCTTCACGATGACCTTTGTCTCCCCACACAGAACATCACCTCGTTGACATGCACTGGAAGGTAGTTCCGCATTTACGTGGCAAAGGTCCATCCACCAGCTATCAACCGTGGTGCTGGGTGGTGTATCCCTGCGGGAGGAGTATGCGATAGCGGATTCGTCAACTCTATATTTCTTGAGAATCTCATTGTCAGAGCATTTGAAACCGTACGCTACTTGTGCAGCGATCCATCCAAGTGATAAATGGTATGAGAGCTTCATAGCACTGGTTAACCGATAAAATGTGTTGTTTCGCAACTTTGAAGGGTTTATTCTGATCAAAAACAACTTAACGATACTAAAAATATGGATGTCGTTGAATGTGACGCTTAGAGATGAATAAGATGAACGTGAAATGGAATAGGATGTGTATTATATGTGGGTATGAAGGCTGATGTCTCATAACGTTGATTGCGCTCAATTGTGCTCATACGATTGGTTCGCGCTTTCCTCATTTACAAGCATGTTTAGAGAAACAAGAACTCGGTACGCTGTCGTGCGTTCGCTTTGAAAACGAGATTTGAAGAGCTTTTGAGAACTGGAAGGGAAGTACGATTTTCAAGGAAGCATGTTAAAAATAATTCAGCTTGCTTTTGTTTCTTCATTTAATAACTTCGTCCAACAAGTTATGAGGTTCTTTGAAGGTTGGCAAGGAGCTAAAGTAGTTATTGCCTTGTTTGAAGTCCGTCGACTAGAGCGAGATCAGAGCCAGAAATGAGTGAAGTACAGTTGTAGCGGCAACGTCTAGGCTACTGGTGACTGGAAAGTCCAGACTGTTCGGCGCTCCGGTCCATTGATATCACTTTGTACTATTTTGTCACCACACACATCTCAGCAACTCTCACCTTGCTTGGCGATGCTTCTTTGTTTCCAATCAGAGAGTTACCACCTAGTACTTTGCAGCAACGCCTCTTGCAACCTAAATCACCAAAAGCGTGCTGTGGAAGGATCTTCGCACAAGTGGACGACACAGACGTGGAGAGCGACAGCTATATTTCTAACATGCTAGGTAATTCACGCTATAGTCCCGGTTCAATCCCCGCAAATTGCTGGTCCGGAGACGATCGAAAACGTGTTGAGCCGCGCTTGGGGGTTAGCAAACCCGTAAGAGTCAAAGACTATGCTCTCACGCCCAAAAGTCAAAGACTACGCTCTCACACCCGATAGCCAATATTTCAAGGCGCTGACTTCCCCCAAGACACAGAAAGAGCCTTTCACAAAATTATCAGTACACCTGCCTGTGGTCAACAACTTTGATGAAGCTCAAATCGAAACACACGACTGCCCTACGCTATGTTACTATTAAAGTTACATTGGCTGACACATCCGCCATCTCCTTGGACTGCTATTTTAAACCCGTACATCTTCAGAATCGTGAAAAAATAAAACAAGATTATTTATTTTTCTGATTTTTTGAAATTTCACTCGAAAAATATTGAAAGCTTTCGAAATACGCAAAAAAGTTGCGTCCCTCTCTTTATGAGATCGTCGCTGGGCTCAGAATCTTGACGGGAACAACCATGCGCTAGGCAGAGCAACCTTCCCACCAGCCTGGAGTTTCCAAGCTCACCTTCCAATGCTAGGCAGAGACTCTGTGCCTAGCCCTCTCTGGCTTAGCGTACTCTCGTTCCAGCTCTGCCTAGCCCTGCCTAGCGCTCTCTGGCCTGTCCGCCTAGCTCCCTACCGCTTCGACCACCACTTCGTCAATTCTCTCAAAACAAACCGAATTTCAACACCGTTTACCAATCTGCCTATAGCTTCCCATATTCAAACCCTCCCAAGACATCCCAAAAATGGCTAGATACGGTGCTACTTCGACTAACCCAGCCAAGTCAGCCGCTGCGCGTGGCTCGTACTTGCGTGTCTCGTTCAAGAACACCCGTGAGACCGCTCAAGCGATCAACGGATGGGGCTTGGAAAAGGCTCAACACTATTTGGAACAAGTGTTGGACCACCAAAGAGCCATCCCATTCAGAAGATTCAACTCCTCTATCGGTAGAACCGCCCAGGGTAAGGAGTTTGGTGTGACCAAGGCCAGATGGCCCGCCAAGTCCGTCAAGTTCGTCCAGGACTTGTTGCAGAACGCTGCTTCCAACGCCGAGGTATGTGCGAAAATCGCGTGATTCCGTTATGATATGATATGATTTGATATCGGAGAGTATGCAGCTACCGTGGTATTGTGGCGAAATTGAGAGCACCGTGTGTTTCTCTTCGACGATACGTTTTCTCAGCCTTCCAGTTGAGAGCTTTGATACGATCTTCCACAAATCACATTTGAAGTCTTACCAGACTTATCAAACTTCCCATCTCCAATATCATCTTATCTTCAACTCATCTTTTCTCCCTACTAACATTTTCCCACCACAGGCTAAGGGTTTGGACGCTACCAAGCTTTTTGTTTCCCACATCCAGGTCAACAAGGCCCCAAAGCAAAGAAGAAGAACCTTCAGAGCTCATGGTAGAATTAACAAGTACGAATCGAGCCCATCCCACATCGAGCTTGTTCTAACCGAAAAGGAAGAAGCCGTTGAGAAGGCTGCTGAAAAGAAGGTTGTCAGATTGTCCTCTAGACAAAGAGGTAGATTGGCCGAACAAAAGCGTATCTCCGCTTAAGAAATTGGCTAATGCTCACTCATAAGCACTTTAACCTACCAAATCTCTTCTGTATAATCTAACGCAACAAATATTGTACCGCTAGTTTTTGTTTTTGCATCCGGACGGAGAAAGTTAGCTGATTTAAATTTGTACACTACCTATTTGAATTTGATACATTTTCTTTTATATCTTTACTCCATTCTCAACTCTCATCTCTCCGTAGCCACTGAGGTTGGCCACGTAAATGCATATCATCAATACTAAACCATGTAAACCGAGACAGTAAAACATGAATAACATTCGACTAGTTTTGTTGGCCAATACTATCTTGGCGAAGCTTGAAAACAATTTCTCCAATGGAGAAATGCCCGTTTTCTTAAACCGGTCCAGCTCTTGCTGCCTAAATTCCGCCAACGGATGTAAGGATTCGTTGTAGGTTCGAGAGTATGCATTGTCATCCTCCATATTGTCTCTCTTAGATCCGTACGAAGACAGGTACCTTACACGCTCGTACAACTTAGTGTTGTCGGCTTTGAACTTCTCCAACTCCGTCCGCAAGTGGCCTTGATTCAAATTGGTTTGTCTCAATTTCTTTTCAAGCTCTGTGGTTTTGGCACGTAGTCTATCTCTCTGCTGCGTAACAATGGGCAAAATTGTGGAGTTCCCATTGGAAACTGTTTGAAGCTCGTTTTCTTCTGGAATCCCTACGATTGAGCTCGTTGGTGACAATTTACCACCTGGCCTGGTAGAGGTTCCAACTCGGTTCATTTGTCGCGTCACTCCCGACATCATACTCACTGTGTCATTTATAACACTCACATTATCAACTTTCTCTAAGTCCAGCTCTAGCTTCGTGTTCAAACTTTCCAGATGCTTCACTTGATCTGTCAACCTTTTAACTTCCTTGCTCAACTGTGTCGCTTCCTTCTCCATTCCGCTGAACTTTCCTCGCAGTTCGGCCAACTTTGACTGTAGTTTTTTATTGGCACTTAGAAGCGCAGAATCCACATTACCACTTTCATCGTCAGATGCTCCAAACTCGATTTTCTTTAATGCTGATAATTCTTGCTTAATAGTATCGTAGTCTGCGTAAACGTTTAATTTACGGATCTTTTTATCGAGTTCATCTTGGGAAGTGGCCAATTGCTGCTCTAGAGCTTTTATGCTCCCCTGTTTAGCTCTCATCTCTGCTTTAATCGAATTCCGTTCACGCTCCAGGGAGGCGCTGAGTAGTGCGTTTTCTGATTCCAACTCGTTGATTTTCAAATTTTTGGCATTCATTTCAGACTCTCGCTCTTCTTCACTTGTTGCTTTCGCTAGGGCTCCGCTCAATTCCTCGTTTCTTCTCTCCAGATCAATTACTCTAGCTTGTGACGATTGAATTTCTTGAGACAGCAATTGGTGCTCGGCCGATTGGCGTTCACTTATCTCAGCAACATCACCATTACCGTCAACCGTTTGCGTCAGTTTGGTCTCTAGTATTTTATTAGTATCCTTATAGCTTTCCAATTGACGAGCTAGTTCTTTTTCACGTTCTTTCCAGTTTCTCTCTTTCTCCTGAAACTGCGAGTTTAACTCTTGCTCTTTAGCTGAGAGTCTCTTGGTTAAGGTTTTAGCTGAGTTTTGTTCTAGATCCAGAAGGCGTGCGCGGATTTTATCGTAATCTGCGTATTTCGAAATCTTGTTCTGTAATTCCTCTATGGTGCTATTCAAATTCTGAACATCGTCGATCCTTTCCGACTGCTGTACGAATGCCTCTAAGAGTGGCTGCGGGTCTGGTGTTTCTGATAGCTTTGAGTATAAGTTGTAGATCACTTCCTCCGAGAATTTCGACCTAGAGGTAAGGCTGTCCACTTCTTGCTGATAACTTTTGATCATTTTGTTCACTTGTCCTAATTTTTCATCGCCATCAAGTTTCTTGAACTGCTTGGTTTCACTCGCTAGTGCTTTACGTGAAATTAACGATTTAGACTCCAGTTCCTTGACTGTAAGGACACTATCGTCAAGCTGTTTTTGCAACTCTGGCAGGTTAGCTATCGACCATAAATCAACTGCATGTTGAAAGACTGAGTCATCAATCATCTTGCTCAGTGGATATAGAAGCTCTGAATGAGCCCAACTCTCCTCGGTCTATCCTTTCTACTTTCAATATCAGTATTTCTAGGCTGGGTTCTTTCAAGTTTCAAATGCATAGCCAACTTAATTGACTAGCACTGCATACGAACATATCGTCATCAAAGCTTCTAAAGCTTGCGGTGGCCTGTAGATAGTTTACGTTGCCGCCCGCAAATTGTTATACTGATTAGATGCTTTCGACACATAAGTATGACACCCGTAATAGGTCTATATTTTTACTTTCTCATCGAACTTTTCAATTATCCATCGTTCAAGTTTGATGATATGAGAAAACTAAGCCTAAACAACCTTTACAGACACATTCTTGAAGACTTAGTAGATCTATTCACTCACTTGTAACTCGTAATCATTGTTCTACTAAATGTATCAAAAATGTATCAAAACATATTTGTTTTCCGGTGAGTTGATTGTTGTTGAACGGGATTGATCTAATACCTCCGGATTCGGCTTAGAAAATGAAAGGTCTGCAGTTTAGAAAACGATCAAGTGGATATTTTATAGTTTGAGTTCGAATGGGATGAACTACGCTTGATATTGCACCTTTGAGAAGGCCAGCATTTGACACTTTATTGTTGCGTGCAGTAAGCATGAGGTGCCACTAAATGACAAAGTGATGAAAAAGTTCAGAGGAGTAGGGGAGAGTGCAATGGTAGATATACAACAGCAACGATAAGTGTTCCGACTTTTCTACATCTTGTTCCGATCCGAAGGTTTCTTCTACGAGTTTAATCACAGCTGGGGTCAAAAAGCCCGTATTGTAATTGTTCTTTAGTTTTCAAAATTTAAATTGTCGAACTACCAAACATAACCGAACAATGAGTGAGGCCAAACGAAGACGTACAGTAACCGATCATGATAGGCTCATGAGCTGCCTTAGAGTATCTTATGATAAGTAGTACTGACGTACTTTATGTTCCGGAAAAAAGAGCTGCTGGTGTCATCTTATGGAGATACTATGCTACCACAAGACTATGAAGAATATCCTCAATTGGCCTTGTTCTATTACTCCTTTATGGTCAATCAAAACACCATATCAGCGGCTCGTTGAGAACTAATTTTTGAGCGGCCACAGCCCTACGTAATACTTAAGACCATAGTGAAGCGATTGGAATGCCACGACTTCGTTCTGCGCAATAATTGTAAGTGGCTCCCTGCCAGTATAAAGAACGACATTGGGCCATCGTTGACCTGCCCCAATAATGAGATAGTCGAGCAAATTACTCCTTTCCTTGATCCAAGGAAAAGGGGAAGGCGTTGACTTCACTTGGGAACTAAGAGAGAAGCTAGGGGCTTCTTCAGTAGAAACACAGATCGGAAGGCTGCGCTGTCTGATTTTCCGCGTAGGTCGAGGCTTGACTTGAGAATTAGCTGTAGTCAGTGGTTCGCTAATACAATAGACGTTGAACGAGCTGCTAGAGCTTTCCGAAAAGTCCGGCTCTATCATGAGCTAAGTATTGTAGGAGCAGACGAGCATCTCCCCATAGCAAACTCCGAGGGTGGTCAAGAAAATGCTGAGGGAACTAGTGCGCAAGAACAAGAGCGAAAACAACAACATACTAAAGAGGAAATGGCAGAGTACCTGGCTGTTTTAGGCGAGCGCGCTTACCTATTACACCACTTTCTGGGACGAGCATCACTCCATGACAAACTTCGACGGTGGTCAAGATAACACTGAAGGAAGTAGTGCATAAACGCAAGAGCAAGAACAACAATACGCAGATGAGGAAATAGCAGGGCAACCGGCCGAAGCAGAGGTGAGCGCGCTTACCGATTACACCTCTTTTTGGGACCAGCTCTTCCAATTGGAAAAGACACGGCTTGTTCCTGGAGACGATGAACACCAACGCCTCAAAGATCTTGCTAGCTACCTCCTGAGGAACGCTGGCGTCTCTGAGAAATTCAAAAAGAACAAACTTCTTGCGAAAAATGAGGTTTACGCTCTCGTCAGGCAGTTAATGTTTTCTGAGGGACGCTTGAAAGTTAATAGAGGCATCCAATGTATGTCAAATGAGATTGTGAAGGCGAGCCTCTTTTATGGTCCATGTAAATGAATAAAGTCTGTTTCGGTGTCTTTGGCAACACGGCCAAAGGAGAACGCAGCATATGACATTGATATTAGCCTTAAATGCTTACTGAGCTTTAAGGGCACTAAGGACACCAAGGATTGCATGGAAAGATAATATTAGGTGTGAGGAAATAAATACTATCATATGATGCCCTAATTATGAAAACCAGACAAAGAGAGCAAGGAAAGCATATCGACTGAGGTGCTACAGAGGTCAATGAGACTACAATCCATTATGTATGATTTTGGCATGGACAGGGTTCCCCTGCGCGCTTTCACGTGAGAATGATGGGCGATAAAATGGTAAAGAACGCCAGAAAAAAATTACGTTTAGTCATGAGCGACGAGAACAGTAAGGAATAAGCTAATTACTGGCTTGAAAGCATTGTTGTGTGCGCTAGCGTGGTGCTAAGTGTTTCACCGAAAAGCTCTTTGATGCAGTTGTTGCGATTATACATTTGATACCACTGATGCCGCGACCAAGAAGATGTTGCGGGAGGAATTCCAAAGAAAAGCATCTTAGAAATCAACACTAGTGATACAGAATTTTAAGAACAAATACTTATAAGTACCCCACTGTCGAGGATTTTTAATGATTACAAAGGGCCCAAGCCCCCATTCACAAACTATGACGTGGTTTGATTGAGATTTTTTCTCATGCTTGGAATTTATAACAAATGCTAACATGATGACGTCGAGAGTATCAATGACAGTTCAACTGACGCTCTAACCCAATGTTTTTGATTTTTTGATTTTTTACCCTTTTTCCTTTTAGCCAGACCAGTAGCGGTACGCCTGAGGCGCATCTACTGACACCGGCTTGACAAAAGGATCGTTTACGCTGTCGACAGATTTTTGCGCTTGATCGCGCGGCGTCCCTTCAAGCCCCGGTGTCGACGACATACCTTTGCCCAAACTTGTGCGGGCCGGTTTGCTCTGCATATCCTTTAAGTCGTTCAGGTGCGCCTGCAGTTTCTCTTTATCGTCATGGTCATCGAGACACTGTTGCAGCTTTGCAGCTAAGGAGTTTGTATTTTTAGCCATCGAGAGCCGCTGTATGAAAACATCTTCTTGCTGCTTCTGTAAAGCTTTCTTCTCCATTTCTAAGGATTTTTCCATTGTTCCTAACAATTTTAATTTTAAATGTACTTTCTTTAATTGAGTTTGAATCATCTCATTAGCCAAAGCATTCATCTGTCTTTCCTCATTCGTAGCAAAAACGTGTGATCTCGTGCCAAGCGAAGCTAGCGCAATTTCACTGCCCTCCTTGATGTAGTGCTCTTTTCCTAAGATGGATTTTTCGTTTTCCTGCTTCACGGAATCTATGGCGCGGTCTGTCATTTTCTTTACAATCTCAGGATCGACTAGGCCTACCAAAAATGCAATGGTCGACATTACAGGATTATCGGCTTTTGAGAAAGGGAGATGAGGCGCATATTTTAATGGCCCCAGCTCATCGCTTGTTTGAGATTGCAAGAAAGCGTCCTCAATAGGAAGCTGTAAAAATCTTAATATGCACTGTTCTGCAGTCTTATTACCAACGTAATGGGCAACTTTTTGCCAATCGCTCTTGAAATTTTGTAACCCTTCGAGTAACTTCTCGACATCCTGTTTCGTCCAATCTTTATCAACCGCGTCAAGTACATTGGGTCGTTGAAGTTTCGATTTATTTTTGGGGGACTCAGTGCTCTCCTCCAATTGACGCTTTTTATCATCCTGATATAAGGTCCCAGCAGTTTGCACAGAGTTTTCGGCCGTATAATCGCCGTTGTGTGTGTCTATCTGATGCATTAATTTCTTCAATCGTGATAAATCCGGAATCTGAATAGCAGGCTTATAGCTTTCGAAAGGAAAGAGTCCTCGAGGCGCGTCATGTTTCGTGACATAATCGCCGGTAAATGGCGGTTCCACTTGCGTAGGCTTAGTCTTTGCATTGACCTGATAATTAATTAAACCCCATTTAGAGAGGAATTTGTGAAGTCTTAGGATGGCGCCAGCGTCACCGCATAAATTCCGTCTTGCAGCAGTCATTGTAAAAAACTCGTTTGGGTTCAAACGGTATGAATTGATCATGAAATTACGGTACTTGACATAGACTTGCGGTGTCTTTGATGGAATTCGATTAGTGAAAAACTCTGGTAGAGATTGCTTTTCTATGGAATGAATTTTTTGTAAATGAAACCAACGTGCATATGAGGGTATCACAATCTCGTGGGATTGAGGAACGCTCAACTCGGAAGGCTCATTTGGGACTGTTTCGATAGTTGCTGTTTGCAGCGGGAGGGCTTCTTTTTTAACGACAGTATTTTGTGCTGACTGTTCATAGGCTTGGGAAAATTCTTCCGTGTCACCTGTGGTGTGTGACAAAGTCGGGCCCTCTGTTCGTTCCAGCAGATCGCCCTCGTCGGGGTTTGTGGTCGAGTTTTGTTCAAAATGATCTTCTTGATTCGCTGAGTCTGAAGTCATATCCACTTCTGCCGTATCTGCCTGTTCTGTGGATTCGTTGGTTTCAACTAGCTGCTGCACATGCTTTTCTTGTTCTTGGGACTCAGTTTCTTGAGGAGCTTGCTCATTGAAAATTTCTGTATCGTATAAATCTTCTTGGGGTTCCTGAACCTTCGCTGGCTCCGCCTCGATAAGCTTCTCCTGCTTTCGCATCATATCTTGAGTGTTTTCGGCAATATAGTTGTCTTGCTCTAGTGCCACATCTTGAGCAATTTCGGCCACAGACTTCTCTTGATCTAATGCAATGTCTTGGGCACTTTCATCCATAGACTTCTCTTTCTCTGGTGCAGAATCTTGCATATTTTCGTCCATGGACTTCTCTTGCTGTAGTGCAATATCTTGGGTATTTGCGCCCATAGACTTCTCTTGCTCTAGTGGTGTATCTTGAGTATCTTCGGTAGTAGACTTCTCTTGCTCGAATGCAATGTCTTCATTATTTTCGTCCATAGACTTCTCTTCCTCTAGTGAAAAACCTTGAGTCTTCTCGTCCCCAGACTTCTCTTGCTCTAGCGTCATACTTTGAGGATTTTCTGCGACAGAAATAATGTGAGCATCACTAGACGCTTCTTCGGGCAGTGGTAAGCTTTGAGGAGCACCCGAATCTAATGATTTCGAGTCAAGCATACTCGGACTTTCGGAATCAGCTCCAGTATCTTTAATTTCTGACTCACCCGATTCCATCTTTTTTGGTCCGCTATTATCAATGTCCTTCTCGACCCCAGGATTTTCGTAAAATTTATCGGTTGTTTCGCTCGTTTTCGGGTCCAAACCGCCGATTTCGTTATTCCTGACTTCCTCCATTGTCATTGACGCCCTAAACACCAGATTGGCCCCGTTGTGCAAGCTTTTTCTTGGTTTTATTGTTAAGCAGCGACTTTTTTAGTTAGTTGACATCTGAAGTTTTAAAAGGTTATATTCGTTTATCGTGACATTTGGTAACATCCAAACATCAAAATATCCAGAGGCTTTCGGTAGTTGGTTCCAGCTCGAAATTTCAATTCTGAGTAATTGAGTCGTTCATTCGCAGGTTCTATGTACCTGCTATGTTCAATCACAACTGCTCTGCTGCCATCCCATAGAAACCATTGATTGGAATCTGTTGCGCTTGACTGAAAAAGATGAATGAGCAAGCACGCTGAAAGATAGCTCCTGGCGAGATAAAACAGCACTCTTTTCCCCGTCTGCTTTGCTCGAATGATGTCTTCGTAAAAAATAAACGCGTTACTTTTTAGGACTAGCACAGGCTGACATCGAATTAGCGAGAGCGGTGAGGGAGATCAGCGGAATCACATTAAACACCAATTAAACGCGAAAACGGCACCATATTTATTGATAAGGCTTACAGTTTGGTTTCCATTTATTGACAAAAAGCCTCAGCACACTTCGACAGTTTCTTGCAGCTGCCAATCGAATAGATTGATGTCTCTTAAAGGGGTTCTCCTGAAGGCATATTTTGAAGATATTAAGCTGAAGTAAAAACCACAATTTGAAGAAGTGGCTGGTGTCATATAGCTCCTCATGGGAAACTTTACTCTACATCGTCTTCACAAGCGGTCTAATTACAATGCCAGGCTTTGCTGCAATCTTTAAACGAAAGGATGAATTCCGCGTCAAGCCCGAATGGGCAAACCTCGGTGCACTAAACTCAATGGAAGGTGCTAAATAGCTAAGGTGAGGCGTTCATGGCAACTTAATTGAGAAAACTACTCCGCTTGCTCATTTGCAGAGAGTTGTCACTCTGTACTTAAATGTCACCAAGTCAAAAATATATTATGTGACCAGAGATCCATTGCGGTTAGAACTGCCCGTCAGTTCCGTTACTGGGCTGCCCTTCAGAGCTCATCCCACCACATAGGCCAAACTGAAAGGGGGAGGGGTTAACGAGTATGCTTAACTACCTGTCTCCGCCGCAATTAGAGCGTCGTCACGATACCCTAAGGTACATTTTCAACTCAGTCGCAATACCTGACCCATTATTAAATGCTTGAGATTCCTTCTTGAAAAGCAGTTATACTCGCCTGAGCCACGAAAGTAACGTAGCGGGTGGTGAAGACATCTTGCGTATAGAGTGATATATGTATCACTAGAAGTTGAATACATCAGAGCACCGCGCGCACATTACAGTATCTGCCACATATACTTACATGGTCCATCTTTATGCTTACCGTTCGGATTCCGGTATGAATGTATGTTTAGGCCTGTTTTCTTGTGATGTCGTGCACTGTGATCATATCTCGAGGCTTCGTTGAGATCTGGGAAATCTTATAGATCTTCGAAAAGCATTCTTTCTCAGCTTAAAATACACACAGCATAAAAAAAATCCATTCAAGCTCTACTATTGTATAAAGAAAACCTAGGACCAAGGATGCGATTTACTTTGTTGTGGGCGTTTTTGTTGTCGTTCGCAGTGGCTAACATAGCTCTGGAGAAGCCAACACAGGGTCAAACTTTCTCACCAAGCGGTGGAAAATTATCGATCGATGTGCAGTGGCACGATGATGGCAAGCAGCCAACGATAGATAAGTTTGAATACTACACTGTATTACTGTGTTACGGCTCCAATTCGGAAGTTAAATGTATCAAGCAAACCAACCCTTTTACTGTACAGGCAGCGGATGTGACCAAGGACGGCGACGAATATTCGGTTACGGCAACATTTGACAGCACTATTGCCGGAAACGGTCAGTATTACCTACAGCTTTACGGTTTCATCAGCGATGACGGTGGAAATTTGATGCAAAGTATTCAATACTCGCCTCGTTTCCTCTTGAGCTCCATGGCCGGAACCATCACTCCTACCGTATCCACAACGTCACAGCCAGCTAATCAGGTACAATACAACACGGAAACCAATAAAGCAACCGGCGACATATCCAAATCTTTCACAATTCCATATACTGAACAAACGGGTCCCACGAGATATGCTCCAATGCAAATGCAACCAAGCGGTTCTGTAACAGCCACAACTTGGACGAGAAGGTTTGCAACAAGTTCAGTGACCTATTATTCAACGTTCTATCCATCTCAGGAACAAGTTAGTACTATTACCCCTGGATGGTCCTACACTATCACCAGTGCGGTAAACTGGGCAACCCCCCAGCCATACCCAAGTCAAAATGGTGCCTGGTATGACCCAAAATCCAGACAGAGCCTAACTACAAGAAAGCTGAATCAGAGCAACTTCAAGTCCTCAAGTGCTTAAGGGTTCGAACTCATATGTTAAAATAAATCAAAAATGACAAAAGCGGTAAAAACTGTGTAATTTGGCAATTCTATAGGTAAAGTAGAGCACAATAAAGCCTGGGACGCATTCGCCAGTAGGGCGTATTATAAATTTTCAAAACATTCAACATTACAAAACGCGAAATGCACGCATTTATTTCATTGTTTTAATATTGTACATATACTTGAGCAATCCCTAAGTCAATTCTGGGAATTTGCTTGCGAGCTGTTGAAGGGCCACGACGCCTGCTACGCTCATCTCCTCTCCAGCGGGAAAAATGCACTTCACGGAATCGAGGACTAAAAAACCAACGTCTCCAGAGTCGTTGCTGCGACAAACAAACTCGTACCACTCTTGTGGCTCATAATTCACATTTGTAGAGGTTCTGACATTGGTCAAACTCACCATTTCGCCACCTGTGGTGGGACTCGCAATGATTATCTGGTCTCGTTGAGGTTGCGCAGTAACTTGTCCAATGATGCGGAAAACCGGTGAAGGAAGCTGACCGAGCTGCTGAGGATCTACACGGGGCGTTAAACTAGACATATGTAAGGATGAGGCCAGTGCTGATATGGGAGGAAGAGTAGAGACAGATTACTGAGACTTATTAATCCAAATTAAATAAGTCGCGTGAAGTGGCGATTAATTGATTTTCTGAATAACTTCGCGTACTTGTCGTGTCACGAAACATAAAAAGATAACAGGTATAAGAAGCTCAAGATCCCTTCTTAGATGCTATTCAACGCTGGCCTAAATTGATTCGGAGCTCCTCCGCCTTGCCCCCTTTTTAAATGGACTTGATAGATAGATGAGTTTGAATGCTCAGATTGTCCATGTTAACACTCAGCTTTTTGAAAGTACCAGTGCCACATGGTACGCACTGAAGTCAAGGACTCTACGGGTCAATCAACCTAAAAGAAAGATTGTTTCATGATTTGGCAACTGGGAAATCCTCCTCCACATTGCCCACTAGGCACGACGATATCTCACTTCTGCTCATTGCCTGATGAGAGACAAGTTATAACAAACTCATACTACGATGGCGCGCCAAAAATATGATGTTTCACTGCCAGGACCACTAGACAAGAATCATCAGAATGAAGGGCGTTCGAGAAGCCCCTATATGGCCACTACATTCTACTCCAGACTTGAAAGTGAATAAAAATTGAGCCTTGAGGGTTGATGCCCACATCTCATGGCTCACTTTTTCAACGCGGAATCGTCGTATATGTGAGAGAACTTGGGCAATGCTTCATAATTTGATGTTCAGGAAACTCCAAATGCTGCGTTTTGTTTACCGCAAATGCAAGAGCTACCGTGTCATCGCGAACCTTTTGTGAGGTTGTTATTCTCAGAAATGCACTACATGCAAAGTTTGACGGCTAGTGTCGAGGACTTTCCGCTTGTAGAGACAGCTGAAGCTGCAAATTTAGATTTCCACGACATCACTACTGCATCACTACTGCAGTTCTCCTCGAGCAAGTTTTCTTTTCAATGCCCAAATTCATGGTAGCGTTAGTGAAATCTAAAACTTCAGTTGAAAGGCAGAATCTACATTGGTAGACGCAACTTGCAAACTACAATCGCGGTCTTCAAAAACTCACTCTTCCACTTGTCAAAATCGAAGCTGATGGCTTTCACGACAAGATTTTGTGCTAAAACGAGTAATTTGACAATCCCTCAAGGTACTTGACAAAAAGCTACGTTCTTTGCTTGCCAATTTGAGCCATCCGAGGCATGGATGCGCATCCCTTTCAAAGCCTGTCTCAATTCATCCCATTGCTGAAAATTTGGCCTTTAGTGTAAGCATGGATTTAAGCGTCCGCATGTCGAAAACGTTACGTTGCTGAATAACACTGGCATGTACGTGGAGTCAACAAAACCACCAGAACGACCAGCGCCAACAATGATTAGTCTGAACAAACCGACCGAGATTTGCAAGGTGCAAATCCCATCGTCTCGTGAGGCATTCTTCTTATCTCCGTGAAGAACTGTGTTGTTATCTGCGGGACCAGACTACCTCTTCGGGAAACGTCTTCTTTATCGATCATTTGGGACGCATATTGGATAGATATATAAAGTTCATGGTCAATGATTGGGAGATTTGCAGGGTGTATTAGGGAATGGTCTAACGTTGCATTAACTAATTGACGTGAAATTATCGAGGCTTCAGCTGATAAATTTTACCTTTCGAAAGTAGTTCAAGGTAAAATATTGCGGTTCTGCTGCTATGCGCTCCGAATATGAAAGGATTTCGGTTCCCAAAAACAATTGGTTGGACCTGAAAAAGACAGTTTTGCTAGGTATCGGCACCTTGGCAATCGGTGCCGCAGTTTGGAAACCGAGCACTAATTTGGAAGCACCCTTCGTGTTTCAGAAGGGTGCAAGATGCGGGAAAATCGATGCTGTGGTCCCGGAGTTTAATAAATCTATCGAGATTATCTTCAAAGACCCGGACTTTCGCCAGGAATCGCTAGGTAAGTTCAGTGGTGCCCTGCAGATTTCCACAGAAATCCAGGACACAAATCCACCCCCCGACGAAGACCTGGACTACTACAGCCAATTCTTCAAATTTCATGCGTACTTGGTTGAAACCTTCCCCTTGGTGCATAAACATTTGAAACTCGAGAAAGTCAATCACGTCGGCCTTCTCTATACCTGGCAAGGCTCGGATGATTCCTTGAAACCCATGATGTTGACTGCGCACCAAGATGTGGTCCCTGTAAATCCCAACACTGTGAGTGACTGGACTTTTCCCCCATATTCTGGGCACTATGATAATACAACTGATTTTGTTTGGGGGCGTGGATCTGTGGACTGCAAAAACCTGTTAATCGGAGAGCTCGAAGCCATCGAGCAGCTTCTGAGAGACGGATTTGAACCCACAAGATCGGTTATCGTTGCCCTAGGGTTTGATGAGGAATCATCTGGAATCCTTGGCGCTCGCCATTTGGGAGAATTTTTATACGAAAGATACGGCGATAACGGGATCTACTCTATTGTTGACGAAGGCGGTGGAGTTATGCCAATTGGAGAAAATACTTTCGCTGCAACTCCTATTACTGGCGAGAAGGGTTACGTAGACGTTGAAATCACTATTCATGGCGTTGGTGGTCATTCTTCAGCACCACCTGACCATACTACTATTGGTGTTGCGGCTAATTTGATTAATTCGATCGAATCCAACCCCTTTGCACCCACTTTCACAACGGATAATCCGTTCTACGGGCTTTTGACTTGTGTTGCCGAACATGGGAACCTTATACCAGATAGTATCAAAAAGGCTATTCTAGAAGCTCCATCCGACTCCGAGCAAAGACGCAAAATGATAGACTTTATTAGCGGGACGCGAAGTTTGCGAGAACTTCTACGCACCTCTCAAGCTATAGATATTATCAATGGCGGCGTCAAGGCAAATGCCCTTCCAGAGGTAACTTCTTTCTTAATGAACCATCGCATCGACATCAATTCTTCAGTTAACAAGACGGTGGAAAGAGATGTAGAATTGGTAAAAGAATTCGCTCAACAGTTTCACTTTGGTGTCTTTTTTGCTGGGAAAGAGTTGATCGCGCCGACGGAACTCGGCTTTATCGAGATCGAGGCAAAGAAAGGTCTGGAACCTGCTCCCCTAAGCCCAGTGACAAATTCCCCAGTATGGGATCTTTTCGCAGGTACTATACAGAACGTTTTTGAGAATGGTCATTTCAAGGAAAAGCCTGAGACTGAGCTCTATGTCACGCAAGCGTTAATTACAGGAAACACTGACACAAAATACTATTGGCGCTTGACTGAGAACATTTACAGGTTTATGGCCATGGTGATGAGTGAAGATACAATGAGAACGATCCATTCAGTCAACGAACATATTTCAATGTCGGGGCATTTGTCCACCATTGCTTTCATTTATGAGTACATCGTCAATGTCAACGAGAAGTCGTGAGAGAGAGAGACAACATTTCTAAGAGAAGGCAATTTATATAATAAAGAATCGAGAAGTTTGCACTTCAATGTCTTGTAAAAACACCTTGCTCTTGCTAAGTAACTGCGGCGCGATAAGTGTACGCGGGGCCTACCCTCACGTCTCAATAGATGAAAAACGCATATACGTGTATAACAAACACTAAGTAGGTTACATGCCTGTTATTACTATTATTTCAGGCCCGATTACTCTGTCGAGGCAAAGGTGGACTTGTCAGTTCACAGATTGTTTACTTGAAGCTCGGTGTACGTCAAGTTTTTCTCCTCGGAGTTCAAGTTTCTGTCTTCTTCGGTCAAGATTCTGCCGCTGCTGCTGTTCGATAGAGAAGGTGGACGGTACAAGTGATAGGATACGTGGCCACCATATACGTTCTTAGGAGCTTGCTCGCCCATAGGAATATCGTCTTCGAAACTAATAGGGTCCGTAGGGTGAGCCATATAAGAAATACTCTCGAGGTCGTCCACACCGCCTCCACTTCTTTTCAACTTTTCCTTGCGTGCCTTTTCATGGGGCAATAGATAGTCAATTATGAAATGAGAGGGGGAAGTGGGGGTAGAACCGCCCATTTCAAAAGAGCTACCGTCTGAAAACCCCTTGGTAGATTTGAAAACGCTGGTACCATCGGATGCACTGCCTGAACGACCTGCGCTTTTGCCTGCATCTTGTTCGCTGTAAAAGTAGGAAACGGCATTGGATGTGCGCTTCTCGCTTCTCGAGTTCAAATATTGAGTTATGCGATCGAGCATAGGTCCCATTCCAAGATTTCTGGCGCAAACTGCATACATTCCAATAGCATCCGTGCCCAAACCAAAAACAACGAATACCAGATAGGACATTAAAATGTAAAGCCAAACACTATAAAGTGGTTTCCCCGGATCGAGGCGAACGATAGTGTTCCAAGTCATGCGATCATGAATTGCTTGAAAATCGTAACCCCCGCTTAACTGCTCGAGCTCAACAACAAATGAGTAAAATGAAAATGGGAACATTACGAGAATGATCAGCACACAAAAGAAAAGAAGGCGCGCAAACCGTGCCAAGTTCAAACCGCTATTAGTGCAATGGAGAATGTCTTTCACGTCCTTGCGCTTACGGTAAAAAACGTATAGCAACAGAATTGCGTAAATTAAGCCAACCAAAGACCAAAGGAACATCCACATGGTATAAACAATAACGGTGGGCCACGAAGGTGACAGTAGGTTTTGACACCCGTTATACCGGAAGATCCCAAAACGAAAAATCTGCACTACGTAGGACAGTCCCATGGTCACGATTGGAGTAATGAGACTGACACTCAAATCAACGCGAAGCTTACGCCAGGAGTTGGGCTCCGGCAACACCGTATCAGCCCTCAAAATTGTGTGCAGATTATAAGCTATATTGGCCACAGAGCAAGATAGCCCCACATTGGCACCAATTTGCAATTTAGTCATCAAGTCGCACCAGCCATAGCCCGCCCATTTTTCCGCAAAATCGGAACCACCCCAAATAGCAGCGTCAACGATCAGTTTTATATCCATGATGATGAGCCAAACGATCAGAATAATAGCCGGTGTATTCCTAGTCTTGGAATGCCAAGCCAAAGGTGGAAATAATAGTGCCAACGCCACGGAACCTAGTCCAATGATCACGCTGGAATAACTCATAGAAAATTAGAGAGGATTAAGATTTTGTAACGTCCGAAGATTAGTTGTGCCAGACACCGCAATCCCAAGTGCTTAGAAGGTCAAAACCATAGCGGTGAGATGCCTGTATTTATGGCATTTCGAAACCTCCCAACTCCTGTACATTGTCCCTTAGCCTCTTCTACCTTTGAGGTTTGACCATTAGCTGCCAAACACGCTAAGAGAGACGCTTTGAAACACCTCTGAGATCGCTGTTGCCCTCTTCTGTAGAGATACTTGTCCGGTCTTTCCTGTTTAGTTCATTAATGAAGTTGGAAATCAAATTTGATGACAGTTTGGGACAGAGTGACATAACTGATGAGGAACTAACCACCTCCCCACAGACTAAGAAATAATGTTCTTAAAGAGTGAGATGGGTTTATAAAAGCGGGAGATTTGGATTTGTAAATTTCCTTCAAATAGTATCTATGATGTATCCATTGTAATTAGAGATTATGAATCTCGATTTTGTTCCGAGGCTCTCAAAATAGCATAGTGTGAGCCACGCTAGTTAGGAAGGTGAAAGCGTAGAACCATAGGTTTCCAGCACCCTTTTCAAACAGCGAGTGCGCGCCAGACTTGGATGTAGAGGAAGGAGCGGTAGCAGAAATAGTGGCGAGCTTGGTGCTGTAAGCCTCATCTTGCGAGAAAGCCGAAAGCAGACTGTTCACGGAATCTGCGCTGATACTCTGGTCAAAAGAAGTGTCGTTGGACATGAAGACAACGGTGTTGCCGTTGGAGTCAAACACCACACCACCCTTCATACTGTTGGAAGTGTCTCTCGAGATATATCCGCCAGCTTGGATTCCAGTTCCGAGGTCCTCGATACCTTGGAAAGTGTGGAAAGTGGAATAGAGATTGTTTCTCTCGGTACCGTTCATGACCTCGAAAATATCGAACTCGCCGCAACCACTGGCCCAACACGAGCAGTTGGCATTCGTTGGGTATTGCGAGGTTCTTGGAATTTGATCGTTCAACAACCAAATAGCAGGCATGTCAAAGTAATCAAATGAGGAGCTGTTAGATTGAGTTTCCGTTGGCATGTCAAAATCAAATACAAACATTTTGATGTCTCCCACGAATCCGTGAAGAGCAGGAATGCCGTCACGGTAAACACCGCACGAATTCTTAGAGCTCGACTTGGGGCAGCTGACGTTCGAGAAAATAACGTATTCGTCGTCGGATTTGATTAAGGTGTCGGCAGACAAAAGAGAAGCGGTTGTGGAAGAAGAAACACCGTCCGAACCAGCGAAAGATAGGGCCTTCCCGAGCACAGGGGAGTCAGTACCTGCTTTCGTCAAGAAAGTCACGTTTTCGGCGGTTTGGCTCTGGGCGTTGAAATATGCCACCCGGTTCCAGCTCGACGACGAGCTGCTGTCACCTACAGTGAAGGACGAGGAGTTGTAGAAAGCGAACTGGTTCAAGGTCAAAGGCCCACGGAAGTGCACCGAAACTGCTTCCGAGATTGGAGCATTGTCTCCGGAAAACCACTCTTTAGAACCGACTGAGCACGAGCACTTATCGGTATCTGGGTTCTTGATCGAGTCCACAGGCGTGTAGGAGCCCGTGAATCCGACATTACTGAACTCGATTTTCTGGTACGATTGTACAGCGTTAACGACCGTTGACAGCTCACAGAGCCCGGCAACCGTAATCAGCAGATTTTGTAGTAACATATTTCAGTATTTCGACAAGCGGTAGTTGTGATTTATCGATTGGTACCAGCTAAAGGTTAATTCTATCAGCTGCGCTAAATACTAGAAGGGTTCGGCAATAGTCAGACCTGAGCTTAGCTTCTTGTACAGGGTTCTTTCTATCTTGTTTAGATGAAAAGACATACTCATTTCCAATTATAGTTTTTTTTCATATTCACCACGGAAACGCCAAGCCTCATGTCACTAGAAGGTGAAACTGTCATCGCCAAGAATCTCGGACTCACCACTAAACAAAAACACCATAGCTAGACATTATGACTATTCCGTAGCGTCAAAATAACAAATATGACCAACAAAATATAGCATAGTAATGCGCCTACGGTTCGGATTGCCCAAATGCGATAATATTTCGAACTTTCTGCATGGGAGGATGTGACATCGCTCGAGACGTCAGAGAGATATTCGAGCCTGGCGCCTGCTAAAAATTGATCGATAGGAGCCATACTGGTCTTGGGACATGGTTCATTTGCTGTTTGAAATTGGGCGTTATTAGTGGAAGCTTGGTGTGTGTCGTTTTCTGCTGCTGAAGAGAATGTAGGCGGCCTCGAGACGCATTTATGGTGCATCTCAAGCTCGAACAATGTTGGAAGATCCTCGTCCAAAATTCGCGGAAATTGGATCTCATGTGCCATTATGTAGCAGGTGTAAATAAATAGTACAAGATGCAGAACCCAGCAAATGGGAAAAATGAACCCACCAAAAAAGAGCCGTGGAATTAGAAAATGGATTTTTCCACATGCTCGGCAGCTTTCGCATTCACATATATAAGTTTTGAGCTCTTCCTCAAATGGCGGGAGGGCGTACTCAACCACAGTGAGTGAACTTGGTATCGACATTCGCGGACTTTAGAATCGCAACACACTTATTGTTCGAGCCCATAGAATGAGATGAATGATATTGGAACGCAGAATACCTGCGCATTTATACACAAATTGCCATTGTTTCAGAGACCTATGTTCGGTGTCGGTTAGCGTTTTATGCTAGTATTATAGCTCGAGTAACAATCTTCGGAATTACCCTTTTGGATTGGTAAAATAAGGTTTGACAGAATAGAATTCAAAAAAAGTTAATAAAATCCTTGGCAAATGCTTGCAGCTCTTCTGAAGGTGTCTAAACTGTTATGTAACTCGTTAAACATCCGCTTCCAAATTGTTTCAACGTATTCAACGCAGCGGTTGTTACTATGCGGGGTAGAGAAATCGCAGAGATGATCTTTCCTGAATTCTCTATTTCGTTTTATTTACATATACAAGTGATACATCGGAAACGATACATATGCCAAATGAGAAGTTTCTGCTACTTTTTCCGCTGTGGATATCTTTCCAAAAACTTCTCCATGTAGGCCTTGGTAAATTCCCGTACTTTAGCCCGTTTCTCCTTACTCAAATCGGAGGGAGGGCCCTTTTTGGAATCCTTTTTAACCTCTTTACTCGAAAGAATTTTGGCTATGTCTCGAGCACACTCCTTGATATGATCTCTGCCCAGATTTTTTTCGTAGTGTTTAACCATATTTGGCACTACTGCGGCAAAAAACTTATTCCATTTGTGTATGATGTAATCACCTTTAGATTGCTGTATCTTCTTCTGCTGTCTTCTCTGCTGCTCTTCTTGAGCTTCCTGTTCTTTCTTTATCTTCTCCTGCTTCTCAAGCTCTTTTTGTTCGTTAACTTCTGCGATAATTTTTTCCAATTCGCTCTTTTTCTGATCTTCAAGCTCCATTTTCATCTTTGACAATCGGGTCTCCTCAATTTTAATCCTTTCCAGTTCCTTTTGTTGATACTCCATCCTCTGTTGCTTTTTCTTTTCGTATTCCTCTGCATCAAAAACACGATTCTTCTTATTACCATATCCGTTGGCAGGCACATCTGAGGGAGTCGAACTACGACTAGGTGCTTTTGCGCCACTAAATGTTTTGCTTGCACCATTGGGTGGCTGATGTAGCTTAGTCTGCTGCTGTGCATTATAATACACAGGCTTTCCATTTTCGTGTATCAGCTCCCAGCCTGGTGGGAGCCTAATTCTTCGTAGATCCATCTTCGTGTCTAATATGTTGTCAGAAACATCCTTCTTGGTGATGCGGTTGTAAGTTTCGAATGTCTTCCATTTATGCAAGAGCTTATCAGACACTTGCGCAAGTTCTGGTTGGGATTTAAGCTCCTCCAATTTTTTATCGATTTGCGATGATAAAATACCGTTTTTGGTGGTCTTGGGGAGGCAGTCGAGAAAATCTAGAATCTTCAATTGGAAATCCGTATCCTCGTCAAAAGTAGATAAAAGTTTGTTGAAACACCTGTACCCATGAAGTTTTATAATCTGATAATGAAGGGTTTGATCCTGGGTGAGCAAAATTCTTCCCATCAACTTTTTAGTAATCAGAATGTCGTCTGCCTGCAGCAAGACACTCATTACTCTAGATATATCATCGAAGCTTTCACAGGGGCCTAATTCCAAGGAGTTAACAAATTCGAGATTGACATTGTTAGCCTCACTTTTGACAATTTTTTGACCACTTGCCTTCATCAGCTTAATCCACTTCTTTTCAACAGCAGGCACAACACCAAGAGCATCAGCATAATTCTGAGGCAGCAGTGATGCCGCATCTGTTTGAGTTTTTCCTCCCAGAAAACCAATACAATTCGGTTCATCGCAGTAACACGGCATGGCCGTGGCTCCATATCTATCAACATTGTAGTCAAATGTTATTTCTTCTCCTTGTAAAATGTCGCGATTGGCGAAAATACCCATTCGTAACTTACCCGCTACATCCCACTTGTTGACATATGCGTTTGGATTGCAAGAATGGTTACAAAACCTAGCAAGAGAGCCCTTGATGGTGGCATCAATGAATTCACCGCTCTGAAGCATCATAAAGTAAAAGTGCTTGAAGCCTTTCTGATCATAATCAGCCATTCGGTCCCGGAATTGATCCTCTGGTATTACCTCGCCAACGTACTCATAAATGAATTCGTGGGCACCAATGTCGCGGTCTGCTCTTACCCCGTAACCTTTCTTTTCCGTTTGAAATATCGAAATGGCTGCATATTGGCGTCCTTGGAACCGCTGGTTCTGACAATCGTAACCACAGGACCCGCACAAATCATTCACACACTCAATCAACGTCAGTCTATTGATGCAGTCTGAATCTTCGCCACATGCAAAGTTTATTCCATTCTGGCGATCTTCGTAGCAGTCGCACTCAATGTAATCATGAGATTTGGAGTTTCCTAGTTCCTTTAGCGCATATGTACATTTTTTAAGCTCTGTAAATGTTGAAAGGGCTTCTTGAGTTTTATTCTGTTCATTTTCGAAAGTTCTTTTCTTCGAAGTGCCGTTTTCAAGTCGTGTTGGTGACGCTGAATTTGAAGACACCATGGAGTGCCAAGATGCTGCTACTAGCTTCGATGCACTTGAGTTGGTGACGAAATTCAATTTAATTCAAAATACTAGGTTGTGGAAAATGTGAAAAATAATGATGGTCCGTCACGAACGTACAAAACAACCATAATCAAAGGTAAAGCTAGAGGTTCAGTTTTCGATTAAAGAGCAACGGCATGCCTAAGAAGGTGCTTGCGTGATTGTAGAGGTCTCGAATACTTAATTTCGAGCTAGATTTTGCGAGTGAGACCTTTATTGCGGATAGCGCGGGACATAGTTTTAGAACTTTTGAGTGGTATTCCAACTGACACTACCCGCAAATATCTTCAAAAATTTGTTGAAGAGCACCTATTTTATCAACAGGGTTTCCAATGTCGTCCCATATTGCCATCGCCCTTTTAATGTTGCTTTCGCATGACATGACAAGCTGTTGGAACTTTGGGGAGACGCTACAGCACTTTCCCGACGAAAAGACCTTCTTGGTGCGGAGTAGGTTTTTTGAAGATGCGATGTCTTTTTCCACCGTAATATCTTTAATCTCACGGGAGCGCAACGATATAAGAAGCGTGCGAGAGTGAGTGTGGGTATGCAGGTCCGCCTTCATTGCGTTCAAGACTTTGCGTTCGGCGTCCAGTGCAATCGGGAAACCCTGAAGCTGAAACCACGGTGAAAAGTTAGGCAGATACGACGTGTACTTCGGTAGTAACTCTTCTCTGAACGGCAAAAATACGTGATGCTCTGGATTGAGAGGGACTTCGAGTACCGGGGCATGCTTGGCCGATCCTTCCGTTATAGTGGTTCTGCAGTTCTTGGAATCAAATAAGCAAATAAATTCGAAGGCCTTGTCGAGATTAGAGGTGTCGGTGATTCTATTGCAATTTCGCTTGACGTCTACGTTTTGCAGAAAAGATCCCGACCACGATGCCCAGCCCTGTCGAAAATGGTCCCCGCGAGGTGAGCTAGGTGCGCTCGACGTCCAAGGAAACTCCTCATGTTCCGTTGTCAGCGGTGAAGCTAGTGGTGTTACTCGATTAGGGTTAGCTAGCATTTGGTGTAAGGAGCTATTACTACCATTGTGCAGCTGGAAAATTGAGTGGTCAGAAAAATCACTCGGTTTTGCAGAAGGACTATACGTGGGATTCATATTGTGAGCTATACTTGGACCAGAGGTGGTGGCGGAGGTTATCCCCATGCGTTTTCCAAACCACGAACCGTAACTCCCATAGGCGCTGGAAAGAGATGACGAAAGGTATTGTAAAGAACTGCTGCTGCTCCTGATAGATGAAGGCTGGATGACCTGAGCGGAAGTTTCATCAGAAGATATACTAGTCGAGCTAGGACAAGTATTTCTCTTGGGTATTTCCCATCCCTTGCCTGTAATGGTGCCGTAAGACTTGAAATCGCTCTCTTGAGCCCCTGGATTGTTTTTCAGTGGTGAGGATTGCTTATTCGCCCCGTTGTTCAAAGGTTGAACGTTGGTGTCACTTTCATCAAGGGTATGAATTAAGCCATTATAGCGTGGCCTAAGTAATGCAGATATTATGAAGATTAGTTTGTTGGCGACGGCCATGTTACCGGATATGATAACAATACGCGAGCAGTCGCTTGATGCGAGCTCTGCAGCAAAATCTTGTACAATTTTGGCAAACAGGACAGGCAAAAATCGTAGCCTATGTCCGTCTTTTATTTCGAGCCAGTGAAAAACATCTTTAAACCAGCTAGAAAGAAATTGGTTGTGTGAAGATGGATATAAAAGAAGTCTTGGAATTTCAGTATGTGAAGACATGAGCGGCAACACGAGTGTGTGGATAGATTGTATAATGGATTGTGATATTTGTGGATCGTGGGCGCGCAAATCTCGCGGAAGAAACGCCAGGGTTTCGTTTGATAAAACGGCAAGTAGCAGAGCCTGACATTCGTCTAGCCAACGACTTATCTGGTTCCAAGTCTCGCTTAGTGCTGTTATAAAAGGCTCCGGTAGTGAAAGACATATCGCCAGTCTTGTGTCACGATTTGGAGCGTAAAAAACGCGAGTAACCAAAAGTACGCCTGCGTTGGCTACCACGCGAAATTTATCACTCTTATGGCGGGTCTTGGCTCTGACGGGAGAACCGAAAATATATTCCTTTAACTCAGTAACAGATATGTGATCCATGGCCGAGCCGCGCGCGGTTACGTAGTCCAAAACAACCTGATAATTGTATCGGCTCATTAACTGGCCCAGCTCTTGTGCAACTACTATCCTGAACCGATCAACAGAAGAAACCGTGCAGTCGAGATGCTTTGTTCCATATAACTTTTGTTTAACCTCGTCGTTTAAATGCGGGGTTAAAGGCATCGACGGTTCCTCGGAATGCGAGTTTCCCTCATGTATCATGTTTTTAGCAATCAGACGACCCAGCATCCACGGCTAACGGGGTATGGAACCTTTCTTTATTTGACTTGAGGATCAGTTGAAGCCTGTGGGTGAAATGACCTTTCATTAACCTGGAGATGGATCACAGCGTACGTAATTTATAAACAGCGCATATAAGAATCTTGATACATGCAATGATATACTGGCGCCTAGCAAGATTATTATAAGCCCATTCTTATGGCCTGATTCATGTTTATGAGTAGTGTATTTTTGCGCTGCGAGTAGTTTTATAGGATCAATTTTATAAATCAGAAACAGTGACGTGAAGGAGTCCTTACCTATAGTTGTCCCGAAGTGTCTCCCACAATGATAGCGAGACATCGCCAATCATCACGAGAGGGGCTCTGTTTTCTTTTCTCTGTCAAGTCCGCAACGTAGACAATTGTCTGAGTACTATCGAAGTACAGTGTGACAGGTTGGAACAAAGTGACAAACTTATCTAATATTTGAATCCATGTCAATAAGAAGATTAGAAAGGCCAACGAGACTCACACCATAGTTCATACACGTATTTTGTGAGTTCTATGATTATTAGTGCTGATACGCATTCTAGCATCTGCTCGCCTACTCATAAAACCTGAAGGTAGTTCGAATCTCGTACAAAAACTCTCCTTTAATCCACATAAACGTTGCTCGAGCGCTAAATTTCTCACCACATAAAACAGTGATATTCATGCCAGCTCGGCATCGGAAGCATCACCACTACTATCTCTGCATCGACCAGAACTTGGCTTCGTTGTTGTTCGAAATTGTCATCGCATTCGACGATTATCTAGTTTTCTAAGTGAGCCAACCCACAAGGTAAAGTACAAGATCATTCATAACTCGAATAAGCTGTGAATTAATCTCCAATACCAAGCATCGGAACTAGTCTTTGATCAGAAGTGAACTACTAGAATAACCATAGGTGGCTTCTACCGATTTATTCCCCCACCTAACTTCCGTCTTTGGATATTAACAGTTCATATTGTACGAGCAATGCTCTCACTTGAAGAGACACCAAGATGGATTATCTTCACGGCTATCTCATCAGCGCTGTGCATTTTAGGAAGTCTGTGCGTTCCTCTTTTTTCCCTCATGTTTCGCCGGGCTTCATCGGTAAATTCGAGACTGCTCAACTATGGGCTGTCGATAAGTGCGGGTTCGATGATCACTACAAGTCTATACAAGATGTTGCCTAAAATGAATGAGGAAGACCGCTTTGTTATTTTCATTGGGTTTGTGCTGGGAGTCGTAATAAGCTCTATCCTGAACTTTGTGGTCCACGCATACACGAGCGAGAGCCTGGTGCATTGTAGCCATGGCTCTGAACACGACAACGATTCAGGCTCGAGCCCAGAATCTCGTGAACAAGTTCATGCCGCTCAGGATCAAAGTACTACAGAGGGTGCTGCCATTCATAATGACCACGGTCGTCCTAATCACGAAACTGAACAGCAACCGCTCCAGTCGCAGCGCCCACCACTACAATCCACTAACTCTGCATCACTGCGGCACAAAAAGTCTTTGATTGATATTTTTGCGCGAAAAAGCTCTAACGCTGGAAATTGTTACGGATCTACGTACTGCACTCCAAACTCTAAAGCCTCGGCCAAACCCGAGTTTGATAAAGACGTCGTCACATGCCTTGGCGACACTTCCAAGAAAGCACTTATGTGTCCTGAGAACGGTATCGGCTACGACCTCGAGAACTTGTCTATGTACCGCGCCAACTTCCTCAAAGGTGAGGATCCCCACGAGCACCCACATCATCATGTTTCTAACGACTCATCATCAGTCTCAGCAGAGAGCACAAGTAGCAAAGAAGAGCACCATCATCACCATACGGCGACCCCGTTTTCGAAACTTCTCTCCATCGGTATTCAAACGTGCTTGGTCATCTCCCTGCATAAGTTCCCAGAAGGTTTTATTGTATTTTTCACCAATAAGAACGACTCGGACTCCAAATCATTTGGCATGTCTATTTTTTTGAGTCTGGCAATCCACAATTTTATAGAGGGCTTTGCTATGACTTTACCGCTCTATGCGGCCTTCAAGACGAAATGGCATGCCATACTAACCACTGCCGTTCTAGGGGGAGGTTCTCAACCCTTGGGTGCATTGGTTGGCTATTTGATTTTCAAGAAAACCGGGTCTCAAGAATTGCACATCAACTTTCTTCTTAGTATCACATCGGGTTTTCTCTTTGTAATTGGACTTCAGATGTTTCAAACTGCTATTGGGTTCAGTGATTCTCACCACCACCACCGCGAAATTAGTGAGGAAACCGATGACGAGCCTCACTCCTTGGCCACAACCTGTTTGAAATGGTGCTGTTTTGGTGTAGTTTTGATTTTAGCCAGCGGCTTGTTTGCTTAATTGTGATATCTTTTCCACCCCTGACTTGATTTTGATCATTTCTGGATACCCTTTGATCGCCCTGTCATCTTTAAACAATCCCAGCCCGCTCATTCAATTCTCTGCATGACTCGACAAATTTAAATTCGCAATCTATATTTGTATAATACCAACTTACTCATTTTGTGGAAACGACTTCTTGCAAGTCTACTGTGTCTTGAGAATTGTTCACCTTGTTGTCCTCGCCAATTAATGGTGTCCTGAAATTGTATTTGCCCCATCGGAAATACAGTGCTGTGACTCCACTCAGGAAGAGAAGATATACCACGAATGCGTAATTCATGGTTCCGAAAGTTACCGGGATTTTTGGAGGCATACAAATCACCCCCATTGTGAAGATCAACCAGCATATGCTTATAATATTCACCGGCCAGCCTAATCTATAGCGGACTTTCACCGGCGAGCCGTGTAATGCCCTGCGACGAGAAATTACGACTAATATAAGCGGTATGCATGTAGCAGAGCACAAGCATAGGACCGCAGCACCCACAAATGCGTTGAAAGCTGCTGTAGAGACGAGCGCTAAAAGACCCAAAACGTAAGAAATACCCATGCTTAATAGAATAGAGTTCCTCGGCACTTTATGCTTCGAGCTAGGATCCACATATGACCAAAACTGACTGTAAGGTAAGGCCATATCACGACTCATGCTGTATACAGCGCGCGACGATGTCGTCATTGAACCTATACCGGAAAATAATAGATTCCCCAAAATCATTATTACGAGGAAGATAGAGACGAACATGGAGTGTGTTGAATTTGTGAATATTAAGACAATTGGCATCAATTTTGGGTTGCTGAATATCGTTTCCAAATCTGGCAGTATAAGCATAATTGGTAATAAAAAAACAATACCTGCTATTGTTGACGTCAAAACTGCGGTAGACATGCCCTTGGGAATGTCCCTCTCCGGTTCCTTCACCTCATCGGCTAATGCTGGGAGCATACTAAAACCTTGAAGGGTAAAGTTGGACTGCTGAAAACCAATCATGAAAGAAAGAGCAGCATTCGCGTAGCCTGACCTTGAATTGTCAAAATGTGTCAAGGCGTATTTTAAAGATCTGTACTGACCTGAATGAAACAACAGCAACAGTATGTCAATAAAAATAACGGCATAGATGATCCAGTAGACGCAAACCTTGTTAACAGTCTCAATAAAACCAGCAAATTTCAAATTAATAAGTCCCACGATAGTGACAATTAAGTAGAAGGCTAGTACTGTAAAAAGCATAAGGAAATTTTCGCCGATGAGTCTGTCGTTAGTCATTGTTATAAGTGATATCACGAGTTGTGCACCTGCAAATGTGATACTGGTACTCATTGTCCAGTTTCCAAGGAGCATAAGCCACCCGGTAAACCACGAGCAGCACAATTGATATCCTTGGGGAGCTAGCATAGCACTACCTCCGTGAAGCTCGATAGGAAATCTTGATACAATCTCACCAAGCGACAATGAGCACAACCATGTTGCAATACCGCAGACAACAAAGCCAACAATTATTGTTAAAGGGCCACCGTTATTAAGCCCTATGCTAATAGTAGTGCTCATACCAAGTACAGGGCTCATCAATGCAAAACCAAGACCAATAATCGCACCTTTCGAAAGAAAAGTTCGGTCCAATTGTTGCTCGTACTCGAAACGTTGTACTTCTTCCACTCCTTCATCGTCATCATCTTGAAGAATCCTCTCCCAGTTTATGAATTGAGAAGCTCTATTTAGTCCAATCCTGTCTTGAAATAGCCTTTTGACTTTTGCCGAGGTCGTCATATTGGTAGAAGATCTTCAGTCTGGGAATCAAAGTTTAAATCGGGCGTTGTTGGTCACTAAACTCTTGGACAGATGCTACGCCGAGATGAGCCGTCGAGTGTGACGGTTCCTTTTATTGTAATTAGCAATCTCTTGGCAGGTTCAGTAGCTCCTGATGACTTGGTTCATGGATTGAACAAGTCTGTCGCACTCTTAGAAGCCTTACAAACAGCTCTGTGTTTAAAAGCTCGCGCGTTATCTGAATGCTGTAATGCTTAATTTTCAACATCTGAAATTGATTTTGGAAATTGTGAATGTTGTTATTAGGATGAGCTTTGCAAATCAAACCAGAGACCATGGATAGTGATCTCTATGATGAGTATGAATCATTGCTATGTGCTATCAGCCTGCTAAAAATGTGCTACTAACCTTTTACTCAGATTCGGGAACTTAATCGGAGCAGAATCGGACGATTCGGTATATGAGGATGAGGAACAGCTTGTGGAGACTGTAGACTCTAGCGCTCAAGGCGAAATGGAAGAAGAAGAATCCTCCGAACGAGCATTGGTAACCAGAGACAGTTTAGAAACATCTTTTCCGAATGACGTGGAAGTTTTGGTCGAGACGGAGGATCAACAGTCCCTAGAGACCCCTCTCGTGGAACCAGCTCAAACTCGTCAAAAGCCAAGTTCGATTTACACCAAGTCTGCTAAGAATATACCCAGATCTTCATATGATCGAGATTATCTCATCTCCTTGCTAAGTATTCCGGAAAGAACAATAAATGTGGCCGTATTAGGGCCTCTTCATTCCGGTAAAACATCGCTGATGGATCTCCTACTGTCAAACTCTCATGAAAAACTTCCAAATGTATCAAAAAGTGTGCGGCAGGGATGGAAACCACTCAAGTACTTGGATAATACAAAGGTGGAGATTGAAAGGGGAATCAGTTGCAAGCTTAATGGATTTAGCTTTCTCGGATGTGATTTGCAAGATAAATCAGTGGCAATTACAATGCTGGATACACCGGGTCATGTAAACTTCATGGATGAAGTGGCTGTTGGATTGACAGCTTCGGATTCGTGTCTCATAGTTCTTGACGTGGTGGAGGGTGTCACGGCGATTGCACAGCAACTAATTAAGCAAGCCCAAAAGCATCAGCAGAATATCGTATTCGTGCTGAACAAAATTGATAGGTTGATTTTGGAGCTCAAGCTTCCACCTAAAGATGCTTACCTCAAACTTGTGCATATAGTACATCAAATCCAAAGTTATGCACATGGAGAATATTCTCCCGAATTGGGCAACATTTTATTTGCATCGGCCAAGTTAGGCTTTACATTCAGTATCAAAGAATTTATTCTTTATCATTACTCAACGCAGCTTGGTGAAAAAAATGTCCAGAGCTTCATTGATAGAATGTGGGGCACGATATATTTCCAGGCAGGCGAGTTCTCACACGAGCCAAACGAAATGGGTTCAACGACTTTCATGCAGTTCATACTTGTTCCTTTATACAAAGTTCTCACTCAAACACTGTCTAGCGAGCCAAAGCAGGTGGCTCTGATCTTAAAGCGCCATTTTAATGTCAACTTGGCCGAGGAATACCTCAAATGGGATCCTCAGCCATTGCTGAGAAAAGTTCTGGCTCTGATATTTCGAAATCAGCAAGGGCTTATTGATAGCATCAACATATTCGGCTCATCTGCGTCTGAAATGAAAACAGTGAAGTTAGAAAACCAAGGCGTCATGTCTGCAAAACCTTCCAAGTTGGCCCATGTGCTGAAACTGATCGACTATTGCGGCGACACCTGGGCACTTGTTAGAATATATCGGGGCTCTATGAGAGTAAATGATACGTTCAAGGCGCTGGATGCAGGCACCACATATTATGATGATGCTCCTGAAACCAAAATATTGGATATCGGCCTGCTGGGCGGCAGATACGTTTTGCCCGTTGAGAAAGCCGCTGAGGGTCAGATTGTACTGGTGAAGGGAATAGATCAATTCTTCACAAAATCAGGAACTCTGGCAGACACTCTTGCTGCGCAATTTACCGAAATAGACTACATCAATGAACCAACGTTCAAAATCGTACTGAAGCCTTTACAGCCGCGGGAACTTCCTTTAATGCTTGGAGGGCTCAACAGCGTAAACAAATTATATTCGGGAATGGTAACGTGTGTGGAAGAGAGCGGTGAAACCGTGGTTCTGGGTACGGGAGAGCTTTATTTGGACTGTCTACTCTGGGATCTCAGGAACAACTACAGCAAAATAGAAATCCAAGTTTCAAACCCGCTAGTGAAGTTTGCTGAAACATGCATAGGCGAGTCGTTTGCCTCCATTCCCGTCAACGGAACTAATGGAACTTTAAGTGTTAGTATAGCGGCTCAGCCCTTGGAACGTGAGCTCGCGGAAGATTTGACTAATGGCATTATAGCAGAAAACGCAACTCAGAATAAGCGCCACTTATCAAAATTGTTACGTGAGAGATACAAGTGGGACTCTCTAGCTGCGAGAAATATATGGAGTTTACACAAGGGAAATGTATTCGTGAATGACACACTGCCACATGATGTCGACCAAGAACTCTTGACTGAAATGCATGATTCCATCTGCCAAGGTTTTGAATGGGCAGTCAGAGAAGGTCCGCTGGCGGAGGAAGCTATCCATGGCGTTCATTTTCGGCTTTTGAGCGCCTCAACAGACGATGGGGTTGGAACTGGTCAGCTTATCTCGCTTGTGCGCAAGGCATGTTACGTGGCTCTTTTGACTGCTGAGCCCGCGCTCCTTGAACCTATATACGAAGTGAGTTTAGTGGTTCATGATCTACTTGTTGAGGTCGTCGAGGAGATATTCGCTAAGAGACGTGGGGGCCGAATCTATAACCGAGTCGCAATTCCTGCTACACCGCTGGTGGAAGTCCGCGGACAGATTCCAGTCATTGACTCGATTGGTTTCGAGACTGATTTGAGACTGGCAACCAATGGCGAGGCAATGTGTCAATTGCATTTCTGCAATAAAATATGGCGGAAAGTGCCGGGCGATGTTATGAATGAAGATGCGACAATCCCGAAGTTGAAGCCGGCACCTTGGGAAAGCATGAGCCGTGATTTTGTGATGAAAACTCGGCGAAGAAAAGGGCTGTCGTCTGATGGCTACGCTACGCAAGATGGCCCCTCTTTGGCACGCTATATTGACGCTGATTTGTTCCAGAAACTAAAAGACAATAAGCTCGTGTAAACAATGACATGAAGAAGGAAGGAAACAGTTTTCCCTGTACTAAACCACAAGTAATTGGCGCGAAGTCGGTTGCTTAGATCTATTTCAGAAGCACTTTCATATTCACTAAATTTTGGACTTTCTACAGCTAGCCAAATCCCACTCCAAAATCCTTGAAGGTGTTGAAATTGAAGGAACTAGTAAAAGTTTTTATGCTGTAACCTTCAATTTGCCTCTCAAGAAGCTAGCAAACAGCATCGCATCCGCTCTTGGGCGTCCCTGGCATTTGTTCTCGTTGCTCACATGAAGCTTTCGTCAAAGATGCTGTAGCTCATCGCCTTTCAGCGCCAGTTAAAAAAATTTTCAATATCAAAGAGATGAGATGAGATGAGATTAGCTACAAGAACCAGAGATCTAGTTCAAGAGCACCGCAATGGCCAAGGGATTCAAACTTAAGGAGATGCTGTCTCACCAAAAAGAGGCGGCTAAGGCTGACAGGAAAGAATCTGCTAAAAAGGCGCAGCAGAAGCAGATTTTGGAAAAACAGCAAAATACACCTCTAGTTGTCAGTCATGATGATATCGTAGAGAAAGAAGCTTTGGATGCTGAATCGAAAGAAGAGCAGCCAGAGGTATATCAAAGTAAGGCTTTGTCGAGAAAAGAACGCAGAAAACAGAAGAAATACGAGAAAAAGGTACAGCCTGAAGTAAATGTGGAAGATGCGGAAGACGAGGAAGACGAGGAAGACGAGGACGAGCTTGAAACAAACGGGAGACTGGATTTGGACAGATTGGAGATGAGCGAGCCAGAAGACGAAGACGACGACGAAGAAGAAGAAGACAACGACGACGAGAATGAGGAGCAGGAGGAGAAGGAAGAAGAGGAGGAAGAAGACGTGCCTCTTTCAGACGTAGAATTGGACTCTGACGCTGACGTGGTCCCTCATCAGAAAGTCACTATCAACAACACTAAGGCCATGAATCACGCCTTGGAGCGCATTCAGCTTCCATGGAAAAAGCACACGTTCCAAGAGCATCAGTCTATCACTTCTGCGACAAACTCCGACGAAGGTATCAAGGACATTTACGACGATACGGAGCGTGAATTGGCCTTCTACAGACAGTCCCTAGATGCTGTTACACAGGCGAAACAAAAGCTACAAGGTCTAAGAGTGCCGTTTAAGAGGCCTCTAGACTATTTCGCTGAGATGGTCAAGAGTGACGAACACATGGACAGACTCAAGAGCAAGCTTGTGAATGAAGCCAGCGACCGTAAGGCGCGCGAGGACGCTCGCAAACAGAGATCGCTCAAAAAGTTTGGTAAGCAAGTGCAAAACGCAACGCTGCAAAGTCGTCTAAAGGACAAGAAGGAGACTCTAGACCGGATCAAGTCGCTAAAGCAGAAACGTAAACACAATGAAATCGACGACGCTGCTTTCGATGTTGGTGTTGAAGAAGCGGCATCCGAGAAGCCCGAAAAGAGACAAAAGCCAAACGGCAAGAGGCTGGCTAAGGATTCCAAATACGGACAAGGCGGCATGAAAAGGTTCAAGCGCAAAAATGATGCCAAATCGTCTTCTGACGTCTCCGACTTCTCGTCTAACAAGATGAAGGGCAAAACGTCGCGTCCGGGCAAGAACAGACGTTCCAAGCGTTTCTAAACAATGGACTCAACAACTCAATATTTTGCATTGTATAGTAGAGAATTAAATAAAGAAGTACTGAAAGAGCCGGACTACAATGAAAGAAAGAGGTCCAAAGGCTCAGCGTTGAAGATAACGATACATCGTGTTAGGATTGGTCTGGCAGTTGTAAATATATCGTTTCTCTTCAGAAGGATAGATTTATTATGGAGTCTTTAAACGGCCGTATTAGATTAATAGATTAAACATCCCTTTCAAACATCTTACAAATAAGCTCAACAAACGAAAAGTTAAGAAGCGCGACCACACTTGCTACTACAACCTTCTTACAACATCAACGCATCGTGTTCAATATACTCGACCGGAGCCAGTTCCTTTAAGTGGCCATTTGTTTCCTCACGTTAGGTGGGCGGCTATGCTACCACCACAATTTTGCTCGTGATAATTCGGGAAAGGTATCGAATTGATCAGATTTTTACGGTGTGTTCGTTAGCATTGGTATTAATGTGTAATTCGGTCGTTTCGCTGCTCTACCCTGAACCTTGGTATAATTATTTGTGGATCCACGAATTGATGAATTCCGGACGTTGAGGGCGCTATAAAATGCCACCAAATTGCTCTCGAAATACCAAAGGAGCCCTGCGTAGTGGATCTCTATTTGGCAGGCTTTCTCGATGCTGGTTAAAGTCAAATTCCCTATGTACACATCGATCATGATTTAGCACAACAAACACACGTGTAAGTCACGTGACGATCGCGTGACTATTTGACGGTTGAAAAATGCGTATACGTGCATCAAGACTAAGAGGATAGGAAATTCGTTTAAGAAAGGACTAGAGCCTTATTCAACTACTGCTCACATCAGGGATTTCAAGAGTCAATTAAAGGTCCAACCGTGTGAAATATGTCCAAGGAAGATAAGAGAAACAAGTTTTTGAGCGTGTTTCCTCAATTAGTGGATGAATTGAAGTCTATATTGGCCGGCTATGGTATGACCCAAGATGCTTTGCAATGGTACGAGAATTCGTTGAACTACAACACGCCAGGCGGGAAATTGAACCGTGGCCTATCCGTGGTGGATACGTATGCGATTTTGAAGGGCAAAAGCTCTTACGAAGAGCTTTCAGAGGAGGAATATTTCAAACTGGCCATGCTGGGCTGGTGCATTGAGCTCTTGCAAGCGTATTTCTTGGTTGCCGACGACATGATGGACAAGTCGATTACCAGAAGAGGACAGCCCTGCTGGTACCGCGTTCCAGAGGTCGGCGAAGTGGCCATCAACGATGCGTTCATGCTCGAAGGTGCGATCTACTGTTTGTTGAAGAACCACTTCAAGAAAGAAGCTTACTATGTGGACTTATTGGAGCTCTTTCACGATGTGACGTTCCAGACTGAGCTGGGCCAAATGCTAGACTTGATCACTGCGCCAGAGGACCGCGTGGATCTCGACAAGTTTTCGCTCGAGAGACACTCGTTCATCGTGCGTTTCAAGACCGCCTACTACTCCTTCTACCTGCCTGTGGCCTTGGCTATGTACGTGGCCGGTGTGAGCGACGAACAAGATCTAAAACAAGCCCAAGACGTGCTAATTCCTCTTGGTGAGTATTTCCAGATCCAGGACGACTTTTTGGACTGTTTCGGCAAGCCCGAAGACATTGGTAAAATTGGAACCGACATCCAAGACAACAAGTGCTCTTGGGTTGTGAACACGGCTCTCAAGCTTTGTTCCGCGGAGCAAAGAAAGGTTTTGGACGCTAACTACGGCAGAAAGAACTCCGAATCCGAAGCCAAATGCAAACAGGTGTTTGATGACTTGAAGATCGACTCCATCTATCACGATTACGAGGAAAAGACTGCTCAAAACCTCAGAAACATGATCCAAAACACCGACGAGACCCGCGGCTTCAAGAGCCAGGTGCTAACGGTTTTCTTGGAAAAGGTTTACAAGAGAAAGAAATAAACAAGCACGATTGAAAAGAAGAACAAAGCCTTGCAAATCAAAACCATACCAAATGGCGCATTCAACCTGCAGGCCCACTTATATACACATACAGCTTGATACTATTTCATAAAATGCCATCCTATACTAGTCTTTGTTTTCTTGACCAATGAGAAGCACGGATTCCCGTGATTTCAGTTTTCTCATTTTTCAAATCTTGAGAAAAAAATTGGCAATCCGATACACGAACCAACTGCAACTTTCATTTATCTAGAATTCCAAAGCGTTACAGAGCCTGGTTTTTTTGGTCCTTGCAACGTCTATCAAACAAATTCAACATATATTACCATGGGTAGTCCATCAGCAAAGACTTACTTGGGATGGTGGGGTAGCATCGGTGGTCCCAAGCAAAAGGGTGTCACCTCTTACGCCGTTTCTCCATACGCTCAAAAACCCTTGAATGGAATCTACTACAACGCTGTTTTCAACACTTTCAGAAGAGTCAAGGCGCAGGTTTTGTATTTGGCAATTCCAGCTGGTTTGTACTGGATGTGGTGGGTCAACTGCAGGGACTACAACGAGTATCTGTACACCAAGGCTGGTAAGAAAGAGCTCGACAGAGTCAACGTTTAGTTCCAGTGGGGCTCTGAACGCTGGTTCTGCCACTATTTATCATTAGGAGCCGTCTCCCTTAGCGGAATACGGTGCGAAACGTCATGGCGCGCACAGAACTGCGCCAATGGGTACATACACGATCTACAAGCAATTTAAAAATTCAATGTCAAATTCATCAACACATACGCCAGCGCGAAAGGTGCGCTAAGGCCAGGTGCGTTAGCCTGAATATTCAAAAATGGCTTCGCGCCTGCGGAACTTGGTCGAAATCTTCAAAAACTGCGTGAGAAATCGGAGATGTGCACAAATTGCTTCACAGTAATACTTCTACTTGGTTACCAGTGTGATAACAGCCAATTCGAATGCTAAGCAGACTTTAGGCGACCTACTTGCTCTTGAAGATCTCAAATCCTTACCTTGATACTCTAATACGAAGACCTTGATTATTTATTAACAATAGTAGGGACCCCATCCTTGTTTCATCAATAATGAGCACACCAACGATAGAGAGCGACAAAATCGCGGGTTCGTAGCTTCTGGCTTCCTTCTGTTAATTATTTTCAGAGAATGTAGCGATGGCCAATAGACTAGAATCTACTCCAAATTCTAAGTTGAGCACGCAATTGCAAAACTTTGCATCTAAAAGTGGGACCCAGAATGATTCAAGTGAAACTTTCAAAGCTCCTAGTAACGACCTTGCCATAGGTGATAAAAGCGAGAATTCTAGTGGTACTGGTGACGATGAGACGAATGTTAAAGAACACGAAAACGACGGCCTTTTTTTCAAACCAAGGGCGATGTATCGCCAGGATCAACAAGCTAGGTCCAGAAGCACTTTGATCAGAGTATACTCAGAAAACGAAAGATCAAACTTCAATGATTCAACGGGAACACGATTGTACGACGATTTAAAGTACAGACCAGTACATCATGACGGGGCTGGCGGCTCTCCCGTCAAAAGCAGCCCCATTGAAATAGCCTCCAAGTCCAAAAGACGGCACTCCTCCTCGCTTGAAGAAGAGCGTGAACTTTATCGAAACGCAACCCAGTGGGCTGAACGTGGCTATTTTGACATGCAGGATGAGTATATACCGGATTTCGACTTCTCCAATGCGGTCTCACAATGGCAAAGTGACGAAAACCTTCTCGGAGCTAGAACTGTAACAGTCGACCCACAGGACTCGGTGGAATCGCCCTGCTACAACAATTGGGCAGATTATGAAGCAGATATCAGTCGCTCATCCTCTGTATCGTCTTCGTCTATGGTTCTCCGTTCTTCTCATGCCAAAGTGGCTCCTATTCCCTTGCCCAGAACCAGTTTGCCCATAGTTCCTCCGAATCGCCCCCTTCGCCATGATTATAGCAACATTTTTAGCGAGAAACTGTCACAGACGTCGCCTCTTTCCTACGCAAGGACTAGGCCTGTTCCCGCCCTTAACACACAACCTAATAACGACTCCTTGAGATTTTTCAAGAGACAAAGGTCAGGTCTAGATTTGGAATCACCTTCTTCGCCCTTGGCTGCAACACCACTCTATAGTAATGCTTCTTCTATTGAAGGTGCCCTGTCGACGGAGGAACTAAAGGATATGATAACGCACCTTCCAGAAGACTTTCTGGCCCTTCCTTATAGTCAAAGAAAGAAAATTCTTATAGAGCGGTTTCCAGGTATAGACTATAAAGCTATGATGGCAGGACTCAAGAGGATGTATTTGACATCTGCCAAGAGCAGTACTCAATTACAAGGCAACAGGTCGAGACGGGGCTCACTGGCTTCGCAGTTTTTAAGTTCTTTTACTCCGTCATCATCCTTATCCAAACCTACGGATAAAGGCACGATTGTAATGGGGCATTCACTTGGCAAAATAATTGGTTTTGGAGCTTGGGGTATGATAAGAGAGTGTTATAAAATCACTGAAACAGCGCAGGATAATGAGGTTCCGCCGTCTGCTGTGAAAGCGGTTAAAATCGTAAGATTCAGAAACAACGCTGTGGTAAAAACTCAAGTTTTAAAAGAAGTACGACTTTGGTCCAAAATGAAACACGAAAATCTTCTGCCGCTAATCAAATGGAAGATGGAAGATGACTACGCGGTTTATTGTTTGACCAATAAGATAAATGATGGTACTTTGTATGATTTAGTTGCCTCGTGGGGCAATACCAAGGAGTCTACTATAGCTCTTCCGTTAAGATGCCGGTTAACTGCCGAATTAGGACTCCAGATTGTGCGTGCTCTAAAATACATGCACTCTCAACAGATTGTTCATGGGGATGTTAAGCTGGAAAATTGCTTACTCATGGAGCGGGATGAAAATCAGTGGAATGTGATTTTGTGTGATTTTGGCATGAGTTCGGAATTTGGCAAGAGCGCTGATACTGTAGATGGTCAAGAGCGCAAGCTAAAGTTTGAGAAGGCAGACTACCAGGATTGTGACCCTCCGAAAAGTGACCCCGTAGCGTCTTCACGACAGCTGCCCGCTGTTTCCAGATCCGTATCGAACAGCGTTTTAACGTCGTCTGTAAAACAGCTGAAAAATGTGCATATGAGTCGCGGAGACACACCCCTGGGTGTGAGCTCATTTCCCAAGCATTACGGGCCGTCATTGAGCAGCGCAAGCCTTTCGAATAACCTTCCTACAAAGCATGACTTGAAAAGAACATCTGCGGCACCAGCAACTGCTATTATCAAGAGCACGACTAGGGAAATACAAGCTTTGGCTCAACCTGATTTTTTACCGAGCTCCCCTAGCGATGGTAATTCTCATTCACCAAATCACATTGGATCTCTTCCGTACGCCGCGCCAGAACTTCTGGACCCTGTTCCACCGCCGCTTTTGCCACCTGCAGACGTATGGGCTTTAGGAGTCACGCTTTACACAATGCTTATGGGTAAACTGCTTTTCAAACACGATTACGAGCCAAGATTAAGGGCAATGATAGCTGCTGGCAAATATGACGTCAAGCCACTGGAAAAAGTTTGCAATGCTAACAACCCTGAGCAAGGCTCATCACAGGCACTGTTAAGCGCAGTAAAAGGATGTCTACTAAAGGACATCTCTGAAAGATGGAACCTTGACGCCGTTGAAATATCTTTAACATCGTATCTTGATTCTTTGCGTACCGAGAAATATAAAACATAGCCGAGGGAGCGTGGGGTGTCACATCGTACTGGGTAGAAAGAATTAAAGTTAAAAGAAACAAGGAACCAAGTGTAAAGGTCAGTAATTAATGGCGTAGACTGAATATATAATGTTTTAAAGTGTTGACGTTTCTTCGAACGAAGGTTTTAAAAATTTTGAAAAATATGAACTTTAGAGTAAATATCCTCTGCGCGCAGTCAGAATAGACCTTCAAAGTTAAAGGTACTATATTATACTGCCTTGGCCGCACATATATCATACAATATGATCTATCTCAAGTCTATGCTCAGAGTCATTGATAACTCTGGAGCTCAAATGGCAGAATGTATCAAAGTCTTAAGAAAAGGCTCGCCAAAATCACCAGGCAAGATTGGCGATAAAATCGTATGCGTAGTTCAAAAAGCGAGACCATTGACTCAGAATATCACAGGCACATCAAGCACTAACCGAGTGAAGAAAGGTGATATTGTACACGCGGTAGTAGTGCGCACAAAACAGAAGAATACGATGCGTGGCGACGGCTCCGCAGTGAGTTTTGGAGACAATGCATGCGTCCTCATTAACAAGAACAGCGGTGAGCCGCTGGGTTCCAGAATCATGGCAAATGATGGTTGCGTGAGTAGAGAACTGAGGGAAAAGGGCTTCAATAAAATTTGCTCGCTGGCAAGCAGGGTCATTTGAAAGTGGGAAAACTTCATTATCATTCGATAAGTAACTACAAACTATCTTGTATATATACAAATACTTGGCAAATTCAAAAATAGAACTAAAAAGTTGATGCTTGGAGCTTTCGGATGGTGTAGGATGGTATATTAGGTATAAAATAACTTCAATGGGCAACTCGAGGGTTCTTATAGGTGACACAGCACCATGTTCTCTTCATCCAGTTGCTATGCAGTAGTTTTTCAACACTTGTCCTTTTATCGGGATTCCATTGGAAGATGGCATATAGACAAAGTTTTCTACAGCGGTTAACTTCGGGAGATACGTGCTTTAAATCCTCAAAAACGTTGTATTCTCGTTTCATGCGCATTTCTTCGACGAATGATGCGTAGACTGGGTCTCTGTCAATGAGCGGGATCTTCCATAGATAATGTCCCAAGACCATCGTGCAATAGATTATACCACAGCTCCAACAATCCACTAACCTAGGATCATATTCTCTCTGCGCAATAAATTCCTCCGGCGCCACATAGGGCTCAGAGCCTACAGCCCCGCTTTGAAAGTGGACCTGTTTTTCCCAAGCAGTTTGAAATACACAGCTCGTTCCAAAATCGCAAATTTTCAACGTTCCCTGTGGTTCAAATAGAATATTTTCGGGTTTCAGGTCACAGTGTGCGATACCATGGTCGTGCATATATTGAACACCGTGAAGTAATTGCTTCATGAAACAGTCGGCTTCTAAAGGATGTAGACCATTTTTAGACGTTCGCGAAAGCAAACTGTACAAATCGCCCGAAGGACAAAACTCTAGAACTTCAACAAATCCGTCGTTGGTTTGCATTAGATCGAGCATCTTCAAAATGTTTGGATGTGATTTTTGTTTGTCATTTCCTCTTTGACTCAAGGCATGGCCTATGATAAATTCAGACGTTAGCCTCGTTCCAAATTTTTCCTTTGGTTCATCGGCCTTTGGTTTGAGTTTCTTCACAGCGTAGTACATTTTGGAACCATTCACATAAGTCTCATCGACCAATCGTTCATCAGTGACGGTACCTACATCAATGCAACAAACTTTTACGACGCCGTAAGCACCATGACCTATAACACCAATTGGTTTGCCGTATTTCTGAAAAAGTGTATAGTTTTTCTTTGCAATTTGTTCATCAGTGTCGCCTTCTTTAGCTCCGCCGTCGTGAATCTTTTTGGATATTTTATTGATCATTCCTAGTTCTTCGGACCCAATTGCGGCATTTGGATTTACAGGCTTCGGCATGTTACGTTCTTTATTTTTGTCCTCGGGGTCGCCATTTTCGTCTTTCAACTCATCATCCAGTATTCTACTGAGTCTCTTGTGAAATTCAAACCTTGTTCTGGGCAAAAGCGACAGTGCGCTCTCGAGTTTCTCGTCATCCTTGTGGCCCTTGAAAAATCCAGATAAGGAAAACATGGACTTGCCTTTGGCATCGTCATCCTGATTCTCAGAAACAAAAGGAGTCACTTTCAAAGTGTGTTTATGTGTTCCATTTTCGAAGAGTTTGAAAGTATCAATTTTCATGACGCATTTTGGATTGTTTTCGTTCTCCGATGTCTCTCGTAACACATGGGAGCTGCTTTGAGTCGGAGACCTGCCTCTATAACGGGATGAAAAGGAGAGCGACCGGGACCTAGGTGTTGCACCCGCATTCGAGCTCCGCCTTTGTAAACTCTTGACACGTCTTATTGTGTCTGGGTCTTTGGCTAACTCATTGTCTATCGTAGTTTCCTCAACGCTTTGGCCGTGGCCAGCAGCTCCACCGGATGCAAAATGAAAATAGTCAGATTCCTCACCTTCGTCGGACAAAGAATCCGCGTATTTGGGCTGCTTAGCCACATACGAGGACTTGGTCCTTAGTTTCGGGTCGTCGTCGCTGATTACAGATTCCTGGGATATGTTGTCACCCTCCAAAGGTTTAGAAACTGCTAGTTTCCCAAAGTCCTGCACATATGAGTGGGGCTTACCATTTTTGGCACCGACACCGTTTTGAGGCCTATGGGTCACCGCCGGCGAAGGCAATGGCGTTTCTCCCATTTTCGCTGGCGACCCAGCTGCGTGGTCTCTTCTCTTTCCCTCCAGCTCCATTTCTTTACTTTTGGCCAGCTTCTTAAGCTTGTCCGCAGTTTTGACACCCGCAGTCCCACTTTCTGGTGTCCCATGTGGTTTCCTGGGTGGTGAAGTTGACTTGAAAAGTCCCTTTAGCGATTTCGACAACGATCTCGACCGTTTTAGCTCATCTTCGATGGGGGGTTCCTCCAAATCCGGCTTTCTGGACATAGCACAAAGCGTTTGTGCCGCTAATATCAACCTTAAAGCGGCTTATAACGGCTAAACTGTGTGTTTTCGTTCGACAACAATATCAAGGAACTTATTATATTTCCTTGCTCAACTCTTTGATGTCCATTAAGATGGTGAAATTCAAAAACTATAGCGATGGCAAAAATTAAGTACGAATCATATTATACGTGTGTGACACCAGGTTGGTGTAATCGCTTCTCGATAGAAACTATAAGGAACAAGCTCTGGCATTGGCATTGGCAGGACCTCGCTGTGCTCGCTCGATATTTGTTGAGACAATCAGCTGAAAGCTATATTAATCTTCGTCCGTCTCACATGTGGACTAGAGCTTGGACAAAAACCTTGATCTTGTCCACGGCGCTCAATATAACCATGAAGGCACCAAAGAGCACGAATGAAAGTGTGCTAATAGCCGCTGCACGCCTATCAACACCCAAGAGGTACGCAGTAGCGATAGCGCCGCAATTGCATCCCAAAGTGAGCCCCCGTGTGACGTAGTCGTCCTCTGGTACCTGTAACAAGTCCAGTAATGGACCGCCCGTCAACACTCCCATTATTCCGCTTACCACGGTAGTTACAGCCATGATGGTGATGGATCCATTTAAGTTTTTGATTGTAGGCGTTCCAAGTGCGAGAGTAATGCTGCGGCCGATGAAACCTATGGACATCTCGCTTGATATTCCAATATGGTAGCAGACCAACGGATACAGTGTCAAGGACCCAGCGCACAGCAGCAAAATTGGTGGTATCATGCTCAAAAAGTGGCGCCGCAAATCATAACGATGTGTGTACATCGGCAGCGATAATCCTACGATCGAAACGTCCATACAGGTACTAAAAACGTCGCCCGCGCCGGGCCAAACATGGTACGCGAAGTCTTCGTTGTCAAAAAGATACAGGTACGTTCGTCCAGTCTTATAGTTCTTCAGGTCGAGCAGAAAATATTTGATGGCTCGGTGCTTAATCATGACTGAGATTAGAAGAACTATCCATGTTAGTGCAACCGAACAGATTACCGGGTGCAAGAGCTTTTTGTACTTGGGGTTTTTAATGAACGGATTGTCGACGATGATCATGAAAGAACACACCGCAGTAAAGAATTGAAACGGCATCACGTACCAGGAGAAATAGTAAGTGAAGATTGTCGCGAGAAATCCAAGTCCATATAGAATATGATGCAAGTGATTTTGCCACATATTAATCACAAATATCTTGTCAATATCCAGCGGAAACTCCTGGGCAATCTGGCTGGTAAGAGCACGTTGGCAAACTGCAGAGCTTGTTTGTGCTTCAGTAACAGCGGTAGAGCTGCTTTTGTTGGAGTATGAAGGCTCAGGAGTTCGCACCTCGACTCTTCTGACCGGGCCCGACACTTCACCGCCACTTCTTGCAATTCTCACGTAATCCTGGTGGTCAAATTCTGGTTTGGGGACAGTAGGGCTCGACAACGACGTAATATCACCATGGTCTGCATCATCATTAGGGTGTGTGCGAGATCTTACAGGTGAGATATTAGTGTTACTCGCAATATCAGACAAAACATTCATGTCTGATGCCCCATCATGGTCGCGATTGGACTCTCTTCTTATAGACTCTTCAGGTTCCGTTGACGCAACTAATCCCGAATTGCTAGCCGTTCTGCGATGTTCGCTAGGCGTGCGAGCGAAACTAGATCCGGCCTCCATGCCATTGCCAATTTCTTCCTGTCTCACAAATACGCTTATGAACTTACGGCTTCCGAACACTCTCTGACAAAGTATAGTAAAGTACGCCAGAATCATAAACGTTACCACATATCCGATTACAAAAACGGCTACGATGAGCAGTGCTTCCTGCCACGAAATCCAAGGGCTCAGTGGTAATACCACAAACGCGGGCGTGAAAAACAAGTTCATCCATCTTAGGCTCCAGCTCAATGGTATGTCAATGATCTTGACGTAAATATCCGCATAAGGTCTGCGCCAAGCGCTCAAGGAGCACATAAACCCGAAATTGATGAGCATTACCGCCACACTGGACGGAAATGTGACCTTGATCACATCCGCGATCAATCTGTCAACCCCATAGAGGATACAAAGGGTGATGATAACTCCTCCAGGAACCAAGACATAAGTCTTGAACAATTGTAATCTGTTTGTTTTCAGAAACTGCACGAACAAAAACCAATGTTTGACCCAGGCGCCCATTATTTCTGGTCGTTGAACTTTGATCAACGGTCTCGCAGACCAACTTCAAAGTTCAGCGCCAGCTTGAAGGAAGGACAAATTTGGAACCTGAAGAGTAGGATAGCGAAGTGAAACTTCCCTATTTTGTTGACAATGCTTTAAAAAGTATAATGTTACAAGCAGACGCTGACATGAGCAAGAACGTTCTCGTTGAATACGTAATGAGATATAACGGCTACACTTGGTTTTGAAGCCCACTTGAGATGGACTTGAAGAACGGTTCCAAAATATTCAGGATGCTAGCTGCATCGCCATTACGTCTGCAATTCATCCCGCGACCAGCGATTCAAGAGGGGTTCTAACCACTAAATAATGCCAGATTTTTGTAGGCCTTCAATGGAACCCACAGGGCTGGTGAGGAAGGTGGGACCTCTCACTCGATGCTTGTTTGGCTATTCACAGAAGCGAGGGACGCACGCAAGGCGGGCTTTCCCTCTATAAAGATTTTCCGGGTTTCTCGGGATTAATTCAGAGCCTCACGATGTCTTCCTCGGCCACTCGCTCGTGTTCGAGCTTTTCCAGTAGTTCTTGCATGATTTCAGAGCCCTGTTTGTTTCTCATATCCAGGGAGTCCACCACAGCGTTTTCTTTATCGAGAATCTCCAGAGTACAAGGAACACTGGCGTCTTTCTTATCCTCGTTTTTGACTCTAGTTACTTGGAATTGTAGATCTGGATTGTAAAATTGCAAGGTAGGTAAGTATTCATGCCAGAACTTGCGGGCCCCCATGTGGCCGTTGTGATTTTGTTGCTGGAACATCAATTTCAGACCTGAGTATTTGTGAGCATTCAGCAGAATTTGGGGCTCCACAGTCGTCGAACTTATCTTGTTGAAGAACTTGAGTTGTGTAGCGACGCGGGACATTGTGATGAATGAGACGAAGATCAAAGCTACTAGCGATAAAAGGTACTGGTGTAGTGATCTTCTATCGTCGCTTATTGTTTCGAATTTTCAAATCTGAATAGCACCACATACGGCACCCATAGCTCGGTCTCTTGATCCATTGAGAGCTTGAAAGACTATGGAAGATCTGCTCGTAGCCCGATTTTGGTTCGTGGCTAAATAAGATCTTATCGTTTCCATCTAAATCATAATCGCCAATCGTAAAATAATGAGAATATTATTATTTGTATATTTTTGGAACTGCAGATCGTAAACAGCCTAAGGCCTATCGATCGACGAGTTCTGAAAGAATTCTATACTTATCTTGAGCCTCATTTCGAATATTGCTACATGGTGGAGGTAACTCATATTTAATTAAGTAATGCGTAATTTTGAGTAAGTTCTTATGAGAAGTCATGGTGTGTGAATGGATGAAAACATGAGGGGCCGCGTCGTCGATAGATGAATGTTGCCTCAATCAAGTAAGTCTTTTCCAGATTATCAGAATTCCGCAAACAGCTCTTGATGTGGATCTTCTGCTTCTGTCCCATAAAAAATCTCCTCTTCTGGGTATCTATCGTATTGAGAAGTATCACCTTGGCCTGCCTGGATGGGAGGTTCGTACGGAGTCTCAATGTTCCTGCACAGCAGTTTCTCCCATACGACCTCGCTGAACCACGGATGGTTTTTAACGTCGTCACTACCATTTTGTAAATTTCCCAGCCGTTTGCTTAAGTCGCGAGTAATCAATTGACTCAGAAGATCTTGTACGTCAGCGTGAAAAAAGGGCGGAAACTGTAATTCAGCATTTAGAATGTTTTCGTAGGTCTTCATGGTGTTTGCGTCGTAAAATGGGGTGTAGCCAGCCAACATCTCAAATATAAGTATACCAAAACTCCACCAATCCACAGACTTATTGTAGGGCTTCGTACTCACTACCTCGGGGGCGATATAGTCCGGAGTGCCGCACAGTGTATACGTGACATCCGGCACAAACTTGGCGAACCCGAAATCTGTAATTTTAACATGACCGTTCTTATCCAGTAGCACATTTTCGGGTTTCAGATCTCGGTAAATTATGTCTTGAGAATGCATGTATTCCAAAGCCAAACATACTTCGGCAGCATAAAACTTGGCAACTGGGTTTGGGAATCTTTGGGATTTGCGCAGCAGCGAGAAAAGCTCGCCACCCTCGATGTAGTCCATAATCATAAACACCTGCTCTGCGTCCTGGAAAGTCCCCCACATACGGATGATGAACGGGTGCGATACCACGGAGAGCATGCGCCGCTCGTCGTTGGTATGCTCTACCTGCTTAAGTTTGACAATGGTTTTCTTTTTCAGCACTTTCATTGCGTAGAAACGGCCATTATGGTTGGAGCGCACAAGATGAACGCGGCCAAAAGACCCGGTTCCCAGTGTCCGCAGTATATGAAAATCCTTCAAGGTATACTTTCCGGATGTCTGCCGCCAGTGAACGGCCGAATTTTGTGCCATGACAGCTTGCTGACCCAGCGAGCTATCCTGATGCTGCTCCTGTTGCTGCTGTTCATGTTGAAGGGCTTCCTGAACCGATTCCGGTACCGATTCCTGCATCGATTCTTGCGTCGATTCCGGGCTCAAAACGCCTATTGGAAGCTCCCGGAACGTTTCTGACATAGTGTGTTCTGACAGGGACATGCGTGTTAGCGTCAAATCAGCTAGTAACTACTTTTGTCAAGGGCCTGAGGCTATATTTACAATCAAGCCGCAACCTCGAATTTTTTTTGCACCTGCCGGGAAAGTGCTGTCGCAGAAGAAACTCTTCTCTATCGTTTTCAGTATTTCAGCACGGAACCGCCCCAAAAAAGGTTATTATTACTGCTTGCCAAACTCGATACTTTACTAGTACTTCACTAAACAGAGAAAGATAGACCCCGAAAACCCGCTTCAATAAGCGTTCTCAAAACCCCTGGAAAATGTAAAACCCACAGAAAACTCTCCAATAAAGTCTGCGCAATAATCCAGTACTTAAGCTGCGATTTCAAACGTCAAAAAGTCACACTTTCTAAACTTTGCTCGTTGTTTATCTGGTTCGCGCTTCTAAAACCTTAAAGAGACCTTTAAAACAAATTTTGTCATCATAATGATTTTTTTCCTTCAGGCATTAGCAAAAAATTGACCCGTGACGAAAACCATATATGCGACATGTGAATAGCACGTTACCAATAGTAGTCGAAGTGTCAAACATGAATTTAGTGCTCTCCCGAACCATATCCAGCGTTCGTGGTAGGTTCTCAGGAGCTCATTTGACGGCCGTTATCCTCTTCTCCTTTTCTGGACTTTGGAACTCGTAGCATTTGGGATGTAGACGCCCTTCTCTCGCCTGGCGCGGCAACTGGCTGATCTGAGGTTGCAGTAGAACTGGGTCTTAGCGAGGCCTGTGACGGTCTGCGCAAGAGTTCGGTATCGGTGACAATTTTCATCATAAAGGAAATCGCCAATGCCAATATTCCAGCACATATGGGAAGCACCAGGAACAGTTTAGGTTGTTTCTTCACAGTGTGGCTGTAAATCTGGAATAAAATGGGTGGGAACACCAGCATGGTAGCACTTCTTATGAGGGCAATAGCACCGAAGACCTCGCCCAGTGAAGACTGCGAACAGTACTTCACCAACGTGGCCTGCAATGTAGGCGAAAAAACCGCACTCAAATCTTGCAAGACGGCAAATGCCACCATTGAATAGCCACGTTCATCGCCCTTCGCTACAGTGGCCATCGACACGGTGACGAAAACCATCGCCGTGCGCAAGGAAATCAAATCGATAGAGTCGATCGAGTTGTCGAGTCTCGTATAACGCTTTTTCAACCACATCAAGAACAGTGGAGACAGAAATAACAACACAAGGGCTCTTCCGATTCCCACGAGTGAAATAAAATATCCCAGAGTTGCACTGCTCCAATGGTACTTGTAGGTGCCGTACAGAATCAAGGGCCCAACCGAAGCCGTAGTGGAAACGATAAAAAACACGTCCATCGCCACGAGCATAAGCACTGATCGACGAGCCACGAAAGAGCCGTGTACAGAGGGAGGTAGCCACAGCTTCTTCAAAGGTGACAGCAGATCCACGAATTTGAGCAGATGGTATCTGCTGCGGTTGTTGACCGAGCTCGAGGTTGGATTAGACAGTACGCTGTCAAAACTCCGCTTACGAACGCGAAAGTGGTTCTGACTCTGCCTCAAGGCGTTGTTATGACGTGATTCAGTCAACAAGCCAGTGACAAACACAATAAATAAGATGGCCAAAATCGCTGAGATATAGAAGGGCATGTAGTTATTCCCATTGCTAGCCTTCACCGCCGCAGATCCAATCAAGGGTCCTACTCCCAAGCACCCGTAGATGGTGCTCATAAGCATACTAATGGCCATTGTGCGATCAGCCGGTTCTGTGCAGTCTGCGATATAGCTGTTTCCAGTAGCTATCAAAACCATCAATCCGCCTGATACCGACTGAATGCTGTTGGCCAAAATCATACCAGTCCTACTAAAAGGAGTGTTTGGTAGAATCGTGTACAAGATAGCCAGTACTGCCACGAGGCGGACGATTGCGATGTACTGGAATATGGGTTTCCGACCGAAGCGATCTGAAAGCTCACCCAACTTGCCGGCCAGCAGCGTGCCGATAACCCCACATATCAGCATCTGAACCGATTGGATCGACGAAAATACCTTTTGAGCCTGGGCCATGTCGCACTGGCCATTTTCAGAAGTCGCTTCGCAAACCTTCTTGATCGACATAACAATCGTGGGAGACAATGTGATGCTTTCCATGAGACTCGAAATTCCCACCGCAAAACACAAGATATTGGTTCCTGGTCTGCGCCATCCTAAATGCGAGTGTTGCTCTCTGCTCTCTCTCAACCATCGTGCTTCATCAGTGTCGTCTGTCATCGCATTTTCGAGCATATTGGCACCGGTTTGTTCCACGGCAGCTTCCAAGCCTTCCAGGTCTGGGACCATTAACGGAGACGTTTCATTAGGCTCGGAAACAGGCCTTGCATCCCGAGTATCTGCCATCTGTCTTACAATTGTTTCTTGACGGTTCTTTGACCTTCACTTTATTAGGCCTTTTTTTCTAAGGTTCTGTCCGAATACTAAGCAAACCCTGAAAGTGTCAAAAACTATCGATATCCAAAAACAAGCTTGTCTCGCTCAACGTGAGATGTTGCTGTCAAATGACTTTGATTTGCTGGGAAGATGCCCAAAATGGGGAATAAGACTAGGCTTTTATGGTTACCAAAATGCAACACGATGACTTATAGCTTTCTGCCATTCACGTGGCCAACCATAGGGGAGGAACTTTAGAGCAACCATGGAAGGATGTGGTATCCAATATTTGAATCCTTTCCATGTTTCCAGATTTGGAGTTTTTTACTCCTCGTGTGATATCTTTGGAGTGGTTGAGGCGAAAGAATGATCGGTATGAGATCAGACTCATTTATGCAGGCCAAATTCAGCAGCGAAGGAAGCAATCTTATGTACTTTTTAGTTATAGGGATTCTAGTGTAAGTTAAAGTGGATCACACCAGTAAAATTGGGAACCCTGCTGTCCAAGAGCCTTTTTGAAACGCTCGCAGTACGCACATTCATTGCTGCTTTTTAGTCTTGTCTGTTGCATTGAGTGTGACGTTTCTCAGTAGAACATGGCTTATAAATTCCAGCAGCAACATGGTGAGTGAGGAAAGAATTGCCAAGCAGTAATTCGAGATCGTGACACCTATGTCCAGCCAGCTGCCCTCAGTCTTTAGCAAGAAGAAAAACTGCAGGGATAAGATGTCACTGGTACAGATTATGAGCGACGAAATGCTGTAGTCCTTGATCTGCAACTTCAAGTTCAGAATGCCGAGACCTGTGGACAGCGTGATGAAAGGCAGAATCAGCTTGATCACCAGGAGCGCACCCATAGGGAACGGATCAAAAACCGGCATCAAGCGGTAAACGGAGTCAAGCGAAAACGACGAGATCGAAGCCACATTACCGGTACCGAAAAATGCAATCTGCATGAGAAAAAAACCAATGACAGAAACCCGCAGCAGTTGCAGCCAGTTGCCAGGACCAGCCAGGTTGTTCTTTTGGGTCTTTATTTCGGTTTCTATCTCGATCCACTGAACGATGTATGCAGTAAAGAAAAAGTAGAAAAACGACTCGAATGAAATCGTGAGTATGATGAAGGCCGGAGCAAACGTTAGGTATATCACAAGCATCCGAACTCTATAATCATTGTTGGGCTTCAAATAGTGACCCAAGGGCATCACCACCATGGACAACACAAACACGAACCATCCCGCAAGCTGTGCAACCCGGGGTAAACCCTCCCTGTTCTGCAAGGAGTTAACGGATCTGTTCGTGATGGCGACCATGGCGACAATTAGTGCGACTTGGCCCACTAATATTTTGAAAGTATGGCTCTTAATATTTGGGCGAACATAACGGATAGCCCAGCACCCGCTTAGGATTATCAGGGCACTAGCTATGTTGATCTGGTTCAAACTTTCAACTTTGACTGCGTCGAACAAGGTGAATACGGAGATACAAACACTAGTGATCATCCAAAACAAATTTTTGTTGACACTTTTGATGCCACAGGCTAATGGATAAAACCCGAGGGCAATAAAATTTGCGGTAAAGATCCATCGATTGAAGAACCCATAGACGATACTCTCATAGACGGCAAGAACCACAACAACAATGCCAATTTTTTTGCCACGAGAGATACCTTTGAAGAACTCGCCCAGACCATCATCTAAAATGACTTTGCTTTTGAAGATTTGGCTCCAAAAGAACAGTGGAAACATCAAATACATGTAAAAGTTGAAAGGAGACTTCTGGTAGTAGAGAACGTAGTTCAATACAACTGATAGAATGCCGAAAGCCACATAATTGGTGTACGATGCTTTTAATGAGTACTCCTTAGTTAAGATGAATAATCTCAGAAACAAAATGAATGAGTAGGTGATCCATCCGACAAAGCCGAGGGTCACAATAGTTCTGGTGAACTGTCTGTTGTATGTTGTGAGATAGTAGAGACCTTCTAAAGTAACTGTCATCAATTCTTCCGTTATCTTGATGGCAGATTGTTCTGACTCTACATCTCCTGACTGCACTTTGACTATGAGATCCTCAATTTGTTCTTGATACATGGAAGGTGATTTCTGCGCAAACTTATGATACTGTTTGTAATGAAATTGAGAGAAAATAATCTCCTCTTCCTTCACCAAGTACTGTTCCAATATGCTTCTGGCGTTAGCGTAAAGTGCTTTCAACTTATTCTCCTCGGAATCGTCAATATAGGCTAGTGGCAATTCGCCTACAGAATTAACTGGATAGTTTGCGCCAATCAAGTAAGACATGAACGATGCAATATCAGCTTGCTTCACGTCATTTCTCTTTATCTGCGACAAGTTCCAACCTTGCGTATAGTTATCGTAAACCGGTACCTCATTCATCACTGGCTTCTTGATGCCAGGACCCCACGCCACTAGGGGAGTTCTCGTGTTATTGGGATGGCCATCGCCATGCGATCCAAACGCACTCATTCCGTGGTCTGCCGTAAAAATAAAGGCGGTGTCTTCATCGTCAAAAAATTTGTTAACTTTAGGTACCAGCTTCTCTAACTGCTGGTCGATATACTTGACATTGTCATAATACTCAGCAGAATATGGGCGGTATGAATGACCGGCAGTATCGCAGCCCAGTAGATGAAGGAAAAAAACATTGCCTTGCTGCATGATCTCCTCATGTAGTTTTGAGTCCACGGTAGAGTTGTAGAACAGGCTATCTAGATTTTTGAAGACGAAAGCGTCCAACTCAATTGAAGATTGAGTGAAATCTTCAAACTCGTGACCATACATCCAGGCATCCACTCTAGTAGGATCTGAAGCCCCATCTTTGAACATAGGAAGAATATCTGGTGACCCAAACGAATACGTGTGAGTCGACTGATTGAAGAAACTGTCAAAATCGACTGGGTTTTCCTTCCATCCTTTCGTTACGGCGCTCACGTCTTCGTAAAAACCAGCAATCATTGCAACATGACCTGGCCGCGACTCTGTAGGCATTCTGGTGTGAGAGACCCCGTAAGTAGCATTATTCTCCACCAAAGATCTGATGTACGGCGCAAGATGCCCCGTTTCACCCGTCGTTGGATGTGTGATATTCTCGAAAGTTGTATCAGCCCTTAAACCATCACCTACTACTAGGAATAGACGCTTGGCTGGCGGCTGGTCAGTACTTTTGTGAGTCCTCATTCCATGCACCAAAGGCGACACGAAATATATGTCAAAAATAGACCATAGATAAAAAAAATGGAAGAGAATACCAACCACCACAAAGGTTAATCTTTGTTTGCTCCACATCTCCCCTTTTGAACAATGCTTGTGTTTCGAGGGATCAATCACAGAGGCTTAACTCTAGTCTTGTAGTATCAGCGATCCACCATTCTATCCATATAATAATGAATAGTACGTGTTAGAAAACAACACTCGACCTTGTAAGGTGTCGTCTTAAACGGCTCATCGCTGATAATTTAACTAAAGGCGCTCCTGATCAGCGTCCGTTGGGAGCATGTGAGCGCTGGTAGACCGAGTTCATGAGAGTAGCAAAGCTGTCGGAAACAAGTCGTTGTCGGTCTTGGAGTTTCTGAAGTCTCTCTGCGATCTCTATATCGTACTTTTTGGAATGCAGCAGAATCGCAGTATTTTCGACACGAGAAAGCCGATCTTGGAAAAGGTCGTCCGCCGTAGAACGTCTTAGAAGTGCGTCCAGGATTTTGCGCTTTATTCTGTTAGTTTCACTTTGGAAGCTCTTGATAATTTGCGTCATCCGCAGAACTTCGTGCCTGTCGACTGAATTTATTTGCAGTACTGGAATTGCAGGTAGAGGAGTATGAGCGATGGAAGCATCAACACCCAGTTCTTGTAGAGACAATGGCTCGGGCTTATATATACGGGGCAGTGGCTCATTGACAGGTCGTGACAGGCTTTCAAAAGCCACTTCTTGCGCAAATTCTGAGATGTACGTCTGTCTGTTAACCACGTTTAGCTCGAGCGTATCATTGCGCTCTGTTTTGGGCCTCTTGATCCGCACGCCTTCGAGGGTGTCGCTCACCTGCTGCATATTGAAAAATTGGTTCTCATTTGGGAGCACGCTTTCGAGCTCGCTGAGCTTTATGCTTGTAAAGTCGTCACCATTTGGTGTCTCTACTTTACCGTTGTTTGCGGCTGCTCTTTTGATAGGAATCGACTGAGGATGAGTTTGTCTTCTTTCGCTCAATCCAGTCTTAAATAATTCATCTACGACTGGCTCAGTCTGTTTCGAGGGTTCCGGTGGCTTCACGTAGCTAGATGGAACGTTCTTTGTTTCAGAATTAGACACTTTAGAGACTCCATCTTTTGGCATCTTCAGCCTCTCCATTATATTCTTGATATCCTGTAAAGAATCCGCAGTTGAGTTTGGCTGATTTTTCACGGGCGAAGTTGACCTTCTGTTTTGCTCTTTGTCATGGTGCATGGTTCGAGCATAATGACGTTGGTAATTACTGAGAAACGGAGAAGTTGTGACATCTTCTTCGTCCTTATCAATTTTATCGCCGTTGAATTTGGTACGTTTGCCCTCCTGGAAAGGCTTGGAGGCATAATTCTCGTAAGCTGTCTCCTTATCTTCCTGCAAATCCGAGGCTGTAGCAGCAAATCGAGAGCTGTAAGTAGATCCACGTAGCTTGGACTCCTGCCCCTCCGCGTGCGGAGGGGCAGGACGTTGGTGTTGATAACTTTTGGCCTTGAACAGCTTGTCGCGACCAACCGTAGACAATCCTATGGAATTTGGGCTCTTCGGTACAGGTTCATTTTCGACCCCAAATCCATATGGTTGTTGCTCGTAGGGCTTACTTCTTCGGGGAAGCGAGGTTTGGGGCCGCGGCGTGGCATGTTTCGGGAGTGACGAGTTGACATTAGTAGTATTTTTTGCAGGGCTAGAACGAGGAATTGGCTTCTGAGGCGATGATGTAGGAGTCCGTGGATTCTGAGAGATGCTGACGGTCGCTGCTGCTGCCGCTGCTGCTGCCACCATCGAGGAAAGTTTGCTGCGCTTCGGAATATATGTGTGGAGACCCTTAGATATAAGCTTGACATTGTAGTCTCGCCTTGTTTCCTTGTCGGTCAGTACCGATTGAGCGTGTGATACGAGCTTAAACATCTCAGCAGCGGTGCTGGACTTGTTCTTGTCTGGATGAATCGCCATAGCTATCTTCCGGTAAGCTTTTTTGATCTGAGACTCCGATGCATCGGTGGTAAGTCCCAAGACTGAGTAATAAGTTGTTTGGTCGATCCATGCTTCTTCAGATGCCATGACAGATAATAGTGTCAAGTATTGTAGAAAACAACTTTTGGGATTAACAACGGTCTTGGCCCTTTTGATGCTAAAAAAAGATGGCTTTGAGGTTGGAGAAGTCCTATCGATCACTTGAGAGTTGGAAAGACAATGTGCGCCGAAGCTAAAAAGTGTATCTTGCCACAAAATCTGCTTACCAGATCTGATCTATAGAGTTTGGCTAGCTCATCGGAGAAATCAAACCTAATCCAAGGTAAACAAAAGATACTACGTAGAGCCAATTTCCAAAAAAAAAAATTGGAGTAAACCGACCTCGGTGAGGATTGAACTCACGATCTTGCGATTAACAGTCGCACGCCTTAACCAGCTTGGCCACGAAGTCATATTAAAACTTGAATGAGCGGTGAAATAAGAAGACGATAATTATATGCTTTGGTTGAACACCTGCTTCGCAATGCAAACAACGATACACTCAGCGTAGAGGTGGTAAAGCGAGCTGTATTAGAGCATATTAAGGCGTCTCTCGGCAAAAATTGAAGCTCACATTGCTGGTGTAATCAGAAATGCGAACTTAATTATTAATTCTCCGATACCGGGAATCGAACCCGGGTCTCCACGGTGAGAGCGTGGTGTGATAGCCCCTACACTATATCGGATATTTAATTGTTGTTGAAGAAAGGAAAACTTTAGCCATTATTGTTAGAGGGTAACGGTCGCGTGATCTTGAGGTTTCGTCTCTTGAACTCAGATGAGTGCTCTGATTTAGTTTGGTTTGATTCTAGTAAGATCGTAATGGGTTGTTGCAGTTTTCAAACTCTATTGTTTGCCGATTGTTGCTGAGTTTATTTTTTATAGTTTGTTTCACGTAAGGTGCATTTCGATCAAGTAATTATCCCCACACTAAAAATACGTTGGCAACTCGCTAAACTTCAAACCAAACACTCATTAACTTCAGAGCTTGGATTCAAATATTATATAGAGCCTTATGCATGCCAGCATTGTAACTCAATCACCACTTGTAACAGGATCATTGTGCTGTTTTGAGCTGTTCATGGTGTACGACCCCCCTGCATTTCATATGGCAAGGTTAAATTGCAAATCTACAACCGGCAAGCGAGCCCTTGAAATGATTAACTTCTTGTGAGGCAATACTCGCGTTCAGTCTCCAAACCAGTAGCCCATAACTGTCCGATTTCATCAAAGAGACCTTCTCTCAGTATGAAGCCTATAACAACCCCGAAGATACCGTTTAATGCCTCTAAGGGCAATGTCTTTTCTAATATAGCTATAAACTCTCTGTTTGGACTCGGCATATACTTTCTTTACAAGGGACATCAGAACAAGGACGAAGTAGTCTCAAAACAGAAAACTCGGGAGCCTCTGCCCTCGGAACACGGTCAAATCTCTAGTTCTCCTACTCGCGTCAAATTCTCGAATTTGACTTCAGCGTTCGGCACTGAGCTTTCTCATATGACATCGACGCTTTCCTACCAGGAACTTTCATTTGTCACTGTTGGGTTTGGATTCATGTTGCAATTGGCAAATATGGCGCATGTATCTTATGGAAGAAATTCACTGCTCTACAAATTGGGAGTTTTCTCGGTAATCCTCTATCCTCCACTAACTTATTACATGTATAACTCACATATTCAGAATACCTAGGCTTTCCGGTTTACTGCGGGCGCTTATATATATTAACTTTAACAACAGATATTGGCTTTATGGGCGGTTAACAAGTTTGATGAATTTAACATGTCTTTATAATATTAACTAATATACACGTAGACTTAAAAGAAATGCTCCTCTACCATGGAGCTGAAACCTGATGCCTTCTGAGAGGCTTTACGAACTAATTGGACTTTAACGAAATGTGGAAAGATGGATCGTGATGCATTCATGACTTTAAGAATCAATCGTTCTGTTTAACAGTCGATCAATTCAATGACTTCCAAGTGGACTGGAGAGCATTGAGCACCTAGGGATTCATCGTACAAGTTGTAGAAAGAACCGGATAGACATTGGTAGAAAACATCGTGAGGACCGATGGCCAAGTTACCTTCTGGGGTGATGGCCCATCCAGCAGCGTAGATGGCGCCAGCTTGTGGAGGAGGACCGTCAAACTGGAATTGTCTGTTGGCAACGATAGAACCAATTCTTCCCTTGGAGTCCTTCAACATACCGTTTTCTAGAGTCATGGATAGAGAACCATCGGCTTTGCAGGAAACGGAGGTGACAAAAGAGTCGTCAGAGGCGGCAGCTGGAGAGATCGAAGCAGAAGTGCTAGCTTGAATTTGACCGTCGTTGATTTGAGAAGCAGCGCTAACAGTGGAGTTGGCAGAGGTTGCTTGAATTTGACCGTCACCGATTTGAGAGATAGCAGGAGCAGATGGCTTCAATGTGGTGGTGGTAGCTTGAATTTGACCGTCGCCGATTTGAGAGATGGCAGCGGCAGTGCTCTTTGGAGTAGAGGTCGAATTGGCTGCTTGGATTTGACCATCACCAATTTGAGAGATAGCAGCGGCAGTGCTCTTTGGAGAGGCAGTGGAAGTGGTAGCTTGAATTTGACCGTCACCGATTTGAGAGATGGCAGCAGCAGTGCTCTTCTTGGCTGGAGCGGTGGAAGTGGTAGCTTGAATTTGACCGTCACCGATTTGAGAGATGGCAGCAGCAGTGCTCTTCTTGGCTGGAGCGGTGGAAGTAGTGGCTTGGATTTGACCATCACCGATCTGGGAAATAGCGGCAGCAGAGGTCTTCTTGGCTGGAGTGGCAGAAGCAGAAGTGGTAGCCTGGATCTGGCCGTCACCGATCTGAGAAATGGCGTCTCTCTTGGCGTGGTCAGTCGAAGAAGCAGTGGCAGCGCTCAAAGTGGAAACCGAACTGGTGATAGGAACGACAGCGATACCAAAGGTCTCGCTGTAAGCAGTGTGACCACCTTGGTAGGTAGCAGTAGGAGTCAAAGTGCTCCATGGCTCAGAGCCGGTAACGCCAGCGGAGGCTGTAGAAGCAAGAGCGGCAGCAGCGGCCAAGACGGTGTTTTTGTATTGCATTGAGGGAGTTGGAAAGGTGTTTGGATGAGTTGTACTGATCTATGGTTTTCTAAATCAAACTAAGGACATCTTCATCATTCTACTGATGGCGATCCGATATATATACGATTTGGCGCTAAATTAAAATGGCTTTGATCCAATTTGCAGTTTTAACCTGCCAGTCAAGTTTCGGCTAGATCACAGATCGAGAATGCCGAAAGAAGGAGACCAGGCTTGCTCGTGAGCTAATTGACCTTGGAACTAATTTCCAATTGCTGTCTTAACCAGTGCTTCCATGGTTGCCTGCTGCTGGAGTACTGAGTTCTCGACACTTTTGATAGATTGCCCAGCCTTGCGTATATTGGATTTTTCGTCGCATGCGATTAAGTAAGCAGGAGTCTTTCAAATGGGCGAACCAGCCAGTGAGTGAGCAAGAAACGAGCAGGACGAGAAAGCTGGTTCGCGTTAATCGGGTGGGGGCAATAATTGTGGCATTCTAGGTTCTAGACCACGACAGCGGTGCTAGCACAAGGGCGGCGTGCGAAGCGCGTGCGGGGGTTTCCGTATTGCGGAACACAGCCATGCGCAAAGAGCACTACCGCACTCTGCTGGTGTGCGGGATCCACATCCTGGGGAACCAAACGCCCAACAAACCGCCCCACGCTTTCCTACCAGCATAACAAAACCCAACTTGCTGCCAGATCCGATCATCACTTCGAACGGATGTGTCGTCGCGAATTTTCACCACACTGGAAAAGCTTCAAGGCTCCCGATTCCCAGACTGCGATCCCGCTCGCAGCCGGGGCCAATTAGCACTCGACTCAGCTATCTCGCCTCCCCTTCTTCACGCGGTGGCCGATCTGCCGTCCCAGAGCCAATATGTTTGCCTCATTCGGCAAATCCCTGCAAAAAAAAACGCCAGAGTGCCATTTGTTCGTATTGCAGCGCAATAAGCCAGCATTGGCAATGTAAAAACGAATGGCACTGAGGCATGACATGACATGGCTTAACTACGAACAAGGTAACTACGGGCAAGCCCACGGGAGCCCGGGACACTGGAAAAAAAAGATGTGCATTTCAATTCGTGGTCGCCACGATTCCACCATGCTACGCTACACGACGTTGCACCAAATTTGGCAGATCCCACACTTCTCACTACGCCTCGCTCATATCCGGTCCGGATCGCTGTTTCCGGATAATGGTGCCAGCTCTTGATTAAATTATGCCCCTCCAGCACCTAATTAGCCCGATACGGTTAAAATATTGATTTTTAGCATACGGCAGGTTTTTTTTAGAAACAGATTTCCAAGGTAAAGGAGACTCACCAATGCAGTTAATTGATGTAGCACCAGCGGCGGAAAGCAACTTGGAAAGTATTTAAAGAGCGGGCTACGATGATGGATAGACTTGGTGAAGTGTGAATCTAATTTCTCCTTGTACTTTTTTCAATCAGAAATCATCTACACTCGCTGGATTTCCTCTTTCCGCACACTAAACAATAATGCAATACAAGAACACTGTATTGGCCGCTGCTGCCGCTCTTGCTTCTTCTGCCTCAGCCGCAGTCACTGCCTCTGAGCCATGGAGCACTTTGACCCCTACTGCCACCTACCAAGGTGGTCACACTGCTTACAGCGAGACCTTTGGTATCGCAGTCGTTCCTATCACCAGTTCGGTTTCCACTTTGAGCGCTGCCACTGCTTCTTCGACTGACCACGCCAAGAGAGACGCCATTTCTCAGATCGGTGACGGCCAGATCCAGGCTACCACTTCTGCTTCTGCCACTCCAGCCAAGAAGACCTCTGCTGCCGCTATTTCCCAGATCAGCGATGGTCAAATCCAAGCCACTACTTCCACAACTTCTGCGAAGAGCACCGCTGCCGCTATTTCTCAGATCAGTGATGGCCAAATCCAAGCCACTACTTCCACAACTTCTGCGAAGAGCACCGCTGCCGCTATTTCTCAGATCAGTGATGGCCAAATCCAAGCCACTACTTCCACTGCTTCTTCGAAGACCTCCGCTGCTGCCATTTCCCAGATCAGCGATGGCCAAATTCAAGCTACCACTTCCACGGCTCCAGCCAAGAAGAGCACTGCTGCTGCCATCTCTCAAATCGGTGACGGCCAAATCCAAGCTACCACCTCCACTGCCTCTCCAAAGAGCACTGCCGCTGCTATCTCTCAAATTGGTGATGGTCAGATCCAAGCTACCAACTCGACCTCTGTTGCAAAGAGCACTGCTGCTGCCATCTCTCAAATTGGCGATGGTCAAATCCAAGCTTCCACTACCACTTTGAAGCCATCTGCTTCAGCTATCTCTCAAATTAGTGACGGTCAAATCCAAGCCACCTCCACTATGAGCGGTGCTTCTCAAATCAGTGACGGTCAAATCCAAGCCACCTCTTCTGCTTCCACCTCTGCAGCTGCCGCCTCTGACGACTCTTTCGTCACCTCCGTTTCCTGCAAAGCCGATGGTTCTCTATCCATGACTCTAGAAAACGGTATGTTGAAGGACTCCAAGGGAAGAATTGGTTCTATCGTTGCCAACAGACAATTCCAGTTTGACGGTCCTCCTCCACAAGCTGGCGCCATCTACGCTGCTGGATGGGCCATCACCCCAGAAGGTAACTTGGCCATCGGTCCTCACGATGTTTTCTACCAATGTCTATCCGGCTCCTTCTACAACTTGTACGATGAATCCATCGGCGCTCAATGCTCTCCAGTCCACTTGGAGGTCATTGAGCTAATCGACTGTTAGTCGAATAGCGAAAAGAAAAAAAATCCAAAACCAGCACGCATATGCGATGAAAAACTAATACTAAAAGGTACAATAGCTACCCCCCTCATATTTCACAACTACTGCATCTACCCACATTCCTTTATTTCGTTAACTAATGCATTTTCTCTCATCGACGTTCCCTCTGCATTTTCCATAAAAAGGTTAAACCCTCAATTCAGCATTCGAGTTTAATCACACGTTTCTCATCACGATGCCATTGTTTACCAATGGTCTCTATTTTTCGATTTAAATATCGGATAAGTTCTTTAATGAGCCGGTCTACTCCTTTGATGAGGAGTTCCAAAATCATATACAATTTTTATTAGTTTGTCTACGCCCAAGTTAATACAAAAACGAAAGTTTTATCAATTTCACCTTTTCTTAGAGCACATCAACCTTCCTACAATCTTATTGACGCTATCGAACTCGGTCCATGTACAATTGGCTATGTTGACTGGTAACCATTTTTCATGATGTTTCCAAAAATAGAAAAAAAGATAAAATTCAAGCTTGCACTCAGGTTCGAACTAAGGACCAACAGATTTGCAATCTGCTGCGCTACCACTGCGCCACACAAGCTTGAAGTTGAAATAATGGATTAACTGCCTTGACTATGTAGTTTGCGGCAGAAAACACAGGATCCAGCATTTTCGGCGCTGGAGCAAGAAATACCAGGACCAATTCACATTGAGATTGTTATGAGTTGTAGCTCAGACATTTAAGAAGCTCTCTCTTTTCAATATTGGGATTTAGCTGTTGTGTCTCCCCATTAGCATCTTTATGTATTATAAGGGCAAATTATATTTCTTCGCTTGTTCAAGAAAAGGATACCTTCCATTTGTCAGAAACAATTCTATATAAGTGTGAGAATTCCCGATTGTAGACGTTCACTAGTCCAAGAATACTCGACAAACTTTAGAATGTCAACGATGTCTAACACTAAAATAGCTTTGGTAACTGGAGCTTCTTCTGGAATTGGATATGAACTGACGAAGCAATTGGCCCAGAAAGGCTACAAAGTTTACGCCGCTGCGAGGCGAATCGATCGCATGAAGCCGCTAGAAACGGAGTTTCCGGGCTTGGTGGTTGCGGTCAAGCTAGATGTCAGCGAACCCAAGGAGATCGCCGCTCTAAAAGATCGTTTGCAAACGGAACTGCCATCGCAGAAACTTGACATTTTGTACAACAACGCAGGCCAAAGCTGTACTTCCCCCGCCTCCGATGTGTCCAACGAGGTTATGGAGATGGCCTTCAAAGTAAACGTTTTTGGACCTATCAATCTGTGCCGTGAACTACTGCCCTTTGTCATCAATGCTCGTGGAACGGTCGTGTTCACAGGGTCCATCGCTGGTCTAATAAGTTTCCCCTTCGGTTCTGTTTATAGCGCTACTAAGGGCGCCATTCACAGTTACGCCAGCGGCTTGCACATTGAAATGAAGCCATTTGGAGTGCGGGTTTTGAATGTAGTCACTGGTGGTGTTGCTACGGAAATTGCGGACAAACGCCCAATACCTGCCGACTCCATCTATAGCATTCCAGAAGCTGCAGATGCGCTACAGTACCGCCGTGATATGGTTAAAAGCAACAAACCTATGAACGCAGCGGTGTACGTCTCCCAGGTCTTGAAAGATGTCGCAAGCTCTCGGGATCCGGTAGAGGTTTATCATGGGACTTTCTCCACTATTGCCTACTATCTAGCCAAATTCATGCCCTACTGGCTTCTGGAAAAGGTACTGGAGCACAAATTCAAGCTTTCCGGTATGACCAAAGCTCTCCAGAAATCAAAGCGTCAGTGAACAAGGCTTGCTTGCTACGTAGATTTTGTTCTTGACAAATTGGCTATCACATTGTTTCTAAGATGCAACAGAACAGTTCTTTCGTAATTATTATTCATACATTCTGTAACCGTATTTCTAACTAACTAAAAAATATCGTCGAAGCGATCTATGAAGTGTGAATGATGCGCATGATGGGTATTGTTGATATTGATTTTAATGGCAAAGTTCAAAGCTTCGTATTTAGCAGTCAACGAGCTTGACGATTTCCAAATGAACTGGAGAACATTGGGCGCCAATGGACTCATCGTACAGGTTGTAGAAGGTACCGGACAAACATTGGTAGAAAACTTCAGTTTCACCAACGGCTAGATTACCATTTTCGGTGATAGACCAGCCGGCAGCGTAGATGGCACCAGCTTGTGGAGGAGGACCGTCGAACTGGAATTGTCTGTTGGCGACGATAGAACCGATTCTGCCCTTGGCATCCTTTAGGATACTACCATGCAAGCTCATCTCCAAGGTGCCATCGTTTTTGCAGGACATGACCTTGATATCGGTATCTGGGATGCTGGATGCTGACGCAGAAGTCGAGTTGGACGACAGAGTAGTGGTTTCGTGCATGGAAGCAGAAGAGGAAGCAGGAATTAGGCTTTCCGAAGCTTCAGATGACACGACTTCAGAGGCAGTGGCAGAAGTAGCCTGGACCTGGCCGTCGCTGATCTGAGAAACGGTAGAAGTAGCATGGATTTGAGAAGAGGTAGAAGTAGCCTGGGTTTGAGAAGCGGTAGAAGTAGCTTGGATCTGGCCGTCGCTAATTTGAGAGATAGCGTCTCTCTTGGCCTTGCCAGAAGCAGTGGCAGTGACGGAAGCAGAAGAGCCGGTGACAGCCTTGACGGCGATACCGAAAGAACTGACGTAGTCGGTGAAACCACCAGCAATAGTCTTGGTTGGCGTCAAAGTGGTCCAGGACGAAGAGTTGACGTCCTCAGCGGAGACGACGCAGCCGGAAAGAAGGGCAGAAGCGACAAGAGACTTGAATTGCATTTTGGCGAAATATAAGTGAGCGAATGGACGGGTTGTAGATCGAGAATGAACGAGCGACGACACAACTTTCAAGACTATAACTACAAAAAAAGAGAGCTAACAGGATCGTCCTCGAAACCATGTCCACCACACACTACTTATACAGCCCGGATTCTTCCATCCCAGCCCCAGCCTAACCACACACACGCGCGATCCAGAGATCTATCCGCATGGCTCGACAAACAACCCAAAAGAATCAAAAGCTCGCGTTCGCGGAAGATCCAGGTTCCGGGTCTAGAATGTTGGCGATGCTAATGTTGTTGTCCTTCCTGCTGTTGTCAGAAAACGACGCAAGTGTCATCGAGAGGGTACATGCGCGTCAACATACGCAGTATACGCTTCCATTGCCAACTTGCCAATCCCAAATCGGTTTTCCATCTCAGACCTGGTCGCGGTCTCGAAACGCTGCTACAGACAACTGACTACAAAATAAACACTAAAATGCCTTCCACCGCTATTTCTGGCTCGCGTCTAGACTCCCAAGAGCTGGTAACACCGAGCGTTCAAATGTTTCTTGGTGCAATAGACGGCTTTTTCATTGACGTCGTTTGGTGGTTACCTCTCTGGGCATCAAATTTTTTTTTCACTTCCTACTATTGTGAGGATCGCGAATTTAGTACTGTAACAGGAAGGTGTGGAAAGTAGACGAGACAGGCAAAGAAAGGGCAAAGAAGACCGTGAATACGAATGGGAATATGGATGTGGCTGAGTGGAAAATTTTCGTGATCCCCCAGAAACGAGTGGGAGAATCCGGGAATAGCTGCGAAAATACCGAAACAAGATCGTTACAGACGGCGTTTTTGATGATTTGGCCGAGTAGAGAAAACGAGTGGATCATCTAGTTGACGTGGATACATAAACGACTGCAAGACGCGAAGGCCGGGCAGAGAAAACGGCACTTCGCGAACCAGCTTGCTAGCCGTGGGACGATCTTGCAGACGACGTCGACGCGTCGAGCAAATAGGCTTGGGCACTTTTAGACTACAGGGCCCCACACAGGAAGAGATGGAAGTCAAATGCTAGCCGAACTCCCATCAGCAACAACGCACATTTTATCGGTCGTTCGTTTGCCCGTGATTTTTACTGCTCGTACGAAAATCATCGGGGATAACCCAGTTGCGTGAACGAAACTACCGTATACACATTCAACTCTGGCAGTGTATGTTGGGCGTTGCCTCTCTGGCTGACAACGACGTTGCGCCTCTACTAACCAAAAACGTTCCCGGTTGCACCAACCCGATTTATTTGCAGCTATTTAGCATCGAATCTATCCAGCTCGACTATCTAGTATATCGCGCCCGCGCGTAATATAAATATGCGTTCCTTCACCTTAAACAGATGAGTCGGCACCGCTCCATCCCTGGCTGATAAGACCTGATTTCAACTCGCGCATCATCCACCTTGATAATGCTTGAATTCCGCGATCTTCACTGGAAGACAGCTCCGCAATGTGTTGTAGTTTGAAACACAGCTTCTCAGCGTATCGTCCTATAGGCTCCACGAACACGTGCCGATAAAACCCAGGATCGTTGCACACACAGTTTCTGCTAATGCAAAAGATCATTGATACCAAATGGTTAAGTGTCGTGCTTGTATCTCTTGGAAATCCACACAATGCGCCGATCAAGGTGTCAACTGCTATCAATTCCATTTGGCGCGTGGCAAAAAACATATCACGAGAGGCAGACATAGGAGGTGCCAGCGAAATGTTTAGACACTCATGATCGCTATCCTGAGATTCTTGCGAATTAGTTTGAATCGGCGTTCTAAGAGAATACATTGGAGATACCGTTGTTCCAGATGAGGTAAATCTAAATTCACACCCGAAAGAATAACCCTGCGAAACCAAGTAACCGGAGCCGTCATGCCATTGTGCACTGTAGTGCAGTAGCGATGAGGACGAGTCTTGCGCCAGGAAGTTGTTGCCTAGCATGTGACGGAGGTTCGCGACGTTTATGTTAACTTCAAAAACCACATTCTTTACCTCTCCTGGCCTCAAGGCGCCAATTTCAAGATTCAACTCGCTTTCAGGATGGGGTAATTTGAACAATTGGCCATTACTTTCAATAGCGCTAAACTGAACAACTGAGCTATCCACGCTGCATATACTCAATGCAAATGATTTGACTGAACTTTGCTGAAGGTCATGCACTAATTCCCCGAGGCACGCATCGCTTATTGACCTCTTACCCTTACATTTGATACTGTAACATAAGCCGTCAATCAGATCGCTCAACCATAGTTTACTGTTGCAAGTAAAATACTGACAAATGGAGAAATTGAAGACGTTTGCAATCGCGTTGATGTTACGTTTGACGCGTTGCACTTGAAAATCGTCTTCGATCGAAGCTGGCATGTTTACTGGATAATCGTTCCCCAATAGCACCAACTGTTGGAGATATGACTCTTCTTGCTCCACAGTGCAGATTAGCTTGCGACATGTCTCGAGCATGATATTCATTTCCCAAAAGTCATTCATAAAGATTTCATCATTGTCATAAACTTGAAGACCGTCCACTAAATCTTCAAACCCGTCCCAACTTTTGTTCACCATTCCTATAAACGTTCCAAAAGGTCCCACTTTACCACTCCCATCTTTGCCCACTATTGCAAGTCCAATAAAGTCCTGAGTTGACAGAGAACTCAAAAATTGTCGTAACTTAGATTTTATTATGTCGAGGTAGTCGCTATTAGAGTGCAAGCGGGGGTGACAGTTTATGATACTCAAGCATAGAACAATCTTTAGAGGTGATCTGCCATGTGGAGCAAAAACGCTCAAACGCGGTTCGAACTCGTCAAGATTGTCGGAGTTTTCATCTTTTGGACGGATTTTTTGTGTAATGTTCTTTGGGAGGATTTCCCAGCTGTTCGACGTAAGCTGCTCGATTGGAACAGATTGGCCTTCAGCAGACAGATACACCTGCTTCAAATAGTAAAACCATTTACGAATGATGGCAGGATCATTTTCGCAACACAGGAATATTTCGGGAAGAGACTTCGATTTCAAATTGATAATAATAGTGTATGGGTCCAATTGATGTAGTTCTGATATTTGATGCTTTGCAATATTTTCAACTATAAGTCCGTCCACCGTCATAATAAGGCACTCCCGAAATAAGAAGGCTGTAACACTAGTCCAAATGTCTTCATCTTCTGAGTAGCTTAACATATCCAAAGTTTCTAAGGGTCCTGTGCTTGTGGTACACTTAAGTGTTGACTCCACAAAGCCTTGAATGTCATTTCTAATGCGATTTTCTTCATTCTTCTGCTTTTTAACAGTCTCAGCAACCAAAGCATTTTTTGGAAGGTGGGCACTCATTACATATTGAGCAGTAGCCACCTGTGCATCGGTTTTGATGTTAAATTTTGATAGCTGGGGTATCAAATGAATCCGAGGCTTGCTGAAATCAAATTCATCGTCTTGGCCATCGGACCTAGACATGAAGCTTCTGGTGCGAAAAGAGCTTCCCCGACTAGATATTGATGGTTTTCTGTTGGGAGTGCTTTCGGAAGAATAAGAATGTCTAAACCCACCGCTCATAATTTGGGCGCTTCTAATTACCTGATCGCACGGAGTTTGAAGATCTTGAACTCTACCAGCATGACCAGATATATATTCGGATGGACGACCTATAGTTTGAGGTCTAATCTGATCACTATAGGAGAGATCAGCAGTGTCTCTGATCATGCGGCTTTCAGGGCTCTTACACAAGACCTTGGCTGTTAGTTCGCTCAAAACATCATCGCTTTTAGGTTTGGATATACTCTTGCAAATTGAGCATTTAGGGAAGCTATTCCTTGGAAGAAATGCTTCGAAAGAAACCAAGAAACAGTTGTAATGGCACTGATGATCGCAAGATAGCTCAATTGGCTTTTCACCTGCCAGAGCACAAGTCAAGCTTTCATTACAAATACTGCAATTATTCGAGGCAAAGTTCTTGGGGCCAGAAACTTTAGACACATTTTTTCGCAGCTCCGCTGCATAGGTTGGAGATTCACTTTCGGGATACAGGTCTGCCCACGGATCCCTGAATGGTTGATTGATAGTAAAATGGCTCATAGGTGATGAAAAATCTCCTTTGAACGCCGAATCGAGCCTTCGACGAGGCTCTGCTGAGCTGGCGGTAACCCAGCTCGCACAATCAGAGGAAGAATAGTTAGAGCGTCCTAAATCCATGGGGGATTCCAAACGCGGCGTTGCTTTGCTGCTGCTGTGAGATTTGCGAGGCGTCGGACGAGGTGTGATCGGATTAAGACACAGAGGTGCAGGGGGCTTACTTCGCCTCTTGCCAATATTCATGACGGGTTTCGTTACAGGCAGTGAAGTTGGGCCAAAATCGATGTTCTCGCTCGCAGCAAACCTGGACGAGCTTGTTTGTATTAGGCAAGGCCTTTCCTCGACCTGGAGTCTATTTGGTGATGGGACACTCGACGCGCTAAGGTTTCTGAAGGTCGTGTTGACTCGAGTCATGACTTGCCCCGAGAATTTCTTGAATGTTCTAGCAGACGACGGAGAGCTGCTTCCAACACTTGGAGGTGAATGGAGGTTCTTGAACCCCGTTGTTGATATAGGCGTACTGACCTGCATGGTGTAGTACTTAATGAAAGAGCTTCCGAAACAGTTTAGAACCCGTTCTGACGGGCGTCAGTTTGTTCGACGTTTCAAACTAGTTTCGCCAGTATCCTGACGCCTGATTTCTCCCAGTCTCCGAACTTCATACCATTTAAATACACACCTGAACCCTTAATGTTCCAAACCACAAGTCAGAATGGCATTCTGATGCAGTCGAAAAGCGACCCGAGATTTTCTGAATTGTGCGGTTTCTGGTTGTATCCTATACAACATGAGGCTGTCTTGAAACCTCACTAAGGAAACTATAGATAATTAAGGTCAAAAACTCGACACGGAAGCGTTGCTAAGGCTTCAAGTCGACGACTCTACAAATGGGAGGTACGGGACAACCAATTCGTTTCAGATATAAAGTAAGAAGTATAGATGTTGCATCGGACTGCATCGATCCCCAGATTTCGTAGCATAGAAACGCTAATGTATTAATTAAAGCACTCGCATCAAACATTATTATACACGAAACTATACGAAGGCCTTGAAAATGGTACGGCTCACCGGAAACATGAACATAGCTTTGAGCTTCGCCTTATTTTAGACGCGTTTATGTCTGCTAGAAAGATGTGCTTGACACTAGCTAGTAGCCCTGTTGATGTAGAGGTTATTAAAAAAGTGCGTAGTTATGAGTATTACAGACTCTTGAGAGCCGCTTCCAAAACAAAATCCAACCAGGAGAATAGTGGGAGCGCAGGTCTCAGATGCGATATATTAAGCTACAAGAAATGGCCCGCGGGTTCAGCTACTGGGGATCAGATAATCTGTGATATTATTTAGAAAGGTACGTTTATACAATCACGCTGTTATAATTGTCCCTAAGTCACTGACAGAGCGATAATGGATGGCTAACTGCCCTCTGAGGAAACCGTAATTTTCCATAAGTCAGCATGCTCTCGTTGTGCGTTGTAAGAAAACAGATGCCTCTAGTGGCTGAATGAGGGCACTATATGACAGCAACTCAAACAGCTTCAGCTACCTCTATGTCAGTATCCTAAAAAACGACAAATACATCAATGGGCACGGCGTGCAGTTTGCGTAGACAGTGTCTGGCAGCACTACTTTACGTCCAACCAAAAAGGGCCTATCATGTTGGTACTCAACAAATACTTATTGAAGATATATATGAAGTGTGAGAGAATCACGAGGGACTTCATTTAGTGAACGCCTAACTCAATTTCATCGATTTCTTGTCGTATAACTTAGTTGTAAGCTTTACACTCAAGCTCCAACGCCTTCATTAGCAACAAAAATCTGCTAGTTCCAATCGCGTGTTGCCGTAAAGCACAATCCAAACGTCGCAACGCATAGAGAACCAATACCACAAAATTATCAACTCGAAGAACCTCAATGCAAGAACCCGTACCTAAACTCATTGTGTGTAAGCGTCCGCATAAATACACCAATGACCCCAACAGATTGATAACATCCAAGTAAAAAATATCTTTCTCACCGATCAACATTTCAGTCTCATTTAGTTCCTCAAGGAGAGAGGGGGTATTTGCCGCTATACACCCATAATTGTATCAATAGTCATACCGCTGACCTTCAAACTTCCTGAACCATAATATAGCACCGCTCAATAAGCGCAGCTTAATCAGCTGGGCTTGTTGATGTCCCATACAACTCCTGTAACTTTGTGTAATCTTTGTAAGATGTCAGTAATGGGTGAGAAAAGCCCAAATTGGCGCAATTCCCCATCATATGAATGAAGCATGCCCACTAGACCAAGACCCAGCTTGCCTGTTAGCTTGGTAAGAATCCATGCACCCGAGTCACCACCAGCCGCGAACATCGGCGTGGGTGACGCTACGACAAACTCACTACTTTTGAGTTTGCCGTCTGCCCAAAAAACCAGTTTTGAGCCGTTCACCTGTCCTGTTGTGAACTTAGTCGTGGCGCCAATTTTGAACACCTCAGAACCTGCCACGAGCTTCAAGACTTTGTCTTTTACGTACAAATTCTGAAACCGCAAAAAAGGATTGGCCATTGTGCTGACGTCGTCTCCAAGAAAATTTGAACAGCGAACCTCTGGACTAACCTTTATGATGGCAAAATCTGATAGCTTTTCATCTACCACAGACCTTTCCCCCCAAACAACCTGTCCAAACTTATTTTCTTTTTGCCATTGCATATTCTGATCGATTCGAATCAACTCTTGTTCGAAAGCAGTTCGCTCTACCGATTTTGCGGCATACCGCTGAGACTCTTCCAAAATTGCATTCTTGTACTGCTTTTGTAGTACTGTAGACGGTACAGAAACATAAGGATAGTCATGAGATTCTGCAAGTGCCACATGAGCGCATGCCATGGCAAAAGTACACCCTGCATATTGCGACAGAGATGGATCATTTTCGTCGATTTGAGGATATATGTATCCTCCGAGCGTACCTGTTATATTTTCACTATCATGCGATGAAATGGACATTGATATAGGAGGTGAAGTGACGTCTGACAAGAGACGGTAAGGTGGGTGAAATTGAGAGGCAGTTTTGCTTTCCATGGGTTGCGACTTCGGAGTCGACTGCAAGGCCAAATCTGCACAGGGCTTTATGTAGTCTTTCACGCAATAGAAATGAACATCGGGGAATAAGTAGTACAATGCTTTTATCATGTCAAAATGCTCTTGTTGAGGATCCGGCAGACCAAACATTACGGTCAAAACCGCAGATGCTCGGTTTATGCCTCGTAAGACAGGAGCGATAAATGCTCCGTCTTGATCAGATATATAGCAAGAGTCGGTTGCCGCAATCTTGTCTATGATCGTCGAAAGTTTGGCTTTTCTGGGGAGCTCGCATTCAGCGTCTATGCAGAAGTTACGCGGATGTGGCAAAGTATGCAAATCTGATACTTCTTCGGTTAATGGAATGTTAAGCTTCTTGAGAAAGCTCACAAAACGCTTTGTTATAATAGCGCGAGAGTTGTTGAAAACATCTGAGATGAGTAAATTGTCAACAAAATGCAGAACCACTTTCGTAATGCGCCTCAGAGAGCTACTCTTGCTCCACGAGATACGACAAGGCAACTTTGTAGCAGAAACGTCCGGCAAGAAATCTTTGAAGAATTCGACGGCTTGTATCACCGCTTTGGAGATATTGGTGACGTTTTGATGGATGTCATCCATCAGTCCAAAAAGGTTCTCGTCCAACATGTCCAATGCACGATCAAACTGTTCTATCGTCAACGCGGGATTGTCTTTATGCGGGGCTGACGCGCTCTTGGCCAAGCTTCTGGTGACACGAGTTGAATAGTCGTCCAGAAACGTGCTAGTTGGCAAAGAGGAGTCATCTTCTTCCAATACAGGATTTAAAGAGCTTAATCTACCAAATTCTAAGACTCGCAGGGGTTTCCCCACATTCTCAGGGTCCTTACTTCTGGTCAGTTTGCCCTGAGAGTCTCCTGTATGTGTAGAAGAGGCTCCAGTACGATGCGTTCGGCGACTTTTGGAGAAGATGGATGATGATTGTATAGAAAACGACATCCTGCTCGATGAATCATCGTTCTTAGTTGTACCTGTAGTATCTGCATCACTTTCGTCGACGCATGAGGATGAGGAGGACGAAGATTGCGCGCTCGAGTCGCCCGCAGTCTGAGTGTCTTTGGTTTCAGCCTTTCTCCGGCCAATCCCTAGAAGTTTTTTAGCCATGAAAAATCAACTATAGATGTGGTAGTCGAGCTTTGATGAAGCTTACCAGCCAGTGCTTGTCAGCGGGCCGTTTACGGTCTTTTAGAACTTTTATCTCTATTTTCAAATTGTTTCTTCGAATCAAAAAATGTAGGAAGGTGAGCGTCAAAACATTTCAACAACGAGTAAAACTTTAACTAGTAGCTGCTATTAGAAGAATATTTAGCATCGATCAGCAATAACTCAACGGCATTTCTGTTAATCGCTAGTGGCAGGGTTTGCCAGCGCATCTAAAGATTTGTTAGCGATGGCTTCATTTTCGCCAACTTGACTTGTTCCTCTGCCCTTATAGGTACTCACAGCTGGAATGTTTGCCTTGATTTTGGTGACATGAGTTGCGTAGGCCCTGGGTTCAAGCCTAATCAGCGTGTGAAGTGGGATCGACATCCAGGGCGACTCTTCCTGAGGAACGTTCATGAAATATGCGTAGATACACCTCAGAACAGCTTGGTGTGTAATGATAAGAATATTCTCTTGGCGCTCGAGCTCCATAATAATTGGCTCAAGTCTTATCACAACATCTCGGTATGACTCGCCACCACGGTATCTGTACTCGTATTTGTCTTCATCACGGGCCTTGAAATCTTCAGGAAAAGTTTCTTCGATTTCTTCATAGGTCATGCCGTCACACACACCAGCGTCTAGTTCGTCGAGTGCTTTCCATTGCAATTGCTTGTAAGGTAAATGCTGAGCGGTTTCCTGTGTTCGAATTAAAGTTGACGTCCACACAGTTAAGTCCCGGTCACCAGCTGACTCGCGCACGAATTCTGGCAGTTTCTCCGCGTATTGGAGTCCCCGCTGCGAGAGCGAAGAATCTCCGCCAATCTTCTTCTCCAAATTGTAAATAGACTCTCCATGTCTTGAAAGCCAAATATAACGTGGTTTTATATGAAGGTTCATCACATAGAAAACAATTCTACTCTCCAGATAGGTCTCGACTTTGTTTATAATGACTTGCTGCGCAATGTTCATCATTCGTACGAATGTGAGATCCCGATCTTCAGCTGCATCCAGGGTCTGATAGACCTGCTCGTAGTTGGCTATTCTCTCTAAAAAGTCTGCTGTTGCCACGTCCGGATCCACACCCTCGTAATCTGGCGATGACGTCTTGAAGTCTGCTATATTTCTGAGGATTAAGTCTTTGTCATCGCACCAGCTTTCCAGGAACATAGGCTCGATAGAGTTTTCTCTACATAGTTTCAAGACCCACTTTCTCCTTTCCCGCGTCGAGTTTGTTGCATCGAGGATTGCCACTACCCCTTCCTCATCGGCAAACCAATTCATCATGTCATGGACAGCTTGAGTCACAGCCTGCTCTCTGATTTTGTAGGCTTCTTCATTGGAAGCATCAAAAAACTCAGCACTTGGTCTGGGAGCACCCTGGCGTCTGTAACTACCAACGTTAAAGCATTTTGACTTAATGGAAAGCCATGATAGGTAGCGTACAATTTTTTGAGAAATGAACGACTTGCCTCTAGCTGGTAACCCCACCATAACAACACATATCCTTAAGTTTTGAACCTGTAGAATCGCAAACACAATTGCATGCAGTTAGTCTTCGACCCTTTTATTCTCGTAAGAGTATATAGCTCATCTTTCTGACAGCATTCGCACATACATTTGACACGGTATATACAGGCATCTTTAAACGTTGAATGCAAAATCACTTTATTGCTCAACGAATCAACAGAGCTCCGGAGCTCAATCAATCACAATGCGCAAAGCTACACCAATGTTTCGTTATTAGACTTGTATTTCCTATAAATTTGCTAAAGTTGAAGCAGTTTTTGAATACCTCGTCTATGGCGACCATTAGCTAAAGAAGCTCTAAAATCACATATCATAAGAGAACGATGGCCTTGAAACGGCTATCAACATCCTTTTGGTCCTGGATATACCGCAGCGTTCTCTGAAAGTGCTCGATAGGTACCGACTCCAAATTTGCAGTTTTGGATGAAGGAGGCTTGCTATAGACAGCAGCCACGCTGTTCAAAGTAGATTGATGAATGTAACAACCATCAATGCCAATAAGTGTCCGGTCTTCGTCAGAATTTGAGCCACGATGCTCTTCTGATACAGAACTAATTTCGAGTTTTAGGGCATCTAAGTTTGTTTTTATCAGTTCGATCAACCCGTTGATGTACTTGACACCAACATGCGTTGAATTCTCATCCCCATGAATGAAGTAGTAACAACAGCGATTTAAGATTTCAACCATAAGCTCACAGCTTTGGATATTGTCCATGATAGAGTCTGCGACCCGTAAAGAGCGTTGCAAGCATTCCAGAACTCGTTTGCCCTCGCGGTAGAAGCTCTCCGTCACGCCTTCCTCTTCACCTAAGAGTGAAATTTCTGTGGCCCACCAAAGATGAGAACAAGTATAGACAGCTCTGCATTGATCTTGTTTTTTTAGGAGTTTCGAACCGTGTAAGGTACATCTTGTTATCAGCGTATCGTAATACGACTCTACGTGAAGGTTTCGAGTTTTTTGCAGCGTTTGTGCCATGCTAACGATGGCCTGAAATTGAGTTCTAGAGTCACTCAAGGATTCCTCGAAGATTGTGAAGGCTTGTGAAAAAAAATCATACGCGATGTCACCTAGCTCTGATTGGTCGGCAAGCGCGGCCGTTTGCAAATTCAGCTTGTATAATAGATCAAAGCACCCGCCACCACATGCACTGTATAGGTCGTTTATAGTCCGTGAAACATGTTTAAAAAGCTGTTTCGTCGTATTATTAAGCTTTTCACGCCTTTCAGGTTTCCTCTTGATTTTCCATTGACATCTCCTAATTAATTTCCAAAGATTGCAAATAATTGCGGGGAAGAGGTATCTCACGTTCCTGCCACTTTTCTGGTACCAATTCCTGCATGTGAGCAAGAGTTCGGAATGTTCGTCAATGGATTTGTTGTAACACAAATGCGTGAGCTTTGCCAATTTTTCTTGGTCTGGGGTGAGAGACCAATTATCACTGTCCAATCCGTCTTCTTCTTCAAGCATTAGTGGAGAACTTGGCTTGTCCACACCAGGCTCGATCAAAGCTCCACAAAGGCTCAAAAGCTTTTCGAGTTCGAGCTTGGAACTTATTTGCCACTCCGCCTGTGTCAAAGTATCCAGAATTTCATTGGTGCAGTGTTTTTGAAGACTAATATTTTGAGCCGAAAGCAGCTTCTCGTATGATTCGCACTTTGTAAGAATTTTGCAAAAAAACGCGGGTTCGCTTTTGAATTCCTGGGGAAGCAGCAAGTCGTTGAAAAGATAGTCGTATTCCTCTGGTATGGATTTGCCATATTCCTGACATTTCTCGTACATAAATTTCAACAAAACATCCACGTTGCTTATATTTTGGGGATACCAGCGCAGAGTTAGCTTCAAAACGCCTTGAATCACAGGAGCTAGCTCCTGCAGCGAAAGGTCAGGTCTTTCATCACTCAGCTGATTGAGAAATTTCCAGAATACGAAAAAAAGGTTTTGATTTTCTCCGGCAATGCTGAATGCAGCAAGCTTTTGAGCTAAATCATCGCTATCCGAGTTTTCTTGTCTGTCGATAAAACCGTTGAGTCTCTCTACCAGCGTCAAAACAACTTTATTAATTGGCACAGTTGGATTGAGTTTCAGCGATGTGGCCAAGAGTTCTGCTAACGTACCTAAATGAAACTCATCGGGGAAAACCTGGCATATAACGTCAAGCAAATATTCCTGCGACACAACATCTCTGCACTGAACTACTTGTTCGAGTATCTGGGGTAAAATCTCTTCTTTGTACATCGTAAAATCAGACTCCACGATTTGCGACAGCCTTACCACATTGGCGCCAATAAGAATTTTGAGCTCTTTACGCTCGCGAGTGCGTTGTTCTCGCTCGCGCAGCGGGCCTTGGTGTTGCAAACGGACCCACAGTTTGTTCATTTCGATGAAATTTGTGATAATGAAATTGGCATTGGCCTTCTTGGCCTCTACATCATCGGCTTGGAAAAATTGCTTTGTTCTTTGAGACAGGTAATATCTCAAGAAAAGGCCTCTAATAGGATTCTGCACCCCTTTACACATTTCGATCATGTCTTTAAAAATCTCTTCACGGGGAGCATCGGCGGATTGGAGATACGAGCTGCCCACAGTGATCATAAGATACAACCTGGGAACAATATTTCCCGCATACTGAACCAGTTCGTACAAATCAGCCAAATGGTGCCTTTTGGTGTGGCATTCGACAAAATAGGTCGAGAGTATGCTCAAAGAGTCATATATCAGAATGTAGAGCTCGTAGTACTGCTTGGGTGATAAGTGGGGATTTCTGAGTTCCGTGAGCATTATAGATGTGTGTTTGAGAGCGTCCATGAGTTTTTCCTGAGTTAGGCATCGCTGCATCAAAACGGTCTGCTGTTTGCAGTTGGCAATCGCCTGATCGATAGTCTCTGCATAAGACATCGTTCCAGGGGCTCTCAGTTCAGAGTCGTAATCGCGATATGTGATGCGATCGATGACGAGGAAAGGGGAACTTGTATGAAGCTGCGAATAATACGAAAATAGTGGCATTACGAGGCTTCTTCGTGGCATGTGATCCAGATAGGAAACCTTTGGGAAGAGGAACGCATTGAAAGCACAAGATGGAGCTTATACGCTAGGGCTATAATTTGGCTGGGCCTTGAATTGTTTGTTTAAGTTGGCAGACAAGCGTGAGAATCCTCAATTTTTGCTGTACTTACGCCAGATATACCTGCGAGCGCGGGTAGTCTCGCTCAACGCTATAGTCTGATTGGCAATTGAGCTTGGTATCATCCTCGCATGCCATGATCAATAACGACCTCTTGAACATTCTACATTTCACGGTGCCGAACGATAACAAGCTTACGAAGAAGAGTCTTTACAATCATCGATCCACATGCTCAAGGTTTTCAAGATATCTCTAACGCTGAAAAAAGCTGGCTCTCAAATATTAGTGTCAATCACAGGCAGTCTGAAACGTCACCCTGGAAAACTTTATATGATAAAAGGGCAATGCTCGGACACGGGAATTCTAACCTGTCGGTCACAACTAGAACCTACCAAATCTCCAGTATAGATATCTCCCATTTTAACAAAGTCTTCTAATCTTGGCTGGATGTCCTAGACTTTGATGGCACTCTTACAAACCCCTCAATTTTCTTGTGACGCTAAATGCAATATCTCCGAGGTTATGATTTTCGGTTTGCACTGCGTTGAGAATAAACTCATACGAGCACGCTATCACCTCGTTAAAATATAATTCCTATCGCTATTAATTTTTTCGTTAAATTTACGTGAGAAGTTGAAATCTTTTCACCTTCAGAAAGCATGTGCGGCGATTGACCAAAACTGTAGGAATTGCGAGGCTATCAATGGCAGCACCAACGCGGTTTCTTATTGACCTCAACAATTTAGCTTGCTTCAGTAATTTCCTGGCTCATATCAATAAGATCAACACACATAACGCTTGGCTTTTATCAATTAAAATAGTCACCATGCAGAGATATTCTGCGCTAGACATTTTCTCGATGCGTCTCTAATTCCGTTGTGAAAACTACGCTAGTTCGCTGCCCGATAGTTCCGCTGCATTAATTTCTCAGAAACAGGTTTTTTAAAAACGTTTCTGGCCAGTTTTGCTGAGAAAGCAGCGATGACAAAATAAGGGCCGTTCGAGAACTAGACCTGCGTATGTCTGCATCTATATAAGAGACAGAGTATAGCTCGTATACCACTTTGTAGAATCTTGAACCGGAAAACACACAAACACAACCTCTCAACATGTCTGCGATGAGTGCTACGATAACCAAAACCTTCAACAAAAAATCTCTGTATCTGTTGTCGGGTGCCACTGCCGCTGTTGGCGCCGGCGTGGCTTTCAAGTGGTACCAGAATGATAACCGGAATAAAGGTTCGAAGGGCTTGGGTGCTTTGGCCGCAGGAACCGGCATGCATATTGCTCAGTGCCAAAAAAAGCCCGAGGATTACCAGAAAGTTTACAATGCCATTGCGCTCAAAATAAGAGAAGAAGACGAATACGACAACTACATTGGGTACGGTCCCGTACTAGTGCGTCTTGCGTGGCATATTTCCGGGACCTGGGAGAAAAACGACAACTCCGGTGGGTCCTTTGGTGGTACTTATAGATTCAAAAAGGAGATGAACGATCCTTCCAACAAAGGTCTGCAAAATGGGTTTAAGTTCTTGGGTCCAGTGCTCGAGCAGTTTCCTTGGATTTCCCATGGTGATTTGTATACCCTAGGTGGTGTCACCGCCATTCAGGAAATGCAGGGCCCCAAAATCCCTTGGAGAGCCGGAAGAGTCGACGAACCGGAAGACAAAACACCAGACAACGGCAGACTACCCGATGCCAGCAGAGACGCCGATTACGTTCGGAAGTTCTACACTAGAATGAACTTTGGAGACAGAGAAGTTGTTGCTTTGCTAGGAGCCCATGCCCTAGGTAAGACACACTACAAGAACTCAGGTTTCGAAGGTCCATGGGGAGCTGCCACCAATGTGTTTTCGAACGAGTACTACGTCAACCTACTCAACGAACACTGGAAATTGAACAAGAATGAAGCCGGTCAAATGCAATACGATAGCGACAAAGGGTACATGATGCTTCCTACAGACATGGCTCTAATCCAAGACCCCAAATACTTGAAATTTGTCAAAGAGTATGCTAACAACCAGGACGCTTTCTTCAAAGATTTCGTGAAGGCTTTCTCCAAGTTAATAGAGAACGGCATTGAGTTCCCAAAAGACATCAAGGCGACCACATTCAAGACTTTGGACGAACAGGACATGTAATTGAAGTCCTGAGCCTCACCTAAATTATTATTTATTACTCTACGTACATTGGCGGTATATGATCAATGAGCATTCAGATACTTTACCGAAATGATTGAACCTACTCGTATCGGGACGAGTGTCGGTACGCCGTCTTTTGATACGTAATCTAGTGACTATCATAGCTTACTAGGCATAGTTATGAGCGTGAAGACTCATACTCATCTCGACTTCGTTAGTGCCAGTGCTAGGTAGGAACCCGTCGAGCGCGCGAATTGAGTCTTCAAGTTATTCTATGACTTCATGTTAAGAAACAATTCGCGTTTGAATGTGGGACACCTTTCAAACAAACAGTTTTCTGTCACTCTTCATTCGCTATGGATAAGAATTATGTACTTGTATACCGTGAAATTTTCAAATAGCAGTATGTCACCGTTTGCTCATCACACACAAATACACTCTAAACTTGAGTTGTTAATGACGGCCTGGTTAGTGTTTCGCCCTTAGCGCAGGTTTATACTATCTACAAACCTTGTTTTTGATATATTGTTGTCGACTTTCGTCAATGACATATTGGTACAGAGTGACTGATTACGCCAAAATTGGCAAGCACGCTCGAGGACCCAATCAGAGTATTGACATAAAAGCATAGGTGATTGATTTATATACATCTAAAAGAGCCAATGGATTTTTATCATGTCCAAAGTGCTGCGGATGGCCAGAAAGCCGGAAGTCATGTCGTACATTATAACCTGAAGCCCTCGTGAAATTTCTCCCCTGCGTAGATACAATCACCCAATTCCTCCTCAATCCTTAAAAGTTGATTGTACTTTGCTACTCTTTCGGACCTAGTGGGCGCACCTGATTTGATCTCACCTGTCCTGAGGCCGACGACGAGATCTGCGATGAATGTGTCTTCAGTTTCACCTGATCTATGAGAAACAAGAACACCCCACCCTGCTTCTAGCGCTTCTTTGGAAGCCATGAGAGTTTCTGACACTGTCCCGATCTGGTTCATCTTTAGTAACAATGTGTCGGCTGACTTTTCTTTGATTGCTTTTGAAATTCTGACAGGGTTCGTGCATACCAAGTCATCTGCAACCACAGCGACACCTACATTGGACGCATAAAATTTTTGCCAGGAAGCCCAGTCGTCCTCCGCAAAAGGATCCTCCAAAAACACAAGAGGGTACTTTTCAACTAATTCGTGGTATTTGTTTGTCAACTGGTCAGTCGTAAGCCAGTCAGCTGGATTTGACTGAGCGCTCTTGAAATCAAGATCGTACTTACCATCCTTGAAAAACTGCGAGGAAGCGGCATCCATTGCGATTTTCACTTTCCCCTCGTAGCCAGCTGTTTTAATAGATTCTACAATTAAATCCAAAGCCTCCTCGGCAGTGCGCAGGTCGGGCGCAACACCCCCCTCGTCACCGACGTTTCCGGCAGATGACCCATACTTCTTTTTAGCAAGAGATTTCAATACATGGTAGACTTCAGAGTTCCACTGGACCGCTTGGGCAAACGATTTGGCAGACGTGGCTCCAATCATAAATTCTTGGAAAGGCAAGCTTCCACCAGCATGCTCACCACCATTAAGTACATTCATAAATGGAACAGGCAACACATAGGGATCTTTTTTCGTACCGGACAAATCTGCAATATGCTCGTAAAGGGGCACTCCCTTTTGCGCCGCACCTGCGCGAGCAACCGCCATAGAAACACCCAAAATTGCATTAGCGCCAAGTTTACTCTTATTATCAGTGCCGTCCAGCTTGTTGAGTAAGTCGTCCACGGCCTTTTGATCTGTGACCCTGAGCTCTGACTGCACCAACTTGGGTCCGAGAATATCGTTGACATTAGAAACAGCTTTAAGGACACCTTTGCCCATCCATTTGGACTTATCATCGTCTCTCAGCTCCACTGCCTCGTGAATACCAGTAGACGCTCCAGAGGGAACAATGGCTCTGAACGTTCCTTTATCCGTGGTGACCTCAACTTCCACTGTGGGAGTACCACGCGAGTCGTATACGTACCTAGAATGAACCTTAGAAACAGACATAATTTCTTCCTCTCTTCGAATTGCACTTGTAGCCTCGGAAGGTTAACGATAGATGCTTCGCTGATGCTACAAAAATAACCTTTTATATTGGCGCATGGTTTGCCAAGTTTTTATTTTGTTTCCAGTAACCATGTGAGTGTTTGCTTTTAAAAAGCTTGGCATTGTTCACTTGCACACCTCAAGTTTTTGCTTCCGGTTTGTCACGTCACTGGGCGGATCTTCATTAAGGCGAGTCTGATTCGGCGGTAGAAAGCTAGCTTGTACTTTTTGTTTAGCTATTCCATAATTAATAGCGCAAGTTAATTCGTAGATGAAGGTTCCAAGTATCTTTCGGAGGATATTCCATTACAGGATAAATCTTTTGCTCCTCGCATAAACCAAGGTTATTATCCAATTCTGAAATGTGAATGAGAAAATATTGAGGCGCAGTTATCTCGTCCGTTCTGGGCATATTGGTAAGTAAGTAATAAGGATAGACCACTTGTTAGGTCTCTCTGGTCTTGAACTACCAGATTTCATTTAGCGCTTTTGTCTTGCAAATATCACTTTGTATTAGTATGTCATCATGCAACTTGGCACTATGATCACTCACACCCTAACAATATTGCCAGGATCCTTGAGCTTCTGTTTGATAGCGTCAGCTAAAGGTTTCGGGATCCCTGTCCTGTTGCTATATAGCGTTAATTGCGTAATGAAGTCGATCAGAAAACATGATCATAACGGGAACCAAGAATTATGACAAAAAGGTACGAAGTGATATCAGTAAAACATAGTCAGTCGATGGAATATTTGATGCATCATCTCGAGTTAATACAAGTATCAGATAATACTCTAAAGTGTTCTGATGATTGATGATGAGTCGGTGGGCATTACTAATGTATGGTATGATTATTATAGACTGAGTGGCAAGATTTATGCAAAGTCTGTTTTTTTAAAAATATCGACTAGTTGTTCAACTCGTTGGATCAACCTCAAAGTTGAGAGAATCACGGAGAGAAAGGTAGAACCCCAGATCCTAATACGAACTATTTAAACACAATATGAACGACTTAAATGACCACTTCAGCAAGCTAACTACTACTGACGCAGATATGCCTCAACAGAAACAGATCAGAATAGGATCATAATAGTAACCATAAATTATGACAGAATAGTACAGGCGACAAAGCTATATGGTCAATCCAGCATGTCCAGATAATAAAGACAAATGCTGAGGCCTAGGCGTTGAGTTGAGTAGTGCCCACGGTTACACTGTTTTATCGTCATTATGCCCGGGAATGGAAGGTGATATATTTAGTAACGGTCTAGAATAGTTCCCGTTAAAAGAAATTTGAGAACATTGTTTTCTTGTAAGTTCCTGTATCCCCATTGAATATCATTTGGAGCTGTGTAAAAAGATTCGCCAGATTATCAATTCCAGTGAAATACTGAAAGTTGGTCGGGGTAGTGGGTACGTTGCGAATTCTTTTGATATCCCCCATTGATTAATGTAAAGGATTGCTAGTTTGCATTACAAACGCCGTCAGGGTTTGCCTTATGTCACTTTGCACGACAATGCTACAAATCCAAACATGATATGTAATATACCGGCGTAAGATTTCACATCGGCTATGAGTTTTGGTGTGTGGCTACTTTGGCATATTTCAGTCATCGAGTTGACGTCTATCTTTGGCACAAATCTTGGTAGATCGAACGAATTCTAAACGATACGGGGAAAATAATGTGCAACCAAATGGCTTTCGAAGAGATCGAAGGAAACGTATAGGACAGAATTACATTAACGAGGCTCTTTTGAATTAGATACGGCCGCTTGAAGGCTACAAATTTATTTCCTCCAAAACGCACTCCAATTGGAAGAGCGTTAGGGGAAACCCTGGTGGAGAAAATTTCGGTGAATGCTAGAATTGTCGCGTCATTTAGGATTGCGATTTCAACGTCGCTTAAACCAACAATACACGTGTATTTCACGTGTACCACTTTAGTAGATGAAAAAGCTTAGATCTGAAGAAGTCCAACGAGCGCACTATGAACTGATATTCCAAGAACACTAGTTAAGCAACACATTTGAATAGCAATGTTTTCTTCGAGAGTTGTTCTACATAGTGCGCCAGCTGCGAAAATTGCCTGCAGACAATTTTCAGTCTTTCAACCTCGCTTACAAGTACCCAAATCAAATATCACTGAACCAACTGAGAAAGAGCCGAGCAATGTATTCAATTGGACCGATTTCTTTCAGTTGCGAAAGCAAGAGCGCAGAATCAACCTTGGGTCATCGGTAGTCACTGCTCTATTGACTAGTAATGCATCGTGGGCCTATTTGTCGACTATGGAGATCGACCCAATGCAAACAATTATGGGATTCGATCCTTTGGTGGTGGTTTCTGCAAGCCTTTTGGCTTCTGGTGCCTTTGGATACCTTTTAGGTCCCATTTTAGGGACAACTATCTTCAAAATGAGACAAAAATCGAACTTGACAGAGTACAATCAGAAGACGAAGGCTTTTTTGAGGCATGTTATTGACAACCGAGTGGATTCATCATCTCAGAGCTTTAGTAACCCAGTCCCAGACTACTATGGTGAGAAAATAGGGTCTGTAGGCGAATATAGGCAATGGTTGAGGGACTGCCACGGTTTCAGAAGAAAAGCCAGAGAGTTTCTTTGAACGGGATAACCCAGTAAGACCTCGAATGCACCCTTTGCTGTTTACATATAGTGATATCGAGGACCGGGTTCTAAGAATCATGAGCGGACGCTAGCCGATGGTTACAAATATTTCAGTTTTGAACCTCGCACATTAGATTAATGAATTCATAAATAGCACATAAGACTTAAAAACTAGGAGTTGCAATCACTGGTAGTAAATGCATGCATATTCCGACTGAGAGTAAGAACATAATCAGTATCGAGTCCACAACTGCCGGTCATGTAAGATGTGGCTGATGCTCAAAGGGGGTATTGGAAGTTAAATAGCCCGCTTGCAAGCTAGAGTTCGCGAGTTTGCGTTTTTATGTTCTCCTCTCTAAATTGTCATAAAGTATACCCTATACGCCGCTGAATAAAGCATGTATATGTCGATAAGTAAAAGCAGACCAGTTCTCTGCTATCTAATGCTGACCTGACATCATAGCTGCCATTGAGTGTTGCTCCGGGACTCTTCTTCTAAAACTAGTGCTGAATCTTGTTATCAGTCGCTGCTTGAACAGCAGCGTTATGGTCGGCCACCTCATTGTAAAGTGGGGGGCTCTCCTGGAGGAGAGAAGGTTCTTCAGTTTCAGGGGTTTTTGTCACTTCTGTGATAGCTGGTGGAATTTGGGCTTCCAAATCTTCATCCCCGTTGACACGAGCATAAGAAGGATGTTCCGAACTAGTGGTGTATACAATGTACATTGAATGGAAAACACCTGGAAACCCGAAAAGACAACACAGTAAGATGTTAATCCAAAAATTTCTGGAGCCGAATCCTGAACGGATCAGAACTGGCAAAGGGGGTAGCAAAAAGGCCACCAACCCAAGCACAATATCGTTGTCGTTGAGACTGTAGATTCTAGCCATTTGTCGCGGTTTTCAGATGTTATCTTGAAGATGTTAAAAAGTGTGAGAAATGCCAAGAAATGTAAATGCGATGTGCTTTTTTTTTAATAACTAAGCCATCCAAAAAATAGATATAGATATGATACGGTTTTAAAAACGAAAGTATATGGGTGAGTAAACTCTGATTGAAGAAGAAGTTACAACTACGACTAAAGATACCCCTTGAGGAAGATGTCTCGTACCACTCAAAAATTTGGATGCTAAATTAAACTTGATTTGGACTTTGTAATTTGTGATAAGTTAGAGAGCGTCAAAACGTCGTTACTTCTATCTACGCTTCTGCGGAAACCACCTAATAAATGAAACCTCAGAAACCATGACATTGTGCTGTGTATACGATGGAATGAGGTATGAGAGGATGTCACTCAGGTAAAATACGAAATAATTCAATTAGCACCTAATGGCGATATTTTAACATTCGGTCATGAGTCATATTACACAACAAATGATTGAGAACAGCGTGCGGAACAACGACTGAAAATATTCTTGCTCGGAGTTTACACACTTGTGATCAGGGTGTTCTCTTAAGCCTGCCGCCGTTCCACAAACAGAATTCGGGGTCAAGTGTCACCGCATGGGCGCGAAAATTGAAAATCAAGCTATACCCAATGACTATTTTACTTAAAGACATCTCAAGCCAGTGAGCTATCGGCACAGAGGCCTTGGTCTGGATGGCAACTCGGCATCGTCTGCGGCGAACGCGGTCTTTTTTCTTTGTCACTTTTCACTACTCTGTCGCTTCCCCAACCTTGGAACTTTTGACGTTAATAACATACTCACTGTCGTTGATCTTTTAGTTTCACGAACCATGTCGACTACTAATTCACCTCGCTACTGTTTCTTCCATAGGTACACTTGGTCCAGTGGCGGTTTGTGTGCCAGAATTGAAGCAGCAGTGAGAAAAGCGGGAAATCTCAACGTTGCAATTAGCAACTTCTTGAACTGGAAGCACAAATTCACTGAATACTTCCCTGGTAACTAAAGATACTTATGTACTTGACTTATAACCCGTTCTACCGAAGCATGTTTGTAAAACACAAAGGATTCTATGAAAAGGGGAATCCAAAGTAATCTCTCAGCAGCAGCTTGTGACAATAGCATAACACGCTCGTTATTCGGATACAGAAATCAAGCGTTCTCAAGCGCAAGGCCTTATCGCTTTACCTAAGCTTTGTCTGCATTGACACGGATATTTGCAAAAGCGGGCCAATATTAAGAGCCCTTGGGACTAACCAAAGCTACAGCACTTATTGCTCGTTCCTACCCAGAATCTAAATTTCCAAAGCGTAAAACCATGTCTTCATATCAGATATCAACGCCTCAGGAAACGACAAGCGTCTTTGTGGAAGACGTTTCTGCAGGTAAACTATAGCTCTGCTCTTTGTTACTAAAATGCTTCTTTACTCCACGCAGCTTCAACACATTCTCATAACCATTGGGCGCCCCTCAACCTTTTAATTGGTTGGACAGGCCATTTCTATAAAACTATCCCGTATAATGTTAGGATCCGTTTAGCTCAATTACCTTAATCGAGGTGAAGTTGAACATATCACAAAAGTAAGCGATAGGCTTGCCAGTTGAGATTAAACCGGACGACTTAACAGGTTGTCGCAGTTTTCAGAAGGTTACACGGACAGCTTTTACGAAAGAGGCCATCTGAAGATATTTGAGATCGATTTGTGTTAGTGATAGTGATGGAATCAAAGAATCGGCCATCGGCAACGAGCACGATGCCGTTGGACGATCTACCTGTGGGACTTTTGCAGGAGATTCTTTCGTTCTTGCCACAGCAAGATCGGCTTACGGTGTGTTTGGTGAGTCGCAAGTTCAACCATATCGCCACAAAATTGGTGTATCGCCGGATCTACCTGAATGATTCTAATGTGGTCAGAAGTGATATCATGAACTTGGCCATCAACTGGACACTCTTATTCGTGCCAAATCGGCTGCCTGAGCAATATGCCCGCAAAATTGCAGATCGGAAATTACGCAGCTTGATTCAAACTCTTCAATCGAATGACCGCGCTGTGCAATCCGTGGAGTGGGTTCGTATCAACTGGGATCTTGATCCAAAATGGCAGAAAATGTTACTGTCTGTCATTTGCAATGAAAGCTGCTCTTTGCAAAGATTAGAAAACGTCACAGATCCTAGCTGTAACGACATTATAGCGCATGGCAGGATGTCAAGTCAGAGGCTTACAAGTTTCGATATGGCACCCCCCAACCCAAATGCAGGCTCCGAAGTGGACCCTTCCTACATTCCAAACCTAAAAAAATACCTTTCGCAGCGAATCTCATCGCGGATCACATTCATGAATTTGTTCATTAACCCGCAAACACTTTTTACGCACCTATACCCCTTGCGAGACAAACTACAAATTGTTGATTTGAAACTACATTGGAGAGTTGAATTTTACCCGAAAGAGCATTTCGCTCATGATATTTCTGAACGCCCCTTGCATAAGCTGTCTGACATATTCGATACCAGGAGCCTGAAAGTACTTACGATTGTGTCCTGGCACGAATGTCTTTTACCAAGTGAATTGGAAATGCTACAACAGTTCAAAGAGTTTACGAATGTGGAAGACCTCTCATTAATCTCCATTGAGCAAGAACCATCGCCTTTAATTGGCCTCTTCACTAGCCTGTCGAAACTAAGAAGGCTGAAAATCGATTTTATCGAACAACTTTCATCGCAATCTACAAAGCCTGAATTATTTTTAGCCATATTACATTGTTGTCGGGAGCTGGAATTCTTGGACATGAGATTTGAAGGGCTAGATGCTCCGATCGTAGATGTAGAAAACGGGGACTTCAGACTGACTCAGAAGTGTTATTGCAGCAGCTGTATGCACGTATTTGAGTCTATTCTGCGGCAAAAGCTGTTTCTTTTCCCCGAGGACTATGTTCTTGCAGACTTCCGCGATGTTTTGACAAAAGATATTTTCAGGATGATAAGATTTCATTGCTTGTTGCCTTACTCAAAAGCTTGTGATTATTACCCAAGCGTGCGGACTTACCCGATGGACATGGAGAAATTCGTGTATCTGATGAATAATGATCTGAAACTTTACCGAGCCAGTCGCTGCCAGTTGGTTAGAGATCCCATTTCGTCCGAGACAAACGATCACTACGACCGTTGTCGATTTGATGTTCCGGAGTCTCCGAGTTTAGACGACTTGTTTGATAGTGATGATGAGAACACTTTTGCCGACATGGCGCTGCCTCATAAGCTTTTAACTCGAGAAGACGTTGTACAGTGCTACCATGCTCTCATTCATCATCATAGGAGAACTTATATCGCACTACTGACACAGTTTCCAAGACTAAAATTTCTGGTATTAAATGACATTGCCACTGTTGTCGTAAGTGAGAATGACGAGCGCGTTCTACAACCAGTTTTCTACAATGAAGGATTTGTGTCAAATCTGCGCGGTTGGACTCAAAAGGGCGAGGGAAAGAAAAACTCGAAAGTATTTGTTGAGAAGTCAGCGTTCTCGGATGGTATAGGATTCAAGAGTAATTGAGAAATTTTTCAAGTCATACCTTGTAAAGAAGTTCACCATCATATTGAGATATCGATTCGTCTGCGGGCCAGTTAGCTCGACGCCTTGTATTATGTTGGTTCCCGTTCATGCTTGAGGCTCAAAGAAATCCAGAAATACCAAGGGATCATACAAATTTTCATCATTAGTCAATAGGCCGTAATCAAAGTTGTTTAATGTATCGTGCGGCAAATCTACGCTATGCGTCGACGGTAATTCCTTGACTTTTTCGAAAAAAGGCGAGGAAGCGTTGTTGAAGAACGCGGAGAAAACGTCGTAATCGCGAATTTCTGTGTTAGCTGTAAATGGCAGATACTTTTCAAGGTTGTTGACGTCTAGTTCAAAGGAAAATGAATCATTGGGGGTATAACAAGCATCCCATATGTCACTCACCTTTTTATCCTTCTCTTTCATTTGATACAACTTCCAAAACTTCTGAATAATAAGCGGGTTATATTCCAACGGGTCATCTTCTTTGTCATCGGACAAAGCAAGATATTCTAAAATTGTGATCCATGGATCTTTCTCATTAAGATAGCTAAGCGTTTTGAATAGAACTTTAGAGCCAAACATTCTCCGAAAGCATTGATAGTATTCGGTTCCTAATTCGTTGAAACAAGCGGTAAGAATATTTCTGTAAAACTCCAGAAGAACTTTTTTCAGATTGGGTTCGCCAGATCTCCCTGCGCGTAAAATAATGGAGGGAACTATCGCAGCAACGATCTCAAATGCAATATCTACGATTTTATTGGTGTAAAATCTTGTAAACAATTCGTCCTTTCGAATGCACAGGTGAAATTCGCAGAAATTGGTTAGCTTCAAAACCTTTTCCATTAAGCTTTGTACGCATTCTTGAAAATCTTCTGGGTCTTGGTTCAGCTCGCAGTTCACCATGCGAGCATGATCTAGGGACAGCTCAAGCAGAATTATAACTATTTTTATCTCAAAAGCCAAAGTTTTATTTGATTCATCTTTCTTTGGGTCATTTCTTATAGTGTTTTTGAGCATCCCAGAAAGTCTTCTCACAAAATCATAATCGACTTTACGGGGATTTTCGCTTACAGAGCTTGCTAGTTTTTGCATCAGATGGTCATATTTCAGAGTATGCAATGATGAAATCTCCTCTCGTGATTCCTGAAAAGCCCTCAAGGTGGACCCTACGAGGCACGATTGACCAGTCAGCAAGCTTAGTTTGCGATCCCAATTTATAACAACACTCCAGACTCGTTTGTATTCATTTAATGTTTGTTCCATTTGAGATGGTCTTGACAGAGAAGAAGTAAGATCAGCCACTAGTTTCCCCGTGTTGCTGAAGCAGTGCCATCCAATCCCTATACTATAGCACGCAGACACTATTGCTCCCATTAGCATATTGCTTTGTTGTAGCCGCTCACCGTCGCCATCGTCTGGAGCGCACCACTGATAAAACCTGAGCAGCAGCATGCTTTGCACGCGTAGTAGGGAGCACTTTCTGTTATTTTTAGCTCTGAAAGTACAGTGATTAACAATTGAAATGTAGTGTTCGGATTCAATGTTTTCGATTATTGCAGCGCTGGGATTATTAATCGATTTTGAGAAACTGATTGACAGTTGAACCAAACTGGTAATTAGCAGCAAAATGGAAAAGCACGCATAGTCATCAATTCCTTCTTTAGATTGGGTACCTGATAATTCACCTTCTTTGTACAAACTTCGTAACTTGCTTTCCAGGGCGTTGGTATCAAATATGGGACATAAATCTGAAATGTTCTTTAAGTAAAACGGCCAAACAAGCTCAAAGAAAATACTTGCATTCGGCATATGCTCTCGTGGCAGTCCATTTCCATTCTCCGTCCAGGCATCGCTCCGATGGCTTTTGCCAAATTTCTCAAACAAATGCTTGCACATATTCTTGTGTTTTGATGTCAAACTGGACTCCAGATCTAGAGAATCCTGTTCCATCTTCTTTAGATGACGCATAGATCTAGGCAAGTTGTCTGCTGCCGACTTCGCCTTTCCATTCGTAGCCATTGTATCCATTGATAAGTCTTCGGCTGAAGTCCCGTCAACAAGTTTCTTTGATATTTTCCGATTACATTTGGGAAGCATGCAGATAAATTCTAAGATTTGCAAGTATGGGTCCCGTTGCCGTGCAGCTGCCGCAGATAGTGGTGAAATGTAGCTAGTCCCAGATCTTTTTTGATTAATGGCAAACCCTAAAGGTACCAAATCCACGTAGGTAGACTCAAAGTAAGGAATCATTTCATCCCCATTCGGTAGCGCTTTCTGTTTCTTTTGCGTACGAGGGTCAGGGACATAGCAACATGATTCTTGTATGCCAGCTTTAACACAGGTGCCACATGCTGGTCTCGCTTTGTCACACTTACTTTTACGGCGTCTACAATTAGTGCAAACGATGGTTGGTCGCTGCCGTTTTTTGGCTATAAAGTCAGTCGTCGTATTCTCGATCTCATCCATCGTCTTATGACAACAGGGTCAACAGTAGAGTTCCGATCAAATTGAGCTCTACTGCGAAATCTGTTTGTCAAGTTCTCTATTTTTTGGTTCGCGTTGAAATATATTATTTGGATACATTCCTAAATCATTTCAATATACATTATGATGGTCATCGTACAAGCACGTATGATTATGAAACTGTACACTTGTGCCTCCTCGAATAACTTCAAACTACCCTTACATATCGCGTCGGGTTGCTGTGTTACTGGGGAAGAGGAGAATTGTGTTTCCCATCAATAGTTTTCAACCTTACAGAAGGAGATTTCCATAAGATGTTCAAGAGTCTATCCAATAAATGTGCTCTTTGTGACCCAAGTACTACTATCTTGAGACCCTGACTTCTGCGTATTCCTAGCATTGGCATCTTTCGCACGACTTTCGCATACCTGTACCTACATCTACTTTGGGGGGATTTTGGCCCGCTTCAAGTGAGGAAACTAACAGGCAGTTTAGACTAGTCCTTTGAAGCTAAAATTCTAGAGTGCTGATAACACTTCGATGGATGTGGATGTTCATCTCTGTTATCAGGTTCGGTGACATCACTTTGTACTGTAATGACAAGCCCTTGCGCGGCATTACAAACACTTAAAGTGCACCGTCAATTTGATCGTTAAATACTGACTAGCCGCTGAACCTAACGTCATGGCCGTTCAAATGCACTCATTATAATTCTCTCTATGGCCAACTTTCATGGGTTCCAAGCTAGAATGGGCGATAAGTTCACCATAAAGAATCGCTGCTCGCAAAACGTACAAACGTTCGATAAAAACCTCTGATTGATTGTGCTCTCTTATAAATTTCTTGGGCCTGTAGACATCAAAGAACCTAACATTTCCTATCTTTGCGATTTTCTTCAAGCTAAAATAAACAAATTCCAGCGTGGCTAAACACTATTTAAATCGGGAGTAGTTCCTGGCTCACAACATATGCTATTCACAATTCCTTAGAGGCACGTAGCGCTTTACAGTTATAATTACTTAGTGTTACGAGTGTTGACTGAATCAATTAAATCGGTCGTGATCTGTGCTTCGTTTGTAAAAGTTTGGGAAATTCGATGAGCTCAGAAACAAGAAAATCGTCAATGAGGGAATACGAGCCCCGGGTCGTCCCGTGGCGCTTCAAGAGTGATCTAGATGAACTCAGCGTGTGGTTTTATCCCAACAAAAGTGGAGCGCCAGATATGCGCCGTGAGGGAGTTGCCAGAGTGAAGTGTTGGTCGAGTAGAGGACCATATGTGCCACACACAGTGGAATCCACGGCCCACTTGACAGACGCAAAACTAACGGACGAGCAAGGGATAACTAGTGATATACCTCTGCAGTTGAGCTACACAATGGCTATGATCAGGTTTGTCAATGGGCTGTTAGACCCCACACAGCAATCGCAATTTGCTATCCCATTGCATGTCTTGGCCGAGAGAATGGGACTGCCGTCATGGTTTGTGGAGCTTAGACACTGTGGGACGCACGAGAGGGAAATGCCAAGTCTCGAGATGCTTCGGATGGCAACCGATCAAGCACTAGACTGGCTCTGGGATAACTACTGGAACGCAGAGCCAGAGCAGGAGTTCTATGGCGAAAGTGCGGGACTAGACTCTGAACGTGCAACTCCGGATTCAGTGGTGGATTCCCAGGATATAGACCGGGTTTTGAGAAAAATACCCTCAATCTCTAACCTTTTGGCAAGCAACAGAGACCTTTGGAAACTGCAACGAGTTTCATCGACCTTCACTGGGGAGCAGGATGCGCGAGGACCACCAATCAAGAAAAGTAAAAAAGAAGAGAATCCGGAGGAGCGCTTAGAAAGGTTTGTTGTGACTATGAAAGATGCCTGGAAGAGCTCCAGGGGCCAACGTGACGTCTTTTTGGAGAAGTTCATGCGAAAGTATCGCTCGCATTGGCGTGGGGTCCTGGAGCTTCTGGCTCATCGTATTCACTCTTTCGGATTCGACTTGAGTCGATGGATTTTGGAGAATTACGAGCTAACATTGAAATCAGGACAAAGCCCACTACGAGAAATCTTCGATGGCCCGCAGCTACAGAAAGTAGTTTCTCAAGTTTGCGAGCATGCATTAGACGAGAAGAAAATGATTATGGACTGGACTAGATGGTGTGAGATGCTGCGAAACCATCCAAACTGGATAGCTTTACAGATCGTTGAAAGTTGTGACGCTAGAAATTCAAGCGCTAACGAAAAGTTCCGAAAACGGCATCACGATGAGATACGCGAGCTCAAGGGTCTTTTGCAGCGCTTTAAAACCTGCGTTACAAGCTCCGATCTTACGATGTACCAGATAGCAAGCGTGACGAAGAACAGCATCGAAGTCAGTCGTGGTAGTCCTTTCCAGACATCTGCTAACGAGATCTTGCAAGATTTACAGAAATTGAAGCAGGCCGCCGAGCCCAAATCATTTAAATGGGAGCCAGTACCCCAATGGACTCCGCGTCCCTTCGGACAAGTATAGCGTAGCATAGCTAACAATGTATACTAGCCTGTAAAAAGTGCAATTTCATACAAAAGCGCAAGACAAGAGAGATACAATTAACTATTTCAAAAAACGTGTACTCAGACATCCTAGGAAGGTCTCAAGAATGAGCGGTCAACGAAGGTACTATACGAGGGTTCGTTGGCGTACCCCTACCGTGGAAACTGCGAATGTAAGGAACCAGATTTTCATCATCGTACACGTTTTGTGGAAATATTAGAAAAGTTGATTGGCAAGCTTTTCACCCTCTAAACACATAGCTTGATATGCCTTGGAAGAGCATTATTGCGAGCGAAACATAAGTGCATAAATCAGAAGATGCCACGGCAATCCCAATGAATGCACTTATAAAACGCTATGTTGAAGAGATACGTGGAGCAATCATGAAGAGCGCCCACCTTAAACTTCTCAGCTTGCTTATCGACAACTTATCACACTAAATTCTCACGTTTCTTGGAGGCTCGGACACTTGAATATAGTAGTGCGCCTTTTTGAAGGGCGACCACTGGCAAGAAAAGCGAGTGCTCCCAATAAATTGAAAGCGTCGCGTGGTAGAACCCCATGTCGTCATGGTCGAATCGGACTGGGAAAGAAGAGAGACCGTTATCGTCACGGCCACCTTGAACGTGAGAACTTGCATTAAAAGTTGACAAATAGGCAGAGATGTCTAAAATGGAACGCTAAACACGCGATTCACATAATTCAACATTTGCACAACTGCCTTCCAAAGTATGCACTCATCCTTGAGTGCATTAGCTATAGGCGATAGGGTTAGAAACCACAAAAGCTTAGAGCTTTATTGTTGGAGTCTTGAGCTTTTGTTTTCTGTTGTTTATTCAACATAAGAAGAATAACTCTAACTTCAAACATTTGGCTTCTTTATATATGTGAAAATTTCTAATCGGTTTGATATAAAGCTAGGGCACTCTTCGTGTCGAAGTGATGTGAAAAGTTTTTAAATGAAGGACCTCTAAAGAAGCCGCAAAAACCAACGAATTTATGGTTTTGAAGGGCCGAGTAGGGCAGGGCCGTTAGTAGTGCAATGTTTGGAACGCCGTTTACAATTAAGCTCGAAAGTGGGCTCCATAAAGTCGGAGTTGTATTTTTTCGGCTCACGATCCGCTGAACGCCTTGTATCCATAAGTCAAGCAGCAATGCAGCTGCGAACAACATTTGTGTGCGCGCGCACATGAGGGCTGAACAAGGTTGTAGATCATGAAATAATGTTCGTCTTTTTGGACGAATGTGCGAATTTGTAGATCGCTCTAGTGAGTACTTACAAGGCAAACGAGAGCACACGATTTGATTGGAAATCTACGTCTTGTTCAGCGTAGTTGCCAGTTTCTGCGTACATAGTCATTTATTGGTGCAGACGCACAAGCGCTTTCAGTACAGTTATTTAACAAGGACTTTCTAAGTCACTTTGTACAACAACGTCGCCCGTAATAAAAAGTGTAACAACGGGTGCGAAGGGTAGCACGGTAATGCAGTCGTTGCGAACTTGAGCTTCTGCGATTACATCCCTCGTGTGTGCTGAAGTATTTATTTTGGCATTTGCAAGCTCGGACTGTAGCGCTCACTACCACCTACTCTTCATCACTCGTACACAGTGTGTGAAAAATTTGGCAATTTTCAATATTGGAAAGAAATGAAGTGCGATGCGATGAGCAGAGGAGTCGATCATTAAGACCATTGCATTCACCACACTTTGTCATGCTTGATACCATTGGAGGCGTCGAAACTACTGGTTATAAGAAGTGTAAGGACCTGGCTTCTTTCGAAGCCTCCGGTAAAGAAATCTGGCTGATAAGGGCTCCTCGTAAATTGGATCTTAGTCAAATCAAGACGCTCCCAGTGGATTTCACCGGAGAAGGCAAAGCAACCTTGGAGAACAAAGGCCTGACTTTCGAGGTCCGTGAAAATCTGCAAGATGACGGTTCGGGGTTGTCTGTGCTGGTACCAGCCGACAAGCATACTCTCGTTAGCGGAACAAGCGTCAATCGCATGTTCACGGTCAGTGAGACAGTTGATCTTGAACAGAAGGCTCAAACTAGCAAAAGAAAGGCTTCAGACGACGAACTAGAGCCTGAGGTACCAGAGGAACACAAGAAGCATAAGAAGGACAAAAAGGACAAAAAGGAAAAGAGGGATAAGAAAGAGAGTAAAGACAAGAAGGATAAGAAAGACAAAAAGGAGAAGAAGGAAAAGAAGCATAAGCACAAATGAAGAACGCATGCAGCCTAGCTGTCCAAGCGGTGCTTTGTACAATAGAATTGAAGCGGATCACAGATGATTATAATTAAGCATCAGTAGTCGCATGAATTACAGACATATTTCACGATTAATACACAAAGAGCGAACGCGACTCCATTCTTCCACTAGTTACAAAAAGAACATAATTGAATTTGCTTGTATTTTTTAACCTGGATGGGAGTCTAGACTCTGCGCCACATCATAAGTAACAAAAAATTTAGATATTCGCGCTACTGTTTTGGGCTTCATCATCGCCTTATGTTTTCAAGTTTATGTCACTGAGATTAAAGTATTTGCTTGCCAAATGTATGATAATGTTACCCAAAAAAACCCTTCGCCGTTGCTGTCGTATATAACCTTCGCCTAATATATCACTAGAGTTGTTGCTCTGTTTGACTGATTTGAAGGGACAAGCTTTCATTTATCTCGGTTTCTTGTCTGCTGTGAATGAATAACGGGGCTTAACACTCACACCTAGAAGGGACATCGCGCGCTGTAGAGATCACGAACTCCTACAATTTCATAGACGCAATCTCTCGATTCGGGTATTATCTTTATCTGGGAGGGAGCGCTTCAACTGAAGGTCAAGTCTTTCAACAGGACTTTTCAGAACGCGACGTCGTTGCCAAAGCACCTTCGCAAACGTTGGGAAACTTGTTTTCGCCTGCCAATTTTCCCATATTGTTGAACCGCACACCAGTGTGCTATACACGGTCCGAGTAATCTTTGAGGATGCCTGCCATGTGGGTATTCGTAACTTTTCCCCTGCGCTGTTTCCGCTTCTTGACTTCCACGCGTGTCGACTGTCTTTTCAGCGTAGCTGGATCCACACTCGCTGGCTTTAGGCCCAAATCTTGTAGTTTACGAGGCAACTCACCACGTTGTGGTAGCTTGCAGTTTTCCCACATCTTTACAAAGTCTTCGTCAACACCTCCTAAAGATCCACCAAAATTATACCACACAAAACGCGGCTGGTTGTCTTTCTTGGTGCGTAGAACAAGCACTCTATTCTTGTTCTCTAGCTCGTCTATCACGTCCGTGCATTGTGGCCAGCCGTCTTTGAGCTCTTTACAAGAGAGGCCTTTGAAAGTGACCTGCGCTCGCAGCAATTGCAGCAATTCCTCCGCAGAGTGCACATCATAGATCGACACATATTGTAGCGTATTGTGCTTGACGTCAAACTTGATCTTGTTGATGTTTTTCAGCAGCGGAATCACATTGTTTTCGGGAGAGAGTGACAAATACGATTCGATTTGCTCTATGGGGACCGCCTCTCCACGTTCCTGGATGTACTCCGTAGCCAGCAGAAGTTTGGTTGACAAATGCGTACCGCTTAAACTTTGTTCTGGTGTCGATGTCTCTGCCCTTTTGATCTTTTTAGGCAGTGGGCTCTCTTCCTCCTTGACTGAACGTTTTTTCGATTCGCTTTCTACCATTTTGGCAGCTACAGGGCTGGGCCCTACTTTAACTTTGTTCTTAAAAGCATTCAGATTCGCTAACAGAGGATCGCTGCCACTCATCAAGGTTTGGGATCACAAATCGAAACGATAATGCGGTATCAAACACTTAAAACAAGTTCGATGCCCTGAACTGAGTACTAGTTCAGTTTTTCAAGTTCAAATTAATCGTCAAAAATTAGGTTACCCGGTCTACTTGTTCTCATGATAAAAAATAATATGAGAGCTGTTTGAAAAGCTTACCTCTAATGATTTTATTGGTTTTTTAAAAAACCACCGATAGTTTCATTGCCCCGCTCAGGCTTCAATATCGGGCTGGTAGGGCCGACCTTCGGGTCATCTTTCCAGCTTTGCCAATGTCCAACTTTGGAGCCGATTTTGTAGCATTGTGGCTTACTGTCGTAGAACAATGCTTTTTTGAGCACTCAACTTTAAAACCATTGCTGTTGGAGGTCTGCTTCCCATTCGTGGGTCGAGCGGCCACTGAAACGGTGATGACCTGAGGTTTGGGATATTTATTTTATCAAGTGCACAGCACTATTTATTGTAGAAAGTGTAGGCCTGTTTTCGGTCGCAGCCAGCGAGCCAGAATGAGTGGAATACGATGGAATCGAGGTCAAAAGGACAACCATCGACGTTTCAGCTAGTACCATTCGCTTCCACACCTATGACCTCAAACTGTCATATATGCTTTGTGTGCTTGTCAAGCAGCCTCGGTTGAGAAGGTGATTGCGCAATACGCAGTGTGTGGACTTGATAGTCCTGTAAAACAATTACTACGTAGGAATCGTAGGCCCAAGTTGTACGTGACAAATATCAAACTGCTGTCGATCTGTCTATAAAGCTAAGTTCGCGTTCATTTGGCTCATTCTGAAATGAACCTCTACTGCCATATAAATGTCACTAGCCTATGTTTGAACTCTTACACCATGCGTTATACAACCTTACATGTTCAGCGCTCTCAATTCCTTTTTAACCTTTCAATACTCCGCACCAGAGGAGGTCCAAAGTCTTACGCTCGAACCGTTCCGTTCACCTACCGAAAGAACGAAAAAAACCTCTCAATTCGATTTCACCTGTCATATAAACTTGAGTACCATTTGTGATCTGGCTTGCTCTTCTTCACGATGCAAGGTATTCATCACATCCTGTATCTGGTTTCGCGCTTGTGACGATATTACAGGGTCGCGTGCCGAGAGTTGTAAAATGTCATCCAGGCGACGCATGAAACGATACTGATATACTGATATTCCGGTATCCTGTTTTGTTTGAAGGCAATCGGATGACAACCTATTCTCAACACTTGCTCTTACTGTTGCCAAGCACATCTTTCTAGCAGATTCAGAATCACATATCCCTAACGAGAGGGCTTTTAGTGACGCCACAAACAAATGCTGAACTTTTGTTAGTCTATGGTCTTGTAAAGAGGGTAGTTGGTATGCTACAGAGTAAAGCGTCTGGTAAAGACCTATTGAGTCTGCAGCAGACCATCCCCTTATTTCCCGAACTCTTTGGGAAACTAAAGCAATGCCTGATTGTCTATAGTCACATTTCCACACAAGCTTTTGAGCCATGGGTGCCAAATCATGCCACTCAGAAGTCCATCGTTTGGTATACTGTTCAAATAAGGTGGAAGCTTCGGGTCCACGTAGTCTATAACTTAGCATTGCTGCAAGCTCAAGCTCGTGGCTAAATCCTGGCAAGTTATCGCGAACTTGGTTTAGGTGCGTGAAGTTGCGGTTCATAATAATCTTTGTCAACGCTGCAGACGTTAGTTTATTGGCAACCTGCAGCTCCAAGAGCAACCCGTATAGTTGCTCACTGGAATGGCACTTGCTCAGTCGTTCTTGAAGATTGTATTTCAACTTTGACCAAGAATCCTCGATTCCAGTTTGGGCCACAGACTTCTCCACCACATGTTTTAACCGCGACATCAAGATGTCATAGTGAGCATCGACTCTTCGCCTATGAAATTCCCCGTCTGGTAGATCGTGATTCAGGAGGTCTACGACTTTCTGAACGTGAACCGCCTCAGTGCCTTGCTTCTCGAAAAGCGAAGATATTGTGGTGGTCTTGTTTGTTTGAGCCAGAAATTTCAGCGTATTCTGTAAATCCTGGGTTTTGCGTTTAGCCAACAAGCTAATGCTCGTGCTAATCCCTCGTTTCATAACAATACGTTTAGATTTGTGTTTGAGCTACCAAAGATCATAGTTTTCAATATTTGTAAATTAACAAAAGCTTTAAACAATACAAAGAAAATCAATAAAACCCAGAAAGCAAAGCTAAGTACAATAGTTCAAACAAACCTGAGACGCCCAAGAGGCCTCTTACACCAGTTCTTGCGTAGCAAAATATGGAACTGTCGGATGATCTTGCTTCGGCTGTGAGGAAATCATGGTCCGAATCAGCACCTCCAGAGGGGACGGATTCCCCAATCAGCACACCTCGTGGCACGCCAAAAAGCTCAACTCGAGATTCAATGTCTGCAGAAACTGATTTTCCGGTGGACTATCAGCTTTTGAAGCACCACTATGCGATCTCAGACGACGGCAAAAAGCCCAGTCTTCAAGAAGGATTCTACGATGTATTAGGGGAGCTAGAATTCGCCAGCGCTGACGTTAGGCCTCAAAATATACGCAGAAGGTCCATAGAGGAAGTGTCCAAAATACGGCAATGGTTAAATCCTCGTAGCTCTTTTTCAGGTGTCTCCAAAGACGAGCCCGACGTCGAGCCCTACTCTTACGCTCATAAGTGCTGGGTCACTGTGATCGAATCACAGGACGACTACTGGCCCATTTTGGTTTTAAGACATTCACTGATGATGAGCGGATCGCACTACAAGCTTCAAGTGTTATATTCCGATAACACGCACAGCATAGCGTCTCAGTTGGCGCAAAGTGGTGTGGAAATTATCAAGGCCAACGAAATATCACCAATTTTGATGTCCTCGGCTAGTCTAGCTGACCAAAACAGACTTACGCAGCTTACGCCGTCTTCCAAGTGGTGCAAGTTACTCCCATTCGTTTCGCTGGCGAACGTTTATGATTTGGTGTGCTACTTGTCACCGCGGTCCCTAGTTTTGTCGAACATTGACGAGCTTCTAGATTCTGAGATCGTGTCCGCGGAGATTGACAATGAGACTTGTGTCTTGCTTTCAAATTGCATGCAATCTCCGCCCACGGTGATAGTTCTGCGGCCTAACAAGGAAATCGATGCTTGCATTCGGGAATACATGACAGTATACCTGAACGCGGAAAATAATGGAAAGTGGGCCAAGCTGCAAGAGTCCGACGGTTCAGTTGTACTGAATGAATTGTTTGAAGAATTGTGGGGCATTGTGGCCTCGGAATACTGCTATCGAGGCTCAGAAAATGTGCCCGCGCAGGCCAAGATAGTTGAGTGCACTACAACACAACCCTGGAATGCGACTGATGAAATAAGCTTACTTTGGGGCAAAGCTTATAGGCAACTTAGCCAATAAGTAACGATGAGGGTTTACACTTACACTATGTTCACGATTTTTGGGAGAAATATTCAATCCCACAGCCGTTTGACTAGTGCAGATTAAATATTCTCTATTTCCAATTTTCCTATGGAGCCAATTTGGATAGTACTCTTTAGACGTAAATAATTCGAATTACATTTTGTATTTCGATGGCGAACTATTTCTGTTTTGTTTATAAAGAACCCATGATGGTCTTAATTTGAACAAAAGTGATGGGCAACTAAAAAAACATATAATAACAATTCACCATCAAATACAAAATAGTATCTATGCCTGCAATGAAGTTCAGCAATGATCTAGAGAAGAAGACTTTTAGTAAGCTAGCGGAGCAATTGCCTTCCTTGATCGAGAAGAAGTGTCATGGTTACGACGAACTGTACGGTTACAAACTTTTGCCTGGCGAGCACTACAAAGAAACCATAGCTCACGCTTTGATTTATAAGTTTTGCAAAGCGTACAAGTTTCAGTACGAGGAAGCCGCATCTACTTTATGCGATACACTAAACTGGAGACGTGAATTCGATCCTTTAAGTGCCGCGTTTAGCGAGCGCCACGATGAAATTTTGAACAGCGTAGGAATTTTGACTTCATACCCTAAAGACGAGGCCAATAAAAAAGTGGTCACTTGGAACTTGTATGGAGCTTTGGTCCAGCACAAGGAGGTTTTTCAAGACGTCAATAAATTTTTGCGGTATAGAATTGGGCTTATGGAAAGGTCTATTGCTTTACTTGACTTTGACGACGAGACTAATAATTCTGTGGCTCAGGTTCACGATTATGACGGAGTTTCCATGTGGAAAACGGACAAGCACATCAAGCAATGCACCAAACAGGTCATCGCAGTTTTTCAGAAACATTACCCAGAGTTGTTATCGGTGAAACTCTTCATCAACGTTCCTAGTCTATTGACTTGGGTTTATGATGTTGTCAAGAAGTTTGTGAGTGAGGAGACCAGACAGAAGTTCATTGTCTTGAATGATGGAACTAAATTGGGTGAGTACATGCATTCTGCCCCATCTAAACTTTACGGGGGAAACTCCAAAGAGACTCTCGAGGCCCAGAACGTCAAGGAAGTGAGGCCTACCGATTACACCTTATATCTCTTTGAGAAAAAGGTCTCTGCTGATGTAGAGTAGACCAAGCTGGATAATAGATCAATAAATAACGGATATAATTTTTAGTATAATTTACACGGACCCTTGCGCGGCTATAGTTCTCTTTTCGGCGTCGTAGTCGAAACTTTGCATTGGCTCCATACCCCATTTCGCTAGCATGGCTTTGTCTTCTTCCCAACCGTTACACATGGTGGTCAACATCTTCTTACCAGTGAAAATGGCATTGCACCCAGCTTGGAAACACAAGAACTGTTCGGTTTCTTTCATGGTGTATCTTCCGGCTGCTAGTCTAATAATGGCACGAGGCATGGTAATTCTAGCAGTAGCAACAGTTCTCAATATGTCATCGAACTTGAGTTTTTTAGCATTTTCCTTCTTCAACTCTTCGGCCATTGGTGTACCATTGATTGGGACCAGCCTATTAATTGGTAGCGACTCCGGATGAGGAGTCATGTTGGACAAAGTGTGAATAAATCCGATATGGTCTTCTTCGGTTTCTCCGAGACCCAAGATACCGCCAGTACAAGCCTTGATCCCAGCAGATTGTACGTTCTTGATAGTTTCCAATCTATCATCGTAGGATCTTGAAGTAATGACTTTAGGGTAGTGCTCTCTGGAAGTGTCAATGTTGTGATTGTAAGCGGTCAATCCAGCTTCTTTCAATTGCTTTGCTTGATCCTCATTTACCATACCTAGGGTGACACAAGTTTCCATGCCCATGGCGTTGACTTTGGTTACCATTTCCGAGATCTTACGAAGACCAGATTTACGCCCTTGCATGTCTCTCCAAGCTGCTCCAAGGCAGAATCTTGTGGACCCGTTTTTCTTGGCTTCCTCTGCTTCGAGCAGTACCGCGTCGAGCGCTACCAGCTTTTCGGCCTCCACGCCAGTATCGTAGCGAGAGGATTGGGCACAGTATTTGCAGTCTTCAGAACATCCACCACTCTTAATGTTCATCAAAGTGCACAATTGCACTTTGGTTGGATCGTGCCATTTGCGGTGCTGGAGTTGAGCAGAGTGCACTAATTCGAGCAAGGGAGTGTTATAGATCTCTCGTAGTTGTTCTTTGCTCCATTCGTTACTGGGCTGCTCAAGGGACAGGGCCAATTTCAACACAGACGGTTGTTGAGCAGCAGAAGATTCGCTGGCCATACGAGCAGTAGCGGCTGCCGCTCTTCTGATCCCATTAGTGGTAGAAATAAACCGTCTGATACTCAGCATTGTTAAGCTCTTAAGGTGGGTTTGTTTATTACTGCTGCGGAGATAAAAGGTACAAGGTGAGTGGTAGCATTTTGAAAACTCTCGGAGCCTGGCTCGAGAGCTCCTTTATACGTTCACTAAAATCCTGTTTATCACTAGGTCGTGTTGGATTTTTATCAAATTGGCGTAGTGTGCGAGAGAGTCATGGTTACATGACTCAAGATTCAGCCTAACATGAGCGAAAAATATAGTCAGTGGAAAAATGGCAGTCTTGTGTTAGAAGCGGCCGAGTAAGATTCTGACAAGAACCAAGCTTGGATGAGGGTTAGACAAAGCTGCTTACTCTATTGAAGATACGGAATAATGTGCGATCGAGCACGGTACGCTTCTAGAGTAAAAATATAAGCTCAGCGAAAATAGTGCGCTTGGGCTGACTTAGATGTGCGCTATTCAATAAGCTGCTGGAGAAGGGTGTCCTTCAAAGATAGCATTGGGGAATGTAAAGCAAACAGTTTAGATTAGGATACATAATAGAAAATGTTAAGAGTACGAGGTCGAGGTGGAACGACACAGCCATTGTGTGGGCGAATACACCTTTCGTAGAATCGGCTGGCGGTACAACAGAACCCATCTCATTGTGGAGAAAGATGGCGATTGGATGCTTGAGATACGAAAAGAGAATAAAATATGCGGACAGAATGTGCAAAGTGGCTAAAGTGACATTAAGATCGCAAAACTGTGGAGAAATCTCATCTTGAACTGTGAGGAACGGGTGAGGCTGACATCATGCTCAACCGTGCGTTAAACAGAGGCCCTGCGCAAAGCTCTTGTAACTTTTAGCGCTGGAAATGTATTCTCAGCTGAAGATCACTTCGAACTTTAGTGTCACAATAAATGCGACCCTATCGTCATACATCTGCGACACGAAGTCTTTCGTTTAGGGAAGACAGAGGCCGAAGAGCAAGCTCTTTCTGGGAAATATAGAAACGTTCTATCTGCAACTTCTAAGGATATGTTGGTAAGATTTGATAGTTGTTGAGATGTGAGTATTGATGGTGCCATGCACAATGACAGAAAAGTACATAGTGATATTAATAAAGGAGGGCGGTAAAGGACTGGTACAGTCACACTCCACTTGCACCCCACTTATGCTTTATTCAAATCTCGAAGTTGTATGAAAACCTTCGGTTTGTATGATATTAATTTTACTTGTACCACGGAGAGATGTTTCCAACCCCCATCTACGAACTAAACTCAATCAATCGACTATGGAAAAGCTAAATGAACACGTTAGGAACCTCCCTATCGCCGCAAAATAGTATCGTCTCTTCATGCACGGATGTCTCCGTTTTGGCACTTCAAGATGCGCGTAGTCTCGAAATAAAAGTGCGTACTTGCTCAAGGAGCTCTACTAGGTATGCTTCTACGAGGACGCAGATACGATAGCATTTAAAAATCAGAAATTAAGTTACACTTCCTGCTGATATTATAGAAGCGCGACCAAACGTTTGCTGCTATCTTTGCTCTTTTCTGTCGTTTGTCACAACCATCACTCACAGCGCAAAGCTTTTCTCTCAAGTCGACTGCTTACAGTTCGTCCAAGGCACTCGTTTATTGACCTAAATCTCACTACTCACTCAAAACAGCATTCCTATTACTTGTAACACACATAGCTGGAGCTCAATTTCCCATTCTCATCGATAGCATGTCACGAAATGCCAGAGTGACAGGAAAAAAAAAGGATGCTCTTTGTCAACGAAACGATAAATAGGCAGCAACCAGGATTCTAAATTCCCTTTCCCCACCAAGCGCTTTGTATATCAACACCATTTCACAGTCCTTCAGCGTCCCTCTTAGCGCTGCTTCCTAACCTCAAGACCAAACTTGCGTACCAAATGACACAAGCTCTCCCGTATTTCTAGAATACTCCAGAAATTTAGCGGGGCATCCTTTTTATATAAAGGAAATGGATATTCAAAAATGTACACCATTTACGCGTCGTAGATGTACCAAAGACAACACAAACTACAGAAATAGCACCCTCTGGACCGTTTTCAATTAACACTAGAGACCGAATAATTAATGCTGAGCTGTTGAGAATTAAGCCTACTACTCTACGTCGCAATATGAGAATCCAGAAGCCCACGAGAAACTTGAGGAAAGTCAAGAGCAATGCGAACCTACGAAAAATGCACTCTATTCCTGATCATCCGCGCCAAGGGGTCCTTGTCGATGAAAGCTTTGGGGACTTGCTGCAGCAACGAGCTACGGGCGTGTACTTCCTGCTGGAAGTCAACACACACGAGCCAGGCTTGACACCCCACGAAATCATCGAGGCGCCTGAGCCAGAACCCACGACGGTCAACAACGTCTCCGAAGTTGAGCTGGAAGAGATCGTCGCCTCCCATGACGATCACGACTCCGACATCGAAATGCAAGACAGTTGATGATACGAAGTCACTTCCAACGAATGAAATAATGAACGAAAGAACGAGTCATGTCGCTTTCAACGGATAAGGTTAAAATTTTCGAAATTCTAAGAACAGAAAGCATATCATCAAAAGCTTCAAAACCGAAGTTGGGTAAAGAATCTTGGAACCACAACTCCAGCACTTGCGTTCGAAGAACTACTAACAGACACTCTGTTACTTCAGTCTGCATCGAAGAGTTAACGTGTAAAGCAAATCGTTCACACACAACAGTACTACACAAATGTCGGCCGATCATTCCAGAGATCCTTGTCCTGTGGTAGTCCTCAGCGATTTCGGTGGTGCTTTTGCAATGGGTGTCATTGGTGGCTGCGTATGGCACGGTATCAAAGGTTTCAGAAACTCGCCCATGGGCGAACGTCACTTGGGTGCCGTGAGCGCCATCAAGGCCAGAGCTCCCGTTGTAGGAGGTAACTTTGGTGTGTGGGGTGGTTTGTTTTCTACCTTTGACTGTGCCGTGAAAGCAGTCCGCAAGAGAGAAGACCCATGGAACGCCATTATTGCTGGTCTTTTCACCGGTGGCTCTTTGGCTGTCAGAGGTGGTTGGAGACACACCAGAAACAGTGCCATCATGTGTGGCTGTCTCTTGGGTGTTATGGAAGGTGTCGGTTTGATGTTCCAGAGGTACGCCGCTTGGCAAGCCAAGCCTATGGCTCCTCCTTTGCCAGAGCCCCAACCAGCACAACCTCTACGTGCTTAAAAAGCTCGGGAGTATCGTTTCATGATTTGCACGAACTCTTAAAATTGACCCTTTTCTACATATGCATCTGGAGTTAACTGCTATTGCACATACCACCTTTTTATCATGTATATATACACACACAACTTTTAATGAGAACAAAAACTTATAAAATATTAATCAGAAGGTTGAGACCTATCTGCGTATAGGTCAAGTAGACTTGATCAGTTGCCAATCGTCAACTTGTTGATTTCTGAAGTGGCACTTCTATCTTGTAAAATCGGGAGCTTTTCGTTTCGCCGAGGGGTGGTACCGGGTGGATACCATTCACCGGTGAATGGCTGTTGGGTGATGAACGGATGCATTGCCGCTTGCGGTGGTGTCCATCTTTCCAAAGGGTTCAAATCCAGTAAACCTTTCAAGAAATGCGTCAAGCATTTACGATCTATTTTCTCTTTATCAACTAGGTTACTCGAACCTAGCAGCTTTTTAGAAATCCTATAATTGTCGATGATGTCTTCCAACTTATTCCATTTGAAATACTGTTTTCCGGGTTGCTCCGAGGTATGGAAATCCAAGTTGTATTCGTCAACATCTTTAACTCTCCAAGTTTTGTCATCTTCGTCTTCAGATTTAACGAGGAAATTACAAGAGTTTCTGCCCATATCTAGCATCCAAGTAGGTGGTAAACCTAATGTGTCCACAATTCTGGAAATTTGATTGAATTCCGATGAACCCGGGAAAATAGGAATGCCGAGAAAGAGTTCTGCGAGAATACATCCTAGGGACCACATGTCGATACCTGTAGAGTATGGAATTCCCAGGATGACCTCGGGCGCTCTGTAGAATCTAGATTGAATGTAGGTGTATAAAGTCCTGGATTCTTCGCAAGCTGATCCAAAATCGATAACTTTTAATTCGGGTCTATCAAGTGAGACCAGAAGGATATTTTCTGGTTTCAAATCGCAATGGATCAGTTTGTTGTCTTTCAAGACGCACAGAGAGTCCAACAACTGGCGTGCAAAAGTTCTAATCAAGCTTATAGAAAGCCCATGGAATTGATTCTGTTTCAACAATTCGTACAAATTACTGCTCAGAAGTTCGAATACCAAGCACAAATGATTTTTGTGCACAAAAGTTTCCTGCATGCGCAAAAAATGGTGTTCTCCTCTAGGGTCAATTTTAGTGTTCAGCAATTCCAAAATCTTGGCTTCTGTGATACTTTGGTTCAGATACTCACTCTTAGATTTGACCACTTTTACGGCGACGATATCTTTAGTCAAAAGGTTTTGACATTTGACCACTTGACCAAATGTACCTTGGCCCAAGATATCCAGCACCAAATACTTGCGGTTCTGTTCCGTACCAAGAACGTCATTGACATACAGGATGTAGTCGCTATTCACATTATCGTTGCCGTTGTTATGTTTGCCATCGCTGGGTTTAGTTAGTACTCTTTTTGGATTACGAGATGTTTGGTACGAAAACTCGGGAGAGCATAGCGTGTAAGTGGTGGTAAGCGAGCTTGTAAGCGCCACGAGTGGAGAAACGGTTCTGGAGTTTAGCGACGCACGGCGATATTTCGGCGTGGCGTTTAACGTGGGACGAAGTTCGTGGCGAGTCGACACTCGATGGGTCTGCGGTAGAACAACAGGTATCGTGTCCTCTTGCTGTCTTCGCAGTTGCTTCATAGGTGGGGACAATGGAAGCGCTACACTGCCGCTATTGTTGTATGCGCTCAGTTTGCGATGAAACGGAGACATCGGCGCGTGGAAAGGCGAATCAGACATCGCTGAAGCAGAAGCAGCAGCAGCAGCAGCGGCAGCAGCGGAGGCAGCAGCCGTGTTCGCCGTTGTTGATGGGTGAGCGAATGCGTGCTGAGGTGCAACGGCAACTGACTGACGCCTGTGCATGTCTTGAGCGTAACTCGGATAGCCTTGCGGCGGCAAAAATCTGTGGTGTGAAGCGGAGTATGCGTCGGGCGCTGGCCCCGCCGCTCTTGGCGGCGGTATCACCAGGCTCGAGTTCCTCCGGCGATCGCCACGAGCCCTGCTCGCGACCTCGTCCTCATATGTCGTGGGCAGCACTTGCTGCTGCTGGTGCGCAAATGCCAGGGAATTACGCTTTGATGCTCCGGTCTCATGCCATGGGTTCCTGAACCCGTATGGCGCCCCGTTGTTTGCCGCTGCCGCCGCCGCGGCTTGCTGGAGCTGAAGCTGTTGCTGTTGTGCGTTGCTCATAAACGCCGGGTTCCAGAGGCTCTTGTCGGAGTCAGGCATGTGAGATTTAGCATGCGCTCCAAAGAAGGCGCGTTTGGTCTGGTTTGAGTGAGAGTGGGAGATTGAGACGGGGGGTACGTCCAATATTTATTAGACCTCTTTTATTGAAATCTTCCAACAAGTCCTATCTACACGTATTGCATGTGAGTTGAGCCAATTTAGCAAAAAACACGAAAGTACTCGTGAAAAAACACAAGTACTAATGTATTTTGCTTTTCGCGAGTACAGACAAGTACGTATGTACTCGTATGTTGGGTGCCGGGTCAAGAGTTTATAGGAGTTTGTCAGTAACGGTGTGCGGTCAGGAGCATTGTAATCCATGTCATAATTCCTTAAGCGCTGCGAGAGAGCTTGATGGTTGAATGTGTAGTTCGAGAACTGCTGCTGTGTGTCAGAAAAAATCCGGGCACTAGTACGACCCCCCGGGTTGCAGGGTAGCACTGGGAGAGGATCTGGGTAGCTAAATACTAGCAACGGCTGCCAAGTTCGAGGGCAAGCCATTGTGATCGCGTCGTGGGCCGACAATCAACGAAAATAAATAATAACGACCCGTGACCTCGGACGTCAAGAAAGTATATAGTGATTTAGGCCTCGAGTAGTAGTAGTGTCCGGATGTGCGGCTGTGAAGGCAGCTAGCAAGCTGTTTTCGCTGGCCGGCTTTGTCGACTACTTTTGCGTACGCAAGTGTTACGCCACGGCTTTGAACCTGCCAAAGTCACCGGACCTCGAAAAATTAAAAAGTACACGCTATATCCACAATAGCCAAATATCTTCCTTTCATCGGTGGAGTCTTCATCCCAGACATAGTGGCAAACCGTGCATCCACATGATACTCCTGCCGTTATCAAGGACCCGTCAATATTTGTTTTTGGAATTCGCACAAACACGTCTCCCAGAAATAAGAGCGAGGTCAAAATTGCCATCCAGTTCCAAAGCCTAAACTGTGGACAACATGCAGGTCCTCTCGATCTTATCGCTTTCAATGGAAAGCTAACTCGTAGACACCGATATCGCGATCGACGACGAATATTCGAGTGTTGCTCAGAACACGCAGATCGCTACTTTACATGTCAAAACTGATTCCCAAACCAGTTTTCACTACTCATTGTTTAATGCTGAGCAGTGGCAGCTGCTACAAGTTCAATCTCTATCTCCCCTTCATTTAGTTAATTAATACAATACTTTCAGTCTATTAAGTTTTGAAAATTAGAATATGGTATAAATCTCTCGATATCATAATACACATCAGCGCAAGGTCCATTTAGTGCCATGAATATCTCAACATCTACATTCTCTACCAAGAGAAGAGGGCTTAAGAAAGTTGAAGAGGAAGAAAATGCCGCCACGCTGCAATTGGGAGAGGAATTTCAACTTGCACAAGTAAACCACCAAGGCCAAGAAGAGGAGCTGATTGCTTTGAATCTAAGCGAGGCCAGACTGGTCATCAAGGAATCGCTAGAAATGCGCAAAAGGCTGTTCAAACAGTGGAACAAAAAGGAAGATGCCATGGAAACCGACGACGACGTTGATGAAGATGGACACACACAGAGTCACGAAAAGGAGCTACAGAACATCGACAAGCTCTTAGAAACAACTACTGGTGGTAACAACCAGGCGCTAAAACAGACGCTGGTTTACCTGACCAATTTTTCGCGATTCAAAGACCAAGAAACAGTCACGGCGGTCACTCAACTTCTACAGAGTACCAACCTACATCCCTTTGAGATTTCACAATTGGGGTCGCTGTCGTGTGAAGATGCCGATGAAGCCAAGACTTTGATTCCAAGTCTAGGGAACAAGATATCTGATGATGACCTCGATAGAATACTTAAAGAGCTCTCCAACCTCGAGACTCTGTATTGAACGTGTAAAAAACTGTATATTTTTAAGATAACGGAAGAAAGTGAGCTTAACGGGTGCGTGCCGTTATGCATGCTTCATGAAATATTTCCCGCTTCCATGCTTCCACCACCGCGTTAAGCAGCTATGCGGTTTAATGTCGATATTTTGGTCCAGGTTTGGATTGCATACGCACCTCTGTTGTAACCTTAAGTTATATGCTGTGGGGCATGTTCCAAAAGGCACATGGTAATATCCTAATTCATCGAAATGAATTACTTCGTCTTGTTGCAACAAAAGAGCAACCGCGATCGAATGAACAGGTGCATCACCCCAACGTTCATAGTAGAAACCGCCCTTGGATTCAAGTAGCTCGAAATATTTCTGGTACGGCTCGCTCCTGAAAAACGATAGATCACCGATCTCAAAGTTTGACCAAAAATGACATAAGTTGTACATGGAATTTGATTGAATTACTGGCATGTCCTTACCAATCATACCATCATCGGTGATAAAATCGTAACTGTTGGTCTTAGTATCGACCATTTCGGGATAGTCCGCCATAAATTCTTCTACGGCGTCCCACAAAGTAGTGACCGTATCCTCATACTCATACATGGCTATAACAAATCCGTATTTTTTATGCTTCTCCCGCATAACTTTGAATGGGTCGTAGGGAAAATCACAGTAGTATTGTACATCGGGTTCAACTCGAAAGTAATATTGATACTGGTCCAAAAGTTGTTGTTTGTAAAAAAAGCCGGAATTAAATCTGCACATATTTCTGTATGATTTAGAACCTCCGTAAAGGACGCCTTTTTCTCGCATTAATTGCAGACCTGCTTCAAATTCTGTCTCATTAATTGTAGATGGTCGATCCCAATCTGTGCTGGGAATCAAGCCGTAAGCTGTTTTCCCACTTGCCATAGCAGAAGTGGCTTCGATAAACTCATCATCAAACGGAACGTCGTTCAGAAAAGTCCAATCATAACGGTACCTTTTGTTGAACCTGTCCTCCAAAGACCTCATTGAGCTAAGAGCGCCCGGTAACTCCCAATTTCGCACCAACATCAAAAGCGTAGCATTTTCCCGAGAGTCCAAAAACAGCGAGTCTCTCGCAACATCCCTCTCATTGTCATCAACATAAGTATTGGTGGAAAGTTTCGGCAGCCCTACACTGATATTTGATCTTCGCACGCTGTCAAACTTGTGCAACAACCTGTGGCTGGCTTCGAAATAAGTCTGCTCACTGAAGCGATGCCTCAGAAAAGTTGATATTATAGCGTGTGCAAGGAAGAAAAAGTAGCCACATAGAAATGTGAAGGAGACTATACCACCAATCACCACTCCTCTCTTCATCAGTCGCTGATTGGTTTACTCGAAGTTCTAGTACTGATCTGCCAGAGTACACATGCGCCCTTCGAAGACGTTTGATCTAAAAAAACAAGCTTGTCGATATTTATTGACGGAATTTAAGCCCAGATACCAAACGCAAATAACGATCTATATAGCTTGGACTATCTGATTTTAGTGCGAGAGCGTTCTCAAGACTTACTTATGCTGTAATAATGCATCGTAGGAGAATTGAGGAACAAATGAAAGATTTCAGTTGTACAGCATGGAGCTCAATTGAAGATGACTGAGAATTAACAGACGATAGTGCGTACTACACACCGAGCACTATCAAATTCCACGCTCTACCTGCAGTCAAAGTAGATGTCGATGAAAGGTGCAGCTAACACGACTAAACCCTAGTTGAAGCTGTCGAACCCTTTCGCCGAACTCAGCGAAATTATCGGGCTTTTCAAAAGCATATCCGCTTGCTCACCATAGTTTTTTTGTCCCATCACGGGTAATGTATTCAATGCACAGCCTACTAATTGATCTAAATAGCATGTCTGCAATAAATTGTGTCCTGAAGTAATCTGAAAGATACTGAATTCAAGTTTGGGGTAACGGGACAGTTGCATCAAGGATGAAACGCATTGTGGCTCGAAGCGTAGGGTATCATTGCAACTTCCTCACGGGAGTCAACGACAGAACTAATCATTAGCTGTGCGAATGATCTATTGAACTGGGCATTGATTAGTTTTTGTTGTTTCAATACCTTCCCATGAAAGAAGTAATACAACACTAATATAAAGCTGATATCTTCGATAAGTCACAAAGCAGGAGACTTTCATATTAACGTGAGTTCGAATAACGCGTTGACTCCCCGAGCTCTCGAAATCTTGAGTAGGTTCTCCTTCTGGCTACAGCAAGAATAAGTTTGAAAAGCATTAGTCTTTGCATTGCAATAAACCGAGATATATTAAAGTTGGATTGTGAATGACGGCTTCCGATCGAAGCGTATATATTTTTGGGTTCTGCACTCAATGTATGACTTAATCCTGTTCACAACCTTAGCTCTTCGTCTTGTTCAGCTTGTGCTTTTATTTCCGGTTTGAAAATTGGTAAACTGGCACTGTTACTAGTTTTGACAAAAATTCCAGATATACCGCCTCTGATGACACCACCCTGAGGTTTTTTGGACTTGTCAGTGAGAAACTGAACTATATCTTGGATGTTATGAGCCATTTCTTGTGGCGAGTGAAGGCCCACTTCACCTATTTTCACACTCAGACAGTTGTCAACGTTGGGAACGAAGAACGTGTTTCTAGAAATGCTTTTGAGCTGAGCACGCACGTATGCGGCGTCGCACTCTTCGGGAAGTTTTTCTCGTTTTACTTTAGCGGTGCGAGACATCTGGATCATGAACGGCAGTTTTTTGTTGCTATGGTAGAAAGCGCTGCCGAGTATTTTAGGTAGCAAGTGATGCACCCTATAATCTGCAACAACTATGTCGTACTCTTTAAAAAGCTGATTCAAACGGGATCCACGGTACTTGCCCTTAAGGTTTCTGACAGAGAGTATAGTCTTGAATAAGTCAGAAGTCGTGGGGTCCTCAGTGAGAGTTTTTCTGTAAAGCGTCGATGGATCTTTCGTAATTAGCAAGATCCGTAGATCGCTAGGCTTATGCATTTTGCAGTTACTGAGCGGTACAATGCGCGGAATGTAGTCGTTTTTTAGCCCTATGGGCTTTTCCGTGTTGATAATCATGTGTATGTTTTTGTCGTTAGCGAGCTTCGAATCGGTGCTACATCTTTCGACAAGAGATGCGAGGGCCTCAACCGCCAATGTATTATCCTTGATTTGTAAGTAAGCCATCGCAATGCAAATATAGTCTTTAGTGCTTCATCAAATGCCGATACAGTTTGATTTTACGCCAGCGGCGGGCGATGAGATGCGATGAGCTGAAAAATTTCACATATCAAATTATCAATAAATAATAGCTTCACGGACGGAAAACTCCACAGTACTACTACTAAAAAGCAGAATGAGGCAAATGCCCGTATTTAGAAACCTAAGTGCATGTTTTGCAAAGTATACAGTGTTATTACAGATATGGAGTCGAATCTTTCACGAGCACTTGCGCAAAACACCTGGAAAGATCAAATTTGTCTAAAAGCTTGTTCAAAGAAATATGGCAACAGTATCTGCATAGGAAGGGTGGATAGGCTAGAGGGGAGATTACAGTGAATTGAAACTAATGGAAGCGATCCGATTAGTCAAACAACTCGCTGATGTTAGCTGGCAATTCTTCGATTTGAGTGGAGTAGAATCTTTCCAATTCTCTCATGGCACCAACATCCTTGTTGGTGACGAAGTTGATAGCAATACCCTTACGACCGAAACGACCACCTCTACCGATTCTGTGGATGTAGTTCTCCTTGTTGGTTGGCAAGTCGTAGTTAATAACCAAAGACACTTGTTGGACATCGATACCTCTGGCCAACAAATCAGTTGAGATCAAGATTCTGGAAGAACCGGTTCTGAACTCCTTCATGATAGTGTCTCTTTGTTGTTGTGGCAAATCGGAGTAGATGGCAGACACGGTGAAGTTGTCGGCAACCAATCTTTGGGTCAACTCCTCGACCTTTCTTCTGGTGTTGCAGAAGATGACGGCTTGGGTGACAGAGATAGAGTCGTACAAGTCACTCAAACAGTCGTATTTGTAGTCTTCCTCCTCGACGTTAATGAAGAATTGCTTGATACCTTCTAGGGTCAATTCGTCCTTCTTAACCAGGATTCTGATAGGGTTTCTCATGAACTTGGTGGTCACTTCCAAAACGTCACCTGGCATGGTGGCGGACAATAGAACCACCTGGGTGGTAGGAGGCAACAAAGTGAAAATCTTGTAGATCTGCTCCTTGAATCCGGAGGACAACATCTCATCGGCTTCATCAAGGATGAACATTTTGATGTGGTCGGTTCTGAATCTTCTACGCTCGATCATGTCGAAAACACGGCCTGGGGTACCGACAACGATCTGGGCACCGTCTCTTAGAGCCTCGGCGTCCTCAACAAAAGAGGTACCACCGATACAGGCGTGGACCTTGATGTCCATGTGGAAAGCTAGAGCCATGACGACCTTTTGGATTTGCAAGGCCAATTCTCTGGTAGGGGCCAACATCAAAGCTTGAGGAGCCTTGATCTTTGGGTCGATTTGCTGCAAAGCGGCGATCGAGAAAGTACCAGTCTTACCGGTACCGGATTGAGCCTGGGCTAGAACATCGTGACCTTCGGTGATAGGCAAGATAGCACGCTGTTGAATGGCAGATGGGTCGACGAAACCGTAACCGTAGATACCTCTCAACAACTCCTCCTTCAAGTTCAAGTCATCGAACTTGTAGACGACTTTGTCGTAGTTGGTTTGAATCTGAGATTCCTCAATGTCAGTAATACCTTCAGAAGACATATTGGGTGTCTTTAAACTGTGATACTATATACTTTTCGCTAAAAAGGATTCCTTCAAAGAGAGGAGAGAGTGCTCATCTTACATTTTGAAAAGTTTTTGATCGAAATTCAGAGAGTTCCCATACTGAAAAAATTTTCACAACATGCTCTTGTACGAGTTTCAGGAATGTACTCGTCGTGACAAAGGATTACGGTATGGATGTACTCGCGAGCCGACGAAGAAAGTCCGAGGTCAGATAATGGATATATAGATTAATGAATAGATGCATGAATATGTACACTACATTTCCAGGTTCAGAGCACCCAGCAGGCTATTCCGGAAATACTCTTTGCGGCTCTACTGCATCGGAGTAGGTTTCCCAGGGAAAAATGGGGTTCGGGCCTAGTTGTAGGCTTGGAAGCTCATCCTCGAGTAGTTGGTCGCCTTGATTCCATTCGAACTCGGGCTGGAAGTGGAACGAAGCAGCTTCTGGAGCGCCATCTACGGGGGGCGGTTCCTTCGTGGCATCCCATTGCGGCGGCGGGCTGTTCGGTGCGACTTGAGGCTCAGATTCCGCTTGCTCAGGGTCATCTTCATGATCGAGCGCCTGGCCAGTGGTGGGCTCTCCCGAACACCGCTGCACTGCACCCAGATAGATCTGCCACCACTGGTCACGAAACCGGTCGGAGTGCTCGGTCTTTGAGATCCAGGGTTTGTTTTTGCCAATGAAATGCACTAATTTGATGTCTTTGTCGAAAAACTTGGCTGCGGGCGCGTTTTGATAGCCTGCGTTGGGCACAGTGACGTTGTAAGTGAAGGGCAAACGGACCCAGCCGCTATCTTGGTCACTGGCATTGTCCTGCTCGGTGGGCGCCGCTACCTCGCGGCATGCTTTATTGAAAAACTGATTCAGTATCCCCTGATCCGCGCCGTCGATGGACTGAGTGGTAAGGACCAGTTTGGCAAGTTGGTCGTAAACGGCCAAATCAGGCACCAGTGCCAGCACCCCACTGTTGAACATGTCAGGCCATCCACAATCGGGACTAGCCGCGATTTCGTGCGAGGCCTGATCTTGGGTGAGCGTCAGAATATCCCAAAACGCACTGCTCACCAACAAACAGTCGCAGTCGATGTACACCACTTTTGAAAATTGCGTGAGTCTCCAGAGCTCCAGTTTCAAAAACGTGAAAGCCAGTTCTGGCCTGTCCAGCAGTTCCAGATTTTCCCTATGGAGCTCTAGCAAAGCGTCTGAGAGCTGACGCGAGCTTTCTACGGGCAACACCAGATCGTACAATGACCGAATCAGCTCCAGATCCGCGTCAGTACCCCCACGCTCGAGGAAAAGCTCCTGGCTCACCACCACACACGTAGTAATTTCATCGGTTCGCGTTTTCTCTCGAAGCTGTGTCCCCAGTGTCAAAACTCCTGGCAAATAATCTGGCGAGTATAATAAAGTCACCACGCCAACGGGTTTGGTCACGGCAGTGGCCATATGAAGCGGTTCTTGCAAGGGTTTGGGATAAAATTTCGGCAAATAAATATATAGTTTTGAGGTTTTCAAGCTGAGTGACGTAGATTTTGAAATCTGACCCTTTATATATATTGAAATGTCAAAAAATAAAGTGCGGAGAGATGGAGAGGAGAGAGAGAGAGAGAAAGAGAGGGCGAAAGAAATCGCAACGTAAAGGATCCTTTCATTTGGAAACGATAAAACGTATATTAATAGTGCAGAGATCTACTATATAGCGTGGAGACACACTCGCAGCGCGGATTTTGGCTCCGGATGAAAGTTAGGAACTCCCACAGTAGAGGTGTTGAGAAGAGGAATGGCTAAAGTTGAGTTTGTTTCTGAGAAAGCTTACCACAACCGCTTAGCGGGAGTAAGACCACACGTTCTTCAACAAACCGTCGTTCTGGGCCAAACGGTTCAAAGAGTCGTCGGCTTCACCTCTGGCTCTGACGTAACCGGACATGGCGTAGGTGATGAACTCACCTGGGATGGCACGGCCTTCCTCGTCAACCTTGGCGATGTTGATCTGGACGGAAGCGTGGTCCTTGGCCTTGATAATTCTGTTAGTGGCAGAACACTTTCTTGGAACGTAAAGTTCGACCTGTGGATGGGTTAGTAGGTGGTTGTGGCGGTGTGGGAAAAAGGAGCGGCCGCGGGAGCCTGAGGACCGATTGACAGCCGTGCTGTCCTTCTTTGTGTGTGATTCGAGAAGTCTGCCAGTTCTCGGATGCCAAGTGTCGTTCAAATCCACTTCGCACTGTCGTCTTTTCTCGTCGCCTCTGGTCGTCTCTCGTCCCTGGTCTTCGTCGTCGTCGTCGTCTCTTTTCTCTAGCTTCGCCCGCTTCTCATCGTTTCCCTTCGTTTTTCGTTTCCGCACATACTAGTTGACCCTTGTCGTTTTCCATCTTGGCTAATGTATGATCCTGATCTGTGAGCTCTCCTGTCCAAAACGCACCGCTAGCTATGCACTTTTGTTCACTCGGTCAAATTTCCAACTTGCCAAACTCTCGCGCCCATTGCAAGTTCCACCGGCCTATGCGCGCTGTGCTGCCTCGCTGCTAATTCGATGTTGATTTTGTTTGCGTGGGTATAGATTGGTGAATTTTGTTGAGAAAATAGAGAAAATATATAAAATCGAGAAAAAAAGTCTGGATGCTGATCTTAGTGCTTGGGTGTTACATTTTGGAAAAGCAGTCTCATCGAAAACATCTGGTGGATGGGTGGAAGTGGTAGGTCGCGAGTAACGACATGGCGTTTCCACCTGGTTTCCAGTTGGTTTCCAACTATGTGTATTTCAAAAAGCTGTTGTAAGTAACTTTATTGAACATTAATCAAGTTCGTTTTGCCTTTTCTTTCCTGCTCATAAGAAAAAAGCGGCTGCGCTCGTGGAATAAATAATAATGTAATTTAATTATCAGAGAGAGAGAGAGAGAGAGAGAGAAAGAAAGAAAGGGAAGCACGACTTTCCCTCAACTAATTTTAAATCCGCCCGAAGACCCCACTCGCATAGTTCTGCTAGTAATTACTTGTTGTATATACGCACTAATAACTCATTTGTCTCGATTGCGCCGGTGAACACAACTTGCACGTCGAACGTGGTCTGCAAGTACTACGTACACGGTTAGATGTATACCTGGGCGTCGAGTTGAGTCTGGTTCAGTGATAGACGACTTGCCAGAAGTCTTGTTTAGGTCTTCCATAATTGATCGGGCTTGAGCCAAATAAGTGGATGAAGGTTGTGGAAATTTAGTTCACTGTCCTGTCTGCTTGCTCTTTAGACTCTGTCCCCAGCTCTTCTGCTGTACACGCACTCTATGCAGTCTGTGTCTCCCGCCTACGCTTCATCTCTGGAGGGCGCTTTAAATATATCGTCAATATTGTTTTCCATCTTTCTGAGGAATAGAATCTCTTGGTGAATATTCCCATGTATCGAACGTGCCATATCTTTGCACTGCAAACGCCGAATTTATAGGCGGATCTGGGCTGTCGGCAGATGCCTGCTCATCTACGTAGGAACATAGTTGTTGTTACCCGAGTATTTTTTTTATCAGTATACCTGTGTAATAGTATCTAACTTTATAACGAGGGGGCTGGCTACGGCGCGTTCCAGGGTCGGTGGCAAAGATCACAGGAGCGCCATCTTTTCAATGGCTCAAACACCACCCACCCAATGTCAGCTAGCCCAATGGCCTTAGCTTGTGCCAAACGAGTACAAAATGATAACACACGTGACTCTAGTTATCCTGAAAGCTATGTTTTTCGATAGCCGTTGATGGTTCGACTCAAAACCATCATTTGTCAGGCTTCTACCTCTTCAGTAGACGAATTAACGCTAAACCGAAAATTGTGTAATAAATAGATTCCCCACTCTTTCTTGATATACAGAAACTCCTCAAATCCTACTCAAGACACACACGCTTTCCACATGATGTGTTTGTGGGAAGAAATCGAATCCTCGTAGACTCTCAATCTTGTATGCTTTCCCCTTTTCCGTCTCCTGCAAAAAATACTGCATGTCCCTGGCCTGTGAATGTACGTTGCACGAAATGTACACGATCCGGGCCGGATTGTATTCGGCCAATTGTTTGAGAAAGACATCGTCACAGCCTTTTCTGGGCGGATCCAATATCACGGACGTTCTGTCGCTTGGTGTGTCGATTGAAGCAAAAATACACTCGGCTTTGCCCACCACGAACTCACAATTTTTTACACCATTGGCTTTCGCGTTTCTTTCCGCAAATGATACGGAGTCAGCCGATACTTCCACTCCGATTACTTTATCCACACCTTTCGATGCGGTAATACTGAAAAGACCAGAACCGCAATACGCGTCCACCAAGTAATGCGGATCTTCGGGTTTCGAGTTTGCAATTTGCAAATTGCTGCACACATAATCCGTTACCTTAGGTAGTATACTATTATTGTTTTGAAAAAACTCGCCGGCAGAAAATTCAAATGTGTAACCATTGATGTATTCTGTGACAACTTGCCTCGATTTTGTTACGCACGTTTTGGCCAAAGGCTTGTCGTCCATGACTTCCAAAAAACTGGTTTGCCCCGTTGTGATATTTTGAGATCCTTCACCAAGCTGGTCCTCCACAGGTTTTCCTGCCTCTAACACGCGAGTATTTTCTCTCAAAAGTATTGTAGCACCGCGCTTGTAATTCTTGTAATCGCGCTCAAATCGCTTTCTTTCATTAGCCATCCCTTCGTTAATAATTTTGGTGCCAATGACGCACTCTTCGATGTCCAGTATGCTCTTCGTCCCTCCTGAACTGTTGTTTCTCCAGCTTGGCCTTCCCTTTTGACCAAATCCTAGCGGCGGCCTTTCTTCTAGCTTACTGACTTTCTTCGGCATGTCGAAGTGCGGTGTAAGTTTTGTTCTATAATCAAACATCTTTGGAGATGCCACTGTATCCCCAACAACTGGCAGCATCTCTTTAGCTAATAACTGAGGTGCAAAGTACTTGTAAGCATTGAATACTGTCTCCTTTTTAAGTTTCAGTTGTTCGTCATAAGTCAAAAACTGAAATTGGCAACCCGCACATTTACCAAAATATCTACATTTGATCAAATCATCTTGCCTTAAAGGAGAATTCTTCAAAACCTCCAGCAAGTCGCTTTCGACAAAGTACGGATGAGTTTTAAATACTCTAATCCTCACCACGTCCCCCGGTAACGCGAATGGAACAACTACCACTTGTTTTTTTTCTGTCTCTACAGGGTTCGAAATAACCGCTAATCCATCACCACTTGCTCCAATCTGCAAAACTGGCACATCAGAGACTTCTCTGTGATAATGTGAGCTCATTGGGTTGTCATCAATGTCCTTGTGATTGAGAACCGCTACCATATCGTTAAGAATTTGTTCTCTGGTCAGCCCTTCTTTAGACAATAACTCATCGATTTCGAACTGCAAAACGCCGAGAGGTGATGTTTCATCGACCTTCTTGGCTTTGTACTTTTTCAATTTCACCTTTCTCGTCTTAACTGGTCTATGATTTGCGGTTTTATCCTCCATGACTGGTCTTTTTAAGTCATGTTCCGACGTCGAAGAGTCTACCGTAGTGCCTGCCGACATATTTCTTATATGTGGGATGTGTACGATACGGAATCCTAGTTGTGTAAGGGAAAGTCGAGCAATAGACTGTAGACTTCGAGGCCTGCTTATTAGCATAAAACTGTCCTGGCTCAACGATATCCATTTAGGTTTTCATTTCGCCGAAGAGCTAAAAATTTGTCCCAAACAGAAAAAAAAATCACTCTCACGATACATTGCGAAAGAAGTAATCAGCCGAAGCAGCGATTTTAGTAGCCAGTAAGCGATTTGAATTATAGTATAGAGCACTTGTGCTTACGCCTTTTGTTAGCGAATTTACTCATTTTTGAAAATGGCGAAAAAACTCGGCGGTCTTGTAGAGAGGAGGAGCTCAATACTGCACTCATAGCGGCACTAAAAAGCTCATTGATGTTATGATATGATTTGGCAGAACACTGGAAATGCTCGAGAGCGCCGATTTTCTGTGCTAGCATTTCTGCATCTTTAAAGTCAACTAGCTTGTCGAGTTGGTCTAACGCGTAAAGATCGCTCTTCGTGCCAACCAGCACAATAGGCGTGTCCGGACAAAAATGCCGAACTTCTGGCACCCACAGCTCTTCTACATTGTGTAGTGAAATTCTGTTGTCTACTGAGTAGCACACCATCAAAAGATCCACGTTTGTGTATGACAAGGGTCTTAACCGGTTATATTCTTCCTGTCCCGCAGTGTCCCACAGTGCCAGCTCAATGACCTTCTTTGCCGGTCCCTTGATCTTCGTCACGTAATTTTCAAATACCGTTGGTACATACTCTTCTGGAAACTTTCCCTGTGTGTATGAAATCAATAGACACGTCTTGCCCACTGCTCCGTCCCCCACAACCACGATTTTAATATGACAATCGACTGACTTCCGGTCTTTCTTTACGCGCTCATAACTTGGCACCTCTGTTAACGTACGTTCGAAAGGTGTCGGGAGCTTGACACCACGCGATTCAGAAGGCAAGCTAACAGTTGCTTCTGTCGCTGAAGGGGACGATCGAAATATATTCCCATGTACATTCCTCGGGAAATTTAATAGCAGCTTCGAGCTCATTTGAATGCGAACAAATTCTCCACTTCTCTAAATAGCTAAGAAGTTCTTACAAGCCAGCATTTCATCTTTAACAACACATTACATTAAGTTTGTACTGATTGAACTAAACTTGAAACAGAGCTCCTCGTCTGAAACTACTAGGATTTACAGAGATGTTTGATCTTGCAAGTTGTTGCGTTTGTTTACTATTTGAAGCGCTACCTCATCTAAATAAAAATGAAATGACAAACCACTCCGAAAGCATTACAGTGTGTCAAAATCGTTTTTACTAGGCCAATGTACAGTAAAAGAGATGCAATTGAAAGTACGGATGCGATATTTGTGACTGAGATAAGCAAACACTGCTTCAAAGTGGCCGTGGGCCTCTTCAGCGTGGATTCAGAGCAATGCCAATTCGAAAAATTCAGTGAACTTAACACAACAACAATAGCGATATTTGCAGCAGATCAAGACGTTCGAGCTTTAGTCTTACGCAAACTAGAAGATGGGTCAATATTGGCCTCGATATATGCGGAAAATGAGCCCAAGCACATGGAAAGAGATGCCATCCTGGTAACAATTGTGAAAAGCGCACTTGCGTTGGACCCCAATGTTGCAATCGAGAACCAAACATTCGTGCTGAGTACGTCGCACGATATGCCACTCACTGCTTTCAGTAGTTTGATAACTACTGGCATGTCGTCACTTTTCGAGCATGCAGTGAGCTCTGGACGACTAATCGAGGCCAATGAAAGCTCTGTTCATGATATGCGTTCCAAAATCAAGGGTTTTTCAGAGCTTTTAAAAAATGTCAAGACTTTAGTTGTAACACCAGACCTGCTATCAGCGGTTCATCCCCTCGTTAGACAAATAGTAGCCGAAGGCGCCACTGTCGACAACACGAGTAGTTTTATAAGTGAAGACCAGCTGAAAGACTCATCATTCCTTAACACTTTGCAGACCACCGTGATTAGCTGGACTAATTCGCTACAGGTTTTAACGGCCTTGACGCGGAAAGTAGAAGATGGAACATCATCAGATGAGATCCTTTTTTGGAGAGATCTTGAGAGCGCTCTCATCTCCGCCCAGGAACAAGTTCGCGCCCCAGCTACACAACTAACAATACTAATACTTCAAGAGGCGCGAAGGCTTCAAACTACCTTTCTACTGGTTAGCGATTCCGTTCTTACCAAACGATTAAAAGAGGTGAAGCTCTATAACCAATTTTTAACTGAATTGCCCACTGCGGAGCTGCAAGCAGCGAATTCACTGGAAGAGCTGCGAAATGCCCTCACTGGTCTAAGTTTTGGTCTGAAGAGGATCAAAAGCTTTAATTACCCGATTCCACGGGTGCAGGCACTCGTGGGACTTTTAGCAGCTGAGTTCATACTCAAAATCAAAAGCCTCCCCTCTACATTGAACACTATGGAGCACGCTGACTTCGAACACGCAGTGGATTCTCTAGAGTCGTTACTTCATAAATGGGATGATATAATACAAGACTTGACCTTAGTGTTGAGGGAAGTTACGCGAAAAAGATCTGAAAAATTTGTTACAGTGAAGCTCAACTCCCACACCGAGAATTTGAAATCAAGGATCAACGAGATTAAGGTATTGAGAAATAGTAGCTGCCTTTTAATGAACGACGTTTTGAAGGCAGGGCTTACCAAATATGCATATTTTGTTAGCGACGCGTTTGAGCCCCTACTCTCTATTGACTGCTTGAAATGTCCGGCTGATAGATGGCGAGTTGTGAAAGATACTTGTACTCAACGTGTGTGTTCTCTGGAAATGAAAATTTCTGGAAATCTTAGATTCAATCTTAATTCTTGTGTTTCAACTGGCGAAATGTTCTCAGTACTCGAATGCTTTGGACCTCTACTAGAGAGACCTAGACTACGGGTTGGCCTACAAGACTATAACGAAATATTACTGAACTCAGTTTTGGCTGACTTATCGCGATTACAACAAAGGTTATCTGATCAATTAACAGATTTGCAGGTTTCGCGTTTGAAGAACCTACCTCCCATTTCCTCCAATGTGATGCGTAATCAAAGCGTCAAAAAGAGGATCATGGCAATAATGTCAAAGTTGACACTGCTACTTGGTGTTGAATGGAACAGAACGGAAGAGGGCTCTGTTGTTTTCAAGGAGTGTAATCTAATGTTAGAGAACATGAATGATAATAAAACAGTTAAGAATTGGCTTTCTTGTGCAGCTTCAAAACAAAACGTGTTTGAGAAACCAATTTTTGAAGTTCAGAAAGAAGGTACCGAGTATCATTTGCGCGTCACCTCTGATCAACTGTTTTATAACTCGTTTAAAGAAGTAAGGAATTTGAAGTGGATGGGATATGACGTGCCGCGTACATCTGAAAAATTTGCAGCGTCCATCAGAACTATCTACCCCAAAGCAGTGCAATTGGGTGAGCTAGTGCATACCTTTACAAGTATTGCCAAACGGGTCAACGAAAGACCTTTCCTCAATTCTCTTCTGTCAGATCACGTTCAAGAAGCACTCAAACTTTTGAGGCAGTCCGTAGGGGTTAAATGGAATGTTTTTACACTGAAGCTCAGCACTCCTACTGTATTGCATGATTCAAAGAGTGGCGAGGGGTTTGATAAGCCAATGTCCCTGACGAGGTTTCAGAGCCTTTGCTCGGAAATTATAAGGGCTTATGATGAAATGGAAGGATTGGATGAATTACTGATATCCGCACTGAGATCATTATCAGGCGAGAAGTACTCTGTACAAGCTCTGAAGTCCTGGCTACAACAAATTTCTTGCCTAAAGGAAAGACTACGAAGCCACAATCTCGGGAATTCATGCAGGTTTCAAAATCTGTTGGATTCAGCGGTTGAGAATAGTTTATTAGAAGTGGCTGATAGAGCATTGAGATCCAATGAACTACCTCAACAGTTTCACACCATCAGCATTGAAAATGGAAGCGTAATGACATCTCCGCCATTACAAAGAACGAAAACAGTTTGGATGCGCCACGTTCAATTCATTTTTGAGAATACGATCTACCTATTAAACATTTTCTGGGAATCAAGTGAAATCGATCACATAATAAAAGCTAAGATAGGGTGTTTCACAAGGAAAATATCGGTGCTCATGGGCGAATCCCTAAAAGAGCAGCGCTCTGTACTTATAACGGGATGCTCAATGATAGACATGTGGAAGAAATATGAGACTTTATGGAAAGTGTCCGAAGAGGAGTTACTTGGTTGCACAATGGACTTAAGTCACTGTTATTCGATTTATTCTGATCTGCGAAACGATAAAAAGGTTATCAACACTATGCGATCAAAGTTGAAGATAGCTGATTCGCTATCTTTTTCTATTCAGCAAATCAAGTCAGATGTGCAGAATATGCTTCAAAATTGGGAAAAGGTACTTTTGCAAAGAATGATCTTTTTGTACACGCGATATTCTTATACGTTTCATCAAGAGCTTATTGAATGTCGACAATTTTTAGAGGCAAAAAATGTCTCAATTGAGGCAATCTCTTTGGAGGACCTTCATGAAATGATAGCAACCATTGATCAATACCAGAAAACTTGGAATGTGACGGAGGAAAACCTTGTACTTTTTCACTCTGTCAATAAACTTATAGCAGATGAAATTCTGGCATCCACATGCAAAGCTGTCCCCATTGATCAGTTAGAAATGGAAGTGAAATCCATGAAACAAATTCTCGAGAAAAGGTCAGCGTGGATTAAAGAAAGGTCACCAATAGTTTCCAATAGGCTTGATATGTGGTATGCATCCATTACAGAGTCCTCTATTTCCCTTGAGAATAAATGGAAAACGAATAAGCCTGTTTCTAGCGAGATGACTCCATCGTGTGCTCTCGCAGTGATTCAATCAATAGAAAATGCGGCGAAAGACCTCAAGATTCGTTTCAAAAAGCTCAACGAAATTAGCAGAATTCTTTTTTTGGCTACCAGAGATCATGATCTCCTAGTGGATGTAGTATCCGATATTGCCGATCATCGATTAGCTTGGGAAGCAATCAGCGCTAAATGGATAACCCTTCAACAAATAAAGGATAAAAAATGGACGGACATCGAATTACCCGAGGTTAAGCAGCAGCTTAATGAGCTTAAGAAAGAGCAGCACAAGATCACCAATCAGCTGGTCCTAGGGTCATTTTTTACCCAGATTCGCTTTATCTTGAGCTCCTACAAAAAACTTGAAGAACTCAAAGATCAATCCTTAAGACCGCGCCATTGGGCCTCAATTTTTGAGGAATGTAATGCTGCTTTAACCTTCAAAAATCGGGAAGTATCAGACATTACTTTAGGTGACGTCTTGTCCTTAAATGTCAATTCAAATGAACATGCTATTTCTCGAGTGTTAAGAGAGGCAAATTCTGAAGCAGTACTTGAAGCTGCCTTGAGTACCATTGGTGAACATTGGAAGGAAACAAAGTTTAAGCAAACACAACACGCAAGTGGATTGCTAATTGTCAAAGAATGGAAATACTTATTCGAAATGATATCAGATGACATGGAGACATTATCATCCATGAAGAATTCGACCCATCACAACCCGTTTGAGCAGCAAAGTTTAAGCTGGGATCTGAAACTTAATCAGATGGCTGCCATTCTGACAGATTGGGCCGAGGCCCAAAAATATTGGTTGCATTTGCATGGTGTCTTGTCCCATAATAATAATGCCGACTTTCTGCGGCCAGAGACAACGAAATTCGAAAGCGTGAGCTCAAATTTCACGAGTCTTTTATCCAGGGTGCTTCAATCAGATGTTGTATTAGATATTTTGAATGTGAGAGACTGCCATAAGCTTCTGAAATTAATCGTGGACTCTTTGAAAAAGATTATGAGCTCCCTCAATGAATATTTAGAGACGCAGCGAGAAAAGTTCCCGCGCCTTTACTTTTTAGGAAACGAGGACCTTCTTCAATTGATGGGAGCTCCTCGAAATCTTAAGGAAGCTTCGAGGCACTTGAATAAACTGTATTCTGGCGTTTCTGGTTTCATATTTGACGACAGCTTAGTAATCGGCGTACGTTCTCAAGAGAACGAGTCACTGGAATTTCAAACTCCATTGAAAATGGACGACCATCGCGAAATGAAAGATTGGTTAGAAGAACTTGATAGCAGCATCAAAACTACGGTTTTAACCGCCACCGAGACCTGCCTCAAACGGCTAAAGCTTGACGGCTTCAAATTCTTCGGGCAGGTATTCGAACAGTTCTCTTTCCAGGCTCTTCTGCTAGCAATTCAGATTCGTTGGACTTCGATAATCGATGACTCTTCTCACATGGACGATTTTTCCTCGACTTTGAGCGAAGTTCACAGCGTGCTTGATATTTTAGTTTCATTGACGCAAAGTTCTAAATGTTTGCTCAGACGAAGAAAGGCCGAATCTCTTATTGTCGAATGCATTCACACCCAGTCACTATTACAAAGAATGGCCTATTCAGACTTACATGTTCGTGAAAGCGTATGGGGCAACACTCTCAAGTACTACTATGATAGTACAGCTCCCAAATGGGAGAGAATAAATGTGCGCGTTGGAAACCACAGCTTTTGCCACGGCTTGGAATACATCGGAGTTCCTGAGAGGCTTATATACACGCCTCTTTTGGAAAATTGTTTTACAGCCATGGCGCACGCTTTGGCTCAGAAAAGAGGAGGTTCTCCGTTTGGCCCAGCGGGAACAGGAAAGACAGAAACCATCAAAGCTTTTGGCCAAAATTTGGGAAGAATGGTCTTGGTCTTTAATTGTGATGAATCATTTGACTTTCAATCCATGGGAAGGTTATTGTTTGGAATAGCGCAAGTAGGTGCTTGGGGCTGTTTTGACGAGTTCAATAGACTTGACGAGAGTATAATGAGCGCCGTAGCATCCCAGATAGGAGAAGTGCAGGATGCGCTTTCTGAGGGCAAGAGTGGTTTCTGTTTACTTGGCAAATCTGCTTCTCTTAATAGTAATACCGGTGTCTTCGTTACAATGAACCATGGCTACAGAGGGAGGCGAGAACTTCCTGACAACCTAAGGAAGAAATTTAGACAATTCTCTATGAAAAAGCCGGAAATTGTGATAATTGCAGAGGTCATTCTTGCCACGCTTGGTTTCAAAGAAGCTAAGCAAATGGCACTCAGAATAAGCAACTTCTTAAAAGAACTACAAAGCCTTTGCTCGAAGCAAAAACATTATGATTTTGGCCTGAGAGCCATGAAGGGGATTCTTAGAAACTGCAGAACTCTTAGACTCGCCCTACGGGAAGCTAGTTTTGAGGATGTACTATTTCAGAGCTTACATCAGTTGCTTGCACCAAGACTTATAGAAGCTGATGAAATCGTCTTTCGCGAAGTGTCCTCACGCGTGTTCCCTAGTGTCGAGTTTCGAATTTTCGACGAGCATTTCAAAAGCTGCTTCGAGGAGATCTGCTTGGATCAGGGTTTGACTGCCACTGACACTTTCATCCAAAAATGCAGCCAGTTCTTCCACATACAGAAATCCCAACAGGCCATTATTATCAGTGGCCGTCCTGGAAGTGGTAAAACTAATGTTTGGAACACGACGTTACGGTGTATGAAACTGATGTCTGGGATTGATAATATCGTCTACATCATTGATTCTAAAGTTTTAAGCAAAAGCGAATTGTATGGATCCCTGGACCCAGTAACATTTGAGTGGTCAGACGGTCTATTTACTTCAATTCTGAGACAAATCACTCAAGACTCTGTAGGGAAGTTTCGAGACGCCCGTTTATGGATAGCGTTTGATGGTGATTTGGATCCAGATTATGTGGAGACCATAAATAGTGTGCTGGATGACAATAAGGTATTCACCTTACCAAATGGTGAGCGTCTCAACATACCGCCCCATTTGAGCTTCATTTTCGAGGTCGAGAAATTAGAAGTAGCAACACCAGCCACCATTAGCCGTTGCGCAGTAATTGTGCTAAACCGCCCTACTTGCTTTCCGTCAGCAATGCTGCAACACAGCTTGGTAAACTCCATCGATAAAATGGCTATAAAGTCACGAGTGGGAGAACAGCGGGCAACCGAATTATGCAAGATACTGACTGATACATTTGGCCATACTTTGAACGATCTTTACACTATAGCAGAAAGCCTGCCAAAAACAATCGATTCGACTCTTAATGGCGCCGTGGAAATGTTTGTGTCTCTTACTTGTTCACAGGTTTTACAAAACTTTGGGGCTACCGAAGCGACATCGAAGAATTCCTTCGAAAACTTCGTAAAAACCTCCTCGTACATTAACATTACTTGGGCGATGGTTGGCTCCTGTGATCAAGAAAACAGGTATATTTTCGAGACGCGTCTGAGAGAGCTACTAAGTATCCCAACAAGCTCCATAGCGGCTGGTGCATCTATTACTGACTATTGTATGCAGCCCGGAGATAAAAGCCCAACTTCACTATCAAAGTATGTTCCTTATGTTTCGCTTGAGCCCCACGAAGTGCTCTCTCCGGACTTAATGATTGCCACGATCGACACAATCAAGCACGAGCGCCTAATTTTTGATCTTCTCTACGCTGGAAAATCGCCAATTTTATGTGGGCCTCCTGGTTCAGGTAAGACTATGACATTATACAACTCGTTGAAAAAGTCAAAGAAATTCGATCTTGTAGGATTGACGTTCTCTAAAGAAACATCCGTTAATACATTTCAAAAAACGCTCAAACATCATACTTCTTTGATAGAGAACGCGAAGGAAATCGTAATGAGGCCAAAATCGTTGACCAAGAATCTCGTTATTTTTTGCGATGAGATAAATTTGCCGCGAGCTGATGATTATGGTGAACAACCTGTGATATTATTTTTGAGGCAAATATTGGAAAAAGAAGGTTTTTGGGATGTTGAAAAGCACAAATGGGTACGCTTGGAAAGAATTCGCATTGTTGGGGCTTGTAATCCACCAGATGGTAAGACAAGAAAGGAATTCAGCAAGCGATTCACAAGGCTTACGCCCATTTTATCAGTAGCATACCCTGGTAAGGATTCAATGCTGCATATCTATGAAACGTTTTTCAAGGCCATTTTGAAATTAACTCCAGATTTTCGAGAGTATTACAAAGAATTCGCACACGCATCTGTTGAAGTTTATTACAGATGCAGACAGCAGTTCACCATGGAACGTCATATCCACTACGTCTACTCACCCCGCGATTTAACCAGATGGATAAAAGGAGTTTATTTTATTCTAACAAACTCATCCATTAAAACTTTATCTCAACTGATAGAAATATGGATATATGAAGGGCTGCGTCTGTTCTCTGATCGCCTTGTTGAGTCATCGGACATAATTGCATTCGAAGAGATTATTGAGGATATAGTGTCGAAGTTTTTACCAAATCAATTACAAGGACATTATGCAATGAAAGATATTCTTCTTTCTAACTGGGTGACGACAGAGTATCAGAAAACCACTAGACTTGAACTAGCTTCTTTTGTAAATGAGAGGTTAAAGACGTTCGAAGAAGAAGAACTTGAATGCTCTTTAATAGTGCATGATAATTTGATCGATCATATGGTAAGAGTCGATAGGGCCCTCAAGCAGGAGCAGGGCCACTGTATTTTGGTTGGTCCTAGCCGCAGTGCAAAACGTTCTCTTGTAAGATTTGTATCATGGATCAATGGTATGGAAGTGATGCAGCTTATTGTACATCGCAATTTTCATATTATGGACTTTGATAGGATGTTAAGGTCTGTTATGATCAAATGCGCCGTAGGACAGCAAAAAGTTGTGTTGATGGTAGACGACTCAAGTATTCTGGAATCATCCTTCATTGAGAGAATGAACACCTTATTGGCTAATTCAGACGTTCCAGGTTTATTTGAGGCAGAGGAGCGGGCTAAATTAATCGCCGAGCTCTCGCAAAAGTCAGAACAACTAGGGTTACTCTTAGATGGAGAGGATGAACTGTATGCCTGGTTTACTGAGCTTATTTCACGCAATCTTCACGTCATTTTTACTATTAACGACCCGGAATCTCCAAGCGCAGTAAACGTTATTAACTCACCCGCACTTTTCAACCGCTGCGTGTTGAACTGGGTAGGACATTGGTCTGATAGAACATTTACTCAAATTGGTAAACATTACGTCGAATGGATGCCACTTGAACACAAGTCAAATCGTCAAATCTCGACAGAAGCCGTCAACCACAAGGGTAACATTAGCAATCTACTTGTTGATATTGCAATTCAGACGTTCAAGAAATATCAAAGTGTACAAAGTGAGCCAGTAACACCGGGCAAGTTTTTAGACCATCTGGTAGAGTTTCAAGAAGTTTATGCCGATAAATCTTCCAAACTTGAGCTTTCGCAGCGCTTCATTGCGACTGGTGTAGATACACTAAAAGAAACAGTCCTAAGGGTAAAAGATTTGAGTGCCGAATTGCTGGTAAAGGAAGAAATGCTCAAACAAAAAGAACAAGAAGCACGAAGTACCCTCGACACAATGCTCTTCACTCAGAATGAAGCCGAACGGAAACACGAGGCCACGGTTGGAATTAGAAAGATTTTAGAAGTGCAGGAAAAAGAGTTGACTTCTCGAAGGGCGCAAATTGTAAAGGACCTTGCGCTCGTCGAACCAGAAATTCTTGAAGCTCAAAGGGGTGTTAACAACATCAAGAAACAACACATGACTGAAATCAGATCCATGTTCAATCCTCCCAATAACGTCAAATTGACTTTGGAAGCTGTTTGCATTATTCTCGGACAGAGCTTGAAGGAATGGAAGGACATACAACAATTTGTGCGTAAGGACGAGTTCATTTCAAGCATTGTTCATTACGACACTAATAAAATGATGAATGCATCTACTAGGAGTTTTGTGGAGAGGGAGTACCTTTCAAAACCTAACTTCAACTTTCACGCTGTCAATCACTCAAGTAAAGCATGCGGGCCTTTGTTTCAATGGATTGTTGCTCAGGTAAAGTATTCTTCTATGCTTACAACTGTAATACCTCTAAAAAATGGGGTGGCACAAATTGAGCAGGAGATGTTGCAAACCAAAGCTCGGTTGCTGGCGGCTGAAGATATGATTATCGACTACCAAAAGATCGTCGAAGATTCCAAGCAAGAATACAGCGATATTATCAGAGAGAAAGAATTCATTAAAACAGAGCTGCACCAAGTACAGCAGAAGGTCTCGCGCTCTGAGAAGCTTGTGAAAAGTTTGGCATCAGAAAAATTGCGCTGGTCGGACAGTATATCTACTTTTGATGAGTCAAAGAATAGCCTGGTGGGTGACTGTTTTCTCTCTTCGCTTTATGTGACTTACTGTATTGGCCACAATGAAAATATGAGACGAGACCTCACCAACTATGCCAAAAGTCTACTTGGGTCGAATGATATCGAATTTGAGTACAACTACAGCTTCAACAACCATGTAATTGATTTTCAAGAAAGGTCTGATTGGGTTTCAAAGGCGTTACCTGATGAAAATTCTTGTATTGAAAACTTTTACAAGATATTGAAAGGGCCACAATACCCTTTCGTGATAGATCCCGAGGGTAGAGTAGCTGAGGCAATTCAGAATTATTTTGGAAGTTGTTTGACAGTCACAAGCTTTCTTGACAATGGCTTTGTGAAAAGGCTTATAAATGCCTTGCGATTTGGCGGTAAAATTATGATCCAGGATGGTGATTATTTTGATCCTATAATATCGTTGCTTATTGCTAAGGAGTTCAAGAAAGTAGGTGGGAAAGACACTGTGACAATTGGTGATAGTAATATTGATATTGCACCCGACTTCAAGTTAATCATCTCCACTAAAAATGCGCGCTGTAGGATATCAAGTTTTGTCAGAGCGAGAATGGCCATTGTGGATTTTGCTATAGATAAAGATTCACTTGAATCTCAATCGCTTGAGCATGTTTTAGCACAAGAGAGGCCTGAGCTTTATAAACAGAGAAAAGAATTAAACATGCTAAACGGAAAGTATAGGCTTCGTTTAAATTCACTGGAGCAGCAATTGCTAGAAGCGCTCAACGGATCAGAGTGTGGTTTATTGGAAAATGATGCTTTAATTTCTACGCTTGAAAAGCTCAAAGTTCAAGCCACGGAGGTTGAGGTCAAGATCAAAGAAACAAAAGGGGTAATAGAAAAAGTTGATTTGGCTGTTTCAGAGTACAAGATATTGAGCTATCATGCGTTGAAGCTCTATTCCTTCATAGAGAGACTAGCGGTTTTGCATTGGAGTTATCACATCTCAATAGTCACTTTTCTGGAGTGCCAGAAATCAATTTTCAATGAAATTTTACCTTCGAACGCTAACAGACCACAACAGCTATTATTGGCTTTCTATAAGAAAGTCTTCGAGATTGTTTCTACTGGTATGTCGGAAGACCACAGATCTGCATTTGTTGTGCTTCTTTTCATATCTTTCTTTGAATCAGAAGGATCTCGTTCCCTAAATGATGCTACGAAGGAATTCATGATGGCTATTCGTGATGAACCAAGCGCTGATACGTTACACTCATTGCTAAATAACGAAGGCTTTGCTTTCGACCAAACCGTGGTATTGGAGTTTGTTCAAGAGCTTAGACAAGCTATCAGCACGAGGTCTATCCACTCTGCATTACTCACAAGTGAAAAGTTTCTTCAGGGAACGAAACCCTCCAGCCTTTACGACTTACTATCGAAATGGAGCAATTCTCCAATTTTACTGGTATCGGAGAGGGGAACGGACGGCACCTATCGTATATCTCAGTTAGCGTCCCAAATGTCTCGCAACTTATCTATTGTTTCTCTTGGATCTTTAGAAAGCACAGTAATGGCGGAAACAGCTCTTTCGTCCTGCAGTCAATCCGGTGATTGGTTACTTTTGCAAAATTTGCAAATGTCCGCAGATTGGGTCCAGTCCGTATTAACAAGACGTCTGGAAACAATGTTGAAGGAGCCTCATACATCCTCAAACTTCCATGTCTTCCTCACTTGTGAGCTTGAAGGAAATCCTTTACCACCACCCTTAGTGCAAAGCAGTTGGCATCTGGTACATGAGGGTAAGAGAGGTGTATTGGAGACAGCAAATGACATATGGAGTACGTTATCGCACCTTCCACCTGTCTCACCGCCCGAAAAATTATACATTTATTTTCTCTTGGTGTGGTATCATGCCCTTTTGGTCGAAAGTAGTCGGTTGGCTCCGCTAGCATTTACCAGAAAGTACGACTTTAGCGATGCCGATTTTGCTGCCGGAATTTACTACTTGGACACTCTATTCAGTTGGTTTGAAAGCACCGAGAGAGGATTTGACCATGAGGTCATCCCATGGGTGGCATTGAGATTCAACATTGGGACGATAATTTACGGAGGCAAAATCGATGATGAGAAAGACCTTGAGCTGTGTACCAATCTAGCCTCTAACATTTTTAGAGAAGATGCACTGAATGCAGGTTTCGAAATTATGCCCGGAGTGCTGGCTCCCGAAAAAACACACGAGTGGGGAAGTTTTCAAAAATGGCTTTCTGATTGCCAGCCACTCGAAAATTGCCTTCAATTGCTTGGGTCTGTCCAAGATGTTGAAAATGGAGAACAGAAAGTTCGAACTCAAAAAATCGCTGATTATGTGGTACAACTTCTCGACGACTATTAAATTACAGTGCAACAACTGACTTACAATTAAGAGACAGCAATGCAGACCAGGGGGCTCAATGTGCATGTATATAGTAAAAAAAGCAGCACGAAATTTTCAAGATCCGATTGAATACCTCGTCATCTTAGAAAATAAGATCACTTGATTCACGCTTTCTTTAATTCTGTCTTAAATATTAATAACAATATATATATATATATATGTATGGTGTTATTTCAATATTTTCTGCAGCTTTCGACAAACAAATTCGAAAATTATCCTACTATAGACTCCCCAAATATACCAAAAAGTCATGACAAGCCGGAGCAGGGCTTGCACAAGTTCTGAAATTAGAATAGAGGGACTTGATGAAGTGGATACTTATAAGGACAAGCACCCGTTCGCGGATCCCGGAAATCACTCGAGCGACCATTTTAAGCGCAAGATGAGTCCCATGAGGTTCAAAATGCGCAATTACCTTGCCAGGTATACGGAGAATCAGTCTGAATTACTTTTCAAATGGCAGTCGAGGTTTCGGTGCTCGATGCTGGATAAATATTTTGCCTACACCTCTTTGATGGGCTCTCATATGTTTTACGTTGTGATGGTCCCGATGCCGCGCTGGATTGGATGCAGCGATGCTTGCAGAGACTTGGTCTATATTTTGGGTTACTCAATCTACGTTAGCGGGTTTCTCAAAGATTACTGGTGTTTGCCTCGACCAAAATCTCCGCCACTAACTAGAGTGACGCTAAGTGGATACACTACCAAAGAATACGGAGCGCCAAGCTCCCATACAGCAAATGCCACCGGTGTAACAATGCTTTTCCTATGGTATATTTATCTCTCCGAGACGATGCCTTTGGCTTGGAAGTCGGTAGCAGTGGCTGGCGCTTTTTTTTACTATTTCACGCTTACTCTGGGCAGAATCTACTGCGGTATGCATGGAATCCTCGACATTGTGACAGGCGCGCTGATAGGGTCCTTTTGCTTCATTGCTAGATGGGCAGTTTTGTCGTTCACAGATTTTGACAAGGCAAGCATGCAGGAATGGGGAATTTGGTTCCCGATACTTTCAATCGCTTTCGGGCTAATGCTTTTGTTCAAACACGTAGGACCTGTAGATCACTGCCCTTGTTTTGACGATAGTGTGGCATTCGTCGGAGTGATATGTGGGATTGAAAGTAGCGACTGGCTCAGCTGGACTGTGTGGGGCGCCGAAAACTACAAAGTGTATTACAGTTGGGAAGAGTTCGGGCTTTTGCTGACTTTAAGACGGATAGTTGTTGGTGTCGTATTGGTGTTAGTGTGGAAAAACTTGATCGGCAAGAGGTTGATATACTCAATCTTACATCTAATTTTGGATGACGACAGACACTTATACGTTCATAAACATGATAAAACTTCATCAAGAGAAGTGCCACTGTTCTCGGGCCGTTCTAAATCAGATCTGCTTGGTAGGTTCATTCTTTATGCGGGTGTTGCTGCCGTTGTTGTTCTAATTTGTCCCACTGCATTCCGTATTTTGGGTGTTTAACTAAGAACTTGTGGAAGGTGCAGCAAGTAAGCCTTTCGCGAAGCGTTAAGCAAAAACCATTTTCGAGCAAAAAAAGATAGAAGCTGGAAGCAGGAGTAGCTGAGCGTGTTTTGTAACGTTCTAGTTGAAGCAGTCATGAGATGTCCTTTTTTTTGTAGGTAAGCCGCCGAGATAGTAATTTAGACATATCGCCTGAGCAATTTATATGATCAAGAAAACCCACTACTAGCGATTTACTACAGCGGCTGTGGCAAGTGGCGACATAACATTATGTTTCTTCCCCTTTGGAGTTTACATTGTTCCTTTTTGGCTTACAACCTGATTGTAATTTTGTCCTACTCATCCTTGTCACTTTTCCCTAAAATGTCACTTGTCCGTCGAACGCATTTCACCATATGATATTTTACATACATTTTACGACTCGCTGATACCTTGCTGCCTACCGATCTTCAAGAGCTCCGAGGTGGTCCCTAAGTATACATGAATGGTGCAATTCATCAACATGATCTCAAGAATAACTCTTGACATTCTTGCTATATGACAGGGGTTTCTGGCGCCTCTCACAGGACACTCGCGGGCCAAACATAATGCATTGAATAGAAGATAAGTTATCTGATTATGAAAAGTCTATTTACACTTGATGCAAATATTGACGATGACATTATACTACATAGTGACATGATTGAAAATGATCAAGAAGAAGCTTCTTTGAACTCTCTGTAATGATACCACTGTATTCCGCAGAGGAGATAGTCACCTATGGCTCCCCTACTATCCAAAGTTAAACCAGTGGCCGAATCTCATGAGACGGCCTCAAACCACGGATTCCATATTGATCGACGGGCGCTGACTGTAGTATGTTCCACTTGTCACTGACCAATGCGTGCTACTGATCTTGTTGACCCTATTACAAATCTCCTAGATTGCAGCACTGGTTCTATCCCCGCTTAGCTCCTGAGTTATATCATCACGTCACACGGATCTGAAATTTTTCTTTAATAGCATTATCCCACCTTAAGTAAAGGCACCTAGAAAAATCATCTCTTATAAAATGATTGACAACGAATTGTAAAAGGACAAGCTTCAGAGCCATTGATTTGTGTGCGATTTTGAGCTGTGCCAGTTAGCCGGGAACTTTCGATGGCTGAAGAAATCGATTATGAGTCGTTACCGACTAATTCGCCACTTTCACACCAGTTAGCAGCCGGTGCCTTTGCTGGAATAATGGAGCACTCAATAATGTTTCCCATAGACGCCATCAAGACGCGGATGCAGGCTCTCAGTGCAACAATGGGGTCGGCTACAGCGGCTACAAAGCTGCCAACGAATATCGTGCAACAGATTGTTAGCATTTCCACAGCCGAAGGGTCCATGGCGCTATGGAAGGGTGTGCAATCTGTGATTCTGGGCGCAGGGCCGGCCCACGCAGTATACTTCGCTACCTACGAGATGTGCAAGGCCCATCTCATCGATCCACAGGACTTTCAGACTCACCAGCCGCTGAAGACTGCTGCCAGTGGTATTGCCGCCACCATTGCAGCCGATTTACTCATGAACCCTTTTGATACCATTAAGCAGCGTATGCAATTACAATCAATCTCCAAAGATCGGATGTGGTCAGTGGCATCTCGCATCTACCGAAATGAGGGGCTCGCCGCCTTTTTCTATTCATATCCCACCACGATCGCAATGAATATTCCATTTGCTGCGTTCAACTTTGTCATTTACGAATCTTCTACGAAGCTTCTAAACCCTGATAATTCTTATAACCCGCTGATACACTGTATGTGCGGTGGTGTAAGCGGTGCAACGTGTGCCGCAATCACTACACCATTAGATTGCATAAAAACCGTTTTACAAGTGCGCGGAAGTGACAGTGTTGTGGTTCCAATATTCAAGCAAGCCGACACTTTTTCCAAGGCCGCTACCGCTATATTTAAGGTTTACGGCTGGAGAGGGTTTCTAAGAGGGCTGAAACCTCGTATAATCAGCACCATGCCCGCCACAGCAATTTCGTGGACTGCATATGAATGTGCCAAACATTCACTCTTCAAATAAGAGAAATTTGACAGGATAATTTTCGCCATCCAACTCATGTCTTCATAGAAATAGGAACGTATCTCAACGATGCACTTTTCGGGAGAGAAACGGCAACTGTATCATAACTCAAAACCAATCACTCATTCATCCTTGTAAATACAAACTCGGACTTTTTTTCCTCCCCAAAGGTGTTTCCAAGTACGTGCCTTACGTAACGCAGGAATGTGTATATTAATCAAAGTTTACGCCTTAACGTCTCTGAACAGTAACTTAAGGTAAATACGATCGCCTCACATTTTGTCGCAGCGCTTCCATATCCCTGCTATACTTGTATGCATCAACGTCCCATATTACCGGATAATTCGGATCTTCTGGGATGTAGCTATCTTGAGCGAGGTCGATCCATGGCTCGTTGTTCTCAATACTGCCGTATGCGGGATTCGTCTGTGAGGGCAGTTCGCCATCATTGACCCAATAATTACTTCTACCGCCATCTGAATATCTGAAGCCGGCCTGCAGTCGTCCCAGTCGAGAACGCGCGTTCCTATGTGCCACCACTGCCTCTGCGGAGTTGAAATGGCGATAATTGTACAAGTTACCGAGAAAAGTGACTTTAAAATCCCATACTAAATCGCCGAATCCAAAACAATCGCGCAACGCGTAAAAAACTCGTATTCTCGAGCCTTCTGGTATACTCTTGGAACTGTAAGCGGACCAGTTGAAAGCTACCAAATGTCCTAATGCAAAACCAATCATTTCTACACAAAGCACGGCGTTTTGATAAACATAACCATAATCAACGTCCGTGTCGTGGTTTATAACACCGCACTTACTCAAAATCGCTATGATTGTACCTTGCCAGTATGAAGCAAAAATGATTAGTTTAACACATAGAAATTTGGGCCACGGATTATACTTCTGTAGATCAGTGTACAAGCATTTCCAAAATAGGGCTAGGTTGTACAACGATAAGCTCGCGGAAATATTGTAAGAAATAGTCCAAAATGGAATCCAAAACTCAGGGTACCAATCATTTTGCATGCAAATCATTGTTCCGATGCAGTATAATGGTTTAAACCAAACGTACTGCAGAATACCTCGTTTTATGCTCAAAAAGTCCCTGGGATCAGACATGTCAACAACAGGGAGAATCCGCCCAAAGAAGGGAATTGGATGACGAATTGGAGCTTTGCCAATCGACAGCTCTGTAATGATTTTGCGCTCTCCTCCCAAGATTAGCGTCAGGAGCGAGAAAAATGTGTATATGACGAAGGATTCATAAATCTCACGAATTGGATCAATCCAAATCTGTGCAATTTGAGGTATCAGACACGCCAAAAGACATGTAGCACTGAATAAAGGGACCATCAACTGAATACGTACGACTAACCTTTGCTCAAATGGTTTCCTGTAATTGAAGAACTGCTGGACGATGGAACCCATTGAGATAGCAGAACTCAAAATGGATGAAAAGAGGCAGAGAAGTAGCCACCATTTCGGTATATAGGAGATCATAAAAGAACTGCTAATCACCTGAAAACTGGGCCTTCGAAAGTTGTTTGCTCATATCATCTCTCAATAACAATCAATTTAAAAAATAGGAATCGAACCTTTAAATGAAGAGTAGACTTTCTCAACAAATGAGGTCATGATCCTGCTCAAAAGACTTATTTGGTTACTCCAAGTCTGCAATATAGCATGCGGAGCTGGGGTCGGAGTTCACTTGACAATGCTAGCAAGAACGAGTATCCCCTGGGAACTAAAACCGTATATTTCGGAAATGAAAGCTGGAACTTTCTTTCCAGATGCATTCTATAGCTGTGCTGCGAACACAGACTGGCAAGAGTTTGCAGAGAAGACACATTGGCCCCCCTTCTTAGTTCTTGGTGCTAAGCTATGGCGTGAAACATATGGTACCAACCAGAACTGCGAAGATTCATTAAAATTGAAAGGCTTCTTAGTGGGAGTTTTTATTCATCAAGTTACCGACGTATCTTGGCATTCTCTAGTTCAAGGTTACAAGAGCCATGGACTCATTAAAGCTTTGGCGGGTCTCGAGTTTGATGGCGACTATCAATCTGCTCACGACTATATAGACTCTTTGGGCGACTTGCTTATGCTGGGACAAATCATAAGAGATACGACGGATAACTGGAGCTACTACACAGCTCAAGACTGGGAGTTCCCAAATAAGGATGATCTCCTGGAGCTAGCACATCGGTCCGGACTAGATGATTTAAAGTTTTGGGAAATTAAAGCTTGTGTTAAAAGGGGATCTGTAGCGCTGACAAGCGAAGTGCTTTCGTTGCTTAGACGTAGAAAAGAGGTACTAGGGGTTGCATATAACATATCACCAAGAGCACGGGAGTTAATGCAGGACCATTGGCTCGGTGGGGAGATGAACCTTGTGGCAATGGTCAACAAGTGTCTCCCCACTTTTTTGTCTCTCTTCGAAAAAACAAGCCCTTTGATGTCTGAAACTGAGCTTGAAAACTTCATCGAACTTTGTGGAAATTTGCCCTCTACCGGCGAAGCTTCAGAAAGTATTGAAGTGACAATGTTCGAAAAAGAGCGCAATGAATTTCTCTTTGTTTCGCCCTTAACACAACTTTCTTTGTTTGGATCAGACATCGCTGTGGGTAAGTTTCAGAACAATGAAATGTCTTTAGCTATAAGTGCACCGCTTGAAGACAATGAGGGATCCGTGTACGTTATTCCTTGGATGAAATTAGTAGGATATGAAAATTTGATAGCAGAGAAGCCTGTGACTTCAACGTACGGCTCGCGTGTTCATAAGTACACACTCGGTGAGATTGACTACCTTGCTGTATCGGCAAGTGGCGAGAACACCATCCACTTTTATGACAACGGGCATAAAGTCCTTTCCCTTGTGGACAAAGATAGCTGGGAACGCCATCAGCTCATGGTATCTTCTGTTCAGGATATAGATGGCGATGAAGTTCCCGACTTGATTTTGGCAGGCCCTCATTACGGGTTGAATGAAACCGGGATGGTTATGATAGTTGACGGGCGAGAGCTTTCCGAGCTTCTTAACGATATCGAAAGAACAGAGGTGGATCTACAGTCTCTTAGCACCATTTGTCTCAAAGCACCACTTTCTAAGAGCTTTCAACAATTTGGCTCTCAAGTGAAATCTTCAGGTGTCTTGAATAAAAGCGGCATGCTCTTCGTGGGTTCCCAGGGCCTAGGCGTTGTTTTTGTCTACTGGTTGAAAAGCTTGCATCAAAATGCTCTTCCACACTATTATATTATTGACGATAATGTGATTCGGCAAGAAGAGGATGTGCCATTAGACTTAGGTATCAAAAAGTCGAGTTTGCACGGAATGTTTGGGAAAGAAATTCATTGCTGGAACATACATGGCACAGGGTTTGTTGCCATTTCTAAACATTTGCAGAACACTGTTTACATTTACAAGGAGCAAGATGGATTTCTGGAGTACTACTCAACTCTTGTATTAGATATATCGACTGACGCAAGAACAGTAATTGAAACAATTGGGTTTGGTACATCAATTGACTACGACCACAATCTAAACAAGCTGTACATATCATCCCCTGGGTTTTTTGATGGTGACGGTGCGATTTGGGGCATTTACATGGAAGAGATACAGCAGTCAGTTGAAAAATGGAAGATCCACAAATTTTTAGTCACTCCATCGAGGCATCTATTGGCACTTAACAAAGGCAGTGGAGGGAAAGGGATCTCAGACTTTGGAAAAGTCATCAAGGTCGGTCCAGATGGAAGAATTATAGTAGGGGTACCGCGGTACGGCTATGGTGATTTTGGAAAGCATCAGCTAGCGGGAGGTTTAACGATCATATAAAACTTTCAAGTGAAATATATGCATGGAATTTTGGATTTACAGCTTTATTTACAATGGGATCTAATTATATTTACAGGATGGTTTGTTTTGAGTTCAAACAGGCTCAGAATTCTTCTGGTTCTTTATCTTTCTTTTTCTCAACTTTCTTTAGTAGTTTTGCCTGCCTCTGGAGTTTGCGCTCCTCTTTTAATGCTGTTTTGTCTTCTTTCTTATGTGCAGTCGGTTTGGGCGTCAATTTTATTATTAATCTCGACTCTATATTACCATCAACTGAGGGCTGCAGCGCATAATCGCCGACGATCTCCTCGATTAAGTCTACGACTGATTGACGTCTCTGTAGTTCTTTAGCTGAGATCTTCTTAGCATTGCTGTCGTTTTCGGACTCTGGGCTTGCTATGTCTTCGGCCCAAGTTGATTTGTTAAGTGCCTCTCTGCCGTTTAGATAAAGGAAAACTTTATAGCCTTTTTTCAGCTGCGAAGTAATCTCATTGGCCTTCTGCTTGTTAAGATCTGCATCGGAAATTTGCCAAGAAACCTTGATCTGCTTGACGTTATCTTCTCCGTTGTCTTTTTCGACCTTCTTGCCTAACCTTTTATTTGAGAAACCCATCTTTGTGAGTTCTTCTTCTTTTTGTCGAGCCAACTCGTCTGAATATTTTTTCAGAGCAGTCTTAGTATCTACAAGTTTCACAAGAGGAATACTGTAAGTGCCTCTCTGCTCCACATTGACGATAGTAATTCCAAACTGACCCAAATCTAGCCCCGCAGCCCAAGTTAAAATGGTGGTTTCTTCAAGCTGGTTTGTTTCTTGATCCACAACCCTAATCACCCCACGTTCATTCAGCTTGAATATTTGCTGCAGTGTGTGGTTAGCAGCGCTTTGAGCTCTCTCGCTGCCGGTGCTCCATTTAACAACTGTGCGTTTTTTGATATTGTGACCTGGCCCGGACGGCTTGAAGGGCTTTCTTCTTGATTGACCATTTGAGCTTGGATGTGATCTGGGTCCATTTAGCTTGGCTGTTTCTTTGTTCTTTCTCATGGACGCGGTGGCATTAAACAAAATGTCGTTACTGCTACTGATGGAACTGGATAGAACAGGTTTCGCGGCATGGAAACACCTATGTGCTCTGGACAAACGACGAGCTGATATGTGATAGGTCCATAGCCGACTGTAGAGACTCGGCAGGCTTGACATCGCTGTGATAAAGGCCCTTGCGCTTCTCTATTAAGCATCAGATGAGATTACCATATATAATTGTCTTTTTCGTATATACTGACTATTCTTTGTTAGAAGCGCGATGACACAACGTAGGAAACTTATAAGAGACTTCATATAGACTTAACATATATCGTGAGTACCTAGGAATCAACATATAGTTTCAGAGCACAGTGAACTTATTTAATTATCTTTTGAGATCTTAAAATATAGATATTCGTGCGCACCGACAATATGTCATTCTCTTTCCACTGAGTGGTTTTAGCTTGCAGAAAACATTAAGTCATGTAGTAACACGCAACTAGATCTAATACCAGATTACCTTTCTTTCGTCTTCTCTTTTTCTACAGACGTATGAAGATATCACTCTTATAGCCACTCTTGATATGACACACGACCCCACACTTACAACTACAACATGGAAGTATTGATCAGCGGTTCTAGTTAGCACTTAGATACTCTGTGGATTTAATCCATTATGATATATACGGCATAAAGCCGCTATGAATTTATAAAAAATCGCTTAGTCTTCTGTCTGTAGGTCGGGCATGTGGCACTTCAGATCCGGTTCGAATAACGACAGGCGTTAAATCAATACAGCAGTCGCTCGCGTGGCCTTTATAGGGTGCCCTGAGTCGGCTAGCGATAAAACATAAGACTTTAACTTATACTTTATATTTGAACCTTTGTACATTTGCTGCCAATGAACACCTGAGACATTTTCCATGTACGCTAATGCTCCATCATTTTTAAAGGTAGGACGCAGCACGACTTTCTTTTATTACTATGATTCAAAAAGCGTATAGTAAGGCACCACTTCACCCTAAGAAAGTCTCTCTCGAGCTTTCTTTCGTTCTAGTTACTGAAAGAGCATTTTATATGTAATAGTATATTGTGCTAAATTGGTTATCGATCAAAGCAGCATCTATAAGTCCCCACAAAAAGACCTGTCTTCTATACGACAACGGTGTGTGATAGACGGCATTTCTTATAGATCCACACCCATGACCATAGCCAAAAGAGCCATTCTAACAAACAGCCCGTATCTCATCTGTCTGAAATAAGCAGCACGGTGGTCGTAGTCGACCTCCTCACGAATTTCGTTCACACGAGGCAATGGATGCATGACGACCATATGGTCCTTGGCGTGAGCCAAAATCTTGTTGTCAACAACGTAAACGTCCTTTAACCTTTCGTATTCTTCCTTGTGTTCGAATCTCTCTTGTTGGACTCTGGTACAGTACAAAACGTCGGATTTGGAAATGATCTCGGGAGTCAGACTTTCGCTTTCAGTGCCCAGCATACCAGCATTGGCTAGTTCGGTGCGCAACGCTGTGGGCAATCTGAGCTCGCGTGGTGATACCAAGTTAATTCTAACCTGGTAATGTCTCAACAAGCGGCACAGGGAGTGAACAGGTCTTCCGTATCTCAAGTCACCCATGAAGGTCACGGTGATACCGTTTACTGTACCTAATTCCTCACGAATGGTGAACAAGTCCAAGAAAGCTTGAGTAGGGTGCTCACGAGAACCATTACCACCATTCAAAATTGGAACCGGAGAGTATTTGGCCGCAGTATGAGCAGACATCTCATCAGGATGACGCATAACAATAGCATCCGAATAGCAGGCCAAAGTTCTAATAGTGTCCTGCAGTGTTTCGCCCTTTTTCACAGACGATGACGTCGTGTTGATGTTGACAGTTCTACCACCTAGACGTTCCATTGCAGCAATAAAAGAAGACGAAGTACGAGTCGAAGGTTCATAGAAGATAGTCGTTAACAGGCGACCCTTCATGATATCCAGAATACCTTGTCTTTCGACACCGGATCTCAATTCTTGAGCAACGGCGAAGAGAGCGTGGAAATCAGAACGCTTGAATTGGTTCACTGATAAAATGTTCCTGCGCAAAAAGGGGTTGTTGCCCCTTATGAGGCTTTGAATGGCACCGGGGGCGGCGAGCTCCTTGGGTGGTCTTGACGACATCATTCTTTGCTCCAGAGGTTGATCAAGAAGAGCTTCCTCGTCTTCATCTATACTGGCAAAAGAAGAGCGCTTTTCATTAGAAAACGAAAATCTCTTTCTATTACCGGCAAATGGCGTCATTTCTGATGCACTTGGAGGGACGACGGAAGTTACCAATTTGGCATTAGTATTGATGACGGGCTTGCCTAGCGCTTCTGCCGCAACCAAATCACCACTTAGAACAATAGTTTCCTCGTTTACCAAAACACGCTCGACACCACCTGTCAATCCTCCCTTTGTGTATGGAGACCATCTTTTAGTATGCCTAAAGGCAAAGTCTAGATCAATCTCAACTTCTGTTTTTTGTGCAGGAATGTTGAAGATTCTGGCTGGATTATCGTGCAAACGCTCGACAATGTCATCTATCGTTAGCTTGCCCTTGTTGACTGCTGACAGCAACAGTGGCAAGGCTTCCTTGATACCTATACCTGTAACAATCTCATTACCCGTAACCTGGGCCAACATAGTTGGCAGCGATCCGATCGAAAATGCATCAATAGCATCCAAATTACGCCAGAAAAATTCCTGGTCTTCGGCTGTTGGTAGGAAAGAAGCTTCAGGGTAGTCCGATTGACTAACAAACAAGGCATGGATGTTAATATCGCAAGTAACTTTGTCTTGCTTTTCTTTCACGGTCATGATCAGGGACAAATCGTCTCTGTTTGACACCCCTGTTATGTGAATAGCTCTATTCTGCAAAGAGGACAGTAAAATAACAGACGCTAGATCAGAAGTTTTAGCTTCAGCAATGACTTGCTTCTCTAACGGCCAGTTCTTCAAATGTTCGGCTACTATCGAGACTTTACCAGTTAGTTCACGATGAGGCAAAAATAGCGCATTCGCCTCATTTGCGCACTGTGCTACTTCGGCGACGTTGTGGGCGGTAGCAGCTACAGTAAAGCCAAAATCAGTGTAGGCTGACTCTTGAACAACAGATTTGGCGACTTTAATGGATTGCTCGTTAGTGATCACTGGACCCTTTGTTGATTTGGGCATAATCTGCGAGTAGGTGAAGCCGGATTCCACAGAAAGCCTTGTAATTTCCTTCATCTCACTAGGTCCTTGAACAACATTGGAAATGTTAGGCATATAAGCAGAGATGTTAATTAGGCCAGGAATAGAAACAGTTCTGTGTGATGTCTGGGCGTCACGCTCGCTGACATCCAATTTCAAGTCTCTCGATATAGCCTCAATCAACAACTTAGCGCACTTGACATTTGTCACTAGAGGCACAGAGTAGTCTACGGCCATACGACGAGTTTGGTAACCCTTCGAGACGTAAGAAGCCGGACGGCGGAATCTGTTTGCAGATGGCAAATTGATGTAAAGGTCAATCTTGTTGTTGGCCAAATGCTGGGTCAAAGAATATTCAGACTTTTCATCATCGCCCTCGTTTAAGACTTCCAGGTATTGAACAGGAATTCCATGTTCTGAAATAAAGTCAGCTGTACCAGCTGTAGCGAAAAGCTTGTAACCCATGTTGTACAACTTTTTGACTGAAGACAGCATCTCTTGCTTCTCTTTATAGGAACCAATCGAAAGAAGAACATTTTTCTTTGGCATTTTGAAACCGGTAGACAGAAGCGACTTCATATAAGCCTCATATTTCGAGTGACCAAATGTGGCAACCTCACCGGTGGACGCCATTTCAACACCCAGAACAGGATCGGCACCGGCCAAGCGAGGGAAAGAAAACTGAGGAACCTTGACAGCAACATAATCTTCAGGCAGTTTTCCTGTTGGGTAAGGAGTTACAGGTAGACCCATAATAGCTTTTGTTGCCATCTCAATTAAGTTAACACCTACGACCTTCGAAATGAAAGGGAAGGAACGTGAGGCACGAACGTTACATTCAATGACCTTGATTTCGTTGTTCTTGGCAATGAACTGGATGTTGAAAGGGCCCGTAATCTTCAAGGCTTTACCAATTTTGGCGGTAGCAACAACAATCCTGTCGACGGTTTCTGGGTCCAAATCTTGAGGCGGCACAATCAAGGTAGCGTCACCAGAGTGGACGCCTGCATTTTCAACGTGCTCAGAAACGACGTGCATAACTAGTTCGCCATCCTTCGCCACAGCATCCATTTCGATTTCTTTGGCATTTTCAATGTACTTTGTAATGACAACGGGATATTCACGAGAGACTTCGACAGCCTGATTCAAGTACGAAGCAAGATCATCCTTTGAGTACACAGTGTTCATGGCAGCACCGGACAAAACGTAAGATGGACGGACCAACACGGGGTAGCTGACAGCTTCAGCAAAAGCCTCGGCCTCATCAATTGATGTCAATTCCTTCCAAGCAGGTTGGTCGACTTCAATTTGATCCAACATACGAGAAAATTTATACCGATTCTCGGCACCATCAATCATCTCAGGTGTAGTACCCAAAATTTTGACGTTCTCGCGGTGCAAGGACATCGCAATGTTATTGGATGTTTGACCGCCCATGGACACAACTACACCGCTTGAGGTTTCAATTTCATAGATATCAAGGATTCTCTCCAAGCAGATGTTCTCGAAATACAATCTGTCAGCTTCATCGTAGTCGGTGGAGACAGTTTCTGGATTGTAATTGACCATGATCGACTTAATGTTGTTTTTTCTTAGGGTGCGGACGGCTGTGACAGCACACCAATCAAATTCAACAGAAGATCCGATACGGTACACACCAGATCCCAAGACCATCACACCGTGATCGTTGAAAGTCAAGTCGTGAGATGCGGCGTTGTATGTCATGTAAAGATAGTTGGTGTGGGCTGGGAACTCCGCAGCTACGGTATCGATTTGCTTAACGAACGGAGTGATGTTGAAGTCCTTTCTCAAACGACGAATTGCTACTTCATTAGAGTTTAAAAACTTGGCAATTTGTCTGTCATCGAATCCTAATTGTTTAGCTTGCCTTAACACCAAAGCCGGCAAGTTCTCCTTCTTTCCGTAGCCTTCAATCTTTTTCGAAAACTTGATAAGGTCGTGAAGTTTTGTCAAGAACCATTTATCGATGTTACTCAATTTCCACACCTTTTCAATGCTATAATTTAATTTGCTGAAAGCGTTTGCGATTGCAAAAATACGTTCGTCGGTGGGATGAGATAGTTCGTAGTCAATGTCCACGTCGAGATCAGTCTCATTGAATCCTAAGTTGACATACTCGGTTGATCTGATGGCTTTCAGGATGGCCTCTTCAAACGTTCTGCCAACGCTCATAACTTCACCAACAGATTTCATAGAAGAAGACAATGCAGTAGAAACTCTGTGGAACTTCTTCAAATCCCATCTTGGCATTTTGACCACACAGTAATCTAACGATGGTTCAAAGCATGCGCAGGTGGATTGAGTTACGGAATTTTTGACCTCATTCAATGGAATGTTCAGACCTAACTTTGCTGCTGTATAGGCCAAGGGATAACCAGTAGCTTTTGACGCAAGAGCCGAAGAACGAGACAAACGCGCATTCACTTCGATGATGCAATATTCTTTGCTGAAAGGATTGAGTGCGTATTGGATGTTGCATTCACCAACAACTCCCAAATGTCTGATGACGTTGACAGCGGTGGTCCTCAACATGTTGTAATCCTCGTCGGACAAAGTTTGAGATGGTGCGACAACAATGGAGTCACCAGTATGTATACCGAGCGGATCGAAGTTTTCCATGTTACATACTGTGATACAGTTGTCAAAAGCGTCTCTCACAACCTCGTATTCAACTTCTTTCCATCCTTTCATTGACCTTTCTACTAAGACTTGAGGAGAAGAAGCAAAGGCGACGTTGCACAGGTCAACAAGTTCCTTCTCGTTATTGGCAAAGCCTGAACCTAAACCGCCTAGAGCGTAAGCAGCACGTACAATAACAGGAAATCCGATCTCCTTAATAGCATCCACAGCTTCTTCAACTGAGGAAGCAGCCTTAGACTTTGCGCACTTTTCATTTATTTCATCCATAGCGTTTGCAAACAGTTCACGATCTTCGGTTGTGATGACTGTATCAATGGGAGTACCCAAAACTTTAACACCCAAAGCTGCAAACTCATCTTTCATTTCGATACCCACCGACAAGGCGGTTTGACCACCGAAAGTGACGTATATAGCGTCTGGACGTTCATGTAAGATGACCTTTCTTACAAACTCGGCAGTGACAGGCAAAAAGTAGACTTTATCGGCCAATCCTTTGGATGTTTGGATTGTAGCAATATTTGGATTAACCAAGATTGTGTAAATCCCTTCTTCTTTCAAAGCCTTAATAGCTTGCGATCCTGAATAGTCAAACTCACCAGCTTGACCGATAGATAGACCACCGGAGCCCAAAACCAGAACCTTCTTTGCATCAATCCTGGGGTGGGCTGCTAAGTTGTCGGCAAGCAAACCACCTGGAAATTCAACGGCTTTGAATTCCCCCAAAAGTTTGAAGTCTCTGACGGCCTTGATAAAGACATCAAACAAAAATTCAGTGTCTCTTGGACCTGGGGTTGATTCAGGGTGGAATTGAACAGAGAAGTAAGGCATTTCAGTATGATATATACCTTCATTTGAACCATCATTTGCATTTACAAATAATGGTTTCCAGCCCGACGTCAAAGTATCGACATCAACGGCAAACCCGTGATTTTGGGAAGTAATATAACATTTACCAGAAATGGTAGAGGTACATGGAATGTTATGGCCTCTGTTACCAAATTTCAGTTTCAAGGTAGATGCACCTGTTGCTCTAGCCAAAAGCTGATGGCCTAGACAAATACCAAATACTGGAGTCTTTTTGGCTTCTAAGACCTTGGCCAATCTCACATTCAATTCAGTGAGTACAGAGGGATCACCGGGACCGTTAGAAATGAAGAGACCGTCGTATTCTTCATTGGTGAAGTCGTAATCCCATGGCACAACCAACAACTCAACACCGCGCTTGACAAAACAGCGGATTTGATTGTATTTCATACCAACGTCGATGGCCAGAATTCTTAAAGTTTTTCCGTCAGGTCCAGTTTGTAACTTAGCGGAGTCGAAGTTGGAGGGAGGAGTGTACAATTGAGGGCTCTTGGTAGAAACTTTGGCAACTAAGTTTTGGGCATTAGGGTCGTACCATTCAGGTACTTCGAACGAGTCGATCCATTCGGCAGATGTTGCGCGAGAAAACTCAGAGCCATCCTTTTGAAGTGCTAATCTACCCAACATGGAACCACTGTCTCTCAAGTGCTTAGTTAGAGCTCTGGTGTCGACACCGTAGACAGCAGGAATACCTTGTTCTTTCAACCATGTTGCCAAAGAAGATTGAGCGAGCCAGTGAGAGTAGTCCTCGGTATAATGGGCTACAACTAGACCGGCAATGTGGATTCTGGAGCTCTCGAAATATCTAGGTAAAGATTCCACAAGTTCATCTGGCAAATTCCGGTCGGGGACACCGTAGTTGCCAACTAGTGGGAAGGTAATGACCAAGATTTGACCCTCATAGGAAGGGTCGGTGACAGATTCTGGGTAACCAACCATACCAGTCTGGAAAACAAGTTCACCAGCAGCAGGCTTCTTGGCACCAAAGGAATAACCTTGCACCGCAGTGCCGTCTTGCAGCTCCAAAGTCACAAGACGGTCACCAGTAGCGTCCATGGGAGGAGCAATTGGACCTGTGGGAGTGATGATAGACATATTCGATCCCTGGGAGTGTATGTGTAGGTTCAAAAATGCAGAGCAATTTGAAGCACAAGTCTGATTTCAAATGCTTTCAAGCAAAAGTATATACTGCAGATCTTGTTAGTACGAGCAGACTCGAGGTAGTTCAGAGATTTTCGACCAGTGTAGCGAGCGAAAAAAATTCCAGGTCCCAGCAGTGGATTGGGACAGAATGGGGATGTCTTTCTAAGCAACTTGGATGAACCGCTAAAATGATGCCAAAAACGACGTTTCTTTCGCTGCTTGTGCGAACGTTTGGCTTTATGGTCAACACCAGCGGCGTTGCATCCTGCCATGTACGATGAGCAGACCCAGAAGGCCTTTCGTATGTGGTGACGAGTGGAAGTTCATGATGCCATGTCACACGACGATGGGCGCGACGATCTTGCTCTTCCAACCGCCCCACATTTCGAAAAAGGGCCTCTTAGTCCGATCAAGGGCCACTTCAGCTCATTCCAGGGTCATTACGAAATCTCCGACATTTCCCATGCTCTAGGGCTGCTGTAACATACCAGATCGATAGAAAAACGACTATTTCGTGGGAGAAATGCGGTACACTAGTTTCAAAAACTAAAGTATAATACCTATGAAAGAAATCAGCAACTTAGAGGGGGGGACTTTTGCTCGAGTTTCTAGCACAGCTCAATTACAAGCTATTTCTCGTCACTCACAGTGGTTTTCCTAAGCTTTTACCAAGACTAAAAACAAGAACAATAAGAATAACAATAACAGTACAAATAATATGACATGAAAATAACCATACCGGAAACAATGTAAAGTGAGCAACAAATTCGTCTTCAAGAACCTCTTTTCTGTTTTGTACTTATACTCACCGCTTCTCCCAAATTCATGCAGGATGCGCTGAAAAAATTTTTCTTTCGGCGGCAAGCATATCACTTTCGAGTCATCGGCGCTGAGCCGGGAAGAAGGGCGGCAAGTCGGCGAGTTTGGATAACGTGATAGTCACGTGTCTGGAAGGCGACCAAAAGGTCTTATGCTGGGAGTCTTAAGACATCCAGATGGGGGCAGAGCTCGCAACAACTAGCTTATGGCCTGCTTCAAGCATTCAGTACAACTCGGGGCTTGTCAAAGCTTTCAGAGAAGAAAGGACAAGAAAAATCTTAGGCGTTCGAATCTACTCAATATCTTCCAAGCACGGTTATATCATGGATTTCTACTTATCGATACAGCGGTACATGCATTTTTCATTGGTCTGCAATTACTGCTAGTTCGAAAATGTTCTGGGCGTTTCTTGAGCGTCCGGTGCTTCCTCGGATAATCGAGACCCGTCTTCTTCGTTCTCGGAGGAGCTTGGGTCCGAAGGTAAATTGTGACTGCTGCCGAGCGGAGAGCGTGACATGGGACTGATCTCGTTATAACTTCGGGCCGAAGAGCGCGGCGTCGAATGGTAATCTAGAGAGCTACGCAAGGGCGCGTGTTCTTCGGTGGTTTGATTGGAGTGTGGTCTGTGCAACATGCTTCGTAATTGGCCTTTAGCGGATGTAGATTGCTTCCGCAAGTACGCCACGATCGGATCCTTGCCCTCAGAGTTACGCTCCGACTTCATATCTTCAATATGATCACGGCGTTCCAAGCTTTGGCTCGGCAAAATGATAGCACGGTCAAGTGAGTACGGCAAGCCTCTATGTCTTCCACGAACCAGCATGGCGATCATGATTACTTTGGAAAAAGTGTTGAATTGGGCGCTAAATGATTGATCTGTACTCGGATAGCCCAGCGAAAGCCCCACGGTTCCGTATGCGCTCACAATTTCGAAAAGAACCGGGAAAACAGTAAATTCAGGCATTGCAGGGTTTTGTATTTTGCCTCCTTCACTGATGCAAATAATAAAAAGCCCTAGAAACAGAAACCAGAGATCGAATGAAAGCTGCCGACGCACATGGGTCCCAATGAATGATCTAGTACTTTTATCAAGCTTCTTTGCAATCTCATTTTCGTCTCTAGGAGGTGTGTCTTCGTCCTCGCCTTGGTTTTCATTAGCAGAGCCACGGCCTTGATAGATGCCTAACGACTGCTCTTCGTAAACGTTTGTTCGTCTAATAGAAATTGCCAGCGGCAACACTGACACGTACATCATCAACATGTAGGAAACCTGGATCGAAGGGTGTAACATGCTCAAATTAAGGACAGAAAATCCTGCCGTACGTGTACTTACGGCTTGGAAAAGGCCATCGAGCACTTTATAACCGCTTGACAAGCCTTCTACAACTTGAGAATTGAGATCCAAAACAATGAACAAAATAAGGTCGATAGCATTCAATGCAACCAAAATGAGCATCAGCCACCATGTAGGCGCACTAGGAAATAGCAACGTAAAGCATCTTCGTGGGTGATCCAGTAGGAATCCCAACGATTCTTTAACCAACGATAAATCTCGACTTAACTTAAAAAATACCCAAATGATGAATCTCAAGAAGACGGGGAAACCAGTATTACCAATAATAATGAACCACATCATTGTTATCAATGGATACACGGCCTTGTTGAAAGAACTCATTGAGTCTGGTGTTAATGTTAATCCTAAGTCATTAAAAGCACTCATCGATGTGAAAAATCCCCACCAAGCTGGAGAAACACCATCTGACCTGACAAGGTTGATGTAATCGTCCATATGTGTAATCCAAGGTAGCAGCATAACGAAGCCCAAAATGTGAAACCCGATATAATAGATGAGGACTAGTTTGCACAAAAGTTTAATAGCACGATACTCCACGCCCCCTAACTCAGCCCTCTGCATGTCGCTCAAGCCGACGAAAGTTGAGTTGCGCCCTATTTTAGGTTGCCACGAAAGGTAATTGGTGCTCATTCTCTTTAAGCGTGGAGGTCTCTCCGTTGGCTCGCTAAAAGTCATACCGCCATAGTCGCCTATTGTTTCCTCATCGTTGCTTGTTCCATCAAGGCTCGCTCTAGGTTTTCTATTAGTATCATAGTCATTACCAAAATCACTCGTACTACGACTTAACACCGAATTTCTTTTGACGGGGCGTGAGAATCTACCCTTCCGTCTGCGGTCTTCTTTCCACTTCTCATATATCATGTTTTGAAAGCTCGGCGATTTAGTTAACGTGTCCATATGTCTATTCCCCGATGTTTCTATTGTGTTGCACCTCTTATAAAACTTTGATCCACCTGTCGCATCCTTTGAAGGAATTGCTAGATTTGATTGAACTTTTTCAAGCAGTGGAAACGAGCCGGTTTTCTGAATTACTTCAGAAGTGGAAGCGCAAGCATCGGGAAGATTTTCGTGACTCTCCTCGTCACTTTCGCCTGATGCCTGTTCCTTATCTGCGTCATTGCCATCCTCGGTAGAAATATTCCTTATTTTTCGTACTCTGTCCTTCAGCCTACCAGAACGTGTGAGTTTTGCGATTGAATTAGGCCTGAGTTTTTTAAGAGCTGCTTTGCTAGATGTTAACTTTAGTCTTTTATTGGGAGATGGCTGCTCAGGTTCGTTGAACTTGATCGAGGAAGGGGCGATTTCATGGCGGTCCTGCTCGGGAGTCCATTGGACAGGCAGTGAAACTTCTGCTTGTGAAGAGGAAGAGCTGGTTAATCCAGAATACTCCAAAGAATTATTTGAGACTTGCCCGTCTGCGCTCGGTAATTCATTTGATGTATGGGAAACCCTCTCGTTGCGTGCTAGGCCGGCATTCAAATCGGGTTTTCTCTCGTTGCGTGCTGGGGAAGAAAGACCAGCATTCGAATCAGGCTTTCTCTCGGCTGGTCCATTTATAACAAGTGCTGGTCCATCTTCCTCTTTTTCTTCGATGACATGTTGGTTTCGCAGCATTGCTATGGAACGAAACATATCCGCTGGTGAAATGTCCTCTGACCGTCTTCTACCAATGAAATGTTCGATTGGAACTTGATTACGGTCACTAGGATTTTTCTGCGGTTTGGGCATTGCACCAAATTTTATACCGGGTGTATCGTCATCTTGATCAACGCTTTTAGTTGAACCTGTGGAAGAGCTTGTGTGTCGGTCCTTTCCATGAAGTGAGCTCCCGCCGTCGTCATTGTCATGAAGATTTTCCATTTCATAGTTTTCTTTCAAACTAGCGTCTTCCTCTCTATTGACCATCTGCCCACTGAAAAGTTTACTTTGAAAATCAGCATTTTTCCCAGAATTCTGATTCCCACTTCTTGATGTAGGTCGCCGCTGAGACTCCGTAGCCGTCCGGGTTATTTCTCGTTGCAGAAGGGTCTTGGTTCTGCGCATCTTGAAGTTCTTCTTCGACCAATCTTTGATTCCGTCAAAATAGCGCTCGAACCAGTACAGTCTCACGAAAGCAAGCCCTCCATGAATCCAGATTGGTGTTGTCAGACAGCAGATAACATAGATAACAATTTGCTGATACAAAGTCATTTCATTCGTATTGATGGTATTGAGGCCGCCTTGCGTTGATGCCCCAGCTGCAGTAAATAGGATATCAATGTAAGCGTAGTTTCGTACTGGATACATCAAAATTGAACCCAGAAAAGTCATCGAGATAATGTAAAAGTAGTGGAATGCAATAAAGCTTGGAAATACATGCTTCACAACTGGATGAATGACCTGACCCACATTCTCAATGACATCCCGGAATCTGTGTCCTACTGTCTTTTTGTATCGCGCATTTATTGAAGCCAAAGTTGGACGACGACTAAGAGTTCGCCAAGCCTGCATCGAACACTTACTGGCGTGAACTTGACTTTATTCCTTCTCATAGCCGGTTCAAGGCTTATATTAAATTGAGTTTGACAAAACACGTGATCTGCATTTGAGCCATGATAACCTGTTACAAATTGAGCCCTCACAGGTTTTGAGCGGCAATCAGAACTAATCAAGTGACTAGTGGTTGAGCATGTTACAGTTTGATTGCCCGGTATTTGTAGCTTTCTTGACAAAAGATCCGTCATTTGAACTTGTTCGAGATTAATCTTGTCACGGCCCGTGTCTGTTACGCACGATTGGTACAATGTGCTTTATTCCTGCTCATCAGTAGATTCATCAAGTAAAGGTGAAAGAACCAATATACTTTGAAGGTCTTCTGCGTCCAGGATATAAAACTAACAGACACGCGCTTGACAGTTCGAAGTTGGTGGTGAAAATAGTAAAAGTTTAGATAAATTCCAGTTGACACCCATATGTAGTAATGCCAATCAGACCTTGTTTTCGGCGTTGTTTCTCATGCCTTATGAGACAACTGCATTATATACAAATGCTGTAGCGATCTTCTAAAAATTAGCTGAAGTATTGAATGAAGTATTTAGATGTCGTTAACAAGCTTTTAAAGATATATACTATCTTGATAGAGTGCTACTTCTCAGTTTATAAAGAGCAATTCTTTTGAATCGATTAAAATCATAGTCCACCTTTGTGGAGAGCTGGTAGAGTGTTTTTAGTTGCTTCATTCGTACCAGTGGCCTCCGTAGCAAGTTGCTTTTTCTGTAAGCGTGTAGTGATGTATTCACTCATGTTGACATTAACGTCGGAATAAGTTTTCAGCCATGGGTGCTCTAGTAGTGCGGCATATGTAGGTCTCCTTTCCGGTATTTTTTGCAAACACATATTGACGAAATCTTGTGCCAGCGAGCTGTACCGACCTTTAGGCAATTTAGGTGGCGGTGAGTCTACTATGGCGCTCAATTGTGAGAAAATGTTGTCGAAAGTTTCCGCGGGGTATGGGTATGCGCCAATGGCCATTTCTAAGATACTAAGCCCCAGCGACCAAACATCTGATTGTACGGAATAAGTGGATTTATCTGGGTTCAAAGACTTGATACGCTCAGGAGCCATATAAGACTGACATCCAATATTAGTCTTAGCCAGTGACGCGACTAGGTTGCCCGAAACACCAAAATCGCAAAGTTTCACAGTACCTTGAGCTGCAGAACACAGCAAATTGGTAGGCTTTACGTCCCGATGGATGATGTTATGCACGTCTTTCAATTCTCCGAGACCCTGAATTATGGCGTAGGTGATACGCGCTAATTGAGGCTCGTCGATGCCACCGAGAATATCGCTATCGTATATTTTGTCTAACGATCCACCGTCCATGTATTCCATACACATGTAGACGGCACCCTCGATGAAAAATGCGCCATAGAAGTCTACAATGAAGGGACTTTGGCATTTATGCAGAACTTCGAGCTCCATAAGAATCTGAGTGAACTTGGACTCGTCAAGTTCGAGTCGAACCTCTTTCATGGCCATGATGACGTTAGTAGGTTTATGCAGGACTTTGGAGACGTTTCCGTAATTGCCATGACCGATCTCCTCAAGAAACTCGAGCTCGTCCAGCGTTATGCGAAAGCTAGAGCCGTTGCTGAAATCAACACCCTGGGAACTCAAAGACAATTTCCCTGCGAAATTTAGCGATCCGGACTTGATATCTACGTATTTCGCGAAATTAGTAAACAGCCCGTTAGATCCGCTGCGGTTTTGCTGCTGTTGTTGTTGGAGTTGCTGTTGCGGAGTGGTACCTTCGGTGTCGCGTTGCTGACCCGAAGATGTGGATGTAGTAGGCACGCCGTTTATGAGCGAGCCTGGATTGCTTTTGTTAGCAACGAGGCCAGATCCCCGGTTTGAAGGTGCGCCAGCGAACTCCTGGGCTGCCGTAGGAGCCGGCGGAGCCTTCATCTTGAGCGACATCCCGCCTGCGGGCAGTTTCAGACCACGTCTGGCGCTCAGACTCTGTTTCCCCGCGCCTGCTGGGGAAGCGATTCCTCCAGCGCCACCCACGCCTCCGGCTGTGCCGGCAGCACCGTAGGACATAGCAGGTGGTCTTGGCGCTTTCCTAATTGGACTCAGAACCGGGTTGCTCGCTTTGCTGGGAGGGAGCGGAGGCAAAGGCTTGTTGACAATCTTGTCAATATTCTGCGACTCCGAGCCACTTCCGGCATTACCGCCAGTGCTTTGAGCGCCAGTGCTTTGAGCGGCAGGGCTATTCGCAGCAGGCGCTGCTGCATCTTGCACTGCTCGGCCTGAGTTTACACTACCCGTGCGCTTCAGTTGTCGCTGCTCTTGGAATGCTTTCACTCGAGCGTGCAAGTTCGCATTTATATTGCTATAGTTCGACGAAGACGTCGAACCTGATCTTCTCAGCCCTGTTTCTCCGTTCCCAGATTCTGATCGTTCCATAGCCGCTGTGTTAAAGCCCAAGCGAGTGCCTATACACCTGTTCGCGTTGCTACTTGCTAGTTAGAGCTCTAACTTAAAATAAAACACTGGGCAAAAACCTGATATTAGTTTTGAAATTTATTAGACATTACTAAATAAAAGCCCCCTCTGAAGAAAAACGAAATGAAGAAAGCGTAAAGAGAAGAGCCACGGAGTTCTCGAGGCTCCTAGGCAAGATCGTGGGCTATATTTGTGGTTCTCAAGATTAGGGTTTATCAAACTTCTCAAACTACCTTTTTTAGAAGCATTTACAAGATTGTTGAACAACAACATCGTGAAAAGAAGATTGTTGTTTCTCGGAATTATGCAAGTCCCATCACACTAATGTGCGCTGGGTTATTTTAGTCTTAGTATGTACATTAGGATTACGTTCCACTGTTCGTTATTTTCTTGGAGCCCTTGTGCAGTGCATTGGTCTTCGAATCAAGCCTAAGTGTGCAGCGGTTGTTGAATGCAGTGTCGCTTGCAAATGATGTGCGACACCGAGCCCTGTAGGATACGGGACGTGCGAGACAGAAAACTCGAAAGCGACGGAAAAATAACGATGGTATCGCAAGTCTCATAGGACTGCTGTTTTTAGCATTTATTTCTCAAGGTATTTTTAGTGCCATCAATCATCCTAGAAAAACGTTTTCTCGTGAAGCTTGGCATGCACTATCTAAACTTATTGATGTAAAGCAATACTGCACTCAAAAGCTTGTCGGTAACTCACGCCACTCTATCTAATTATTGTAAAACTTTCCGCTCCTCGTGCGGCTACAGAACTACCAGCGGCTCATCGTTTTTTTCAATGCTAACTTCCCATTCACAAGTTTTCGCTATTTCTCGAGCAACGCGGCACTGTGACTTGTATCGTTCACGGTGGTGCATTCGTCATCTATCGAAAACTTTGATTGTAGCTTGTTTTTTTTTCAACTGTCTCTTAAGGCCGCAAGTAATTGTTTCCGCAATAAGGATCTGTTGTTTCTAATCTTAACATCTCATCAATTTCGTGGAAGAACGTTGCATCTACGCGTTCTCCCGTAGCGGCTCTAAGAAGAGCCTACTTCCTCGTGAGAGAAGGAGGAAACAATTCTTAATTAGCGCCTGCTTCGCTGCACAGATACACGATAGAGGTAAAACAATATCGTCGCTTGGGAGGACGTAAAACTTTCAGGGCGTAGCGACCCTTGTGTTTCCAGCCCGCTTCAACGCTGTAACGTGTTGTGTTGGTTACAAGGCTCGAGGAAAGCTTTATTCAGTGACCTTGGCTTTCTAGTAGGAAAAAAGAACCCGCTATGAACGTTACATAAGACAGGTCTGTTGCATCTTCCGCTGGCAGTCCAGCAGGCGTATCGAAGTCGACACGCTTCCTCTTACTGCCACCCTTGTTCTTCCAGAAACGAGCTTCAGAAGATTTCTCCCAGCATCGAAGGCCATAGCACTGTACCAAAGTTAGTTTCCGCGATAGGAGAGTGGACTCGCCTTCGAACTGACGCGTTCTCATCATTCCTTCGTCTTAAGCTCCAAGCCGTAATCAGCCGTAGTGCCTTTTCCCAAACCTCATCTCAAACATGACCCTGCGCTGCCAAGGAGAAGACCACACAACTGGCAAGGTAGCCTAAAAGTCGGAAAAACGCCTGCCTCGAAAGCAGAATCTCTTGGCCGCGACTATGAGATCTAGCAAAAATGTCTCGAATGTGTGTTAGAAAGAATAGCATGTTAGGATAGTTTGTCTCTACTCCTTTTTCTTTAGGACTTTAACTTGTCCTTACTTTAATATCTTGATGATTTTTAACCTTTTTGACCACTTGAAATTTCCAAGCACCTTATTACTTGAAGGCCAGTACCAGGTAAAGACGCCGCAATGGGCACAAAAGGCGTTGAAATGGTAATCTGGGACAGATTGGAACGCTTAGAGGGTGACAAAGCAGTCCGAAGATCGATAACAAAAGCTAGTGTATCTGATAGAGAGAAGCAAGGATTGACTTCTCATAAAAAAAACAATTTTAGGGGCCCAGCTCGTCGGACTGTTGCTATCGTTGTGAGTTTACTACTTATCAACCTTTGGTTTCGTTTGTACTCTCAATGGGAAGGCGCATCCACCGGGAATGTTACAGATGTCGGTTCTCATCCTTCTGACTCCACTCAAGAGTCGTTTGAAATCACGATAGAACAGATGCCAGAGACGCCGCCGGTATTTACGCAGGAGATTTTACAACATTCTTTTGGTGACTCGTGGGGAAAGCCTTTCACAGCTAAATTTCAGCCGTATAAAGAAGGAAGTTACGACAGTGTAATCCTTGAATTGAACACCAACGTTTCCGGACGACAATTCGATCGTCTCGTTCACGTTTTCATCGAAGACATCAACGTTTGGAGGTCTTCAACAGTAGAGCCATGGGGCAATAAGACTATTTTGAGTCATTCTATCAAAGATATCACCCAATACAAATCACTCTTCAAGGGTGAAAGTCTAAAAATTTCTCTCCAACTTGACAACCTGGTTACAAACAAATTGACCGGAGTATTCAACGTGAGTCTACGTGCACACTACTATAAAAACGAGGAGAAACATCATGTTGCGTCAAGTTCGTTACGTGAAAAGCTTTTTGAAATGTTTACTGCTCCAGCACACATCATAACTCCTTTAGTGACGCGTTTCTCTAGAACTCCATTGTTATACTACCCGCTAGCCTCTCAAGAAAATCCGCGCTGGTCCCGCGGTCTTCCCGAGATAGATTCAAATTTCAATGTTTCGAGAGCGATGATTGAGATATTTGCATCCGGTAATGCTGCGGAAGAATTTTGGTACACCAATGTTTTGGATCGCTACGTCAACAGGTTTCGTAAGTCGGGTCATGAACTTCTTGGCCATGGACCCTTTCGTGCAATCAAAGTGTACTTGACAGATTCCGAACGTGAAATATTAATTGACACTATCATTCCAACTCCAATCATTTTCACTGGCTTCTTTCCGCCTCTTTGGAGACCTTGTGTGGGTATGAATGCTTTTAATATCAAAAGTTACAAAGTCGATTTAACCCCATTTCTCTCGCTTTTTGAGAGTGGAACATGGGAGCTGCAACTTGAAGTTGTGAGCAGTATAGACTCTGATTTCAAGCCAACGGTTGGTGAAAATTGGATTATTTCAGGTAATGTGCTAGTTTGGTGCAATAATACACCTGTCACCAGCTCCAAATTCATTAATTCGACTGCTCTTCCTCCAGTTTTCGATGTTGTTGTTAATACTTCTCGCTCAGATGAACTGACGCAAGATCTGTTCGCATTTGACGGTGTTCAAATCGATAGTTTGATAACGATAGATGATGTGGAGTACGAATGCCGCCAAGTTGCACAGAGCAAACTAACGAACAATCAAACATATTTAAGAAATGGAAACTTCGAACAGGCTTACGTGAATCTATTTACGATACGCAAGTTTGTTATCAGCAGAGATGGTATTGATCTTTACCAGTACGTAGACGAAACTGGGTGGCGGTTTGGTGCGACAATGGAAACAGAATCAGACAAGCATTCCGAGCTTACCTTATCTGCTAGTATTGGCCGTAAGCTAGATCGTCTTGTCGCGCTACAAGAGATGAATACACAAAATGGCACAGAAGATACACTACTTTCTCTGAATGGGGTGCAAAAAGGAAACACTACCTACACGTTGTCGCCGGCAGGTAATCATGGATCTGGAGATAGCGTTCATTCAGTACGAGTCAAACATGTTTGGCCGTTCAAGAACAGCTTCCAACGAACCGTTGTTGTAAAGGATAACCAAGTTATTGCAGATAGAACTAATTGAAAAGCAAATAGAAACGACAAAATTTTTTTTAGAAGATTCAATAGAATGGTTGTACGTCTGCGTTATGACCATAACGGTCATCTTTTATTTTATTGTCTTGAGCTGCTTCAACAGCAGCCATCACGTTATCCTCAAGGTTGAGAAGAGCATCATCTACCATATTTGTATCATCATGTTCTTCGATCTCAACAGTTGCAGGTCCACTCGAAAGGTCACTGATTGAAACCGATGAGTTTCTAGCCATATTTCCGCTCATTGCAACGTCCAAATAGCGACGTTTAGTTCTTTGTTGTTGACGAGCATATATGCTAAAATTATTCATGGATTGTTCAGTTCCTAGTATTTCCTGGGAAGCAATGTGTGGGTCTTGGGCTCCGTTAAACTTCATTCTGTGAATGCTCGGTTTGGCTTTTTTGGTTTGTGGTGTCTCATCCACGGGTGTTCGTTCAAGGTCTGGTGAAGGGCCTTGCAAGTTCCCTATCACTGCAGCCGCCATTTTACTTAGCTGTGATGAGTGATCCACATCAACATTGTCGCGCGTAATCATATGTGCCTGCTGTTGTGGAGAACCGGCCTCCACTACGATTCCCAAATCATCCTGGTGTTGATTCTTACACAGCGGGCAAGCCGCTACGATTCTAGCTACGGTTGTTTTGATTCCTTTCCAATGATATCTCTCAGCTATTGTCGTAGTCACCTTATTAATGCCTTGGTGAGCAACTTGATGCACCTCAAAAGCCACCTCTAGTTGTTTTTCTGGGTCATACACAACTTCTCTACCCTGGCGCATTAGTTTTCCATTTTGAACAATATGATATTTCGCACTCGCTCGAAGCCGGGCTTTTTCAGTCCTATCACAGTATTCTGGATACTTGCCTGTTTCAAGATAATATCGCAGTCTTTCGTATTTGGCGAAGTGCTTGTTCGGTTCGTTCAAGATATCAATGCTCTTAGAAACATGTGTAAATTCTTTGGCATAGATAAATGAATCTATCGGAACGTCGCAGCCCTTCAAAATGGCCGATTCGGGTAATTTTCCCACTCTCCTAAAATTTAACGTCTCTAAAATACGTCGTATGCCAACGTTTGTACCGTAGACCAGGGGGAAAACTGACGAAGTAAAGCCTAGTTGCGGGGCCCAATTTAAAAAACACTCCACTAAAGTCCTACCAATACCCTTGCCCCTGATGCCGGCATTTACCAAAAAGGAAGCCGTCACGACATGAGAAGAACGTCCTGGATATGCTGGTCGCAGATTGAATGCTCCCAAGCACTGTTTTTCCCATTGAATATTCAAGTTAAGATTTCGGCGTTCTTTGCGTCGCAGATACTGTCCTGTATGTCTAGTAACTTCTGCTTGAGGATCGTCTGACGAAGAGCCAGCGCCACCTGTCGTGCTCGAGTCACTGTAGTCCAATTCTGGTATTTCTCCCAGCACCATAATACACACTAAGCCTTCAGCATGAAACCACGTTTCGCAAAAGCCTTCGACTGCTAATGGTTCATAATACGGAAGACTGTCGCCCTTGTCAATCTCCATGTTGAATTCATCTAATAGAAACGCTAGGAGACCCGCGGGTAATTGCTCAGGGTTAGCCGGAATTGGGTACATTGTTGCGGTGGTCTCTCCATCTTTTAGAAGAATGGATTGTGGTTGTATATGTGTCACAGGTTGTTGGTCCTGATCAATGTTAATCTCCATGCTCTGTGTTGTGTTGTGGAGCGTTTAAACTGGCAAAACAGCGCGATGAGCTTTGCAAGATTCCATGCTAGTAATATCCAACGTGGTGAATACAAAAGTATTCTTGTAATTCTCTATCAAGACTTGGTAATCGACAATAAATCCGCCCACTGAGTCTGAAACACGTTCACTGGGCCATCAATACAACTCCTTTCCGTTAGCTACTAAAATCTCAAGTTTCTGTCAACGAGTTTATGTACGCAGTGTAGATACTGCTTCGATCTTCAATTGGCCTCAGGACTTTGTGCCTATTCTCAACCCATACTAGCTTGAACTGCCGGGTTCACAGTGTCGTTTATCCTTTTAAATAATTAGCCAATATATGTTTAGCTAGTGTAAAGATGCCGCACTCAACACGTTCGCGAATCAAGAGTTGTTCTTCGCTTTCATGTTTTCTATCATGTAATGTGGGTCTGGGAAGTTGTTCGCAATGGCGCCAATATATCTATTTCATCGCTTGCTCGGTGATTTATGTTTTTCCATGACCTTTCTAGATGTGAATATTATAACCTCGGCACAAGGAATAACCTATCGGTATACAATTGATTCAGTCGACCAGAACTGATAACATGTGATATTCCGACGGTAGATCAATTTCTGAGCGCAGTGGTTTTCTGAAGCAAGGGCTAACGGTGAAATAATGTATTGATGTCTTCGTATTCGTGCTCTGCTCTGGTATTCGTGCTGTTTTCCTGTTTGAATATGTTCCACCAGTGGTACACATTAAATCACTTTCTACCACCGTGTCGTGGTTCTAAGTCGACAGAAGACACTACAGATGCGAAGAAACTGCACGATGCCTTTATTAAAAGTTATATGGAAGATCTTTGAAATGAAACGAGATGGCGAACATTTCAGTTCCAGTACGTATCGCTTTTATCATCTGAACTACCATTTTTACTTCAGCGGCTAATAGTACATCATTGAAATTTGGACCCATTATATTGTATCAACAATTGTTCTCGAGCAAATGCAATTAGTACTGACTCTCGAGCGAAACAAGACCAGGCCTACTCGAGAATCTTACTATGACCTGTTTTTTCCACGAAGCAAACTTTTACCACAAGTCTTTTAACGTTTCGAAGAAATTTAGTACCTATAATGGAGGCTAGCTTGTAGGTAACTTGAGTGACGAATAAGCGTGTAAATATTAGCTACTAGAGATGACTTCGAACGCGACCTTGCGGGAACAAGTAGGATCGCAACTTGCCGTCAAATACGAGTAGGCTGTGCCACATGCTGCATGGTTGGCCCGAAAAAGAGTGCCAACCACTTGGATATTTCAGCTGCATCAGTTGGTAAACAAGAATTAAATAAATGGGCTTTGTAAAACTGGCTCTCAGTTCAGCTGAGTTTTACAATGCTCAGAAGACTTCACACATCGAAAGACACATCGACGTCCCAAAACATTGAAAAAAAATGACGACTTTTATAATGTGTGCGAAAGAAGTAAGCTTCTTTCAGGGACAAGCATATATTAACTACGGATTTGTACAGCTCTACAAATCGAGGTTCAAATTTTCGAGATTGAAGGGAAGATGAATTTTCATATAGGCTGACACCTGCCTTAATGCTGAGCTTCGAATTACCAACCATGCTTCCAAGTGTTAAAATTAAGCTGAAGGGTACTCAAATGAGGCGTAGCCACCACCAGAAGCCTTGCGTTGACAAAGGATTCTGAGAGGAGAGCACTCAGTTCCTGCTATGGAGCAAAAGAGGGAATGTGTACCAAAAAAAAATGAATGGATTAACGACACCAAAACATATTCGGAAAGCTACACAGATTGGGTTTTTCCAAGAATCACTTAAAACAGTGGCAGTCCGAGTTTCTGGGCTCTCGGTGCTGATGCTAAACTACCCAACGTTTTGTCGCTGCAGTAATTAAAATCAGATATTAACGCTAATCGTGTGTTATGCTAGATTCTTTACAAATCTAGCAAACAGGTATGCTGAGATTTGGCCCCATATCTAAGATTACGCGACTGGGTGATACGGGCAAGTGCTTACGAAGCAATCATTTGGAATTTGGCCGTCTATCCTGCCGGCTGCCGTTGAAAAATTATAGACCTTACACTTCGATATTCAAGATGAACAAAGTAGCAATCGGTCAATTGTGTTCATCGTGTTCTCCAGACCTGAACTTGCAAACAGTCACTCGGCTCATTGACTCAGCTTTGTTGCAGGATGTGAAGCTGATCTTTTTCCCAGAGGCTACAGACTACATTGCGAGATCTGCGTCGCATTCAAAAGAACTAGCTCTGCAATCCCCTAAGTTCGTGGATGACCTCTGCCAAGCTGTTTCCGACTTGTGTCATAAGCATGAGAAGCAGATCAACGTTTCAATTGGAGTCCACTTGCCAGCATCGGATACTCATGAAGAGAGCAGGGACACAAGAGTTAGAAATTGTTTGTTGTACATCGATCACGAAGGTAAGATTCTACAAAGTTACCAAAAACTGCACTTGTTTGACGTCGACGTTCCTAATGGGCCTGTCTTGAAAGAGAGTCAATCTGTTCAACCGGGCCGTGAAATTGCGCCTATTTTGAACACGCCTGCTGGTAAGTTGGGCTCCGCCATATGTTTTGACATTAGATTTCCAGAGCTAAGCCTCAAACTTCGTTCAAATGGCGCCGAAATACTGTGCTTTCCCAGTGCTTTCACTATGAAGACTGGGGAAGCACATTGGGAATTTTTGGCTCGCGCCAGAGCGCTTGATACACAATGTTACGTTATTATGCCCGCACAGCAAGGCGAGCACCAAGTGAACCTTGGCGTGACAAATAGTTCCGATGAAGCTACCACCGTAAAACGAATTTCGTGGGGTCATTCCATGATTGTTAATCCTTGGGGCCATATTGTTGCTTCCGCGGATATAACAAATGATAATCCACAGCTGATCATTGCAGATCTAGACCTCGCTGCGCAGAAGAAGATACGAACTGATATGCCTTTATGGGATCAACGGAGAAGAGACGTTTTTGGAGATTATTTTTAAGATATAAATCTAATGATACAGAAAGCTCAACTTTTCAGAAGACGCTTCTTTTCACGCTTACTCGGAAGCGCGCTTTCGGGTACAACATCTTGAACCTCTGCAAAAGCTTTGGCGGCGAGTTTTTCATCCCTAGTTTTTCTGACTATTTTTGATGCAAATGTGAGGTAAGAAGTGTGTGACTTAACTTCGGCTTCTACTTTGGACACCTCTTTCCATTGAAAATTCAAGTCGCCCTCTTTGACTCGAGAGCCTTTACCGAATGGGTTGTATTGTGTCTTGGGCGTTTCTGGTCTCTCTTCAAAGGTTTCTTCTTCATCGCTAATCAGCTTGTTGAACATCCTTTTCCGTCTTTCTACACCCACTTGTTTGCGCTCTTTGACATCACGAAGCCTTTGCAAAGCGTCATCTAAGCGTCTCACCATTTGCCTACGAGATTCATACTGCCTGCCTTGAATCTCTACCATTTCAACTTCGGTCCAACCTTTCTTTTCCAATACTTCAAGAGTTTTGTCGACTTGTTCTATGCAGGGAGAGAAACAGCACAAGCTCACTTTAGAGTCCTGAGATATGACTTTGTCGAGGTGTGGGATAGCATCCCAAGGGGCTGGTAAATCTAAGAATACGACGTTAGCGTCAACTTGTGCAAGTTCTTGTTGACCACTGAATTGCTCGTGATCAAAAAACGTCGTAGTGTCACCCTTTTTTATGCTGAACCCATCCTGGCACACGTCCCTGTGCGTAATCGCGAGATTACCATCACGTAGTAAATCATGTTCTTCAAACTCCTGTCTAGCCTGTTCGTAACGCATTTTGTGAAATTCATAAGAAAACACATATCCAGCGGTTCGCGCAAAAGCATGAGAGAAGGATCCTGATCCAGTTCCCGCCTCAATCACCCTGGAGTGCGGGCTACATTGCATTCGTTGCATGATGTAGGAGGAGTCAGGAGTGTACACGATCTGAGTTCTGTGAGGCAGCGATAGCGTCCAAAGCTCTGCTGTGGGTTGTAAAACATGCACAAAGCCAAACTTGTTGGAGCCCCTAGTTCTTACTGCGATCTGAGATCCAAATGGCTTCCCAATCATGTCATCGTGAGGGAAAGAACCATATCTCGTATTGAAAGTAGCGCCAGTGGCAATTGTCACAGGTTTGATGTTATCTCTAGAAATCCAGATAAGAACTAAATCGCCAGCCTGAATAACATCCTTGTACTCCGAGAATTGCCTCATCCTGATGTACAGAATTCAGATCGATGAGCTTTATTGAGTTACTCGTAGAAAATTTTCATAATACAGAGTATATAGAGCATGTCGTTTCTTTGACACATTTTCACACATGATAAGCTGACAAACAATGAATATAGATTAAAGACAAGCTACTTGAGTTCATGGTTACGGAAAAGCATATCGAACCCTAATGCAAAATGCCGCATAATGTCTGCATCGCACACAGCTTTGGAAGTCTCACTCCCACCTTGACAATCCGCCTTTTTTCTATTTTTTTAAATTTCGAGATAGTCTAGTACTATACATTAGTATATGTCCGATTTGTGAAACTCGTAATATAGGCCATGTTGTGCCATGGTCTTTCCCTTCTTGCTTTCGGATGCAAACCGGGCCTCGTCCTGCGCGTGCTTTGCCGCCAACGCCTGGTCGAACGGAATTTGCTGCATCTGGCTCAGCGGTTGGTCCTCGCGATCTATGTCTACCTCTCCGAGCATTACCACGTTTTCACCACGTACCATGAACACACCGCGATCACATTCTGCATATTGGTTCTCTTCGGTAACGTATATCCTCTCTACGCAATGTTGCAATATCAAATTTGCGTATTGATCGAAAGTCCGTAGAACTCCAAAAAGCATGCGCCCATCTCTTAAAAGTACGAATATTTTGCGATCTACGGATCCAACGATTGCCGCTGTAGTTGTGAAATTGTACTGATCGAGATATAGGTCTGCTTCTCCTTCCGAGATTTTCGAAGAGCCACTAGTAGATGGACTTTTTCCCTCTGACATGGCTGTAATATTTGTGCTGCGAGAAGCCAAGTTCAGGTGAACGCTTGTAAAAGATAGTTCAGGTCAATTGCACTGTTCAGTGATTTAAAACACCACCTTGCCCTCACCATTTGTTCGTAGGCCCATTATAATTCCACTGGAGTAGTGAAAGTGCTTGAAAATTTTAGGTTTTCGTCGGTGGTGATTATGCTCAAAAAACCCGTAGTGAAGCAAAATGGTGATGCTACAGATAGTAGTACTAGTTAACAGCCCAGAATATTGCAATTGCCACCGTAATAGCTCTGAGTCGAGGACCTTTGAAAACTTGAGAAAAACAAACAAATCGTCTTCGACGAATAGTGCTATAAGCCATTTTAATTTCCGCATAACCTTAAACCAACAAACCTCCCCTATTCGAAAAAATACAGTAGCCTAGCAACGTTAAGAAGTCGTATACTCCAGTCTTCGATCCAATAGCTATAAAAGTTTCCTGCTAATAACGCGCCACTACTTTGTTTAACCTCGCTCGATGTCCCTTTTTAGATCCCTCCAAAATCAACCTAGAATTATAACCCTGTTTACACACGATGTGGCCAGCAATCCAAGCACTTTAATTATGCAGCAGTTGCGCGCAGGGCCAGCCGAAAAATACGATATAGAAGTCCACACAAAGTTTCCCACATTGGATCAATTAAAATATCTAAATGGCATTGACGGTGCCATGCTTCAATCTCAAATCCCGAAACTTGCCAGTCTCATGCATAAAGACAGTAGCTTCGGGACGTTTGGTAAAGATTTGAGAGAATGCGTTAAACTCAAAGACTGGAACGCATCCTCCTCTCTGTGGGTTGACTGGGAAAAGCGAAAGATGGGCAACGATGCTAGCAGCGTCAAGTCCTTACTTGAAAAACTTTGAAGAAGTTAAGAGCAGGTAGAAACCTAACTAAATCTGTAATATAAGACAGAACATTACATCTCCTATGATAAGTCAACCGTACTCCTAGACCTAAAATCCCATACGGTCGATAACGTAGTTCTGTGCTACTACACCAAACGCAACACTCAGGCCGTCCTCGACCCACTCCTTGACCCACTCACTCGCATCGATATCTTCAACGGCCTCGGTGGACTCGGTGCGCTCACCGGTTTCCTTCTTGGACTCTCTATCTTGAATGGCATCCTGCTTACTCTTAAGCTCCGAAGTTCCTTCAAGCCACTCGGCCCATCTTTGCGGAAAGCCTTGGGATCTTGTAATGGAGGTAAAATCATTACTTATGTCCTTGAGCACGATAGTAAATGCAAAATTACCAGGGTGTGTTGAATCAGTAGTGGTTAATTCAGGATTTTTAGTTTTTTCAGGCACGGCGATGGGCAGAATGGAGATGAAAACATCAGAAATGGTTTGTTCTTTAGCCGTAGCATCCTCCAATTCTTCAGTGTCGGTACGCTGCTTAGCCAATTCTTCTTTGGCTTTGGTGAAGAGCTTGACAGCGTTGTTCAGGTTGGCAAATGCTAATTTCTCTCCATCAGCAATTTTTCCTGAGAACATATTGAGATGACGCTTCCCATCTTGAACACGGTCTTCGCCTTCAATCGGATGGTCCCATTCATCAACGAAAATGCGAACTCCACCTTGGACTTGAGAGCTTAAGACGGAATCGAATTGCTGCTCAACATGGTATGATAATAGTGGGTAATTGATCAGGTCATGTACAAGGTGAATACGAAGAACTTCATCGGTTTCTCCGACCACGATTCGACTTAAATTTTTTGCCAACGTTGAGATTGTGGCGGAATTGAGCTTTGAAGCTAAAGATGTTGTCTGCAACTTCGAGGCAATACCTTGTTGTTCGTGAGCCAAGCGATCCTTGATATGATTGGCCTGTTCCGCGGTTTTACTGAAAAAACTGTTCACAGTTGCAGAGCCGGAAGATGACCACCAATTGGAAATCGATGTGATAGGATCATTCAACGGCTCTACGTCTGCTGGGGGACTTCCAGGCGAAGACTCCTCGGGCTTTCTTACTGGCGCAGTTTCTTGTGCTGGTGTCTCACTTTCATCATTCGAGACGGGTTCCTTATTCTTCTGCTTCGCCTCTGAGTATTCTTGGTCTTTAGCTACTGGATCTTGCTTCACGGGTTTCTTGTCTTTTTTCAGACTAAGGTTACTTTGCTCCAGCTCGTCCAGAAAATCCAAGATCTCTGTGTCGTTCTTAGAATCTTGTGCCGTGTTTTTCGATTCCTTCCTTGAATCATCGCGTTCCCGTTTCTTACGCTCAGGAAGTGAGTCTAAGAAATCTAGCACATTATCAGCCTCCGTCGAGTTGCGGCCGCTCATTTTACTATTTTAATCGTCGCAGGAATTGTATATAAGTTTGGTCTGTCTAGAATCAAATCATTGCTGCTCTGTTTGAGCACAACCTTAAAAACTTGCCTATATCATGTTCCACGTAGGGAACGATCAGTCGAAATCAATTCATTAGAACAGTTTTGAACGAGATTTGAGGTATTTCTCCTGCCTTTTCCAAATCAATAAATTTGTAAACTTCATAATATGTGACATGTAATTTAGTCATAATTTTTTGACGTCCATCTTGTTTGTTCATTTGCTTGGAGACTTGGCTCTTTAGCGTTCAGCTTTGTTCAGTTCAACAAAACAAATCAAAACCAATTTGCCACTCAAACCTGTAGTTGAATTAAGTTACAAATCCACATAGCTTTCATAACGCTCACTACAAAGATTATAGCTGTAGCATTATTCTGACACCAATCATCGTGTATGACGACATTGAAAATTTTCTGCAATTCGCTATAAGCGCTTTCATTTAGCCCATCGCATCTCATCGCATACATTCAAGTGTTAACAGAACTGATTAAGAATAACACATTTTTGATACTCCTGAGAATACACTGTGCAACTCCTAGACTTCAGCCATGCCCTCAAAAAACTCTATCAACAGGCCTAAACAACAGATCAACATAAATCGGAGAACTCAATCTTTGGCCAAGAAAAGAGATGCCATGGAAAAGGCCGGTTTGTTGCAGCCTGCCAGATCTGCCGAGTCCTCTAAATCTGGTCTAGCAAGATCTGTGCCGATCGATTTATACAAGGGTGAAGGATTAACTGCGGGGCCTCTCACCACCAAGACTCTTTCGAAGAAGAGAGCTAAGAAGATTGAAAGAAACCTTAAATACGCTGAGCAAAGAAAGCTGCTCGTTGATGTTCAAAAGAAGAGTGAGGACAGTATGGAACTCGATCAAGTCAAGAAAATCGAGCCTACTAAGACTCCATTGGAAAGAGTTAAAGCCGCATTTTTCAAAGCTATGGAAGACACAACAAGTTCTGGTTTGGTTTTAGAGAATGGTTCCGGTACTACTTTAGGTGGTCCCTTCTTCCCCTGAAAAGAGACATGTGAGTGCATAATGCATTAAATCTGTATAATATCAAACTTTATATGTACATTATTAGAGGAATTTTCTGACAAACCGAGATATGGCAAGCCTTAATTCAGCAAGCCTCTAGACTGCAAGTTATCAGAAACCTCCGCTTTCATAAAAGATATTACTTCCGAGGGGTTCTCGGCCGTGAAAACACTTGTTCCGGCGACAATGACGTTTGCACCGGCCTTCGCTGCATGAGGAATAGTGTCTTTGCCCAGCCCACCGTCAACTTGGATATCAAGCTGCGGAAACTTATTTCTCAGAGCCTCGACTTTGGGCATCATGTCGATCATAAATTTTTGGCCGCCGAAACCAGGTTCCACAGTCATCACCAAAGCCATGTCCAAATGAGGACCCAGTTCGAAGAGTACATCCACTGGAGTGCCAGGCTTAATAGCACACGCGGCTCTAATGTTATGAGACTTGATGAGCTTGACCAAAGCTAACGGGTCTTTAGTCGCTTCATAGTGAAATGTGAATTGGTCTGCGCCGCATTTGACAAAATCGGTTACCCATTTCTCAGGCGATTCGACCATCATGTGGCAGTCAAAAAATGCCTTTGGTGCAGAGGAGCTATTATCGTCAACTCTGGGCACAGCTTTACGCAAGCTGGCTACGATAGGTTGGCCGAGGGTAATATTGGGCACGAAATGGCCATCCATAACGTCAATGTGTAGCCAATCAGCGCCGGCGTTGATTACTTTGTGGCAACCGCATGCTAAATTGGCGAAGTCGGATGCCAGAATACTTGGAGCGACTATTGGCTTGACCATCGATGAATTGTAGATCGGAAAGATTCAACCGGAATTTGTCAATGGAAAGCCTTTTGAGTAAAAGCAGGAGAATTGCAATCTATAAAGTGCTCGGGAGAAAATGATGAAAAATAGGGTTCACTCCCTACGATTCAAGATCAAGTAGAAAGATAAAATGAGCAATGCGTGGCATTACCCAGCTCCACTTCGTTTAACATAAACTAAACAAAGCTCGACTCAGCATGTTGATGACGAATTTGAACACTATATACAAGCTTATTCCTGCAAATACAAATTGCGTTATTACCGCAAAAAAAACTACGAAGTCAGTGGCAAGACGACAGCTTGATGCATCCAGGCTTGTCTCAAATCGAAACGTCAATAGCCCGAGGGCTGGAGACAAAGACTTTCAGCATACTGAATGATGTAGAGCCTATCCTCTTGTAACCGTACCACGTGACATAATGATGAATAAATTGATTGAGAAAGCAAAAATATCTCCCGGGGGCGATTCGAACGCCCGATATCAAGATTACTTTTCAAATTACAGTCTTGCGCCTTAAACCAACTTGGCCACCGAGAGGTACTTGTTGGAAGCTATCTATTTGCTAAGTACATAGAGGGAATAGATCGCACGCGAATGTCTTTGTAATCAGTATATATTTAAGAGCTGCTCATCTCATGAGGTCTTCTTGGGATGGTGTTAGTGCTAATCCAAGCATCCGATTACGTAGCAGCATTATAACATTTTCTGCTTCTGAACTACTTATATTTCTTTTCTTTTCTTACCAGTCCAATTTTATGTAAATTTGAAAACTAGCATTTCGGCTCAACTCAGCACACACACACACACTCAGACATTCCAACTGTTCAAATACTACATGTCAAAGCCTATAAAGACCACATCGTCCAAAATTGACGCAGCTCCTACTCCTCACAATACGCCATCCAGTGTTTTAGGTAGCTCTTACCTGAGGAATGGAAATCCAGCTCGTGGTGTCCCTCAGACTATCAACGAAGAAGACATCACTTCTGCACTAGCCAATAACCCACAGCTTTTGGCCTCTATCCAAGACAAACTAGGGGACTTGGTGGGCCAAGATAGCGGTTACGTGTCGTCTTTGCCGCATGCAGTGAGAGACCGGATTTATGCTTTGAAAAAGCTGCAACGGGATCTGTTCGAGTTGGAGAAGGACTTTCAGTTGGAGATGTTCGAGTTGGAGGAAAAGTACTTACAAAAGTACGCCCCAGTCCACCAACGTCGTTTCGAAATTGTCAATGGCAAGCAAGAACCTACGGCCCGCGAGATTGAAGTGGGCAAGCAAGTGGGTGATGAACTAGACACCGTTGCGGAAGAGCCCGAGGCTGAGGACGAGGAAGAGGAAGACGAAAACGATAAAATCAGCGGTATTCCTTCTTTTTGGCTCACAGCGTTTGAAAACTTACCCATGGTTTCGCAAACGGTGACAAGCACTGATGCAGAGGTCCTTGAGTTTTTAGCTGACGTTAAGCTTGAATACTTAACTGAAGGCAAGCCTGGATTTAAACTGGTGTTTGATTTCGACCCTGAAAATCCATTTTTCAGCAATGCACAATTGGTCAAGACGTACTACTACCAATCAGAATTGGGCTACTCGGGAGACTTTATCTATGACCACGCTCAAGGATGCAAAATTAACTGGACCGACAACGACTCTAACGTCACCATTGCAGTGGAAAAGCGCAAGCAGCGCAATAAAACCACAAAGCAGGTGCGCACGATCGAGAAGATCACTCCTGTAGAGTCATTCTTCAATTTTTTTGATCCACCTAAACTCCCAGCCAAGGTTGGCGACCAGTCTTCAAGCGGCGGCAAAGATGACGAAGAAGAAGAACAAGAAGAAGTAGAAGATGAAGACGAAGACTCTGAGGAAGTTGCCGAGCTAGAATCTCGCTTGGCCCTGGATTACGCCATTGGTGAAGAGTTTAAAGACAAACTGGTACCACGTGCCGTGGATTGGTTTACGGGCGCCGCCATCGAATTTGAATACGATGCAGAGGATGGCGCGGATGATGAAGGTGACTTTGATTCTGAAGACGACGAAGAAGAGGACGATGAGGATGACGAGGATGACGAGGATAACCAGGACGACTCAGGAGACGAAAGTGAACCCAATGACTTCCAGCAGCGCGGTACAAACTCTAAAGAGCAACCACCAGAGTGCAAACAAGCTTAGTACACTAAGCGACTCCGTCTTTAGGGCAAGTATTGTCGGTGATGGTTGGAAAACGTTTGAAAGCTCTTCTCTCTACCAGCCGCAAATTACACGTGATTGACAATGTCCGGGAATAACGGTCCCCTAAAGTAATGAGATTTTAGTATAAAAGGCTAGCCAGGCCCCTGAAAGGAAAAATTAATATGTCTTGGTGAAATATTAAGTCTTGACAAAGCCATTTCGAAGCAAACATATATTACCGGGCAACATCCAACAGCTATTTTAGTGTATTTTAAGCTTTAAGTCTTTGTGAGACAATATACAGATAACTCTCAATTTACGATAGTTTCTTAGTGCTACTAATAAGTGCGCAAGGTTAGTTTGATTTTTAATTGCTTTAGTGTTGAAATAGACACTTAAGTAACAGACTTTTCAGCTTTGGATACCTATTTCGAAACTCTCGCCTCAGTGCTGGACGCCCCTGATAGAACAATTGCCAGATACACAATGAGCAGCAACAACTCCGTGAGAGTCGTGGTGGACAAAGATACCGTTTCGAGGTTTGCTTCGTGCCAGTCAGCAACGCTGAATCACCTCAACAAGTACGAGACTCTAACCAATTCTCTAAACTACTTGCTTTCGTACTCGGTCGTCTCTAGCACGATTTCTGCAGTACTCACAATACTTTACCGTGTCAAGATGGTTGCCGTTGAATCTCCTAAGTCTCCTCAGCTCGTGAAAAAAGGGTACCAAGCTGGCGTGTCGGGTCTTCACAAGATTGATGAATTATTTAATCTCCTTGTTTTGCGTGAAGGTCTTGACGAATTCCTCAGCCAATACCGCTCTCATAGCGGTAAAGCCGGATTGTGGGTTCTTCTATACATGGTCGATTATGTCGCTAACGTCTCGAACCTTGTGCTCAAGGAATTAGTGGTCAAGCCGTTGAACCTGGGAAAAAAGGCTTCTGGTCCTGCGGCAGCAGCTCACGAAATTGAGACCAACGGCGTTTCTGAGACAGGTCACACAGATGCTAAAAACTTACCTCATATCAAGGAACTAGCAGGAACTACTCGCTCTCTGAGTCATGAGCTGCAATCCAAATTGCAGTCTAACTACATTGGGCCAACTAAGACCAAACTTCAACAAGAGTATATTGAGCCTACTAAGGACAAAATTAATGGTACCCGCGAGTTTGTTAGCGAAAAGTACGGTGAATTCATCAAGCCTACTTACAGTGCTGCTTACCAGACTGTTTCTGAAAAATACGAAGGCAACCTATCCAAATCTGAGAGCGTTCCCAGAGCGATCGTGTCGACCGGCGTAGACCTAGGCCATATGACTTTAGGAAAACTAAAGACTGGTGTAGCGAACGGGGTGGACAAAGTCGAGCCAAAGGCTAAGGGCGTTGCCGACGAACTTAGCGAGACAGCTGCTTCTGTGTTACAAAATGCTAACAATATGGCGAAGTAAGATTATAGACATGATCTCTAGTTGCGTCTCCCCTCTCCTAAATTGAGGCAATGCAAAAGTTTTCAGCCAAAGGATTTTTACATTTCACCACTTAAAAAGAAAAGAAGACAATTTCACAGAGAGAACCATGAAACAACTCTCATCCTCCTTTTTTTAATATTATTGCCATGGAAAAATATGGTAATTTTCTCTTTAGATTGATTCAATCGACACATTCTTGGGCTTTGACAGGATCTTCGTCTGGCGTTATGTTTTGCTATACTATTCAAATAACTATGTAAAGTTTTAAATTTTGCTTATCAACCAACCGTTTACTATTGCAAATCCCCCCATGATGTAGATCTTTTTAGTGCTGGCGATCATGCCACGACTTTCCTTAGGCCTTACGAGGATCAAGAATGTGGATACACATTGTTAAAGGTACAGGAAAATGCATATTTTTCAAGTACTTTCGTGAGCTGCAAGATGTACTCATCTGATTTTGGGACGATCAGGTCGAGATATCAAGCCGCACAATAGGTCACAAGCATTGTGTACTTGATCAATTGTGGTCAACTCAAGGGAGCCCATATTTGAAAACCCTTGTAGGCAAGGCAGGTACATAATGACGCGCGTATGTAGCATTCAGGCCCAGTAAAAACCCTGGTGGAAATGAACACGTAGTTTTCAATCTGGAAAGGCGAAAAGTTACAGAAGTCGCGGCTCGTTACTGGGTTTTGATTCGCCGAACAACTCCAATTGGTTTACGGCAACTATATCACCTGACCACACCACACCACTGCAATGGAATGCATCGGTCGTATCAGAGACCTTTTTCCGAAGTTGGTACTCAACGGTGTATACTTCTTGTCTTCCAACTGTACTGTACGGCAGCCAGCACGGGAGTTAGACGCATGATTTGTTTTATAAAGCGTCTTATTTTTGTTCTACTTTTTTTTAATTGGTACAAACGCTGTAGGCTCGTTGCTAATACCTACCAAGAGCGTTAGCTTATAGTGGGATTAGAGGTGTCATCGTTCTCGAAAATCCCTTAGAGGTGTCATATCATTCAAGTATCTCTTCTGAAGTAATTTTGGCATCCATTGCAACAGCTACTCGCCCATCTCATGTAACAACAATTTTACATTCTTCGTCATTCGCTACCTTCAAATCTCTGATGCTTTTAAACTTGAGATGCAAAGAGTTACCAATCTAGACAAAAGTTTCCTTAACAAAGCATGTCGTCGAGCCATCACGACAATGCCTTTCAAGGTAAGTTTGAGTTCACTCAAACGTAACTTAATCGCCAAGCACTGAACCTTAATATTAACAATCGCAGAACGGAAACGTAAATTGTCAGTATGGGTGAAACGAATCATTCAGCCCAATAAAGAACAGACGCACTTTGCCAGCGCTGCGCATGCAAAACCTCATTCCAGAAGACATTCGATCGAAGATAATCGAGGCAAGAGTGATGTCTCCGAACAGCTTACAAGGGGCTCAGCATTCGAAGCTCCCAAACACGTACACAGAATGCGAGAACCTACCGTGTGCTCCGTCGTTTGGGACAAGTCCGTCACTAAAGAGCCTCTCAGCATTGGACCTCGGTTAGACTTTGATCAAAGTAATGATAACGCTAGTACAGCGCCTCTGATATCCCATTGCTCATCGTCTGCGAAATCCTCGGTATTCTCAGACGTCACATCTCTGCAATCAACCCGGGCAACCGTATTGTCAAACAAAACGCTAGAAACCAATTCTAGTACTGTGGGCATCCCGCCTGCTAGTATATTAGACCGCGCTCGTCATACTACTGGAAATCCTGGTGCCCCATCAATTTTTTCGCTAGCTACAACCCATCATACTTCGCAGGCTAACAGCATGCGACAATTCTCAATCTAAGAGGAGTTAAAAGTATCATAAAGGCATAACAGTGGGCTCGAACGCCAATGAGTTCAAATAGCATGAGTTTGTGTTTTCTGACATCAAATTCAAGAAAAGGCGACATATTTACCAAGCTCTTCTGCTGCTCTGAAGAGAAGCCAAAAGTGTTCGATTCAATAAGCTAGAGATTATTCTAGTATCTCTAGTGGAATTCAGAACTGTTCAACGGCTAGTACGTCCTAAGATGATTTTAGTTGACAGTGACACCACGTGGAGGGTGAAAATGGTCGATTTTAAAAAAGACCCCAAATTGAAGAAGTATCCTTCTCGATTGTTACATCTGTACTCACCAAAGCGCATTCTTGAAGCATACTACTTTATAATCGGCGTCATGAGCAAGAAAGGTAGTGTCAAAAAAAGTATTAAGCAAGTGGACGCATCCCTCCACGAACCCATCAACAGAGATGTGCCACCAACTATATACGGCACGAATCTGAAGCCCGAGCTAGCAAGCGCTGCTTTGAACTTATCCGTGGACTTCCTCAAACAGCAACAAGCGCTTGCTAACCACTTCCTAGTATGTCATCCTAAGACGATCGCGTTTGTTCTGTTGGGATCTTTCATCTACCTGGTACCTAATGTGAATTTGCCCAGAAACACGAGGTCGGTGATTAGTTTTGCCATTCAATTTGTACTAATGAACCGAGTACAACTCCTGACATGTGGCGTGGTTGTTGCGATCGTGGCATCGGTTCTGTTCACGCTGTTATCGAAATTTACGGATAGTTTCTTCAAAGAGAAGATAAATCAAGTGATCGACTCTGACGGCAGTGTTCTATTTGACTGCAAGTTGACCGAACTAGCAGGGGGCATTGTAAAAGACAAGAAGAAGTTGCAAAACACGCAAATTATTCTCTACCGCGAGACTCCAATCGCATTAGTTAGCGTTTTGGCCAACAGTGGCGTTTCGGACAACGATTCTTTAGTCATGGGTGTCTCTACAATCGGCTGTCGCCGAGTTTATGCAAAGAGTGGTATTGTCGAAGACTTACTCGACTGGGCCGTAATTCGCACGAAAAATATTCAAAGCGAAGGCTCCAATGACACCAGCAATTCTATGAAACTGTTAGTGGAGGTTTATTCTTTCGACAACAACGTGAAAGATGTGTTAAAGAAAAAGGGTTATTCTCTTGTCAAAAGCTGCAATCTTTCCGAATCAAAACTTTTGGGTGGGCTGTTTGGGGTTCAAAAAGAATTGTGGGGCGTCCAGTTCCATTATGATGCCAAAAAACAAAAATAAGATTTTGTCCCTCTCATAGTAATCTGTTCATAAATTCTCAATTGTTTTGTAGTTAATAAGTATTCACAAATTAAAACTAAATGCTTTTTTGATTGAACGAGTTCTGAACGAACCTATATGGGTACGTCCAAAACTAACCCAAAATGCTGACTGCATACTTCTTTGTTCGAACTTTGCGCATGCGCTTCAGAGTGATTCGCACTGAGAGCGAAAGTCCGTAGAGAAATACGATAATGCAAACCCATTTCATGACGAAATGTGATTTTGATGACGATGACTTTTTTTGTGACGGCAGGTCTAAATTTGTTCTTCCCTGGGATTTGGCCAGCTTCCAACTGCTATACTCGCTCTCTTGAATTCCAATACGCTCGCCAAACTCGTGAGCTAAAAAAAATTGCATCTCCTCTGCGTAATTGAATTCTTCATCAGTGTGGCCATCCCAATGAAACTCTGAGGTCTCAACTCGCTGTATTTCAACGGTTTCGGAAAGTTGACCAGTCAAGGCGCTTATGGCTATATACCTCTCTCCTGTTCGCTTGTTCTTGGGCAAATAAAGATTTTTGTCCTTTTGATATAGCTCAATCCACTCGTCGCTGCCATGATACCTGATATCTATCTTTAAAAACCCAATACTTTCAAGGTATATTATTCTCAGCTTGACATCTTTTCCAGACATCAGAGAGTTTTTAAGTCTGTGCGGTCCCATCAACAAATGACCTGTGCTTTCCTTGCCATCCGTTGCGAGGCTGTAATGATGTTTCTGAGGGTCCATGTTGAGTAGAACAGTCATGAATGGCGGATTTATCTTAGTCTTGGCATCGTTTCTGTAAGTATCCACAACGACTGCGAGACCAGGTAAGTTACGTGGCAGCCCCATGAGATCTCGATCATTGTACATAATGCCCCCAGAGTTATGTTCGTACTGTTTTCTAGCGTAAGACGATAAATGATTGTAAGAAACGAAGTCTTTCTCTGGGGTAATCATTACAGCCATGCCGTCTCCCATTAGATAGTTTCCTCTGGTAGGATTGTTCTTGTTGTAGATGTTGAAGTGAATTATAGTCTCGAAGTCGTCCAGAATGTTGTCGCCAGCCCCATTTGACACAATCATACCGTATTGACCCGACTGACCGCGAGAGGTTAACCTAATATTACCCATATTCCTGATCTGTGTTTCACCCTTGACCATCCAATATTCATTGACTTTGTCAAGAAGCGGTATGGATAGCGAAGCGTCTAGATTCTGTTGTCGCTCCACGCGTGGCACCCGAAAGAAAGAAGAGGGACCAGCCGGGCCTGAACCGCTGCCATAGTTCACGAAGATTCTAAATAACAAAAAACTGACTAGAATCAAAGTGCCTTGGACCCACCTGTTCCAATTTTTCATTCCAGCAGATGTCAGGTTATTACCAACAAGCTAGCAACCGGAATTGGACTAGATATTAATTGATCTGCTCTATTACCCTCAAGTTATAGAGCTTCAGTAGAACCTTAGGTGAGTATGATGGATTTTGAGGGCTCAAACCAAGCCAAGTTGATCTAGAACTTATTTTATGAAAATGATAAACGCAGCTGTTAAGATTCATAATTAAATCAACTGACCTTTATAAAAACCAAGAACTCAACTTTTCAAGAGAAGCGCAGGAAATCCTGAAAGACATCCCATATCGACTCAGTTAATCAATCAAACATGGGGAAAGCACCAACACCTCGTTGTATAATTGTTCGTCACGGACAGACCGAATGGTCTAAGTCGGGGCAATACACGGGCTTGACCGATTTGCCATTAACCGATTATGGTGTCGGGCAAATGAAAAGAACTGGTGAATCAATCTTCCGCAATAAGTTTGTCGATCCAGAAGAAATCACCTACATTTTCACGTCTCCTAGAACCAGGGCTCAGCAGACCGTAAAACTCATTTTGGAGAAATTGCCTCAAAAGCAGAGAGACAGGATTCGTGTGGTGGTCGACGAGGATCTCAGAGAATGGGAATATGGTGACTATGAAGGCCTCTTGACTCATGAAATTGTGGAATTGCGTAAATCGCACGGTTTAGACCAGAACAGGCCTTGGAACATTTGGAGAGACGGTTGCGAGAACGGTGAAAGTACCGAACAATTTGGACTAAGACTCTCGCGTGCCATTGCTCGAATCCAAAACCTACATAGAAAACACCAAGCAGAGGGCATTGCTTCTGATATAATGGTGTTCGCCCACGGCCACGCTCTGCGCTATTTTGCCGGATTGTGGTTAAAGTTGGGTGAAGAAAAATCTTGTGATGGTCAGGAACCTCAACCTCCTACTTACCAAGATTCAAGCGTGCCTTATGTTGCCCTTAAGTCATACCGCCACTTGGTTGACAATCCTAATTTCTTACTCGATGCTGGCGGGATCGGTGTGTTGTCTTATGCTCATCATAACATTGATGAGCCAGCTTTGGCTCTGGCAGGCGCATTTTTGTGCCCTCCAGAAGAAGAATCTCAACATGGATCAACCGCTGACTGAATTTATAATTTTTGATAGAATACCTTTTTCCATATGATATACATATATATATATATATATATATGTATATATGCATATACACACAATGACACTGTACGTGCACTCTTATAAATACAAAATGAATATCTTGGATGAATTGCCAACTGAAATCCAATTAGAACTCCTCAAGACTCATCCACAGCTGGCATTTGTCAACAGAAGATGGTACAGGCTCAATAATCGTTTTTATAGAGACTGTTGCTTAAGGTTGAAACCTAAAAGCTACTGGGAAAGTATAGAGAGCAGCGTTTGTCGGTACATCGAAAGTTTGGATCACAAACGGGAAGCTGCCAGGCTCATCAATGAAATGACATACTCCTCGGACGGGGATTTGTTTCATGCGCATTTCTCGGATTCCTGGTACATCATATACGTCGTCTTGTTCGTGTGTCCGAAATTCTTTGCAATGGAGAGTGCAAGCCGTAAGATCAACGGCTCTCAAAGTACCATGACTGAATACTATTGTCCAATGGAGCTGGCAAGTGATAGAAGCTATCCGTGTAATCTGTGGTTCAAAAAGACAGGGGACGGAGGTATGTTCGGTGCTATTAGAGTAGCGGTCTATGGGCAACCTGATGGTACCGAGCCTCTGTTAATCCGAGATCTTTCACTGGGCCTTAACGACTGGTGTTATTCTAGCGGAAGTTATTGCATTTTTGGAGGTCAGCTACGGCTGCCGAAAAGTGAAAGCGGATTACAAGTGGTTCATATGGGCGTCTCGATAACCAACGCTAATAATGTTATCTTAGAGGCAGTGGACACTGCTCCATATCAACGTCATAAAAGCTGGATTCTATTTCACGCGCGTGAGCAAGAGGTTTTCAATGCTAGCGAGAAATGTCTAAGCGCTGAACGCATGCGATGGGATGAACAGTTTGTGAACAAGGCTGATGGCTCCGCTGAGGATGTAAATTTTCAGTTTCTGTTTAGATTTCCTAAGGATCAAGACACAAGTAACAATTTGACTAGTGTAAGATATCCGTATTTGGGAGTGTGAGAGCTTTTTTTTGCTGATGAAACGGTAACGGTAATTGGAGCTTGCCAATACAATTTGGCATGGAACTCTATCTCACTGGTTCAGGTCGTTACGGTAGAGCCATACACTGTGAGTAAAGAGGATTTAGAAGCCCCATTCTAGACTGCTATACAACTAATTTTAAGAAGGGATGATTCCTTGAAGTCTCACCAAAACTAGTTGCGGGAGAACAATTTAATGCTAAAAAATGGTGGGACGAACAATGTCGTCGCGAAATGCTATAGAGCTACTTTATCGAAAGCGATGGTTAAAAAAGAATTTGGCAACTTCCAACGTGAAGTTAAAAGAAACCCCACGCAATACCTCATAATATCTAATTATCTCCCGCTTTAATAATCATTACCAAGTCCATGAGAAAACCCCGAACCTTCTGTATAGTTTTCTCTCAATCGGGCCTGGATGAAAAATAAAGTGCTTTTACGTGCTTTTGAACTAAATTTCAACTGGTATTCAGATCAAGAAACTCGAAGCCTTCTTCATATGCGCGCATAACACTTAAACTACAATTGATGTTCAGGTCAAAAAAACTGATAAGTTTAAAGTAATCTAAAAAATACATATAACACTTTGTGATACGCCTAAGGCAAACGAATAGTCGCCCAAAAACAAAAAAGAACCAATAAAGAAAAGTCGGAAAGCGAGGGGGGGGGTTATGAGAATGAGTAAAATAGCCAAATGTTGGAAGGTTTATAACACACGCGAGGACACAAACGACAATAACAAAAAAAAAGATATGAGAGTCGTCTTTGGTCAATTCGCAAGAAATGGGTAGGAAAGGTTGAAGGGGGTATCAAAGTTGGCGGTAAAAAAAATTTTGATGATTTTTAATGAAGTTTTAAAGGTTTAGTACTGACTTTGAATCTAATAAAAGACAAAGTTAGCGGTACCAGAAGTTACCGTCACGGTACAACCGTCAGAACCGGAACCAGTATATTGGCCATTTTCGTAAGAACATTCACCGTTGACGCTAGCACCATCGGCGGCTTGAATCTTAACGTTGAAGTTTGGAGGAGTCTTATTGTTAGGGTTTGGAATGATGGACAAATAAGTGACACCATTAGTGTTACCGGCACCTAGAACCACTGGGGCCCAGTTACCTACACCGGAGCCATCGGTACCCCAAACACAACCGTCTTCCATACCGACACCGGCATTGTTGACGTAGTATTGGGAAGAAGTCTTTTTACCGTTCCAGGTGTAGTAGGAGTCCTCGTTAACCACGGAGATGGGTTGTTGGGAGTTTCCTTCAACCACGGTTGGAACAACCATGTTTTCGGAACCTGGGTAATCGGTACGACACAGGGAGATTTGGGAGTCTTTGTTGTTGACGGCGTAAGAGCTGTCGCTACCCCATTCACACAAGTAGTCGGAGTTTTGGTTGGAACGGTACAGAAGACCGTCGCGACATTCTAGACCACCGACGGATCTTCCGTCAGAAGGCTGGTTGGAAGGCCATTGGGTCTTGGACATACCTGGTTGACAGGCGTAGGAGCAGTAGAAACCGTCCTGGCACGATTGGGAGGTGCTTCCGTCGAGGCCCATGACAGAGGCCCAGCCGCCGAAACCGACCCATGGGAGTTCCACGACACCGTCGCCGGATGGGAAATCGGAACACTTGATGGTTCCGTCCTGGAACTTGTTGGTAGGGTTGGAGAAAGCGGAGAGGTCGCCAGAAGAGGACGAAGAGCTGCTGCTGCTGCTGCTGCTGCTGCTGCTGGACGAGGAAGAGGCCGAGGCGGACGAGGACGAGGCCGAAGACGAGCTGGCCGCGGCAGACGACGAACTGGCAGCGGCGGTGGCTGTGCCAGCGGCTGGAGAGGTGCTGACGGCGGAGGTCACGGGGTTGCCCTGGCCATCGACGTATTGGATCACGGTGACCACGTCACGACGATCGTGGTGGTGGGCGCCGGCTGGCGGCGCGGCTGGCGCGGCTAGCGCCAGAGGAGCGGCCACGAGCGACGCGGCGAAGGCGATGTGGGCGAGCATTGTTGGGCTGAGTTGAGCGAAAGGGAAAGAAAGACTGGGCAGTTGGAGCGGGCGAAAGAACGTGGACGCTTACAAGGGAGTGTGAGATGCGAGTTCTGCGAAGCGGCTGCGCGGAAAGGGAATGGACGTGCGAGCGGTGTCAAGGAGCGACTGGGGGTGAAAATGCGATGATGTTTGGACCAACAACTGTCAACATCCTCTCCCACTGGCCCCCCACCCGCTGCCCTTTTATACCCCCCCGGCGGCCGCGTGGTTGCTCCTGGCAAAAAAACTTTCGCTGTCTCTGAAACACCGGGGGCCTCGACCGTGTGTTTTTTCGAGCCCTCTGCGATCTGGGCTTGCCGGATCGGGCATTTTACTTTTGCTGTTGCCGACCGGCGTTTCTTTTGCCAAGCCGCAGTTGCCCGAAACGGAACAAAGTGGAGGGAGCTGAAAAGTCCAGATCTTCGTGCCGGGTGACGCGGCTGCACAACGCTGCACAGCACTGCACAACGCTGCGCGCTGCTGCGCGATCCTGCATGGCCATGCGCGATCATGCGCGCCTCGAGCCTAAAGTCGCAAAAGCAACGCGGCGCCGGCCGGGTTCCAGGCTCTCGAACAAGAAAGGTGGAGAGCAATAGCGTGAGGACGAGGCCAGTGGTGTTGTGGAACAATCGTGAGCGTTGGCAGGCTCGAGCAGGCTTGAGTAAGCTTTTGCGAGCGTTAGCGAACGACGGTGAGGAGCGTAAGCACGATGAGGCGTATTGGTGAACAGTTGTGGTTGACAGAAGCGCCGCTCGACACTGTGGATGCGAGAGGCACAAGGTGTTGGGCCTCGTCATGTTGTCATCTGTGTCTCTTGTTTCGTTGTCATCTGTGTCTCTTGTTCCGTCGTGAACTGTCTCTCTCGTCTCTCTTGTTTCACTCTGTAACCTGATTTTCTTGCACCAGTGTTTCGAAACCTCTGCCTACAACGCGTCTCGGGTCGAGATCCCGAGACGCGTCGTCTTGTACGAAGCGGAAGTGCATTGGGGCGGGTTTCGGCGGGTAATTCCGGAGCATTGTCTTTGTGTACAGCTTCTAGCGCGGAGCTTTTCGTCCAGCAGGTCTTCAAATGGTGGGTTCAGGGTCTCTATTTTCCAAGGCTCCGGGGCCCGACGGAGATGTGAATAGCGTAGCAGCACTGGATGAGTAATGGATCACGCCTGTCTTAGTTCCACAAAGGAGCTGCCTTTAACGCTCACTGGCCGAGCTTGGGATTCCTACTCAGCCTGGAATAATCGCACGCCACATCCCAGAGAGCTATCAGCCTGGAATAATTGCACTCCATATCCCAGAGAGTTATCAACTACCACAAGCGCACGCCGCAGCCTGGAATAATCGCACGCCACATCCCAGAGAGTTAGCAACTACCACAAGCGCACGCCACATCCTATACCGCCGGGTACTCAGTTCGAGGAGACGTATCGAGGAATCCATCGACCGAACATGGTTCGCAATACATCACTTTGTACTTACGTGTCATAGTTTTCATTATGCAATTGACGCTATCTGGCAATAGCACTGGGATCTTGACAATGTTAGATATGCCACTGAAACCTTCACAGTAGTGCCACCGTAGTGCCTTTCTCACTTTTCACAGTAGTGCCTTTCTCACTTTTCGTACTACTCTCACCACTCAGTTCTTTCCTACGCCTTCACTCTCTTGCACCGTGCTTCATTCATGTGACTGCTCTTCAAAATTCATCCTCTTGGCCTTTTGTCGGCTGATACCAAAGGCCTTTACCTTATCCAGCCTCACTATTTTCGCAGGGCTCGCGATATCAAATGTAACATTCACAAGCTGCGCATCTTTGAGATTCAGGTGTACATTTCCATTAGGCTTAACTCAAGCCTCCAAATAAATGCTCTTTCTTCATGCGGCGCCACGTTGGTATAAAGTGATAAATGCTACGTTCCTGGCTGAACATGCAAAAGTGACAACTCGTCTATGAGAGCACCGTAAGTGTGCGACGTCGTCGCTTTTCATTGCATAATATAATAAGTGCATTAGAGAACAAGACATTATATGTCCAGTTTTAAACATTTCAAGTCACCATAGCTGGCCGACTCAAATTACTGTGTAAATATCAAAGATCTATCATCTGCAACCAGGGCCTGATTTTCAAGCCTACAAAGAATACTGATGTAGATCCAATCGCCGAGGTCATAGTCAATAAAACCCATGGTTAAAATAAAAAAAACCGCGAACTTCAACCCTGAGTACCATTGTACACAAAGACGTGACACCTAAAGTGTGTGTAAGGACCTTTTCCGTGCCTCGGTGAACGGATAAGTGTGAGATGTCTCAAGGTAGTCCCGAGCTCAACTTCAATATCCCTAGCAACATTGTCACTCTAGACGTATATTTGTCGGAGGTCCTGTACCATATTCTCAAGTCGAAGGCATTGAGACTCTAAAATTACAACGCGCAAATTTAAAAACAAGTACGTGTCTCCCTTTCAATGGTTAGCGCGCTGTTCATTTATTCTCTAAGAGGGGAATTACTCATATCCAAACATGTCAACAACATTGTGCAAAAATCTATGTCCGAAATCTTCAGAATTCAAGTCATCAACAACCTTGACGTCAGATCACCGGTATTGACGCTCGGATCGACCACCTTTCATCATATTAAGTCGGTTGGGAACCTGTGGATTGTGGCCGTGAGTCGATCAAACTCCGATAGTGCAGCGATCTGGGAATTTCTATACAAGCTCAATGCACTTCTAAAAGCGTATGGATTGGACTCCGAAAAGGAGATGAAAGAAGAGTTTATGACCTGTTACGAGCTTTTAGACGTGATTCTTGAAGAGGGAGTACCCGTGGATACAGAATTGAGCAATGTCGCCGCACGAATGTCTGTGAAACCCAAAATCGGTATTGAAAGTTTTAATAGCTTCGCAGAAAGCATCGGATACAGTACAGATCGTATCATACCGCGGTCACGACTATTGACGAGAAGAACAAGTAGCTTGGCCTCTCATGATTCTCTTCATGAACAACATTCTAACGTCCCCTGGAGAATGATTGGCATCAAATATAAGAAAAATGAGGTTTTCTTGAATGTTAACGAGCGCATCAGCATTTTGGTGTCAAAAGACGGTTCCATACTTAGGTCTTATGTCGACGGTACTGTTGAGGCAACTACACATCTGAGCGGTATGCCTATATGTCGATTTGGACTTAATGATGCTCTGTCTGTGACCACACCTTTTGATGACGGACCAGTCGACAACATGAATAAGAAAGCCATCCCCAAGGCTGCTGCTGGGAGTGTCATGCTAGAAGACTGTAAATTTCATCAGTGTGTTCAATTAGACAAGTTTCAAAATGATCGCACCATAAATTTCATACCCCCGGATGGGAACTTTGTACTCATGAAGTACCACGTTCGTGAAAACCTAAATCTACCCTTTAAAATCACACCCACTGTGACAGTATCAAGGTCGAGTTCGGTCGATTACCGCATCACCATCAAGTCCTTATTCCCAAGTAAGTTGACTGCAAAAGATGTGCAACTACGCATACCGGTCCCGCCCGAGACAGTAAATTGCCAACTATCTACATCAAACGGTAAATGCAAATTCGTGGCAGAAGAAAGCGCAATAATCTGGAAGTTCAGTAAATATCAAGGTCTTACTGAGAATAGTCTCTCAGCCACGGCATTTCCGGTTGAAGATTTTCAGCTAAATATTGACCAATGGCCAAGGCCACCAATGTCATTGACATTCGAGATTATGATGTTCAGTAACTCTGGATTGGTCGTACGCTTTTTTGACATTTTGGATAAAGACAAAAATTACAGTTTGGTCAAGTGGATTAAGTATATCTCGAAGTCAGGAGCATATGAGTTAAGGTACTAGAAGGACTACACCTAGAACTTATATAGAACGGCAAAAGATCTTGTAGAGCATGAAAGGTAGTGACGTAACTTGTTACCTCAACGTGAGTGAAGCATGTCTTGAAAAACGAAGGAACGTACTACCGGACAAAGACTTAATAATTGCAAGGAAAGATTACACAAACATCTTTTGAGGAAGCACAAAACTAGTAGGAACTTAAGCTTTGAATGATCTTACAATTTATTGGTATTCGTGGAACCTGCAGAATCTCAAATGTTACTCACCTGGTCCATAATCTGAGAGCATTAAACAAGTACAGTCCTCTTGGCACTACAAGACAGGTTCAGAACATTTATCGACGTCCAACGATTGCGCGTCACGAAGAGTTCAACAGTAAATTGTTCATTGCAAAGAGAGCATTCTGCTCTAAAAGTCAATTCACCTACAGCAAAGTCCTACCACAAATTCCGCGTCGAGGCTTCAACAATGGGCCCCGTCCAGCATTTGCATCTTACAGAATAAGCCCAATATTTGGACTTTTGGCATTTGTAGGAATTATAGCAATTGTATTCGTAGTACTGCCGTTCGTGTTCACCGTTTTCTTCCCCTTGATCATTGCTGGTATAGCTGCGTATCAATATAAAAAATGGAAAAACAGTAGGCTCCTGAACGAGTTGTATCACAGCCTACAGGCCTCCAGAACGAAGATCGATTATAAATCAATATGGGGTCTTCAAGCCAGAATGTTTGAATCTCTGCTGGAGAAAGAGAAGTTTCCTTCCGACATGTTTCGCGGAGTCATGGACGAGATCAAGATACAGAAAATGAATGGGGCCGAATCGCAGAGAAAGGCCGACGATGTGTTGAGTTATCTGAATTCCCGAGTCCTTGATGCTTTTAAAGACAATGAACTCGGGCTGCGAGACTATTTTTTGGGCAGTGATGTGACAAACTGGGTTGAAAACGGTTATGAGTTGAGTATCACTTACGAATCACCTCAGATTCGAGCCAAAAGTATGAATGGGTCGGTTGTGACAACCATCGCTTATCCAATCTACCTTTTATCTTCGAACCAAGATTCTAAATTGCTTGCTGAGGCTATTATCGCTTTTCAAGACAACCGGATGATAGGCCAACTTGGACCTTTTCAATATCTCGAAGACCTGTCCAGTGAAAATAAGGAATGCCCGATGGTAATCAGCATTAAGCCGAACCGCACTTTTCTTGTCAAACAGTTTATACTGCAAGACCTTGGTCGGGACTTAAATGAGCGGCCTACCTATTATGTTAAAAAGACGAGCGACGGCCACCGAGAGTACATCCACAGGGGATAGAGTTTTATAGAAGATGGCCACGGTGAACGAGCACGTAGCTAAATTTGTCCTCTTGATACGAAAATACTACGCTCGCTTTCAGAGAATGCATGGTTGTGGTGATATCTATTGAGCAAGAGGTACAGGTTCCTACATTATAAATTTTCATATAAGTAAGCGCCTAGCTCGATGATACTTCGCATAGAATAAAAACGTTTCGTGTTTAGTATTATCATTGTTGTTATGTACGAAAGGTGGAATCTTGAAAAGCTGGAAAAGGGGCATTGGTTCAGTTGCGTGTTGAAAGCATTAAAACCATACTATTCGCAAAAAATTCGATACTGACAATGGATCCCAGGACTCCCATCGGTATGTTAAGCTTGTTAACTTGAAAATAGCATTTTATCTGGCAAATGCCCATGATTGTGAGCATTCACGATGAAGACATGACTGGGCCAATGCACTATTTTAGTCTGCGCTCTTAATACTAACGCAATGCCCAAATTAGTCTTGGACCAAGGTACGGGATTCGTCAAGATCGGGCGTGCCGGGGAAAACTTCCCGGATTACACATTTCCATCGATTGTTGGTAGACCCATTTTGAGAGCTGAAGAACGAGCTAATGTGAGTACACCGCTGAAAGATATTATGATTGGTGACGAAGCTAGTTCAGTACGCTCATATCTACAAATATCATATCCAATGGAGAATGGTGTAATAAAAAACTGGTCTGATATGGAATTACTCTGGGATTACGCTTTTTATGATCAAATGAAAATTCCATCCACCTCTGGCGGAAAGGTAATGCTAACAGAACCCCCAATGAACCCTTTGAGAAATAGAGAGCAAATGTGTGAGGTTATGTTCGAAAAATACGACTTTGGTGGCGTTTACGTAGCAATTCAAGCTGTTCTAGCATTGTACGCGCAAGGGTTATCATCTGGTGTGGTTGTTGACTCTGGTGATGGTGTCACTCACATTGTTCCCGTTTATGAGTCTGTGGTACTGAATCACCTAACCAGAAGACTCGACGTGGCTGGTAGAGACGTAACAAGACACTTGATAGATCTTCTTTCTCGAAGAGGTTACGCCTTTAACAGAAGTGCCGATTTTGAAACAGTACGCCAAATAAAAGAGAAATTAAGCTATGTGTCTTATGATTTGGATCTGGATACCAAGCTTGCTAGGGAGACCACGACGTTGGTGGAGAACTACGAATTACCAGATGGAAGAGTTATAAAAGTTGGATCTGAGAGGTTTGAGGCGCCCGAATGCTTATTTCAACCCAACTTGGTAGATGTTGAACAACCAGGTGTTGGTGAAATGCTGTTCAACACCGTCCAAGCGGCAGATGTCGACGTTAGAAGCGCTCTTTATAGAGCTATCGTCTTGTCAGGTGGCTCCAGTATGTATCCAGGATTACCATCCAGGCTCGAAAAGGAACTCAAACAACTATGGTTTACTAGAGTTCTTCGTAACGACCCATCGCGACTTGAGAAATTCAAAGTAAGAATTGAAGATCCCCCAAGAAGAAAACATATGGTCTTCATTGGTGGTGCTGTCTTGGCGAATATTATGGCTGACAAAGATCACATGTGGTTGACGAAGCAAGAGTGGGAAGAAATGGGCCCTGCCTCAATGTCTAAGTTCGGCCCGAGATGAAGCATATAATAACGTAAATAAAAATTCATTTTAGTATCGAACGTTGAATCCATGACATACGAGATCACCCGGGAGCGAACAAAAAACAATTTCTCCAACCGTTGCCCATTATTTAACCTGTTTTATAATACAATCGCTATAGATTTAACATAACGCTCAAAGCCTAAACTCTGCTAGTCTGTGCCATACATCGTCGGCTAGCTCTTCAATTTTCTCATTTGATAGTTCCCTTTGATTAAATCCATATTTTACCGAGTTTTTGATCAAGTCGCGAACGAAGAAATGCGTTACCGCGATTGGCTTGACAAACGAGCCCATTAAAGCTTCTTCCACCGTCCACCTCTTGTCGGGGTTTCTCTCAAGACATGCCTTCATGGTATCAATCGCTGTCTTCGGCACAATTTCCCCACTCGGTGTTTTTTCAGGATAAACGATCTTCACCTCCGGGTTCATAATTGCCAGGAGTCTATTTTGACCCTGAAATCCTCCATATGGTGGTCTTCCGTAAATCATTTGATAAATGATACATCCGCACGACCATATATCTGATGGTTTTCCAACTTTCCACCTACTCTGTTCGGCTGGTTGATCGTGTGTAAAATTCATAGCCACCAGGGCCTCGGGTGCCATATAGTTCGGGGTTCCAATTTGTGTCTCGCGGTATATATTCACTGTATGTTCTGGCACAGCGTTGGCGATACCGAAGTCTATGATCTTGAGAATGCCCTTCACAAACACGAAGTTAGCTGGCTTCAAGTCAGAATGTACAATTCCAGCATCATGAACCACCTTAACACATTTAAGCATTTCCTGTGCATGGTATCTAACAAACTCGACATCTAAAGCCATGCCTGACCTCTGCGCCAAAGTATGTGATAAATCGTGGTCACCACATTCCATCACGACATAGAGCACACCGTGCTCCATTTCATGATCTATGAGCCTAACTACGCGGGGTTTCGATTCAAGCTTTTTCAGCAGCTCTATTTCTCCTTTGAATCCATCAACGCTGCTGTCATCAAACTCGTCAAAGGAAACTCTTTTGAGGGCATATACTTTGTTGTTTGTGGCATTCTTGACTTTGTAAACCTTCGAAGAGCCACCTCTTCCCAAGAGTTCTAACTTCTCATACTCCGTTCCATTGACGGTTACTATCGGCCTTTTCTTGTACGTTTGCTCGATTCCTGAAGCTGGTGGTTTTAGAGGAACTCTTTCGATGGATTTAACAGGTTCCAAAATCTCGACGTGCTTCCCTGTCGGCGCAGCAGGCGGATCACGATGCACAAATTTAGATTGCTCTGAATTACTGGGTTGATTCCCGCGATATATTTCCGATTTGTAATCATTATTTCCATCCTCGGTACCCTCGAATGCGTATTTTGTCTTCTTATGCGGATGTTGGTAGGTGCGGCTACTGTTGATGTCAATGTTAGAAAGTGCTTCTCTCCTTCTGATATAGTTAAGGGTATTGCGATCATTTAGCTCGGCAATTTCATACTTATCCTCTTCGTCATGCGTTTTAGCACTTTTTGCGGAAGCTGTAGTCGTATTAGCAGGTCCTGACAGAGGGGAAGACCATACTTTGGACGCATTATTTGTGGCACTGTCACTAGCTTTTCGCCTAGGTTCTCGCTTAGTTGCAGAGGGCTCACGCTTTATCGGCTCGATGTGCTTCAAAAGAGGTGAGCTCGAAAGTGACGCAGTTGCCAATCTATTCTGAATTGCATCTTTCGTAGCAGTGTTTTTGCGAAGAGCAGTCCTTCGATTTTCACCCTTTTGTCGCTCGAAATACACTCTTGAGATGTTTGGAAGCTCTGTAGTGGGGAGATTGTGCTTTTTTAGATATTGATAGGGATTTAATTCACCAAATTCAATATTTTCGTAACTCACGCTAGAGCTCGTTAAACCAGTGCTCTTTTCCAGAGATGGCGGGCTACCATTATGAGGCTCATAAAATACATTGTACCCGTTATTAGCTTTGTTGTTGATCGTTCCACCAGCACTAGACGAGTTGGAGAAGTTTATTTCTAGTTGCGATGCATTGGAGTCGTCAGCAAGCTCAGATTTATTAGGGGTGGCTGTCGCTGAACCCGCTCTTTTTGCGGGTCCCAAAAGACTTAACCTTGAGGATATGAATCGCCTATTTTTTCGCCTTGAGCTTCTAGTCAATAATTCATCTTTTAGTGTTTGTTGTAAGTTTTTTAGCTTGGAGTGGCTGCCATCAGCAGTGGAAGTGTAAGCTTTGTCAAATTCAGGCTGCAGTTCGGGATTAAACGTCGTCATACTCTGCTGATGGTCCTTAGAATTTGCAAACATGGTAGAGTCAGAGTGGTCCTCGGACTGAAATGTTGCGTAAGGGCCACCAGAGCCGCCATTTCCATTGCTTAAGGTACGAGTTCTTTGGAATTCTACGAGGTCTCGTCGGCTGGCAGCTTGGGGTGCGTCTTGGAAGCTGCCAAATCTCTTCACGGCGAAAGGTTTGTTATTCAAAGCATAAGTGTCGGGCTCAACATTTTCCTTGTCAGAGAGTAGAGCAGAGCCAAAGTTGCTCAGTTTGGGGGGACCAATCATGTTATCATCGTCTGAGTCGTCTTTAGAACCGCCACTTATGCCTGTTTTTCGTGAAAGAAACGTTGTTCCTCTTTTGCTTGAGGAATTCGGAAACGATGTCGACTTCACAGGATAGCTGTACATTCGGCTTGCGCGAATTTCATAGATCAGTAATAAATGGGAATTTCGAAAGGTTTTGGAGATGCCGAAGTTGGTGTTTATGCGAGAAAGCAAGGAAATAGATGATAGGAAGAGAACTGCTAGATGCCGGTAGATTGACCAGGTAAACCAGCGACAAGCTCCTTGCGATTGATATTTGAAGGTTGCAGACTCTAAAGATCACTTCAGGGCACCACAATAAAAAGTTGCTAGTCTATCTTTTTAGATCTGGCCTGCTCAAAGTTCGGTTTTAAAATTAAGCGATCGTCATTGTTTACAAAAACTATTTTCTTTTATAACTTGGCGTTCACAATTTAAAAAACAAGAAGAGGTATGGCTACATTCGATGTCTCTCAAACACGCCAAGCCATTCCTCTATCCTTAACTCGGGCGTTGATATTATTTAGGTTATAGCCTCAGAAGAAAGCTCGGCAGGTGAGTTGACTTGCAGAACGAGGCTGCTGGGCGGGGAAACCACGATCAAACGTGAACTGAGAACTTGTTTAAATCTGTTTCCCATATGAGCCTTTCTGCAGACTTCCTCTCCCCGAGCGATTCGGATAATGAGACCGATATGAAATACCTTAAGCCTATTTTAGTGCGAAAGCGTTCAAAACAATCGTTATCATGCCGGATGATGAGGAGCAATGGGCGCAGGCCTGTATTGAGGAGCAGGAAACTCCCAGAAGCATCCGCAGGTTCGAGAAGTGATACCGAGCTCTCGATCTCGACAAGTTGGCCTCACGCTGACAGCCTTCTAACGTCAGAACCAGAATTTGTAAAGGCTAATACGGAGCCCTGCCCTAAACGTACACACATAATGACAGAAACACTCTTAGAGAGCAGTCTATGCAATGATAATTCGTCTATTACGTATTCTCCTTCGCATTCACAATCTTCGTCCCCGAAGCCTGTCAAAGTCAAGGTACGCGACCCTGACTCTATCAGTGAGATGACATATGAATATGGAGCTCCAATTAAAGGATATCGATTCGTGGGAAATGAAAGAGATCTCAAAAACTACCTTGAAGCAAAGAAGCTCAAGTTGCCTTCAGTAGAGGCGGAGAATACCGAGTTGAAAATAGACCCACTTATTTTCGACAAGTATGAACGAAAGTCGCACACTAAAGCATTCGACGATGTGTCGCTTTATTTGAAGCGTGAACCAGGTACCACAAGAGTGCCTATTCCAAATGCGCCTCTCATTGGAGAGGTAACGGTCGAAGCTATCAAGTCGGTGGATATTAGGTCATTCCTTGAAAAGTGCGCATCGCACTTGAATACATCAGTTCGGGAGCTGTTGAAACAAGAACGGGTTGCTTGGCATCCTGATAAAGCTTTGAGAGGAAGCACAAGAGTAGCCACAGAAGACTTGTCTATAGTTACCAAAGTCTTCCAGACAGTAAATAGCTTATGGGAAGAAACGCGAAAGGCTTGAAATTCTCTGGCTTGCTCTATGGTTCTGGGTCTGACGCAGTTGCCGTCGTAGTATCCTGGGGAGTCAAGACCATTTCCACGGTAGCTTCCTTAGCAATGCCTTCATCGTCATCTTGGTCGCGCTCATCTTCGCCTACTTCTTCAACGATGTCTATATCTTCATCATCTTCGTCATCTTCAAGATCAATTTCTTCTGCTTCAATTGTTTCTGCCTCCTTGATTTTTCGTTTCTTGGTCTCTGGTTCGTCGCCCTTTACCCCAGATCCTTCCTCTTCTTTAACACCGTCTTCGATATCATCGTCGTCGTCATCGTCGCCTTCTTCCTCTTCCTCTTCTTCATCCTCCTCCTCATCATCTTCTTCTTCTACTTCTGGTTGCTCCGGAGGGTAGTCTTCGCCTTGCTCATTATCCCAAATAATATTAAATCTCGTAACTCTAGGCTTTTCTGCCAAAATGTTCCTTACCACTTGATCAACTTGCACTTTCGCAGGTGGGTTTTCCCTTAGCTCCTCATTGTCATATTCGTTATTCACGTAGTATCCTACACGCACAAACTCTCGCCCATCATAGGAGCAACTTAAAAGAATAACTGTTACGCTTACCAACTCGCTAGCGGGAATGAGTTCTGGTGATGGCGGGTCGGCAGTGAACAAAAATTTGTTGACTCCGACTGGAACAGGACCTACCAAAATGGAGTCTAGCTCCTGGTCGTGCTCTAGGCTTCGAGAAGAGCCGACATAGGTCAACTTCCACTCCAAATCGTTCTTTAATGGTTCCAAGCACTCAAAAGTTATTTCGAACTCGTACGGATCTGCGAATTTAGCAGGGTTATTGAGAACATTGATTCCTAGTAGCGAAACGATTGACATAGCAGTTTACAGTCGTCAGATTATATGTGTAAGGTGTTTTCATGAATGCATCAGATTTAAATTTTTACGTGTTTTCTAATTTTTCAAGAACGCGTAGCTGGAATAAATAAAGTTACAAACGAAAAATCTTTGAAATTGGATTTAAGAAACCCTGTTTGAGCGTGTTTGAGGAGACACTCGATGTTTATCTCTGGTATCTGATCCGCGCTATTGTCTTACCATTAAATTTCTAACTATTAAAACCTGCCTTTCTTTATCTTGTCATACCATTTGCGTGAGAATCCCTTCCTGTTCATAAGAAAGGATTCTTCTGCCGCTACGTTGGGAAGACGTTATTGAACTGTATTTGTCCCTCTTGGAGGCTTGTGGCAAAGAAACGTAAAATGGGTTAGATTCTTCAGTAGACGCGTTCGAGGCTTGCAAGGCCGAGAGGTCTACACTCTTAGGCCGTAAGCTTGTGTAAGATAGCATGCTTGTTCGGTGCGGTGAGTCTTGCAGGCTTGCGGATTCTTCGTGCTGCGCCACGATGTATTGGTCCCAAGAGAGAAGCACGACGCCGGCGATTAAACTCATTGCTCCTGGAAGGATAACAATTAGTATACGCGACAAGGGCGCGTTCTCGTCATGAAAAAACACAATTCCATTGAAGATGTTGACCAGATTATAAATGCAGAATACCAACGGATATAGGATAGAGGTGGACAAGTGTCGCAGGCCAGTATTAAGCAGAAAGAGCTGTGTGAGAGACAGAGAAACGAAAATGGAAACTAAAATCCAGAATTTGAGGTTTTTCAGGTCCCCCGTAGTGTGTATGAGTGCATGCGTAACAATATCAGATACTGATTTAGCCATGAGAAGTGAATGTGCTGACCAGGTCCCGCTGCAACAGCCGTAGATGATCCCTTTCAGCACTGTGGGTAAGCTGCGCCTGTTATACCAGGTGCATACTAGCAGTAGCACAACTAGAATGTTGGTGGACGTGAACCAGCGCAAGAAGAGCGGCTCATGTGCCAATTTCCACAGTTCTGGTAGTGAGTGGGTTATTGAGTGAGAATTGGAAGAGGTGACACCCACGACACCTATAACCATGCCGCCCAGCACAATTGAAAGTGTAGCCAACGGAGTGCGCCACGAGGAGCGCTCTTTGAGTAAATAATGTGCAGCCAACGAATTAAATAAAAGCCCACAGCTTTGTAGGGGAGCCAACACTATCAGTGGCAGCGTTGCAATTTGAACAGTGCTTCCAACGATATTCGACAATAAGAAGAGTGCTAGTCCCAACTGCCACGTAGAACTTCGATACAGCGATTTATTAGTACAGTCCTCGTGTGCCAAATGTGTCACGCTGGCTTTTCGCTGCAAAGTCAGCCCGAGGGATTGTGTGGCCGACGACAGTATGCCTACTATTACGCCAATGACAATAATAGTAGAAGCATCCGTCATTGGAGATTTGCAGAACGAGGAAAGGAGTTTTCTTAATTACCTCTCAAGATCCTAGCTTTGAAGGCCCACTTTTCTAAAGTTTCATGGACTTGGAATTTTTCAAAAAAATAAATAAACAAAAATACTCCGCGACGGGGAATTGAACCCCGGTCCCGGGCGCGACAAGCCCGAATTCTAGCCACTAAACTATCGCGGATTTTTATAAAGTATACGTTTGTACTTACCAACCCTATCGAATCACATAGTCACACAAACAAATTCTTTTAGTTACAGCAGGAGCGTGAGTGCTATTCGACCATGGCCAATTTCCCGGCTCACTGGCTTCGCGCGGGGACAAGAGGAGTGCTTCGTTTTTTTAGGCGGATTCTTCGGATACTATGACAAATAATGATTCGCGTCGGGATTAGTTGGTGCCATGGTGATGTTTGTGCCTGTGAGGTTTCTGCCTGTGAGTTTGTTCAAATAAAGCGCTTTTTCAAGCTTACAGACACATTACCAAGAAGGGGAAAGAGCCGTCTCAGCCACTTTCCTACGAAACCAGTTTGAATTATTTTTAGACTTGCAAATCATGCAAGCTGAAAATGAAGTTTCGGATGCCCTTGTTTCAAATGATGTAACTACATGACTATCCGCAAAAGTCTTTCAAATCGCTCCTTTCTGCATTACGCGTAAATGATCTATTTCTTGATTGAGATCAAAATAAAGACTACTTTCTTCATCTTGTGCGGTGCATAGGCAAGACGCGGCACACGACGTTGCAAATCTCAATTTGATAACATATTGCGTATAGCAGCAGCTCGTCATGCCGAGTTTTGCAGCTTGTTTGAGATCAAGTTTAGATCAGCAACTTTTGGCATATAAACCAGTCTCGTGGTCCGGCGGTTTGTTTGCCTATTCTGGAATCAAAATGACACTCTGAAATTTCGAAGTGACTAGAGCATTGCCCTTTACCTGCAATTTGGCGGTTGTTGTTTTAAACACCCAAGTAATACCTTTCTATCACCTCTCGTTGCAGTGCGAAGTTCTGTGGTAAACGGAGAGTTCTAGCGTAAATTTTCGCGTCAAGTGTTTTACAATTTTTCTTGTTTTCAACTCTTTGATACGTAATTTAATTATGCATCGAGTGCATCGATGGTTGGTCAAGCGAGGTAATTCTCTTAAACAGCAAGTCAGAAAGTTCAGACATGCCGAGTTCTATCGTATGATGCAAATCCTGACATCATCATCACCAGGTTGAAATAAGTTTTAAAGCAAAGCGGAGCCTCCATGAGTGGCCCGCAACGGACCACGCTGATAACACAAGACTTCATCCTTTCCTTGGCAAGCTGCGGAGTTAGCCAAAGACGGTAATTCGCCTTTCGCGAACTATGCACAACGCACTGCTGATTGCTTGAAGCGCTTTGATTCAAGAAGCCACCTCGATGGTGCTAAAAAATTATAGCCTTGGCGAGGCAGACTTCATTGATCTCACCACCAATATACCAAATATATGGGACAACGAAAGCCGCCAAAAGTCCCTTAATAGAGCCATTCTTCAACGAAGTGACAAGTTCAAAATTATATTCGGTGGCATTCTCTCTCACATGTAAATCATGAATGTGGGGTAAGAAAATGGATGTTCTTCTTATGCATTTCGAAAATTGCTTGAGACTTAACGAACGACTGCCAGCACAATGAAATTATATGTGATCAAGACAGGACTTTTTGATATGTGCCTTCCTATCTTCTGCCCCTTTCCGTAAATGAATCAATAGTGAAAGTTCAAGAATTCGAATTCAGTATACAATGAGAAGCTGAATCTATCGAACTGGTTGCTAGCATATTTCCTGAGGAGCCACATCATTGTCGCCCCGTAACAAGGTATCATTCCACGAAATCCGGTTTTGATCAACGCTGAACTTCAGTTCGGTGCAGCCTGGAAACGATGGCTGCGAAAGGTTTTTGAATATAGACAATTTTTCTACCGCTGACCTTGCCCTATCACTTTGTACTATAATGGCGTATCTGCAAATGTTCACATGAGTGACTTTAACTTTTCCTTCAGTGGGCGTCGTGTATCAATTGGATCATGCGCAGCATCTAGCACCATCTAAGAACTCTAAATTTGTTTATCCAGAAAAACTACTACGATCACAACCACACAAAATACAAATCTGGGACTCTAACGTTAAAAATTGTATTCCTGCAATTTCCGGCAGTTCACGCTAGACTTCAACTAATTGGCTCAAGGCCTCACTTCGCCTTACAATGATTGCGTTGAAAATTCACTTAAAAGCGAACTTTTTGGTTCGCCATTTCGACTTTTCTCATAGATGCGCAAAAGTACAAAACACAGGTTATACCTTCAAAGCGTTTCACGAGCACTAAGCCGAGAAATTAACGTCTAGTGCAGGTGACAGAGCAGTCTCCTCCTCTGTGTGCATGTTATCTTTGTTAGTCACGTGACTCGCGTTAAGTTCGTATAATAATGTTACCCGTCTTTTTTACAACATTGAACCAAGTCGATTATCGTCGGAATCATCATATCTACAAACCAATCGCATTGATATTCGTGTGAATACTGATAGATTCAAAACTCGATAAGCATGAATAACATCGTAGTGTTTGGCGGCAGTTCTCACCCCACATTGGTAAACAAGATATGCGCTAATCTCGGGATCAAATCCTCGCAGATTAAACTCGGGAAATTCTCCAATGGAGAGACCAGTATCAGTATTGGTGAATCAGTGCGTGAAAAGGATGTTTATGTGATTCAAAGTGGTTGTGGCCATGTCAACGACAATTTTATGGAGCTCCTGATTCTCCTCAATGCTTGCAAAACAGCCTCGGCCAGTCGTGTTACGGCAGTCATGCCCTATTTCTGCTATTCCCGCCAGCCTGATATACCTTATACTGCCAAAGGAGCGCCTTTGATTTCTAAGCCCAAAGAAAGTTACACGTTCGAAAGCGTACCTGGAACGCCAGTTTCGTCCACGGTCACGACCCAGAAACCCAGATCTCCTTCAGACAAGGTCAACGCCAATAACAACGCCAACAGCATTATGGAAAACATGAGATCTCCTAAATTACAGGCCCTGGAGCAACCTTCACCCATCAGAATCTCAGATAGTGGTGACCTACACAAATCTCCTTCCATGTCTCGTATCCCCATGGTGCCAGAACGTAAGGAAAACAGCTCAGAATTGGGGCCTCTTTTCAACGCTAACAATGCGGGTTACAAGCTATGGGTGGCACAGGCTGGTACACTGATCGCCAATCTGCTAACGACCGCTGGGGCTGACCACGTTATCACTATGGATCTGCATGATTCACAGTTCCAAGGCTTTTTCGACATTCCCGTCGATAATCTTTATTGTAAACCTATCGCACACAACTACATTCAATACAACATTCCAAACTACCAGGAAGCTGTGATTGTGTCTCCAGATGCAGGTGGTGCCAAGCGCGCGGCTTCTCTCGCAGATGCTTTAGAAATCTCTTTTGCTCTCATCCACAAGGAAAAGAGATCACAATTGCCCAAGGGCCCGCCGGATGCAAGTTTGACCTCCGGTGGTGGCGCAGCAGTCTCTAAGAAACCTTTGATTTCTACAATGTCATCCCTGGCTCTCAACTCACAGGATATGAAAAACTCCTCGTCCTCCTCCAAGTACGTGCAGACGACCATGTTGGTGGGTGACGTTCGCAACAAAACATGTATCATGGTTGATGATCTGGTGGACACATCTTACACAATTACTCGGGCTGCCAAGCTTTTGAAAGATCAAGGCGCCACGAAAGTTTACGCTTTAATAACACACGGTGTATTCTCAGGAGATGCCCTGAATAGAGTTTCGCAAAGCGCCATTGACAAAATAATTGTCACTAATACTGTGCCGCAAGAAAACACCGTGAAATTTCTCGGTAAAGATAGAGTTCACGTATTAGACGTTTCTGGAATATTTGGTGAATCTATCAGAAGAATCCACAATGGTGAATCTATTAGTATGCTCTTTGAGCACGGTTGGTAGACTTTAATCGTAAGATCCCTTGTTTTAATTGTCGATGCATGTCATTCTTCTTCCTGCGTAGAATGTTGGTATGTAACTGAGATAATCTACTCGTATACAGCCTGTCCAGTGTTATAGACGGATTACTGTTGACTCATGCTAATCGTATCATTGTTGTCTCTAAATTAAGAGCCAATGCATAAAGCCGAGCCATATGGCATATGTTGATCAAGCTACTTTTGTTTCCTCTAACTTCTTGGTTATATCTGGCAGCGTGGACGAATTTTCGCCACTCTGCACTTTGGCAAGTCTCGCCTGTGCCGCCCGTTTCTCGTTCAACTCATTCAATTCTTCTTCCGTAACTAAGTGATGCTTATGAGATTGTGGAGCATCTTTTAACTGTCCCTTAGTATCCAATTCACAGAATTCAATTTGATCGACCCAAGAGTCTTCCATAACACCATCCATTAAAATTCTCTTCTTGGGATCTAACTGCAACATCTTTGATATGACCCTTCTTGAATGACGAGGCAGCAGTTTCAAGATACGGTAAGGCCCCCTTTGTAAGTCCATATCATCCTCGGGTTCCTCGCAGAAAAGTCTGTAAGATTGATACTTGTCCCTTGGAGCTTTCCATGGAAACCTCCGCAGCGACATACAGTAAAACATTATTGCAATCGACCATACATCGACGGGTCTTGGATCGTATGATGGGTATGTAATTAGCTCTGGGGCAAGATATGGATCTGAGCCAACAATACCTCTTGCTCTTATAATATCATCTTCGTAGGGGTACTGATAGACAACGGCACTGCCGAAATCGATCAATTTCAGGATTCCTTGATTCGTGACAACGCAATTATCTAGCTTGAGATCTCTGTGTGCGAGACCCATGCCATGCAAATAATAAACGCCATTGCAGATCTGCCTAAAATAACAAGCGATCTCTGACTTGGTCATAAGGTTGCTCATAACAAGAGTGAAAAAATCATATGGGCAGTATTCCATTACTACCAAAAAATTAGTTCCCTCTTGTAACATATCCAGTGTATCGATGATGTTGCAATGATGTAGAGTAGAACCGATGCAGAACTCAGAAGTGACTTTTTTAGAGTAGTCAATCTGGGATTCCTTAGAACCTCTCGCTCTAAACCTTTTTACGGCAAACACTTTACCATCGGTTGATTCCACAACTGATACAGAACCTGACGCCCCCTCCCCGATCATCTTTCCCGGTATACCATATTTGTCAATGAGCTCTCGCGCATTATCTGTCTCGTACAGTGTCTTAGAATTTTCAGGAGATATGTCGGATGTGACTGCAACTGAAGGGCTGGGGGAATCGTGGTGGTGACCGTGTTGATCTTCGGCGTGTATTTTCTTGAAAAAGCGTTTCAGATGAAGTGCTTTTTTTTTGGGTTTATCGGAGGCTAGTTTTGGCGGTGAGCTCCTCTTCTGTTTCTCCTCGATTTCGCGCTGCAATAATTGCGAGGGATGCATATGAGAATTGGGTGAAGGGACTGTCTTTAGAATATGTGTTTGGGAGGAATGTGTCGAGTGAAGGTTACTTGAGCCAGGACCAAAATGCACATAGTTATTAGGATTGTGCAGGTGGTTAGCCTGTGTATTGTTCATGTGTGGATGGTCCATCAAAGGAACCGCCGATCGCGACCGGTGATTTGAATTTTGGGACTTTGAGCTGGAGTTACTATGGCGTGGTGATAGCAAAGCCCCCAGGATTTCTTTGCCAGATTCGTTATTAGAAGAGTGACTATTTCCTTTGAAAAGCTTTCCTAGTCCGAAACCGTGCTTTTTACCAAAGAAAGGTAGTGACAGCGACGACGTCGAGCCATTAGACTTGATCGACGCTGTTTCGTTACTGCTATGCACCGTCCTAAGTTGTTCATGTCTAGGCATGATTACCGATCTCTAAAGCTTAGCCCAAAGGAAAGGACCCTACCCTAAAGCTACGTCCAACACTTCCGGAGAGAAAAGAGTTTGGACAATGTCAAAAAAAAGGAAAGCCAGTCGCAAGCAACTCGGGTTTCAAAGAGGAGAGACTGCTGTCTAAAAGATACAAACTTTTTAGAGTTGTTGTAATGGTGGGTTAGTGACTTTCCCCTTTACCTATTGTTATCGAAGAAGTATGAATTGGATGATTTATTCTATTCTACCGTGTATAGTGCACATCAAAAATAGCTGAACAAGAGATCAGCAAGTAATGCCAAACGTATAGTAAGCAGTTAAAGCTTGATTTTCCACACTTCCAGTGCTATCTAGGTGAATGATTTCTCATGGAGTAGACGTCGTCGCTATTCAAAGCGTCTGAGTCTAGTCTTTCGGACGATGCAGAGGTTTGGTTGGATCTCCCACGAATGCTAGAGCTGCTGCCACCAGCACTGGACTGCCGAAAGAGGCTAAACAAACTACCCCTGCGACTCTTAGGTGGCCTGCTTGAAGATGGTTCATCTAGGTCGTGGCTGCCTTCGCTATTCCCACCGCCCACTTCGAGCACGTTGTTATTTTCGTTGATAACAACATCTTGGGACTCGTCCCAGTTCTTTGCAGGCTCAATAATCGTCTTGGGAACGCCTTTAACAGTTACTACGCTCTCCACAATTCCCTTGATGCTGGTGCGGTAGGATGACGAGATCATTTGCGTCTCGGTTGGCGTGTCACTCTGGTCGTTAATTGAATTTGTGAGAGATCGATGAACATCACTACCATGATGCGACGAAATGGCGCTCGGCTCTTCCATCGGTGACTGCTGTTTAGACGTAGTGACTTGTGTTCTTTCACCCGTGTCACGCGTGTGTTGGATTGCTCTCTTTGCAGCGTCTAAATGCTCCTGTAAGATGTCCATATCTTGCGAGCCATCGGCAGTGGTCTGCACATGCTGTTCATGAAGTTTGTTTGATATGGGACTATTGGTTTCTGCTCTAGGGGATGTGCTGGTGCCGCCGTAAGTCGGAGAAGTGGCTCTGTATTTGGCTGAAACGGGGTCGTTGCTAACCTCAGGCAGTCTTTTGACCTTGACGTGAGGATTTTGAGTATGCAATGGATTAGAGGCCAGATTGAATGGCACAACCCCGGGCAAAAGCGCTGGGGCTTTGGAGTTTTGGCTCGCTTCTTGAGCGCTTTCCAAAAGCGGTCTAACTTCCTCACTTTGGTCGATCGAGTTCCTTTGAGTTGTCTTGTAGAGCGAATGCAAATATGAAGTAATGTGTCGCTTAGAGAGAGGGCCCGGTTGCTCACGCATAATCCGCTGATGAATATCAACGAAAACGTCGGATTCATCAACAATTTCTTCCCCGATTAACTCTTCAATGACATCTTCCAAAGTAAGAACGCCAAGCGCTCCTACCGAGTTTCCAGGATCTTGGGAAACAATGCACATATGTGACTTACCCTCTTGGAAGTAGTTTAAAATATTAAGGCACGAAGTTTTTGGAGAAGTTTCGGGAAGAGTCGCAAGAGGAAAATGCGAGACCGGTAAGCAATCATCGGGGTCATATGAAATGAGGACGCGCACTAATAACATTCCAATAAAGTTATTTTTCTCGCCTGGCAAGTGGATTGGAATTCGCGAGAACCCAGAGTTGAATATTTCGCCTACAGTCTTCTCGTCGAGAATCGCGTCTGCGCTCATGGTGAAAACGTTGACTATAGGGGTCATGATCTCACAAACCTTCTTTTCCTTCAGGTCTAAGACTGCAGAAATGATAGTCACCTCATCGTTGGTGAGTCTGTCTACCCCCATCGTTCTGTGTAAAGTAACCAAAGTCTTGAGCCCCGATTTTTTGTACATGGTGCCGTGGTCTTCACCCAAAATCCAGTCTAACAGCAAAGAGACGGGGTATGCTAGTGGGTACATCAGGTACATTAGCAATTCAACGAAGGGGCAAAAGAAGGCTCCAATTTCGAGACCGTAACGAACACATACGGATTGCGGAATGACTTCTCCAAAAATGACAATGAGAACGGTACTGCAGACAACGGCTTGCCAACCACCACCAAGGCATCTGTCTAGAACAATCGGTAGTGTTTCATTGGTAATTACATTAGACAACAGTAGAGTTACCAAGACCCAGTGTTTGCCCTTTGATATTAGCTTCAATACTCTGAGAGCCGCTTTCTGCTCAGAAGTCGAGCCGGATGTGCTAATGACTTTTAAGTATAACTCGTCCTGTCCCATGAGTGCCAATGTCAGCCCGGCAAAAACACCACCTAGCAAAACCAATAATATAGAAATGCCTAGAAACGTAACGAAATCCGCTTCTTTGGGGGCTTCAGGTTCTGAGGCGTAGATAAGGGGGTGTCCTTGAATAGCGTGCACCAGTGAAAAAAGCCATACAGCTCTTCGTACACCGAAAAGTGCGCCTTGAGCACTCATGTTATATATATTTGTCCTTGGCTAAGTCGGAATTGGTTAAGCGGTTGAAATTTTGTTTAAACTAAAGTTGATTAATTAAGTGAGAAGCCTTATATTACGTGTATGATGATTATTGTGTATACGTCTGGCAGAACGAAGCTATCAGCAATTGAAAGCAAGGTAATAGTAATAGGTAGTATGTAGGCTATGTAAAGTTCAAGAGAAGTATTGATTCAGTCTTGATTTCTCAATATAAAAACTATATGATGTTTTGTTTGGAATACATATTCTGATGGCCTAAACATGAATTACAAAATATCCAATAGTGCCCCTCTCTTTCTGGCGCGTATAACTTGGCTTTTCGAGAGCATTTCATATAAGAAAGAAAAATTATGTAGTCCAATGGCCATCCCTTTCCTTAGCACACACAAACTCATGCTAAAGCTTTGGTCTTTTTGTTCATTTCACAAAGAGGGAAGCTTGTTAGTTTGCATAGACTAGCGAAACTCGCTGCGCGGCGAGCATTCTTCAATCGTGGATGTTCTTGGTGAAATAGATAGATAGCTGCAACATTCTTGATACTAAAGTTTGGTAGTGCTTGCGATCATTAGTACAATTCGACGTAAATAGTAAGAACTATTGAGATTGGTCTCTATCCACGAGGTACGAGTTTTGGAGAATGTTTGTAGTTTTGTCAATGGACATACCGAACCAGTGCTTAAACGTTAGCAGATTAAATCCTTCCGTAATGTTCTGTATGAGATTGTAGTCTTAATACACTGAAAAATGTTGATATTTTTACCTTTGTTGGTCGGCCGCATGTGTCGGTCTTAACAACACATGTAAAGATACTGATTGTGGATACTCTGACAAAATAGAGCCTGCTCACTGTCGATCCAGTGCGTTACGTGTGGATTCAATGCAGTATAGGCTATTTACAATATCTTCATTGTCACTTGGTACCATTCTGACGGGGCATAGATTCCGCCAAAAAGAATACATCGCTAAAGGATACAAATATGCTTGCGACAACGAAAGATGGAATGTTATTGACCAACACCTATTGTTTCCACATTTTCCACAACTGTTAGTGTAACTAATCTTTCTTGCTTTACTCTTCCAACCCTTTCACCCACTCGGTTTGGTATAAAACCTCAGGAGCGCTAAGATCTTGATTATCCACAATCCAGTTCTGATGCTCACCTTCGTCGAGATTTCAAATGCGTCGGAATTCCGGTAATACCCCCAGAGAACATCAATTGCAGAATGAAGTAGATCAGAATAGGATCATGGAGGGAACTCAGAGCTATGACAGGATAGTACAAAGTGACAGATGCTGATATTTCATGCAGCAAATCCATTCATACAGTGAAATAAGAGCACCTATGTCAAGTAGTGCCCGTCGTGACATTGTTTCTGTATCATAGCCCCCGAGGAATGAAGGCTGATACATCACTTCTGGTAACCAATTCCCGTCATACAAACAACTGTATAAATACCGATGGTTAAAGGTTTCTGTCGAGATCTTAGAAAGACCGCGGAGGGATCAGTAGAAACCCAGATCTGGTACGAATTAGACACACCATGAACGACTGGAACGACCAGTTCAGCGAGTCAACTAATACGGACGCAAATAGACCTCAAGAAGTGTGCCGCGCTCATTTTCACGAAAGTCTCAACAATTCTCAATCGGCATTCCAAGCTTGTTGAGATGTGGGTGATGATAACGCGAAATTGCGCAATGACGGAGTATTACAAAGTGACAAGAGCACTAAATGAAATCTGGTAGTTCCCGGGCTGATAGCTTGCCGATACAACTGCGGCCCACCCAATTCTTATTGTATAGACACCGCTTGGAACACAAAACCGATTGGAGAAACCACGGAGGGGCGTCAAAAACCTCTACGAACTGACTTGATCAGCCTACTGTGGAGTAGTTCGACAAAGAGCTTGGAAGCGCTCTGCTGCTGGACCAGACTCGCCGACCCTGTTCTACAGCGCTGCAGTCTAGTTGTTCCACATCGTCCAACGCAAGTGCTAAAAGTGCTCGTTGCCGAAAAGTCACGTGGATCACCCCATCGGCGCCCCCGACAGACATGCACTTGGATTTTCCTAGCCGCAGAACCATGGCTCATCGTCCGCAGTGTGACTGTTCATAGCCACTTGTAGCGCACTCCGGTGTTCACAGCACCTCAATTCCTTTTTAAAATCTCTGCAGTGCCACATGTCTGCTGCCCTCACATCTTGCTCATTGACAGTTTGACTTCTTGTTTGTTCACGAACCGCTAGGTAACGCTCATGATTGCCCGCCTAGTAGCGCTGTACTGGCACCTCAGCTTCTTCCGGCAAGGGCCCTGGGGCCAAAAAGATTCTCTGACAGTAAAACCTGACCCATAAACTGACCCACACCTGACCGCCGCTTGACCCACACCTGACCCACAGCCCGATCTCCTTCTGACCCATTATTTGACCCACATTCTGACCCACAAAAGTCACCATCCACGAACAAGCCTTCTCCTGACCCACGGTCAAAATTCACCTCCCTTGCCAAAATTTTTCTTGTTTCTTTTTCTGTCCGCCTTCTCCGTTTTTTGTCCTATCGATGGGTCATAACTCACGCCACGTTTGACCCTCTCCTGACCCATACAGCGTCTTTTTTCTTGCACCTGAGCTACTACTACCTAGCCTATTTTTTTCGCATCCAACGACGTTGCTCCTCTCGTAGCGTCGGTGCCGTGTCGTGTTGTGTCGTATCGTATCGTGTCCTAAGTCACACTCATTCACCACTAGTTATTTGCGTGTGTGCGTCGGTTTTTCGCCATGACTGCTCCGCTTTCAGCGACCCGCAACGCAACACGCACCATCATGTTTTGCTTTCTACACCAGACGTTGGCAACAAAATTGATCTTTCACACGTACAGGGGAGAGAGTGGCGGACGATAGGCAGTGAGGGTGGCAAAAGTATAAGAAGGGCGAGGTATGGAAGGGATGGAAAATATGGTGATAGGGGAATTAGCCTTTTTAAGTATTTGTTTTCAGTGTTCAACGTCTAAGACTTCGTCATACACATTACTACACACCAGCGAGAGCTCATTTTCGACTAGCACACTACTTTTACAGCTACCCGAAAGTTTTCTCCTTTTGAACAAATAATTATTCTATTATCCACACAACACACACACACAACAATGCCAGCCTCCGATAGACTCAGCCAAACCTCCGATATCCTTGCGGAATCCATCAAGCAAGTGGAACACCCTTTCAAGGTCACCGTGATCGGATCCGGTAACTGGGGTACCACCATCTCGAAGGTTGTGGCCGAAAACGCCGCCCTAAGACCACAGCTTTTCGTTAAGCGTGTCGACATGTGGGTTTTCGAAGAGACCGTGGACGGCCAAAAGTTGACCGAGATCATCAACACCAAGCACCAGAACGTCAAGTACCTGCCAAACATCGATCTACCAGAGAACCTTGTCGCCAACCCAGACCTACTTGACTGTGTCAAGGACGCAGACATCATCGTGTTCAACATCCCCCACCAGTTCTTGCCACGCATTGTGTCGCAGATGGAGGGCCACATCAAGAAGGACGCGCGTGCCATCTCGTGTCTAAAGGGATTCGACGTGTCCAAGGACGGTGTCAAGCTATTGTCCACCTACGTGACCGAGAAGCTCGGAATCACCTGTGGTGCTCTTTCCGGTGCCAACCTCGCCCCAGAGGTTGCCAAGGAGAACTGGTCCGAGACCACTGTCGCTTACGAGCTACCTAAGGACTTCAAGGGTGAAGGTAAGGATGTCGACCACGGCGTGCTCAAGGCTTTGTTCCACAGACCATACTTCCACGTTAACGTCATTGACGATGTTGCCGGTATCTCGGTTGCTGGTGCTTTGAAGAACGTGGTTGCCCTCGGTTGCGGGTTCGTCGAGGGTCTCGGCTGGGGTAACAACGCCTCCGCCGCCATCCAGAGAGTTGGTCTCGGTGAGATCATCAAGTTTGGTCAAATGTTCTTCCCTCACTCTCGTGTCCAGACCTACTACCAAGAGTCTGCCGGTGTCGCCGACTTGATCACCACCTGTTCCGGTGGTAGAAACGTCAAGGTCGCCTTCCACATGGCCAAGACCGGAAAGCCAGCTGAAGAGTGTGAAAAGGAATTGTTGAACGGTCAATCCGCTCAAGGTATCCACACCTGTAAGGAGGTTCACGAATGGCTAGCTGCTTGCGGCAAGACCGATGAGTTTGTTCTATTCGAAGCTGTCTACCAAATTGTCTACGAAAACGCCTCCATGGACTCTTTGCCAGACATGATTGAAGATTTGCAAGGTGTTAACATCCCAAAGGAGGAGAAGAAGGATTAAACAACTAAAATCTTACCCCCAACTATTCGTCATCAAATTATTGCATTAAATTTTCTAAAAGAGAATTCTACCCTCTAGGAAGGGAGATGCTTTTCAGGTTACAGGTCAGGCAACCTACTATTATTAACATTTTGTAAAGTATTCATAATCTAAAACCTGTAAGTTATAAAATGGGACGTGCATGTGCTGTCGCAGCCAGTACATTGTGGCCAATAATCGCGCTATCATGGTGCCTTCTTTATTTGGTCAATCTTGTAGCCGTTGTTTTTCTTGGCGCCACCAAATTTCGAACTTCCATTCGTGAAAAAAGCCCCCTATCCACTTATCTACTCTCTGCCTCCAGTCGATCATCTACTCGACGCAGTGATAAGATTTTCCGCTGGCGATAGATACACCGACTTATTTTCTAACAAAAGTGTGTACGTTGAGCAGTGAAAAGTTTGTGGTATCGCTTGTGCAAGCTATATATGAAGTTGTTTAGTGCGGCAGCTGCAAGTTTCCAAATCAAGGGCACCGCTACTTCCACCACTCCCTATTCAGAATAGTATCGTAGTCCTACTTTTCAAAAACTCTCATGGCGTTCAGTAATGGTTCGTCTGGCAAGTGCCCTATACCAACACAACAAGAAAGCCTGCAACGTGCAGCGAATGTAGCATTCTACTCCCTACTGCTGCCAGACTCACGAAAACCTCGAACTTGAATCTTTTCCTAGCGCCACTGCAGGGAAAACACCCGTCTATCTATAAATCTACAGTACTTACTCACGGCTGGCCCACACTCTTACAGCCTCGGCGGAACACCTACTCACGGCTCGCCTTCTTCTCAAAGTCCATCCCCAAATTCTTGATACCCCTCTCTAGCCCACTATGTCTCCTACATACCTGGCTATGGCGGTCTCAGTCATACTATGATTGCCCTTGGCTGACGCACTGTGGTCATAGGCTTTATCAAAAGGTTCTACGGCATAATATTGAAGTTCAAATTTGCCGCGAGTGCCAATCGCAGCGTCTACTTATCGCTGATCGCTGATTAGATACCTCATACTGTGACTCATGCAGACAAAAGACTCAGAAATCCCAGTATCAACGATGAGTGGGAATTGTGTTAAATTCCGGCTCATTTTCATTTCCGTCCTTAGTGATACATTCTGATATATTTTTTTCATGAAATTGTTTATACGGACGGAATTGAGATATGAACATATCATATATATAGAAGACCGGTTAGATAATGATAAGCAGCGGTTGAATTGGTTATATGTAGTTGGAGTTTTATAAGTAAGTCTCACACACCAGAGAATTCCTCGAGAACTCAGACAACAAAACCACACACTATGTCCAAAGGTAAAGTCTGTCTTGCAGACTCCGGAGGTCTAGATACCTCCATCATTTTGGCTTGGCTCCTAGAGGAAGGCTACGAAGTGGTAGCCTTCATGGCCGACGTGGGTCAGGAGGAAGACTTCGAAGCTGCTGAGAAGAAGGCCATTGCCATCGGTGCCACCAAGTACGTGTGTGTCGACTGCAGAGAAGATTTTGTCAAGGACGTGCTTTACCCAGCTGTCCAGGTCAACGCCGTATACGAAGACATTTATCTCATGGGTACAGCTTTGGCCAGACCAGTAATTGCCAAGGCCCAGATCGATGTTGCCGAAAAGGAAGGCTGTTTCGCTGTCTCTCACGGCTGCACCGGTAAGGGTAACGACCAGATCCGTTTCGAGCTAGGTTTCTACGCCTTGAAGCCAGACGTCAAGGTCATTGCTCCATGGAGAGACCCTGTTTTCTTCGAAAGATTCGCAGGCAGAAAGGATTTGCTCGATTACGCCGCCGCAAAGGGTATCCCAGTCACCCAGACCAAGTCCAAGCCTTGGTCCACCGACGAGAACCAGGCTCACATCTCTTACGAGGCCGGTATTCTCGAAGACCCAGACACCACCCCACCTAAGGACATGTGGAAGCTTATCACTGACCCTGAAGATGCTCCAGACACCCCAGAGGACTTGGCTATCGTTTTTGAGAAAGGTGTCCCAGTCAAGTTGACCTACACTGAGGCTGGCGCCCCCAAGGAAGTTACCAAACCCTTGGACGTGTTTATGGCCGCTTCCAACCTAGCCAGAAGAAACGGTGTCGGCAGAATAGATATCGTCGAGGATCGTTACATCAACTTGAAGTCCAGAGGTTGTTACGAGCAAGCCCCATTGACCCTATTGAGAAGAGCACACGTCGACTTGGAAGGTCTGGTTTTGGACAAGGAAGTTCGTTACTTGAGAGACCAGTTTGTAACTCCAACTTATTCCCGTCTCATGTACAACGGTGCTTACTTCAGTCCTGAATTCGACTTCATCAAGAGCATGATTGGTCCATCCCAAACCAGCGTCAACGGTCAAGTTAGACTCAGACTTTACAAGGGTAACGTGATCATTCTCGGTAGATCTTCTGAGACTGAGAATCTGTATGACCCTACTGAATCCTCCATGGACGAGTTGACCGGATTCTCGCCAGTTGACACCTCTGGTTTCATTGCAATCCAAGCTATCAGAGCTAAGAAGTATGGTGAAGCCAAGAAGGCTAAGGGCGAAAAGCTTACTTTGTAAGCGGGAGATTTTCTGTAACCTCAAAACCATCCATGTATAGTAAAACTTATAACCGGTTTATAGGACATAATTGCGAATGCCTCTTCCAACACTTCGCCAGGCCTCTGCACATCAACAATTCATTAAATTTGTTTACTTCACATGACTGTGGGATATGAAAGACAGTATCCTGTCGTTTACTGAGTCACATGCGTGTGTTCGAAAAAAGGTACATCATTGTTTGAGACTTAGGGTTGTGAGGTCAAACTTCACAGCTCGAGCTGCTTTTATCATCAACTAGTTGATATATAGACAGAAATCAACAGGCTGCGTACCACCGATTAGTGTGTGTATGCTAAATCGGTTCAGAAGAAGCACTTTGTATAGATTTGGCTCGATTACTAGGACGTTTTCACCCAAGCAAATGTCAACCATGGTCAACAAGGCTTACTTGGCCGATCACAAGGCCCCGTTAATCATGCTGAGCGCCAAGGACTTTTTTGCGCAGTTGAGTGATCAGGAAAAGCTCTATGCGCATTACATGTCTAAGGCGTCTCACGCAGGCTCCAGAATTGTATTGAGGCAAGTCTCTCATGAAAGTGAAAGCATCTACGACTTAATCATGGCTATTCATGAAAAAATCAAAGGCAGGTACCCAGAAGGTGAGCAATACGAGCTTTACAAGGAATACGTAGCCCAGTTTTTGTCGAATTTGGGCAATTACAAATCGTTTGGTGACCTAAAGTTTATTCCACGATGCACTACGGACTTCTTCCTCGACTTGTTGAACCAAGCAGGGATTGAGAAATCCTCGAAGCCGAGTACTGCTTCTTGTCTTTACTCTACTTGGGAGGAGGTTGTGCTCAAAGGTATATATTACGTTGATGACAAAAGCGCTCTGCTCGGTTTCCCTTCAGAGGGTCACCAATCTTCTTATTACTTCGGTGACGTCTCCCCGGAAGACATGACACTGCTCAAGGACGAGGTTTTCAGCAAGTTGAAAATCTTGCCCGAGAATACGAGAATCCAAAAAGTGAACAATAACAAGTTCGTGATCTTGGTCGCATCAGAAAACACCGAGAACGATCTTTCTGAATACCCTAAGGATCCAATCAAATTGAGCAATGGCGCCAGCGCTTTCTTCAAGTTCGGAGATCACACTCGTGAAATGCACAATATTGTTCAAAATCTTCAGAAGGCTCGCAGGTACGCTGCGAACGAGTCTCAAAAGAAAATGTTTGATCAGTACATAAAGCATTTTCAAACTGGCTCGTCGCACGCTCACAAGGATTCTCAAAAGTTTTGGGTGAAAGATCTATCACCAGTTATAGAAACCAACATCGGCTTCATCGAGACTTACCGAGAACCTTCAGGCATAATTGGGGAGTTCGAGTCTCTGGTGGCCATCAAAAACAAGAAGCGCACGGAGAAATTTGCGACAATGGTCAAGAGTGCCGGCAAATTTATTTCATTGTTACCATGGGACAACGCGTTTGAAAAGCCTAAATTCCAGCCTCCTGACTTCACGTCACTAGAAGTTTTGACATTTGCAGGTAGTGGAATTCCTGCAGGGATCAATATCCCAAATTACGACGATGTGCGGCTAAACATTGGCTTCAAAAACGTTTCGTTGGGGAATATTTTAAGCTCTTCGTTGGGCTCCAAAACGCCTATTACCTTTGTGACTCAAGAAGACCGCAAGATCTTGGAAAAGTTTCAAACTGATTCTTTTGAGGTTCAAGTAGGGATTCACGAGTTGTTGGGCCATGGCTCCGGTAAATTATTGAGCGAGCTGGAGGACGGTACCTTCAATTTTGACAGAGAACATCCTCCTTTGGGACTCGACGGTAAACCCGTTACGACATATTACAAAAAGGGTGAAACATGGGGCTCAAAGTTTGGACAATTGGCTGGTGCGTTTGAGGAATGTCGTGCTGAGGTTATCGCTATGTACTTGATCACCAACACCGAGCTTTTGGATATTTTCGGTTTTAAGACTCAGGAAGACCAGGATAACATTATTTACGCTGGCTTTTTACAAATGGCGAGAGCTGGTTTGTTAGCACTTGAGTTTTGGGATCCATCTACTAAAAAATGGGGTCAGCCACATATGCAAGCTCGATTCTCGATAATGAAGACGTTTTTGAAGCATACTAGCAATGAGGGCTTTTTCCAGCTCTCGTCGACGAAAAGCGATTTTTCCGATCTGCAGATCAAGTTGGATCGCTCGATGATAAGGACGGTGGGTCACGCAGCTATCAAAGATTACTTGACTCATCTACATATTTACAAGTCGTCTGGCGATGTCGAAAGAGGGAGCAAGTATTTCGTCGAGAGAAGTACTGTCGACCCAGATCTAGCTCAGTTTAGACCTATCGTGCTTGAAAAGAAACTTCCTAGAAGACAATTCATTCAAGCTAACACCTTGTTGAAAGATGGACAAATCACCTTGAATGAATACGATAATACACCGGATGGAATTCTCGAATCGTTTGTTCAAAGGGAAGTGTAGGTTGCACTCAAAGCTTTGCAAATGGCTGGAAGAAGTTAGCTTGATGGCAGCGGACACTGTCTAAACGATAGATCAAGTTCATATTACTTGGTACGAAGAATAATTTCGAAGAACACATATCTCGTGATGGCGATCTAAATAAGTAAAGCAGGCAAGCTGCCTTTAACTTAATCAGTTTACATTAAAGCTAATAATATTTATACTTCAAGCTGCTGCTTACTGTTCAGTCTGTAAATCCGGCTTATATCTAACTCGATCCCTCCACTGATCTCAGTATATGAAATGACACAGTCTGACACTTACAAACTATTCATCCTAAGGCACGGACAGAGCGAATTGAACCATGAAAACATATTTTGCGGCTGGATCGATGCCGACCTAACAGAAAAGGGGAAGGAGCAGGCTAAGAATGCTGCTCTTCTTATCAAGGAGCATTGCGCAAGCAATTCTCTAGATTTGCCAAGAATAGGGTACAGTTCGAGGCTAGTGAGGACCCAAGAGACGATCGATGTCATGTTGCAAACATTCGGCATTAAGAAGGCTATTTACAAAATCGTTAGCCATGGTAACCCTGTAGATAACGACAGTAACGGATTTGCAGGACATGAGGCTGTTGTTTATCAAACATGGAGATTGAATGAACGTCACTATGGAGCTTGGCAAGGCCAAAGGAAGCCAGATATTTTGAAAGAATACGGCAAAGAGCATTATATGTTCATCAGGAGAGACTATAATGGTAGGCCACCTGCGGCTGATTTGACTCGAGAAATGGTCCAAGAAGTTAATGACAAGGGCTCTTTGACGGGCTACGATTTCAAAGAGCCCAACAGGCACATCAAGTATAAACCTGAGGAAGATGCAGGTGAAGTTCTGCCTAGTAACGAATCTCTCTGTGATGTGGTTAAGCGGTTGGAAAGATTTTTGAGCGAAGCAATTGTGGCGAAACTGAACAGCAACAATTCTGCAGCATTGATAGTAGCACACGGAAGTTCAGTTCGTTCGATATTAAAGATTCTGGAAGATATATCAGATGACGAAATTAAAGATGTTGAGATACCAAATGCTATTCCAATCGTTGTTGAGCTTGACAAGAAAACCAAAAAATTTGTACGCAAGTATTACTTGGACCCAGAACTTGCCAAGATCAATGCTGAGAGAGTGCGTAATGAGGGGTTTGAGAAATATGACAAATGATGATGACAATAATGCCCAACTGATAAAAGAGATAGACAGAAGACTTATGTAGACATTTACAGATGATTTTAAATATAGTATGTTCATCATACCTACTCTCATGAAGAGCGAAAAAGCCCTGATTTTCTTATGTTAATTCGATGTAAATGCAAAATATCTGATGTCTAAAAATTATGGCGCAGAGAGTCAATCGAGAGCTCTCGTTGCAGTTGCTAGACCATACACTCTCAAAAGAGTGATTGGTGAAAGTTGAGGCTGAAGGCACCGCGAAAGCGATACAAAGGAACCTTGAAGAGCTTCTCTCTTATTTTTTTTAATTTTCTTTTTGTAACTCTATTCTATTCTGACCTTTTGGTTACCGAGCCATCGTTCGTGACCGCTTTACCCTAGAATCGTAACCTCGTTTGTATGTTACGAAACGCCCATTTGTTGTTTTTCAATATTGTGTTAACCCAGTTTAAGCTCCGGCAAACTCCACGTTTTCCTTGGCAAATTGTATAGCCTTTTGAGCCTCTGGACCAGTAAGGTCGTGCTTGACTTTGATATGTCGGCTCAAAGCATCACCGCGAGAGAACGTCTTTTCGTAACCTTCCGCGCCTTGTTGTTGAATGCAAATGACGCAGCGAAACACCTTTTTCTTACTTGCATGAATAGTCTTTTGATGTCGAATGAGATCATAGGGCCTCGAAAACTTCTTACCACAAGAGTCCTTTGTGATGGGATTTAAAATTTCACACGTATGGACTTCTTGAGGCATGCTGGGTGGTAATGCGCTACATTCAGACAGCGGAGAAAGCTTCTTCTTAGCACTCGGCGTAGAAGAAGTAGCGTTTGAGGATTTACGTCTTGACGGGTATTTCTTCTTTCTGGCAACAGTAGGGAGCGAAGATAAAGATATCGAGCTTTGATTTGAAAAAGAAGCTGGATCTGGTGGTAGTGAAGACTCACGAGAAATTTGTGTACTTGATGGTGCCGTGTCATAATGTTCATCCAAACACACTACGCTGCTCTTTCTAGCGTCATAAAGCACATCGCCAGCAAAGCTGTTGTCGTTTAGATCCTCTTCTTCGCGGACTCTATCCCCGTCTTCTTCATCATCATCTGCTATAGCATGATCATTTGAATCGCAGTCCACAAATTTCGTTCCAGGCCTACTTCTATCGAATATGAGGGAATCATCTTCTTGAGGTAAAAGATGGTTGCAAGTTTCGGGCTGAGACTGATTATAGTTGTAGTTTTGCGTGTGATCTTCTTCAGCGAAGTCCGGTTCGGCTTCGTCATCATCTTCTTCGTCGTCGTCATCGCTTAGATCGTCGCCAAATTCACGGTCGAAAATAGACATGGCATCTTGAGACATAGTCGCGGACTCTTGTAGGGGCCAACTGAACATTTTCTGATTATTACTATCGTCGTAATAAATCTCTGAAGGAAAGTTCTCGTTTCCCGAATTAAGCATGTCCTCATCTTCTCCCTGGAAAAGAGCAGGGGACGATATCCGAACTTCGGGGGTTGTGCTAGGCAAACGGGAAGCAAACGGGTTCACGTTCATAACGTTGTTGAGCGACACAGTTGCCTGTACTGGTGTTCTGGAAGCTGGTGGCCCCTGTACACTTTTACGGTTTGGATTGGGTTTTTGCATTGACAAGGTAGTCAACGAGGGATCTGCGTATTTGCTGAACATCGACTGCTTAAAATCATCAGAGTCGTATGAGGGATGAGAGCTATGGTCTGGTGCCGCTAGCAGATCCTCTAACGAACGGTTCTTCCATGTTTTGGGTGTTTGCACCGTGTCTTGGCCCATGTTAGCAGACATGTGGTAAAGCTCGTCATCTAGCACATCCGTGAGCGTCCTTGTGAGTGGGTATAGCTCTGTCGTTGTAGTCATTGCACTGAGTGTAAGTTAATGGTATAGTGTGTAATGCTGAAAGGTTGCTTTGTAAAACTGGTTTTTTCTGCCTCAGTGGAACGAGCGGTTGGATAGATTAATAATAGCGTTTCAAAGGGCGTTACAGAAAAGTAATCCGTGAATCGATTGAGACAAATTCACCCACTGCCTTAAATTGCAATCTGGTTGTGAGATTGAGAAAGCTGCGAGACTGCCAAGAGTGCTTCGCGGCAGTTTCGGCACTTGCTTTATCACTCGCACCTCAACTGTTGGAAAGTTGCAAAGGATCTTTTACGATTGTGAAGTTTCCAAAACGAGTACTACATCCGTTCAACATGACCAGAGACTTTTCTAGAAAAACTGTTTTCGTACAACAGAATACGTTTGCTTTTCTCTTAACAACATAAGAGTTTGTGAGCGTGGAAAGCATAAAATATAAGGAATGAAGGACAGAAATCTGATGCATTTCAACAGCTGTTGTTCATTAGAATGCTAAGGTTATTTATCAGTATTAGCGGTAAGCAGTTCTTTAAAGAGAGCGAGCTAGTCTATTCTTGAGTGTTGGCATCGTAATCCAAGGCAGCGTCCCAAAACTCAGTCTCAAGCTTACATACAGTAGCGTATATTTCGCACAGCGCGTCCCAGTCGTCTGTCATCTGACAGACACGATCTAGCAATACAAGACCTTCTTGCATAGCATCAACATACCATGGTGCTAAGTAGTCCTGACACCACGAATAGTAGATGTCATCTTGACCAACAGTGATTTTGTCTTTGACTTCGCTCAAGGCACACCCGTAGCCCATCAAACAAGGCGAGAGTGCCGCACATATGTGGACCCATGTTCCGTGCTTGGTCACATCGTCGAAAAAGCGAGCGTAATTCTTAAGCGCTGAGCCCATTTTGATATCGTCGAAATGCTTCATATCTTGAATACCGAAGTGTTTCGCCATTTTCTCACGATGCTTGCTCATTTCCGTCTTGATAGAAGTGACGATTTGCACTGACTTGTCGAAGTCATCAGAGGTGGGAGCTTTACTAGCGGCGATACAGTGCACCTGGGCATAGTTGTCAAGATAAGCGTAGTCCTGTTCCAGGAAATACTTGAATTTCTCGCGCTCTAAAGAGCCATCTGCCACCCGTCTTACAAACTCGTGTTTGGTGTAGGAATCCCAGTAGGGCTTGACACGGGGATCCGAGATCAAATATTCGAAAAAGTGACCCGAGTCCCTTATCTGCGAAACCAAACTGCTAGCACTGCTGCTGCGACTACTGCTGCTTTTAGAGCGTGCCATCTCCGCCTCATCTTCAACATCTTCGTCGTCATTGATCGCCAGGGCGTGTGCGGAGTAGCACATGTCTTTGACCATCTCCTGCAAGGGCATTTTGATAGCATAAACATGATTTATAGGCCCATTTCCCTTAACGTGCGGCTTCACAACGGTGCAGCCGACTTGAATGGCGTTGTGAACGTATTGAATAGCACCGTATATTGCGTGTTCTAGCGTTTCTCCATGGGCTAAATTACTTGCAATGGCAGATCCCAGAGTACACCCTGTACCATGTGTATCCTCGGAGTCACATCTTTCACTCTGGTACACCACACACTTGCCATTCTTGGTGTAGAGAACGTCTGTCACATATTGGTTACCTTTAGCATCGGTCCAAGGCGCATGTCCGCCCTTCAGTAGAATATTTGGACACCCAGTGGCCTTCTGGAGCTTCTGGGCTATGAGTATTTGCCTTTCAACACTAGTTAAGTTGAGTTCTTCTTCTGACATACCCAGTAGTCTCGATGCTTCATGAACATTGGGTGTCAAAAGCGTTGCCAAGAGCGCTAATTTCTTGATACCTTGAATCACTGAATCGTCACTGACCAATGAAGCACCAGAGGATGCCACGAGGACTGGATCTACCACCATTGGGGGTCTATCTTGCGGAGCCATTGCACCTAAAACATCTTGCATTACGTCGACTGCATTTTGGGTCAGCATCCCCGTCTTGATCGCATCTACCTGCATATCGCGTAGATTGCACTTCAAAGCCAGCTCGAAGTGCTCTTTTGGCACTTCATGAATGGAGTAAACGCCTTGTGGGGTCTGAGCCGTCAAAGCTGCCAAGCATGTCATCCCGTAGCATTTATGGGCAGTGAATGTTTTAAGATCGGCTTCAATCCCGGCGCCACCACTGGCATCCGATGTAGCAACCGTCATTACGGTAGCCAGTTTCTCGTTCGGCCTCAGAGCCACATATGGAGGTGCAGTATTGACCAGGACTTGTTGCCTTGGAATAGAGCTCATTGAAATTTAAAATCGTACAGGCGAGGTAAGAAGGTAAATGACTTCAATTAATCCAGCTGCACCAAGCTATAAGGCTTCAATCCATTCTCTTAGTGTCCGGATGTTGTGTAGTCTCGTTCATTTTTATAACTCAGTTTCAGAAAGGCTTCCTGTTCTTAAGGTTTCCTACTCTTATATCAACGAGACAGATCAGGTCGTCAACACGAATGCGCCAAAAAAAAGCTTTCAACGTCTAATTAAAAAGATCGAAGACAACCGTTGACTGTCTCATACGATAAATAAGCGCAATTGTGGTCTTACACTCATTTGAGGGCCAATTAGTGTATGACTTTAGGTGGAATTATTTTATACAAGGCTGAGAGATAGAGATGATTGTTGATGCAAAACAGCAAAAGAAGCCGCAGAGCCCCTGCGCTCAAACATTGTAGATATATCGAAAACTTCGTGCCAAGAAAATAATTTTCTAGAATGGGAGTCATTTATTGATCTTATGGTGTTCGGACTACAGAGACCAAGCTTGAACATACGGGGAAGCGAAAGGGCACCTTCGAGAGCCTTACGCCAGCTGCTATTTTTCGCGTTCTAGACCTGGCGTTTTGTTCATCTCCCCTTGTCGCTATGATTTTGTGAGGTTGGCTCTTCTTACCTCGAGCATTGGAGACATTTGTTGACATTCCAGTACCCTTAGAACGGCTGTGACATAAAAAGCAGCGAGATATTATGATCTTATGGTCTCTTCGCATGGTTTGGATGGGCACAAATCAGCTCTCCTGCCATGCCACCATGCCCCTACCAATGGATGTTGGCTTTCTTGGCTTTGACATCCCAGGCTGCAGCAGCTAATTTTTTAAATTTGGACTTCTCCAAGTCCAAGGGCGCGACCTACGAATCAGCAGTACAGGGTTCTCGTCCGCAGTCTTTAAGCAAGCGTTCGCTTGATCGTGAGGAGTTTTTACAGCTTCAGTTGGCCAACCAAAATGATTTCTATTCAGTAACTCTCGACATAGGAACGCCCTCACAACAAGTCACAGTGCTGTTCGATACCGGATCATCCGATCTATGGTTTTCTGCAAGTGACAATCCATACTGTGCTCACGAACAGCGCGATGGTCAAGATCGGAGGGCTAATCTTCAAAGCACTTCGGTGTTGTCTGCAGCGCCGGACACCACAACACTTGGAATCCCTATCTCCCCAACTATAGACTGCAGCCAGTACGGCACTTTTGATTACGAAAAATCATCAACATTTTGCCCAAATCATTCAAGACCTTTCCGCACGCTATATGCAGACAATTCGTACGCGCTGGGGTTTTGGGGTCGTGATGAGCTAAACCTAGATAACGCTGCTAGATCTAAGGTTGAATTCGCAATTGCAGAAATCTCAAACTCCTCTGTTGGCGTTCTTGGGGTAGGGATCAAAGAGCTGGAATCGACATTCCACTATTTCAACTCTTCCACTTATACGTATCCAAATTTCCCAGTGATGTTGAAAGAGAGTGGTGCTATCGACAAAATAGCATTTTCTTTGTATCTAAACTCTCTGGATGCACCGGACGGTTCCGTTTTATTTGGTGGTGTTGATCACAGCAAGTATACTGGAGAACTTTTAACGGTACCTTTGATCAATACTTACAAGAACAAGGGTGTCCCGCAGCCCATTCAATTTGAAATAACGGCACAAGGAGTAGGCATGCAAAGCACAAAGGCCTGTCACCAAGAGACGTTAAGTAGTATCAAGTTCCCAGCATACTTGGATTCGGGAGCTACGTTGATGTTCATTGATGAAGGGATAGCTCAAAAAATGGCAGACTTTGTGAATGCAACTTGGTCCGATGAATGGCAATTTTATATGCTGAATTGTCCAGGCAGCGACGATGACACCGAGTTAGTGTTTGATTTTGGTGGTTTCCAAATCGCCACACCGTTATCAAACTACATTCTGAGCACAGATCAGGACAATTTGTGTGCTCTAGGTGTAGTACCAAGCGATCAGCATGCGACTTTTGGTGACGTTTTTCTGTCATCAGCTTATGTTGTATACGATTTAGAGGAGTTGGAAATTTCGCTTGCACAGGCCAACTGGAATCCTCCGCCTTCAAATATCGAACCAATAGTCTCCAGCGTACCCAAAGCTCGGCGGGCGCCTGGTTACAGCAATACGTGGGAGCATGATGCCGCTGACGCAGCCTTGGTAACCAAGAACATATTCAGTTCAAGTTTTTCATGCTCTAATCCAAAGACAGGCGCATTTTCCACCTTCTTGAGCAATAGTTCAATGCTATCGGGGCCCACGAGATCTACACTTTCGATGATTTCAGTACCTGCAACGACAAATTTGACCGCTTCACAAACCTTCTCGTCAGCAAGTCGTACTAGATCTGGCTTGCGCTCAACAGATTTGACTCCGAGCCTCGACGGCATAACTTCGGTAACTTGCAAGTCGACAAACTCTTCTACCTCGGGTTTTGAGACGAGCATTCAAATGGTCACTTCGCAATGTAGCGGTAGCAGCTTCGTTGTAGCCACAAAAAAAATCACTCCGGCGGGCAACAAAGTTTCTGTTTCGTTCGCAAGCAATAAGAAAGCTTCAGATGTCCCAGTTGTTTTCTCAACGTCAAGTCAATTTCAATCAAAAATGTCAAAGAGTGTGTACACAGTAATTGCATCGAGCGGCACCTCAAATTTCGGGACCTATTCGCTGAGCGATCTTCCTTACAGTTCGATCAATGGGTTTGGAGACTCTAAGACCTCAAGCGTTGCGACTCACAATGATGCAGGCACCATGAACCAATATTCGAGCGGATTAACACCATCAACTAACAGCCCTTATGGCTGCAGCAAATCTAAAAGTCCAATGGAATTATCATATGAGGCGGGCGCTTCGAAAAGTTCAGAAACTCTCCCTCAGACAAGTTCCCCGAACCCTTTGTATGTAGCCATGAACACGGAACTGTCGGGGCATCGACAGAGTGGCACTATTAGTGTTTCCTCTGGATCTCTGAGGCTTGATGACCCTACAGGTGTTCTGAATACACTTGAAGTCACAAGTGGAGATGTCTCTAAAACGCAAAGCGAAACTTCAACTGCTGATTCCCGTTCAACTTATTATGTCGCCATCCAATCTGGAGCAGGCTCTTCTGATAGTAGTATATCGCGTCGCGGACTTATAGGCTCTACCTTGGCTGTTCTTGTAGCCCTGCTATCGACGGTTTAAGGTATGGCGAAGCCACTTTCAGGTAAACCGAAAGAGACCATAAACACCAATACCCAAAACATGTCGTGATTCTCCAAGACTTGAAAACGTCGAAATCGATACCCACTCAACTAACGACATTATTAGTCTATATAACGTTTAACAATTCCTTACGACTCATCCTAATAAAAAGCTCGAAGGGGCCAAGAGAATAAAAGTCTCCACTAACAGCTGCAACTTCTTTGCTTATTTGGTAGACGGGGTTTCAAGTAATAGTTTTGCAAGCTCCGCGAAAGCAGTTTCTACCTGAACTTTATCCGCTTCCCAGATGCATTCAGTTGAAGAGGTGGAGAGACATAAATCAATGCCTTGAGCGGCCTTAGTAAATGTCTCCCTGTCCGGAAAGGAGAGTAAGATTTTACTTTCCGTCGGTTTCATGCGCAATCCATTAAGAACCACAGTTAATTGTTCATTACATTTGCTGCCCCCATGGCCGCCGTAGGTGGCCACAACGGCAGGTTTACCCTTCCATTCGTTGAAAAGGTAATCAATGGCGTTCTTGAGTGCCGCTGGATAACCCCAGTTATATTGCGGAGTGACGAAAATGAAACCATCACACTTTTGAACCTCTTGACTCCATAATTTTGTGTGTTCGTGATCGTAGTCACTGTAGTGTTCGATCAGGGAGGGAACGTGGGACTCATCATACATCGGTAAATTCCACGACGCCAGATCGATGAGTTTAAGTACCGGTTTCTGAGCTAAGCTTCGATAATCATTAGAGCTCCTTATCGTGTCTACGATGAATTGAGCGATTTGCGGGCAGGCCCTAGGCTGTCTAGTGCTTCCTATAATGACACCGATAAGCATCTTTAGAATCCAGTTGCCCTTTGTTTGTGAGCCTTGGAAACGGATTGCGTTTAAGCGCTATTCCTTTACATCAAGATCGGAGCTTTATATCAATATTTTTGATTGATCAGCCGCCAAGGATTTTCGGCTATTAGCGTATATTAACTGGTATTTCCAGAAATATCCGAGCAGTTCAATTTTAGCCGGAAACCTCAAGAATAAGAACTTGGGCTTGATAACATAGATGCCTGGATCTTTGGCTAGTCTGCTAAAATTGAATGGTTTTAAGAATGTTCTAATAATCGACTTTTTTTCAAATTCAAGAGCCATGAAAATAATCTTTTTCTAGCGAAATGGTTGTATGTGTTGAACAGCATCAAAACTAGTGTCAACAGGATGTTCCCGTCCGTGAGAATTTGTGCATGGGCGATTGGGCGTTCAGAGTTAAGTATATGAATTCTGCGCCCGTTTACGACAAACGTGGGTAATATTTGATTGTGATGAAGTACACGATTCAAAGTCTGTAGTTCTCCCACTTCAAGCCCATCTTAGTAATTTCGCAATGCTTCGGAAAACAAGTACATTGTGAGCCAGGAATCTCAGCCTTGGCAGCAGGCTCCAGAACACTCATCTTTCTCTGCTTTCGTCGTTACCTCATCTGCAACGAAATTGGCTTGCATGTAAGGTAACTTATAAATTTCCAGGCATTTGAAGCGATCATCTTTTACACTTCTCTGAAGAGGCTGCTCTTGAGCCCAACTCGTTAGTTCCAACTAGCCATGACAGATATCGAACAGAGCACTAAGTCACTGGAGAATCTTCCGACTGAGATTTTGATCAACATCCTCAGTTATTTGGACGAAAAAGACCTATATGCAGTGCAGGCTACGTGCAGACGTTTCCTTGAGATAATCAACGATGAAGAGCTGTGGAAAAACCTTTTTATTTCCAGGATTCACACTAGGCTCTTCCCCTCATTTTCAAGGTCTGCTAAGTACAGTGTGGAATACGTGGAGAGGAACAGAGGGCTAAGCGAGTGGAAGCACAACAGAGCAGTGAAAACAAAGTTTACTGTGACAACCCAAAATCAGAATAACCAGCTCGAAAAAATGGTCTTTGAGTACCCACGTTGTGCCTGTTACAGCGATGGTGTTATAATGCTAGTTCAATTGCATTCGAGGCGTCGAAAGGATAGGTTGACGTATATGCCATGCACCACACCACATGGCTGTTCAACGATGCATTTCAATATAAACGCGGCAGTGTTTGGTCGGTTTGATGGCCGCGTCTTTGGCAAGTTGTTAACCAACAAATCCCACCTCTGTCCCGTCACGGAATTTAACGCTATTCATAGTTCAAGTGTTACGGCCATCACAACTTCCGCTTTAGAAGACTCTCCAGAGGATTGGTGCGTGAGTGGATGTAAATCAGGACAAGTAATCTGGTGGTGCGAAGCGAAAAAACGCAACGCCATCCAAATCTCTGATAAGCCAATCCTACGGTTGGCTCTGCACAAAGATTTGACCGTCATCATGGATTCCCAGCAGGTGTATGTTGTAGATAAAATGGACAATGTGCACAAGCTTGACATTCCATCAAATCTTCAGTTATCTTTAGTGACCTCTCTCTCGCTACACTTTGAAGTTGATTTCGGAGGTAAGCTATTAATCTTAGGTGACATGGCGGAGATTTATGTTATATCCATAAACCCACATCAAGATTTTGGATTTACTAAATCGATTCACATCCCGGACCTCATTGAGAAAATATTTATTGACGACATCACTTCGAAGAGAACGCAAGACGCGAGTGTGGCTGGAGGCGACGGCTGTTATCTGGGTATATTAACAGGCGACAACTCTGTTGCCATTATAAATGTTAGAGCCCCAGGCTCCAAGTTACGCATACAAACAAAACTAAGCTTTGTAGAGAGAGTCCATACTGCACAAATCACTAATCTGGTCATGGTTTGTGCATTTAGCGGATCTCTTGGAATTTTCGACGCGAGCAGTGGTACTGAGCTACGAGTAGTACGGAAAACCGAGAAGTTTCCTCAGTTTCTAGGTGTATCCCATGGACGAATGATTGTTGGCAGTGGGAACGTTCTCCATTATTTACAGTACTCGGATCAGGACTTCAGGCAAAAGAAGTCGGGATTGTCTCAAACCAATCGCAGCAACAAATGGAATGAAGTTCTAAATTCACAGCTTGATCTTTACAATGAAGACGAAAATAGTCGTATAAAAGAATTGGAAAGAAAGGAAAGGCTGCGCCAGAAGTTTGTGGGAGACTTAGACGACGAGGAAATTCAACTTGAAATCGCTCTAATCGAGTCTCAAGCCGCTTCCGAGCAGTTCCAAGGTACAAACGCCCAATTAAGTCCCGTAGGGCAAGACGAAGAGCTACAACGGGCAATAGAAGAATCACGACTAGCATATGAAAACCTCACAATACCTGAACATCTAGATGAAGATGCTGAGCTATTACGTGCCATACAACAATCACAAGAGGAAGAAAACATTCAGCGTCGTTTGCGTCGATCGCACAGACGTGTTGGCCCCCTCGGTGAAATTGCTAGCTCCAGCGAACTGAGCAATCGCTTAAGCTCACCCGAGATTGAAATATCGTCAGTTGATATAGGCAGACGCGAAGCATATGATGAGGACTTTGAAGTCGCAAGAGCATTATCAATGCAGGACATGCGCTAGTCTTACTAGAGTAAATTTATTTGTTTATTTGTTGACGTCGGATTATATACACAAGATTGTTTTAAAACGAGGAATCAGAAACGAATATTTCATTTAAAAGGCGAAAACCTGGTCGTCCCCCTTAGACTTTTCAGTTGTCTTAGGCCAGCCAAGATCTTCGGCGTAGCCTAGCAGCATCCGAACCATTTCTGGCTTACCACTAATGAGCAATCTGTTCTCGCTAGAAAAGTGAGGCAAGTACTTGAGTATTTGCTCTTTGGTGACGTATCCCGTTTCCCCAGTCCAATTGGCCGGCGGGGTACGCAATACGTAGGTAACATCGAAATTTGGGTATTTCTCAGCAATTTCGTCAAGCTCATCTCTGAGCAGTATGTCGTTTTCTGATTCATTCGCGTAAATTAAAGAGACTTTCGTAAAATCCTCTGGATTGGTGATAACCTCATTTAGGACCTGTAGCATTGGGGTGATACCAGAGCCACCAGCAATCATAGCCAGATGTTTGTAAGAATTTGTGACATAATTGAACCTGCCCACAGGTCCTTTGAACGCAACCGTACTACCAGGTTTGAGGCCAGCAAAATACTTGGAAACGTTGCCGTCAGGATACGATTTCACAATAATGTCGAAATGGCCAGGTTCGAGCTTTGGAGACACTGGTGTATAGTATCTAATGTAGTCTTTGCCATCAACGGGTACCTTGACGGCAAGATGATGACCGACAGGAAAGTTCAAAGATTCAAAAGTGGTTTTCATGTTGAAACGATAGATAGCCGTGTTTTTGGAAATCAATGTCTGGTCCTCCAATTCTAGATTTGTCCAGCGATCAGAGAACACCGACTTCCGGCGTCTGTAGGCTGCAGTAAACCGAACTGCGAGTAACAATGCGGCAAAAGGTAAGATCCAGAGAAACTTATAATCTTGAACTGTAAAACAAGTGATGGCCAAACCCGTCAACAGTAAGCCAACAGGAATGTAAATTCCGTGCACAGGATCGTCCAAAAGGTTATGGCCTTCCGACATGTTATTCGAGACTTTGCTTGATAAAATTTAGAACAAACGACTTAAATTCGAGCGATTATTGATGAGTAACGAATATTCCATCTTGCTAAAAGACGCTAAAACAGCACTGTACACGAATATATATTAAATACCGGAGCGCATTACGGCTTGAGGTATGGGTACACATCATCTTGCGGAACTTCCGAATAAACGTTAACCTTCAAACCTCTAACATAACGACATACATATACAAATATACAAATGAGACATCACTGTGTCAATATCTCTGCCAGCAGTTTTGTTGAGATTATTATTGCATCAAGGAAGTCTCAGAATAGCACAAGCTTGAGGTATACTCTCATCGGTTAGGATTGGCAAATTGTCAAAATTCTTATCCGCGGGGTATTGGTAGTATATTCAGGATTTAACTATTAGTATATCATACAGATTGGAAGAGTTCGTGGTTACAGTGAAAAACTTAAACTATTGGATCTCGTTGATGTTGACGATCCCGTTTTTCACTGCCCAGTCTTTATTCGCCACAAAGATGTTATCTGGATCCTGTTGGCGTCTAATTTCCTGAAACTTGACGAGATTCTCGCCGTACCATTCAGTCATTTTCGTGGCCATACCTCTCATCTCATAATCCTGGTAACTGTGCTCCGCTTTTGTTGGTCCAGCGGCCATGTCTGTGGATCCCAAAAAGTTTTTGGCCCAGTGAGGTTTACCTCCAGCAGCAGCTAAAATGTTTTCAAATAGCGTAAACCATTTGTGAATGGGTGTGTTGTAGCCAAATGGTCTGTAGATGGTAGCATTAATGTACAAGGTGAGTTGGCTATTAGTAACGTCACTCGAGGAGGCGTGACGCAGATCGCGGGGCGTAGCATCGAGGTAAGGACGCAGCACGTTACCATACACAGCCCCAGAACTCAGGTCAGTTCTATCGCTATAATCAGGTATTTTATCGGGCAGAGTAGTATTGGAACAGCGCACTTCAATGGGGACATGAACGAAAAACTCACGATTGTGAGCCGCCTGGGTGATGGAGTGGTCCAGCGAGCGTAGAACTTCAGGACCGTTGCTTAATGGACAACCCCATTCGTCAACAAATTGTGAAAACAAACAATCCATGTTCAAACCATCAATAGAGCTTTGAACAGCAATATCTCCGGATCCTAAGGTTTCAGCATTTCCGTATTGTCTGCTAAACACAAATCTTTCAACATACGGAGTGAAAGCAGGATAAATTCTCACTGAAATCCACAAGAGGAGCTCGTAAAAGCCACGTCCGAGCGTAGTTCCCCACCAGGACTTTCTAGTCTTCGTTACCACTGCATCACTAGTCTTTGCACCTCTCCATAAAATACATTTCCGCGTGTAAGGGAACCACCAGCACCTAATGAATTCGCTCGAGGTCCAAATAGTATCCCATTGTTTAAGCAGAGTTTCGAAGTTGACCACCTCGAGCATAGATTTGATTTTGAAGGAAGGAACGACTCTAATTGTGGCACGAACAATGATTCCAATCTTGCCCAAAGATAGCATCGCCGCTCTGAAAATCTCAGGTTGAGTCTCTGAATCGACATTCACTACCTCGCCATGCCCGTTTACTAACGTTAAGTTCACATACTGCGACGAAATAAGACCATGGTAAGGTGAAGAGCCGTGAGTTCCTGTGGAGATGATTCCTCCAACGCTTTGCTCCGAAATTGAGCCCAAATTCTGAATGGCATATCCACGTTCCGTGAGGTACTCACTTAACTTGTAAATGCGTAAACCAGCGTCTACGGTCACATCGGCATAGTTTTGTTCCTTGTTTTCCACGACGCTGTGAACTTGACTCATTCTGTCCAGGTTCATGAGCCACTCTTTTGTCACACACATATTGCTAGGCGAATGTCCGGAGCCAACCGTCACGATTGTTTTCTTGAGTCTCCGAGCCGCATTAACCACTTTGACAACTTCTTCTATTGATGATGGTTGGAAGTATAGCTGAGGCTTCGCGGAATATATCCCTGCCCAGTTCTTGAACGTGTGGTTCGCACGAGCTCCTGGCAGTATCTGGTCCATCTTGGAGTTCTACAGCAATGAATCTTGGGATCACGAGTGGATTCTGTCTTACTGTTGAGTTCGGTTCGTTTCATCAAGGGCGGAAAATTATAAAATTCTAACTAGTAGTCATCGAGCATCAATTTATATAGCTGAATAATAATTAGTAACAATTCACGTCTTTAGCAATATTGGACATTTCACTCTACTGCAGAAGCGATAAAAAGGATCATATAAGGACTAGAGTCTCGGCATGTTCTTGCCACAACGAGCTCTACCGTTGAGGATGTTCGTGAGTTAATGGGACCCTTTTTTCGCAAGCGCCGCACATTGAAGATATTGAACGACTTTTTAGTTCAGAAGCGAAAAATGTTTCAGCAGAACAGCTTGAAGTAGAGTAATGTTGGTAGAATCGATTTGTCGTGGCATTAAGTTATTACCAGGGTATACAATATGAAAGAATGCTCCTGTCTTGGGGCCAGGGAGCTGCAAGCTCGTGGCAGCAACTAGGGGAAATAAATCGACGACGATACCATAAGGCGACGTGGACTATTACGGAGGGATATCAAACGAGCACCGTTGTTTTTTTTTTCTTATTTTAATTTTGCTTCTTCGAGCCTTCAAAACTCTTCTTCGTCGGCATAAGAGTCAGCACCAACTTCGATGTAATCCCTCTCTAGCGCAGCCAAGTCTTCCCTAGCTTCTGTAAACTCACCTTCCTCCATACCTTCTCCGACGTACCAGTGTACAAATGCACGCTTAGCGTACATTAAATCGAATTTTCTGTCAATTCGTTTCCATGCGTCGGCGATGGCTGTGGTATTAGATAACATGCACACGGCTCTCTTGACCGAGGCTAACTGTGATTGTGGGGTGGCAGTAGGGGGTTCATAACAAATCCCGATCTTGAAACCTGTAGGACACCAGTCGACTAACTGAACAGTTCTCTTATTTTTAACCTGAGCAACCGCATTTTGAACATCTCTAGTCACCACATCACCTCTATACAGCAAACAAGTGGCCATGTATTTACCAGATCTTGGGTCACACTTGACCATTTGGTTGCCCGGTTCGAAGCATGCGTTCGTGATCTCAGACACAGCGTTTGATTCATGATGAGCTTTGCTTTTGGATAAGATAGGTGCGTAGGATACCAATGGGAAATGAATTCTTGGGTATGGAACCAAATTGGTCTGGAATTCATTCAAATCTACATTCAAAGACCCGTCAAATCTCAACGAAGCAGTAACAGAAGAGACCACTTGAGCAATCAAGTTGTTCAAGTTCGAGAAACTAGGTCTAGAGATGTCTAGATTCTTCTTGCACATTTCGTAGATTGCTTCGTTGTCGACCATGAATGTACAGTCGGCGTGCTCCAGGGTGGTGTGTGTTGTTAGCACAGTATTGTAGGGCTCAACTACAGACGTGGATACTTGTGGGGCAGGGTAGACCGCGAACTCAAGTTTGGATTTTTTACCATAGTCAATAGACAATTGCTCGAGCAGTAGAGAGCCTAAACCCGAACCAGTACCACCACCCAACGAGTGCGTGAAAAGAAACCCTTGGAGCCCATCGCATTGGTCCGAGATTTTACGGATTCTATCGAGAATGTCATCTAATAGTTCTCTTCCAACAGTGTAGTGGCCACGAGCATAATTGTTGGCCGCATCTTCCTTACCGCTAATGAGCTGCTCTGGGTGAAACAAATCCCTATAGGGACCAGTACGTACCTCGTCGATCACATTTGGCTCCAAATCGACGTATACGGCACGAGGCACGAACTTGCCTGAACCTGTTTCATTAAAAAAGGTCGAAAATCCTTCTTCGCCCCCTCTGGGTTTTGTCAGACCCTCTTCTAGATAACCATCGGGTCTTATTCCGTGTTCTAGAGAGTAAAGCTCCCAACAAGCGTTACCAATTTGACAACCAGCTTGACCGACTATAAAAAGTGTGTTACGTTAGTACTAGGAAATAACAAGCCTCAAAAGCCGCTCGCCAGCAAAATTCAGTAGCCAGTGTTTTAGATAGAATGGCCTTGTTCTATGGCATCCCTTGCACATTTCTTCGAATATTTTCAAATCTGACCGTTACAGGTTATCTTACACCTATCAACTAAAACCTTTCCCATTTTCTGACGCGTAAATTTGACTCTCAGCAACTAAATATCATTATTAACATACCGTTGACGCTAATAACTTCTCTCATGGCTCTCAAAGACGCTTTAAACTCGCAATTGTGATGGATTAGTTATGGTTCAGTCGGTTCGTTTTGGTGTTTGGTAGCGTTTTATTTAGGTCGTGTTTACATTTTTCCACAAAAGCCAGACAGATCACTGATCACGTGAATGAAGATTTAGACGGGTAACCGATGGTTCAGAGCGATGAGCGATCAGGGAGAAGCAGCTAAAGTGCTTCGCAGACGGTGGATGCCATTTGTTATTGAGTACTGGTTGTCCGCACAGTGAACATATGAATCAAGAGTGCTCGAACTCGGAAATAGGCGAGAGTCCAAATAACAAATTTATTTCGTCTGACAAGCAATTACACTGCCTCTTTTAAAAGACTTCAGTATCGACTACTGATCTAATAAAAGAGCTCGCAAGTTGGTTTGGATCTGCGGGACTATCTCTTTATCGGGTATAAAATTGGCATTTATTCTTGCCTCAATAGCGCTGCTCGTAGGAGGACAACTTATATTGGATATCCTCAAAAAAAAAGGACCGTGTAGAGAGGCATCCTCTTATGATGGATCTCAGGATTTTGTGCGTCGTAGTATGAAAGGAATGAGTGCAATAATCGATGAGGCGAGTTTGATCCAGCAATAGAAAGCTTGTGAATGTCTTTGTTTAGCACTTCATTAATTGATAGAGTAGGTCAGTTCGTAAGGTGGCTGATATATTTAAGTCGTCTTTCTGGTACAAGAAATATGTCATGTTACCAAAACGAGCTAATTGTATTCATAAATATATAATTTGAGATGTTTATAAGAACTGAGTGAGACTCGGATGTATCAGGCAAGTCGTTCTTCTCGAGCATTTTGTAAGCTATCAGTTAAGTGTATACCACTTGTTAAGCCTCTTAGGTCGCCAACTCTTGGTCTGGAACTACCTAGTATCATCGAGCGCTCGTGTCTTATTCATATCACTCTGTACTATTATGTCATTAAGGAAATATCATCGTTCACAACACAACAACACGTTGAGATGAATGTTCTGTTCGATGAGTTCACGCCCAGCCCGTCTTGTGTTAGGTTTTTATTCAGTAAGGGTATATGCTCGATTAATAACACACCAGTTGATCGCACTGCGGTCTCTGTAAGCTCCAAGCAAAAGTAAAGCACAGAATGTATTGCGTTTGAAGACGTATCGAGTGTGCGGAACTGAAATTGATGGAGCATCGATACCAATTTAGGATAAGGGAACCATCATTTTTATAAGACATCGTTTTGCCCTCATGTGTAAGCTTAGACTCTCGGGCTTTTCAACACTCTGCTGCAAAACATGAGCGTTAACAACTATTCGATGAGATCATAAGCAGGTCAAAATACGGGGGCAAGCCATCTCGAGAAAGCGCAAAGTTGTTATTGCGCTGTAAAATATCCGTCACTTGTTAGGTGCCTGCCGTGTCTAAGCAAGGGCCCTTCGATCTATACTGCGGCACCAGTCTGGCAAAGTAAAGTAGCCCAGTCATATTTCCATAATGCGTAAACGTGTCATGAAAAGTGTCAACATGATGGGAGCGTTTCTTTAACACATTTGGCGTCAATTCTGTGATCATGAACTTCGGGAATCAGCGATCTGTCTTTACACGTAAAAAAAAATTCCATATTAATCAATTGGCCTGGTTCATTCTCATTTGGACCTCGCTAGCTCCCGCAATCAAATACTCGTATAAACCACCACAACCTTTCCACGTTAATGAAGGGAAAGTGGGATATAATTGTTGTTTTTCATGATTAAATTGTTTATTTTTTTAGATATCAATCAGGTTCTCTAATTATTATAACACTTATTGTACAGGTATAGAGCAACGGGCAAAATTCAAAATTCTCTTGTGTGGGGGAGAAGGGGTGAGCCAAAGCATGAGCGGTTTAAATTTAAACAGTCTCAGTGTGGCTAGAGTCACCAGACTGGCCAGAAGCATACTTGGAAGAATCGATTTCATCGTGGTATTCTTCGCAAATTTGCTCTAAAGTCTTTCTCTTCGTCTCAGGGATCAACAAAGTACTGAAGATACCACAAAACATGAACAAAGCGAAAATCTCCATAACGTGAGGCAACCAACATCCGGCAGCTTTACCATCTTTGGCACAGTTGTGGTCGATCAACGTACCCAAGGCAGTTTGTGCAATAATGGCTCCGATTTTACCGGAAGCGGCAGAAATACCGTGAGCAGAAGATCTGTATCTGGTTGGGAACACTTCACCTGGAACAATGAAAGTAGTAACGTTAGGACCGAATTGCATGAAAAATTGGCAAACAATGTAGAGACCAAGTAGACCCTTGTCGTTAATTTTGTGGTATGCGAAACCAATAATACAGAACAGAACGGTTAGAATGAAAAATCCGAAGAGTTGAATTGGTTTTCTACCAATGGTGTCGATGGTGGCAACAGAGGCCCAGTAACCTGGCAACGAACCGGCGCAAATCAAAATCAAGTTACCAACAGCGGAGTTGTACAATTTGTGGTAAACGTTCTTGGAAGAAGCGTAACCAATAGTTTGCAAAATGACAGCGGAGTTCAAGTTCAACCCGTAGAAGGCCACGTCCAGCGTGAACCACGAGAACGCAGTACCGACCAGGATCTTACCGTACTTCCACTTGCTGAAATGTCTCATAAAGTCGCGAGCGGAGGCCTTTGGAGGAGCGATTTCGTATTGTTCAACAGCAGTTGGGGCTCTTTCCAAACGGGCAATGTCCTCGGCCTCGGCGTCACCGTGTTCGCCAGAAGTGAATTTGGAGGCATCGGCAACACCCTTGTTGAGTCTGTTTTCAACGTCCAAAGAGTAACGTGGGGACTCGGGGATGGTTAGACGGAAATATAGGGCAACGACACCGGGCACACAGCCAAGGCCGACAAGAATACGCCACATCTGGTCACATGCCTTAGCACAAGCGGGACCACATTCGGCGTTGGTGTTGGCAAGAATCAAAACGTCCTTGTAGGCAGCAACCAAAATAAGGGCAACGATACCGGCGGCAATCTGACCAAAGGCCTGGTTGGCGAACACGGCACCCATGATGGCACCACGCCATTTGGTGGTGGAAAACTCGGAGGTGATGATGGACGAAAGTGGGTAGTCACCACCGATACCGATACCCATAATGATACGGTAGAAAGTTAGCACGGCGACAAAGCTGACGCCGGGTGCTTTGCCGAGGGTACATTGCAGGATGGTGGCGGCGATCATGATGATCAGCTCGAGACCGTAGATCTTCTTACGGCCGACGACATCGGCCATAATACCAAACCCGAGCTGGCCGATCACGGTTCCGACCGAGGTCGACACCTTCAGCAGCGTCGTGGTGGACGATGGCATGTTTCCCTGCCAGAACACGTAAGCCATCATGGAGATACCCAGGTTGATGGCGAAGATATCGTACGAATCGGTAAGAAACCCGACTCCGGCAACCGCGATGGCGCGCACGTGGTACCATCCGAAGGGGGCATCGTCGATCGACTGGAGCGCCAGTCTTCTGCGCTCTAGCGGATCCTCGATGTGGGCAAAGTCGTTGATGTAGTTGTGGAACGCCGCGTTACCGCCGGCGGTGTTGGTGTAAGCCACCTTGCTAGGGTCCTTTTCAATAGACATAGGAAGCGGATTAGTGGATTAGTGGACTGGTGGTGGAAGCTTGACTATTGCAGTACAGAAAGAAGAAGAGAGAGATAAGAGAATACAATCCAAGAGCTACAACTCTAACTACGCAGCGTCTTTATATAGCCCAGCGATGCGATGCCGATGTCCACAAATTTTTTTTCCAGTCCAATATACTGGGCGTTTCTCAGAGCACCAGGGTGATTAATTAGACGTGCGAGTTTACCCAATTAATGCTGCGTGTGTCATTGAAGCCTTGGTTTTTCCGTGAGAGCATGAGAGCGTGAGAGCGAATTTTTTAAATTAGACCGCCCCCCACGTTGCTCATTTTCACAGAGCGTGTGGGCGAAAAATATATTAGATCGAAGACTCTTTTAGGCATTACGGGTGAGGTGCATGAACCGTGTAAGCAATGCAGCGGGCAATGCGCGGGCCGCTCTGGCGGCGCTTACTAAGCATGCTGCAAGAGAAGCCCTTTTCATGCGGGTTTCCTGCGGTCTCGGAGGGATGGTGAAAAAAGACCGATTTTGTGGCGGAAGGGCCTTCACCCACATGGCCAATTTAGCTGGACGGAGCGCGGAAGTGAAGAAAGGATCGAAAAACGATCGAAAGGTAGTGGAACAAAGCCAAGCCAGCGCAGGACTACGCAGCGTGAGACTCGGCATCGCCAAGGGCAGACGCGATGGCGAAGGGTTACGCCCAGAAGAGGAGGAGCGAGAGGGTGGAAATAAAGGGTTTCGTACGAAGCGAGACGCCGCGGCCCATGTGCCAACGGTCTGTGTCGCTTTTCACGGGCGAGGCGTGGGAGCCAATCTACAGATAGATCATCATTATCGCCACCATTATTACCATCGTCGCCACATCGTTGAAGGGCCTGCCAAGACGTGGGTGGGCTAGCGTCATAATG